TCGAAGCAGCAAGCATCGAGCCTGGAAACAGCAAGTTCGCGTACTACGAAGGTACGGCGAAGAACGCGAAAACGGGACAGATTCCAGACGATTACAAGGGACACCCGGCGTTCACGGCAAAACATCTTGCAGGGCTACCAGACCACGGACCTTGGGATCACGAGATCAAACTCAAGGAGGGAGCCCAGTTGAAGTTTTTCAAGGTGTACCACACCAACGAGAAGCAAGATGCAGAGTTGAGGAGCTATCTCGAAAAGAACCTTGAGATAGGACACATCAGACCATCGACATCTCCAGCGGGCTACCCAGTCCTCTTCGTTCCAAAGAAGGATGGGAAGCTCAGGATGTGTGTGGACTACCGACAGTTGAACAACGAGACGGTGAAGAACCGCTACCCACTGCCACTGATCTCGAGGCTGCGAGATCAGCTGTCAGGGGCACAATACTTCACGCGCCTCGATCTTCCGACAGCGTACGCCCACATCCGCATCAAGGAGGGAGACGAATGGAAGACGGCTTTTCGGACACCCTACGGGCACTACGAGTATCTCGTCATGCCGTTTGGGTTGACCAACGCACCAGCGACGTTCCAAGCCGCTATCGACCACGCAATTCGACATTGCCTCGATAAATTTGCAGTCTGTTATTTGGATGACATTCTCATCTACTCCAAGACACTCGAAGAACACAAGAAGCATGTGCAGCAGGTGCTGGATACACTGCATGAGCACAAGTTGTCAGTCAACAAGGACAAAAGCGAGTTTCATGTCAAGAAGACAGTGTTTCTAGGTTACGAGATCTCCCCAGGATGGGTCAAGATCGAACCCGAGAAACTGGAAGCTGTCAGGACGTGGCCGACACCAACGAACGCCACAGAGGTCAGAGGATTCATCGGATTCGCCAACTTTGTCAGGATGTTCATCAAGAACTTCGGCGACATCGCGAGACCCCTACACGAACTTACCAAGAAGGATGCCACATTCCAGTGGAAGCAGGAGCACGAGCAAGCTTTCCAACGGATCCGCAACGCGATTATCGCCGATCCAGTGCTCATGCTGCCTGACCCAAACACACCTTTCGAAGTCGAAGCTGACACCTCGGACTTCGCGATCGGAGGACAACTTGGTCAGAGGGACAAGGACGGCAAGCTTCACCCAGTTGCGTTCTTCTCCAAGAAACTCGAGGGACCAAGGCTCAACTACCCGATCCACGACAAGGAGCTTCTCGCAATCATCGAAGCCTTCCAGGAATGGAGACCATACCTCAGCGGCACGACACACGAAGTTCAGGTGTACACGGACCACAAGAACTTACGCTACTTCACCACCACGAAGGTGCTGAACGGACGACAAACTCGATGGGCAGAGTTCCTGTCCGAATTCAACTTCACGATCCACTACAAGAAAGGGTCAGAGAACGCACGAGCGGACGCCTTGAGTAGGAGAGCGGATCATCATGACAACACATCTGAAGCCTCACCACCATTGCTACATCAACAGACAGACGGATCGCTACGGCACGCTTCCCAACCGACTGAAGACTACGAGATCGCAGCACTTCAGCAACAGTCGGAAGATCCCGAAGCTAGGCCTCTGCAACCGTTTGTAGAATGCTGTGCGGCCTTCAGGGAACAACGCTTGGAACAAGATTTCCAAGGAACCATCGCGGACGACGAGCGCGATGCATGGCAAGAAGAGCCAGAATCCAAGATCGCGGGATTGCGACTTGAAAGAACGAGACTCTGGTACCATGACAAGGCCTACGTCAGGCTCAACGACCAAAAGGAGCTCATTCGAAAAATCCACGAGTCGAAACTCGGAGGACACATGGGAATCAGCAAAACAATTGCAAAAGTCAGGCAGAATTACGACTTCCCAGGAATCAAGCAGGCGACAGAAGAAGTCCTGGCAGAGTGTGACCTCTGCGGACGAAGCAAACCGCCACGACACAAGCCATACGGGCTATTGCAGCCATTGCCAGTCGCGGAACGACCATGGAGTTCGGTGACGATGGACTTCATCACCAAACTGCCACTATCCAAGGACTCGGTAACGGGAGTGGAATACGACAGCATCCTCACGATGGTGGACAGACTCACCAAATGGAGCTACTTCCTCCCTTACAAGGAAACATGGTCAGCAGAACAACTTGCAGATGTGATCTACCGCAACGTCACCTCGGTCCACGGATGGCCGGAGGAATGGATCACGGACAGAGACACGAAGTTCGCATCAAAGTTTTGGCAAGCTCTGATGACGAAGCTGGGTACGAAGAGTAAGCTCTCGACTGCTTACCACCCACAGACGGACGGACAGACGGAACGACTCAACCAGGTTGTCGAACAATACCTGCGGTTGTATGTCAACTTCCAGCAGGACAATTGGGTCGAGCTGTTGCCAACGGCACAACTCGCCTACAACACCACCGTCACGGAGACCACGAAGGTCACGCCATTCTTCGCGAATTACGGCTACGAAGCAGATTTGCGACAGGGGCCCGAGGTTTCGGTGCCCAGAGCGGCGGTCAAAGCCGACAAGATGAGCTCGCTGCATGCGATGCTCAGGGACGAACTCGAATTCGTACGAACCCGGATGAAAAAGTTCTACGACAGAAACAGGCTCGAGGGACCTCGCCTGGAGAAGGGGGATAAAGTTTATCTCATTTCTCGAAATCTTCGCACGAAACGACCAAGCAGGAAGCTCGATTTTCGCAAGATCGGACCGTTCAAGATCGACAAAAAGATTTCGGAGAACAATTACGCGCTCGCGCTACCCTCAACAATGCGACTACGGACCAACGTTTTCCACATCTCGCTTCTGGAACCAGCGCCGAAGAACGCGCGACTCGACAAGGACGCCGAGGCAGAGGACGAAGAAGAAGAATGGGACGTTGAGGAAATCCTAGATTCACGCATCACGAAAGGACAGTTGGAGTATTTGGTCAAATGGTTGGACTTCGGCCCAGAAGACAATTCATGGCAACCAGCTACAAATCTCAACTGCCCCGAGAAACTTCAGGAGTTCCACCAGAGGAACCCGGATCGACCAAAGGAAACCCCACGGATAGGTCGACCCCGGGGAAGGGGTCGCCCGAAGAAAGACTAGCACGGTTAACACAAGAACCCGCAGAAGACAAAGGGGCGGGAGGCACGAACCCTTGAGCCCAGGAGGGATCGAGGAAGGAATTACCAGAGGCGAGCAAGGGCTCGCTTGGAGATTGAGCAGCAGCACGGGCCGCCGCCTCTTCCGCCTCCAACTCTTGGATCGTGTCGTCCTCCTCTTCCAACACGACGCGGGCACGCGCCTGAAGCGCTTGAGTTTGCGCTTCTACACGAGCCAGTTTTTCCGACGCCTGGTTTAGTTGAGAGATCGCCTCTTTCCGCTCCGCATCCAAGTCTTCTTTCTGCCGGAGAAACGAACGAACAACGGAAGGAGCAAGACCATTGACGTTGCAGGACCGACGATTGGCGCTGAGACAGGAGCCGCACTTTTGCGAAGAATCGGATACCCGGCACTTGAGGTCTTTCTTGCGGCAATACGAACAACGAGGCATGTCCATACCGAGTGAGATGGCAACGGAAGCCGATTTCAGCCGACGACGGGTACTCGACGCACGATTATCTGACCGGCCACGGGTTAGGACAGGCATTCTGGGGAACCATGTAGTAGGAAAGACCAAGACTTACCAAGGTCTGCCGGCTTCTATTTCAGAACTAGGACTCTCGGAGTCGACGGGACGTCGACTTTGGAAGAGGGGCATCGTGTCATGAACCAATCGGAAGGACGCGGGGTCGAGCGGAGACCTCCCATCCGGAGGACCAATCACATAACGAAGGAGGCGCTCTGTAGGTAAAATAGGCCGGGAGGTGCAGAGCACCACAGAGCACTACAGAGCGGGAGGCGCTCTGTAGGTAAAGTAGGCCGGGAGGTGCAGAGCACCACAGAGCACTACAGAGCGGGAGGCGCTCTGTAGGCAGAGTAGGCCGGGAGGTGCAGAGCACCACAGAGCACTATAGAGCAAGGTACGAAGATACCTGGATACTTAGATAGTATATAGTTACTCGTTCTGGAGAGCTCTGGGAGTTCTCCAGTTAGCAATCACAACTACAGTTCGTTACAAGCTCGAGAACCTACTGTTGAGACAAGTCTTTGTTGTGCACCCTTTGGCTGCACCGAACCTAAGCACACTTGAGAGAATACCTTCGACCGATACTGAACCCTAACAGGACGGGTCCAGAGACAGGTTCGTCACATATACCGGGGAGGTTTTTCGATATCGTTTGGCAGATGTGTAGATATATCAATAGGAAGTTATAGTTATTAATCCGGACTATACTATATATAAATAGGGCACTTTCGCTAATAAACTAACGATACTATTTAACTAGTAGGCTAAAGATACCTATATCTAGGGGCTGAAGGATATAGGTAGAATATAGTAGAAGGTAGAGGGGTACGATATTATTGTTGGTATAATATTATATAAAACTAGGTAATATATAACTGGAATAGCTATCGAGAATTAGGAAACAGTATCTTCTATATACCTAGGCGGCTATATAGCGATCAAAGTATCGGATCTAATCGAGGGTAATATTACAGTCGGTCCAGCCATTATTACTAACTTAAATAACGATATCTTTGTCGATACCCTTAGGGATCTATAAAGGAAGGATACGCTAGCCTTTAAAGATAATAAATAGCGGTAGGATAAACCTATAGGCCGAGATATATTCGATGATTGAGACCTAGTTGTAGTTACCGGGCTATAATGTAGAAGGCTTTATAGCCATATAATCGGCATATAGAACAATAACTTTATAGTTGTCTCCGAGCCCTTTGGTATATCCTTTTTCATCTATATTATAGATATTATTATCGGTAATACTATATTTCAATAGGGTTATTCGAAATAGATTAAACTATCTAAAGAGGGTTATATAATCTATAGTATCCTTCCTAACTTAGTCTAATACTCTAGATCAACATACCTTTAAATCAGGATAGTATTTAAGGAAGTTCTTATACCAGTATTACCTAAGAGGCTGATTATCACCCTTTATAATTAAGATCTAGGTTGCTAGATTACAAAGCAAAGGAATAGATATCGGCCATCCCTATACATCCAATTAATATACAGCTTTAACAATAGTATCTTCTTCAGCTAGCGATAATCGTTATATAAACTATTTCGACGTACAGTTGGATTCGTAGCGCCCAGCGATACGGTCAGCGAGGGTTACAAGCGGGATGCCAAAGGTCGTTGCGGCTTGTCGAATTGAGGGCACTTCCTTTGCGTGGAACGCGGCGATTGCGGCTTGAATGCGTTGCTCAGCCATTGCCAGAGGTGCTCAGAGGCTCGAAAACAACAAAATTGACGAAGATTCGAAAGAAAGTTGGAAAGAAAGCAGTTGGCGATGCCATCAGTCTCCTGACTTACAGCCAAATTACTGTGGGGATAGTTGGATATTGGTGGCGTTCGAAGACCTTACCCGTTCGAGGAGGGTATCCACCACGTTACCAAAACCACGTGGTTGTGAGACCCCCCCGCCTCTCGTGTACATACATAGTTCCAGACTTGCCGTTGCCGTGTCTCTGACATAGAATGTAGAATCTGGAACAGGCTATTCTGTACCTTGAGACTACCTGACTCATAAAACCGCTCCGCTGGAGTTGCCGTGATATCTTGAAACGATCGATCGAATCTAGACCTACTTCTAAATGAGACGGAGGTCTGCCGCAAGGAACCGCCTTCGTTTTTGGGACGATGGTCGGTTTCAACTCTCCACTCGCGGTCCCAGGAGATGGGGCGATTTCGACAATCTCAGGGTCCACATCACCGTTTGTCCATCGGGTTTTATTATTAGCAGCACTCCCATTTGGTTTCGACAACCGAGCCGAGGCCGAAACGGCAAAGGGAGGCTCCGGAGGCGTGGGTGGAAGGAAGGGAGGGTAACTTTACGAGTGACAGCGAAAGTCCAAGGGGTCAAACCAACTTAGCGCCAAGCGGATGCCAGTCCAGTATGACGTCACGGCCCCTGCAAATTTCAGGGGAATCTCCAGCGCGCTCCAGCGCCAACGAAATCCCATCCACTTCCAATCAACAAGCCTCCCGATGTTCCAGAACGCCCTTCCCCCGAAGACGTTCGCGAGGAAAAACAAGGCAATGTCTGGGGCGCAAAAAGGAAGATGTGGAAGGGGCACAAGAGCGTGGGGCAATGATCCTCAAGCGCATCTGCAGCCCTCCCGATTCCGCGTCCCCCGCTCCTTCCGTTTCCGCCTGGACCAGTGGGATACCTTCCATTGGGAAGCTGCAGGACGGCAAGAAGAGGCAGGCATGGCAGGAAGGGTGTTGCCCCCGTGCACCCCAGCCGAGTCAGCCAAACGATTTTGCGGGCCAGAAACACAACCGTTTGCCGCCGCAGAAACATGGCAATTTCTGTCAGTTCCCTTGAACCCTGGGGTAACACCCTGATTCGTGGTTCCGACACTCCGGCCAAGCCATCTTCTCGAATTTACTTGGTATGGGAAGCGATCGGAAATTCTGTGCCGAGTTGGAGTTGCATTCCCTGCGGCAGGGGGTTCCGCATTCCATCTCTGCGCAACTCAAAGGGGTGATTCCATTTACCCAGGGATCTTCACCTCACAGAACTACTTGGTACAAACAAAACATGAAGGAAAAAACCGTTGGATGAACAGGCCGCCGATCACGACTTCAGTGACGGCGTAATGGAACCGTCCCGCGTTATGGTCGACTAGCTCGGGAAGCTTGCAACTGACTGGAGCCAACACCATCAAACCTTGACGTGCTTGATCCGAACCTGTGCCACATCCTGGAGGTGGGTGGTATGCGGTGGGTCGTTGTGCCGATCATCCTGTGAACCGGGGATCAGAAAACCTCGAGACCCCGCGGAGTTGATACATCAGAGTTGTGGTGCTTCACTGCATGTGGAGAGCCTTTCTTTCGTATTGTCTCCTTTCTTCTCCCGCACCCCCAAGGAGCCATTGAGCCGACCCCCCGAGCAAACCTCTCTCTCTCCGATGCGGTAACCATGGCTTCGTCCGCAGAGCCGCAGCAACCGCCCGTGAGGCCGTCGTTGCATGTCCAGATGCCGTCGTACTCCGACCCGAGCCCCGAGACCGACGACGTGACCAAATCCAAAGTTGACCCCGACCATCTAGCCCCTGATGCCGCGCCTCTAAGCCCGGAAGATTCGAGGGAGGCCGCGAACAGGTTACACGATGACCTGGAACTCCTCCGCGCCGAGCGCGTTGTGTCAACACAGGAGCGCGACTCAAACCGGCCCAGGTCGAGGACCAGAAGCCATCGAGAAGGGGTCGAGGACGCCTTCAACACAACCACTGCCCCGACAGTCGTTGCCGCCCCCGTGCCCGTGAAGACGACAACGTGGCTCACCAAGCTCTGGCTATGGCTCAAAAAGTTCCCTCGCATCCTACGCTACATCCTTTATGCCATCCCTCCGGGTGTCATCATCCTCGTCCCGGTGTTCCTCGACCTGTTCGCTTATGACCGCAAAGGTGATCCGGTCGGGGGGCCCGGTGGCGTCCAGCTCCTGTGGTTCGGCATCTGGCTCGAGGTAATCTGGCTCACCCTCTGGGCTGCTCGCATCGTCACCTCCGTCCTACCCCCTATTGTCGCCTTCGCTGCCGACACCGTCGGATCGACGAACCATAAGAAGTGGAGGGATATCGGGCGCCAGCTCGAATTCCCCACGGCCTTGTTTTTGTGGCTGTTGGCCATCTTGGTGTCATACCGTCCCATCCTAAACCATCGTGTTGTCGACCCCGAAGACGACAATAAGCTACCCTACGTCACCTGGATCGACGTCGTCTTCAAGGTTATCATCGCCCTGTTTGTCCTCGCCACGCTGAACCTGGTGGAGAAGGTCCTGATTAAATGGATCGCGACCTCCTTCCACCTGCGCACGTATTCGCACCGCATCCGCGAGAACCAGATGCACATCGAGTACCTCGTCACCCTATACGGGTACGCCAAAACCCGCCTCGAGGCACAGGATCCGGTTTGGGACTCTCCATCTAGCAGACGGGGTTCGGGCCAGTATCCATCGCCGTTCAAAAACATCCAGAGCAACGCCCGCCAGGTCTTGAGCAAGGTCGGGAACGCAGCCAACCGCATGGCCGGCGACTTTACGGGCCGCAAGTTTCTCAAGGGCAACCACCCCCGCAAGGTCGTGCTGGAGCTTCTCCGGAACTCCGAGTCGAGCTATACGCTCGCCCGCGTCTTCTACCGGACCTTTGTTCAGCCGGACAAGTCGACCGTGGCGGTTGAGGATCTGTTCCCGGCGTTCCCAGCCCAGGAGGACGCCGAGGCGTGCTTTGGCGTCTTCGACAAGGATCTGAACGGCGACATCTCCATGGAGGAGCTCGAGATGGTATGCAATGAGATTCACTTGGAGAAGAAGGCCATCGCGGCCTCGCTCAAGGACTTGGATTCTGTCATCAAGAAGCTGGACGAGGTCTTCATGTTCCTCATCGTGGTCATCGTCATCATTGTCTTCATCAGCATCATCTCAAACTCGGCAGCTGCCGCGCTGACTTCGACGGGTACCGTGATCCTCGGTCTGTCGTGGTTGCTGCAGGCCACGGCCCAAGAGTTCCTTCAGGTATGTTGCCGCTATCTCTCTTTCACTGCGTTGTCCATATGCTAACTTGGGCAGTCCATCATCTTCGTCTTCGTCAAGCATCCCTTTGATGTGGGCGACCGGGTCACCATCTACGGCAACACAGGCTCCATGATGAAGGGCGACGACTACTACGTCCTCGAGGTCTCACTCCTGTACACCGAGTTTAAAAAGATGGAAGGCCACGTGGTGCAGGCTCCCAACTCTGTGTTGAACACACTCTTCATTCTCAACCAGAGGCGCAGTCAGGGTCTGGCCGACCCCATCAACTTGAAGCTCCGCTTCGGCACATCCGAGGCACAGATCGAGGAGCTCAAGGCCCGGATGCTGGATTTCTGCCTCCAGAACAAGCGAGACTACGCGCCGCGCATCATCTCGGAAGTCCAGACCATCGACGAAGTTAGCAGCATCACCATGAACATCATTTTCTTCCACAAGAGCAACTACCAGAACGAGCTGCTCCGCCTGAACAGGCACAACAAGTTCGCCGTCGAGCTCATGCACCAGATGCACGACATGGGTCTCGAGACGCCGCATCTCGTCCAGCCCGGTGGCATGCGGCACATGCCGCTGTACTGGTCCCAGGTTCAGCCGCCTCCCGGCTATCAGGCCGCCACCGCCCAAGAACCCCCCCCGCCGCCTTCTAGCCCGGGCATGGGCATGCGGAGGAGAGGAAACAGTAGGGCTGCGGTTGTGGACGCAGGCATGGACTTCCAGGATATCTACCACAACAGGCGGAGGGACAATAGCATCACCCGGCTGCCTTCGATTAGACAGTCACCGAGAGAGGAGGACGAGATGGTTCGGCCCAGCGGGGACGAGCAGTATAACGAGAAGTCGGGCAAGAGGCAGAGCCTGGATAGCTCATCGTCTCGGAAGGCATGGAGGCCTAGGAGCCGGTCCACAAATAGGGGTTCGATGAGCAATGTGGTGTGATACACCAATGGAGAACTAGAAATTACTCACTACGGCTTTTAATACTAGATTGTTTTGCTGGCCTGTTCACAATGCTAGCATGTTAATAAATGAAGTGAACCATGTCAGGTGTCTTGCCATATTAAATGTCCTTCATCCACAAGACCGCCCGTACACTCTAATTTGAATACCATTACACCACAATTCGTACATTAGTTGTCGCCCACAACCCGCGCGCACTTAACCTTCTTCCCATCAACAATCTCACAGCTGGTCAGCCTCCCGCCCTGCTCCTCCAGCTTCACATCCAGCACCTCAGCACCAGCCAAATCCCTCTCACTCCCATCCTCGAGCGTAACCCCCGCCCCAAACGTGACACTCCCAAAGTCCACCAACGCCACCGGCAACTCAGGCATCCCCTCGATCGGAAAATCCTCCACCACCCACGCGGCCTCCCGCCGACACAACCCCTCCCCCTCCCCGCCCGCCGGCAAAACCTTCCTCACACTCCCCACCGGCACCGCCCCCTCCCCAACACAGGTGACATTCCTCCCAAAATTCTCCGCCACCACCACCACCTCCTCCCCAGCCCCATCAACACCCCCAGCCTCCAACCCAAGGGTAAACCTCACCAAATCCCCCTCCCCCACCACAAACCCACCCCCAAACCCCTCCTCCGCCCCCTGCCCGGGCCCCTGGAACCACGCGACCGGCTTCTGCGCGCCGTCCAGCGTGCCGTCCCAAAAGACGTCCACTCCCGCGCGCAGCGATCCCCCACCTCCTCCACATGCGGCTGATGCAGGTGTGGCGCTGTCGATGCCGACCCAGAAGGAGGCGGCGTACACGCCGACGGTGTTGTTGGCAGTCGGGCCGGCGGTGGGCATGCGGGCGGGGGGGATGCGGAAGGTGCCGGTTATGGTGGTGAGGAGTGGGGTTGAAGTGGTGGTGTTGGTGTTGGGGGTGGTATTGGGGGGGAGGGTTAGGATGGCGCCGCCTTTGGTGGATTCATCGTCGTCGCTGGTGGCGGCGAGGAGGCGGGCGTTGCCGGGGGTGGTGTTGGGGAGGGTGTGCAGCAGGCGGTAGGGTGCGTGTTGCTGTTGTTGGTGTTGTTGTTGTTGTTTGGGTTGGGGGGTGGTGGTGTCGCGGATTACGCGGTGGGGCAGGCGGGCTGCGGTGGTGGTGCCGGTGACGGTGGCGAGGAGGGTGAGGAGGGTTGTGGCCTTCATTTTGGGCTATTAGAGTGGGAATGGTTGAATGAATGAATGAATGGATCGATGGATGGCGGGAAGAACGAATGTTGAGATCCCGAGGATGGCACGGTCGCGAGAGTGGAAAGGTTCAAAAAGAAAGAGAACCTGTTCGTTCGGTGCGAGGGGGAAAGAGTGAATGCCCAAAGGAGAGGGATCGTCCGTTTCGTTGATCCAAGGAAACACAAGACCAGGAGACAAACAAGAATGGCGGTTACAGCCCCCCTTATAAGTCCCCGCTTAAAGGCGGACGCAGCATGAAAGTGTCACGCGTTGTGGTTGGGAAACGGACGGCCCAATTGGTCCACGGGTTGCGATATCGTGGAAACTCCCCGGCTGCATTTGTCTGTACCTGGCAGCACTGCCGCATGGCTGCAGGCGTGTGGTTTTACAGGGCTGGACCCGCCTCGCTTGGGAGATTACAAGTACAGAGCACGGTGCCACGGTGGACAGCGGGAGTTTGAGGCTGGTGTCCTGTTTGCCCGCTCGGATCTGGAATGCTGGAGTGCGATGGGGTTTGGATCCTGCGAGAAGTGCTTGGCGCCGTGTGGAATGGTGATCGATGGCCGGCTGACGAAGTGGAAAGATGCTGCAATTGCCCCTGACTGTCCGTCTCCATTGAAGTGTTGTGCAGGCGATGCGACCGGGGTGAGGTTACGTTGCTGACTCTCGGTTCGCAAGGTTGGATTGGCTGCCGTGGTTCCGGTACCTGACGCTTGCCGACCGGGATCCGGATGATTGGTTCAGGGCGGCATTCTGGAGTTTGCCCATAAACGTTCTCCGTCTGCTCAGAAGGGTTCCGACCTGGTAGCCAGAAGCTGTCGTTATTATTACCGGGAGGGCGAAAACGTGTTTCTGGACTTGGGAGTTCGCTTTCTTGGAGCAAGTTGCTAACTCAGCATAACTTCGATCACGTCGCTAAACGGTAAACCTCGCATCTGTCGCGTTTCGTCTACCGTTTCCGAACTCTGGTTCCCAATACTATCGTGGTGTGATTCGAACACCGTATATTCCCCCCACGCGTTGAGAATTTCCACACCACAACGCAGTGTCATGATGCGCATGTCGTAAAAGTCGGGAAGTCGCGACAGCTCGAGAGTCCTCAGGGCGTCAAAATAAAGTGGTTCAGCCCTCTGGTCAGGGCGGACAAAGCCCAGAAACGGGCTGAAAAGTGTCACCGCTCTGCCGGACGACCTTTCAGCATTTATCGGTGTCTTTCGACAAGTTACACAACTGGATCACCTCCCAAGGCTTGAGTTATCCATAAAATTATGCACTGCAGGAGGCTTGCCCTATTGTGTTGAGTGGAACACGAAAATGGAGAGGAATTTAAAGATTGTTTTGATGTCGGGGGAAGTCACGAAGCCTGATAAAAACAAGATAGATACATTACGAGGATCGTCTGGCTATTCAAAGTTTCAAAGTCTCTTGCCAGCGGCACTGTGGCCCTTGCGAAGGGTATGACGTTTTGCCTACAACCTCCCTTGGCCGTCCTCCCCAGTCAGATAGGGAGGCTTTGTGCTAGCCACCCTGACAAGGACCCATCCGGCCTAACAGACGAAGCAAATGGGCCGTCAGTGCCTCTCCGCAGCTTCTGTAATGACTAAACCCGAAACCTACCGCTTCAAAATACTACGGCCGCAGTGGTATGTCACGACGTCCATGTCAGGGGAACCAGACACACTCGGTCAAGCCATGATATGTAGGTATTAGTTATCAGCGCCTAGATGTCTCCCGCATACCACGTTTCCCCGCTCTGCCGGCGCAGAGTGCGCCCAAGCCACCGTTTACTTGGTAGCCAAGAGGACGTAGGCCTCGAACCGGATCCCGCCGTACTGCGCAATCTCCTCCCGCACCGACTCCCTGACCGTCTCGGCCCACCGGGCCTCCTCCTCGGGCGTGTAGCCCTCGCGCGCCCTGGCCATCATGGGGCCCGACGTGAGCTCGGTCAGGCCGGCGATCTGCTCCTCGTCGGCGACGACGAGCTCCTGGTCGAACACGTCGATCTTGCGCCGGTGGAAGCCGCCCTCCTCGTAGAACTGCGGGCTCGGCGTCGGCATGAGCCCGCCCGGCAGGTCGGGCCGGATCTTGCGCTGGGTGGCGTGCACGATGTGCATGGGCGCGAAGCGGCGCCAGCAGGTGACGACGGCGAGGCCGCCCGGGCGGAGGGTGCGGTAGGTCTCGCGGATGGCGTCGACGGGGCGGACAAAGGTGAAGATGCTGAAGTTGTCGATCGAGTGGGTGAAGTAGTTGTCGCGCACGCCCTTGAGGTCCTGCGAGTCGAGCTCCTTGCACTCGACCTTGCGCAGCGGCGAGCTGACGAGCGACTCGTTCGCCGCCGTTACCATGGCCGGCACGATGTCCGAGACCAGCATCTCCTTGGGCAGCTGGTCCTCGAGCAGGCGGGCGACGAGCGCGGCCGCGGCGATGCCGGGGCCCGCGGCCGTGTCATGGACAACCGAGTCGGGGCCGATGGGGTGGCACGACTTCTGGATCTGGTCCGTGACGATGTTGCGGAGGATGTTGAGCGTCGACTGGCCCGTCTGGCGGACGTAGTTGGCGGCAAACTTGGAGAAGTAGTCGGGGAGGGGGAGGTTCGGGTGCTGGTCGGTAGCGGAAGCCATGCTGGAGAAAAAGACCAGGGCGAATAATAGCGTGAACCAGAGAGGGCGATGGACCGCGGCAGAAGATGATGGAGAGGCAGAAGCGGAAAGGGGGGGGCAAACCGGCCGACCATATATACGGGTAGCCATGATGGACGGCGAAAAGTTCCTGTGCAAGATGTCTCAAATTGCACAGCTGGGGGCCGAGGGGGGCCGAACCGGCCGACCATATATACTATGTACGGGTAGCCATGATGGACGGCGAAAAGTCCCCGTGCAAGATGTCTCAAGCCGCAGAGGCCGAGGGGGGCCGAAGAAGCGTCGGGTTGCCGGTTAGCTGCCTGCGTAAGCTTCAGATGCACGACCGGAGTTCGCGCTGCGCCGCAAGTTCACGAGCGAATCGCGCAGTCGCTTATGAAATCTGTTGGTGATATGAAATCCGTTGGCGATGGGCTCTAAATTATGTAAATATGTTTGTGTGTGAGTTGGGAACCAACGCCCAACGCCCAACGCCCAACGCCCAACGCCCAACGCCCAACGCCCGGCTGCGGGAGGAGAGGAGGGAGGCCACGCGACGGTTCTGGGAGAGCCAGCGAGCACGCTTCCCCGACGCTGCCAACCAGCTGTGCCTGAATCTGCAGCGGTCGACAGCGCAGGCTTCGCAAAGGAGCACCGCGATCCCATTTCCCGAGGCGAGACTGGCCGCGGCCCAGGCGCGGACAGGGTACATGACCATCGTGTACGCTGCCGCCGCGTGGGCCCTGACCCTGGGCACCTTCATGGATGCCGATCAGGTCTACTTCGGGATGGTGTTGTCGGGGCGGGACCTGCCCGTCCCGGGCGCCCTCGACGTGGTCGGGCCGCTCATCAACATGCTTCCCTTGTCTGTGCAGCTGCCGCTATTAGAGGGCGACCGCGAGACTAGTCCTAGTAGTGTCGGGGCCTTCGTCGGGCGAATACGAGACGACATTCTCGGGTTGAACGAGGTGTCTCACTCGGAGACAACCGACGGATTCGACAGGCAGTTCGCTTCCATCATGGGCACGCAGTTCGAGGTAGCCAAAGGAGCAGGACAAGTCGAGTCTCCGCCGGCGGACTCCAACTGTCCCGACATGCAGTCCGGCGTTCCCCTGAGCCTGATTGTCCAAGGACACAGCGGGCTGCAAATCCTCTATTCCACCGCTCGCTACTCCGAAGAGGATATGAACAATCTCCGGTCCGTCTTTGAGAATGCCATGGACTGCTTGCTGCAAGGCGACGACGACGAGAGGCCACTGGCGCCCGAAGTCCGAAAGGGGCTCATGCCGCGCGAGATGGAACAGATGATCTGGTAGTGGAGCAACTGCGAGTCCCTCGAAACCCTGGACTAGTCGAAAGGAGATGACCTCATGACCCTATTCGAAGGCGTGGTAGGGAGACAGCCCACGGCGGTCGCCGTCACGCGCAGCCAGGGACGCGACATGACCTATGACGACTTCGACCGGGCGGCGGCCGCCGTCGCGCGGGAACTCAGCTGGATCGGAGCCAACGAGCCCGTGTGCGTGTACGCGGACTGGTCGGTCAACTGGCTGGACCGAGAGGATGATTGTGCAGGCGGTGCGCGATCTGATGAAGCTGGACTCGAGCACACGGGTGGACCAAGACTCAGACCTGGCGGCGCTCGGCGGACATTCGATCGTGCAGTTACAGCTCGCGGGCCGCATCTCTTCACCCATCCAACGAAAGATCAGCTTAAGAACGACCATCAACAATCCCGTCATCTCGCGCCTGGCGGCCGCGGTGGATGAGATAACGAAGTGAGAGCCAGGAGAGGCGGCTGGGCACCCTCCCTCCTCAAACGTCAAGGCCGCCGGGGACAATGATAAGCCACCACTTATCGCCTCCTTATTCTCCCTCCCCACCGCCTTCCTAAGCTCCTCCTCCCTCTGTCTGCTCGGCGCGTCACTAGTATCGCCGCCCCTGCGGCTACCACCCAAGCTGCTGCTCGCATCATCATTCCCAGCATTGATTAGCAAACCGGGAACCAAATCCTGGCGCCGAAAAATGCGCCGCCATCACGAATGCGCGGGGCGCTTGCTAAAGGGACTCAATGGGAGTGAACGAAGTAGAGCGGGCGACGCCTTCCGGTCTCCGTCGCCGGTGCCGTTTGCAATTGCTACGGAGGCGGCCCCACTCCGGGAACGCGAACGGGGTTCTCGGCCCGTATACCTCCGCCGGTCACAAACCAAACAGCCAGGTGGGGGGGGGGGGGGGGGGGGGGGGCAGGGACAAGCCACCACCGATACGGGGTGACACGGCAAAAACGAGGCAACGCCCAAATATCCCAAGCATACGACAAGAAATCAAAAAACAGCATGGATCCAACAAGTCTATATGCCGCCTGCGTAGGTACACACACAAACACACACAAAAAGTCGCTCGCTCCTCCATATAACACGGCAGGAGTGAACACACACACACACAGCCCAACCACCCCCACACACACCCCTTAAAACGCAACACTCCAATCCGCGCCAATCCGCACGCCCACCTTCTTGACCACCGCAAACGCCGCCTTGCCCTGCGCCGCAGCCGTGTACTCGACCTTGGCCTCCCAGGTCCTGCCCTCACTCTCCACCGTAACCGTCTTCTTGGCGGCCCAGCTCGCGGGCGCACCCACCACAACGATACGATCGACGCCGACGGCGCGCATCTGCTTCATCCAGGGCCCCTCGACGACGGCGGCGGGGTCGCGCGCCTCGGCATCGACCGAGACGAGGCTGCGGGCGGCGGCGTCAAAGACGAAGCGGCGGTGGATGTACTGGCCGTGCTCGAAGTCGAACGAGTCGCCGTCGTCGACGTAGAGGTCGCCCTCGGCGGCGGCGGCCTTGGCGTCGCGCGGCACGGTGACGACGAGGGTGTAGTCGTCCCAGCGCATGAGCTCGGTGGAGCGGCGGGGCACGTCGCGGCGCGCAAAGACGTGCCCGCCGCGCATCAGCAGCGGGATCTTCTCCATGGGCGCCTCGAGCGTGACGCTCTTGCCCTTGGCCGTGGGGATGACCTCGTAGGTGAAGTAGTCGTAGTAGACCTCGGCGTCGGGGATCCAGATGTCGACTGACGTCTTGCCCTCCTCCGTGACGGGCTTGGCGAGCAGACCCGTGTTGCCGACGAAGAACTGGTCGTCGAGGGCGAAGCCGCCCTCCTCGGACGGGTGCGTGTAGAACATGGGCTTGATGACGGGGGTGCCGTCAAGGTGAGCGTGTCGGAAGGCTGTGTACCAGGACGGCAGTAGGCTGTAGCGCAGGCGGAGCGCCCCGCCGATGATGGTCGTGTAAGGCTCGCCGATAAGGTACGGCTCACGGCGGCGCGCGTCGATGTGGGCGTGCGCGCGGAAAAAGGGGTAGAAGGCGCCGGCTTGGTACCAACGCGCCAGTAGCTCCTTCCCAGGGTTGCCGAAGAAACCACCGACGTCGGCGCCCGAGAAGGGGAAACCCGAGATGCCCTGGCTGAGGACCATGGGGATTGACGCCTGGAGGTGGCCCCACTCGGCTTGGTTGTCACCGGTCCACATGGCGCCGACGCGCTGCGAGCCGGCGAAGAACGAGCGGGTCAGCACGAACGGGCGGCGGAGCTCGCCGGGCTTCCGGGTGATTAGGGCATGGTAGGTGGCGTTGTGGAACGTCAGGCCGTTCAGGTTGTGCACATCGCGATGCTCCCAGTTTCCGATGTGGAGGTTGTCTTTCGGCATGGTCGTCTCGGGCCCGTTGAAGACAGACGGCTCGTTCATGTCGTTCCAGATCCACGTGTTCTCCATGGTGCCCTTGAATACGTCGTACTTGAAGAGCGACGACCACCATTCCCGCGCAGCAGGGCTGAATGCGTCAATCCAGTGCGACGAGCCGGGCCAGCACCAGCCCTCGAAGATGTTACCCTCCTTGTTCATGACGCCGAGCTCCTTGGACTTCATCTCGGCCACAACGGGGTATTTGTTGACGTTCTTGATGTGCGGGTCAATGATGACCACCAACTTCCGGCCGTGGCTGTCAAGCTGCTCGCCCATGCCGATGGGGTCCGCGAACATGTGCTGGTCCCAGGTGAAATACTTCTTCTCCTCAGTGTACTCGATATCGAGCCAGATGACGTCGTAAGGCAGCTTCGCCTTGTCCATCTTGCGGTCCACATCCTTGACGTCGTCGTCCGAGACGTAGTTCCAGCGGCACTGGTGGTGGCCAAGAGAGAACTCCTGGGGCATAGCGGTGGTGCCGGTGAGCTCACCATACTTGGCGGTCAAGTCCTTGGGGGTGGGGCCGAGCAAGACGAACACATCGAGCAGGCCGCTCTCGGAGAACCAGTGCGTGTGCGTGTTGGTGTTTGACTTGCTGCCCAGAGAAAGAGGGTTCTTGGCGTCTTTGTCCTTGGTGATGTCAACCCACGTCTCGGCGGCGTTCAACCAGAAGACGCCGACGCTGGAATCCTTGCGGTGGGCCTGCATGAAGGGAATGGAGCCGTAAAGGGTCATGGGGCTGTCGAGGATGTACTCGAAAACGTCGGCGTTATACATCCTGTACGGCTCCTGGTAGTTGCCGTCGCCACCGCGGGTCTGCTTGAGCGAAAGGGAGCTGGCGTGGGATGGGATGCCGTAGACATGTTCGTAGCCGACAAACGAGATGTCGAGTCCAACACTCTCCGGGCCGCGAGGCTTGGTATCCGTGTTTCCTCCAAAGGTCTCGTCCCACCAGGTAGATTCGTCTTCGCCCTTGGGCTCTTCCTCCTTCTTCTCCTCTGCCTTGTCCTCCTCAGTCCCTTCGCCCTCCTTATTTTCGGGTTCGGGCTTCTCAATCTTCGGCCGCCAATGTTCGACGTTCAGAAGGCCCTGGTCGTTGAACTTGATCTGGCTGGCGCCGTCCCGCTTGAAGTCGATGCTGAAGGGAGACAGCTTGATGATGGCTTCAAACTTGGAAGCCGGGCCGTACTTGACGGTGAGCTGTGTCTTATCCTCAAAGTCGACCTTGGCGGCTGTGTCGAGAGTTAACCCCCCAACAATCGCCCATTGTTCCGCCTCGTTATACCGCTCTTTCCTCGTCTTGCTGTCATGGCGGAGCTCAATCTCCCCCTTCTGGCGCTTCTCCTCGTCGACCGTGACCCGGGCCGTCCCGGACTCGTGAAAGGATACGGTGATAGGCAACCGGACGGTCTCGCCGCTGTCATTGATGGTCTTCACGATTACGGCTTGATACTGGCCGTTATTGAACGACCCGGAGTCGGCTGCAATAATGTAGGGCGATTCCCACGAGCTCGAGCCGAGGGCGTGATCTGCAAATGCCCGGTTGCGGTTGCAGAAGCCCGATTGGTGGCACTTTTTAAAGTCATGCTCCTTGACGGCGACTATTCTTGTCAATCGCATCGTCCGATGTCAAATTGGCCATGCAGGAACTTACCTGCAGGGGCAAATGTTGCCGAAAGCGCAGACAACAGGCCGAGGTACGCCGTCCATCTCGACGACAGCGGCCCTGCGACGTGCATCTTCAACCCGCGCCCGCCTGTGGCTGTAGACTCGGAGGACCAAAAACAAAAACAAAAGCAAAAGGAGAAAAGACGTTTATATCACTATCGTGTTCATCGAGAGACCTCCAGGGCCGTAGAGGTACTCAATGGCTGGCTGGTTGACAACCAATGTTTATTTCGAAGCATCCGCTTTCCACAGGAGGATCGGTGGAAGCTGTCTCGTCTCACGCTTTCGAAAGCTGGCAGCCCAGATTGGCCACCTTGCAGCGGGCGTGAGCCCCGCAACGCTACCCCTGCCCAGCGGCACCCTTTTATCCGGTCAATAACCCCATAAGTAAATATCTAACAAATGCCAGCGGTTATTGAGTCTTCGAGGAACAGTCCTCGAACGCGATACCACAATCGCGGGCCTTTGTTGGTCTACGGCAGCGACGAAAGGGCCAGGGATTTTCAGGACGCCGAATTGCAAGATGTGAAAACGAATGCGAATGTGATAGTCCAAGGGGCCCAAACATCGTTTAAAACGACCTTGCCGTACCTTGTACAATCATGGTGCTTGACAAAATTGGACAAGGCGGGTTACCTAGGGAACTCATCTCATGCCGGCAAAACATGTGCTGGGAGAAGGCATCGTGGTTCGTCAAGACTCAAGAGCCGCCAACAGAATCCTCGGGAAAGAACAACACATAACCCAGCCATCAAGGTCCATGTTATCCTGAGAGGCTTGTAATTTTGTCCATCTCCGAAATCAATTGGGTTCTGATTGGCTTCATTCTGACTGCCTTGCACAACTCGCAGCTCACCGATCCATAACTAACGCTCAATTCCAACCACTTACTCAACTGAGCGGTTGGCTGTTGGCACGTCGGCGTCACATCGTTGCTGCGTATCCAGGTTGACGACCGGTGAGCACCGCAGAGATGGAGGTGGAGCAACAGATGAGAGAGAGGAGAAAGGTGCCAGTTGGGCAGACAGACGAGCAGCAACAGAGAGGAAGAGGTCGGGCGCCAGCTCGGAGCTTCTCGCACAGCTTCGGCATGTATGGATACCTAACCCTGGGTCTGGCCCTCTGCATGTTCGTTTATTTTTTCCGCAACCCCACACTCGAGCTCCTCTGTGGCCGACCTTCTTGTTCGACTCTCCTCCCGCAACAAAATCCTCCACCTTCTCTCTCTCCGCAACAACCACAAGCTCAACCCATTTCCAAACCAACTACAAACCCCCAAGAATCAGCCACCATGTCGACTTCCGAGCGGACGTGAGTTCCCCTCACTATTTACTCCCAATTCCTCGCCGTTCCGCGAGCCGTCTACCCCTGGATTACCCCGCCATCCGCTCCTTGGGCCACTTTACCCCGCCATTCTAGCAGACGGTGGACTAACATGGCGACAGCTTCATTGCCATCAAGCCCGATGGTGTCCAGGTATGCAGCACTCGGCCCTCCTATTCTTCGAACACTTTGTCTGACATTTTACTAGCGTGGGCTGGTCGGCAACATCATCGCCCGGTTTGAGACTCGCGGGTAAGAGAGCCCGAGTACTGTGTCCAGCCCGTTACTCTATGCTAACTTAGAGGCACAGCTTCAAGCTCGTTGCCCTGAAGCTCGTCACCCCCGGCCAGGAGCACCTCGAGAAGCACTGTAGGATTCCATCCCCCATCTTCTGCCACAATGACGCAGGACACTGATAATCCCAGACTCCGACCTGTCCTCCAAGCCTTTCTTCAAGGACTTGGTCACCTGTATGTCAACCCACCCGCTTTCTCGACCTCCGCCCATGCTAACGCTCGCAATAGACATGAACAGCGGCCCGATTGTTGCCATGGTTTGGGAGGGCCTTGATGCCGTCAAGACTGGCCGCGGTATGGACCCACCTCATCCCCCCCATCCCCCTAAGGAAACCAAAGCTGATATGACCATCTCCAGCCATGCTCGGTGCCACCAACCCCCTCTCTTCGGCCCCCGGCACCATCCGCGGCGACCTGTGCCTGCAAATGGGACGCAACGTTTGCCACGGCTCCGACAGCGTCGAGAGCGCCAACAAGGAGATTGCTCTGTGGTTCAAGGACGAGGACCTCGTCCAGTGGGACTCTGCCCAGAAGGCCTGGATCTACGAGTAAATTCAGCCCATCATAATAACTGGCTATGGAAGCGGGGATAGAGATTTGGGTTTCTTTTTGAAGGCTACCTATTCTTGAACTCGTTAATCCATTACAGAACAAAAAAAGCCCTCCTTATGGCCAACTCTGTTCGAACCATGGCGTGATGTCTCCTTCTGGTCTCGAATTACTTGGATGCACCATGAAGTCTGCGCGGTCCTACCTCCTTGCCATCAGCAGGAGTGGTTGCCATAAGTTGCTCCATGCAGCCCGTTGGCGGTGCTTTAAGCAAGTGATAAACCGGGTGTCGTCGCGGGGACGCGAGTGTGAGCAAAGCAAGATCTAGCGAGGTATTCCGGAATATGAAGTGCTTAAAACGGAGTATCGGCGGGTATCTGGGGTCATGATGAAAGGGACGATTTTGCGTGCTAACATACTTGGAGGAGTTCAGGCTAAGGTATGTCTAGAGATTGTATATCAATATAGGGAGTGGTCTCGAAATCCTTAGAAAGACGAAAGTGTGTAACTTCCAGGTTGTAAGGATTTATTTTCTCGAGGGGGGCGTATTGAGGAAGGAATCGCCATCAAATTCAAAGGCCAATAGTCAACCACGCCCCAAAGCTACAAGTGGTAAGGTACCATGGGACGGAAGGCACGCTATAGCGAACTAAAAACCACAAACCCGGAAGAGTTAACTCAAGTCTGCGTGTTCGTCCTTGAATTTAGTTCTAGTTCTTCCTCTCATACGTCGCTGGTCCTGCTTCTCACATCTCAGCTCCCTTTCCCACCACTGGCACTTTCAACCTACATTAGCGTTTTATTTCGCATCCAATAATCTGACAAAGAACAGCGACATCATTTGATTCGACTTGAGCAGACACCATGAGGCCGACCGAAACCGAGGTTACCGAGGCCGCAGCTCCGGAGCTTGCGATCGCCTCTTATCCACCAGGATATGAACATCTTCAGGACTTCGCCATCAATCGCTTTGGCTGGTCCATACCAATCCCCGTGGACGTTGACAAATACAACTTGACTCACCTCACTGCCAGCGCTATCTGCGTAGCTGTGTCGTGGAAGTCGGCAGTCAAGAGTATGATGGAAGCCGGAACAGTGCCTTGGAGGACCTCCTTTTCCTTCACCGATAAGGAGCGCTAGGTGGTTCCTAGCGGTGCCAAGTAGTGGAGGTGCGTCCTCGTCGGCTTTGCCGTAACGGGCCTAGGTCCAGAACATGGCAGATCTCCCCCGACACCACCTGTTCCAGATGAACCGAGGCTCCAAGCGAACACTACGGGGCCGTGGATATGTAAACCGACTCCTATCCCAGGTCTTGGCTCGAGACAAATTGTCATGGTAGTTGCGAGGGTCGTCAGGCATACGCCTCAGAAATCACGCCTATATGCCTTGTTAGGCCCAAGGAACGGATTTTGCATGCTCTATAGCATCCGGCAAGAAGAATGCTTTTTTCTCCCGACATTCCGTATGCAGCCGGCATCCCTCGGTATCAAAGCCGAGAATCGGAGGAAAGCCTGGAGTATCAATGTCCGCAACATTTGCTGCCGCCAAACAATCCAAACTCCAAGGTCAACATCGGCGACTCGAACCCCGAGTTCAGAAAGTTCAGCTCTGACACCCCAAAGGCAGCGCTTAGCCCCAATCCCCCAGACTCAGAGTTCACCCTCGGCGTCCCAAACCGGAATTTTACCCCAAAGTGTACCGACCACTAAAGAAGCAACAGGCGATTATGGGAGCGAAGATCTGTTCGACTTTGAAGAGTTTCTCTATGGTGAGGGGCAAAAGGGGTTTGAACCTACAAACGGGTGCGGGGACGAAGAGCTATTTAACTTTGAGGAGTTCCTCCGTAGTTATGGCCAAGAGGGCCTCGAACCAAGAAACAAGTGCAGAGACGAGGAGCCATTCGACTTCGAGGAATTCCTGTATGGTCAGGGCCAAGAGGGACTTGATTTCACCGTTTAGGTTGAAAGCACATTCGGGTTGGCCTGCCCTGGGGTACAATGTTGCATGCGCAACAAATGCTTAACTATCGGGATGAATGCACGGGGGTGCCGGTTTTTCTTTTTTCTTTTTGCTTATAGCGGCACGGGAAGCGGCCAACAGTGGGATAGATATGGGAAAGGAGAAACAGGTATAGCAAATGCGAAAGACAACCCGGAACCTGGCATTGGTGCTTGTTTTAGCAATTGTAAGAAAAATACATAAGAGAAACAAATAAAAAGCGAGTTTGATATGATTAGCCGTCTCAATAACGGAATGCCGGCAGCGATTTGTTTTATCTGATCGCGAGTTTTGGAGTTGTTGGCTCAATTCAGGGGGTTTCCATGACCTCAGGGGCTCAGTTGTTAAGGGCAACGGACATGTGGTCCGTGCATTGGGACATCAAACCCCACCATATTCGCGATGCTCACCCTATCCTGTCCTCAGCACGCGACCACGATTACAATCATCACGGATTCCGGCGCAAACCACATCCCTCCACCCACCATTCTGATTTCAACCCCCCCCTTCCCTGCCACGACGACACACCCGCCGCCATGCGCCCCCTCCATCCCTCTCCGCTCCAATTCCATTCCCTCGCGCGCATCCTCCGCCCCCCCACCCCGCGCCGACCACTCCAGAACCCTCTCCGAAAGACAAGACAACGACAACCCTACAGCAGCAACCCCCCGCCAAACCCCAGATCACCAAATCCACAATCATCACCCCCAAAACAAAACCCAACCACAACCCCAACCACAACGCGCCTCGACCGCGTCCTCTCCCGCCTCCCCCGCCGCCTGCAACCCTACGCAGCGCGCCTGCGCGGCGCCCCCGCCACGCACGTCGTCGCCTTCCTGCTCCTGCACGAGCTGACCGCCGTCGTGCCGCTGCTCGGCCTGTTTGCGCTGTTCCACTACACCGAGCACGTGCCGGTCGCGTGGATGGTGGCGCACTACGGGGGGTATGTGAGGGAGGGGGTGGGACGGTTTGAGAGGTGGTTTCGGAGGAGGGGGTTGTTTGGGTTTGGGTCTGTAGAGAAGGAGGAGGGGGGTGGAGGGGGGGAGGGGGGTGTGGGTGCCGATGCGGTGCTGTCGCGGTGGGAGGCTGATCCTAAATATCGCGTTCTTGTCGAGGTTGGGTTGGCGTACGCGCTGACCAAGGTGCTGCTGCCGGTGCGGATTGTGGGGAGCGTGTGGGCAACGCCGTGGTTTGCTGGAGTTCTGGGGCGGTTGAGGAGTGCTTTCAGGAGGGGGTGATTCCCCGTTGAGGGAGCGTGTCTAGAGATCGGGCCATAGTCGTAAACTCGGGCCCTACAAGAGGCGATGTCAAAGTTGCTGGTGGTGATAGGTTTGAACCCACTCGAGGCCAGGAAGGATCGGAGGTCATGCGAATTCCATTCCACGCTTCCACCAGTCCGATATACCCCTCTTCTCCATGGCGGCAGCAAATTCCTTGACGGATTCGACCTCGAACAGCCCAGTTCGTTCTTCCGGCCGAATCACCTTCGACTCTATTGGCGCAGGTTTTAATGCCAGCTGGAAGTCTTTGTAGCGGAGTCTCTGCATTGGGGTCAGCTCGTAGCTCTCTTCAAATTGTGTTTCTGGGCCCTTACTTGGACAGTCCCTACCCATTCCTTCACACTTTCCTCGCCGCCTTTGCAGTACATGATGCCCGGACACCCTCCGCTCCGAAGAAGAGCATAGCAATCAAACTTGCTTGCTGCCTTGCGAAGATGAGCAACCTTCTTGCGGGAGGTGATGTGGTGGGTCCGAATTAGGGCGTGAAAGAGTGGCATGGCGAGCTCATGGTTGGCTGAGACTCAACAACGATGAACGGGAGTGAAAACACACAAGGAAGGGAAAAGAGCAACAGTGTCGCATCCCACATGACACACGGCCCGTGTCATGAGAGGAGGTTTGGCTCTTGACTTTATCTAGGACAGCATGTGAGTAAAATAGGAGTCCAATGAAACACATAATTACCCAACTCCCCAAAGCTTAAGAAAAAGATCATCACTCGGCTGAAATAAATACTGACTATAAACTGGTTAACACTTGTTGCGAATCTACTCACAGTATGTAAACCCTCACACACACGGTGTCCACCCCCTCACGTGCCCACGTGTTGAGATGCCTCATGCCAAGCCCCTTTCATCGAATACAACGCGACATGATCACGCCTGCCTTGAGCGAATTCATAGCACAGCCGAGCAAGCGAATTGGCCCCGAGGCCTCACTTGGCTCCCGTTAGATGTCGTTCTCTCAGCCAAGAGGTCTGCTGCCTGCCAACAACCCCCAAAATATAACATTGGCTTCTCAGCAACTTTCTCGATGCTCATCTTTGTTTATCCGACATCGACACGTGCTGGCGGAAAACCATGCCCTTTCTCTTTTCCTATGTCTGCGACCTGCTGCAACGCCTTGAAGATAATCGACTCGCTCGATCAGGTTTGAAAAGCAACGCGGTTATTATTCAGGAGTGGTTCAGGGGACACCACGGATTGCTCCACCGCGACGACCACAACAGCGCTCCGCTCCTCTCTGCCCTTCTACCAGAGAAGAGGACCGACAGGGTATATTTCATCCGGGAAAAGAAGTTACAGGCCATCATCGGACGTGCGCTCGGCTTGGGCCGGTCTCGTATCGCAGAGTTGGGAAGATGGACCAACCCTGAGGCGGCCGCCGATTTGGCCGACTGTGTTGAAGGGATCCTGAAGCAGACGGTATGTTTATCTTTAATTAGCTATTTATTGGGAATACATGAGATTGACAAGGTCCAGCCAAACCCCGGTTTACCCACCCATATGTCTGTGACGGTTGAGGAAATCGATGGGCTCCTCCACAGCATCGCAGCTGCCTGCCGCTTCAGCTCACCTTCTGTGCGCAGGTCAGCTGAAAACCGGCCCGCTGACCGGGAGCTCTCCCTTGGAGAACTGTACCGGCGGCTGTCGGCTAGAGATGCAAAATGGCTCACTCGGCTCCTCCTGAAGAACTACGAGCCGGTTGTTCTCGACCAGAGCGTCGTCTGTGCAGGCTACCACCCCCTACTTCCAACTATCCTGAAAGTCCAAGATGATCTGGCTGTTGCTGGACGTATCCTTGACACCCTCAAGCTGGACCGGACCGTCACAGGCAAAAGCGAACTGGCAGAGTATCTGAAGCCTACTCTAGGAGTCAAGATTGGCCGTCAGATGTGGATGAAAGGGCGGAGCATCAAGCACTCCTTGTCCATGGTCCAAGGCCGAATTAGCTGCGAGGAGAAGATGGACGGAGAATATTGCCAGATCCACATCGATCTCAGTAAAGGCCGCGACTGCATCCAGATCTTCTCAAAGAGTGGTAAAGACAGCACAAAAGACCGCATAGCCCTGCATGAGTATGTTGCTTCCGGTTTTATCTGAGCTTGGGGGTTACTGACGGATGACAGCTCAATTCGAAAGTCGTTGCAGCTTGGACACCCATCTTGTCCTTTGAGACATGGCTGCATCCTAGAGGGCGAACTTGTGGTTTACAGTGACAAGCACCACAAAGTCCTGGATTTCCACAAGATCAGGAAGCATGTCTCTCGGTCTGGATCTTTCCTGGGGACCGACAAAGACTCGCAGCCCCACCCTTGGGAGCATCTCATGATCGTTTGTTACGACCTGCTGATGATAGACAACGAATCGCTCCTCGCTGTCAAGCACTCGGAAAGGTTCCAACGCCTCAAAAGTGTCATCACCCTAATTCCCGGTCGATCTGCATTAGTGAAGCGAGAGCTCATTGACTGTGGCAGGCCGTCTGCTGTCTCAGACCTGCGCCGCGTCTTTGCCAAATGCATCACAGCACGAGGGGAGGGACTTGTTCTCAAAGCGGACGACCCCTACTTTGACTTTAGCACCCAGTGGCGGCCTTTCAGCTGCTGTGCCATAAAGCTCAAGAAAGAGTACATTGGGCATTTTGGGGACATTGGTGACTTTGCGGTCGTCGGTGCGCGGTTTGATGCAGCAAAGGCTCGCACATACGGCATCCCCGGGCTCAAATGGACGCACTTCTATGTGGGTTGCCTCGACAATAAAGACGAGGTGCAGCGGTTTGGTAAACGACCCGTGTTTGTTGTCACAAATGTGGTCGAACTGAATGCCAAACAGCTTGCAGCGTTTGTCTCATCTGTGAACCCGGAATCAATCCGGCCAGAGGAGAACACGGCTATCTCTCTGCGCATAGAACCCGGGATCGATCTTGGGAAGCGCCCGTCGTTTATATTTCCCACACCCCCAGTGTTCGATCTCCGCTGTTTTTCATTCGACAAGGAAGGCAACACTGGTTTCTGGAGCCCAAGGTTTCCATCTGTCAGCAAAATTCACTGCGACCGAACTTATCACGACACCATCTCCTTCGAAGAACTCCAAGAGATGGCGGCCAACGAACGGAAGTCACCCCCTCCAGAGGACAGCCAAGAGCTCCTGGGCTGGATTGCAGCTCTGGAGAACTCCGAACCCAAACGCACTGCCGACACAGCAAGCCAAGCGACCATTTCCACCGTCGCCAACTCTGTGGCCCAGTCGTCCCAAACACCGAAACCCGGTAACCAGCAGGGTTCGGCTGCGCAATCTTCGACGACAGAAAACATGTCCGATTTTGCGAGACAGACCCAAAGCGCGCACGTCGGTGTGCAGATGACCCAGACGACATCCACTGTCGCCCAAGAACTCGAGCCGGCAGCTTCAGCCCGAACCGACAGCCAATCGGCGACTACACTGGGCCGGAAGAGGCCCCTCGAGCCGTCAACGCAGAGCAGCATCCCCGAGAGGAGCAAGATCCAGCGACGGTCCAGCGACCAGGTCGCCTCTGCCGCCTCTCTCCCCGGCAACGACGAGGCCGGTCCCTCGGTCAGCCAGCCGGAGCCCTCCGCGGGCACCCACATAAGCCCGTCGCGGCGCAGTGCCGCAGTGATCCTGCCCACTCTCCGACCATCGCTGCGGGCCGAGGCGACCGTTCCTTCGAGCTCCGGCCCTAGCCACGAGGCCAGCATGGGCAGCATGCTGGAAGGGCTCCGGCCTTCCCTACAGGCATCGATCTCGTTCCACGAGACCATGCTGCGGTCGTTTGCTGCTCGGGCTCCTTCGACGCCGGCGGTGACTAGTTCTGCGGAGGTCCAGGAGGCAGGGTCCCAACCTTCCGAGCAGCCCGCCGAACAAGGCGCCGACCAGCCCGACCAGCCCAACCAACCCGACCAACCCGCCGACCAGACTGCCGACAACACAGCTGACAACACCGCCGTTGGGACGGCATCTCCCAAGTGCCGATACCTCGGCGACACGTGCGAGATCCTGGGCTACTCCATCCTCGTGTCACCTTGTGTTGCCGACTTTCCCTGGGTCACAGACAACTTGCTCGGGGGTCACGGCGTGACCGAGTTCCTCCGCGACCCCAAGGAGTGGCCAAACGCGCAAGCCGGCCGGGCTGCTCCGAGCGGCACCCCCACCCCCGCGCCCTCCGGCAGCTCCAGCTCCCGCCGCCGAACCAAGATCATCATCGTCGACCGCCGGCGTGAGCAGCCCACCATCGATTTCCTGGACTCGGTCGAGGCGGCCGACCTGAGGCGGCGCAACGGCGAGCGCGAGTACGTGCCCATCTACGACTGGCACGTGCTCGAGGAGATCCGCGCCGAGGAGAGGAGGCTCTACAACACCCATCAGACGCCCGGGCATCAGTTCGACTTGGCCCATCAAGCTAGCATCTGGAGGCGGTTCTGGATTGGGCTGGCTTAAGCGGGAGGAGTATCCATCGGGGCGTGGTTGACGACGGACTGTGACCCTAACCCCGGATCTGTATCTGGTGGTGGAGCGAGCCGTCGGCCAGAACCGGCTTGGCACGGGGGCGATCGCGTGGGGCCAAGATTACCGCGGGGTGCACGGATTTCTGGTTGAGCCGTTTGTCTCACCTTCCTCAACACCACCAATTATCATTCCAGAATAGCATTGAGAGCGTGTGTTTCCCCGGGTCCTTTGGGCAGAGACACTCGTGCGTCAATCCATATCAAACCTACTGGCTAAGAGAGGAGAGGCGTCACGAGCACGCAAGCCGGAGTGTGACATGCAGTGCGTAACATTTCTAGTGGCTATTGACCGTTCTTTTCCTGATCTGCGCTACGGTGTGAAACATGACTCCTTGACCTACCTAGGTAGGTAATCTGTGTACATGCACTGAAGATATCCTGCCTAGGATCTACACAGTACTAGTAGGCCGATCTAGGCCCCTCTCCCCCGGTGACCATGCCGATTTCCGCGGGGTGCCGCGAGTGGGTCCGGGACTAACTCCCACACTCCCGCCGACTCGGAGCTGAGCCGATGATATTTTTTTCCTCCGTTTGACCCAAACCCAGGTCCTTGAGTCATATTTCCTGTCTTTCTCTCTCTTCCGTGGTCGCTCTTTTCAGATTGCCAAACCTCACAAGTGGTGACCGTGAGACAATTTTTCGACCTCCCAACGGGAGAACCAACAATCGCTCTCTCTCTCTGTCACGATGACATCGGAGGCCAAGGTTGATGAGACGACCCCGGGGAGCGACCCGGAACGGGACTCCGTTCATGGCGCCGCTCCCGATGCCCCCGCCGGCCGATGGGCCCGCCTCCGGCGTATCCTCCACAAGCTTGTCGTGCTTGGCCGCGTCGAGGTCCGCGGTATCACCCCAATCCCCGTCAAGGAGCGGACTGTTGAGAAGACGGTGAACATCTTTACGCTGTGGTGGTCCATGAACACGAATATTCTGGGGTGAGTAAACCAGGGTGTCTGGATCAAAAAAGGGTTGTGGTCTAACAGTCAACAGCATCACCTTCGGCATGCTTGCCCCGGTTTATGGGCTCAATCTAAGGAACAGCGCCTTGGTCATCCTGTTCTTTACGCTGTTGACGACTATCCTTCCGGCCTATCTATGCACGCTGGGCCCCAAAACCGGCATGCGGCAGATGCTGCAGGCGCGGTACAGTTTCGGGTAGGTTGGCCCTTGACCCTCTAACCATCATTGACCCCCTGTTGACGCTCTTCAGCCGCTACCTCGTCACGATCCCCGTCCTGCTCAATCTCGCCACCCTCACGGGATTCTGTGTCATCATGGCCGTCATCGGCGGGCAGTGCCTCTCGTCGGTCGCCGACGGCAACCTCAGCGTGACGGTGGGCATCGTCATCACGGCCATCCTGACGCTGGGCATCTCCTTCTGCGGGTTCACCGTGCTTCACATTTACGAGCGCTACGCCTGGATCCCCGCCATCATCTCCATCATCGTCGCCGTCGGCACCGGCGGCAAGGAGCTGCGGAACCAGGTCAGCTATGACGCGCCCCCGCCGGCCTCGTCCGTGCTGTCGTACGGCATGATCGTCGCCTCCTACATGGTGCCGTGGGCGTGTCTGTCGTCCGACTTTACCACCTACATGAAGCCGGATACCTCCTCGTATGTGCCCCCCCGCCCCCCCTTTCCATCCCACCTCACCCCCACCCCATACCCCTCGCCGCACAACCCTCTCTCTCCAACCCAAACCCCCTTAATCTCCCTTCCCATCCCAGAAGAACACCCCCCTAACTCACCCTCACAACAGCACCAAAATATTCACCTACTCCTACCTCGGCCTGGCGACCCCCACCATCCTGCTCATGACGCTCGGCTCCGCCATCGGCAACGCCATCCCCAACGTCCCGCACTGGCAGGCCGCCTACGACCAAACTCTCGTCGGCGGCGTGCTGGCCGCCATGCTGGCGCCCGCCGGCGGCTTCGGCAAGTTCCTCGTCGTGCTGCTCTCCTTCTCCCTGCTGGGCAACCTGGCGGCTACGTCATATAGTGTGACGCTGAACTTGCAGTTGTTGCTGTTGCCGCCGCGGGTGTTGGCGCGCGTGCCGCGCTATGTGTTTTCGTTGGTTTTTGCCGCGGTGGTGATCCCCGTAGGGATTCGGGCGGCGGCGGATTTCTTTGTGAATTTGGAGAATTTTGTGGCGCTGATTGGGTATTGGAGCTCGGCGTTTTTGGCGGTGGTGTTGGTGGAGCATTTTGTATTTCGCGGGGGGGATTGTGCGGCGTATGATCCGGAGGCGTGGAATGATGCGAAGAGGTTGCCGTGGGGGGTGGCGGCGCTCGCCGCGGGGGTGTTGAGCTTTGGGTTGGTCGTGCCGAGCATGGCGCAGGTGTGGTGGACGGGGCCGATTGCAGAGACGACGGGGGATATTGGGTTTGAGTTGGCTTTTGTGGTGTCGGGGTTGTTGTATCTGCCGTTGAGGTGGGTGGAGAGGCGGTGGGCGGGGAGGTGATAGGGGGTAGTGATTGAAGGGGGTGTGGGAAGGCATGGCGTTGGAAGAAAGCTAGGGATATTAATGAGGGGGGTGGATGGGATTTGGGAAGTAGAACTGAGTTCAACGGATACCCTAGATGGCGTTCAACATGCACATTACTTCATACCCTTACTACCCTCGCAGATCCAAGATTACCAAACTTGTCGCCAGCGCCGGCAGCAGTGGAACTGACAACTTGCCCCCTTCCAACTTCCACTCGACGGTTCCCCACGGCGTGCTCTCGATGGCGGTGGTATTCGGCACCAAGACCGCCACCCCTTCCACATCCACATAACCCCCATTGACCACGCTCACCAACATCCTCCCATCCACCACCCAGCCCGCCACATCCACCACCTCGGTCCCCTCCGCCTCCACCTCCAACACGCTCGGTCCCTCCCCACCCACCACAAACCCCAACACCTCCCCCCTCGTCAACACCCTCGCCAACTCCCCATGCGCCGCCGCCAACACCGCACTCGTCGGCCACACCCACGAAATCACCCCCTTCACCCCACGATTCACCGCCAACAGCACCATCACCCAACTCTCGCCAACCCCCGGATCCCGTAGCCAATAATCCTCCCCATGAAACGCCTGCGGATTCAGCAGCACCGTCTTGGGCCACCGGCCCAACCACGCCCCAAACCCCCTCCACGCCTCCAGCCGCCGCGGCACGTCCCACACCGTCCCCTCACAGTTATCACACCCGCAGTCCCCATACGTAGCGTTGCACGCGGTGCCCCACTTGGAGTGCGTCGCGTTGATCCCGATCGGGTAGACGTCCGCCATGAGCAGGTCGGCGGGGGCGGAATAGGGGCCGAAATAGTAGTCGGCGCAGTTGAGCGTGATGGCGACCGGGTGGTAGGGGTCGAGGGCGTGCAGGAGGGTGGTGGCCGCCGAGGGGAGGTGGAAGGGGTCTTGCCAGCCGTCGGGCTCGTCGGCGGTCCAGTAGGCGAAGAGGCTCGTTGTGGAGGGGTGGTGGGGTGGGGGGAGGGAGGCGGGGATGAGGGTGGTGTTGCGGTAGATGGAGCGGAGGGTGTACATGTAGGGGAGGTTGGTTTCTTGAAAGGGGGGGGGGGGTTAGCTTGGTTGGGGGGGGGGGGGGGGGGGGGGGGGGGGGGTAGGGGGTTGGAAAATAAAGTTGGGTTTTGGCGGGTTGGGAGGGGGGGATACGGTTGTACATACGAGACATGTATTCCAACATTGGGCCCGAGTCATTGAAGCTGGTCAGAGGGGTCATGGCATTCAGGCCGAGTGCGGCGTACTGGTCGATTAGGGATGAGTCGTTGTGCCGGAGGAAGCCGTCGTAGGAGGCATAGAAGCCGTAAGGGAAGAAGGGGGTGAAAGTGTGGTTTGTGGACGGGTTACTGAAATAAAGGCCGCCACGGAGGTTATCGATGCGGGTCACGCTGCCATCGGGCTTGGAGGGCAGGTAGAGGAGGGTGGTGGTGACAGTCCAAGCTGGGGTGCCATCCTCTGGGGCACCGTAGAGGACCACTTCGATGGGAGTGAGACTCGGTTTTATACGAGCGAGTTCGAAGCGAAAGATGTTGCCGGTGGTGTTGACGGGGACTGTGTTCTGCACAAGGGGCTCGTCGTCCTCGGCAACATTGATGGAGAAAATCAGCCGGTTGGCCCACTTGGATGAGCTGGTTGTGTTTGGCCAGGGAGTGCCGTGATACATTGAAAACTCGGCATTGACAACAAACTCGCCGTACTCTTCGTTGTCGAGGTAGAGGCTGTACCGCGGCCGAAACAGGACATGGAGGAGAGGCTGGCCAGGGACAAGGGGGCTTGGAGGCGGGAGGGTCTGTCCGCCGGGGTCAAAGTTTGGGTATCTGGGCCAGTTAGGAGATATCCAAGGTATCCGGAGTCGCAATGTAAGTACTCACCCAAGTTGATAGACCTTCCCGCACCATCGTGGCCAGTCGGGATGCTGCCCTGTTTGCTGACTACGGACGACGATGATGACTGCCGTCAGGCAGAGCCACCAGAAACGAAACCAAGCCATGGTTGCGGCCGTGTTGAGTAAGAGGAAAGGAGGGCGGGGGGGTTACACGACTTTTGAAGCTGGGTTTTCCCATCCCTTGGGACCCCGCGCATCCTGATATTGCTGCACGCGCCCAATTTATCCGCAATGTAGAAAGACGGTTTGAGACATGTCCCGGCAACAGCCGTGGGGAAGTCTGAATTGAATCTTGAACCCCATTCATACCTAACTAGAACTAGATGTGCAGACCTTGCTTGGGAATGACCAGATTCAGACGGTCAAATTCAGACAGAAGACAGATGCGGAGGGGCCATGTTGGCGAGCACCACTCTGTATCCGTCCGAATCCTCAAAAGTCTTGCCACATCCGTCCCAATAAGGGTTGAAGCTCGCAACGGCTGGGAAGCCACTTCCTTCCATCTGCGCCACTGCCCTGGCGTGACTGTCGGTATCTGGGAGATAGAAGATCAGAAGGTTGTCCCGAGTGGGCGCCCGGCCGACGACGTGACCTCGGGTCCGCGTGAACTCAAGGTGATAGCCAGCTGACTTGTGACCTAGCATGACACCGTCAAAGCCTTGGTGGTCTACAAAGCTGCCTAAGACCTCGAACCCGAGACCATCACGATAAAAAGGCAACAGTTTGTCGATGTCATCTGTTGGCCGTGCAATGCGGATGTGGGCTGCAGCGAGTGCCATAGTTGAGTTTCATGTGATGGCCGAGGCCACAATGACGTCGGTTCCGTAATGGAGTCTGGAATGTACCCTTCTAGGCTTCTCTTAATGAGGTCGAAGTTTAAAAAGTAAGAACCGTGCCTGGCCCCAGCATCATCCCCGCATCACCAGGGACTCCCCACAAAGATAATCGAATCGAGGACCCTTGCACGTGCCCTTGCCGCCTTTGGGAAGGATCCGGGAGTTGCCAAGTTAACCGAGACACGCTAAAACACACCCGGCCCATGCGACCGCCAAGGGCCCGCCAACAGATCCGATCGGCAGCCAGCCACTGCCAGCCCTGCAGCACGGCCTCGTTGGACGCGCAAGCATCCCAGTGCGACCACCACCAACAAAACTCAGCTGTGTCAGCGGTTTTTACTGTTCCTCGAATAACTACCTAACCAAACCAGTCCTTCGTTCTCGCCCTCATCAAATCGCCAACCACATCGGCGGCGCCATTTTACCACCAAACCCATTAATCTTGAACAAAGACAACCACCTACCGAACCTGGACCCGCCATCACTATCGCTATCGCTATTTCTCGTCCATACGCAAAGTTACCACAAACCGTACCTCGAAACAACCCGATAGCGTACAGACCAACACGATGGCCCCTCCGGCCCTTCGCCCTGCTATAGCTACTCGGGCCTGGCGTGCTGCCGGCCCCCACGTCGCCCGTGCCTCCGCAGTAGCCACCTCCGCCGTCATCTCCCGCCGGGACCTGACAGTCAACGACGCCCAAAGAGTCACTCTCGGCGTCATCGCCGCCTACGTCGTCGCCATCGCTCTCTTATGGAACCTCCCCTACATCAAGTGGATTCTATGGCCGTTCAAGGTACGCCTGTCTCTCTCCCCCCACCGCCACACCACCACACCCTTCCCCCTCCCCCTCCTACCCCACCATCCTCCCCAATCTCTCCCAACACCACTAACCCCCACAACCCCACAGATGCTAGTAATCGCCTTCCACGAGTTCGGCCACGCATTCGCGTGCGTCCTCACAGGCGGGCGCGTCAAGTCGATCAGCCTGGACCCGCGCGAGGGCGGCGTGACACACATGCAGGGCGGGCGCAACGCCATCACCCTCCCCGCGGGCTACCTGGGCTCGTCGCTGATCGGCGCGCTGCTGACCTTTGCCGGGTTCAACATCAACGCGAGCAAGATCGCGAGTATTGTCGTGGGTGTGTGTTTCCTGCTGACGCTGTGGTGGGGCCGCCGCGATTGGTTGACGATTGGGACGGTGCTGGCTGCGGTGGGCTTGTTGGTCGGGTGCTGGTTTATTGCCCATGCTGAGGCGCTGCGGTTCGTGGTGCTGTTTATTGGCGTCATGTCGTCGCTGTATAGCGTTTGGGATATTGTAAGTCTCTTGCCTTTATCCCCCCCTATTTTTCTGTCTGCGTGATGTGGGGTGTGCGTGGCACTAACAACCGAACAGTGCGACGACCTCATCCTGCGCAAAGTCAACAGTTCCGACGCGAGCGTCTTCGCCCAGCGCTACGGCGGGTCCTCGCAGTGCTGGGGCGTCATCTGGTCCATCATCTCGCTGGGCTTCATGGTCGCCGGCATCATCGCCGGTATCGCCGCCTTCCCGCAGTCCGCTGCCCAGCAGAGAGAGGACTCGCAAAACTTCATCCCGACCAAGTTCTAGGCCGGTTCCGTTCGTTTTCAGCAGCATTGGTTGGTTGGGTTTCCGAATTAAGCGGGTGTCCGTGGCCGGATGAATTGAGGGCATGGGGGGGGGGGGGTTTGGTGCCAGGCGTTGACAATCGGATGGATGGATTTAATGACTTGATACCCGGGGTACTTTTCCTAGTGGTGAGCTGGATGCGGTGAAGCTTCCAGGTCGGTCTCTTCTGTATGATAACCAGATCGGTGATGACGTGACCGTCGTGTATGACTTTGGGAGTATGATAGGACACCTAGCTAATGGTTCTGGCGGATGGAGAAAGCGTAGCATAAATACCTATCCATACCGGAGGGAATAGCATGTCCTCCCATCCCTTACTTGAACCTCTGGTAAATCTCGACATGGGCGTTCGCTTGTTTGGACACGATGGCGAATTCTAGTAAACATGCGATAAAAAAAAGTCGTTAACTACATGGGGAAAATATCTGCTCCGCTGTAGGTATGTAGGTATGCCGTAACGCGAGCCGGCAAAAACTCCAAAAAAAAAACCTCCCTGTGAAGATAAATGAGCCCCTTTCCACGCCACCCCCTAGCGCTCCGTGATATATCCCACCTCGACAACACCCATGCGACCGTCTGGTTGCCCTTACCGTATATTTCTCGCTGACCACATGTGGCTCATCCACCCTCCTCCCAACCGAACTGAACCCTCGCCACAGCCCTCCTTCTACCGAATATTTTGCACCCGCGACGCCAGCGAAGCTCTATACCGTAATTGATAAGGAAACTAGATGCCGGATCCCCTGAACCCACCAAACTCCATCCGCTATAAACATGCCCAAATCCTCCAATGCGGCTCGACCCCCAGAGCACAGCAGCTTTGACGTAGCATGACGGCTGATGAACCGTCTACTCCCCCTTGACTTTAAACACCTTGCCTGACTTCTCAAAAAGCGCCTCGAACGACGTTTTGATCTGGGTCCTTGGACAGCCCGCGTGACTCGCCGCGAACAACTCGATCACGCCGACCTTGCTCAGCGTCGGCATGGAGCGCACAAGGTCCTTTAGCTTTTGCTGCATGTCTAGTGGCAGCGGCTGCTGCGACTTTTTGGTGCCTGCCGCTGCTGTTCCTGGGTTGAGGGCCTGGAAAGCATCTGCCGGTGTCGGGGGCGGCGCCATCGGCTTAGCATGGGCGTCCTGGGCAGAACTCGAGGAAGCGGAAGCAGTCGTGGCAGATGCGGACGTGGATGCGGTTGCGGCGGAGGATTCGTTACCTGCGCTGGTTTTCGATTTGGGCGACTCCCAGTAGCTGGTCGAGAAAGGGTCGATGCTGTGATGGTGTTCGAGCGGTTCTGCAGAATGTCAATAGGTCGATTCGGGAGAAGGACAAGATTCCACGGCATACCTAGAACAAATTCCAGTCGGTATTTGTATAACGTCGGCTCAGCCGAGCTCCGTTTACGGTTCTCCCAACATGGCCCAAAGCTCTCCGGTTCCATACCCGCAGCGAAGCCCCTCCTCGCAGGGCCGGTATCTTCGGAGTCATCCAAGAAATCCTCCATGTCTTCGTCCAACTCCAGATCCTCCTCGTCATCATCCAAGTCGTCCACGTCTTCGCCCTCCTCTTCTTGCCACTCCGCCTCGGAATCATATTCGTAGTCCAGGGGAAGAATTTTGGAGACCGGTTTCCGGGCGAGTTTCTGGAGGCTTTTCACGCCCGGTGGTAAGCCGCTGATGGTGCCGATGTATGGTGGCCTCACGTCTTCCCGAAATTTGATCGACTTTACCGGCACCGACTTCAGGACCTCCAGGGTATGCTTCATCTGCACGTTCTGTGATCCCGTGGTGGGATCGGCGGGAGCGCCAGCGGAAAGACCCTCAAACTCGCTCATGAGTTTCTTGACGCTTGGATAGACACGCCCACGGCGGACTTTGTACGGGATCTGAAGCGCTTCTAGCGGCTCAAAGGTCGTTGTTGAATGTTGACGTTCGCCTGAGAGGTACTCGTCCAAAATCTTGGTTTTGGCCTCTCTCGTCTCTTCGTCCATCTGTAGGGAGTTCCTGGCCAGTTGGACATGTTCTTTGATGAAGAATGGCTTGAACATTTGATCATAAAGTGACGCCTCCTTGGCCTCCTTCTTCGCTGTGGCACCGGTTGACTGGGTGTCGTCGGATTTGGAAGCAGCCTCCTTCTTCGGGGTTATTGCCGTGCGGTTGAACATGCTGGTGAGCCTCATCTGACTGCGTGCCTTCTTGGCTTCTTCCTCCTCTTTCTCGCGCTTCTTTTTCTCACGCTCCTCTGCGCGCTGCTTCTTTTCTTGCTCCTTTTTCTCACGCTCCTCTGCCCGCTGCTTTTTTTCTTGCTCTTTTTCTGCCTTGTCGGCGGCAGCCTTGGCAGCTTTCTCCTCGGCCTTTGCGGCCTTTTCTTGCGCCTTCAGCTTCTCAGCCTCATCCTTCTCGAGCTTCTTTTTCTCCTTTTCCTCATCCCGTTTGCGCTTCTCAGCATCCCTAGCTGCCTTCTCTTCGGTGGTTAACCTCTTCTTTTTTGGTGGCTCACCGGCCGCCGCTTTCTGTGCTGATGATTTGGCTATGGCCGAAGTAAGTTGTGCTGGTGTGGCGGGTGTCGAGAGATGTGCTGGGGCTGGGCTAGGGGAAGGCGAGTTGGCGCTGAGTGGGCTGCTTGCCGGTTCGCTCAAGCTCGAACTGGATTTTGCCTGAGGCGAGGCCGGAGCCCCGAAGGAGGTGCGTTGAACATCGTTTTCTTCTAGATTGCAAAACCCCAGGGTCAGTCTATATCATCTTCAGGGTGGGCGGCTACTATTTACTGTCGCTCAACGAATGGTCGGTCTGGAAGTGATCCGAGTCCCTGAAAGCTGCAGGCCCGCACGACTCCGGGTTGAGAAAATCGCCATGGGATCTTTTCCGGCTAGCCAGATCCCGATCTTGAACTTCGGTCGACATGGCGACGAGAGACATCGAGATTAGTTCCCCGCGATATATAGTGTCCCAGGGAAATAGAAGAGATCGATGAAAGTGGCTGGTGCGAATCGAACTAAGAGATTGGCTAGATCATAGCCACGGGTCGTCCTCGAGGATGTTGTTGTCGTGAATTGCTCAATGGGCTGGTCGCTGTTTGGGGTTTGAATGTGGAGTTGCGTTGCCTTGACGAGGGGGCTGAAGGCAGCGATTGGTAAATTGAGCTGTGGTGCGAGCCTGGGGAAACGCGTCTCGGTCGCGACTCCCCTTATTAAACCGTGCGCGTCACGCGTCACTCAGTCAGTCGGTGTGTGGCGCACAATGTGGCTGAATCTTTAAAACATCCCAAATCGAGCTTGCCTGCACTTTCCCAACACGGTATCAAAGCAAGCACAAACTTTCATCCAAACCCCTTCACAGAACAAAACTGCGATCTAGAAGGTGTTCAGAAGCTTCTGTGTGGTTCTAGTGAGGAAATCACTTCCACACTGTCCTCCAAGCACATCCTCTCAACTGAATCAGGAACCAACAGAGAGGGCGGTCTCACACCTGTTTCATTACAGTGTATAGCAGTATTAGCCTCCAATTCATCCTCACTACCATCCAGTTTAAGCCCAAGTCCTCTCTTAGGTTGGGTTTTCTTATCACTGGTGTTTATTATATGCTGTATATGTGTCTTTGATCTAACCCGGCTCCAAGCCAGAGTCTGTTTACTATCACACCGTCCCTTGGCTGTGTTTCGTGATGTAAAATATTACCTCAGCACCATATTTCCTGTGCAGTCTTAATTCGTCATTGATGCAGCGAGAGAGGGATATATGGAACGTAGCATGTCAGCATGCCAGACACAATTCCTGCCTTCACAGCCCTGTGGATAATTCCCCTACTATAGCACAGGTTTGCCCTTTCACTGGGTGACTGGATCTCGGCAACACATCGCTTCCACAAGCGGTGGGCCGGACAAGAGCAAGCGCGCTTATATGTAGGATCGACTTCCAAGGCCAGGGTGTGCCCAGATCACGAGGTTAACCCCAGACTCACGAGGGATCGCCCTCCCGGTTACCAGGAACGAACCATTTCCGTGTCGTCATCGGTTCTTCGGGCCATTCCCAACAACTCCAGGAGCCTTGACCAAATAAGCAGGAAACAATAACCGATGGCTGTTGGTGATGTGGTGATGAGCAAGGGCAATAGCAATTCTCGGCATTGATTGGTATCTTAAAGTTCAGATAACCTCCCCCGTCCGGCATTCCATGCATTTTCGAGTCCTTTTGACCATGCCCCAGTCCATGACCCTGTCCCCGTTGGGTATTATTACCTAGACAGGCAAGCCGCGTCCCAGCAACGAGCGGCTATGTGAGAAAACGAAAACAGGCAAAAGGTTGTAATGACAGAGTCGAAGCGATCGTAAATGCCCAGCTAAACCCTCCCAACGCCAGAATGTGCATCGTCTGAAATGGCCGGATTAGATGTTTGATGTAGATGTATGAGGAAACAAAGGCGGGATGGTCAACAGGCGGCCGAGGAAACCCTGCCCCTCTTCGCCGTCTTGACGATTGCCGTCTCTTAATCGGGGTTCGCAATGTACAGCCGGCCGGCGGATAGCGTCGTCGTGCGCTCGTCCACACTCCCTCGCCGCTTCAGTTCGTCGACGGTCTTCACGCTCTTCTCGCGCGTCACGGTGGCGTGCTTCATGCTGTTGTTGGCCAGGTGGGCCGCGTTGCCAGTGAGTTCAGGAACGTTGTCCAACCGCTCGCCGCTGCTGCCGCTAGCAAAGCTCCTCGCCTTCCCACTAGCCGCGTCGCCCACCGGGGGCGTCCGGTCGATCGGCTTGTCCTCGACCAAGGACCCTGTCCGCTCCGGGGTGCCGCCAGGGCTCCACCTCGTAGCCCCACCTGCAGGCCCGAGGCCTCCGGACGAGCGGTACGCCATCGCCCTCCTGCCGCTAGCCGTGCTGTTCCGCCCGGAGCTGCCGGTCCTCCGATGGTGCAGCTTCTGAATGGCCACGTCGTCCTCTTCGCTCTCCTCGCCCTCCACCTCGGTGGCGCTGAGACGCAGGGGAACACCACCAACACCGTTGAGGTTGCTGCCCGGCGAATAACCGATGACGGTGGGCTTGCCGTGATGCCGGATCTTGGCCGCCACCTTCCCACCGGTAGAGCTAAGACCGGTCGAAGTGCGTCCCGCGCCGACTAGCCCTAGACCGAGGCCGCTGCCGGCCCCCACGATCTCGCGGTTCGCGCGCATCTTTGCGGCTTTCTGCTGGGCCTGTAACCTGGGGTCTTCATACTGCGCGCGGTCGCACCAGACCGTGGCTTTTTGTTTTCGGAGTAGCGCGACGTAGCTGGACTGCGGTGAGCCGCCGGAGCGGCTTGACGTGGATCTCCTTACGTCTAACGTAGGCGACGTCCTGTATGCGGCCGGCGGCGCCATCCCGCCGCCGCTCGAAACGGTACTGAAAGTATTGACACTCGGCGAGCGCCTTTGTTGGTTCGTCGGGGGTTGTGCAAGATGCGTCTGCTGTTGATGGGGGTTCGTGTGATATGATCCTTGCATGTTCGCGGGGAATGTATTTGACGATGTTGTCCTGGTTCGGCTATGGGTGTAGGACGCATTACTCGTACGATCCATGGGTGAGGGGCGGCGGCGAGTATATTGGGCATCGTAGGCCGGCTCGGCCGGCCACATGTGCGACATTTTGGTGATGGCCGCTGGTGAACACGGCCGTGAGGCCTCGAAGCAAGTGCCGGCGACAACGGCCGGTCTCTGTATCTGGCGCGGGCGTCGGTCGGCTTAACGGGTCGACTGATGAATTTGAGTTGTGTGCACGGAGGCTCCGGCCAGCCCCGATCATGCGAAGTCTGCAGTGATCAGGTAATTGACGGGAATAACGGGTTGCGGGCGGAGAAAAATTTGGTCGCTTCGCTTCGCGTCGATCGGTGATGGAAAATCGGAAGTAATTCTGGAGCGGCGAGTTTGGGCGAGTTTGAGGAGTCGCGAGGTCCGAGGGGAGTTGTTTGTTCAAAGAGGAGAAGGGATGTGACCTGAAATCAAAGCGCCTGGTCAGACTTGGCGGCTCCCACGTTGCATGGCCCGGCCTTGCTCTTGGCCCTTGTTCGATGATGTGATGTTGTGGAGATGATCCGAGCACTGTAGGAGGGCAAGTCGGCCTAACAGTTCCGATTTATTTTTTCTGGGCGTGACTTCCCCGTTCAAGATCCAAAACTTCTCTGCGGAGGCTGAGGGAATCGACGAGTTTCTCGGTCTCGGCTTTGCAGTGCGTCGTATGTGCTGTTGGTTGGCTAATCAGAATTCCTGTGCGCGCAGTCTCTAGCGCCCGAATCGGGCAGCGCCGTCGAATGTCAACCAACAGGCGCCAAAAGGCCCCTCAGGAAGCCTAGTTCATCGACTTTGCAAGGTGCAGTCTGGGAGTGTGCCAACGGACAAGATTTCGTCAAGGCGAAGCAATGGTGAGAACAAGATTGGATTGGGAGGAGTCTTTTTTTTTTCTTTTTCAATTTGCTCAGCACAAACTGATATCAGACTGTCGACATGGGCTTGGATCGGGCGACGATCAACCTGGTTGATGAGAGCTGAACTTGGGTGGGGTTAGACCATGGGGTGGGGTGGGGTAGCTCCAGGTTCTGCTGGCTGCGTTGTCGTCCACTTTCATCGAAAGAACCATGACCGGTCAAAAGTGTCAGAAATTGACGAGGCTATTCAGTTTAACGTTATGATTGAGGTTGGAGCCTGCGCAGGCTATGGCTCAGCATCGCATTGACATCCTACCCAAGCATCCGTCATAGTATTTATGGCAGCTCTCGAAACAAGGTCGCTGAGGCACAGATGCAACGTACCTTTGTTTCGCGAAGCCAACATGAGAGGCCGACCCAGGCGGCAAACGCCCCGTCATCAGTCTCGCGCATTGGCCTGTGACACCCAGAGGACCACTCGCCCATTGCACAACACCGTCATCATTTCAGGCTCAAGTTTGGTCTACCCATTGACAAACAATGGCGGCTCTGGCTTGCCGCTCAGGCCAGCCTTGTGGGGAGCCAACACGGCCGTCTTATCCGCCCACTGGTTGGCCGGCAAGCGGCGTGTGTCTGGTTGGAGCATCTCATTGGAACCCGCTCGCTGCTACCGTGGGGGTGACGGTGCAACCGAGGAACATTTCCTCCTTGTTACCGCCCGCCCACGCGGGGATTCCTAAGCTTGGCGCGGCATCATCAGCTGGCATGAAGCTGTCACCACTCTCATGCAGGTAGGTCTGTATTAGTGATGTAAAAGTCAGACGTTGCCACGAGACAAAATATCGCAAGCCGCGAATATCATCAACGCCATCACTGCACTCACGAGTTCGTTACCGAGTGAACGACATGCGCCAACCACGGGTTGGCTCGGGACCGGGGCTGATCGGCGAGTTTGAACGGATATCAGCCAATGGTGATGCTTCCCAGCCCTGGATGCGGTGCATGGAAGCGAAGGTTGCGGGGCCTCAGGGCTTGCGGGGCCTTTGTGGAGATTGCCTTCGCTTTGCTCTTGTCCCTCATCCGATCCATCGCGAGGGTCTTCCCGGCCCGGTAGCCAGGTACCGGAATCGTGCGTGCGCCTTTTAGAGTTCCAATTCGTTCTAGTTGAAGTGGCGCCGGAGGGGATCATAGGGAACTTCTTGTGTTGGAGATGGAGATTCTGTGCCTGCCCAAACCGGTGACCGGTAGATTCGGTCATGTCCGGGGCCAAGCCGGCGAGTTGACCGGCTTGATACTCAGCCGTCAAGGTTGTAACACTCCAAGATGACGAAGGATTCTACTACCGGAAGATGGGCGAGTCCGTTCGGAAGGTTATGTCGACAGGCCGCGCCAGGCGACGGACGAAGCGTTTCGGACTAGAGGGTGTTTCTAGCTATCCATCCAGACGTACTATGTGTTAGGTAGTTAGTTCTTCCCTACTTCGAGCTCTCGCCCGGTGTGGTTGATGAGACATGGCTTCTTCCATCACAACTCATAAAGGTTTCGGGGATGGACTTTCGGGCATTGCTTAGTTCCCGTGGCCCGATTCAGCTGGGGATGTCAGCTTTGTGTCTTGTTTAGTTTGAAGGCTGAAATCACCAAGTCCGACTGCGTAACCATCGATGATATATATCTTGAACCCCAAAGTCTGGCAATCAAGGAACACAGCAGGAACCACCACAGCAAGGTCTCAAACAGAGACCCCCAACCGATTGCCTGCCCCAGACCTGTCTTGTACCCACTGTGGGTCCCGCTTCTCGGTCTGGGCTGTTGGTTTTACTCTGTGCCTGTTGAGCGGCGCTGCCAGGTACCGTTCCTTGCCAAGATCCCGTACTTGCCAAAAGAAAGTTGGGAGGAAAACTGGGAAACCACAAGACGAGAATTAAATTGGCGTGCTTCAATTTCCTATTAGCTTCGCTAGAAGGGACGAATTACCCAGAAATTTGCGATTGCCCGACCAAACCTCATGTTCTCGACGCCCTCTCGGCACTCTCCGCAACCGCACATGCCAAAAGGTCTGACCGCATATGGTTCATCCGCAATGCCGTGTTTGACGTCATGAAGTAAGAGACTGGATGAACAAAGCTCTCTCGCACAATGGCGACCGCAATTGGAACTGACACGGCCGCCAAGGTTCGCAAAAGAGCTTGATCAAGACGCTGTCCCAGGTATGCAGTTTCCCTCTGTACTCTGTACGTGCTGAGACACTCTGTGCGTTGGATCATCGCCTGTCCCACCTGCACTGCACGATTGGGCCGTTGGCATTTGCATACGGGCCATGTGTTGGGCGATCGCCAACGGGGTCTAGACACGTCGGTGGGCTTGGAGAGATGCTGTTTGACAGTGTGCTGACATTCCATCCCACCAACAGAATGGCGCGTCAAATATCTCAACTACAAGGCCGGTAAAAAACACGTCAAAACCGTCTCGCGGGCTATCCACCGAGCAAATGCGACGCCGATATTGACGAGGAGGGGCACCGAGGCACCTCAGGCCAATACTCCGGGTACCTTCTTCGGAATTAACCATAGCTTCACCCCGCCCCGGCGGAAAGCTGAGGGGCCGAACGGTGGCCTTGCCAGTGAACCGGCTTTGTTCCGGTCCGGGTCCTCGTCTGGTCAGCAGGGGAGGAGCGTCCACCCTGGGGGGGGTGAGCGGTCGGGGCTGGCCAGGACACCGGGAAGTGGCATACAATATGGCAGTATCGGGCCATCGCCGTCGCGGGCGAGCGACAGGCATGATTTTGAGCTTCCCGCCCCCGCTATTAGGGTCCTATCGAACCCGGACGACCCTGGCCCGATCCGTGGCTCCCTTCCGCGTAGCGCTACGATGACGACAACTACGCGGCCGGACCACCGCTCCCCATCGTTGTTCACCCTTCCGTCCAGCGGAACAGCTTTGACACCCCGTATGCGGGTCGCTCGACTGTTCTCAACCAGTTCCACGGCCCCTCGGCAAACGCTAAACAAAATTGAGATCGGGATGCAAAACCTGGACTACGTTCGTTCGGCTGAGCGCGACTTTTTCAGCTTCCTCGATAGCGAGCTAGACAAGATTGAGACCTTCTACAAGGAGAAGGAGGATCAAGCAACCGAGCGTTTGGCCGCGCTTCGAGCACAGTTACACGAGATGCGCAACAGGCGGACCGCCGAGATCGTCGAGTCGAAAGCGAGAAAAAAGCAGGGTCACAGTACCGGTCGCAGCGATGACGATAACACCGTTGGGCGGCCCAGGGATGATAATCGCGATTGGATCAGTCCGATCAAGGACAGGTTTTCCAGGACCGGTCCTAATTCCAAGGCCCTGCAGAAAATGACACGCACTCCCATCATGGCGGGTCAGGTAATGGATGAGGGCCGAGACTATGTGCGACAGCCTCAAGACGACGATGTTCCGTACCGGACGGCGAAGCGGAAGCTCAAGCTGGCCATGCAGGAATTCTACCGCGGCCTCGAGTTACTGAAATCATATGCCCTATTGAACCGGACGGCGTTTCGCAAGCTCAACAAGAAGTACGACAAGGCGGTGAATGCCCGCCCCCCTTACCGATACATGAACGAGAAGGTGAGCAAGTCCTGGTTTGTCAATAGCGACATTCTGGACGGGCACATACATACCGTGGAAGACTTGTACGCCAGATACTTCGAAAAGGGCAACCACAAAATCGCCGCCGGAAAGCTCCGAGCCCTGCAGAAGCGCCATGGGGATTCATCAGACAGCGCATTCCGCAGCGGCCTGATGATCGGCATCGGCGCAGTTTTTACCATTCAGGGGCTCATATACGGCTCCGAGTTTCTCTTCAACGAGGAAGACGACAACTTAGCTGAACAAACGAAATACCTGCTGCAGCTGTACGGGGGATATTTCCTCATGCTCCTCCTCTTCGCCTTGTTCACACTGGATTGCCGGGCGTGGACGAAGAACAAGGTCAACTATCCGTTCATCTTCGAGTTTGATGCGAGGAACTTCCTGGACTGGAAACAGGTGGCCGAGTTTCCCAGCTTCTTCTTTGCGCTGTTTGGCGTGTTCATCTGGCTCAATTTCTCGAAGCTGGGGGACTGGGAGGGGTTATATCTCTATTACCCCGTTGTCTTGATATGCATCACGCTGGTCATTATCTTTTTTCCGGCACCTGTCTTGCATCACAAGGCAAGGAGGTGGTTCCTGTACTCCCATGTACGATCCCGCTCCAATCGAAAATCCCAGTTGTTCCGACTTGGCTGACGATCTCTACAGTATCGGTTGCTCTTGTCGGGTTTGTATCCAGTAGAGTTTCGGGATTTCTTTCTGGGCGATATGTGGTGTTCGTTGACCTACGCAACTTGTGTACGTTGCCCCCCTCCTTCTCTCCATCAACCATACCCCTTCGCAGATCGACTGACCTCTCCCCAGAACGTCGAGCTCTTCTTTTGCTTGTACGCGAACAGTTGGGGCGATCTAGAGCGATGCAACTCCTCGCATTCTCGCCTCCTCGGTTTCTTTAACGCCCTCCCCCCAATATGGCGTGCCCTGCAATGCGTCAGGCGTTACCGCGACACGCGGAATGTGTTCCCGCATCTCGTCAACTGCGGAAAGTACACCATGACAATCTTGACTGCGGTTTGGCTCAGTCTCTACCGAATCGGTGACACGCACACCAACCTGAGCTTCTTCATCGCGTTTGCATCTATCAACGCCGTGTACTGCTGTAAGACATCTCCTCGTCGAACTCTGTGGCCGGTGACTAACAATATGTCAGCAATCTGGGATCTCTTCATGGATTTCTCCCTTTTGCAAGCCAACGCTCGCCGCCGGTATCTCCGCGACATCACAGCCCTCCGCCCCGTCTGGATTTACTACGCCATTATGGTAATCGACCCGATCCTGCGCTTCTCCTGGATCTTTTACGCCATCTTCACCCACGACACCCAGCACAGCACCATCGTCTCCTTCCTGGTCTCCCTCGCCGAGGTCGTCCGCCGCGGCATGTGGACCCTACTCCGCGTGGAGAACGAACACTGCGCCAACGTCGCCCAGTACAAGGCCGCCCGCGACACCCCGCTCCCCTACCACCTCGAGCAGTTCGTCCAGCGCCCCAGCCTCGAGGTCGCAGCCACCGCCGCCGCCGCCGCCGCCGCCGCAACGGTCGCCACCCTCGACGGCATGCCCATCACCGCAACCACCCAACCACCCGCACCAACCACGCCCCACCCCACCACCCCCGGACGCCCAGACACCGCCGGCACGCTCATGCTCCCCACCGCCGCGCGCACCCCGCGCAGCGACACGGGGGAGATGGCACCACCACCACCACCACCACCATCCGCCTCCCCCGGCATGGGCACCGCCACCGCAACAGCCCTCGAGGAAGGCGGTGGCGGCGGCATGATAAGACCGGGCGGCACGTTCCGCCGCCGCCGCGCCGACACGCTCGGCAAGATGTCGATCCGGCAGGCGATGGCGGAGGCGCACAAGCAGGACTTTGAGAAGCGGCGGCCGGCGGCGGGGGGCGGGGAGCGTGGGAAGGATAGTAGGGTGGTGGATGGGGATGGGGAGGTGGAGGGGGATGTGTTGGGGAGTGAGGAGGATGAGGATGAGGATGAGGATGATGATGAGGGTGATGATGAGGGTGATAATGAGGGGGGTGGGTTGGGGGGAGAGGAGGTGAAGAGTGAGGATGAGGATGATGAGGATGGGGGTGTTGGAGGGGATGTGAGAAGGGAGGAGAGGGTTGCGTTGAGGACGGGGAGGGGGGCGAGGAGGGGGGAGGCGGAGAGGGGATTGCGGAAGTAGGTACTGGTTTTTGAGGGGCGGTGTGGTATGGGGGAAAGAGGCGGGTGATGTGAAAAGAGGGGTGAGTAATAAAACATGTTTAAGAGTGTGTGGGTGGGTAGGAGCGTTTGGAAAATATAGAGTGGTGGATGGATACACGAGCATCTATTACATGGTTCAAAGAGTATTATTACACGGCGGGACACGAGCGCCCACCTAATATGATTATTCATGTGTTTCATGTCCAGACCAAACATTTTGAAGAACGACGTATATGACAGGTCTTGTTCATATGCTACAGTCTAAGACCGCTCACGCTATATGTCATGCCATCCCATACTATATTGTACCGTCCCGTATCTACACCGCATCAACTATCTCGTCCATGGTATCTATCCTCTCTCCTCTTAACCAATTTATCTCAACCAATTAAACCCATCACCCCTTCTACTTGCGCCACTCCCGATCGACGGCATCCCAGTGATCCAAGAAGCCCTTGTAAAACTTGAGGCCGAGGCCGGGGTCCAGGTTTCCGGTGGTGGCGCGGATGCTGTGCATGCTCAGCTGGGGGATGCCGACGTCGGCGGCCTTGCAGCCCATGGCGGAGCTGAGCATGGGGCCGACGGTGCCGCCGGAGCGGGAGTCGTTGCGAATCATGTGGCGCTGGTTGACGCAGCCGGCGAGGGCGGCGACGCGGTCGAGGATGGCCATGCTGACGCTGTCGGTGGTCATGTGCGCCGACGCGTCCACGCACAGCGCCACGCCGACGTTGAGCCGCGGCGAGTGGTCCGCCAGGTTGGTCTGCGGGAAGTTGGGGTGCGCCGCGTGCGTCACGTCCGACGACACCAGGAACGACCCCGCGTACGTCTGCCCCATCACCCCCGGCCCGAACGCCGCGCCCTCGGCCCGGTCCGTGAGGCTCTCGACGGCCCGCTCGATGGTGATGGGCAGGAAGTTGCCGCGCGCGCCCTGGCGGAGCAGCGAGCCGATCTCCTCGTCGTCGAAGAGGGCAACCAGCTTGATGTTGCTCTCCGAAGGGTCCGACTTGGCGTGCAGGAGGGCCATGAAGGCGGCCCAGGAGCAGAGCTTGTCGTCGATGCGGCCGGCGAAGATGAACTCCTTGTCCATGCCGCCGACGGCGGCGGGTTGCGAGTCGTACAGCTCGAGCTCCCAGTTGAGGATGGTGCTGGGATCGCTGATGGAGAGCTCTTTGGTGATGAGCTTCACGAGCTTGGGGGGTTGTGTGGAGGCGAAGGAGCCTTGTCCGCCAAGGGGTTGTGCAGAGGACGCAGTGGCGGAGCTGAGATCGCTGTTGTCGAGGCCAATGATGGGCACCATTTCGGTCTCGCGGTTGCCGTGGCCGGTCATGCTAAGGCCGAAGTGAGGAGCGAGCGTAGCAATGCGAGCGACTAATACGTGTTAGCAAGGCGGTCAACAGCCATTAAGTCCGGGGGAATCAACATACTGGGCCAGTCGAGCTTGACCAGCTTCACCGTCGTCTTGCCCGTCTCGGGGTCGCGGACAATGACGCGGCCACCGATGCTCAGGTCCCTATCCCACCATGTAGAGTTCAGGGCGCCAGCGTACTGCGCGACACCGAGCTGGACATAGCCGTGCGAGTCCGACTTCTTGCTCGTCGGCTTGAGGCGGGCGGTCAGGGCGTCGATGTGACCGGCGATCATGGCGACGCCATTGCCGGGCTTGTAGGCTTGACCGACGGCAAAAGCGATGATGGAGCTGCCGTTACGGGTGGTGTAGTACTTGCCGCCGGGCTCGAGCTTTCCGATCCAGCTATCGCGGCTGGAGAGCTGTTCACCGCGCATTAGACATGGACGAAGCTAAACGAAATCACCGGGGATGGGAAACCAACCTCCTTGTAGCCAGCCTTGAGCAGCTTCTCCTTGAAATAGTCGACGGCGTGGAAGACGGTCGGGTTCTCGGTCATAAAGTCGAGGTAGGGCTTGATGAAAGCCTCGGGGTTCAAGTCCTTCGCATCGACCGTGTTGTCGATGACCTCGGCGCGCATCGTCATCGACTGCTCCATGGCTAGAGACCGCATCGAGAGGTTGGAACTGCGTGCCCGTAGAAACTCGGGGGTGTGACGAGTCATGGTTGGTGTTGGGTGTTGGGGAGGTAGTTGGTTATTATGGGCGTTGGCTGGCGCTAATTAATGGAATGAGCGTGTCGTACTTCGTACCAGAGAGGGAGAGGGAGACGTGGTGATGCCGAAGACGGAAGGAAAGCTATCGGGGAAGCTGGTGACAGCTGGACAGTGGCTGGCTGGGGTGGAGTGGTCTGCTGACCGCTGGGGAAGCTGGGAGAGCCAGGGTTGGTCAATCAATGGTAGTGACGTTCACAAGCGTTGGCGATTGCCCGGATGTGCGCCAAGGATGTTGCCATGGTGACTTTCTGGAGGTTAGAGTGCTCAAGCAGCAAGAATAGCTCGGAATTGGAAATATATTATTCTATGTTCCTCAATATTGACTTCAAAATTCGGGGTTTATTTTTGGATACTAAGTAACGAGGTATTCGTAACTTGGCCTTTTGGACCTGACTGCGCTGCACTGCCATTCCGTCTGGGCAGGCGCAAGGGATCTCACAAGGCAGACGCAGGGCCGACGCACCGAAGATCTCTTGGCAAGTCGACAGGCTTGCGGCCCATCTGTGCCATCCACCCATCTTATCCCGCGCCGCCCTGCTCCGTGAGCTGAGGTGGGTGTGGGGGCCACCTAATTGGACATGGAACCAACTTGCTGCAACGTTGGGCTCAGGGGGATGACGCAGCCCTTCCCAGAGTCCCGGGCTCACCGGAACCCTCAAAATGCCCCTGGAAATTCTTGACGTGGGTTTCTGCCGAGGCACATTCCTTTCTTTCATGATCAAATTCTCAACAACATTCCCCTATGTATAGCGTTTTCTCGAATTTGCTTTCTTGTCAAATAGCTATAAGCGTTGTCTCCTGAATTTGTATATTTTAGGTATAAATTCTTCATTTATTTAGGTCCATTCACGCTGTGTTAGTGGGTGGAAATCTCGATTTCAGTGCTTGATTTTGGTCGCGTGAGGTCTTGAGGTAGGTCACATTTCGCAGGGAAGACGTGTTGTATTCACTTTAGCATCGTATCACTGACATTACAGTCAGGATCCATCATTATATTTGCCCCTGGCACTCTATTTCGCCAGCAGCGCTTACAATGGCGTCGTTCGTGTCCGGCCTTAGTCCGATACCCTCCTTCCCGGAGTATCTGGGTCCCTACAAAGTGGGCACAGTGGACGTCGAGATACCCGTCTCCGAGCTAGAGTCCCCAAGCACTGTGCCAGACGGCTCCTCCCATATCCATACCGTTCTGTTCAGGATATTCTACCCTGCCGTGCCCGAATCAAATGGCAAGCATGTGTCCTGGCTGCCAGCACCGCAGCGCCTTCATATCGCTGCCTACACGCAGTTTCTAGGAGCAGGCAATACCCTAGCATCCCTCCTCTCGTAAGTTGAACACACCCCTGGCCTCACGTTCGGGTTGCTAACAGAAGGTAGCTTTCTCCCGCGGCACCTCCACTGGACCTCCATCCCAGCCCACAAGAACGCCACGCTCCTCCCTCCCCCATCCGACCGACCCGCGGGACGATGGCCCACCATGATCTTCTCCCACGGCCTCGGCGGCAACCGCAACGCCTACAGCCACTTCGCCGGCTCACTCGCCTCGCACGGCGTCGTGGTCGTCTGCCCCGAACACCGCGACGGCAGCGCGGCCCTCACGCTGGTGCGCGACCCCAAGAGCGCGACCCCCAAAACCAGCCAGCACGCCGTGCCCTACCTGCGCATCGCCCACACCCAGACCCCGGACGCCTGGTCCGCCCGCAACAAGCAACTGCGCATCCGCCTTTGGGAACTGGGCCTGCTCTTCGAGGCCCTCACCACCCTCGACCGCGACCCAGGCACCCTCACCAACCTCACCACCACCCCGGCCCCCACCCTCGCCCAGTTCGCCCACACCCTCGACATCCACACCCCCGGCCGCGTGCTCTTCGCCGGCCACTCCTTTGGCGCCGCCACCATGGTGCAGCTGCTCAAGTCGGCCTTTTACGCCACCAGCACCACCGCAGCCGCAACCAAAAACGTGGACTCGGACACAGACACGGATACGGACACAATCACGGATGCCGACCAGCCCGGCGTCGGGGCGCTGTTCGCGCCGCGCCCGACCAGCGCCGTCGCGCGCCAGGTCACCGCCCACACGCCCGCCGTGCTGCTCGACATGTGGTGCTTCCCGCTGTTGGGGGCGGAGGGCGCGGCGCTGGCAAGGCTGCCGCTGCCGTGTTACGCTCCTTCTTCTTCTTCTTCGGCGTCGTCTGATGGGGGCGAGGAAGGGAAGGGTGAGGAAGGGGAAGAAGGAGGGAGAGCGTCGCCGGGGGGCAAGGCGGTGCTGGCGGTGGAGTCGCGCGCGTTTTTCAAGTGGACCGAGCACCTGCATGCGAAGGCGAGGATCCTGTCGCCGCGGCCGGAGGAGAGGGGGGAGGTTACGGAGGAGGTGTTTCGGCGGGATGGAGGAAAGGGGGAAGAGGGGTCCTGGGCCCGGCCGCACTTCTTCTACGTCGACTCGTCGGCTCATCTTAGTCAGAGCGACTTTGGCGTGCTGTTCCCCTGGCTGACGAAGCGCGTGTTCAAGTCGGATAACCCCGAGCGGGCGCTGCGGCTGAACATGCGCGCGGTGCTGCAGTTTTTGAGGGAGAACGCGGTGCCTGTGGCCGGGACGGGGAGGGCGGCGTTGGTGGATGGGGGGTATTCTGGTGTGAAGCAGCAGGAGTGGATGGAGAGGGATGAGGTTATCCTGGAGAGAAGTAAGGACGGGAAAGGAAAGGTGGATGCGTGGAGGTGTATTGATGTTCTCGGACTGGGAGCAGAGGCGGGGCCGTCTGAACTGGAACTGAGGGAGAAGGAGGGCGAGGAGCGGCAGGTCAAGGCCGAAGAGGGGGAGAAGGATATGCAAGGGGAGATTGACCCAACGTTGGAGAGTGTGGCGAAGGGGGCGGCCGTGCATGCTACTAGGGAGTTGGTTGGCGCGGAAAATTAAGTCGGTTCATCAGGGGCATGTGGTCTGTTTACTTTGCGAGGCGCTGGAGGATAATGCATCATTAGAGGGGCTTGTTGTAGCATCTTTTCATGTTAGACTATAGATTTTGTATTTGTATTCGGCAATCATCGTACCAGTAGGCCCCGAGTTAAACTCGAACTCGTTAGTTTTTTTTCACAATCGTGCTCCTTTTAAGAGCATCAACGACAATATCTCATTGTCGAAAGACCGATAGATCTCCTACTCAACGAAGAGCTCCATCACCGAGTACATCTCTAAACAACAAATGAGAGGGGGTATAAAAAGAAAGGGTATCATCGATAAATAGGAAATCCCTCCACATCCAACGGTATCGGCTCCAGATCAAGCTCAACTCCCTTGAGCCACGTCTTAACCCGCTTCTTCGGATCCACCCTGAGCTCCTTTTCTGACTTTACCCTTGCATGCAGCTTCTTCGCAAGTGCCAATGCCATTTTGTTTTTGACCGCGGGTGCGCTTCCGTTGCCGGTGTGGTTTCCCCCTTGCTGTGGACTGTCAGTCGTCACTGGGGTGTTGTTGAGCGTGAATTTGGTTGCCTCCGTTTTGGCCCGGTTTTTGCGGCTGCGGCTTTCCTGGAGCAGACGCATCACGGGACCAACTGGCCTTTTCGTGTTGTTTCTTTTGATGGCGTTGTTGTTGGTGGTGTGAGAGGCATTGGTTGTCTCGGGAAGCGGTGCAAGTGTTGTTACAACCTGGTTGCCGTCTTCCACCTCTCTGGGAAGAGTGACTAGGGTCCTACCACTGGAAGCGGACATGTCCTCGGTTGGGTTGCCGGTCGAGGTTGTTATTATTGTTGGCCAGGAGCTCTTTGGAGAAGTCGGGTCTTCGAGAAGGCTGGGGTTCGGGCTTCCTAGGGACATTTCTTGAATAGGAGAAAGAGGTCGGTTGAGCTCGCCGATGGATGTTGTTGGCGTGCTGTCTTGGCTTGGGACGGGTTCTTGATAGCCTGGAGTGAACTGATACTCCCAGGTTTCTAGCTCCGTGTTAGTATTTGGTTCCTAAAAAGGGTTTCCCGTCTGACTTACGGTTCCGGGCTTCTCTTGCCCGCCAGAAGTAGTTGCCATCATCGCTCAAGTACCATTCCGACCATGGGCTTCCGTTCTTGGCTCCTGTCCTTTTCGAGCTTGGCTTCTTCGGTTTGCTGGATACAGGCCTGGCTATGCCTCCCGCTTTGACATGGGCAGGGGTCATGAGTGCCTGTCCGAGTCCCTCAGGCGTTGGTGTCATCTTCTCGAGATGAATCTGGGGGACTTTGCTGGGCGGCGGCGGTTTTGGCGTACGCTTCGGCGGCTGGGGAGCGGCAGGTCTGAAGAAGAACCAGGTAAAGTCTCGGTTTGAACTTGTCGTCATGTAATACTCGCGGGTCTTTGCAGGCATGGCGGATTAGAGAGGGCCCAAGGCGGACTACGGGTAAGGGGCTGGCGGGAGGGGCAATGGGTTACCCCTGTAAGTCTGTCTTCAAGACGTATTATGCTGCGTGAAGGGATCTAGATCGGTTCCTCAGCAGCGCTGGGAAGGACACGAATGACAGATAGTTATAGCCTCGCAATACGGTCTCTGTTTAATGCCAGTTGGGTGTGCCGGTTTACGATGACGAGAGACCCTAGGGACCAAACCTTACCGCAAAGTACACGACGGAGACGCAATCTATATGCGGTGGTTGCTTCACGACGGAATGAGAACCAAGGACATCAACCGCCTCATGACACAAAGTGATTGAGGGTGGCAACGCCAGTAATTGGAGCGGACATGCTGCGGCACTGCCGACCTTGACTCCCAATCATGACAGGGGAGCGACCCAAGCCTCTTAGGGAAAGACTTTCACACCTCTTCGCTCATATGCGAAGAGCGACTAGAATTCACAAACCTGAGGTCAACCTATCATAGCGACCTCGCGTCGCGGCGGTGCGCAGGACTTGCTGCCCAACGGTGCCAGCATACACCGGGGATTTGTGGCTGCAACGCCGGGCGCCTATCACGGCGCCCAACCCGGTTTCACATGACTTGGAACTGTCAAACCGGAGAATTGCGGCCAGGCCCATCACTTTGGCAAACGGCAGCCCTTCCGCTCCCGTCATCTCTTGGTCCCGGGCCGCTGCCGCCGGCATTCTCACGCCCTTACCCGTTTGGTCTCTCTTCTCCAAGAGTTTCCAATCGGTTGCATTGATCAATAAATGCGAAAAGGGGATCGGATGATGACTCGGAGCGGTTCTTGTATGGAACTTCGTGGTGCATTTATACCCAGTGCATGTTGCGCGATGAGGCTCAATAAAACCGCTGAGGTTGGTTGATTAAACGGTTTCTATCGGTGTTGGAGATGGAAAGATGGAAAGATGGAAAGATGTGTGGTGAGAGCCGCGACCGAGTGCAAGACTCCGGAAAAGTGGGCCACCATATTCGTTCCCGCGCCAAGCTTTACCGCGAGCTCCGGAAAATCAACGGCAGCAGAGCATCGCGCTTCAACGCAAACCATCAGCCAATCCACCACCAAACGACAACGGCGAATCGACGACTTCCTCACCGCCCGACTTTTTACCGCACTCTAATACACCACCATCAAAATGACGTCTACAATCGGCATCCCAATCAAGCTCCTCAACGAAGCCCAAGTGCGCAATCCTCCCATCGCTCCCCCACCGCAAACCCAAGCAAAGCCCCCCCCAGCTAACCAAGTGCCACTCCACCACAGGGCCACATCGTCACCCTCGAAATCACCTCCGGCCAGACGTACCGGGGCAAGCTGATCGAAGGTGCGTACCCATGCGCCCCGACTTCCCCCACCCCTCCCTCCTCCGCGTCCGCAAAAAAACCAAAAAGAAAACAGCTATACTAAGACGTGACCACAGCCGAGGACAACATGAACGTGCAGCTCAAGGATATCACGGTGACGGCGCGCGACGGGCGCGTCAGCCATCTCGAGCAGGTCTACATCCGCGGCAGCCACGTGCGCTTCTTTATCGTCCCGGACATGTTGAGGTGCGCTTCCCAGTCACCACCCACCACACATCAGGACCACACTACGAATACGGGCGGATAGCTGACACGTGCTTGTTTATTTTCTAGGAATGCTCCCATGTTCCGCAGCCGCAACGCCCGCGGCAGGGGTGTCGGTCTCGCCCGCGGAAGGGCGACGGTCAGCAGGGCAAGGGCTGGTGGTCGCGGTGGGAGGTAAAGAGGGCGAGGGTTGCTGGTGGGGTTGTGGGATCAAGACGGTTACAGGGAGGGCGTCGTAATGGCCGACATATTTGGCGTTCGGGGTTACACAGCAGCGGGAGCCCGAGCGGTTTTGGGAAAATGGGGGATGGTGGGAGGTGGAGTGCTACCCGGGGGAGATCCGGCGGTATGGGGCCGGCACGAGGCAGCGCCGCCCACGACTACGGACGTGAGGTTGGCCCTGGGCGCTGAGGGTACGTATCATGTCTTCTCTTCGGATATGGTATCTCTTTCGTCCAGGGCTGACGCCAGCCAGTCAGCCAAGCTCGGGCCGCCTCGAGACTCGGCAGTCTCTCCCATCTAGACAAATCTGCATGCAAAAATACATGTTATACACGGCGAGACATGCCCGCCAAGTCTACTTTATTTGCGCGTACGCTTTCTCCGCTCGCGTGATGATCTCCTCGATCTTTGACAGCTCTTTTAGCTGCTCACTCTGGTCAGCCTGGGGATCAAGTGTCTTGCCCGCTTTGTCCAGGACCTCGGCAACGCTAGCCTCCGTTGCGCGGATCGCCTTGCGGCCCTCTTCGCGCACCTCCCCTTCCCAGTACTTCCTAGCAGAATCCCACTTTTGTTGGAAGCGCTTGAAGCTGAACGCGACGCCCAGCGCTGCGATCGCCCCGCACTCGTAGGCCCCGAGCGCCGAGAGATACGAGAGGCCCGCTAAGGCGGTGCTCAAACCGGCCAGGCTCGCAGACTGCACAACAAGTTTTTGCGACAGAGCTTGCAGGGCCGGTACTGTCTTCTGCTGTAGATAATTCCTTGTAAAGGGAATGTGGGGCGGCCAGTCGTTGACCACGTCGGGCGTGATTGTGTCCTCCTTCTGAGGTCCAGTAGAGGGTTGGGGCAAAGCCGGTCCGGCGTATCGAGGTCGCCCTTGCTGCCCTGCCGCCACACCGGCCTCCTGGATGCGGCCGGCAAGGTAAATCACCCCTTTTTCCGCATCAGGGAGGAAGCGCAGGGCGACCATTTCTGATGTGACCATGCCCACGTCGTCGGCTCTCCAGAAGAGTTTCCACCAGCCAAGTCTGCTCCAGGGCCCAGTTGTAAAAGCGACATCCAACTGCTGCTGTAGCTCCTGGTGAGCGTTCTGCGCCCACTCCGCCAGAACCTTGTCCAAGTGGGCGATGGACCTGGGTGAAACCTTTGAGCGTAGTTCCGCCGCCAAATCTCGGGTCTCTTCCTCTTGTACAGCCGCCCTGGCATTCCGCAAAAGCGAGCCGATCAGGTTCCGGACAGGCGGTTTCATGACCCCTTCGTCATTCGGCAGGGCGCTCTTCCTCAGCCACTCGCTGATGCGGCCGACGTTGGCCTCCGTCCACAGCGTCTCGTACTTGATCGCGTTGCCAACATCAGCGCGGAAAAGCTCCAAGCCCTCGCTAGCAGTATCCACATTGACCGCAACAAGCGGACAACCCTCCAAATCCTCGCTGCCAACCTGTGCAAAATTCACCGCCCCAGCAATCACATCCCTCCCCTCCACAAGCGGCAACGCCATAATCCCCGCCGCCCCGCGCACCCCATCCCCCACCAACAGCGCCATATGCACCGGCGTCCCCACGGGCGCCACATGCCCGGCCGTCGTCGCGGCCACCCCCGCCGTCGGCACCAGCACCGCCTCATCCACCACCACACCCCCATTTCCACCCCCAGCCGCCGCCGCCGCCGCTAGGGGAGGCCCCGCCCCGGCGACGAGCATCTCCAGCTCCGCGCCGCGCGGCAGCAGCGGCGTCGCGACCCGCAGCTCGGGGATCACGTGCCGGTCCCGGCCCCGGCCCGTCTGCAGGCCCTGCTCCTGCCCCGGCCCCTCTGCCTTTGCTTCGGTCGCCGTCGCTCCGGCCCGCACGACGAGCGGCTGGCTCTGTGTGTCGTGCGCTTCCAGCTGCGCCTCCCATGCTGCGGCCGGCTGGAGCGGGTCGGCGAGCGCGAGGCGGAGGAGGCGGGTGGCTGTTGTGGGTTTGGTGGTGGTGGTGGTGATGGTGGTGTTTTGGGGGGGTTCGTTGGTGGCGAGGCTGAGGATGGCGACGCGCACGGATTCGTGGCCTGGCGGTTCGGTCAGGTTGCGAAGAGCGAGTTGTAGGCGGGGGAGGGAGATGTGGTTCGGTGCGTGGGTTTGGAGGTCGAGGAGGGCGCGGTGGAGGTCGGCGCGGGGGGAGGAGTGGGAGGTTGAGTGGTTGCGTTGGGGGGGTTTAGTCCTGGGTGTGGAGGGGGGTGGTTGTTGTTGTGTTTGAGAGCGGAGGGCGGTTGTTGTTGAGAGTAGAGGGGAGGGAAGGCGTTGAGATGGGGAGTGGGTGCAGAAGAGACATATTGGTGGGGTTTTTGTTTTCGACGATTGAAGACCTCGACTCCGACTCAGCACCCTCCCGAGGGCCAATGCTGGCGGCATGGCGGGCGAGCTGGTTCAGAGGCCAGCTTTGATTGTCGTTGGCGTTGAGCTTCAAGATTCGAGATGGAGCGCAGATGAAGTGGGTTGAGCTGTGAGCTTTTTGCCGGAAAGATCCGGGAGCTTCCCGCCCGGCACGCACGGACAGAACCCCTGTAGCAAGGGACCATGTCCCGCCCTCGCACCTCAGACGGTTCAACCCCACCACCCCGATTCCATCTTATCATCATCAGCGAACTGAGCGTAACAGCGTGCCGAAAATCCCCCTATTTACCCTCCAAACACGCGCACTCGCTCACAGCACGGGCATCCATCCACCCCAACCGGGCCCGACCTCGCCCACCTAACACCACGACCACAACCCCCTAAAGAACCCCCCAAAATGGCCCAATCAACCGCCCACCGCCGCCTCCTGCAAGAGTACCGAGCCCTGACAAACAACCCGCCCGAGGGCATCACGGCGGGGCCGGTGTCGGAAGACGACCTGCTGCACTGGGAGGCGCTGATCCAGGGGCCCGAGGGCACGCCGTTCGAGGGCGGCATCTTCCCGGCCGAGCTGCGGTTCCCCAAGGACTACCCGCTGGCGCCGCCGAGCATGAAGTTTCTGGGGGAGATCTGGCATCCGAATGGTAACGTCTTCCCGGCCCACCGGTTCCTTGATGGAGGGGATTTGCTGACGGGGCCCGTTTTTAGTCTACCCGAGCGGGCTGGTGTGCATCTCGATCCTGCACCCGCCCGGCGACGACCCGAACCACTACGAGCACGCGTCGGAGCGGTGGTCGCCGATCCAGAGCGTCGAGAAGATTCTCATCTCGGTCATGAGCATGCTGGCCGAGCCCAACGACGAGAGCCCCGCCAACGTGGAGGCCGCCAAGATGTGGCGCGAGCGGAGGGAGGAGTACGAGAACAAGGTGCGGGAAGGGGTGAAGCGGATGCTAGGGTTGTAATTCGGGGGGGCATGTAGTCACGGGGGCATGGCGTTGCTGGGGTTTTTTATTATTGACTCGATTTTGCATGGCGTGGAGTTTTACATTGGCGATAGCGTTGACACGTAGTCGGTTGTAACCAGCTCTCGGTATATTTGTTTGCGTTGAAACTCATCTAAAGCATGATGGCCTTTGGTAAAACCCGAGGCCCTAGGATGCACCCGCACCCACGCCAGTTCTTGCTTTCAACACCCGCTTGCTTATCGCTGCACTGCCCGCCATAATCATCACCACAACGCCCCTCACATGTTGTTCTCCGCCTTGAACTTATCCCACGCCTCGTTGAGCGTGCTGAACACCGTGCCGGCGATCATGCGTACCTCGGTCGTAGCATCTTGCGCGATCTGCTAGACCAGTTAGCTACTACGCCCCTTTCCAAATACAACACTTGGAACAACTCACCTTGTCAGGATGCGTCTTGGCAATAGCCTTCATGTAGATGATCTTGACCTTCTTCGCCATCACCAGCTCGTGCAGCCCAACCTTCGTCCACCCGCTGCCCTCCCACAGCACAGTATCCAAGCTGCCGAGCAGCGCGCGCAAGTTGTCTCGCTTACCGTCCCGCCAGGCGGCGATGCGCGCGTCGACCTTATCCGTCAGCGCGAGCTTCTCGTCGCCTTCGCGCTCGGCCGCCTGGTGCGTCGCGCGCAGACGCTCCACGGCCTCGAAGCTCTTCTGGGGGGTGTTGGAGGGTCGGGGACGCGGGGCGGCCGCGGGCCGCGTCGAAGCCGGCCGGGGTGTCGATACCGGCTTCGGCGCGAGGGCTTTCTGGCAACGCTGCCTCCCCGCCGCAGCAGTCGCCCCGCCCAAGCCGGCCTCGACGCAGAGCTGCCAGACGGTGACGGCGTCGGCCCACTTCTCCATCTGCTCGAGGGCTTCGGCCTTGCGGCTGAGCGCTTTGCCGTAGAGGTCGCGCATGTCGCGCTTTTCGCTGGGCGCGCTGCCGCCTCCTTGAAGGTCGACTTGCTCGCCCTCGCCCTTGCCTGGGCCAATCAGCCGGATGGCTGTGTCGGCATCCTCGACTGCTTGGCGCGGCTCGCCTGTCTTGAGTGCCGTTAGGGCGCGGTTGCAGAGTAGGAGGATGGTCAGGGGGTGATCTGGTGGAATAGCAGTCATAGAGGACGTGTACGACGCGTGAGCGGCCGCGAAATCACCGCGTTTGAAGTGTGCGGTGCCCTCTAGGCGGCATTTTGTCGAATTTTGTAGAGCAATGGGTGAGATGCTGGGTATTTGGCGAACAGGGCGAGGCGGGGCAGGCTTAGGAGCAGGGGATGGCCGAGCTGCGGGTCGAGGGGCTGGAGATGCCTGCGAAGACCGAGCTTGTGGTGTAGCTCGGGACGTCGAAGCGGCTGCGCCAAAAAGCAGATCCGGCTCTGGTTCCTCGAACCTGGCTTCCGGTTGTGGTTGTGGAGTCGCCTTTTTCCTACGGGCTGGGCTAACATATGCTTGGAAGCTTTCTTCTTCGCTTGTTTGTTTGCTCACCCGCGCCCGCGGATTTAAGGGGGGCTGTGAAGCCTGCTGCCATTTTGGGACTTGGCTACCCTTCCCAGGCCGAGCTGGCAAAGCCGGTGAGCGTTCACGGGACCGGGCACCGTCAGAGTCCTGCCTTTGGGGCGCTAGCCTTCCTGATCTTACTTCCGGCCGCCCTCCCGACTCCAACATCATAGCTTCGTCAGTGACGTCGGCCATTTGTCTTCCTGTGCCACCACCGCTACCATGGTCCTGGGTAGGCCGCATCCACTTTGGCTGGCTCGGGTCACCGTCCTGCTGAAACTCGGCTACCGCCTTTTGTACTTTCTTCTGCCCCGTCTTCCACAGGCTGTTTGCCGACTTGAGGAAACTCGAACCCACGGCAGCCGCTGTCTTGGCAAACTCCCCGTCCATGGGAGCCGGCGATCGGTTGTCGTTCCTCCTCATGTCGTCGTCCGGCAGCCCCTCCCTCATCCAGGATGGTGCTCCATTGCGTGACTGACTTGGGGCTCGCTCCCCCCTGTCCCTGGGCTGTTCCCTGGCACCGCCCCGACCCTTTGTCTTTTCCTTCGCCTGCCTGTGGGCGTCATCCAGCAACCAATTTACAGCAGCCTGGACATCTAGCCCTGCGCCGCTCTCCGTGAGCCCCCTCCTCGCATTTTCAGGGGTGAAACCATAGTCCACGAGCTGGGCGACAGCCTTGTCGAATGGATCATCCGATGCCGCTGGCGGTTCAACTTCAGAGTCCGAAGAGGAGTCTTCAATTGCCTTCCCTGGTTCAGGCTCCCGCGTAAAAGCCGGGGCCGCCTTCTTCCTGACTTGATCCACTGGCTTACCGAGGTCGCCGAGCAGGTCGTCATCCTCGCCCTCGTCCTTAACAGCTTGTGGTGGAGGCCGATTGGCTCTCGTTTGGAGCTGGCTGAGTCCAAACGGATCGTCATCTTCGTCGCCGCCGAAACCTCCCTTACCAGCTGCGGTAGGCTGGCTCCAAGACTGCGGGTTGGCAAGGTCTAGTTTAGGCGCGTTCGCAGGGGAGGGGTTGCTGGCCGGTGTAGGCGGCGGAAAGTGGCTTGAGTTGTCGACCTTCGTGCTGGCACTAAACGCTGCGAATAGATCATCATCCGACTCAGCTGGCGGTTTGCCGTGCTGTGCCCCCGCACTGGGCCCCTGCACATATGGCGGTGCGGGTATTGCAGGAGACGACGTCCTCAACGAGCCGGATTGATTCTGGCCAAGCGAGTCAAAGAAGCGCCCATCCCCGTAGTGTGCCTGTGCCTGCTTCCGCCGCTCTTCCTCTTTCCTTCTCTTCTCGGCCTCCAGCTGGTCTTGCCGCTCGCGGAGAGTGAGGTTCGCGTTATTCTTTCCGGCACCGAAGCTGAGCAAGTTCCCGAAGCTGTCTTGGGCGGGCTTGGGGGCTGCCGGTTTGGCCCCGATGCCGCCGGATCCTTGGGTGGACAGCGGGGTATTGCGGCCGGATGTGAACGGGGACGGGGACGGGCGCAAGGAAGGGTAAGCTGATACCGCGGGGTTGTTCGTCGGCGCCGATTGCGCACTGGCAGGCTTCCCTTGGCCGGGTGCTGACCAGTTCAGACCGGCGAGATCGTCCATTGTGTGGTCGGCAGTTGAAAATGCCAGCACCGCATTAGGAAAGAAATGAGTGAATCGCCCAGGCGGGTCTTACGGCCACACTCGATTTGGGATTGGAGCTTTCCAATTGTTTCGAAGGAGAGGAAGGTTGATGTCGCGCGCCACAGGGGCCTGACGCTAACGTGAGTCCAGGTCCAGGGTTGCAAGGGTTGTGGGGTGACTGAATGAAAGCCCAAGTGTGGCACAGCGCCGTCTCCATGAAGTGTGGCGTTTGCCATTGGATGCTTCCTTCGTCTGACACCTCAGATGCCAAGCCTTCTTCCCCTTTCGAATTCGACATTTGCATGGCACGTGCATGGCAATCTGCCACCTGCCTCTTCCACCGGCAGCCAGGGGAAGAAGATCTGTCCATCGCAATGCATGCAGCGGTCAACGGCTGATCTTCATCCATGCGCACAATGAAAACTCGCGCGAGTCACAATTGTGCCCCGTTCTTTAAATGCGCCGAGAGTGCATGATGTTTCTTGCCTGCCTGACCTGGGATGCCATGTTTGCGAGTTGCCGATCGGATGATCCGTTTAATAAGGTTAACTGTTGTGACGGTTTTCGGTCGCCAAACGTTGTTGTTGGGTCGGCAACCACGAGCAACACACAAGGCAACGCAGGATATCACGGGGTGCTTCAGAAGACGGGATCCCGTCTCAGGGGATCTCTCTACCCCATACATAGTTATCGAGGATGCGCTTGGCTCTCTCAGCTCTGCAAGGCTGCTAGCCCATCAGTCGCAACATTTTCTAGAACCACAAAAGGGGCATTCGGTGTTGGGGTCCCCAGCAATGCCCAGCAATTTGTGCTCGGCACCACGATTGGCTCACCGAGGATTTGGGTGGGATTTCACCCCGAAAAATGTTAGCGCAGACCAAGCCTGAAACTGTTTCAGTCGGCGTTGGGCGCTCGTCCGATCCTGGTGAGGCCCCTTCCCATTTCACCTGATGTGCATACCCCGCTCCCAACGGCGGTCCGGCACGCCACTGAAGTCACGTTGCTCGCCTCCACGTTTGACATACACAACCAAGTTACCGTCCATCCTCGCCCGTCCCTCTCCCGCTTTCGAGATGGCGCGGCATCCGTCATCCGAGAGTTGGCCGAGGGCGACAGGATGGGTTTGCCGGACACGAGCTGCGGTGACTAGAGGCTCCGTTGAACAAACAACACCATGGTTACGAGAGCGGCCGCGTGGTGAGATGCAGATGGTCGTGGGTGGAGTGGTTCGCGCATCTGTCGAGATTATTCGTCCCACGCAGAGATGGTCCAAGATGAACCAACAGCGCGAGCGGCGAGTGCAAATCATTTTATTTCTCGGCGCGTCATCCATCGGCCGTGGTCATTCAGCCGTACCCCGGCCAGTTAGCAGGGATCTCTCCCTCTTGCCAAATGTCGTGGCGGCTACTTCCTCGGAAAAGCGGCTCAGTCAAGTGCTGTTCCTGCGTTAGCCAGGCACCGCGCCCCACACAACACATCCCTGGAGCGTCCCCTTAATCGAGGGCAGACCACGCTAGCCAACCAGAGGCCTGCTTTTTCTTACTAGGTGCTGCTTCGGGAAAGAGCGTCCTGCACAACCCCGGCAAGGGGCTTTCCCTTGGCTGCCCTTCCCCGTCCTGCAGAATGCCATGCCAGAACGCAGAGGGGCACGGCAGCAAATCCACAGGGTGCCAATTTGGGTTATCTGTGGGCGCATGTCGCACTCCTCCCTTCCACCCGCTCCCTTTTCTCGCCTTTTGCGCCTTGTCTGCCTTACCCACCCATTCTCTCGACTTCGAGTCTTTCAACCCGCAACACTCACTTTCGCGGTTTTCGACTCCCCAACTCGGGGCCCACGTTCCTTACTTACGGCGACGACGACATCGATCATTCATTTCGCGTTTTCGTGTTGATCGCCAACTTTCGTTTCTTGGTGCGATTGTAATCTGCCGCTCAACGAGGTCCTCCGCACAACTTCAAACATCGCATTTCCCATTCCTGGATCAACAGCAACACTTTACGGAGTCGAGGATAGGGAGAATCAGGCTTTTGTGTGCGCAAGCAGTATATCAGGTACGCGAGGAGACTCCCCGGGTCACAGCTTGGATAGGCTTGTGAACCAGACGGTCGTGAATTGTCATCCGTGGTCGGGTTGCGAGGCCTGTGCCTGTGGTTCGTGACAATTTACGCTCCCCTCAGTCCGTCTGGCCAAACTGGTACGTTGAGAGTCCCCGAAAAACGAGCAATAAAACAACCCCGTCGTTGTCTCCTTTTCTGTGTTTTTCCCCCCATCACAGCGATCCGGCACTTTTCCATCCCGAGTCAGGCTGGTGGTCATAACACCCCGCCCTCCTACCCACCTACTCTCACTCTCACAAAGTCAAAAACAATGATTTAAATCGAAGGCAGCAGTAGGCTAACAATTTCCTGCTTCCAGACGAGCGACCACCCCGACTCTCGCAAACATCTCACTCACACTTTCTACTAGTTTCCAGCACCGCTTCCACGATCATTCCCCCACATTGAACTGAACACTCCAGTCACTCCTTTACAACCGGCAACATGAAGACCGGTTCTTCGCTCGCGATCCTCGCATCGCTGGGCGGCGCTGCCGCCTTTTGGCGCATGGAATGCCGTGGCCAAGTCGGCCTTGCCCGTCTTGACCCTCTCATCGACCCGGGCGTCCCGTCGAAGCACGCCCACGCGATTCATGGATCTTCCGGTATGTAATGCTAATAGGATTCTTTTTGGAAAAGAGAAGGAAATAGGGAAATAAACTCCTGGAGTTGGATGACCGTTGTCGTTAACATCAATTCACCTGCAGGTTTCAGCGAGAGCGCGACTTTCGAGGACCTGCGCAACGGCGACTGCACGTCGTGTGGTGTGGCTGAAGACATGTCGGCCTACTGGGCGCCGGCTCTGTACTTTAAGCATCTCAATGGCTCCTTCGAGGAGGTTAAGCAGGACGGCGGCATGCTTGCGTGGGTCTCCATGGTGTTGCGGCATCCCCGGGAATATTGAGCGCTGACCGATGAATAGCTACTACTTCCTGAACTACGACCTGAAGGATGGCAAGAAGGGAATCAAGGCGTTCCCTAATGACTTCCGCATGGTCGCTGGTGACAGCAGCCGTCGCAACTACTCGGTTGGCGGCCTCGACTACCGCCAGCCCGACCCCCCCAAGTCGGAATGGGGTGCCAAGGGCCAGACGAACCAGGAAGATCTCGCCCAGCGCGCCCTCGGTTTCAACTGCCTCAACTATGATACCGACGCCGAGCCTGCTCTGTACCGCCACTACCTGCCCGACAAGACTTTCCTCGACTCGAAGTGCAAGCATGGAGTTCGCTTCGAGCTGTCGTTCCCCTCTTGCTGGAACGGCAAGGACATCAGCTCTCCCGACCACAAGTCTCACGTTGCGTACCCTGACACAGTTCTTAATGGAAACTGCCCTGAGGGTTTCGACGTGAAGCTGCCCGGTCTCTTTTTCGAGACCATCTGGAGGACCCACGACTTCCTCGGCGTGCCGGGCCAGTTCGTCATTTCCAACGGTGATGTTGAAGGTATGTAGTGCGAGTTGGTTTAGAGTCAATTTTCAAGCTAACTCGTGCTTGTTAGGCTTCGGTTACCACGCTGATTTCATCAGCGGCTGGGACGAGGACTTCCTTCAGGCTGCCGTCGACCAATGCACCAACCCCAGTGGACGCATCTCCGACTGCCCTCTCTTCACCCTCCTCAGCGCTGATGACCAGCGGAAGTGCAAGATTGCCACTCCTCCGATGATTGCGGCGGACAAGCTCGCCGGCCTGATCGGTGACATCCTCCCCGGAAATGTCAAGATCAGCCTCGGCCCTGCCCCCGCCAACCACAACAGCCCCAAGCCGGACCCGATCTCGCTCCCCGCCGTGTCCCTGCCGGTGCCTAACGTGCTCCCTGGTGGCGTATTCAAGGAGGAGCCGACCTCGAGCCCTGAGGCCGAGTCCTCCACCAGCACTCCTACCCCTACTCCTACCCCGATCCCGTCGGACCCTCCTATCCCCAAGGGCTATGAGCTTGTCCGCACCGACTACATTACCAAGGGCAACGTGGTCAGCAAGATCGTCGTCATTGAGACGGTCACGTACGTCATGGTGGCAACTGAGACGGTCACCGTCACGGCGACCCCCAGCGTTGCGGCCGCCGGCGCCGACGACAAGGCCCGCCGTGAGCTCAACCAGCACTTGCACCGCCACCGCCACCACCACGGCTCGCACTAAGCGTGTCGGTGAATCTTCTAGTTTGCCTAGTGCTACCGGTCCTCTCTAGGACACTCTTCGTTGCACATATGGGATGAGCTCATGGCTATTTTTTTCTTTCCCTCTTCCTTTGTATTTCTTTGCCCTCAGGCATCTTGATTTCAACGTTGATATTTGGGCGGTGATGGAGGGTGGTTGGGATTAGTAGAGGGGTGGTATACTAGCCCGGATTGGCGTCGTGGATCGATGGCTCGGGGGCATTGAATGAAAGGGAGTCTTTATCATCTCTCCAGAATTGCATTTGCGGCAATGCATTGACTGCTGCCGCCTGCGCGTTACGGACCGTGCATTGGTGTTCAGGTGTTACTCGGAAGTGATTCAAGATACCACCTCTATCCCCGGCCTTGGGTCCCCAAATCTCCACTCCAAATTGTTGTGATTTTGTTTTGCCGCTGAGATGTGTTTTAAAGAATCTAGGATTTCTAATGAGAGCCAGGCGGGGGACAACACCCCTAATGGTGACCTGACCCGCCACGGACAATGTAAGTAATCCAACGAGGAGGAGTCTTGTTGTGTTCACAAAAGGGAGCAACCACCATGCAGCATCCGACTAGCCAGCTCCATTTCTGACCATGTCAACAAACAAGAACACTGCAACATCACTTCTAGGCCTCGGCAACTGAGACATTCTAACCATTCAATTCTACTCAACAGGATGAGCAAGTACAATACGGCCGGGATGGAATGGGGTCACTCATCACAACCCATTCCAACCAAGTGAGGTCCCAGGCCAGCCGGCCATACCATCGGCCATGCAAAATTCCAGTCACGATGGTGTTATGACCTGCCCCCAAATATCTTGGTCCCCTCCTGCTCCGCTGCCCCCGTTCGACCATCCCCAACTAACTTCGCAGCGTCTGAATCCGCTCCAACAAACACATCCATGCAGGCTCGTCGGGGGCTAACCACTCCACCAACAACCCATCGACAACACGGAAACCCCTAAAGAGACACGATAACATCAAGACCAACCAACCAACCAACCAACCAACCAACCCAACAGCAACAGCCACCAACACAACACAATGACAACCACAACCTTCACCAACCCCCCACCACCACCACCACCACCCGGCGGAGGAGGAGGCCAAGACGCCAAAAAGGGCTCCATCGTCGACTCCTTCCCCACGCTCTTCCCCCTCGTCATCGCCGGCGCCTGCGTGCTCGGCCTCATCCTCGCCTTCCTCATCATCTGGCTGACACGCCACCGGCGGCGCGCCGCCGGTGGCGGTGACGAGGCCGTGCTGCTCAGCCCTGAGGGCAGCAATGTCAGCGCGCGGCCTTCGGGAGAGGGGAAGGGGGATGGAGATGGAGATGGGGGTGCGGGTGGGGGTGCTGGTGGTGTGGGTGGGGGTGGGTCGGCGAGGAGGAAGTTGCAGAAGGCTTGCTCGGTGGGTGCGGGACCGGGGTGGTGGGCGAGGGAGGGTGGGAGTGGGCTGTTGAGTGATGATGAGGATGGGGAGGGGAGGGGGTGGCCAAGGAGGCATGTCAGTATGCCGCTGATTCCGAGGGCGTGTAGTAAGGGGCATTTTCATTTTGGGGTTGGGGTTGGTGCTGGTGGTGGTAATGGGGGTTCGTCGTGTCAGTGGCCGGGGAGGGGGGCGGTGGAGATGGCGGAGGTGGGGGGTGGTAGGCGGAAGCCGGCGTGGATTGATGAGGATGCGCTGCATGGGCCGAAGGTCAGTGGCGGGAAGGAGGTGGCGAAGGGTGGTGGGAAGAAGAAGAATAAGGGGCGCGGGTCCTGGCCGTTGAGGAACCGTACGCCGACTCTGCCTAGGGTGCATCATACCATTCATGGGTATCCGTATATGATGTCGGGGGCGAGAGGTGAGTCGTCGGAGGCTTTGTTGGGCGAGAATCGGCCGAAGACGTCCACTGGGTTGGAGTACGCCCAGCTACGCGCGTCTTCGAAGGACCTGCCTCAGCCGCCCAAGCCTGCTCTCGTTTCCAACAGAGAGAAGCGCATCATCAGGCCGTCCGTTACTATGGGATATGTGTACGGCGCCTCCAAGATCCCCACACCGATCTTGAGCCCCCCTACCAGCCCCGTTCAGTCTGCTCCGACTACGCCACAGAGACACAGGGGTCGGCAGCGGTCGACAGATTCGACTCTGACCGATATACTGAGATCAACCGAGGAGCGTCTCCGGGAGGGAAGTGTTTCCGGGACGATCAGGAGCCGCAGAGCCACTACATCACCCACCAGGGCATCACCCGGCAAGGTCTTTGGCCCCAGAGAATATGGGGTTTCGGCATCTCGCCCAAGGACTCCAAGCCCAAACAAGATCGCTACCGAGGAGGCCTTCACCCCCGGCCACAAACGGCAAGCCTCGCAGCAGTCTGTTTCTTCAGAGGCCGACAGTCTTGTGGGCAAGGAACGCCCAGTTTCAGATGCTCCGTCAGGACTCACCAGCCCGAGCCGGGCTCAGAAGAAACAAGAACCTGAACGACAGCCACCTCAGGCGCAGTCAGGACGCACCTCGCTCTCCTCCGAGCTCTCCACGTTATACAGCGAGGATGAGATGCCGGACGAGGTCAAGCGGGCCATCATGCCCCTCGAGGGTCTCGTCGTGCAGCCCCAGCAAGCTGCCAAAGTTCGCGCTCCATCGATGAACGACCCGTTCGTCAGCGCGCCGCTTCCCTTGTCGGTCTCGCGAGCGGCATCCATCGGCGGTTGGCCGACCAAGCATAGCAAGTCCCAGGACCTCCTACGGCAGAGCGTGCAGCGTTCTCAGCGTCTTCGCAGTATGACGGTTGGTCACACTCGCGCCCAGTCTCAGGGCCTGATATTGGCACCTGGTCCTGTGATCCACGGACCCAAGGCGGGTGCGTTGCCAGTTATTCCGCCTTCCCGTAAGACATCGGTGACCATCCCCCGATCGGTCCAGCCGTACATCGTATCGAGGGCCTCGGAACCGCCGCCGTCTCCGACTAGACAATCGCCTACAAGCAACAGCCCCCATGGGCCGCTCTTCCTTCGGGTGACCAAGACCAGCACGTTGAGTACGATCCCCTTGCTTCCACCGCCATCGGCTCCAGGCATCGACACATTCAGCAAGGCAGACTCCAAGCAGCATTCACCGAGCAAAGCAACCCACACAACCGAGCAGCAGCAGCAGCCGCCAGCACGCCGCTCCACAGTCCTGTTGCTCCCGTCGACAGAGCGCTCCAGCGCGCCCGCCTCCCCAGCCCGCCGCGTCGGCGGAGAGCTACGGCTGTCTCTCGTCCTGCCGCCCAGGCCACTGCTGCTGCAGGACGCCCAGCACAACCGCACCAGCGCCTCCTCGTCCGTCTACTCACAAGAAGCCAGCCCCACCGCCACGGTCACCGCTCAAACCGCAATCGAACTCAACCGCGCCAACTTCCGCGCCAACTCCTCCCTCTACCCAGCGCCTCTCTCCCCACACAACCACACCCACACCCACACCCACACCCACAACCGCAGCCGCAGTCACGGCCCGTCCCCATCCAACCTCTCCTCCGAACTTCCTCTAGAAGACAAAGACGGTGAAAACGAAGACCCAGACGAGGAGGACATCCCCCTCGCGCTGACAGCAACGATCGCCTCGCTGCGGCGCATGAACAGCGGGCTCAGCACCGTGTCCAGCCTGGGGAGCATCGTCGACCGGGATATGAGCCCCAGCCCGAGCCCGAGTCCCAGTCCCAGCCCGGATAGGGTGTCGGGGCCGGCGGTGCGGGGGCGTGGCGGTTCATTGGGTTCGGTGGGTGGTTCGCCGGGCAGGGCTGGTGGTGAGAGTCCCGCCCGCTCGCATCGGAAGAGTATTGGGGCGAGGAATTATTATATCCTCGGGGGTGGTGGGAATGGGAATGGGGCGTCGTCGAGGAGGGGGAGTCGGGTTGTGAGTTGTGTTGGGGGGGTGGGAGGGATTGTGAAGTCGCCTAGCGGGGGTGCGGGTGTGGGTGGTGCGGGTGGGAGTGGGAGTGGGAATGGGCCGCCGTGTAAGAGGCGGCGGCCGGGGAGCATGCATCAGCATCAGCGGAGGTCGAGTGCGGTGCTGAGGCTGTCGCGGTCTGAGCTTGTAGGTGTGGGTGAGGAGGGGAAGGAGAATAGCACGGGGATGGGGGGGTTCAAGGTGGCGGCGGGGGAGTTTACTTTTGAAGTGAGTAATCCTAATAATGTGTCGGGGAAGGGTGGGCTCGGGTTGAGGGAGGGCAGCAGCGGGAGTGTCAATGCGCTGGTCATGCCGCAGAACAAGGACTCGCAAAGGCTGTCCCTTGCGTGGAGGCCGGCCGAAGGGGGTGCTTCGAGGAATGGCTCGCCGGTGAGGTTCAACGGTAGCCCATCAAGGCAGAGCATGAGGAGTGTGGACAGCTTGGGCTTGTATGATCGTCAGGGATTCTTGATCCCGGCGTCGCCAGTGAGGGGAGTGAGTCCGTCGGGGCTGAGGGTGTGACGAAGATGAAGATTGATGTCTGTTTCCTTTGTTGACTCGGATCTGAGACCTTCTTTTTAATGATTATTTTTCGGATATTGTTTTAGTAGTAGTCTGTAATTCTTAACCTTAACCAAAATTTAGTTGAAGAGAAATGGGATGAACGCTGTTTGTTAGTCAGTTAATTTATGTGACCTCGAATAATAACCTTGGCAGTTGGTGCCAGCTGTCTGTTGGGGGCATCAACACTACGCTCCTTCCCCTCAACCATCACCACCCCCAAACCAGTCATCTCACTCGCCAACAACAACAACACCTCACTCACCTCTCACCACCTCCCCAGACAAACAAACCCTCACCCACCATGCCTCCCCTCCCCCACCCCGAGCTCCCGCGGCTCATAACCTACTACCAAACGCACCACACGCCCTCGGGCACTCCCATCTCGATCCTGCCCCTCCTCCAACAGCCCAACATCACCCTCACGCACGTCATCCTCGCGGCCATCCACATCAACGAGGACCCGGCCGCGCTCACGCTCAACGACCACCCGCCCTCGCACGAGCGCTTCACCACCCTCTGGGCCGAGCTGCGCGTGCTGCAGGCCAGCGGCGTCAAGGTGCTGGGCATGCTGGGCGGCGCGGCGCCCGGCAGCTACGCGCGCCTGGACACGTCGGACGCCGCGGTGTTTGAGCGCTACTACGCGCCCGTGGCCGACCTGGTGCGGGCGCGCGCGCTGGATGGGTTGGATCTGGATGTTGAGGAGCCCATGTCCCTGGGGGGTGTGGTGCGGTTGATTGATCGGCTGCGGGCGGACTTTGGGCCCAAGTTTTTGATTACGTTGGCCCCCGTGGCGTCGGCGCTGCTGGAGCCGCGCCGGAATTTGAGCGGATTTGATTATGGCGCGCTCGAGGGCCTGCGCGGGAAGGAGATTGCGTGGTATAATGCGCAGTTTTACTGTGGTTGGGGTGACTGTAGCAACCCGGCCATGTATGAGATGCTGCTGGCCAAGGGCTGGCCGCCCGAGAAGATCGTCGTGGGGCTCGTCACCACCCCGCGCAACGGCGCTGGCTGGGTGCCGTGGAACATGCTGGCCACTGTCCTGCCGCTGCTGGCGGGCCGGCACCCGCGCTTTGGCGGGGTCATGGGGTGGGAGTATTTCAACAGCCTGCCTGGCGGTGAGGAGAGGCCGTGGGAGTGGGCGCAGGCTATGACTGCCTTGCTGCGGGGGAGGAGGACGGTGCCGGGCGTGGAAGGGCCGGAAGGGGGCACAAACTTGGAGGTGGATCCTGATGATGGAGGTAGGGGGGCTGTGGTGCCGGTGCCCCAAGAATTCCAGTATCACTCCGACGGGGAAAAGCAGGACGAATAGGTGCCGTCCTTTCCTCTGTTATCCAATAGTGAGTCACAAAGTCCCTCGGGACCTCCCGGAACCATCGTTACTCGCTTGCGGCCAAGAGAGTCAATGAAGCTAGAAGCATCTTGCCACTCGCTTGTCGAGCCATGTTTGATCTCACCTCGATCCGAACACCCTCGATCATCGAGCCTGCAGGGAGCCTGTGAGCTGTCACCTTGTGCAGGTCAGACCAACAGGCACACGCGCCATTCGGACAGAGATCGAAAGGGGGTGTGGGAGCGCTGGGGGGGTGCCAACCTCGCTCTTGTGCATGGTTTTAGTTACCTCCGTCACACCACAATGAAGTCATCGCACGATAGAGACCTCTCCGCTTCGCTCGCCCTAGATCTCGAACGCAACGCTGACCTGCAGGTAGTTGTTGTTGTCTCCCTCCATCATGGAATTGGGCTTGACGATCGTTCACCTATCCTCCGATTTGAACGACAGACGCATGTCTCCATGTCTCCATTCGCAGGATCGGGCCCTGCAAGTTGTGTTTGGCCATGGACTCGGCGCGGCATGCCCCTGCGGAGCACGGCCCAAATGATGTAACAGGGTCTCACTCATGTCAGGCTTGGTTGCGCGGGAACGGTGTGGAATGCAGTCGGCGACCACCAAATACGTCAAGCAGCAGATGAAGACCGAGTTAGAAACCCCTCAGAACTACCTCCGCGTATGACGCCAGCGGCCCCCTTGTCGTCACTTCCATCTGGATAAACAACAACAAGAGGCTTACCGAGGTGCCATGGATGCAATGCCACGATAGCGCATGGTGAAGGGTCTCGGGAGTGAAGTGGCGGTCCTCGAGATTGCTCGGGACTTGAACAACTGCCACGCGCTCCACGGATGGGGCAAAGGCAAGAACAGCTGTTTCCTTGACAATGATTAATTCCGGCGTGATGTTTTGTTTTTTTGACTAGTAATGAGAAATGTGTCGTTCTCGAGGCACCCACGGCACCCACTGGCATCTCGTAATGTGGGTGATCGATCTACATTCCAGACCCTCGGATGGCCGTCAAGACCCATTTTTGGCCAGGCACTCGCTGCATATTGAGCTTAATTCTTCCCTGCCAAACTTGTAGCGAAGCCGAGCCTGCCTGCCGTCCAGAAATGCACACTCAATCTTGAACTCAAAAGAGTGATGTGGAGAAAACGGACCCCTGCTCTTTCCGGTTTGCGACCATAAGCGCGGTGACGTCACAGGGTCCCTCTTTTTTTTGTGGGTGGCACCATCCACAACATCACTCCTTCCCTGTGCGCTTGACTCTTTCCTTCCTGACCGAGTGCAAAGGGAAATTGCGAGCGTCTCAAATGACAGCCTGTTATTCGTAATTCGACGGTGTGGCTGCTTGCCCAGACTCGAAGTTGCCTTGTCCCTATTCGCCCTCCCTTGTCTCTTTTTTGTCGAGGGAACACAATGCCGCTGAATGCCTCTTGGACCCCTTGAGCCCCTTCTCCCCCTGTTTAGACCCTGAAACCCCTTCGGCGTCACAAGCGCGCGGCAGGGCGGAGATGGGATTCTTTAATTGCCGCACCTTTGGGCGTCTCGGAAGCGCGTTGCCGGGCTGGCATTTTTTGAAAATCCCATGGTTGCATGGTCTTTTTGCGCGCAAGACCTGCCCGCCTGCCAAGTTTACGCAGTCACCTTCGAGTCCAAGACAGACCCAGCCTCTTCCGCCCATTGGTTCCTATTTCTGCACGAGCAAGGAATCCTCGAACATCCTGGTCCATGTGGGGACGAGTAGGGGATGCTGGGCGAAAAGAATACGGTCAATACACCAGTCCCCCCGTCGCCCTGTGCCTCCCGGTAGCTGTACTGTGTACGCGCTGTGGACAGGGCGGACAGCACGGTCGGAAAGCATGCATGTGCGGCGGCCACTGACATCATGGGATGGTGTTCGTCCCGCCAGGGGGGCGAACGATTCCTCGCCGTTGGTTCGGTTGTCCGAGTCCCCCACACCCACCAAAGCCTTGTCTTGTACAGTATTGTATTGTCTCGATCGTGTACCAAATACACAGGACCACGGCACGTCGACCTTCCGGTGTATCCGCTCGAGATGGTCCCAATTTCTCCCCGTGCCTCGCGTGCCTACTCGAACTTGCTTCACACAGTTTCCATCTCTTCTCGTGTGGAAATCGCGGAGCCGGGGCCGCTCTGATGCCATCGGCGGCTTCTCAGCATCGTCACTGCTCGCCTCCGTTTCCATGCGAGAGACTAGCGCAAAGGCCGTGGAGAAACGGGGGCAAACGGATGGAGAGAATCGAGTGGCCTTGACCTCACTCTCACCCGATCCTTTTAGCAGGATCAACGGGGTCTTGCCTCTCTGGTCATTCCGGCCCGGACCCACTCGCGTTGCCCTCCTCGTCGCCAACTTCCACGCTGTGGTACATATGTACATAGTTACATACATGTACTGTCCCAGACCACCAGAACGAACCAGACCAGAACCAGCACTGTCAGCCCGGGCGAGAAGCCTTCCGGCCGTTTTGGACCAAGTACTGGTGGGGACCTCCGCCATACCGTCACTGCCAACCCCTCCGACATGGACAGCCCTTGCTCGGACGGCAGACCCATGGCCGATCAGCTATGTAATGGGAAAGATTGCAGCCGGGAAGGTCGTAACGCTAGCGCACCCCCATGGGCTTCTCGACGGGGTCTGCATGTCGTGCCTCTCTGAGATTGGTGTCGAAAGGGCGCAGATCTGGAAGTGACGGCTGCAGGGCAAGACCCTTCCTTTTGGACCCTTCGAGCCCTCTCGTGCTCCCACGAAACACGACGGGGTCACCCTCCTACAGGACGTCTGTTGGACCCCGCCCCTGTGGGGTGATTAGCCGCGAACGCTGGTCCACCACAACTCGCCTCGGGGGGAGCACAGAAGAATGACTCTGATGTCGGCCGCCTCTCCGTTATAAAGACCGCCTCTCGCCGCCCTCTCCTGACATCTGCCTCCGTTTCTACACGCTCCTCGAGTAATAAAATCAAGTCACGCGGTCGTATCACGCTGGCTACAACCCCTGTTCGGTTCGTAGCACCAAACTACCAAACCGGTTTCTCGGATTTCTCTTACCCCTTTCATACAGTTTATAAAACCTTCTCTCAACAAATTCCCCGCCACAGACCCATTCCATCATGTCAACCACCCAAGGCGCATATTCAGTCTCAATGCCGCTCCCACCACCTCCTCCCGCCGACCTGGGCAGCTACGCCCGCACCATGCACCAGCACACCAAGCGGCAGATGGAGTCCATCTCACAAACTTCCCCAAGGGGTAGCCAGCACGGCCAACCCTCGCCAACGGGCCTCACCGACGGCGTCTCGGGCAGGAGTCGGAACTCCAGCCAATACAGCTAGTCGGCCCAACCTCGTGGGTCTGGCAGCAAGCCGTATCAGGCAATGAACAGCGCGCCTAGTCGAGTTCGACTACGCACAAGACATAACAACAACAACAAAAATCGAGAAACTGCGACAGTTAAGCACTTTTCAACGTTGCGAAGACGTCCAGAAGCACACGAAGAATGGACGGGGTGATGAGAAACACGATGCATGATGTGCATACATCATGAGCCGGCGCATTTGGGTTAGGGACAACCAATTGGCATTTTTGTTGCGGGCGGTGTTGGTTTTTGGCTTTGGCTTTGGCTTTTTGAGCATGGCGTTGAGGGTTGGGGACGATAGGCAACGAGCATCCATTTGTTTTGGTCGCACCTGAATATACGCGGCGACCCCAACTAACATTGGCTAATGTCGTGATGTGATGACTGGGCGGATCTACTTCTACTAACCGTTGATTTCCGAATGTTCGATCTGGGCCAAGAACAACTCACTCCCCTGTACACAGTGAGAAGCATATGTAACTCGACGATCCCGTGCGGATGCTCCCCGTAGTTAACGCTCCCCGTAACGCTCCCCTGCCGATCTGGCTCTACTCAGACAAGCGGCTTTTTCTTCTTGATGCCCAGCAACGCAGCGTGGTCCTTCTTTTTCTTGACCTGCCGCTTGAAGCTTGGAGGTGGCGGCGGTGGCATATCCGGCGTTGCCGCGGCCGAGGGTGGTTTTGAGTCTGACGTTGACGCCGTCGCCGAACTCGAACCAGACCCCGACCCAACCCCGTTCCCGTTCAGCACACCACCCCCGTTCATCGCATCGTCCCCCTCCCCATCCTCTTCCACGACCTCCTCCAGCATATCCTGCCGCCTCACAAACGCAAACGCCTTCCTCGCCGCCTCAGCATCCTCCTCCTCCTGCCTCCTCCTCTCCTCCTCCTCAGGCCTCACCACCCCGGCCACCACCGCATCCAGCACATCCCCCCCACCCTCGCGATTCGCCTTCTCCAACCGCGCATTCCGACTCCGAATCTCATCCAACGCATCCGCCACCGCCATCTCCCTCTTCGCATCCTCCGTCTTGGCCTCCAACTCCGCCATCGCATTCCTCTCCTCCTCCCCCTCCGCCTCCATCTCCCTCTCCAACCGATCCAACCTCTGATCATCCGTCTCCGCAGCACCACCCCCCCCATTCTCCCCATCCTCCCCACCCAGCCCCCTCTTCCACGGATCCGTATTCCGCTTCGCCCCCTTCTCCACCACATAATCCTGATTCTTGGGGTCCGTCCGGAACACAATCTCGCCCGAGCAGCGCGTGCAGCGTATGTAGAAGCGGTACAGCTGGATGCCCAGGTAGCGCTCGCCGGGGGGCGTCTCCTTGCGCGCGTTGAACTTGCGCCCCCGGTACATGTACTCGCCGCAGGCCACGCAGCGGAGGGAGAAGGGCGCCATGAGCCGGACGGTTTGGACCTTGGGGCCTTGTTGCGCTGCCGAGCCCTTGGGCTTGCGCGCGCGCCCGACGAGGGAGGGGTCGAAGTCGGGGGGGTAGTATTTGCTGTGTGGTGGGGGGGTGGTGTTAGTTTGGGGTTTGTTTTTTGTTTTGTTCGGAAGGGGAGGACGGGAGAGGAGGGCATCGCGAGAGGAACGTACGTGAGAACTTTGCGTTCGGACATGGTGGCGGCGGGTTGGTTGAATTAGAGACTAATATCGGTGGTCCTCGCTAGGATCGCGGTGGGCGGGTGTTGAAGTTGCCGTGAGGTTGCGCAGGTGTCGTCAGGTTCGAGATTTGATGATTTGGGTGTGTTATGTAAAGGAAACGATGGCACTTGTTAATCGCCACCCCAAGAGCATCTCAATTCGCCAAGCCGCAGGGCCAGCAAGGTGCACATACCAGGGTTAGGGTTGTACTCCCACCCCTGAGCTCTCGCAACAACAACATTAACCTGAGCACTTCGAAAGATGTCATCCCCAGTCCTGGTGAGTTTATGAACATATTTACCACTAAAAAGGTCACTCCTTGATCCCAACCTCCAGCATCTCAGCCAACAAATCCCACTTCGCCGCCGCCTCCTCCTTACTCGCCCTCGCCATCCCCCTCAACCCGGCCGCAACAAACCTCAAATGCCTCTCAAAATCCTCATGCAACTCCCCCAAAACCACCGCATACGGTTTCTCTGTACCCCCCACCCCCCCTTTCCAACCCAGTCCCTCCCCACCCGACCTCTCGCCATCCCCATCCTCATCCTCATCCTCCTCCACCCTCCTCCTCTTCACCGGCCTGGCGGCGGGGGACGCCTTATAAGGCGACGCCATGACCGACAGCCGCGAGACCTCCATCTCCTCCTCCTCGCGGCGCGCCATCTCGGCACGCTGGACATCGTGCAGCCGGAGCGCCAGGTCAAAAACGTCGAGCACGCCGTCGCGGATGGGCCGCAGGCGGGAGCCCTGGCACGACTCGGCGACGACGCGCGCGACAAACGCGGCGTGCGCGGCGACCATGTCGTCGACGTCGGCGGCGGCGTCGTCCAGGTCGGCGCGCAGCCGGGCGGTGTTGGGGGTCAGGACCAGGGTGGTCAGGTAGGTCTTGATGGTGTTGCCGAACCAGAGGAGCTTGCTGCGCAGGAGGTAGTAGCGCGCCATGTCGGCGCGGCCGCGGCGGCGGCCGCCGCGCTGGGATGAGGGGAGCGGGGATTGGAGGATGGAGAGGGCGCGGCGGGCTTGGAGCTGGAAGGTGAAGAGGGTTTGGTAGCCGCGGATGTCCTCTTCGGGGACGACGATCTGTACGGGCCAGCTGAGGCGGTAGTTGAGTCGGATGAAGGGGAGGCTGTGGCGGACGGAGCTTCGGGCGAGGACTGCGCTGTTTCCGAGGCCGCGCGGGTCGACGTTTGCGGAGAGTCGGTAGCTGTCCAGACAAGCCGAGAAGGCCTCCTGAGCGATCTCGGTTAGGGTGAAGCGGTCTTGCCAGCTGTTGTTGAGGTTGTCGAGATGCCGGAAGACGGACGAGGCGAAGGAGTTGGCCATTGACCCGTCTGACATTAGGTAGATGTGTTGTAGGGCGTCTAGACTTTCAAACAAACTGTACGAGCTGAAGAGTAGTTCACGGAGTGTTGCGGCTGCAGTGTGGTGTTTGCTTCGGATCCATGCCTGGAAGGCAGCGCCGAATAACTCGCTGAAGGGCGCGAATTCAAGCTCATCCGGACAAACCGTCGCAAAGTCCATGCTCGGTTCAGCGGTGGCTCGGTATTTCTTGGTTGATTCATGCTGCTTCATATGTTTCAGCACGACAATGCTCTTGCCAGCTATGAAGATGCGATGAATCGAGGGGTTGAGGAACCGGGGTGCGTGAAGGTGACCCTCAGGAGAGCGCAGCAAGTTAAACTGGCCCTTCCAAATCTGGGACAGCGGTAGCTTCGCTGGCGACTCGGAAACGAAAAACGTTCGGTCGCCAGGCAAAAGCTTCCCTTCCTCCATCCACAGCCGGATGGGTTTCAGGTAGACCTGGAAGCAGTCGAAGAAAATGGTCCCCAGTAGTCGGTACGTAGCATTATTGCCTTGCAGCTGGGCTATCCCCGCCGCGTCGTATAGGAGTTCGAGGTACCGAAAGGCATGGGGGTTCCGCTCTTGTTGGACTTGGCGCACAATATCTGCCAGTACATAAAGCGGCGCGAGTTTCGGGCCCAGTTCCCCGAGCACCCCGATGAGGCTGACGACAACGTCTTCCTTGATAGCAACAAGGCTGGTCTGTATCACAGACAGTTCTGAGTCGAGGTCATGTAAGGCCTTTTGTAAACAGTCTTGAAAGACCTGCAGAAGGGGTGACTGCTCTCTGTTTTCGACGTAGTCCCGCAAAGGTGCGAGTTTCCGGCCACACTCGGAAAATGATGTGGCAAGGGCCCTGTAAGAATCCCAGGAAATCCCCCGAAGCTGGTATGTCGCTACAGGGTTGCATTCAAAGTCGAATAAGCTCGTCTCGAGGCCGGCCAGCATGAAGAGGGCCTCGCGAAGAAACTGGATGGTCGAGATGGGGACCTTCCTGGACCTTCTATCGCCGTCTTGTGCGGAGGCATGTCTCCAAGCCTGAGCGTCTTGGGTCTGCTTCAACGGTTCGGCCCCTTGCGGCTTGGTGGCCAGGTCCTGTGCCGTGCGGCGATATTGGTCTTCGGTGGAAGATGATGTTGTGAGAGACTCCAGAGATGCTTCAGACTGGAGGTCAACTTGCTCTTCGTCGCTAGATCCGAGGGAATAGTCGATGAATTTCCAAATGTCCCTTTCCTCTTTCCAGCCGTCTTCCCTGGCAATGTCACGCCAGGTTAATGGTGGTGGGGCGTCTTCTTCGGGCTCGACGAGGGCGTCCAAGTCGCTGAGCTTAGAGTTTTGGGCCGGCTGATCGGCGAGCTCCAAGAGGAAATGCAGAACTTCGGGTGTGAACTGATTCTGATGTGGCTCAAATGCGTTCAGTCGTGTGCGCAAAGCCTCTGCCAAACCATCTCGACCGACGACAGAGAACCGCTCCTCGAGCCCATTTAGGCGGTCCTCAACCTCGAACTGATTTGTGCGAATGAAGGTATGACTGCGCAGACTCCGCAAGGTAGCCTCGCGGCAAGAATTTCGCATTTCATGTTGAGTCTAGCCTCGTTAGCGAGACCCTAAGAGTGAGATCGGAAGTGATGGAGACGGAATAGAATCGGATTCACACCTCTGGGATGGCAGTTATGGCCGCAACAAGTTCGTCTGTCAACGCTGCCAGCTCCGCAAGATGTGCCATGTTGTCAAGGCTACTAGCCCGAGCATTCTGCTAGTTGGGGCCGTGATCAACCCGAGGTGCCTCCTTGAACTAGGGGCCAGGGGTGACTGAGAGCTTTCAGAGGCAGTCGTGGCCCCCACAATAGTGTGTAAATAGGTAGCCTTTTGTATGCAGTTGTTACACCCTGGACGCGCTCGGTTGACGCGTCAGATCATGACCGCAGAAAATATGTGCCCAAAAAACGGCAACCAACACGGGCCACTGCAATAAGGTCAAAAGTGTAGCAAATTGCAACGAATGAATTCCCCTCGTCGCCGCTTTGTAGGGTAACTTTTAGCGGGGAGAACAACCAATACTCCTGCCAAGCAAAGGGCAGCTACACGGCCAAGTTCGAGAAGCTGGAAACAGCTGCTACAAAATATGGCGCACGGGCCAGTTCAACTCCCATTCGCAACCTTGGCATCTGAGATGACATCAAGCCTTCTTGCAGGCCCCCCTATTCGATCGAAATTTTGGCCCGCATGAAAGGACCTCGCAACCTCGAATACTCCTGCCCCAGTTTAATTAACCTTGGACCAACGCGCCGCCGCTGGGAGGAAGAACGACGCGCACCACCTCCAGCAACCCCATCACCGACAGCTACGACGACACACATCTCGACCTGGGACGACGAGTCACCTACAGCGCATCTGTAAATGACGAGGCCCAAATAGCAGATGTTGGACGCCGGCCATCCGCGCGAACAGACCTGATTAGACACGACCATCCCAAGCTCAACCACGATCGACCAAAACTCGCCATCATGGCGATTGCTCGCCCCGTGAGGGCGCTGGGGTTCACGGCCGTGGTGTTGTGGTGCTTCTTCGTATGGCAGCTCTTCAAGCCCATAGCAACCCCCATGGGTCCCGGCGCCAGCAGCTTTTTGCCAAAAGAGCGAGATCCCAACTTGGACCGTAAGCACACCCGACGGCATGACACGGCATGGTTATCTGTAGCATGGTCGGCTAACATGGACAGCTACCGGCGAGCCCGAGGGCGTTTTGACATATGCATCCGAGGGATATGCCCCCGGCCCTGAGGGCACGGCGCGCATCGATGCCACCCTGCTGGCGCTCGTGCGGAACGAAGAACTGGACGGGATGCTGCAGGCGATGCGCGACCTCGAGAGGACATGGAACAACAAATTCAACTACCCGTGGACGTTTTTCAACGACGTGCCGTTCTCGGACGAGTTCAAGAAGAAGACACAAGCCGAGACCAAGGCCGAGTGCAGATACGGTACGTCGTGGCAGGACATGCGTGCTGGGTGAGCGTGAGCGATGGAGCTGACCAATGCAGAACTTATTCCCAAGGAGCACTGGGATGTGCCGTCGTGGATCAACAACGACTTGTTTCTAGAGTCAACCAAGATCCTCAAGGAGCAACAGGTCCAGTATGCCGACAAGGTGTCGTACCACCAGATGTGCCGCTGGAACAGCGGTCTCTTCTACAAGCACCCCGCCCTGGCCAACACGCAGTACTATTGGCGCGTCGAGCCCAACGTTCACTTTTTCTGTGACGTCGACTACGACGTCTTCCGCTATATGCAGGACAACAACAAGACGTATGGCTTTACCATCAACCTGTACGACTCGCCCGAATCGATCCCCACGCTGTGGCCCGAGACGGAGAAGTTCATCGCCGAGCACCCCGAGCACATTCACGAGAACAACGCCATGAAGTGGCTGACGGACAAGACGCGCCGCCCGGATCACAACGAGAAGGCTAACGGCTACTCGACCTGCCACTTCTGGAGCAACTTTGAGATTGCCGACATGAACTTCTGGCGGAGCAAGCCGTACGAGGACTACTTTAACCACCTCGACCGGGCCGGCGGCTTTTATTACGAGCGTTGGGGCGATGCCCCCGTTCACAGTATTGCTCTCGGATTGTTGGAGGACAAGAACCGTGTTCACTGGTGGGTCTCCCCCAAATCTGGGATTTTGGTATGGGTACTAACGGCCGCAGGTTCCGCGATATTGGCTACCAGCACATCCCCTTCTTCAACTGCCCCAACTCGCCCAAATGCAAGGGCTGCGAGACCGGCCGTTTCACCGACGGAGAGGCCTGGCTGCACAGGGAGGACTGCCGGCCCAACTGGTTCAAGTTTGTCGGCATGGGCTAAGTCAACTTATGGGCAAAACGAGACGTTGGCTTATCATGTATATCGTTCGGTGACGCGGCAGGGTTTTGGACTACACGCATGGGGGTTGAGGTGTTTGGCGCAGGCGGTATGTTTAGTCTTTGGTGCGCTAGAATAACGCCTCTGGGGTTGGCCGGTGGTTTCTAGATGGTTGGATCCGGCAGCTAGGAGGATATCTCGGGTCAGGATATCTATTCTATATTTTTATGACATCCAGGGCCGAACCCCTGAAACGCATGAGGCGCCTTCATTGACCGAACACCGTCACCACCCCGGATGTGCCACCCACGCAGAACTGGTCCCCGAAACCACCTTCTTTCCACGCGATGCAGCTCACCACGTTCTTCCGCTCCTTTTCCTTCCCATCCCTCCCGATAGCCTTCTTGCGGTTCTCGCTCCCGCTGCCCCAGGGGACGGGTATGGTAGCCACCAGCTTGCCGGTCAACAAATCCCACGCCCACACCCTCCCCTCATCCCCCGTCCCCGTCCCCGTCCCCGTCATCTCATCCCCCGCAACGACGAACCTCTCCCCCCCACCAAGCACACTCTGCACCCTCAACTCCTCATTCCGCCACCCCTCGGCCGCGTACGTCCTCAGACACGACCCATCCCGCCGATCCATCAGCCGGATCTTGCTATCCAGCGTCCCGACGAGCACCGTCCGCCCATCCCTCGCCAGACACAAACTCGTAACGCTCCCGGGGAACACATCCGTCACACACCGCCCCATCCGCACATCATACCCGCGCACCCGCCCGTCCACACTCCCGGCAAGAATCACCTCCCCCTCCACCGCCAGCGCCGTCACGCTATCCCGCGCCTCGCTCAGCACCTGCACCGGCCGTGCCCCGCCCGCCCGCACATCCCACACCCGCACCGTGCAGTCCAACCCCCCCGAAACCACCAAACTATCCCCCCCACCCGTTCCCAGCCCAGCACCCCCACCCCCACCAGAGGAAGGAGAGGAAGAACCCGCAAAACAGACAGCGTTCACCCGCCCGGCATGGGAGTGCGCCGTCGACGCGGACCCGAAGCGCCGCACCGTCTGCGCCGTCGCCACGTCCCACAGCAGCACGGCGCGGTCGCCGCCGCCGGAGCAGAAGTGGGCGTTGGAGGGCGAGACGGCGAGGGTCAGCACGGCGTAGGCGTGGGAGGTGTAGGTCTGGATTTGTTTGCCAGTTGGTAGGGGCGGTGGTGCCTGGGTCTTTACTTGGGTGGGGGTGGCGTTGAGAGGGGGGTTGGTGGTTGGGGGGGTGGTGATGGTGTTGGTGTGGTTGCTGCTGCTTGGGGGGGCGGGCGTGGTGGAGGAGGGGTTGTACAGCCGGATGGAACGGTCGGCCGAGCCTGTGAGGATGTAGGTGCCTGGGGAGGCGGAGTAGGCGAGCGCGTGGACGGGGCCTGGGAGGAGAGGGTTAGCTTTCTCTGGCCTGCTTGCTCTGTCTGGGAGTGGGTGTGTCGGCTGCGGGGCGTAGGGCTGGGTCCCGTCATTGGAGGGGAACCAAGAAAATGAGACTTGAAATGCCGACGGGCTCTGGGTGCGCGGCCCGAGATGTCAGCTTGCCTTGGGGACTCTGGTGAGTCAAGCGAATGCTGGCTAGGCGCCGAGGGATCATCTCGCCAGCCAGTGAGCGCAACACCCCAACCCCCCATCCACAAGCACAGGATCGGAGAGCTGATGCAAGAGATAGGAAAGAGAAGGCACTCAACAGCCCAGCAACAAGCAAAGGAAACGTACCATTCGACCCAAGCAGCTGGGCCACCGGCCGTGTGGGGAACTTTGGCGAACGCTGGGTCATCTTGGTCGTCTGCGGCGGCTATCTCGAAAGCGTCTCACACCGATTCCTCCTGCGGGCGGGCGGGCGTCATGAACTGGAGCTTGAATCCCGCTGGTAGCCGTCCATCCTCCTCGTATCCCCAACCTAGAATGTGACCTGAAGGACCGACCACCACAATGATCCGTCTCTCTTTTGCAGCCAGTCGCAGCGATGCTCGACGCGCTCGAGTCTTCGCCTCGCTCCTTCGCGCGAGCACAAGGCCCTTGGAGCCTCAACAATCAGATGTCAGTTTTTTTTTTTGAGATAATCCGAGATGCGCCTCACTCTCGGATGAGTGTAATCTGTACTGCGCGTGACCGAATGGAGACAGGTTGAAGAGTGGCAGTGGCGGCTGACTTTGCGAACTTGTGCACAATTCCACCACTGACGACTCGTCTTTTTCAGGTGGTGAGGACGCTATTTTTGCTTTGCTTTTTTTTTTTTGCTCTCCTCGATCGTGCTGTTATTGTTGGGTTGTCTCAAAAAGTGACAAAGCTCGATCGACAACCGAGTTAGTTAATTGTTAGCGTTAACGGCGGCCGTTGAGCAAAACGGACGCGTGCATCGGAATTCCACCCGGAGTTGTGAACAAAGGCTAAACTCACCCCACCCCGCACCTGGCCGTTGCACACCCACCACCACCCACCACCACGACCCCGCGGAACCTGGAAACGACATCCTTCCAGAAGGCCGCTAGAAGCTCGCCGCGTCTCGCGCCAAGCACACAAAACCCACGCCGCAACCACGCACGTTCGAGGGACGGAACCAAGGACCGAGTCGGACGAACCAGGGCGAGGCGAGGCAGACGGGGGATCAGATGCATCTGGAAAAAGTCCCCAAGAAGCAAATGCTGCGTTCCGCGCCGCAGGGCTGCCGAGATGGCTTCTTTTCCACGTCACGCAATTCGCAGCACTGCATACCAATAAATCCAATAAATCCGAGAACGAGCTTGCAACCAACGCGTAATGATCCCCCCTGCCTCGTCAGATCCCCCGAGATTAGGTACCGTCCCGGCACTGTCATCGGTAGTCATCGGAGATCATCGCGGAGGTGCATTGTTGCGCGGTAGGGCTGGGGTGCGTGGTGCGTGGTGCGTGGTGACTCTGGTGAGCCGAAGGATGTCTCCAGAAACGGGATCATCCATCTATGTATCTGCCTTGACCAGTTACCAGACTCGACAGTTTGCTGGTTGTCATTTCGGCTGAACCGAGGGGAGGAATGAACTGTCGGGATACAATCCTGTCACATCACATCACCGGGTTGAACCAAGTTTGAATGGTGGGATGGATAAGTTTGTAGATGAGCCGCTGAGGCGACGAAAGAGAAGTAAACAGGGTATAGAGATAAATACAGGAGGCATCTGGGAACAGATGTAAGATAAAGTATAGACAAGAATATGTGAAATGTGAAACGTCCCTCTCTCTCTTCCCTGTCCCTCCCCGCCCTCTCCCTCTTTTGAGGCCCGGGTCTGAAAAAGCCAGAAAGCCAACCAACGCCGAATCAACAATGCAATGATGCTAAACCGCCAAGACCCCATAACAATACAGCAGATATAGATAGCAAAAAACATAACTGAAGTGAAAAAAAAGAGAGACGAAAATGAAGACAAGATAGCCGCCCGTCCTGTTCCTCGTCCATGTCATATAACGTGAAATGACTCGTGCCTCCAGATTATTCCTCCGGGTATATTGTCCTAGATCCGGTTCGCAAATGGTCGGCCGTTTCATCATGCGTATGTGGATTGGGCCCTCGCATCACCAACGATGCCGTCGTAGCTGTAGGCCGACGCACACCGTTTCCACCGGGGTTTTCGTTTCGTAGACTCGCTCCACCGGCAGCTGTGGCTTCTCCTCTTGGTCGTCCATGCTCATATTCGCTCCCTCCCAGGTCGAGTATCGGGCTGACAGGGATTATGCGTGTTCGATGCACCAACGCGCGTTCCCCCATCGATGCCGGAGGGTTGGTCCTCGAACTAGGTGGCTCGAGAGCCGGCAAGTTTAGATCGAAACCTTGTCACTGGTGCCGGTCCAAAGTCGCTCACAATCGGAAGCGATGTTGTCTTTGGTTGGTCGCCTTCGTCGGAAGAGATGAGCCAGTAGCTGCTCGAACAGACAACCTGGTCTGGGGTTGAGGTCATCCATCACTCATGTTGACCAGATCGATGCCCAGGCCCATGAGGTTGACGACGGGTGTTTTATACACGAGCATCAGGTCGTCTGGGAAAATGTCAGCAATGTCCTCCCTCGATGATAATTCTTGGTCACATACGGATCGGTCTGCCAAGCCCGTCGCAGAACATCATCATGAAGCCGCGGCAACGTCTCCGGCTGCCGCCAGGAGAAAGGAGCAGCGGGCCGCGCCGAGTCAGGCGTTGGCGCCAGCGGCGATTGTCGCCCAGTCGTCGGGCTGTAGTGCTCGTAACCGACGCGAGCGAGTTTGCGCGGTCCCGAGAGGTCGGGACTCGCCGGCCGAAGCGTTGTCCGCGGCGAGACTGATCCGCTCGAGTGGCTGCTCGGCCTGGTATGGTGGTGGTGGTGATGATGGTCCGTCGGTGGGCGTTGGATCATTCCCCCTAGCCGGCGCAGATCTTCGACCTCGGCCGGAGGCGTGGAGGGAGATGTGTTATGACCGCCTCGGGGCCTATAGCATGGGGTTTCAGTATTAGATTCTTGGCCAGGGTTCGTGCACGGGACTTGTATCCATCCAGGACTTACGCATTCTTGAACTTGCAAACCCGCCCAAACTTCTCGCACTGCACGCACCGCGGGTAGTCCGGGTCGCACTTGATCTTCTTCTCGCGGCAGGTGACGCACGCGATGGCCAGTCTCTTTCTCGGCTTCCCGGCCTTCGTCACGCCCCAGTGCGCGTTGACCGCCTCTCCGTCGATGACCGTCTTGCAGTGGCTCCCATCGTCGTAGAAATAGCACATTCCCTCGCCCGGGACCTCGGCTGCCCGGACGAACCGCGGCAGAAAGTGCGTCCCCGTCCAGATCTTGGGCCCCAAACCGTCCTTCGCCGGAGGCGCTTCCGAGCCAACACTGCTTGTCGGTGTCGCGGGCGGATTGAGGATCGGTGTTTGAGGCTCCCGGTAGTCCGTCCTCCGCCCGTCTTCCCGGCCGCCTGGCAATTGAGGGGGGTACCGGTCCATAGCCGGTTGGTAAAACTGATGGTGATCACGGCCGCCGAAGGAATACTCCCGGCTCGTCTCGTGCTGTGCAGGCCACTGACTCCCGGAACTGTACTCTGGGCGCCCGTCTTGCCGTTGCTCCTGTCGTGGTGCGGGCGAGAGCGCCCCTGGGAACACTCGCGATAGCGGCGGGATCTGAGGGCGCTCCGGCAACCTCGACTCCAACAAGCTCCTGGGTTGTGATGCGGACGGCGCTGACGAGGGGAAGTACGAGGATGAGCCCACGGCCGGCCTGAGGGGATGGTCAAGTGGTGACGAGGCTGAATAGTGTCCCGGACGCTCTGAGAAGGGCGAGTGGAGCGGGGCGATTTGTGAGGGCGGTCCAAAGAGGCTGCTCAAGGAAGGAAGCTGTTGTCGTGGTGCACTCTGGTCGGGAGAAGATTCCCTGCGGGACTGCGTATCCTCTGAGCCCTTGCCGGACGACGACATGTCGCTTGCCTTGACGGTCGGGTCATAGTTGGACATAGGGGGGGATGGAGGAGCACGCAAGTTCCAGGATTTCTCCTCTGACTGGCGTAAGGGAAAGGAGGCCGAATCCGGTGTGAGCACCTCGGGTGGTGTGTCTGGGATGGCCGAGCGGAATCGAGGTTCGAGAACTGTGGTAAACCCCATTGAGAGCGGTGTTGGTTGGTGTGACCTGGGCTGCTTGTGGGTTGTGTGTGTCCGTGTCATGCCCTTCGGGTGAGGGAAGGGAAAGCAATTTTCGATTTAGGTTGGCGGCACACGGGCACAGTCTCTTGAAACGGTGTAGTGGTTCGCAGCAGTGAGGCGAGGGCCTCGAGGGCGAGTGGCAGTAGATATTCGCCCGGGTAAACGTGCGCAGTACTCAGGCGGCGCAGTCGACTCAGGGCCACCCCGTGTAGACAAGCCTACTGCCAAGGCCAAGAAGGAGAAGGGTACCGATCCCCGGATAATTGAGCAAGAGCTGCGAGATGCGCAAGCGATCTGTTGGTGGTCTCAGTGTGCCCCGGGGAAACAGGGGGTCCGGGTTGACAGGGTGCAGCCAGCAACGTACTGTGTACAGACACTGACCGGGTTGCTGTGCGTCGGGGGGCAGTTTGCCTGGGTTGTACGAGCCGGAGGGGAGAGGGGAGGAGGGGGGGTCTGGAAGGAACAGGAGGGCTGAGAGGCGACAATGTTGGGTATGTGTGAGCTGCGAGGGAGACGGGATTGGATGTTGGACTCTGTCTGCCGGCTCAAAGCTGCAAGTACATAAGGTACATACATACAAAACAGCCGGGCCTTCTGTCGGCCAGACTCCGGATACCACCAACACAGGCTGCTGACCCGGTCGAAGTCAGAGCTGGAGACAGAGGGAAAGGCCCCTCGACCCTCGACAAGGGTTCGAGGACTGGGTTGCTCGTGCCCACGGTATTGGCAAGCTAGCGTCCCGATTAGTGTACGATGCAGGCCAACCCGGCCCGATGGATGCTGCTCGTCAGTCCCCAGAGACACCCACACAGTTGCCGCAGGCTCCTCCTACCCCCCCGTGGGCCAGCTTGGCGACTCTTCTCCAGCAAGGAAGGCAGGCGTGGCTCCGAACCCATGGCTTTCGGCAGTGCGGCATGGCGTTGCGGACTTCAGACGCTGCATGCAGTGGTGAGCGAAACGGGAAGTGAAAGCGGGCTGGGCAAGCGGGTCCCAGAGATCCTGCAACCTGGGCAAGGAGAATCCTCCCGTGGTTACCGTTACCGCGAGTGATGAAATTCGTAAAATGTCAATGTCGCCCACGGCTCTCTGGCTTCATGCCGCACGTCCATTCCCATCCTATCCCATCCCGAACACGCGGTTGGTCTGGTTGAGCCATCCCGGCGACTTGCGGCGACACGGCACACGGCGTGGGTGACCCCCCCCCTTCAGGGAGCATGCTGGAGGGAGCGAGCAGGGTGTGGCCCTGAGAGATTCGGGCCCCTTGCAAGACACCCCGAGTGGTTGACCGATGGATGGCTACCACGAGGCAAAGAGGGTTCGGGAAGATAAGAGGCTGGAAAGAGGAGCGTGTGTGATGAACCGGGACTCCCAGTCAGGGGCAGGGACAGGGGCCCCAGGTAAAGAACCCCAGGAACACAGGCGCCAAGAACGGCGAATGACGCCGCCCAGATCGGGAAGAGTGTCCTGTGCTCGGGGTTTTGTGAGCGGGATGACCGGCCACGTTGGGGAAGTCGGGCCGCTTTGCGGTGCTCTGTCGCTATCTTCTAGCTACATACTGTGTGAGCAACGTTCTGGTTGAGCGTCCGAAAGGTAGCGACACAGCCAAGTCGAAGAGGCACTGTCCTTTGTGTCCTTTGCATCCACAGTAGAACCGTGCAGGCGGTGCTCGACATGAGATGGTGTGTGCCGAGTAACGATCAACTAGCCTCAATTCCTATCGGACAGCCGTGCCGCGTTTTGTTCTGGAACTCGCGCGTTGTTGACTCGGGGAAAGCGGGCGGCGTTGGGGCGACCGCTCTGGTGCAACGCTGTCTTTTTCGCCTGAACTTTTGGAGGGAGCTCGGGAGACACTTAACCAAAACGAGGCATAGTCGAGAGGAGCGTTGCAACATTGTCTGTATGGTACGGTAATCCCGTCGTCAGAAAAACCGCCACTGGGAGACGCCGGTGTCCGAGGTAGGCTGGGCAGGCTCGGCAGGCTCGGCAGGCTCACAACACCCGGAGCCAGCACCGCACAAAGTTGTATTTTTGGCCCATCTCGAAAGTTCGGAGCTACCAGGGAGGGAGGAAATTCAGGCGGACTCGGCGGGGCTCAACGGCACGGCAAACTTGGCGGCTCGGGCATGGGGTTTCCCCATGTGCCTTCCTGATTCATTTTCCTTTCCTGCCATGAGTTATGACGATTGGTGTTTACACAGTCGGCTCCTTCCTCTCTCGTTATTTCACGATGTCGTTACCCACCTCTGACTAGCGGCTGCCCCTTCCTCCAGTGGCCCAATTTAAGAAGGCAGTTTGCGGGGTTGAGAAACCGAGACTCGGCCATGCGCGGGCCCAAGATCAATTTTACCGGCGGCCATGCTTCCTGGCCTGGTGTTTGCTCCTCTCCGCACATTCATACCTCGCCTATGGTTGTTGCGACTAACCCGTGATTAGCGAACTCGGGACGGGTTCTGCCTATACTTTTAGACCAGGCAGTGCATTCTCTCCACGCTATGCATGAGTTCTGTACTCACTCTCCTTCGAGGTCAGCTCATCAAGCTCTGAGCTCAAGCAGAAACACAGTGCGTGCTTGCTGTGCTCGTCGTGCTCGTCGATCTCCGAAGCCCAACCCTGCAACGACTGGAGACATTCGAGAAAAGGCTAATATGGGCAGATGGGATGACGGGGTCGGGACATCGCTGGCTCGATCCCAACTTCCTGGATCGCTGGTGTGGAACGGCGGATACTTGCGAGAACTGGGCACCACCCACTCATTCGTCCACCTTCCCTTCCCAGCACAACTGCGAAGAAAACCGACGTCTTGGAGAAATCGAATGCCGAGGGGCTGATGGCCCAAGCGTCTGTGGGTGGTCCCGGTGGGGTTATTGAAGAAGTGGAGATCCCCAAGGGCGCTCAGACCCTATCGTTTTGACAAGAGAGACGAGAAGGAGCGGTTCTGGCGAAAGTTCCTCCCTTCTTCTGACACAAAACAGTTTCTCCACCATTCGCTCCCGGGCTCCCAAATCACCCCGTCGTCATGATGCATGAAGGATCGCTGGTTGCGCCGAGAGCGCGGAGAACGCCCCCTACTTTGTCCAAACGAACGTCTCCCCGTTTCGACTAGGAGACTAGTTAGCCGGGCCCTCGCAGTGCGTCGCCAGTCACATCTCGTCTCCGAGAAACGCCACATACTTCGCTTCTATGCAATACCGGCCGCCGCTGCCCCCATCCAGCATCGTCCGGCTGATTTCGCCATCACCCCATCCGTCATGCCGCCATTCCGCTGCTCGAAGAAAATAAGACGGGGGCTCGCGGCCCATCCGTGTGCAGTCGCCAAGACACGAGGTGCAGGAGCTGAGCTTGCTCCATCAACGGGCAGAGCAACAGCCGAGTTCAAGACACGTGGGAACGCTGCGGCAGTCCAGAAACGAGCCCTGGTTGGCCCCCCGTGCTCGGCTTGTTGTGAACTGAACTCTCCATCTGACCCCGATTCAGCTGATCTTTTCACTGCCACTGTCACTGCCGCCGCCGGCCGGGCAATGACAAAGACCGACAGCTCGCGAGCAGACCGAGGGGTGGTGCAGTGGAGAAACCCCCCACTCACCGGACGTCCTTTGCAAACCAACACACAAAATGGTGGATGCTAGAGCGGCATCGCTGGTGGCTCGAGACTGCTTTCCACAGGACAGTAATCATCCGAAATTCGACGAGAGGTGGCTTAATATTGCCCTCTCATCGAGGACCTGCATCTCTCTTCTTTGGAACCGGCTCACTCGCCACGCATTACTGGACCGTCCAATACATTCCGTGGGTGTAAATTACCGTGCATACATGGCAGAACCAACGGCGCCAGACACGGGTTCAGCCGCGCCAGCACGTCGGCCTGCGACGCAGATCTTCCGGGGCCTCTTGCACCCGCGGTCGACGGCCCGCCGAGCGCTACAGAGATCGACCGTTGAGGTGGATGAACGTATCGTCAACCAGCGAGCCTTTGTTTACGAACGCGTCCTGATGAAAGAACATCCACTCATCTTATCATACCCACAGCGGGCAAAAGGGCTCTGAGTCGACGCCTCCCCAAAATGGTTAGTTGCATGGCGTCATATCGCCGTCCGAAGATTCTCCGCAAAAAAAAAAAAAGAAAAAAAAGGCTCAAAAAATATCGAACAATCTCTCCTAGCTTCAAGTTCTTGCCAACTCCGGCTCTCGACGGCCCCATACTGTGTAACTGATCGAATTGCGCAGGGTGATGCCCAGGCTCTCGGATCTCCACGGAAAACGCTAACTGTACGAAGACCGAGCATCTCAAAAGACACACCGGCGGAAGGACATCATGGATGCCATGGGGCTCCCGCGAGCTAACCCGCTTGAGTACAAGGCAAACACTAGTCTCATCGAGAAGGGGGAGATTGTTCAGGGCCGCACGCCCTGGCAACCGTTCATCCTCGGCGACACGTGGAAGAAGAACTGACGGCAACAGTGAGTGACTCGGTCACATTCTCGCGCTGTTGGCGGAAAGTCATGGGTAAGACAAGGAAGTGTCTAGATCGACGTCAACATCTCGGGGAACTCCCGCATCACAGCCTGCATGCCCGTGTCTCGGGAGTTTGTCCCAAATGGTACCATTTCTGTGACGACGTTGAGCCGTCATTGGCCGCCACACCGGCAATCCAAGCTCGTTGGCGCTTCAACATCGGAGACTTCTTGAGTCTCGGTGTCAGAGATAAACCGCGCGCTGCGCTTCTCTTCCGCGGCCCCTGTTTTTTGTATCTGGCCGGCCGGCTGGAGAGGCGTTTCCCGCGGGCGAGTGACGATTTACGACACCGATCGTCCGTTGCACCACGTCTCATGGGGATGTGTATGTAAGTGCCAGTCGGGGGTCGGAGTTTTGCCTGGGGGTTCAGTCAGGGGGATGAACGCTCGGCTTTTCAAACAGGACACTGCATGTGTTGAGGGAAGCAGTCAGACTGAGGTTGCAACAGACACCTCCTGCCTTGCAGCCGGTGCCATATCGACGCAGCGTACATAAAGTGCGTACCAGGTTTGGGCTCGACCGACCGAGACGGGATCAACCGGCCCGCTGGTGCAAGGCAACCGTTGACTCTCTTTTTGACAAGAGATGGGACGAACGATACGGTCCCGTCCCTGTCTCCCAGGCGAACGGCCCGCAGCGCAAGAAGGGAAAGAAAAAAGAAAAAAAAAGCCGAATGGCGTGCCTCGACATGTGAATCTGGACCCGGTTCGGTTTTGTAGAGTCGTATGGATGGATCCCACCCTTTTCCATTCGTGGAATATCGTGCAGCTCGCATGCTTGCGTTGGGCCTGTTGGTTCCAACCCCTTTTGCCCCCGATGTGCAGCAACCACCACAGGAGCATGCTCTCTCTCCTGTTGTCTGTGTCGTCTCGCGGAACACTCGGCCTTGTTTTGCCTTGAGCCTCCTTCCCGCAGGAAGGGTGCACTTGCAACCCCCCCCTCTCTGTTCTGGTGCTGCGTCGTCCAGACTGCGTAAACATAGCCGAATCCGAGCTGCTGTTCGTTCGACGGTCGACCACCTGAAACAAGGTTACATCTGCCGGGGTGCTGATCAGGCTCCTGCAGCGTGGTGTAGAAAAACCTAATTTTGTTGGTGCCTCGGGGATGCAGGGCGACGTCTTGGTTGTGGAATCCCCCCTCGAGGGGGGGAACCGAGATCTGGCCACAGAAGCGCAGAAGCGAGAAGCCGGGAAGGCAGCCCCCGTGGGTGTGGAGTGTTCCCGTTGGTGGTGGTGACGACGACGGGTGGACAACGACGATGACGATGCAACCACCACTGCCTCCACCACGGCGAGGACGAACGCTCCGCTGCGGCCCGCGCAAGAATTGAATCTTCGGGGCTAGGCCCTAGGAGGGAGGTCGAGAGCTATGCGAGCTCCGGACCGCACTGTGCAATACGCGTCCTCTGCTGTCTTGTAACGTAACGATGAGAGGAACAATTTTCACGTGCGAGGTCTTTTTTCTCCGGACATGGAACCGCGTGTCTTTGATTTTGATCCTCACGTGGCCCTCTCATCAGTGGTGCGGTTGATGAGGGGATAGTCGCGGTCTTGGCCACTGCGGAGTTTGGAGACGTTGGAGCCGCAGTGTCGGTTTTTTTGACTCTTCCCCCTGTTCCTTGCTGTGACCTTGATTTTTACACCGGTTTTCAACTCCCTGGGAGGGCTCCAGTGGCTCCAATATGGTGGAGAGGGGAGAGGTTGAACTGCCGCGAGGGGTAACACCGCAGGTAACAAGCATCCCCGTACTTGCCCCGTGCTTGCTTCGAGAAATTCAGGGGTAACAACTGATCACCAAGCCCCTCCACAAAAGAGCAAGGTTGATTGATGAACGAAGTCCGGCTCCCGCGATGATGCGGTGATGCGGCAAAAGTCATGGGGATTCGACGCGAACAGCCGAGAAACAGATGCCGGGGGAGGATGTGACAGGGGTCGTCAAGCGCAGATCTGGGTTCCGTTCCCCAGCCCAGGATTTATCAAGCGAGCCACTATCAATCGGAGACTCCACGACGAGAAAAGAGCCGGGTGGATTGCCTCGTTTTTTTCTCTGACATCCTCATCCTCGTCTGTCAAAGCACGCGGCCTGTGGACAACAGAAGCATGGTCGTTGCTTGTCGGGTCAATAAGGGACGAGATCCGGAAAAGGGGTCCATTAAGTGGGGGTACAGATCAGAGAAGCCGCTCGTCAGATCCGGAAATACGGCAGCTTGCAACGCTACGGACGCGGTTTTGGGACGACGCCAGACCCGAGTGGGGGGGAAGTAGCGAAACTCCACGTGCCGGGGATCCTTCGCATTGCCGAGATGGGTGGTTTTGTTGTATTGTTGTAACCCTCCGCCGCTGGCGTCGTATGGCATGTGCGCAGCAGGGTCGCATCTTGCTCCTGTTGGGATGGCTCGTTTTCGATAGTTCCTGGGCAATTAACATCGAACGTTCCGTCATGTTGCGCTGTGATAATGCGCAGGGAACTCCGATAAGATCGACGCTTGTCTCCTGAAGCCATGTTGCTGGGTCGCTCCCCTGCATCGGTATTTCATAGCACTCTCTGCCAGCTGTGAACGGGAGCTCCAGTTGAACAAGAATCAACACCGTGCTTTTGCTCCAGCCGCCAGATATTGAGGAACCCACCGGTTGTCCGACTCCCTCGCTCGACTGCCGAAGCCCCCGGACCCCGGAGTGGATCCAGGCCCGATGAGGTGACGACCTCTACGATGGGTGGATGGGTACTTGTAAAACCAAGACAAAACCGCATGGGGTTGAGTTGGTTTGACCGACGGCATTGGCTTGCTCCTCTTCCTCGGGGTGGCTTGTCCTGTGGACGGACAATTCGTAACCTGGCTTCCGCTTCCGAAGGGGGCCAGCAAATCAAGCGGTGTGTCAGCCCCGAGTACCACAAAGCACCACCAAACGGGAAAAGGTTGTCGAGCGGGAGCGCAATGGGAGATCGCCGCCGCAAGTGCCGTGGTTTTGGCATGTTGATCGATGGGGCGGGCGCCAGTGCGTGCGTGGCGGGCGAATGAGAAGACAAGCACGGAACCCGAGAACGATGCAGGTTGCCGTTGTCTGGGACAGGAGTGGGGTTTTTGGGTGTCATCAAACAAGTCAACTCGTCCAGTCTCCCTTGCCCGAGGCTTTCCTGTCAACAATCGACTTCGGTACCAGCGTCTTGCTTGTGAGTAACCAAGGCGGCCGCAGACAGCGCATCAATACGTGATGACTTCGGCGACGCCCTCCCGTGCTCTCTTGGCCTCACCACTGCCGCGGCAGGCTTTCGGGGCTGTCGGGACGATGATCTCAAGCCACCTTGGCGCCATCGCGAGGGCCAAACGGCAGCTAACTTGATATGTCCAAAGGCGTGGCCTATTTTTAGGGGCGGGCACCACACGGTAATTTGTGATGTGGTCCGTGTCATTTTGATGGTGGACGACGGCCTCGTCATACGTCCAATCAACGTGCCGCGGGACTTTGGCCGAGACATTGGCTCGTGGGGTGTCCCCCCATGGAAGCCGGGGTCAAAGGCCCCCGACCCTGGGAGCATGGCATGGGGTTCCTCCAGCTTCGAGAACAGCGGATGCTGAAGGCGGCTTCCTTCGAACCTTGCGTTTTTGCGCCGCAGTCCTACTGCGTACCCGGTGAGGCGTCAGAAGGAGAGCGTCCGCCGAGGCACGGAACATTGGCATCTTTCGCTGCGTTTCGGTACCAGAATTTTCGTCGGTCCCATCCTCGGTCCTGCGCTTCTCAATGCTTGTCCGGCAATATCGAAGCGGCAATTAGCCTGTTCACATGGAACGGGCCCGCCTCCAGGTCGACCTGGTCAGCTCTGACCTGAAAAGAACCCAGCTCTCGCTTCGGCAGGGATATCATTGGGCTGGTTGCGCCGCGTCTGTGTTAAGTCGGCATTTCGCTCCGTGACAGTGAAGGCAACGCCCCAAGCTCAACGGACCTCCCTTTGCCACCCGTCTCCGATCCAATTTTGCCAAGCCCCGCGGCGTCTGAGCCGCTGCTCCCAGCTTTTCTCCCGCCTCGATTCTTTCCATTGCCTCCGGGGCAAGTTGGCGGCACCTCTAGCCTCCGTTCCGTGGATCGCGGGCCCCGCATACTCCATCTTGCTCGTTAACTCGCGCAGCCTCTGCAGTACCGAGAGCGAGGCGGGGAAAAGCATGCGTCCGATTGGTAGGTTGTTGGATGCGCTCCATCCCCAATACCGACTCAAATTCTCTCTCCGTTGAGGGGCATAGATTAGATGAACCGATGTTCCTGCAGTTCTCGCCTGTTGCCCAGCCTCGGGAAAGCAGCTAGTCTGCCTGGTCGAGATGAATTGGCCTCCAATGGCGAATTTGTATCTCGGAGAACCAGCCTTGCCGCGACGACTGGACACTCCCATCCCGCTCGGCTTCTAATAAAAGAACTCGACATCATCCCGGATCTGGGGAATTCGGCAGAGCTGGCCCGTCCGAGGGTCCTGTTATAAAACAAAGCACATAAGATCCGGTCTGGATCTGCATACTCTTCGATCCCGTGCCAACCTTATTTGTTTGATAGTAAGTGCCATCATCACCCGAAATGAAAATAATGGTTTCCATATACCGAACAATAAGACAAGCGTTGGATCGCCATGCAGGAAAGCCAAGGCAGACAATTAATTGACCTTTGAGCTCGAACTCTCACCGTTGTCTTCGCAGCAGCATGTTGTCGCCCCCAAAGGAAGGTGGCTGGTAGATGAAAGCATTCGATAGTCGCGGGACATCGGGACGAACAGCTGCTTCCTTCCAGAGGCTTTTGGGGTTCTCGAACGAGATCGGATGGCAGGTCGCATGCTCCTCATGCCAGCGTCTGCAATCTCGGCAACGTGCATGCAGGGCGACGGCCTCGGCAAACATATTGCAACAGCGAGGTGTCGATTTGAGTAGGATCCCCGTGAACGCGACCATCGTCCCAAGGATCGACCCCCGTCGCCGGCTTGCGGTTGGGACCAATTGAAAAATTATGCATCACGGCTCCGCACCGGCTTGTCACCGGGAGTGGCAGCCGGGGTTGTACTCAGTGTGGAATCGCGCCCAAAATAGAGTCCAATCGCGGGCGGTGGTTGGGGTTCCTTCGCCGACGTCTCGGTAACCGGCGGATGGGGATTGATGAGACGAGAGAGATATGAAAGCCACTCTCCTGACTCGCGAGTCCATGGATGGCGTTTGGGCGCGCGGGCGGTGGAGACATATCTCGGAGGACCCACGTTCTCGAGGTGTTTGCTCTGTCTCCGGGCAGAAACGAGTATCTCTCGGAGCCGGAGCCCCGACTCGGGACCGGACGTTGGCGAATGTGAAGATTTCCGCCGCTAGTAAACAGCTCGCAAAACGTGATTGATCTGTCTTGTCTCAGTGCGCTTGAGACAATACTGGGGTTTCTTCAGCACAGCTCAACACCAACCCGGATTTTTATGGTCACCAGCGGTATCATAGCAGGTTGGCGAGATCTCTTGAGCTCCATATGCTCCTCTGCACAAAATGCCTGATACTTGAACGGTTGTGGAAAAAAAAAAAAATTGGACTCGAAAGTCGGCGGCGCTCAAGGGGTTCGGTCGAATTGATCCATCGGCTCAAGCTAATGCAGTGGTGAAGCCAATCCTAGTCGGTTTATGAACCAGCTTCCTTTCTCAAATATCTTGTAGGATCCCAGGCTGGTTGCTTCTCTACCGGGGCAGATCTTCTGGAAGTCAGAGTTCGTCGAAAGTCAACAATCCGCAGTGTAACATTATGCGGAGTGTAAACCAAGAGGGTGCTGATAGGCGAAGCGTCCGCACCGTCCCAACGAGAAAGCCGCCGAGTGCGGCCCGAGTATTGAGGCGATCGGCCATTTTTTGAGTGTGCGTCCGCAGTAACGCCGTGGGAAAACGGTCCCTGAAAAGCAAGGGTCTTTTGCTCCTCTCAACAGCACAGCAGCCGGCCGAGAGTGATTCACCAACACTGTCCAGCAGCACATGCTTCGGAAATAAGGTTGAAGAGCACGCAGACGACTACCGGCAGACATTCGTGACACGGGCTGCGCCAAGTCCTCAGTTGGACCAGCCGTCTGATCCAACTGGGGTTCAAGGGCCGACTTTCCGAACACGTACAGGTGCCGTCACCCGTCGAGGGCGCACCAGTCTGGGGAGGACGCCTCACGAGCTACACCGGCAGTTTGCCCATCCAAGAGCCGGCACTGCAGGTGTTTTCGCCACGCATGCGTGACCTGTGATGAAGGAGCGGGGCAATTGTGCCTGGTCGCCGATTTGAAAAGCCGCCTCCTGCAGGACTTCCCCGGCCGGAGGTTGGACTAATTTCACCCCCTCGAACATCCTCCCGTAGCGGAGCGAGTTGCCGGCAACGTTCAAACCATCTGACCACTCTCTGGGGTCCTAAGGTCCTGAGCAACAACCAACGTGGTCTTGGAAACGACGTGGCATTGCTCATACTCCGTCGTCGCTTTCATCGGAGCAGGAAGGACGCGGCGGTCCTTGCGGAATTGGTGCATAGCTTCTCTGAATCGTACATTGCATTGAGTTCTCTGAATTGCGCACAGTTGGGCCGGACGACCGGTTAGATGAAGAGTCGCTCTCAAGGAAGTCTAGAAAGGCTCCCGGATCCGAGGGGGTTGCTCATTGTCTTGCCGGAACAAAACCGCACCACTGGTCTTCCTCCCCGATCTGAATCGGAGAGTTACGTTTTGACTGTGGCGGGTAACCGGAAGTTTAGTTGCTGCACTCATAGATTGTATGCACATCACCACGGGATTGTACGGTGAAGAGGCGGGTGGTTCATGCCTAGGCCGCCGGGAACTGGTCAGTATCATGCAAGATACTGGACACGGTCAATGCCGCATCCGAGACCGCATGTCGCGTCGGCAACCCGTTGGGCTCGAGCGGCGTAACTTGGCCTCCGCTCCTAGCGGCATCGTTCACTTCTTCCCGGATTCCCTTTCATCACAGCGAGGAAGAGTGAGATAGCGGTGTTGAAGGCAGCCAACCGACCGACCGAATAGATATTTACTATGTGGTTATTATCAACGTGGGGTATCTCCAAAGTCTGCGGCCGAGTGGGAACATGCTCACCCGTTGTCATTCACTTCGTTGTCTCTTCTCCAACAACGGCGGAAAGTGCCGAGTGCCAACGTGGTTTTCTGTGAGCCCGGCCGCTCGGGTTGAACGTGTATTGGTCATTGGCCTCTCTGCCCTGCGGTATTTGCGCAAGCCGAAACCCAAGTTGGTCGGTGATCGCCGAAAGCAGCCGGTTGCGAGTCATCTAGAATCGGTCGCTTCACCGGTTTCTCTTGAACCCGAACCAAGGCGGGGCTGACGAGAAAGTTGAGGGGGCTCCATGGGCTTTAGCCATGTATGCGCTTGCCTGTTGCCGTACTTCATCTCCCTAGCGCCCCTAGGAGTACACGACTGAGCCATGAGTGAACTACGCCTAGCGAATGTCTCGAATGTTCGGGCCAGCGTCGGTGCCGTGAAGATACCGAACGAATCGGACGGAGGACCGGGCCATGACGGAACGCCTAGGGAACCACCAAGAACACGTTCGCTCCGTAAACGACTGGCCACGGGTCGGCGCCGGCGAGGCAAACTACCTTGCTTCTTCCAAGCATGATCCGATTTCTATCTGGAGGTTGGAGTTAGTACACAGTTCCTCCTTTCCTCGGGCTGTCTCAAACCACAGAGTACTCGACCTGCGAGCAGCTTCTGAAAATGAGGGGCATTGGGTAAACCTTACCAGTAAATCCCCGGAAATGCGAAACATTTACACGTCGGACAGCTTCCAGCTACTTGCCAAAATACCAGCAAATAGGATAGAAAGGAATGTTCCTGAGCACCGCTCTTTGTATGGTATATTCAATGTAGGAGACTGAAAGAAGAGCAATCCTTGAAAGGATAGGGACTTAGGTAGGTAGGTAGTTAGAAGTGGCGATTCTGCAAACTTGAAATGCTAAGATTGGATATTAAGGCAATTCTCTCACATATTGCAGGTTCTGTCAGGCAGAAGTTGACGTCCACTCCTTCCCCTTTTTGATTGATATGGTTGTGTGAGAGCTGCGGTCGTGAACCTGGCAACCGTTGCTTGCACTTGCCCAAAGCAGGTGAAGATTTAGCCAGCCAGCTGCTGACAGCTGCACCAAAATTACATGAGACCTGCCGGCACTTGAGACGAACTCCACAATTTTGGAGCTTCCCGTCGATCCCGCCGCGCGTTGATGCGCTGGTTTGGCCCACAGAGCCGTTCTGGAACTCGACCTCGAAACCTGAAATTTTGCATCGCGCAACTGCCGCCGCCCTTCGTTTATCGCGTCGTCGAAGTTGACAGTCGCCGAGCCTTCCCGGAATGACCTGCAGATGAGAATACGCTCCTCTCCCGTGTCAATTGCCCTTTCCCAAGACCGCTCTCGCCGCCGATCCTCCCGGGCCATCCTCGTGATACCAGACCACCAACTACTTCCGTCCGCACGGTCCCATCGGCAGTATGGGCTGGTTGACGACGCTATCGGGGTACCTTACCCCGGCATTCCTAATTTTGTCGCCGGTGCTTTCGTACAGCGACCAGGCCTACTCGATGCATCGGACGAGATCTAGCGCCGGCTTCTCCCTTGATATTCCGCTTATCATGCTCGTTGCATCACTGCTCAGGTTAGTTACGGCCGGCCCGGGCTCCCAACGCGCTCCTTTGGCACCGACTAACAACTTTGCTTCCACCTCAGGATATTCTATTACCCCGGTGCGAAATATGACAGTGCGCTTCTTGTCCAGTCTTTCGTCATGGTTGCCATGCAGGTGATCCTGCTAAAGATCGGCCTGGACCACCGGCCGGCGCCGTATTCGAAAGGGGGGGACGCCGCGGTCCCGTTCGCTCGGGTAAACGAGTCTCAGAGGCCATTCAACTTCTGGCAGTGGAGGTCGCCGAAACCGTGGGTTGCTCGCACACGATGGAATACCAGAGATAAGGAGGTGCTGACGTCGGACGTAGATACTGGCAGTGCCTGCTGGCCCTGTTTGTTGGCCTCGTAGTCTGCGAACTGCTGCTCGCGCCCGTTCCCTGGGTGTACCAGTCGTATTCGTCGTTGATCGGGGTCATTGGCCTCTCGGTCGAGGCGACGCTGCCCATCCCGCAAATTTTGGCGAATATGCGGTCTCGGTCCTGCAAGGGATTTCGAGTCTCAGTGCTTGCCAGCTGGCTGATCGGTGACAGCATGAAGATGTTCTGGTTCTTCACTTCGTCGACGTCGATCCCTCCGGCGTTTAAGATTTGCGGCATGTTTCAGGCTGCGTGCGACTCGTTCCTAGGCGTGCAATACATGATGTATGGTGACGGTGGGCCAGCTGCGAAGGAATCTCCAAGCACCACCACCTGGCAGCATGAGCTACAGCCAAATGGGTTTGCCACGGCAAGCGGCCATAGCAACGCAACAGGCCGGAGGACGTCAACAACAGAGAAGACGATATGAAGTGCATGATGATAAAACGTGCTTGGATAGACTTAGACGATTAATAGAGGCCTGGGCTTATGATATGGGTCTTGCCATTATAGACTGTAATGTACGGTTTATTTGCAAAGGGGTGTCAAGTGCCTCCTGAAATTACAGGGGTCAGTGACAGGCCAGGGGGTTTGTTGACGAAGGCTTCCAGTGCTTCCATTGGGTTTTGCCAAGATGGTGAATCGGTGTTAGCAAGCAACTTGTAGCCACAATAACCCAACCACAAATTGATGGAGTTGTCGAGGAAATGTTGGATTATCAATGCATCGGGGGGTTCCCATAGCATTAAAGTCCCTCCCTAGCGTTCTATTTTACGCATTATCAGCAATATGACACCAACCTCCAGGGACTTTCCTCGGCGACAGCAGTCCATAGCAAACTAGAACTAACACACTAACCCATCTTCAGCTTTGGCATGGAGACAATCAGCGCATGCGGTCAGCCTTGTGAATTGCATTTTCTTCCTCTTTCAACCCTCAATTACAAGGCTGCGTGCCACAGTCCCTTAACAGCAACAACAACCACACATTCATTCAACCTCTTATCTTATTAGCGATCAATCTCAACACCATCCTTACTACATATGACTTGCTCTGCATAACTGTCCCGGCTGTCCTCGGTTGCACCCTGTGCATGGGTTGGATCAGGGCAACCAGGAGGACGACTCAGGGAAGGTCTGCTTGAAAATCCAGAGTTTGTTAGTTTGTTAACCTGTGAGTTCGTCTTATTTTAAGTGCATCCATTCATGGTTGTACCTGGGTTCGGGCCATTTCGCCTACATCTGAGTTCAAGTCAGAGTCCTCTTTAACCCCTTTCTCATATCCCCGATTGCCCCCCCTCGTGGCTCCAGCCCAACGGTAGCTGTTGTGGCCATTTTCACATTTCCCATCGAATCAATCATCAGCCCTGAAATATCTCTTCATGTTTTATCTGGTCAACTTTGTTCAAATCCTTTGAGTAGGACCACTCTTTACTTTGCCTGGCTTGTTTCCGAGGCAACCTCTCTCACACAGAGCACCATCAACCCCCTGCCTCACCACATTCACATATTATTGTCTTTACAGTTCATTTTGAGTCTTTTGAGTCTTTTGCTCTTTTCATCTTGCCCCTTTTTTATCAGACCAGAAGCAACCAGTTCGGTCTCACAGTGCCACGGCCTCCCCACTCACAACCCCCTTTATTGATTACCCCTGAATATGATCAGATGAACGTTGTTTGGATTTCACCAAGTCACCATCTTCTTGGTTTATTGCGATGATGCTGTCAACTAACTGGGCCCTTGTAGGTTTTCCACACGGCCATTCTCTCTTCTTCACAACGCCTTGGTCAACTCACAGGCCGGCCTGTGCTCCCATCAACAAGCTCACCATCGCCAAATCAGGCGGCCAGTTCCGGGCCCGGCGGGTTCTTTCCAGATATCCCACGTTTATTTATTATTGCCCACGATTTCAAATTGCATTTCCTTTCTTTCCCTCTTTTCTACAACTCGCTCGACTCAACCGACCGATCTTCTTTCTTCCACCACCAACATCGCATCGCGGCCAGCTCAAGAGTTCCAACCTCTCGCGCCACTATCAAAAGGTATGTAAACCATTCTTCTTTATGCTATCGCAGATTTTTTAGATAGCGGCACCTACGAGGTTGGCGGCGATAATCGAGTTCTTTCTGTCGGTTGCCCCGACTCGACCTCGAAATTGACCCAAGTGGGCGCCGTCTTTCCTCACGCCGACTACCAGTCCTTCATTGTCATGATCAACTTGAGCTCGGATTCGAAGCACTCCTGTCAGAGACTTGAGAGCTGCCTTATCTGAATTTTACTCGAGAGATCCTTCTCTTCTTTTCTCGAGAGCTGCGAGCGATACTTCAGCCGACTCGGCTTTCCTCCTTTTTCAATTCCTTCCACTTTCACCATTTAGCAATTGACCACAAATCTTTGCGAAGGGGTTCCTTTTCGTCTGCCATCTCGGCTTTTGCCTACGAAAACTTCCAAGTTTTCTAAATTCCATCACTGACCTCGAACCTGCAGCCTCCTCACCCACTTCTCTTCCTACCTGCCGCGTTCAAAACGCAAAAGAAACAAGAAAAAAAGAAAAAGAAAACCGAAAATGCCGCCCAAGGGAACTCCGGCGAAGGAGAGGAAGGAGAAGCTGGCTAACTTCAAGTCGTACGAGGCGCAGTCGCGTCTGCTTTCCGCGTTGGTTGCCACTTTGGGCAACCATCGCTTCGACTACCAGAGTATGTAAAGGTTTTCTTTTCTTCTTCTTTTTTTCTTTCCTTACTCGCACGCCTTTCTTTGTCCCCTCTCGCTACTCCCGACCACTCGTCGGACTCACTTGACCATTTTGCATGCTTAGGCCACGGCGGGCGGGCGGGAGCGACGAGAGGGACGGCAACGAGGGCACCCATCTCTTGCCCATTCGACTTGTTCGTTGGATCTTGTACATCCGGATTCTGGAACTGACCATGGTACCGTCCGCACTCCTCAGCGATTGTCCAGTTCCACGGCGGAGGGGCCACGGCCTCCTCCATGGAGCACAAGTTTCGGATTGTCAGGGCCCAGGCCAAATTCATCAAGCGCCTGACGGAGGCGGGAAGGGACCCCGGGGACTACGATGTCCCATCCTTGAAGCAGGACGCCGGTAAGACTAGTCGCCTCTCCCAGCCAACCGCCGCCGTCGTTTCCGCTGCCACCGCCGTTACCGCCACAGCCGCCGCCTCAACACCGCAACGAGTGACTGAATACGTGCTGGGGAGCGAGCCCTTGATCGAGAAACAGCAGCTGACTTGACTATAGAGATCCAGCAGTACTTTGGGGAGAGCACGCCCGACGGGCTGGCTTTCCAGTTCCGCGGCATCAAAAAGGGCGGCGACGTCCTCAAAGCGGCTGCCCAAAAGGGCGAGGACCCCGTCGGCGCCTTTGGCGCCCATGTGAAGGGCGGTGCTCGCGCGGCGAGCAGTGTTCCGGCCACGCCGAGCTCGACGAAACGAGCTCGGTCCACCAAGGCCACCGCGTCCGGCTCGGGCGCCACCCCCACCAGCAAGCGCCGCAAGGCCATCAAGATCGAGCCCGAGGCCGAGTTCGACGACGACGACGATTCGCCCGAGGCCGACTACTCGGAGCTTGACACTACGCCCACCAAGATCAAGCCCAAGGATCAAGGCAACGCTGGTCAGTTGGTTCCTCGCTCCGCCTGGGCCAAGCCCGCCGAGAACCCCAAGCAGCCCCGCCAGGTCGCCATCGCGCCGGCTCCTCCTCGTCGTGTGACGCCGCGTCCTGCGGCCCCCTCGTACACTCTGGCGCCCATCCCGGGCATCGGTTCGTCGTCTGACCTACCCAACGGGTACACCGATCCCGCCACCGGTTTTGGTTACAATATTATCCCTCCTACCACCATCGCCAGCGCTTCCCCGTCTGTTGCCAGCTCCCCAGCCATGGGCATGGCCACCGCCCGCCGTGGTTCCGCGTATTCGAGCGGCAGTTACACCGCCGCTAGCAGCCCGGGCACTCCGAATATGACCTACTCGGACACGGCTCCTGCTCCGACCACGAACATGGGCCGCCAGTATCCCTCCGCTCACACCACCACCGCCATGGCCGACATCAACATGGTAGCGCACAACCCCGTGTCCACCACCAACACGTCATCCTTCAACATCAACAGGTTCAGCTCCATGCCTTCTCCTACCCCGTCCACCCAGGACTTGAACACCCCTCAGGCGACCGCCTCTACCAACACGATGGCTGCTAGCACCTCGGGCGTGCATGCGACCGCAACCTCGTTCGAGCAGGATGACGACTTTACTCCCGCGTTCACCGGCCATGCTGCTTCGACCGGTTACGCCACCACCGGCGGCAACAATCGGGCGTACAGCAGCTTCGACCAGCGTGAGGCCGAGCTTGCTAACCAGATGGACTTTGGCGGGTTTGAGGAGCAGGATGAGGAAGGCGATGGGTGGGATGCCGGTGATATTTAGATTGATTTGGCTACTCGGTCGGCCCTGGAGTCCGCTCACACAGGATATGGCAACGGCCTGATCCCGAGATGGGGTGCTTACTTACCTACCCACCTCTCACTCTTCGACACCGATCCCGAGACATTAACCACCTACCAACCGCAACCTCAATCGTCGCCCCTAATCCTAGACGGCTCATCTACAAGTAATCCAGCATCATCGGCATCGAACCAACCCACATGCCGCCGCAACAAGAGCAGCAGCAGCGACGATCTCCGGGTGGTGCACATAACAGCCCAACTCCCTCATCACCAAGCTACCTTGGACGTTCCCTCGGGGATCACACCTCTACCCCCATCCATCCATGCATACATATCTGTACCATAACCGCCTGCCCGACTCTGCCCCCTTCTGCCTTTCCGGCGAGGCCGGCCAGTCAGTCAAAGGCAGCCAGTCAGTTCGGACCGCGACACCCAACATGCAGCATTTACCACCCAGCCGCGACACCGCAGCTAGCACCAGCGCCCATGTGCCGCTGCCTTTTATTTCCCTGCGTTTGTCTGTCTCTTTTTTTTGGCACCTCCCCTTCCCGAACTTTATGATATTAAAACGGTTGATCGATGGATCAGTCGGCCGGCGGTGTGGGCATTCATTGCTCAGTACTCAACGAAAAAAGGAAAAAGCTCGAGTCTGGTCCCGATAGCCACCGGCCTGTCTCCTCGCATCTTTTTGTGCAGAGGAGGAGGAGGAGGTGGAGGTGAGCGCCGCAGGGCAATTGGACCTGGGTGTAACCCGATGGCATCAACTCGGCTTGGGGGGTTTCAGCTTGGGGCCTTCTTTATGCTCAGTTCTCGGTTATCGGATCGGCAGAGGGAGGCTATGGGTGGCTAAAAGGGAAGGGGATGGGTTACGAATGACTTTGTCGTCTTTGTTTTTTATTACGAATTTGCTCGACGGTTACTTCCGAGCCCAATGTACTCTAATATGTCTCCGGTCACGATTATGGACCGACAAATTTAATCATATATCTAAATCCGCCGTGCCCGTCTCCTGATGCCGCGACGAGCTTTGGGCAGTTACCCAAGGTCACAGTCTGGGATTATTTGGGGTTTCATGATAGGAGTTACCCCTTTCCTCAGGCTAGGTCACATCAAGGTTTCGACTGCGCGATAGGTTCATGATTACATCTCCTTTCTAGACCTGGCACAGGTAAGCTGCCATAAATATCTCTCCATGCCCCTAAGCTACGACCATCCCACACAGTCTCGCCTACCTATCCCAGACACGACCCAGTATCACTTTTCGCACACTGCATGATCCAAACCGCCCGCCGCCATGATTTCCCAGCCGACCGCGCTATCTCTATTCACCCCCTCTCTCTATCAAAACCCCTCAACCAAGCAACAAGTCCCACAGCGCATCCGCCTCCACGAAATCATGATGAATGATATTCACCAACCAGGCATCGCCCCTGACACCCTCCAGGAACCCCTCGCTCCGGGACCCCTTCTCGTAGATCTTGGCCCACTCGCCCCAGATGCCAAAGGCCTCCTCGGTCCAGGCGCGGAAGCTGACCTCCTCGATGATGGTCGGGGTGACGATCTCCTTACCCGGAAACACGCCCCAGGTGACGGCGTTGGTGCTGGCCTCGCGCTCCACGCCCTCGGCGGCGGCGGCGGCGTCGGCGGGCGGCAGGGCCGTGGTGTCGGAGCTGACAAAGTCGCCCCGCCCGTTGGCCGCGTAGAAGCACACGACGTCCTTCATCTCGGGCCGGCTGAGCTTGCGCTCGAGCGCGGCCCAGTCGCGGGAGGGGAGGAAGAACTCGACAAAGGCCTTCTGGAAGACGAAGCCGTTCTGCGGGCCCCAGCCGAAGGTGGGGTCGCTGGAGCGCAGGCCGTTGACGGCGGGCTGGGAGGCCAGCGTCCACCAGCCCTTGGAGTTGAGGGCGACGAGCTGGTCGCGGATCTTGTCCGTCTCGGCGCTGAAGCTCTCCTCGCTCCAGGGGATGGTGGGCAGCTCGCCGCGCAGGTGGCGGATGAAGATGGCGCTGATGTCCTGCGGCGACACGGGCGCGCCCCAGAGCTGCCGCGCCTGCGCCACCGTGACGTGCAGGCTGACGCCGTAGCCGTCGATCTGCCCGTACGCCGGCGACCGCGCGTCGCCCCACCGCCCGTTGGGGAAGTCGTCCCACGTCGCCTCGCGGCCGAGCACGCCCTCGCCCTCGGAGATGGCGAGCGTGTTGGCGCGGGAGTTGATGGGCTCTGCCGGCACGCTGGCTTCCAGCTGCGTTGCTTCCCAGTCGGGGTATGAAGTCGACCGGCCCGGCACGATGACTCGGTCGCGCGGGTCGGAGCCGACCGAGGGTTTCCGCCGGAGGGGGTCGTGCGAGGACGGGTCGGGCGTGGACCCGTTGATGCGCAGGAGGCGGATATCCGGGAGCGGGCCCTGGTCGATGACCGCGTTTTCTTCTTCGGGAGTGATTGGGGAGATGAGTCCGGTTCTTTCGACGATGAACGACACGGCTTTTTCCAGGTTCAGCGTGTAGAAGTGGAAGCCTCTCGGCTCGTCGGTCCTGCTCTTGATCTCCTTGATCTGCTCGACGATCTCGCTGACAATATCCACGCCCACCTCCTTCACCTTCTCGTCGTCGCCCTTCACCGCGTCCAGCCGAGCCATGAGAGAGTCGGGAATGTTGGCATGGCTGAGCTTCGTTGTTCGCTTGATCATCTGGTAGCTCTGAATCGGCATCAGACCGGGCAGGATGGTGATGTCCTTGAAGGCCCCGCTCGGATGCTCCCTCAATGTCTTTTCGAAGTGCTTATACGCCTCAACGTCGAAGAATAGCTGGGTCATGATGAAGTCGGCGCCCGCCTGTGTCTTCTCGACCAGATACGGCAGGTCGTGCGCCAGGCTCTGTCCCAGCGGGTGGCTCTCATCGGCGTGGCCCTCCGGGTATGCCGCGACACCGATACAGAAGTAGTCGCCGTGTGTCTTGCGAATGTAGCGGACAAGGTCAACGGCCCACGTAAATTCCTCTTCTTCTTCTGGCTCTGGTTCGTTAACATCGCGATACTCGGCCCTTCGCGGCGGGTCTCCTCTTAGGGCGAGAATGTTGCGGATTCCGAGAGCTTTGGCATCGTCAAGAGCCTTGTCGATCATGCGACGACTCATGTTAGTGCAGGTGAGGTGCAGACATGTTGTGAGACCCAGCTCTCGTTGGCAGATCTCGGCCAGTTCGAGCGACTTGATTGCTGTCGAGCCTCCCGCTCCCCAGGTAACGTTGACAAAGAGCGGCCGAAGAGCCCTGGCCATGCGATCGAGACGACTGCGAAGGTTGGAAAAGCCCATGGCGGTCTTGGGCGGAAAGAACTCGAGCGAAAAGTAGTCCTGCCCCGCGGGCAGGGCCGCGATCTTGTCTGTGATTTTGTCCATGGCGTGGCTCTTAGCGGCCTCTGGAGGCAATTCCAGACTGGGAACGAGGTCGCCCATGGGTTCTGTTTTTTGATGTTGTATGTTCGAAGTGCTAACTCGACGAAAACGGAGATAGATCTAACTAACCGTCAGTTGACACAGGACCCGGTAACGGTAGCGGGGTAGAAAGCCACCTGGGCGGCGTTGGGCAGCAGCGACTAACGAATAAATGGAATGAATGGGTCTTGATTTTCTGCAACGACAACAATTAAGGCGGGAAATGGGCCCCTTTTCTAATTTTCTGAATGTAGAGCAAGTTCAGACGATAGTCCAGGTCAAACTAGTTCAGATGCTAGCCCAGCTCGCCTAGAAATTCTCTTTATCGGGCAGTTACACGCTGTGCGGTCGCCGGCAGAAAGCCAACCCCACCTTTTACGTAGCGTCGGAGAGCGTGTTCGCGGGCAGTGGTGGGGTAACGCACTGTATTTTACGCGGGGCCGGAATAGTGGGGCCGGCAGCTGTGTTCTGCGACGGGACTTGACGGGAGAGCCCAGGGTACTTGCGGGCGAGACAGGGCCGCCTCGAGATCTCAGCCTGCCACGGTGAGAGATCGCCCCAAACCACCTAGCAGGCGGCAGTCTGATTGGTGAGACTCGATCATGTGGTAGTGTACCCGGAGATACTGTACCGGATCGACTGCGATTTACAGCTGCAAGGGAAAGCTGCGTCCCCGGGACGAACAGGCAAACCCCCACTCCTCGGCGTGGCAGGAAGAGAACGTGCTCGGGAGGTTGCAATCCTGAACTCCTGGGATATCGAAACCGGGATGCCGACAGACCTCGCGATGCGTGGGGTAGCTCGGTATAGCCGTCTGCATTCACCGTGTCCGCCTTACCGCTGCCGTGACGAGAATTTGAGAATCCCCTCCTTGGGCGCCACGTCATATTATGAACGTTTTAGGTATGACGCTTAATCATGTCATGACCGCCTCGGAGAGTACGCGCCCCGACTTCGTCTGAATTGAAGACTAGCGGAAGTACTTCGTGCAATGGCCATCTCATTAGGTACCTAGTAGTAGCGTTATTGCCTTCCACATCGATAACCTCGGTCTCCGTCAATCCCCAATCCATCTCTCTTCGGCATCGTTCTCCGTCCCCTATGGAAGTCCCCCGCAAGACTAAGTTGCACTTCCGCCTTCTCATCTCATCCACGCCGTCACTCGTCAAACAAACGCGGAAAGACCTAGATTATTGCTAACCATGTCTCTAAATTGCCCCAATTGCGGCGCCCACCTCACCGTTGCCCTCGCCGGTCACTCGACGGCCACATCCGCCGCCGTCACCACGCCGCGACCCAAGAAGCCCGTGCTGGGTTCTTACAATGTTAACCCCACCGATGCTGACCTCCGACGGCTCAAGCAACTCATGTGTTTCCCGTTCAACCCGTTGTCAGGATGGAAGCCAACTCAACCGACCATGCGCCCAGTCGTGTCCGACAAGGAAGACGAAGTCGGGATCCTGAAGGACTGCCGCGCGCGCCAGACCCTGGACCGGGTAGCGAGAAAGATGCATGCCACCATCCGTGCCGTCGGAGAGCAGTCGGCCGACGCTCTCCTCGAGTCGCGGCGGCGCAACCTGACTCCAGATGATCTGCACCCTCCGATGCACACCATTTTTGAAGCCGTCGGCGCCATGATATACGCAATGGAATGGACGAGTGGCCAGCCTCGGGCCGATGATCTTGTGCCAATGCCGGCCGGCGCCGGCACTGCGCCCCCTCAAGCCGCGATGGGGCCGTTCGAGCCCGGGTACGTGTTGAAACCTCCGTCCGCGTACTCGTCTGGGTTCGGGTTGGAGCTTCGGCGCCTGTTTGAGCTCATGCTCGTTATCGACTATGGGTTTTCGGCCCACCCAATCTGCGGGCCAATCTGCGGGCCAATCTGCGGACCAATGCTTCTCCCAAACACTTGGTTTCTTCGCGCATGGTCTGATCTCGAAACTTTCTCTGACTTTCTTGTGGGATTCGCGCGGCTGTGGAGATGGCGACAGGGTCTCCCAAACGACAAATCATGGGGCCTCATTGCCCAAACCACGAAATATTGGGCAGATACTATTGGGCTAAGAGTGCCAGTATGGGACGTTGCTACCATGATCTACTATTACCGCCTTCATCGAAAGCCGGTTGACGCCGAGGACCACAAGAAAGGGTGGATAGGATACACGGGGGTTCTACAGGAGATGATCGCTGAGGTCCCTACCAGGGGAACAGATCGACTGGAACGCAAGCTATCGCTTGATGCCCACCTCCTCATTCCAAGATTCGTTCGAGACCGAAAGCTTCGGACACAGATGCTCTTCACCGCGCAAGATCTTGCGGCCAAGCACGGCTGCCAACTCGCGCCTATCAAGATGCCCAAGCCACCAATATGGCGGAGAGTATTCGGCCGGGTCCCGTCCCAACAAGGGCGTGAGGACAAAAAGGAAGGTCACGAGGACCTGAAACTTATTGAAGGTCTGGGATGGGAGAGTAGAGGAGAGGGAGGTCTTGATCCCAGCGGTGCTAGTAAAAGTTCGCATAAGACTGTGATGAGCTAAATACAAAATGGTGGCAGCTGCGGCGGTGGACGACAAACCATACTCTCCCCAATACTTTCTCCTACCATCGGCAGATAGTCCCCCCCCCCCCCCCCCCCCCCCCCCGTTAATAACTATGACTGGTACAAGTGTTGTTTGAATTGTCTCGATTGCGATTCAGAGTCGGAGTCAGGGTAACGGAGCCCACAGCAGCGGCAGAAGCGCAGAACAGGTCGGGCATTGAGATGGTGAGAAATCCCGATTTCTCAAGGTGTGTGTGATTGCCAGCCGCGGGATCGTTACAGATGGCGATAGGGTGTTTGGATTTGGCGCCGATGGTCGGTCTGAGAGCGGCATGAGAGAAGTGGAATGGCTTTTTGGTCTTGCAAATTTCGGCCGAGATGGGAGCAGCGCAACGCCAAGTGAGTGGAGCAGACAGCAACCGGTGAAGATCTAAGATGTTGCGTTGGGTTGGTGTCAGCCGACGCTACCTGTGTAATAAATGGGTTGGGTCAAACATACCTGTGCCCTCGGAAGGTGGTGAACTTGCCTCTTCTTAGCTCATCGGTGACCAAATCCGATGAGGAACACCCATCCACGACGGTGACGTGAGAGGCTCGGATGGGATAAGAATATCTGTGCAAAGGCAAAAAACAAAGGGGGGGAAATTGCAAAGGGATAAAGATATTTCAACTCACTCCACCACCGCGCACCCGGGTTTCCTGGCGTCTGCCACCGCCGCCCACTCGGTCTCCTCTGCCGCTACCTCCGCCGCCGCCACCGCCCATCTGACCTGCATCCCCACCCAGTCGTCCGCCGCCGCCGCCGCCGGTGCCGCCTCTTCGGCCTCCCGGGTCCCCCCAGCCGCCGCCGCCGCCGCCGGTGCCGCCTCCTCGGCCTCTTGCTCCCCCCCAGGCGTCTCCGATACCACCGATTCCAGCGGCGCTGGTGGCGGCGGCTCCTCATCCGCCGGCAACTCCACCGGCTACAGGCCGCCCCAAACCCTCACCCGTACCCGAGCCCCGTCCACAGCTGTCTGCCACTCCTCCCCCTTCCGCACCACGTTATCGGCCACGGACGCCGGCACGCTCAACACCCCATCAATACCCCGGGCGAGGTGCCTCCGCACCTCGCTCGGGGCAGGGGACAAACCGCCCACCAGCCCACCCAACGCCTCCACCTTCCGCCACACCGCCGAGTTCTGCAGCTGCCGCCGCCGTCGCTCCGGCACTTGCGGCAGCTGCCGCCACAACAAGCGCACCAGCTTGGCCACCCACACAACAACCGCATACGCCCCTACCACCAGGAGCAGACCGTAGCCCCACCCCACCATCGTGATCGTGTTGGCCGCGAGGCCAGTGAGAAGTGCAGCTATTAAAGCAACAAGTTAGCCAGCACCCTGCTCCCATGTCGGACATGGAACGCGAAAAGTAGCACAGGGTGAGTGGGGCAAGGACTAATCGATAGCTCTCGTCGATTTGGCGACGACAAACATCAAACGACACTGATGAGGAAAACAAGGGAGTAAGTAGTAAGGAAAGCGGGGCGCGGGTAGAGGAGGGGGCCGGCGGCGAAGGAAGCAATTAAGGGCGATTTTGGTGGAGGGCAAGTTCGCACGGAGGCGGTATAGGGATGCGGATATCGCGGCCAGGGCTGTGTGGTGCCATCACGGGCTATGGAGCCTCAAGCGTAGGGTCAATGACCCGTGAGACACTGGTGAGCGCCCCGAGGGTCCTCCTCCTGTACGCGTATTGAGATGGAGGCTAGAACGGGGTTTCCCTTATCCCCCACGAGACAGGGGAATGTTGGAACTTCCAGTGATGCTTTAAAGAGGGGTCGGGGCCGTCGTGATAGACAAGACCATAAACAGATATCAGGCAGAGCTTTGGTGCTCGAGGACGGTGGGCGGTACTCCGTAGGCCGCCATCCGCGGTTCTCCAACGAAGACTGGGGCTGTTAAGGCTGGTATTAATAAAGTGAATATGGCATTCTTGGGTGGTAAGTAACGAGAGAATACTGGAAGAATAGTCAGGCTATTCAACGGGAGAATAAAATAGCACTTACTCGAATCCATTTTGTCGTTCGCAGAGAGAACACAGAGAACAGAGAACACGGATTCGAGAAAGGTTTATCTACAACAGCGACCGAAAGTGACTCTACCCATTGGGAAGGGACCACATCGTTGTCCGCACTTGCACCAAGCTTAGGTCGGGCCGCTGCTTGATATTTGACAGAGGTAGGTGCGTCCTAAAAACGGAAACAAGTATAGCCATCTAACGGGCCTTAGTAGAAAGAGAAGGTGTCCCCGACACTAACTACCTAAGCTTTCTCCATGGCGGAAAGAACGAGGGCAATTATCAATACCTGAGTACAGAGGAAGAACCGAACGGTCCATAGCTGAACTTCCATCTTAGGGTGGTTCGCGAATTAGCAAGAATAGGGGGTTAACACCATCTGAACCCGAAGACGCCCATGAGCAATTGTCCTGAGAGAGACGGAACGAGGAGTGGTCTCTTTGGTCCTGAACCCAGTCACATCATGATTCTACCAAATCTTGATCCCCCTTTTCTTGTCCGTGTCCTGTACCTTCTTTCATTACCTGATAAATTTTATAAGCGAGCGGTAGCCTGTTTACGGCCTGATATAAGCTATCCGCAATTCCAAGACAATAGCACTAGGAATTACAGTCACATTGGCAGCAGCTGAATGAGATGATTATATACTAGTAGTAGCTACCTAGCAAGTGCGTATATTAGTTGTGTCATTATAGTAAGCTCGAGCCTAGTATCATATTAGAAGTAGGAGGATTAATAAGAAACGCGTAAAGAGGATTCTAGAGTTAAGGGGGGGGATGGAGCTTCTATTGTACAAGCGAACTAGCACCAAACCTCCAGGGCTAGACACAGTTCGAGTTGTTCATATCCCTCACAAGCCCTAATCAACCCACGCCAACGTTTTACCTTCGTCTACACCGATGGGGGACGGGATCCTGGTATTCCATTACAGGCGCACAAAAGGCGACCCAGACCACCCGATACCTAAGTATAAACGAAATAGAATGGGCAACGCCTTCGGGCCCCCATCGCCAGCCCCCGTCGCCAGCGCTGTTTGCAGCCATTGCAGAAATAGCGACGGCCTATGCACGCGAACAGAGTAGCGCCCCGCAAAATATCGGTGCAAGTGATGAGTCGGTTCTGCTAAGCCAGCAACTACATCTCACGCCTTGCTCGTGTCTGCACCCGAACAATTAGCTCTGAGTTGGGCAACCTTGGGGAGCGGGTGGATTGGCAGGAAGGAAAGCTCAGGGAAAGCCAGGTATCGTCATACTCAACTCACGACTGCAGACCCCCTTACCATTAAGGCTGAGGGAGCTTGTCGTTGCTGAGTCGGTTTACCGGAAAGTTTGCAGGTCATCAGGGCAGTCGGAAGAATAAAACACACAAGAAAACGACTTACAAATTTAAGAGCGGAAGAACAAGTTGTTGTTCGACTACCTTGATTTGAGGATGCGGGACGGTATGCCGCGAGTGCCCTGTGGTTGGATTGACATCTTCAAGAAGCTCCTAGCCACGGTGAAAGAGGGATACGTTGGGTTCCTCAAATCAAGATGACTCATCAAAAACTAATCATGAGCATGGTGGCCCTCAGCACGCGTCTCGCCGGTCTACTGTGTACGTGGCAGGAAAATAAATGGATGGATATGTCCAGGTCTTGCTTCAGGTCATCACCGCATCATGGACGCCGCGCGAATGGGGCACTCGTGATGATGGTTTTAAGCAAGGGCATTGAGAGAGTCAATCTCGACACTATGTTCGAAATTGCCAGCAGCGTGGTGCAGTTTGGTGGCAGACTGGCAATATTTTAATGAACTGTGGTCTTGGTTTGTTGAAAAAGAGAAAAAAAAGAAGCGAAAATCGACCATGCCGAGAAATCTCCTCTTGAAATGGATTGCCAAGCCCGCGGTGGTTTTGTGACAGCATTCACCGCCCACAACGTTGGGCCCTGCCTGCGTTCCATGGCGCTTCGAAGTGGCCTGTTCCACAGCACGGACCATGCAAAGGTGGGTTCAAAGCCAGTCATGTTTTTTTTGGCTGCAGCGCTGTGGTGGAGTCGGCGACCCGTCCGCCACTCTGCCTCTGGCTTTCAAGTTTTGTTCTTTTCATGATTGAGAATCCAGTTCGCAAAAGATCCCGTCCTGCCAATCGAGCACACATACAGTTTCAGACACGCCTAGCAGCCCAAATCAGCCACATATCTTCGAGACCACATCTCATAGCTCCATTGCCAGCCACATCGACATCGACAAGAATCCCGACTAATACGACAATTAACGACACTAAAATCCCCCCATCCCTCCTGACATCACACGCTGCTGCCCCCGGCTCGAAATTCGCCAGCCGTTTCGACAGCTTCCACCCCGCGCCACAACAACCCTACAGTAATACCCAGAACAACCGCTGCTCGCACCTTACCTTTGCCGATCGAGACACAGTAGTAATTGCGCATCGCCTTCCGTCCTTGGTGCTCCCGGTGCTCTGCCCGACGGCTTCGCTTTCCTTGCTGAGCTTACTTCCCCCTTGAGTTACGGTTTCCGACGTCTTCATGGATAATCTATGGAGTCGCCGTGCCAAGTGAGTCAGCTTCCGTCGTCCCATCATCATGCGCCGTCCTAACTTTTGGTACCACCTGCGGTAGCTCGAGCAAGCTCTCTCTTTCAACAGGTTCCGGCCAGGAGAGCCCGTCGGGACGCAACCCCTCCTTCAAGCGATTTGGCGGTGATAGCACGTCGCACGGAAAACACTCGCTCAACTCGGTAACAACACCAGGCGGCAGCCTGGCGTCCCCGATCGGCGCGGCATCGAGCGCCTTCGGCCTGGGTTCGGGCGCTTTTGCCTCGTTTGGCTCGGCTAAGACGCCCAAGTCGCCGGGGAATCCGTTCGAGGCGGCCCTGGGCGTCGCCGCAAAGACTCCGACCGCTGAGAAATCGGCAAAGGACGGGGTCTTGGGCGGCAGGGCAATTAGCAAGCCGGCCTCCCTCGCGTCTTTGCAAGAAGCGGGGAAGGTGGCCCGGCCGGCAGGGCTATCAACCCACCAGCTGCGCAGCAGCTGGGTGTTCTGGTTCCGCCCGCCCATCTCCAAGGCGAACGGGTTTATCGAGTACGAAAAGACGCTGCACCCCATCGCCACGGTCGACTCGGTCGAGCACTTCTTCAAGGTCTATCAGCACCTGAAGCGGCCGTCAACGCTGCCGCTGGTATCGGACTACCACCTATTCAAGAAGGGCATTCGGCCAATATGGGAGGATGAGGAGAACAAGAACGGAGGGAAGTGGGTGGTGCGTCTGAGAAAGGGCGTTGCCGACCGCTATTGGGAGGACCTGCTGTTGGCCATTATTGGCGATCAGTTCGGCGAGGCCGGTGAGGAGGTGTGCGGGGTGGTTCTCAGCGTCCGGAACGGCGAGGACATCCTCAGCATCTGGGCTCGTGCGAACGGACAGCGGGTCCTCAAGGTTCGGTACGTTTCGTCCTTCCCCCACAACCGTCAACCCCCCCGCCCCGCTAACATATCCCAGCGAGACCATGCGGCGAATCCTGTCCTTCCCTCCGGACACCAAGCTCGAGTGGAAGAGCCACGACTCGAGCCTCCAGCAGCGCACAGCCATTGAGGAATCACGGCGAGAAAAGGCCAACCACCACCACGGCGACAAGCGGTCGTCGAACAAGCCACATCAGCAGCAACAACATTCGCAGCAGCAGGCTGATGAGCACAAGAATTCCACCAATTCATAATCCCCCAGCGAAGAAGAAAGAAAAAAACAAAGCATTGTCAGGGCGTGAGGAAGAAAGCAGGCAGCGTCTTGTTTCCACGATTGTACACTACCGAATCAGCAAGCATTTGCCATATATGAAATTCTGAAGCGTCCGAAGTATTTGGGGAGCGGTTTCGGATCGGATTTCGAGGGCCTGATGCGTCCTTGATTTGTTCTCATTTCTCCTTGGACATTGGTTACGGTACGGCACGGTCTTAATGAAAACCACACTGGGAGGAAGGAGCGCTGAATGGGATTTTAGGGTGGGACGGACGGTAGGCATGGCTGAAGGAACTCACGGTGGCGGAAGGGGTTGGTCGGGTTGGTCCGGTTGGGATGGGGTGTATGTAGTAGTACTTTATTGTAACCACCTACAACTTCCATTGTCTCTTGCCCACTATCGGGTTCCTGGATATTGTTCTCGGTAGGGGCTTAGAACCCGGAGGACGGATTTCTCGGCCTCCGAATCAACACAAACATGGGATGTATACTACTACCACTCCTTGGTATCTTTTCCCCCCGCAATCTCAATGACATCAAGCCCTCCCTTTCCCCTTCCCACCCGCACCACCCACGTTCTGCTGCTGCCGTATCGGCAGCGGCGGCGGCGGCGGCCCCCTGCGCCGCTCCCAGATCTGCAGGTAGCTCTCGCCCAGGTACAGCAGCTCGGAGCGGATCTTGTCGACGAACAGGTCCTGGGCGACGACCCACTCGTCGGTGGCCTTGTCGCGCAGCTGGACCTTCCAGGTCTTGCGCTCCTCGCCGACGGCGCTGTCGGCGACGTCCTCCTTGGCGCGCACGGCCTCGTGCACCACGTTGGCGACGAGGTCGTACCAGACCGGTTCCCCCGGCGGGTGGTGGGCCGGATCCGGCTCGACGTAGGGCGCCACGTCCAGGTTGCGCGGGTCGAAGGTGACGATGGTCGGGTTGCGCTCCGCCACGAACTTGTTCTGGCTGAACCGCTTGATGTGCAGCACCAGGAACGGCGGCAGCGGGTGCATCAGCCGGTACCGCTTGCGCTGCGCGTTCAGCTCCTGGCCCGTCACCCCGTTGTACTTGGCCAGGATGGTCGACAGCGGCACCTGCGGGATGATGTTGCGCTCCTGCTCGTCCTGGAAGAGCGGCGCCGGCGGCAGGTCGAGGGTTAGGAGGAGGAACCGCGCGATGTCGGTCTTGGCGTCCGACGCTTCCTCGAACCGGAGCCGGTCGCTGAGCCCGTCGGCCCGCGCCGTGATGGATTGGGATTCGACTTTGAGCTTGCCTTGGAAGATGCGCTGGATCGGGGACGAGCCGGGCTTGGTTCTGCTGCCGCCGAGGCCGAGGTGGAGGTGGTTGAGGAACCAGGAGAGGAACTCGACCGGGTCGGATTGCGCCGTCAGGGTGAAGCGCTTGTTGGAGCGGAGGGAGATTTCTTGGAGGAGCTCGTGGGGTGAGACGTGGGATTTGAAGGCGCGCGGGTTCCAGATCTTGCGGAAGAGGATGGATGTGCGCTTGACGAGTTCGGGGGCGGAGGTGAAGTCCTCGAGGAGTAAGTAATTGCGCAAGGGCGCTACGTGGGAGAGGGCTTGAACCACGACGTTTAGGTAGTCGTTCTCCTTGATGTTGTTCATGCCGACGAAACCGGGGGTGTACTCCTTGGACCCGAGCGTCCAGGATGTGCGCTGCTTGCGATCGAGCTCGGTCACCTCCTGCCGCGTGTATCGCGGGTCCGAGACGTACTTTATGTCGTCGAGGGATTTGCTCTTAACCTCGTAACCTTCCGGCAGCACATATACCTTTTGGGTGCTCATGTTGATGAAGACGTGGTGATCCTCCTCGAGCGCGTGGAAGTAGGCATGCGATTTCGGTCCCCGGCCCTGGAAGTATTTTCCGCACACCAAACATGCATAGACATTAATATTGGATAGCGTGATTGAGCACAGTTTTTCGAAGTCGAAGTCGAGGACGTTACGGTCGATGGTGTCGAGGTAGAGGTCGTCATAACCTGCTGTCGGTGCGGACTGCCTGATCGGCGCCTTCTCTTCGACTTCCTCCTCGTCAGAGAACTCGCCCTCCTCATCCTCTACGATCCCATTCTCGTGCGCCGGTATCCTCTGCTCGTCGCCATTTTCAAATGCGCTGCTCGGGGTCAGGCTCTTGTTGTAGTCATCGAATCTCGACTTTTTGGATGCGGGCGACTCGACCCCCGAGAGGTCCTCCAAGGCCTCTGATGCCTGACGTTTCGACATTCCTCGTGTGTTCTTGGGGGAAGGCGACCTAAATTTCGGGGAGGGGCGCGGGGGTTGGAGACGGCTCGAGAAATCGGGTGGTACTGTCGTTGTTGAGTTGGGTGCTGTTGTTGATGTCCAGGAATTTCCCAGAGCGACGCCATGGACAGGCAGGCCCCAGCTGCAATCGATGCCCCACTTGAGCTCACAGACAAAAGCTTGGCATATAAGCAGCCTTACAGGTTACAGGTAAATGAAACATAACAGTTTATGACCATGCTTGTCTGAAGTAAGTATAAGTAGATCATAAGCAGCCTGTTTTAAGTCGCTAATCTGAATCTTCTTTTTCAAGTATAACTTTCAACATAGGCTTCTCTCATGAAAATGTCAACATGAACCTCATACAACCCTAACCCTCCCACTTACACATGCTACCCCTCAGCCATAACCGCATCCCCATCCTCTACCGCCTCGAGCGAGGGCGGGGCCAAGCTGTCCATCTCCTGTAGGGTATACTCGACTAGGTAACTCTCATCCACCAGCTCCTCCATCCGCTTATAATGCCGCTCGGTATACACCTTCAGCGCATTCAGCACCTCGTTGAGGCTCTTCTGGCCCCTGGCCCCCTTGACCGACAGGTTGGAGAACTTGCCGGCCGGGTAGCTCCTGACCAGCGCCCAGAGGATCCTCTGGGCGACGGGCGCCGTGCGGGCGTTGGTGTTCCAGTCGCGCAGCCGGAGCAGCAGCAGGAAGATCTGCTCATCCGAAAGCCTGGCCAGGACGTCGTCGACGGCTTTGACGCCTGTTAGACTGCCCTCCTCCGGGGTGGTGCTGGTGACGACGTTGGTGAAGAGGCTGAGCAGGCGGCCCGGGTGGTTGAGTTGCAGCGCTAGGACGATAGCGTCGCGGTAGGCGCCCGCGTGGATGTAGTTTTCGAGTTCTTGCTCCTGTTCGACGAGCTTGAGGGCCGCTGATGTTGCGGCCGCTTGTGTTTCGGCGGTTGTGTCTTTCCAGAAGGTCACCTTGGAATCGCTGCCGCCGGAGACGAGGGTGTTCGTCTTGGGGTGCACCGCGAGGGTCCAGAGTCTGTCCTCGTGGTTGTCGAGCGTGCACTCCGTTTCACCGAGGTGGGCGTCCCAGACCTTGACCAGGCTGTCGGCGCCGGCGCTGGCAAACTGGATCCGCTTCTTGGCGGCCGTCTCGTCGGTGGGAATGTGCAGCCATACGACCTTGAGGACGTTGTGAGAGTGGCCCTCGAAGGTCCTCAGACAGGTGTAGTCTGTGAGGTTCCATAGTTTGATCGTCTTGTCACCACTTCCGGTCAAGATAACCCCTTTCCCTGAGACCGATCCCTGCTCGCCTTGGATGGCCGGGGTATGGCGAGGGGCGAATCTGACTGTCCAGACACCTCGTTTGTGGCCCTTGAGGATACCCTGCACCTCGAGTCTCTCGGAATCCCAAATCTTGACCGTCTTGTCCTGCGAAGCAGACGCAAAGAGCTGCCCTGTGGGGCTAACATCCAGGGCATTGATGTCCTTATCGTGAGCTAACCGCTTCAAACTCGCAGACACATTCGTTTTCTGTGACTGACGAGGAATATCCCTCTTTTGGACGAATCTATCTTGCGAGCCGGAAATCATAAATGGTGGTGGATGATCGAGAGGGTTTTTGAAAGCCTCCGAGTTTTCTGGGGGGACCACCTTGGGGAGAGCAACAGCCCCGACTGACTCAAGGTGGCCGGTGAACACCGCATAGCAGGTGTATGAGTTGTTGGCTCGGTCGATGCGCCAGAGCCGTGTTGTATTATCTTTTGCACCACTGGCAACCCAGTGGCCCGACCAGTCCACATCCAAGGACATGACAATATCCTCATGGCCTTTTAGTAATGCAACGTCGTGTCCAAAGTATGCGCCGCCCTCTTGTCCGTCGGCCTGGTTTTCGGTGTCGGCAACGGAAACGAGCCTAATATCCTCCGAGTTGGTGGCGAGCGCCATCAGGGACTGGTCGGGAAGGACGTATGCGAAATCCAAAATCTCATCGTGTGTGCCAGAAATGCGTCTAAACGGCTCCATGAGCATAGTTCCGCTGGAAGCAACGTCCGCCTGTGAGGGTACTCGATACATGGCAAGCGTGGAATCGGACTGTGCGCAAAGAACCAGGGACTTGTGAGGGAGAGAGATGGCCGATAGGATCGATTCGGGCTCTGATTTGGCCTCTTGTTCTGTGGTAATTTCGTGGTGTGTTGTCGTGTCCCAGATCCTAAGCAACCCGCTCGACCCAGCCGAGTACATCCATCTGCCCTCGTTCAGAAAGCCCACCGATTCAACCAGCTCGTGGCGCAGCATAGGGGTTCCGTGCCAGGCACCGTCCCTCCACAGCCACAGAGTCATCGTCTTGTCTCTGCTGCCGCTCAGGAGCGCGTGTTGCTCGGGTGAGTATTTTATGCTCTGAACGTTAGACTCGTGCGCCTCTTTCCTCCGTTTTGCGTCGGCATAGACCGGGACTGTGGTGCGCTTGTGGAGGTCGAAAATGCGAATCCTGCCGTCCTGGGTGCCCCATGCGAGCCGGAACCTGGACGCCACGTCCACCTCCTGATCTTGCTCGCCCTGACCCTTCCGCGGCCCCTTCTTTGACTTGCGCTCGGTCGTCTCGGCGGTTGCTGCGATCTCGAAGAAGTGCAGGGCCGACACCAGGACACTTTGACCGCTAACTGTGTGGGTCACATAGCCGCCGACGATATCCCAAATTTTGATGGCCCCATCTGCTGCGCCAGTGGCCAAAAGCGTGCTAGTTTTGTCGACGGCGAGGACTACAACGGGTGTCGCATGGGGCTTCGACGTCCGCACGAGGGTAGGCTCCACCGAGTCGAATTCGGGAGACACCTTAAGGGAGTAGATGCGCATCGTCAAGGACCGGGAGCAGACGACGAGGTGGGAAGCGGACGGGGTAATTGTCAATGTCGAAATTGGCTCGCCATCTCCTTCAATCTCGGCCAGGCGCTTCCCCGTGTTCAACTCTGTCAAAACCGCGACTTCGCCGAGCGTCGAGGCGAGGATCCGTGCGCCATTCTCGAGCGCGACCGACCCTCCAGTGAATATTGGCTGGATGACATTGTCGACCTCAAAGGTCGTCTTGGTCGCTTGTCTTGTAGCCATGGCTTGCGGTGGGTGATGTGCCGAGCGACCGAGATGCAGGTTCGCGATCTCAATTTTTCCCTGAACTTTTTTGGTTTGCTGCGCCGATAAGGAGGGGAAAATAAGGTTATCTTAGCGTAACTTCCTGGAACCCTGCATGCCCATCAAAGCCCACCTCTGCTTTCCCGCCGTTGGCAGCTCAATCAATCATTGCTGCACGCCCGGCATGCTGCAATGTCAGTGCTTCTTCCTTTAACGCCTACCTAACTGAAAAGTACCACTTTCACCCCAACCCCTAGGTATCCATCGAAGCCCGACACATCAACCCGCACTCTGGGTATGGAGCCATGATGTGCCGGGAATATCGGATTACTCGAATCAGAACTCATTCAACCATCAATAAACATCGCACGTAAACGGACAGACCAAATGCAGCCATGGGTCGATTAGGACCCATCACTTCTCTAGGACTCGTGAGGCCAACTGTATTCAAAGTTCATTCATTTCATAATCTAACATTATTTCCAGGGACGGTCACCATATGACGATGTGGTCCCGGGCGAAGGCCCAGAGGACTCGCGTTTTCCTCAGCAGCTGTATGATGAGCGAGGCCGCCCTATCAACCCGGAGACCAAGCGTATCAATCGGGACGTGATTCGCTCTCATAATGAAGTGATGATGGTCATTGGTGTTGCCGAACCAGAGAATACCGCCCCCGATACACAGTTCGAGGTAGCCCGCAGGCATCACCAGTATGAGGACCGTATCGGCAGGAGGCTGCTTCTGGCCGGCGGCGTGCTGGAGTCGGCGGCCATCTGGGGCGTGAATGGCATGAGGCAGCGCATTTTGGTATGTTGATTGTTGGCCACCAATTGATTCACTCAAATACCAACTCTGTAGCTCTACAAACCATACTCGCAAACAACCTTCTATGGCATGTTTCAACTCGCCTGGAGCCAGCAGTCTGTAGGCTCCTACTTCTTCGGCGGCTTGCCATCGTTTCTGGCGAGTACACTTCTGGAGCAGCTACCGGCCCCTGAGCTGAAGAAAACAACATCGTATGTTGCCTTTCTTGTCTCAGCCGACACCTTCGCTAACTGAAAAAGATTTCGATATGTCATGACATACATTCGTCTCCATTTAGCGATTTACGCCTTCTTCCAGCGAACAGGAATTATTCCCTACAACCGTTGGGTCCCTAACTGGCGGTTTTTCGTCCCGGGAACTAGCATATCACCTATTCCCTTCCCACCGACTCCGACCTCATTCCACCCCCGAAGCCTTCTCCAGTGGCTTGGTGCCTTCGCGCTTGGGGCAGCGCCGTTCGCCAGCTTCTACCTCTACACCAAGTTCCATACCGTCATAACCAAAACCCTACGGTACAAAATCCATCAGCTCCTTCCACGACCACATAACACGCACAAGCGGCGACTCTTCGGCAACCAACCCACAGGTGCCGAATATGGCCCCACCGAACACCGAACCGACGAACCACTCTCCTCCCCCACCGCAACGACAACACCGACAACAAGCGACGCCACCCCCAACGGCCCTCCCCGCCGACAAAGCACCGTCTCACTGCGCGGCGACAACAGCACCACCGCCACCGACCAACCCACCTTCGGCGGCTCCACCCAGGGGACCCACGACGACTTCGCCTCCGACGACGAAGACACCGAGATAATCAGCGCCACGCTCATCAGCTTCGACGTCGAAGCCACCGACGCGACCACCCCTCTCGACCCGACCTCCACCCACTCCGCCACCGCCCACGGCGGCGAAGACACCACCCCGGGCGTCTGGTCCGCCGAGCTGCGCCCCAACCCCAACCTCGGCAACGCTCAGCCCGGCGGCGGCGGCGGCGGCGGCGAGTACGGGTTCCCGGGCGGCGGCAGCGGCGAAGCCCAGGACAACCGCGTGTACCGCGAGAACGTGCTCACGCGCCTGCCGGCCATCCTCGCCACCGACGTGCTGGCCATCACGCCGGCGCGGCTGCTGATGACGCCGCTGGCGTCGATGGTGTGGCTGGGCCTGGCGCGGCCGTACATGCGGCGCACGGGGATGGCGCTGTGCGGGGTGGTGGAGGGGGTCGGCTGGTGGTGGGGCCTCAGGGAAGGGCGGGGGCTGGTGAATATGCTGGGCCTGGAGCTGCTGCTGGCCGTGATGCAGTGCGAGGCGTGGGCGGTGGTCATGCTGGCCGCGGAGCGGTTTCGGTATAGCGATGAGGAGTGGAGCGAGAGGGAGGGCTTGGGTGAGGGGGAGGAGGAGGAGGGGGCCCCCGAGAGAAACTAGGAGATTGAGAAGGGCGGGGTGTGGAGGAGGGTTGAGGTCTACGAGCGACGTCGTGTTCTGCGTGATGCTTGGCCGATGCGTCTGCTATGGAGAACTGCGCGGGCCGTACCCCGCTACTTTAGGTCACAGGTTGCTTTGTGGTGCTGAGCCCAGCGGGGGCTTATTGCATAGGTCGTCACTTGCATGATCATGGCACTAGATACAGCGCAGCGAAGTAGGGATATCATAAACACATCATCACAGCCAACCCTTTCCAATAAGCCCCTCAGCCCCGAGCCTTGCCCTTCCCCTTAAGCTTAGCCGCCTTCTCCCTATCGACCACATCCTTGATGACCGAGTACAAATCCTGGTTGCGCCGCGCCAGGAGGAGCACATCGTCGGTCGTGACGGTGGTGCGGCCGGCATGCTGGCTGAAGCTTTCCAGGTCTGTTGCTACGTTCTCTACAGCAACAAACACGGCATTAGATACCCCCTGCTGGGGCTGGACCGGTATCGCGATGCGCGCGACGGGGGAGGGGTCTGCTTGCCTATTTGATGCCAGATCATGTCGGTCAGGGCGCCGATGAACTGCGGGGTTGCGTTGCGGTTGCGCTGGAGTGACTCCTGGTCGACGATCTTGCCGATGGAGAACCAGAGGGCTTCTTTGAGGCGCTGGACGGTGTGGTGTCAGTTAGATGGACTCTTTGAGTTAGGGAGATAGGTGATATGGTGAAGGAACGGGCGTGGAGTTTGAATGGGTATGTTAGACGGATAATAATGATAATACAAAATGAGGAATATGTGGTGGATGATAGAGAGATGCGGAGTGTCTATTTTGCCTACCTGTTGCACCTCTTCATCCTGAGGGTCGGCCATGACGGTCCTCACGAGTCTTGGCATTTGGTGATGGATGGTTGTGGGGTTAAAGTGAGACGCGTTAAGGCGCGTCTCACTATGCAGTTAAGCGGAGCTCAGAACCGAACTAGTCTCCTTTGGGACTAGGGTCAATGCGCCAGATATGTACCCAGACCCCTGTCACCTCGGGCTTTCTTCGTGAAACCGGAAAAGTTGTGGTGATAACCGACGCTTGCAGACATTAATAGCGTTCGGCTGACATGTCTTCCATGATTATGAGCTCTGGAGTCGATTGCCAAAGGAACTAACTAGTAAACATCAAAAAGCCGAGCACGAAGCACGAATGCCGAAGATGCCGGCGGCAGTTCATAGTGGGGTCTTGGCTTGGCATAAATAGCTGACGACGTAACGGAGTTGAGCGGCAATTGAAGATTTTCGCGCAAATGCAATCTTTCCAGCTCCAACTTCTTGAACTTCGCTCTCAATCGCAGTGTGCCCGAGACGTGTTATTCTTCAACCTTTGAACATCTAGTCAATTACGGAGTCTGCCCGTTGCCTTACATCGTGGTTAAAAATCCTCAACAACAAATAATTGCCTCGTTGGCCTTCGAGAGCCCCCAAACACCCAAAATGGACAACATCGCCGGCCTCGCCTCAACAATAGGCAACCGCTTTGCGACGAACTTGAGGGGGTCATTTACCAACATGACCCTAGAACAGGGCATTCGACTCGTCATTATTGCCGGAGCTTGTGAGTTATGCCGCGCAGGGCTTTGATTGGGGCGAATCTAACTGGCGGTGATAGACATGCTCTTGAGACCATACCTGGTCAAGCTCGGCATGCGGGCGCAGATGCAGTCCCACGAAGAAGAAGAGGCGCGGGCGGAGGCGGAACACAAGGCCAAGATCTCGGCGAACGAGCTGCGTGGGAAGGTTAGCATCCCCGACGACACGGACGACGAGGACGAGGCCACGGCCGAGGCATCTGGGCCAGACTGGGGCAAGAAGGCGAGGAGAAGGCAACGCGATATGATCAAGAAGCTTTTGGAGGCCGAGGAACAGCGACTACGGGAGAACCAGGAGGAATTAGAGGATAAGGACATTGAGGAGTTCTTGGTAAAGGAATGAACAACGGCCGATATGTATCGACGTCATACAACGTAACTAATAGGCTTGTATATAAGCTGCCTCCATGGAGATTATCCCGTAATGATACTTACCACCAACGCGCCAACCTATCTAACCGTATTACTTGGATGATGTGCAAACATCATGATGTTGGTATATGTGTTGTATCGTATATATGGATATCCGATTAAGCGGTATGTGCTCAGACATGCACGGTTGGTTTTGCCCCACCATATCCAGCCCGCCGCCTGCGAGGCTGCTCTTTGACATTCGTCTTTGCTATCAAAGCGCACCTCGGCAGCTAATCGGCAACCAGTGCAGTCACCCAGCACATCGCCTGGAAACCACCGCCGACATCCAATTCTCGCACCACCAACTTGTGACGAGGCATTGGCACCGCTATCGAGCATCAATTGGCACGAATCCTCGCCGCACCTCAACTTTCTTCGACTGTGTTACCAACAGACAAGCCGCATCCCGACGACCAGCGACCGTCCATACCGGTTCTCAACCCCATACTTGATACGCGAACGTTTACCGTCATCATGTCGGCAAATTCCCACGAGACAAATGTCCGGTGCTCATGTGAAGGTACGACAACAACACCCATCGGTCCGGACTCTTGAAACAAGGACTGGCCCATCATGCGGCTCTGGGTTACCCGTATTAACTTCCCTCCAGCTGCGAAGAACTTTGTCGACTGGTACTACCGCCAGGTCAACGATTGCAAGTCCATATCCCCAGGCTACGTCAACGGCCACTCAGCGTACGACAAGGCCGGCCACCCGCCCGCCGACATCTGCATCAACGGCCTAGTAGTCGCGACGCCACAGGAATGGGAGAAGCTGCTCGAGCAACAAAGACAGGCGCCCAAGCAGCCCGACCCGAACAAGAGGCGCGTGCGGTACGAGGTCGAAGGCTTCGACGCGCACGTCATCAACGCGGACTACCGCTTTGGCGCCCCGCAGAAGATGCTCGACCTGCACTCGACAACGGACGGCGTGCGCATGATGATGACGGTGGTCGTCTCCGGAACCGTCTACTTCGGGACGGGCAGGAACAAAGCGGATGATTATTGGGAGAAGCAAACCTTTCACGACAGGTTCATTCTGGTGCCGAACTGGGATGTTCTCGAGAGGCCCGGGACTAAGCATGGGAGGAAATATCTGATTATTTCTCACAACTACCGGGCAAACTAGGTTGGTCGGGGGAGACATCTGTTGTTTTCTCACACGGCCCCGCCCAAACTGGGAGCGGCGGTGGCGCTGTGGTTCAATGGTTAGGAAAATGCATCGCGGAGTTCATTAGGCCCTTCCTTTACAGAGGGCTGTGGGAGAGGCGTTAGGTATACCATCAGCGTTGAGGGTTGGTTAAAATTGAATTCATTTGATCCAGCGGATATGAGAAAACTGCACGTTACCACGATGCTTAACGCTGGTTGTGACACTGGTGAATCCGGCGCATTCCAGATATGACAAACGATTGACTGCCTCCCATTGCTCCTCTGCCTCACCCTTTGCTACCATCTTCAGTACTCCTGCAGCCATAGACAAACCCAACTACCTAAGTACCTTTTCCGTGCATGCCCTATATAGCGCTGCGTAGCAAACGATCCTAAAGACAAACACACTCGAGAAAACCAAACAGCCGTGCATTACTACTCCCTGCCCCCTATGCAGGAACTTCCAAACACTTCCGGCGCCACTCCCAATACCCAACCCGGATGCGATCCCACTTCTGCCCCAACCTCGTCAAGCTCAACTCCGCCTTCTCCCTGTCCCCCTTCTCGGCGTAAATCTCCGCCAACAGGTCCAGCGCGTGCGTGCTCTGGACGTCCTCCGCCTCCTCTCCCTCCCCGAGCCCCTTGACGAACCCGCTCGCGAACTCCTCGACCGTCGCCAGCTTCCGCCCGCCCTTGACCAGCACGCCGCGCAGGTAGTTCCACCCGCTCTGGTTCTGCGGTGCCAGCCGGATCTTGTCCCGCGCGTACTCGACCTCGCGGTCGATCACGACGGCGGGCACGCCGGGGTCGGCCTCGGTGGCGGCGCTGCCGGGCGTGGCGTAGTCCGGGTTGGAGAAACCCAGGAAGAAGCGGTGCGACCAGGCCGAGTTGTTGCGCACGTCGTCGTCGATCATGGCCTCGATTGCTGCGAGCTCCTCGCCGTCGTTGAATAAGTTGAATTTGCCGACCAGGTACGAGCGGTACGACCACACGTGGTAGTTCTTGGTGTCCTCGGCGAGGATCTTCTGGAGGAAGCTGCGCTCTGCCGCGGCGAACTCGGCCACGGCGGATGGGTCGGCGGCGATGAGGGGGTGGTAGTTTTCTACCAGGAGGTGGCGGTGGTGCCAGATTTGGTAGTTCTTGAGGTTTTCTAGGGCCACGCCGTTCAGCCACGCCATCTCGTCCGGGATGGGGAGCTTCAGAGCGAACACGTTGGCCGCGCGGAACAGCCAGACGGTGTAGTGCGCCGGGTTCATGCCGATGATATGCTCGGTTAGGCGCAGGCAGCGCGGCGAATGCTCTTTGGCCTGCATCACGGCGCGGAGGTAGGCCATCGCTAGGAATGTCAGCCACCGCGAACCTCACTAGAACCCACCAGAAAGCGGACTCACCCTCAGCATAATCAGCAGAATACGAGATCGCCGCCAGCGCGCCCTCCGGCTCCTCCAACACCACCGGCTCAACATCATCCCACTCCGGATCCATCGCCAACTTCCCTTCTTTACCCACACCACCCCCATACAACTCCTTCCTCAGCGCCGCCATCTCTTTCCGCCGCCTAGTCTCCTCAAAAGCCTCCTGCTCCGTCACAACAACCAATTCCCCAGTCAGCTCCTCAACCTCACCCCTCCTTTCACGCTCCCACCTCGTCCGAAAACAGCGACTCTCCACCTCCAAACACCCCAACACAACCTTCCGCTCCCACTTCGCCTCAAACTCCCTCACACCAACTTCCCCCCCTGGCGGTGACTTCCTAACCCTCGCAACCCTAAGCCCCAACCCGCCCTCGTTAACAATCTTCCAAACCTCCCTCAACGTCTTGACCCCACCTCCACAAGCAACCTTCCCAACCGCACCTGCACCCGCGGCCGTCGAAGACCCGGACGAGAGCGCCGGGCGTGCGGCGATGCGCGAGGCGATGCGCGCGGCCAGCCAGGCGGTCTGCTCCGGGTGGGAGAGCGCGGCGGAGAGCGAGCCGCCTTTCTGGCGGAGCAGGGCGTCGTGGGGGCGGGCGGCGGCGTAGCGCGCTTCGGAGCGGGCGAGGACGGTTTCGGGGGTTGGGGTTGTGGTGGGTGGTGGTGGTGGCTTGGTTGTTGTTGTTGGGGGTGTGGTGCGGCTGCTGCTAGCGGCGGCGGTGGTAGTGGTGGTGGTCTGTGTGGGTTTGGTAGCTGGAATGGGGGGGGGTGGATGGTTAGCTGCCTGCCTAGCTCGGGATGCGGGATGGGATGGGATGGGAGGGCTGTTGCGGCGGAGGGTAAAAGTAGGAGAGGGAAAGGCCCGGAGAAGACCGATGGCAGAATGGGATCCGCTCACTTTCGGACGCTTTGGTCTTGTTCGCTGCTTTGCCTTTGGGCGGCATGGTGGGCTGCTTCTTTGAGGCCCGAGGATGGCGGGGTGGGTTTTAAAGAGTGCAGCCAAGAATTGTCGGTTGGTTGATCGTCAATGGAGCTGCCCGAGGAAGCTCGCTCAATCGCTCAGGGAGCTTCAGTAAGCGGGGCAGACAGGGATTGCACAATCATAACTTGTGCCAAAGCACAATGTTAAGCACTGTCTTTCTTCTCAAACCGTTCCCCGCGTTCGTTCAATTGTTTTTTCTTCTTCAAGGAGCTGGTTGCAGGTTACACGTGGATTATTAGATTGGGTAAGAGAGTCTGTATACACAGTAAGGCGAGACGCTCTTGAATCAAAATACAGAGAAGTAAACCCGTTAAGGTACTTGGAAAGCCAGGGGCTCCCACCTCCCATCCCTTTTCCGCTGTCGCCCACTGGAAAGAAGCCCCTGATTGAAGATACCACGCCACATTTCGCCAACAGAACTCCTATCCCACACAACCTTCAGGAAAAATTTGTCTAACTATTAACAAGCAAGTCCAAGTCCAAGTCCAACTTCAAGGCCACCCTCTCCTGTGGCCACACTCCCAAAACTAGCTCTCCACTCTCCAGAAATTCCACCCTTCCCTCTCGCCCGCCCCTCCGTGCACACCCACCAGCTTCTCAACACCCTCATTCCCCTCCGCACTGAGGAACCGCTCCAGGTCGATCTCCATCCCGCCCTGGTCATCCTCGTCCATCCCATTCTTGAGCACAGCCGGCCAGAGGACACCGACACCGTCCCCACCAAGCGTAGTCTCAAACTTCTCAAACCCTTCCTCATCCAGCTGCGCCTGCAATTTCCCCAGCTTCTTGCGCTCAACACCTGGCTTCAGCAGCGTGATGCAGCAGCCACCGCCGCCGGCACCGGTGAGCTTGGTCCAGCCGATGCCCTCGTGGTCGACGAGCTCGCGCACGCGCTCCAGGCGCGGGTGGGAGACGCCGAGCGAGACGAGCAGGCCGTGGTTGATGGTCATGAGCTCGCCGACGCGGGCGAGGCTGGCGTCGGACGAGGTGTCGAAGCCGTCCTCGGTGAGCACCTCGGCCGACGCGTCCGTGACCTTGTCGATGGCGTCCAGGATGCTGCCCACCAGCACCGGGTGCGTGTTCTTGAGCTTGCCCACCTTGGCCACCTCGTGCGCCGTGGATTTTGGCACCCGCGTGTCGACCAGCAGGAGTGGCAGCTCCGGGAAGTCCCAGAGCGGCCGTACCGACGGCGGCTTGCCGTAGTCTGTGCGCTGGAAGACGACCGCCTTGCCCTGCGTCGCGACCGTGTTGTCGACGCCGGACGGATTCCCGTGGATGAACATCTCGTAGACGTAGGCCCAGCGGTTGATGCGCTCGATCTGGATGCGCGCCTCATCGGCCGGCTGGTCCGGATGCGGGCCGGCCAGCGTCCGCAGCTGCAGGAGCAATGCGGCAGACATGCATACGGCGATGGTAGCGCTGCTTCCCAAACCGGCGCCTATTGGGATTGTCGATCGTAGTGTGTACTGGCAGCCGGGGAACGACTGGGACCCGAGCGACAGGAACATGTAGAGGAAAGAGCCGGCCGAGTTCTGATGTACCTTGCGGATTCCGGCTGGCTTGTCGGGGGAGACGTTGGCGAGGAAAGGCTGGATCGCGGCAACGAGCTCGAGATCGAGTTCCGTGACGAGGGAATAGTAATATTTCTTTTTGGACGGTTGTTGGAAGGTCGCCCAGGGGAGCTCATCGATATTCCAGCAGTGGTCGAAGTCGATATCGGGAAATTTGAGCGTTACTGTGCGCTTGGACTTGGAGAGCGTCGTGACGAGGAGGTAGGACCGCAGCGAGATGGCGGCAGCTATTGCGGCCTGTAAAACCAACATATCAGCACCAATTTCCCACTCTCGACCACCTCTTATCTGCACTCACCTTGCCATGTACAACAGCGTGTTCGCCAAACACAATCACCTTGCCCGGCGCCGACACCATGAATGCCGGCATCATCGGGCTTGACTGTTTGCGCTTCCTCCTCCGGGGGTTGACCTTTGAGCTGCTCGTCCCATTGCTTGTGCCATTGACGCTATCTGTGCTCTCGAGGCTCAGGTCGCTAGCATCTGTGCTGATGCTGTCGGGTTCTGAGTCGCTGTGGAAGCCATTGACGCCGTTGTGGCCGTTGTGGCCGTTGACACCGTTGACACCGTTGACGCCGTTGACGCCGTTGGCTATGCCGTTGGATGCGCGCTGTGTCGCCATGGCATCCGTGCACCGAGATCTTTATTACGGCTTATTTGTGGTTCGAGAGTAGCGAAGGCAAAAGAGGCCGGAGACGGCTGTTCGAGAACAATATCAAGGCGGCTCGTTGGTCAATGGCTACGTTCTACGGCCGTAGGACAAGGACGACTCGTGGTAGTGCCGGAACACGGCAGGCGGCGTGCTGCTTCGAGTATATGCTGCGGTACCGTCACGATTGGTCCAAACAAAGACTGGCTGTGATCGAAACCGTGGTGTTGCGGGGACAGAAGAGGAACCGGGCAAACGGGTTGGTGGTGCAAGGCGCGAAGCTGGGAAGGATATTATCTGCCAAGATAGGCAGGAGGTGTAATATTAAGTCGAGTGGAGTCCAGAAGCGAAGCAATTCGGCGATCGGATGGTAAAACGGCGCTGTCCTGCTGCAAAATCGAAATCCCGTCGTTATTAGTTGACAATTAGTTACGGCGCCGTTGGTCGGTAACACGAAGAACGTGGTGTTGGGGGCACAGCTGCTCCAAGAAAAATAGTGGCCGGGAACGCGCTGCGGCACTGCCCACCACCACGATGACGAGCAGGGGCAAGATATGGGTGGATTCCCGGCTCTGTCTCCCATTGTTTCTGTCCACGGGGTTGCATTCTGTCGTTCTGGAACCTTGGAAGCTCCTGATTGGCGCCAATGCCCATTTCCGGAGAGCTGGGAGCGAAGAGCCAAGGGGCCGATACAGGCCGGGACCACCTGGGACCCGTTTTTACCGGTGGCCCTTGCATCAGGGAAGTTCTGCCGGCGTTGCCCAGTGGTCACGGACCAGAGTGTCAGCGGCGAGCAATTCCCGCTTCCCAAACCCCACAGGCCCCGTGATGCCATTGCCATGCTGGAGATGGGTCGAGATGCCCAAGAAAGGTCACGGGATTCAGCCTTCTTGACTCCCCAGTACCAACGCTGTTGCGTCTGTTTTGTGTCTTTGATCCCCGCGTCCAAGTCTCAGCATCTGGCAGTTGAGCCAGCTCGTAGCCAGTGAGAAAGCATGGCATAACGGCGATGCCGATGCGGAAAGTCATGGGCCGCGGCGGGTCCAATACGTGAACTCATTTTAGCCCAAGGTCCGCCTTAAAGCCGATGGTTTGCAAGCAACGACCCTGCACTTGAACTCGACGACGGCACCCTCTGGCCAAAAAGCCGAACTCCAAAGGAAAACAAGAAACTAAGCAAAAAGAATTAAGTTGAAGAAATCGGAAAACCAAATCAAAGAAAAGACATCGAGTAAAATTAAAAAGTAAATTGAGCTAATGCAGTTTCTTTGGGCTTTTGGATGGCTTTCGTTTGGTTCCTGCAGTCGATGACGTCTACACTTCAGAGTCCGGCTTTTTTGCCCATGGGGTGGACGGCTCAGAGATCCGATGCGGATGAAGACGCAGGTCGAAGGTGCCTTGAAGGTCCTTCATCATCTTGGTGGTCATAGGATGAGGTCAAGCTGACTGCATCTGTTCATACCAGGTGGTGCCTGCATTGATGGGTCTCTGTCCATCTATAACCTCTTTGAGAACAGCAGCAGGTTGCACGCCGGGGATAAGCCACATCACCGGCCTGCCGCCTGCCGCGCCGGCGTGATTCAAAATGCCTTCACAGAAGGCATTCAAAGAGCATCGCAAACCCCGACATATAATATAAAACAGCGATAGCCAACACACTCACCATCCTCCGTAAAACCCAAACCCAAACCAAAAACAAAAACAAAAACAAAAACAAAACGCCATCAAAATGTCCCCCGTAACCGAATTCGCCCTCCTCCACCTCACCACCAAACCGCCCCCCCACGACACCAACACCACCAACACCAACCCCCTCCCCACCCCCCTCCGCGAAACCCTCACCACCGCCATGCGCGTCCAAGACGACTGGCACGCGACGGCGTTCCCCAACCTCCCGTCCTCGTCCGCCGACCGCGCCGCCGTGTGGTTCTCACAGGTCGAGGACCCGGCCTGGCTGCTGACCACGGCGCGGTGGCCGTCGGTGGCGGCGCACTGGGACTGGATTCGCAGCGCGGCGAACGAGCGGGTCATGGGCGAGCTGGGGCCGAGTATTGTGGCGGGGGAGACGGTTTTGTTTCATGTGGCTGGGGGGATATTTGGGAAGGGTAGGGGTGGTACTGGTGATGGTGGGCTGGGTTCGTTGCTGGAGAGTCCGGTTATCAGTGTGCGGAGGATCTTTGTGAAGAGGGTGGATAGAGCGGCTTTCGAGGCCAAGTTTGAGGAGGTGAGGGGGATACTGGAGGGGTATGCCCGGCCTCATCTGGTTCGGTTCGGGTGGCGGGAGGATGTGGAGGACGGAGAGGATGAGGATGAGTTCGTGCTTGTGTGTGGCGGGGACAGCGTCGACCAGCACTTTGCGTTTGCCGAGTCCGAAGGGTTCGCCAGGTACGGTGAGCTCCGGGAGTTGATTGCGCGGGTCGATCTGAAGCACTATAAGCCGTTGTCGCTGGAATAGCGGCCTGTCCACTTCGAGACCTTGCAAGGGGGACGTTGATTCTGAGTTTGGGCCTTGGCCGATGAATGCGATTCATTTCTGGGGAACCTCGCCAACTACATCGCCCATCCGAGGCTAATCATAGCAAGCAAAGCACCAGTTCCTCCTGAGTTTCCCATTCCGAGACGCCGTTTGTGAGTTCAGTCCAACCCGAACCGGCAAATGCATGTGCCTCCATCGTGCCAGAGCCCCGTGCTCAGTGCCGGACCAGTATTTCCCCTTCAGGATCCATCAACTCATGTCGACTTCTGCTTGTTCTTCTTGGGAACGTCCTTGATCTGAAGGTCTGTTGCGAAATCCACCGTCAGCCCATGTTCGTCCTCGTATCGTCCGTTTTCGTCGCGGGAAACCTACTGGGCGGCAGGCTCTGCTTGAGCTTCTCGGCCTTCTCCGAGTCCTTGAGGACCAGGGTGTAGAGGAACCTCTGGCAGCGGACCTTGAACTTGATCTGCTGGCTCTTGTTGTTCTTCTTGATCCGGGCGGCTGCAAGAAACCCATTGTCAGAATCTCCTCCCACAATCTCCTAGCTCGTCGGTCATCTCGCGTGAAACGTACAGGAGGCGTCCTTCCGCCGGCAGATCTCGATGAACTACGCCAAAAATGTCAGTACGCCGTCCGGACTGCGCAGAAAATCCCAGCACTTCGAATCTCACCTTCTTGATGTCTCCGATTTCTTGAGGCATTTTGGCTGGCTGTGTCGAGGTCCTGTACTGGTCGAAGGGGTTCTCGGTTTCAAGGTCGGGATTGTATTTCTCGAAATTATTTTCTGTGGGTTTGGCGGTGGGGTGGCACCCCGACAGCTGCATTGCATGGGTTTGGAGAGTGGCAGGGGTTGCTTTGGTCAGAGCTTCATTGTGTGGCTGAGTGACGCGGCCTGTGGCGCTAGCTCCTTATGGGACGACCATCTCGATGTTGACAGGTAGCTCATGCTGTCGACAGCATTCTTGCTCTTATAAAATTGGTCAAACATAAATCTACTTCGATAGCCATTGGGGTCCCCATCACGGCCCATACACAATCAAATCCACAGCAGCCACGATGCCGACGCCATTAGACCGAGCCATGAAATCCAAAGTCAGTATTCGCTTCCGACTCTTGACAATTTCCAGCTTTGACTAATAGTATTACCAGAACGCCGTCCTCGGTAAGAAGTTCAGCGCGGTGTTATAGGTGTTCTATGTTGACTTTCCCAAGCCTTTGGCGGTTTGGTGACAGGCGTTGCTGTGTGGGCAATTTGGGGAGGCGACTTGTTTCCGCAGGAACAAGACCCTAAAGGCGCCCCAGAGACTTGGTCTAGAGAAGAGCTTCGGCGATGGCTAGCTGCGGTATGTTGCCCGGCTTCCTAGCACTACCTAATACTGACCAGTTGCCAGCGAAACCTCCATCCTCAAGAGTCGGACAGCAGAGATCAGTTGCTCGAGCGGGTGCAGGCGAATATGAGGATTCCGAGGAATTAATATTATTGCCACCATGAAAGGCATGTCAAGACAGCTTGCCCCAGCCAGCGTTCCCGATCCACGCCAAAACACTCATGGGTCGGAAAGCAAGCTGTGGCGTTTTAGGGGTCCGGTAGCGGTGCCAAGTAGTACATTGGATATCGAACTGGGTTCGAAGATGTAGATTTAGAATGGCTTGGGGAGTTGTTTTGCAGCATATTACAGATACCAAAGGGCTTTCGTCGTCAGTTGAGAGACAGAACAAGTTCAACAGTTGTGACAGCCCAAACGGGCATCGGATTGTCCCGGTGGGGTTTCTGATGACAGGCGCGACGGGGGCAACTTAGCCAATCAGACAGCTTCCCACGATAAGATTTGGGGCCGCAGGCAACGGCATCCCGCGCGCGCAAGGACAGCTTGTTCCTCTGGAGACTCGGGCCCCTTCTTTCATCAACTTCCAATTGTCAAACCATCGTTGGAATTGGATCGCGACGGCCGGATAGTCGCGACCTTTCTCGCCACGATGGATTTTCTTCAGGTATGCGGTCCACCAGAGTTTGCTTTTGAATGCCATGAAACTAACTGCCCTCGTCGCATAGCGCCTTGCGCGGTTCCTCGACCGCCCGCTGTTCCCGTGGAAGAAGCTGATCATCGGCTTCTCCGTCGGCCAGTACGTCTTTGAAGCGCTCCTTGGGTACCGGCAATACAAGATTCTGCAAAAGACAAAACCGCCCAAGGTGCTGGAACACGAGGTGTCGCAGGAGGTCTTCGACAAGAGTCAGGCCTACGGCCGCGCCAAGGCAAAATTCACCGGCTTCAACGGTCTCTACGGACAGCTCCAGAACCTCGCGTTCTACCACTTCGACGTACTCCCGAAACTCTGGTCATGGACAGGCGATCTTCTTCTCCGCTTCGCGCCGAAGGGCTTCACTGGCGAGATCTCGCACTCGATCGTCTTCATTCTGTCGTTTATCATCATCAGTCAGGTCCTCTCGCTGCCGTCTAGCATCTACAATACGTTCGTTCTGGAAGAGAAATTCGGTTTCAACAAGCAGACTCCTAAGCTGTTCGTCGTCGATATGATCAAGACCAACCTTCTGGCTTTCGTCCTGGCTCCCCCCATTCTCTCTGGTTTCCTCTCCATCATCAAGAAGACCGGTAGCCAGTTCTTCTACTACCTCTGGATGTTTGGCGCTGGCCTGCAGGTTTTCATGATTACCATCTACCCGATCGTCATTCTGCCGCTATTCAACAAGCTCTCCCCCTTGGAGGAGGGCAAGCTGAAGACGGATGTCGAGAACCTGGCCAAGAAGCTCAAGTTTCCGCTTCGGGAGCTGTACGTCATTGACGGCAGCAAGCGCAGCGCTCACAGCAATGCCTATTTCTTTGGCCTACCCTGGAAGAAGCACATTGTCATCTACGACACCCTGATTGAGAAGAGCGAGAACGACGAGGTTGTCGCCGTCCTGGCCCATGAGCTCGGCCACTGGAGCTTGGGCCATACCACCAAGCTATTCGGCATCTCTCAGGTTAGTCAACATTACGACCGTGTTCTTTCTCGTGCCATATGCTAACGGTTTACAGGCGCACTTCTTCTACATCTTCGCTCTCTTCTCGGTCTTTGTCAACAACAACTCTCTCTACTCCGACTTTGGCTTCACCAACCAGCACCCCATTATTGTCGGATTCCTCCTCTTCTCGGACATTCTCGGCCCCCTGGACAACGTCATCAAGCTGCTTATGAACATCTTGAGCCGCCGCTTCGAGTTCGAGGCTGACGCTTTTGCCAACGGCCTCGGGTACAACACGGAGCTGGCTCGCTCGCTGATCAAGCTTCAGATCCAGAACCTGAGCACCATGGATGCCGACTGGATGTTTGCCAGCTACCACTTTTCGCACCCCATCTTGTCGGAACGCTTGAAGGCGCTGAACTGGCAACCCACCGAGAAGGTGGAAGTGAAGGGCGGTGATAAGGAGGAGGGCAAGGAGGATACTGCGACTGCGACTGGCAGAGATGAGCTGTAGACGGGCGGGCTGTATGTTTTTGTCTGTAGTCTAAACTAGACCAACGAGAATGTCGAACAATATTTTATTCAGCATTAACATGTCCCTACCTACGGGTGGAGCGCTTAATGAAGCGCTCTGGTCAAGCGGTGCCTTTCGAGGATATTGGCCGTCTTGGTAACCCTAACCCTATCCACTTGTCACCAACTGCCAACTTACGAGGCCCTACTATCAAGAAGGTCCAATATAGGAATATAGGTAGCTATTGCTACCGCTGTCCTGAAGGAATGGACATGGACTCCCAATAGGGAGCCCGGGCGTTTTGTCCTGTATTTCAACCTTCCGTTGTTGAGTCGGGTATGCTAGCAGCTGTCCGCCACCGCTGCCAGCTGTCAGCTACTCCAAAGGCCCGCTTGGCACCTCGAACGAACCTCGCCAAAACTTTGGTCGGACTTTGGTCGGCGGCGCATCACGACAACACCACGAACCACCCCAGTTGACCTTGCCAAAAGTGCGAAGAGGACCGAGAAGACACGCAACTATGTCTCGGGTCAGCCTCCAATCCCCGCTCCTCCAGGCGGTGCTGCGACGGCCAACCGCCCAGCTAATTCCTCGCTGTGCTCTGGCGACGACGAAACCCACTGCTGCTCGGTATGTCACACTGTCACTCCCCTTTCACAATTGCCGCAAAGAGAAGACCAATAACCAACTAACCCACCCTTCCCCCCCAACACAGCAGCATCTCGCACCTCCCCACCCTCCGACCAACACTCACCACCCCATCGCCCATCTTCCGCGCCGCGAACGCCCAGCGCTTCGCACCAGCAGCAACAACCACGCTCATGGCCGGCACAGAAACGGCGACGGGCGAGGTGGCCGACGTGCTGGGCAAGGCGGCGGTGACGGCGCACCCGGCGCTCGCGGGCTGCGCCAGCCAGATGCGCTGCGGCCCGCGCGCCAACATGTCCGGCGCCAGCCGCCTCATCCAGAAGCGCCGCCACGGCTTCCTCAGCCGCCTGCGCTCCAAGGCGGGGCAGAAGATGATCACGCGGCGGAGGACGAAGGGGAGGAAGAAGTTGGGGCATTAGGGGTTGGGTGGTTGGGTTCTGGGGGTAGGAAGTAGAGAAGGGAGGGGGGCTGTGTATTATACCGAGGGGGTGGAAAATGTATTATACTGGGGTGGAGGTCTCCCTGGGATGGTTGATTCCACGTCAGGTCGGGCAGTTTGGCGTGGATTAGGCGCCGTGCCGTTTTCTGCTCTCGGCGAGGTACTGTTGGTCTCAACTCGGACTACGTTTCGGCGAGATCTGCTAGAGACATGCTTGATAGTATAAAAAGAATATACGAAAGCTATCTTATAACGTGGGCTGAAGGCCTAGAGAACATGTCCTGAAACTCATCGGCTCATGTCCTTTCTACGTAGCCAGAAAAGAAAGGGCAATCAGCTAAGAACCCAACCCATATCCTGGCACACACTACTGTGGGGTTTGGCTGATGCGTTGTTGAATAGCGAACGCGTGGACACAGGCGGGCCATTTCCAAGATATATGAGCAGTGCTTCGTATCGGGATGTCCTTTGTAGAACCAGTCAACATATTACCTCACTTGAGGCGGTGTGCTCCTTCAAGCCAATAAATACTAAAATTAATCGTAATAGCACTACAGCGTACTCAAGCCCACCACTGAAAATTACTGCCGTTCTTCTAGAAACCCAACCGCAGAACTAAATTACCCACCCCCTCAAACCGGCGGCTCCAACCCATCCTCACACTCCCCCGTATCCGTATAGCACGCCAAAAACAGCTTATCACTCGCCTCCCCAATCCAAACCGTATACCTCCCCCCGCCCACCTCCTCCGCGCCAGGAACCACCCAATTCTGCAACTCCACATCCCACACGCTCACATCCTTCCTCGTCAACCTCACCGTCACCCTCTCACTCTCCCCCGGGCCCAACTCCCTCGTCTTCTCGAAATCCCGCAACTGCACCGCCGGCGTCTCATACACCCCCCCCTCCGGAAACTGCAAATACGCCTGCACCGACGCCTTCCCCGCAAACCTCTCCCCCGCATTCGTCACCGTCAGCGCCACCTCCCACGCCACGTCCCACAGCGCCGGGTTGCCGCCCTCGCCGCCGCCGGCCGCGGGCCCGGGGCGCTGTTCCGTGGCGTAGCCGGCGGGGTATGTGTATTTCTCCTTGCCTTCGACGCCGATGGTGTGGGCCGCGTCGGCTTCGTGCTTGGGGAGCCAGGGGTAGAGGTAGCGCCAGATTTTGGTGAAGCCCTCGGGGGTGTAGGCTTCGGAGGCGGCGGGGAGGGTGGTGGGCAGGATGGGGGGGGAGGGTTTGGGGGCGCGGGGTGGTGGGGTGAAGGAGAGGGGGGTGGTGATGGGCTGGATGGTGGCGTTGGTGAGGGTGAAGGTGGTGTAGCTTAGGCCGTGGCCGAAGGCGAAGCGGGGTTGGATGGATTGTTGGTGCAGCGAGCGGTAGTCGATGTAGAGGCCTTCCGAGTAGGTGTCTTGGACTTGGCCGAGGGCGAAGCCCTTGAGGTTGGCGATGCTGTCGGGGAAGTCGGTCGCGGCTTTGGTGATGGAGTAGGGGAGGTGGCCGCTGGGGGAGACGTCGCCGAAGAGGATGTTGGTGAGGGACTCGCCGGCTTCTTGGCCTGGGAGGTGGGCGAAGAGCACGGCCTTGACGGAGGGGTGGTCGATCCAGGACTCTAGGATGAGAGGGCCGACGGTGTGCACGACAACGACGACGTTCTTGAACTTCTCGGCCGCTTTCTGCACTAGCCTGTCACCGCCGTGCCAGGCCGCCAGCTTGTCCGAGTCGCGGTCTCCGTGGTTGTTTTCGACAGTGAAGCTGTTTTCTCCCGCGTCGGAGCTGATGAAGACCATCGCAATGTCATCCGGGGAGGGCGTGTCGATGATGAGAGGGAAGTTGTCCGTGTTGTGGAACTTGACGTCCGGGATTCTCTTTCTGATGGCCGAGATGGGGTCATCGAAATAGGGGTAGTCCGCCACACCAGACCCCCAACCCATGCCAAGTGTACCCGTGTTGCACGCCCTGTTGAGACAAGCATTCGGCCCTGCAGGATTGACCTGCGCGTCGGTGCCGAAGACGGTGAGCTTGCTCGAGCCGGACAGCGGGAGAAAGCTGCCGTTGTTCTTCAAAAGCGTAATGGCGTCCTGGGCCACCTGGCGGGCGACCAAGTTGTGGTCATCCTGGACGTTGACGAACCAATTGACCTGGCCAGTGGGAGAGAAGACAGCTGCGGGATACAAAAGGCCGTCCCGGTCACGCGTGTTGGACGAGAAGTTGGGCCGCGGGTGGTCCTTGTCCTGCTTCATCTTGTACCAGGCGGCCACAACCCTGGTAGCCATGTCGTTCAGCCTGTCCACGGGCACCGAACCGTTCAACACAGACCTGGTCATCTCGTACTGCCATAAGCTGAACCCAAACAGCGGGATGTTGGTGTCGCCTGGCATGTTCATGTCGAGACCGGCCAAGGCCGAATCAACTCCCGAGATGTGGCTCAACCAGTCAGACATCACCATGCCCTGGAAACCAAGCTCGTCCTTGAGGATGCCGTTGATGAGGTTGCTGTGCTGGGAGCAAGCAGAGCCGTTCACAGCATTGTACGCCGTCATTACAGCACCGACACCGGCGTGTACCGCCTCGGCGAACGGCCACAAGTACACCTCGTGGAGAGTGCGGTCATCTGCCCCTGGTCAGCATACCCATCAACCGGGCGACTGGCTGCGGTCGGAACACCTTACCAATGTTTGCGCTGTACCCCGGCTGGAATGGGTTGTACATGCGGAACATCTCTTGCTCATTGCCAATGTAGTGCTTGATGGTCGCAATGACGCCCTGCTCCTGAACGCCTCTGATGTGCTGGGCGGCCGCCTTCGCCTGAAGCACAGGGTCAGAACCGAATCCCTCCCAGTTGCGCCCGCCCAGGGGTTTCCGTCCCAGTGGGCCAACCGATGGGCCGAGGTGGACGTTGGCGCCCTTACCCCGGAACTCCTTGCCCATGGCAACTCCGCGGGCATACATGAGGGCTTTATCCCAGGTAGCCCCCGTCGTGATGCCCGCAGGGAAGGCGGTCACATTGTCGGCAGACGAGACGCCGAGCGCCGAGTCCTGGAGGCAGAGTTGAGGGAAGCCCAGACGGTCAGCGCTTCCGGTGTTTCCCACGCAGGGTCTGGATAGTTAGTAAACGGCAATGCGTTGGAGTTAACTTATACTGACCCTGTTCAAAATGTCAGCGTGGTACTGCGAACGGCATCCGGGGAGTTGCTTACCCATAAAGATGCCAACTCCAGACGTGATGTTTGTCTTCTCGGCCAGGGTCATCTGCGACACCAAGTCCTGGGCCTTGGCGTATGCGTCCTTCCATGAATCAAGCCAGCCGCCGTACGGCGCAGGATAGTAAGGGGCGGCATGGTATCCCTCCGGGACGGGATCTCTCGGTCCAACACTACGAGCAAGAGCGGGAGAAGCGAAAAGGCTTAGGGCGAGCGAGAGCCACACGGTGCTCGCGTGGTAGACCATGGTTAATAGCCGCGTTGTCACAGCCCTCTCGGACTCAAGCAATAGTAGGTTCGTCAAAACTCCAGGCCCTCCAGGTCGAAGACGAGCGGAAATACCCAAGACAATAAAAAGGCACCAGGAGACGCGGGAGCACGATGAGGTCATTCAAATCCGGACCCAATCTCGGCGCGTACGGCACACGCGCCGGTGCTCGGCGTGCTCGGCCGGCCGTTTAATCGACCAGTAACGATGTGACGTCGGCTCCGTGATTGCAGATCTGAATTCCAGGTCCATGGCATCCACAGCGATCGGAGAATAGGGAGCCGCGCCTGTTAAAAGACAGCCAAGAAGCGGGCGACGCCCCAAAAGCGACTAGGATGGACATGTGCTGCCATTTCAAGTCTGGGGCCGCAACCGAGCTGTAACCCCCGCCCCCGCGTGGCCGGCAAGACCAAGGACGTGTGCCATGCCGTTCCCCATTCGCTCTCGCTCTCGCAGCGGTTCATTCAGCCCGGGCATGTGAAGGGGAGTTACGCACGCAGCACGGAGTAAGTTACCCAGATCTCGAAGCAGATCGCAACTCCCCCGCTTGCTCAGAGTCCTGGCTCCGGCTGTCGTCTCTGGTAGCTCGTCCATCGCTCTGGATCGTAGACTTTTCTGTGTTTATGGGAGCGGTATGTACCTAATTACCTAGTCGCCTAGTTAGGTAGTTTGCGAGACCAGGCTTCTGCAGTTTGCTAGCCAAGCTCCCAAGTCACAGAAGAGGAGAGACAGAGTGGTATCGTTGACTGCCAGAAAGGATCATGTGCGAATAGAATGTGGCACAAAGCAGGTTTTGGCCTCTTGAGAGGAACCCGGTTGGACGAAGGGACGGAAGAACGGAGGAACGGAAGAACGGACTGTTTGTGTTCCCAAGTTCCATGTCGTGTGCCGCCCGAGAGAAGCAACTCGTTATCCATGTCTCTCATCAGCCCTGGTTTTTACATAAATAATGCTGGTCAGAAACGTGGGAAAAGGTGTTACACAGAGTAGTTATGGAGCTGGGTTGTGAGGGTCAGTCGGCCTTGAGTGCAGGCTCGTGACGGGGACCACACCCACCACTTGCTTCGAATCGCGAGAGCGAAAAGTTGAAAACCAAAATGTTGGGAAAGCTGAAAAGAAGATGTGGGCCCGGATTCTCTCCGACAAAAGAGAGCAGCTGGAATGTCCACCAATGGCACTTGCCCTGCTCGGCAGCCTCGGCCAATGTCCCAGCCTGCAGCTTCTCGAAAAGGCAGGTTCAGGGCTGTGAGCTACCTGCCAAGGCGGCACTTTTCCGACTCGGGGCCTTCCCTCCACCATTCGTTTTTCTGGCACTAGAATTCCCCATGAGCAAAGAATAACTACCCTGCTGCGGATCCAAGCAGGACTCACCATGTAACCCGACGCGGCATTCGATGCGAGTTTCGGCATTCTATCCTCGATCGTGACCTGTCGCGTGGCTTGGGAGATCACGAGATCTGTCACTCACGGCATATCACATTGCAGAGTGCTGCAACTAGTCAAGCGAACAAGCAAAAGTGAAAAAGTGAAAGGGGGGGAGAGAGTTGAGCACACTGAGCACCTGTGAGTGTGGGAAATGGAGATGGTCTTGTTTGGTTCCCAACTTCGTCAACCAGCAAGCCACAACCAATCTCTCTCCTTGGCGTATCCTCCTTTCTTGTGCAACAAGCTCTAAAAATACGAAACACACAGGACTCAACATGAGCTGAATGCTCACTTGCATAATCCTTGCTGGGATCTCTCTCTCGGGATGCCTGTGCCGCATCGAACCGGGTCATCCCGTGCCGCTGACGGCCTCACCACCCTGCTCGCCTTCTGGAAGGTTGTCAGCCCCGTCAGATCCTGTCAAACCGGGCACGAACTGTGAGATGCGAAGCTGCAAGAGACCCCTCTCCACACCGAGAGTCCACACCACCATCGCGAACTCGGCCATGTCCTCCACATCCTCCGGCGACTAAGATGCGCCGTACTCGGATTAGTTATTAGTCAACTCCGATGGTGTCTGTCATTTCTGTTGGGGTCAGCCTTGCCCCCACACACCCTTGGCCATGGCCGCTCCGGGGGGCACGGAAGCCCTTTTCTGATAGGGATCGCTTCAAGAGATGTGAACCATCTTGTCCAGAGATGCGGGGGTTGCCATGGCGCCCTGCATGCCGGCCTCCCTAGCTCCGTCCGCCCCTCTCGCGGCGCAGACAATGCCCTTTATAAAGGCTAGCACCCCGTCATACAGTCACAGGCTCTTCCTGGAGTTTGTGGCGGTGTTGTCAACCATCTGAGACCTTCTTGCCTCGTCTTCAAGGGCACAGGTTCTGTATCTGGCTACTTTTACACCCTTCTTGGTCAGACACCTCCGAGTCGCACCTTTCAGCAAGCCATCACCATGAAGGGCCTTCTCGTCACCTGCCTCTCGCTGGCGTCTCTCTCCCTGGGCGCGCCAAGCTTGAGAAGACAAGGTAAGCCTGGACCCGACACCCTCTCGAGACGGACCTCTGTCTGACAGCATCAAGATGGTGTTACTCCCCAGCAGCTTGAGGACTTTAAGCTCTACGCCCAGTGGTCCTCGGCAGCTTCTTGCAACAGTGACAAGGCTCCCAACGAGCCGGTCACTTGCTTCGAGGATCAGTGCTCCATCTTCGCGTCCCACAACGCGACAGTTGCCTCCTCGTTTATGTATGCTTCCGAGCTCCTGTACCATTCTGGGAGTTCGTTGTCTGACATGCTCGCAGCGGGGCTATATTAGACACCAGGGGATTCATCGGCGTGGACCCTGTCGACAAGCAGATCGTTGTCTCCTTCAGGGGTTCCACCTCCGTTCGTAATTGGATTGCCGAGTAAGACCAACACAATTTTGACCCCTACCATCTCTGCCCGCCCAGCTAACCTCCCCCAGCTTCATCTTCATCCAAGTCCCCTGCGATCTTGGCTTCGGCTGCCTCGCCCACACGGGCTTCTACGCCTCATGGGGTGAGGTGGCCTCGCGGGTGCTGGCCGGCATCCGCGCCGCCACGGACGCCAACCCGACCTACAAGGTCGTTGTCACGGGCCACTCGCTCGGCGGTGCCGTCGCCACCCTGGCCGCCGCCTACATCCGCAAGGCCGGCATCGCGGCCGACTTGTACACGTACGGTTCCCCGCGCGTCGGCAACAGAGCCTTTGTCGAGTACGTCACCGAGCAGGCCGGCGCCGAATACCGCATCACGCACGACGACGACCCGGTCCCGCGGCTGCCACCCATCATTGCGAACTACCGCCACGTAAGCCCGGAGTACTGGGTCGATCCCGGGGCTGATATGGTTGCGTCGTTGGACGAGGTGGATTACTGCCCTGGCTACTCGAACACGGATTGCAACGGTGGCACCAAGGGGCTGAACATGGCGTCGCACGGGTGGTACTTCCAGGACCTGGAGGGGTGCACGTCTGGCACGCCGTTTAAGAGGGCCCAGATGACCGACAAGGAGCTCGAGGAGAAGGTGAATAGCTACGCAAAGTTGGACGTCGAGCTCGCCAAAAACCTGCACGCAGAGGGGCAATCCTAGTTAGATCCTGGCCTCGTTTGGATAAGAGATGAGGATGGTGTGGGTGGTTGCAGATACCCCATACGTGTACATACTGCAGATATAACTCTGTAATTATCTCCCACCTTTTTTCCCCACAGACTCGCCGCCTACCCTTAACCCAGCGCTGTCACTATCCTCAACATAGTTTTGTCGAGAGCCACCACCCAACCGTATAGCCGTTGGTTGTAACCATAGAGTGACTTGTGTCCTATTCTTCTCCCGGCCCTTTAACCCAACCACCAACTAACTAATACCAATAGAACTCCCATATCTATATCCTTCGAGTATCTCGACCAACTGTCCACCTAGGTCACGGACGTGGAAACGAGTAAGGAGAAGGGGATTGTATAACTCCGAACCCCCAAGCCAAATCGATGCATGCCCCAGCAGCAAAACCAAGGAACGTTACCAGACATCTAGAATCACAACACAGAGAACCGAGAGCTCACTGAGGTCGGACCGTGCACCGACTTCAGCGACAGCCCGTCCAAGCCGGCAGAGGACAACTTGCTCGACGACTGCCATTGGTTCGTATTCGCCATGTCGGCATCTTTGCTCGCTATTATTTGACTAAAAATAAGGTATGGCGGGACCAGTGGGAATCTGCCCTTGGTCGGCATTTGAACCCCGACTCGGGGACCGAGATCGTGCCAAAGTCGGTGTCCGACGGACGCCGATGCTGTAGATGAGGGAAGGGGTGGGGGGACTGCTCGCTCATCGGACGAGAAGCGGTGGTTCGTGGTATGAGTTGGTTCGTATCAGATTGGAGAGGGTTGTGGGGTGTGGTGAGTGTTAGGCTGGGGAAGCAGTTCAAAGAGCGTTACTCAATATCTGTTATTCTTTTTTTTTTTTTTTTTGGTAGACAATGCTGCGCCCATACCCGAACCAACCACCCGCAGAGTATAAGGAAGGTCTGCGCAGTCGATTTCCAACGAGGACCGCGAACCGGGTAACCTAGCGGTTCGTGGCGGTGGTCCTCGGCCCACGGGCAGCTAGTTCGCTATAAATGGTAAACCTAATCCTAATGGAACAGCCATAGGTTCGAATCATGACGCTGCCCTAGGTTCCTCTGAGGAGGCGATGGGACGCTAGCACCTCCCCCTCAGAAACGAGCAGCCCGCATCGGCCCGACGGGGCATCACGGGGCTGCACCACGGAGTAAACCCCGCAACCTGAGGGGGTTTCGTAGCCGGCTACCTCCCGCAAAGGGGACTAGCTGGTGAGCTTTTGCCGAAGTTGCTAGGATTTGTGTTGCTATTTACTTTTACAATATCCTTTATTAGTGAGCTAGAGGCGACCCTAGACTAGGTTAAAGATTACAAGGTAAATCCTCGTACTTATATATGGGATGAGAAGGGGCTATTGGATTACTTTATGATTATAATCCTTCTCTATAAGTATATTCAAGCTGGTATGAAGTATACATACATCTGGCAGCAAAGACGCTAAGCTGTGACACCTCTCTCACTTGTCTCAGCGCACTTCAGTACATAGATACTCTCCGATTCTTGTCCAATAGCCTGTCTAAACTCTCTAGCTCTAAGCGACCTCGCCACAAGAAGAGAACAATTGAAAGGGGTATAATGGATATGCACTGTCTAAACCGGGAAGCCCGATCGATGCCAAACAAGAGGAAAACACAACACAAGCCGACAAACCCAGCCCATAGTTTTTTTCCCTTCCCTCGCCAAGTCCCCATTCCCAAGGGGTATCATTCCATGCAGAATACTCTCCGGCGCCAAATTCCCTCTTTCACAAAGGGACCACCACCGTACCGTGCTACCTATGCCAATATGCCCAGAGAGACACGCCCGCGCTATGCCGCGCCAGTCCCGTTTTCCCAACCAGACAGACCTAAGCCGACCGACCCAATCCATGCGCCACAAGGTAGGTAGGTAGACAACCATGGCTAATACACACGGGCCCCCTAAAGATCGCGTCCATCCCAAAAAACAAAACACAAAACACCCCGCTCAAAACATGCTACCACACCACACCACTGCCACACCACAACACTACCACACCACAACACCACACATCCCCTTCCTTTACCACCACACACTCCTCCCCCTTTACCCTCCCTCCCTCACTTACGCCTAAAAAGCCTCTTCGTACTCCCCGCCTTCCCAATCTCCCCAAACATCCCCCTCCTCGCCTCCCCCCCACGATCCATCAAACTCGCCTCCAACCCCCCCTCATCCACCTCCCCAGCACCACCACTACCACCACCACCCACAGCACCACCCACAGCACCACCCACGGCACCACCCACACCATTACCAGCCCCACCCACAGCACCCACACCCACACCCCCCGAAGTAGCGGCCGCAATCGGCGGCAGAGGCGGTTTGCGCTCGCCACTAGCAATACGCACCTTCTCTTTCACACTCTCGACCCACGCCCTGCTCTCCTCGCTCATCTCGATCTGCTTGGCGCGCGGGCCGGCCATGCCCAGGGCGACGGCGCCCTCGTCCTCGTCCCAGCTGACGCGCGAGCTGGAGCGCGAGCGCAGCGACGAGCCGCCCGAGGGCGGCGTGGCTTCCAGCCGGCTGACACTCGCGAGCGGGGTCTTGGGGCGTGCTGCCGATGCGGGGGATTGGTGGTGAGAATCGGCGGATGGGCTGCCGTTGGCGGTGGGCGGGCGGCGTGTCTTGCGCAGTTTGAGGGGGGAGATGGGCGAGTGGGAGTCCATGGCCGAGGACGGGCGGCTGGGAGGGGTGGCGTCGGCGGCGGCGACGGGGCGCACGGCGCCGGTGCGCGGGATGTCCTTGACCTCGATCTTGCCGTCTGCGCCGGCGGCGACGGAGCGCCGGAGGTGGTGCGTGGCGTATTCTTTGAGGTACTCGCCCAGGTCGGCCCAGCCGCCGCCCACGCGAACCATGACGCGCTCGCCGTGCTCGCCCACGCAGCGGATGAAGAGCTTGATCGGGGCCTCGCCATTGGAGCGGGAGAGGTGGTAGAGCTTGATCTCCTGGTTGCCGCGGTGGCGCGGGCGAGAGTTGCGGGCGGGAGCGAGGGTGAACGAGGGCGTTGCTGAGCGGGAATAGGCGGAACGCATGGACATGTTAGATTGCGTCCGGGGGATGGCGTCTCCCCTGGAGCTCTTCCGCGTAATCGGCATCTTGAAGTCTGGCGGGTTGAGATTGATGGCTGGGGGTTCTGCAGTCAGACGGATCTTGGCCGGCACCGACTCCAGGATTTGGCCGATCTGCCGCTGCAGTTGATCGTCCATGCCGGGCCTACCGGGGATGACTTTCTCGGCCGGCGTGTTAGGTTCCGTCACATCATCATCCTCCAAGATGACCGATCTCGTCGGGGTGCCTGGGGTGCTGGGGAAGCTCGGCAGTTCCGTGACGGTGGGCTTGTCGTTGAAAGTTACTGACATGGACCTTGTGCTCGACCGGAAGGATCCGAGACCCGAGACGTCTGCGCCGTGTATGGCCCTCTGGGGAGGGCGCTCGGGAGTTCCTTGGTCGAAAAGGTCGCTCGAGAACGAGTCCGTAAACATACTGGGAGCTTCGTGTAGGACTGTTGAGGACTCCGAGGCACTGCTGGTAGGCCTACCACGGTCCTCCGTCTGAAACACATCATGCTCTGAGATGTCCGACAGTTCCGAGTCAGACGTAGAGGAAAAGCCCACCGCATCCCCGAGTGATCTCCGGTTGCTAGGGCTAGTTGAAAGCGGCTCCGATACGGGCACTGGTAAAGGCTCAGCACTAGCTGATCCATCGGATGGGCTTTGATCAAATTCGTTGTCGGTATCGGGGTAGGAATCCTCCGTTGGGGATACCTGGTCTTCTTCAATGGTTGGGTGGATCTTGATCACCGGAGGTCGGACCTCCGGCGGAGAACTGAGATCCCGTGCACTGACACTATCCGGAGAAGATGCATTCGCCAGCGGTTGTGCTTCTTCGGGGGTTGTCAATGCCGGGGATCCGTTGGAAGCGGGCGGTGCAGCAACGGCGCTGCCATTTGTGCTCTCGCGCAATGGCTGCTCAGGCGCGACCTTGGCCGGGGCGACCAGCTGGGTCATCCCCACCAAATCGGCCTCCTGGACCTTCCTGTCGCAGGCCACAGTCCATTCGCCATATCCATGCTCCAAGGTATCCATTCGGTCGATCCAGTCTTCCGGTAGGGTGTCTGGCTGGCCTTCGAGGACGTCCAACATGGCATCCAGGTCGCGACCCGCCTTGGCGACCTTCCGGCCCAGCACGGACTTCGTCACGTCGAAGTCTTCCCGAGACAGGGGTGCGGATGCGGCCCCGTTCTGGCCATTGGCGGCGCTGATCGCGTTCCAGCCAGACTGGAGAGCAACCTCGGCGTCGGTAATTGACGTCAAAAAGACCGGGATCTTCCGCAGCACCAGGAGGCGGAAATTCCAAGCACTCATGAGCCTGGTAAGCCTGGAGAGGTTCGGCAGCGCTTGCACGGTGGTGGCCGTGACTATGGCAGTCAGGTCGTCCAACCTCGCAAGGGTCGATAGCGACATAGTAGAGCGCCCGGAGTCCATTATGGGCGTCCCCGGTCTGGACAAGGGCATGATGTGGTTGTTCAAAACCTGGCTCTTGATCTCTTCGATCTCGAGCTCCTCCAGCCCCTGGGCGATGTCGTCTATGCGCCGTTCGTATCTCGCAACGTGGGCGGTCGGGAGACTTCCGTTGTATCCCTGGTCTGGTGCGCCCAGGGATTCGTGTTGTGTTGGGGAAAGCGTGTCTGAGAGCTTCGTCCTCTTACTCCTGGGCATCTCGAAACCCGTGGAGCCCCCACCAGCCGGCCAGGGCCAGGCAGAGAGCTCCCCGAGCCATTCGTGGATTTTATCCGATGCAATCGCAACCCTCAGCGCAAAGGCCTGCTCGGCCGGGGTCGCGGCCGCCATGCATGCCTTCAGGGCCCCGGAGGGGTTCCGGAAGGCATTGACGACAGTTCGCGGGTTGAGGTTCGCAAGTAGATCGTCAGTGCTCCGTTGGCGGGCGGGCGACGAGTCGGACATGGAATGGAGTTGGCGGCCCCGGGCGGGCGCAAGGTGCGCGGGAGTCCGGGGCGGCGGGGATTCGTTCATGGTTGGTGATGGTTGTTGTAAGCTGGTGTGGGTGTCGATAGTTAGTGGTCGAGAGGACGGGCGGCGCCCAGCATAATGGCCTTTTCTTTCCTATGAGCCAGGCGAAACAGTACAAATTATCCTCTCGGGAGTTCCCATAGTCGGTAAAAGAAGGACGACAAGTGTTGGGCGAGGCTGGGAGCCTGCTTGTGATTCGCTGTCGCGGCGGCCTCTGAAGCGTTCGCTGCTGCTCCCCGCTTGCTCCGTGCTTAGCCCGCAGTGGATTGATTCGCTGAGGAGTTGACACACGACAACAGAAATAAGGCGGTGGTGTCCGAGCTGGCGGGTAGGTGCAGCTGATCGGATAAAGAAAGAATGAGGCGAAGGAGGTGGCTGCCGGAAGGTTGGGCACGGTGAAACGTCACAAGCGAGTGTAAGTGCCGCGATAATGTATTAATGTCAATGCAGCTTGTGCCGAGAGAGAGCGACGGGAAAATGATGAACCGCTGCAGTGAATTGCAATTGCAAATAATTGGTCTGACGTGCAGTTGAAACAAACGAGGGTACGCGCCGTAAACACGGCTAGGAAAATCAACTTGTGGTAAAGAGAGTTGCGAGTGTGATTTCGAGGAAACGGCCCAAACGAGGACCCAGGCCTCATTAAATTGGGACGCGAACACGGATCCATGATTGAGGATCTGGCGTGCGGCCGGATCGGCCATGGGAGATTTGATTTCGGGGAGAAGGCCGAGGCGTCGGGCTAAGCTGTTTTGGCGTCTTGGCGGCCAGACAGCGATCCCAAACGGGCGATGCAGCAAGGGCCCCTAACAGCTGGACCGCGTAATTCAGGTGGCTGGGAGATAGCACACACGTCCGCAGCAGTCGCGCTAAAGCGCGTCATGGCCGTTTCCGCAAGAGCGACAGGGGCAACACGGACCATATTGAGCCAAGTTTGACATTCAGATTGCGATGCTCCACAGAAGGGCAAATGACGAAAGCAACTCTCCACGATAACCGAACTGCTTTTTTTTCGTGTCGCCGGCACCCTCGGGTCCCCAACGCGCTGGCCAGGCAACGGATCGGGATGGCTGGGGGCCCGGTTGGGGATGATGAGCAGAAGAGACATCCGGGGAACCCTCGCGATGAAGACCGGGGTCGGTTATAAACCCATGAGACCGTTAGCAAGGTACGAGCAAACTAGTCGTCAAAGTAGTTAGGAAGGAAGGTAGTTATGAAGTCTTCGTTCGGATGAACACACAGAGTAGTTATCCCGACGACGCATAGTTAGTAGAGGTAGGTAGGTAGGTAGGTAGTTACCAGTCCACATACAGTTCAACCGATCGGAACCTCAACAAATTGACTGCGTGGAACCGACTGCAAATTGACTGCAACCTTCACCCACAAGCACGCACACACGCAAAATAACCACACGCTGCCAGATAACCAGAGACCACCATTCAGGAAGTACAATTCCCAGTCATTATCTGCTCTATAACAGTAACTAGCAAACTCGAGCTTTTGTTTTCCGGCCCTATCCAATCCGACCCATATCCATCCACCAGTTATGCCAAAAGTAAAGCCCAGCGACGCCATTCCGTCTTGAACCAAATCCAACTCATCCCATATCATCAAGCTCGCTAGCCAGCGAGTCTACACAGTAAGGTGCCAATCAAGAGGCAAAGAAGGAAAAATAACCCGCCCGGTGACCGGGACGGGGACACACTGAAGAAGACGCGCTCAACGCCAATGCCCAGGCATCCATCACCAGACCCTCACATCAACCCAAAACACAACTAGGGCCCTCACCACCTAATGGCTAATCCCCTCCCCCAAACTCATCCAATCAATCCCCCCCTCCCCCCCAAGCTCCAACCCCCCCTGGTGATGATGATGATGATGATGATGATGATGCTCCGCCGCACCCGCAAACATCCCCCCCATAAACGAGTCATCCGACGTCGTCAACCCGCCCTCAGCAGGGAACTGCAGCCACTGATCAAAATCAAAATTATTCCCCGCACCGGCACCACCACCAACACCACCACCAGCGGCAGCAGCGGCCCCCTCACCAAGCGCAGCCGCCGCCGCAGCGCTGGTATATTCCAACCCCGCGCCGCCGAGCCCGCCCATGATGTCATCCACCATGGCCATCTCCATGTCGATGTCCTCGCTATCGGTGTGCGGCGGGGTGGTGGCGCCGACGGCGGCGGACAGCGCGCTCAGGTCGGTGTCGTCCGCATCGGCGGGGAGGAATGTTTGTGCAGAGGCAGCAGTAGCGGTGTGCTGCTGCTGCTGCTGTTGGTGTTGTTGGAGGGGCCCGGTGGAGGAGAAGAGGCTGTTGTTTCTGTTGCGGTTGTTGTTGTTGTTGTTAACGGTGCGCAGGTTGAGGAAGACGTTCTCTGGCGGGGGGGTGGTCGGGCGCGCGGAGAGGGTGGGCATGCCCTGCGGCGTGAGGTTCAGCGCCGGGGCTAGCACGCGGTTGAGCATCTTGCCGCCGGGCCGGACGCCGACGGGGGTTGCGGGCTGGGCGGCGGCGGGTTGGGGTGGTTGCTGGCCGAGCATGCCCTTGCGCAGGAGGGCGTCGAGGAAGCCGGTGGCGAAGTCGGCCGCCGCGTAGATGTTGCGCAGGTTGCTCATGACGACGAGGCACTCCTTGAGCCCCTGGATGGCGCCGGCGCGCGTCTCGGCGTCGGGGCTCTTGGTGTCGAGCATGTGCACGATCATGGCCGGCAGGATCACCGTCACGCCCGTGGTGGGGAGGAACCGCTCGAGCCCGTGCTGCCGAAGGTCCGCCGCCATGCGCGTGATGTGCTCGGCGGCCTCGCGCACCCGCTGCCGTGCCGTCTCCTGCACCTCGACGGGCGTGCTGGGGCCTTCAGTGGGCGACGCCGGGAGGAACAGCGGCCGGTGCAGCGCCGAGATGGTCGTGTGGTAGATCATGTGGAGGAGGTTGCGCTGCACCGCGAGCACCTGGTTGCCGTCCGTGGTGGTGGCCGTGTCGAGCGTGCGGTGATGGCAGGTCTCGGGCAGGCTGGCGAACCAGTCCTGCAGGTGGTGGTCGACGTTCTCGACGTGTTCCATGTTCTCGGGGCTCTTGTTCGGGAGCAGCATGTGGGTGCTGTTGGTGGTGTGCTCGGGTCGCATGCCGCTGCGGCTGAGGACAGAGTACTGCACCTTGAGCATGTCGCCGATGAGCATGCACAGCTTAGCCTTTTCAATACACATTACGGCGAGCCCGCGCTGCATCTCGACATCGCGTATCAAAACGCACTCGGGCCCCAACAGTTGATTATCTTCCGGCAGCGCCTCGATTTCAAAGTCGTCCTCGTTCAACGTGGGCACATCGAAGTCTTCGCTCTTTATCCGGGTCGGCCGCCGCATGCCGAGGGCAACGAGACGGTCTCGCATGAGGCAGGACCACCACACGCGCTTCCACAATTTCTGCTTTCGCGGGATCATGGGCGTCTTCGCCGGGTCGCGGTGGAGACCGATCGTGTGGGCGAGCGAAATGGCGACGCCCATCCAGTGCCAGGTATCCTTCTGGTCGTCTGGTGTCTCGTACCAATACGTCATCAGGAGCAGGCCCTGGACGAGGATGAGGCGATCCGTCTCGTAGTCGAAGTCGTAGAGAAGCTAACCTCCTTGTTAGAACACGCACACACCTACTACACTACAACCATCCTCATAGTCGAGATATCAACTCACCCTGGTTCTAGAGAAAAAGGCCCTCCTTGCATCCCTCCGGCTGTCATAACCGGCATCCTTCAGGAGGCTCTCGTCGACAAACGCCGTGGCCGAGAACATGACGGCATGGTACAAAAACAGGCTGATCTTCCCGGACGCCCCGGACCGGTCGCCAACCACCCTGAGGAAGTCATGCAGCTCCATGAGCGGCATGTAGGGGTGCACATACTCGACGTAGGCAGCGAGCAGGGCATTCTGCAGGCGCAGGGGGGGCAGGGTGAAGACCTGCTTGCGGGCGAGGTACTGCCGGTCCTCGGACAGGATGCGGTCCGGGATGGGCCGGATGAAGGCGGGCCATTCGTTGGCCTGCTCGAGGGCGGATCGGAGCAGCGGGTGCATCAAGGCCGGGGACGGAGGTATCCCGGGGGTCACCGGAGGGAACCCGGTCAGGGTCGCCGCGGAGACCGGGGTACCGAATCCGCCGGGGGATTGCTGGTCTGTCAGATGTCAATGTCAGCTCTCTGTCACAAGCCAAACGGTTTCTTCCTTCTCCTTTTTTTTTTTGCTTTCATATGACGCTGCCCTGCTCTGACATGTGATTCTTGGGTTTGGGTGGGTCACGCGGAGAAACAGGGGTGGTGGGAGGGGGGGAAGGGGGGTTGCGAAGGTGACATTGGGAATTTGGAGTTGGGGAAACTTGAAAACCAATCCAAAACTTACACAGCAGATTGGTGGCCGCTTGTCCACCGTTAACCCCGTTCATGGGGAGGGAGAATGATCCATTTTGCGGGAATCCTGGTTTCGCGAGATTGGCCGTGATGATTGGGGGAACGGCGCTGATGCTCTTTGAACGCAGTGCCTCGGCAGTTCCAGCGCGCGCCCCCACCGATGCCGGGCCGCAATTGTAGGGGAGGTTCTTTCTGGAAAAGAGCGCGGCAGGGGTGCCAAATGTTAGCCAGTCGATTTCCGCGCCGTTTGTGTGTGCATTTGAAAATGACGCAATTTGAAGAGAGAAGGGAAGGCAGTTCCGTCCTAAGCAAGAAACGGGGATTGCTTGCGAGTTCGGGCACTCCAATTGCTTCCAGTTCTCCCGGTAAAAGGGGGGAAAATAGAGCTCAAACAATAAACCCAACTTACTTTCGCCTGCGACTCTCCTGGACGACGCACTCCACGTCATCCCAACGGCAGTTACCACACGGTGCGCCCTCGACCACATCGCAGCGCACCTTGCGGGCTCGACATGACACGCAGGCCCTGGCGGCTCGTCGTTTCGTGATTTTGCCTTCTGTCGCTACTGATGCCCGCTTCTTTGGTGACGATGCCGTCTCGGTGACTGAGACAGGTGCTGGAGGTGGTGACATGGAGCTGGCCGGGCCCGATGAGGACCGCGGTGAAGGTGTGTCTCCGTGCTCAGACATGGTGAAGTGTTTTGTAAGTCGAGGAACATGAATTGGTGTTTAGATGGCGGCCGAGGCCCCGAGACGGTTGTCTTGTAGGATCCAGATCGTCGTAACCTTGTCCAGCTCGCGAGCTTCGTCTTGGTCGGCTGATGACTTGTTGAGGCAGTGTGGGTGTAAACGGCTCCTAAGCGTATCCCGCGAGTATCCGTAACTTGCTGATGGTGGGGTGGTGTCGAAGAAGCTTCTTGATGTCAAGATCTAAAGAATGCAAGAAAGGTTTCAACACGTCACAAGGGCATGCTATGTATTTAGTAAGAGGCAATTGGCACGAGTCCCTCGGTGGGGAGGGAGGGGCCTGGCCATTATATCAAGCCATGGCGAATTCCCCAGACAGTCACTGGTCGCGAACGCGAACGGATACGTACCATACCCGCAGCGTTACCATGGAACACCGGGGTCACCTCAAAGGCCAAGACTGGGGACATGGATGTCCTGTTTGGGAAGCGTGGGTCCTTGCGGATGAGCCACAGACAAAACAGCAACGCCCTCGTCGAGAAGAAACGAGGACATTCCCCTGTGGCGAGCTGGACTGGGACTGTCCAACGGTCCAGCTGGAAAACGCATAATGCATGAAACATTGCGGGGTGCTGGCCTGACAGTTGCGTGCCCTCCCTCTTCATGAAGAGGTGAATTCATGAATGTTGACGAGGGCTTAAAACCCATGGAAGGTTTGTGTGCCCCTGCAAGAGACACCGATCCAAGCCTCGCCAAGATCCCTCACATGCATCACGAGGATTGTTCGTCAGCGAGGCACCAGCCAGAGACAACATTCTTCCCCCTTGTCCATTCAAAAGAATGCATGTTGTCAGCTGGGCCTGGAGCTGCCCGAATCGAGCCCTTCATCCGACCCCAGTTCCAGCACGGGACCCACCGCACACCCGCAGAAAACCAGTTCTCCCTCCACAGATTCATCAGAACCGCTCCATGCCTCATTCCGCCAAGCGGCATGTGGAGAAGCCAATCAGCGCGATTCACATTCATCGCCGAGCCCGCGACCACACGTGCGAATTCCCGCCGTCGCAACCCGGACCCAGTTTGCCAGGCGAGCCAGGCCAGTTGAGAGTCAGGGGTGGTTGGCGACGGAGGCGATGATCGGTCAAGGACCTGACGCTGGAGCGCTGCTCGCCTTCTCACCTTGAAAACCCCGGTCAAACTGCTCCTGATGGGATCGGCGGGACGGAGCAGGACGCTCGACAGGAATTCCGTGTCGCCGTGTCGGCATGCTGTTTGGCGACACGCGACCACATGTCAGCCACAAGGAAGGGGCACGACTTGAACTGCAAGGGGCAAACGAGACACAGTGACAAACGCCGCCCGGTGACTACGGGGGGTCAATTGATGGCGGCCGTGTCAAACAGAAAAAAAGGCGCAGAACGCAGCATATCTTTGACCCTGTATGTAGGGATTCCAGAAGCGAAAAGCCCGGCAGATGTGGTCGGTGAGACGCTTTGCTCGTCTTTGAGGCGAAAGGGCGAGATGGCGAATCACATCCCGGCCGTTGGTCCGAACCAGCAAGTCGATGCACGCCTGCAGCCTCTCGTTAACCCGGGGTTGATCCTGTCTCACACCCAAATTGACATCCTCGCTGAGTGTTGGGCGACCTTCATAACCAAGACCTCGAAAAAGTCTGAGGAAGCTACTGCAGAGCAAGAGTAACACATTCGTTGAAATTGCCAAACCCGGAAGGGGGTTCGGCGAAATTCGGAGCTGGAAGGAGGGTGTTGACAATCAATCAACTGCGGGTGGCTGTTTCTTCGGGGTTATCCCGAACCCTGGCTGCACTTTCCTCCGTCGCATTTCCTTCGCCCGAGCGGCATTAACAGGGATTAGTGAAGACCACAAACGTCAGGTCCAGAAACAGAGCAAAAGTCTTGATCAAAGGCTTTTCAGCCCGCCACAGAAAGGGGCAAAGCCATCGTCTTATGTCTCGTTGGGCTACGTCACCATCAGCCGTTGCGTATTTTCTCCTGAAATAAAAACCCCAGCTTTGAGTAGAAAGTCAAACCGGTCCGGTTCCGATTGAGTCAAGCAGTCTCGCAGTCAAGGGTGGCCTCGGTCTCGAGTGGGGCAATTCATGAAAGCCTCAAACTCCACATCTCCACCCACTGTGCCACTGACTCCTTCCTGTGCCGGTCTAATACGTCCGTCCCTGGACTGTGATAAAGCTGCATGCCTGCAGGGCTAGGGACGGAGGCAGTCATCGTCGATGATTGTGAAATCGTCGTTATGCATTATCTTGCCATGTATACGCAGTACTAGTAGGGCTCGGGATGTCTGCGGGAACGAGACGGGCATACGGGAAGGGCAGCTTCAACCGCGGTTGTAGCCGAGGTCTCTTCCGCGCATGCAGGACTGAGATGCGAGCAGGCCGCAAACTGTTCATCTCAACGGACCAGGCCCCGAAAGATTTCTAGTGTAAACCAGCGATCGGGAAACGCCGCTGATCTCACACGCAAAAAAAAAAAAGAAAGCAAGGGGCTCAGGAAATATCCTCATCCACCCACCCACAACAACAAATCCTCCCCCCGCCATCAAACGCGCTGTCCACCCACTCCACACCTCGACCCCTCCATTCTCCGCGTTTGCCCACCGCCACCCCGCCGGCCCCTCCTTCGAACCCCAGAGCCGTCCCCCGGCTTTTCTAGCGGGGACGCCAGCCAGCAAGTGGAAGCTCCGTCCTTTCCCGGCCGTCGGGAGCGGGAGTTGGGGTCGGCCGGGTTTGGGATTGGCTGGGCCGGAGTTAGGGGCGTCGGTGCCGACATGGTCTACATAGTAGTCTGGATAGGGGGATTCATGCGGGTGGTCAAAAAGGGGTGAGGATTACGCAGATGTTGTGGTTTGGTTGATGGGTTTCTGTGGTGTAACTTGCTTGCATGTTGGCTGCTTCCGTTACTCCCTCGTGGCAGAGACGGTTGTGTTGGTATGTCTGCGATCGCCAGGTACCTACCTACACTCCTACGCCAAACTGAGGTGTGAGGTGAAGGAAGGTAGCATCTCGCGGTGAAGGCCCTGGACGTCACGCGGACATCGACGGATCTAAACAAAGAGTCGTTCGGTCTCCAGACGATGCGAGGAGGATGGGTTCTTCCGTTAACTTCTCGAGTAACACTTCGCTTGTGAACCGCCGGCTCCTCTTGGCGTGCATACACAAATCAGGTTTTTATTTAATTTCTGGACTATTTTGCGAAATCCCTATTTTTACAACTGCACGCCCCCTTCCCTCGGCCTGCTCGCGACTTCCATACAACCTAGGCTGCCAAGGTTTACTTCACCGAAATGCTGCCTGCCCGCAGAGGTCGTAATGCAGCGGGGTGGATCTGGAACCTTGACGGTGTAGGCATGTCGCAGCTCACTTCTGGTTGGTGCTTGGATGGAGAAGAAGGGGTGAAACTTGAGTTGGTTAGCAGCTTTGCTTTGCTACAAGGGAGGCTAAAGATCGTGTCTTGTCACCAAAGGTGGAGGGAGGGGCAAGAGTTGCGGCTCCGTTCCAGAAACCTGGGGCATCATCAGTCGATTTTGTCCCGGCACCCAGAATCCGGGGTGTGGTTCCTGGCTCCGCCAGGAAGATGCCGTCCTTGCTTGGCCTCGGAGATTGGGAGCTAATAGGGACGAGAGAGGGGCACCCCGCAAGTGCGAGCCCAGATCTTGGCCGAGGCTGAGGCTAGGGGTTCTAGATTCTGAGCAGATATGATGTGATGATTATGAAAGGGGGCATAAGGAGAAGCAGAGCTACGTCTTGACGACGAATGCTTGGTGGTAGATGACAGACCTGTCAAAAATTAAGCTTCGACTTGGGTTTCGTCCTTGCGCCATATTTAACAACGCGCCTTCTTTTCCGTACCCAGAGACTTGACGTCTGATGTAAAATGGGCGGGTGGCAATGGAAGCTCAATGGATGTTCCTGTCGCCTGTTATTCGAGCTTGGTTTCTGCAACCCGTGTAGATTCTGCGAATCGCCTTCGTTGTTCAGTGAGAATCAGTCGTCATGCTGCCAATGTGAACAAGGACTAGGCCATGGTTAGAAGTTGAGTATGATGAGATGTCACAGCAGGCTGACACACATTACTTCCAACATTGAGCAGAAGAGTTGAAACCCCTGACCCCGAGGTTCAAGTATAAACTATGTACAACGAAACACGCCCACCACAATTACCAACCAACCCAACCCCTTACATCGCCACCTTCGCATACACACTCAACCGATTCCCATTCCCACACAACACCTCCCCATCCCCGGCACACGCCATCGAGCACTCCGCAGCAGCCACCTCAGCCGCGCTCTCGGCAATCTCATTCCCACAATAGCACTCCCGCCCATACTCGGCCCCAAAGAACTGATACGCCCCACAGAACACCGCACACGCCTCCAGCGTCAGCTCATCCGACGCGAGCGCCTCCGCACCCAGCGCGCGCACCCCATCCCCCTCGGTCACGCACCCGTGAAATTCCCACTCAGTCTCACCGGAGGAAACGGCATCCGGCTGTGACGGCTCCGCCGGCGGGTTTGTAGTAGCGACGTCCTCATTCTCATACAACTCGATCCGATCCGCCCCACCACAGTACTGGCTCCGATCACCGGAGCAGGGCATGGCGCAGTCGGCGAGGGAGGCGTTGGACGCCGAGGCGTGCAGGACGTCGCCGCAGTAGCACTCGGACGCGTACTCGGTGCCGAAGAAGCGGTGGCCGGCGCAAAAGGCTGCGCAGTTCGCGAGCGTCATGTTGGTGGTGGAGGCGTAGGTCTTGGCGCCGAGCGCGCGTGCGCCCGTGCCTTCGGTCCAGCAGCCGGCGCGGGTGAAGGGGGGGACGGTGGGGGTGCGGGTGAGGGTGGCGGTTGGGGCGGAGATGGTGGTGGTTGTTGTGGTGGCTTGAAGAGAGACTGAAGTTAGGAATTTGTGTTGGGGGGTGGGTGGTGGTTTTGTGTTTTTTTGTTAAGCCAATCTGCGCCGTCTCTCACCTTCTGAGGACGGGTCCGTCGTGGAGGACACGCTCGACAGTCTGTAGAGCTCCAGGCGGTCGCCGGCGCCGCAGTATTCGTACGGGTCACCGCCGCACACCATGTTGCACTCGGTCACAGGCGCCGAGACGCTGCCGGTGTTGAGGCTGTTGCCACAGTAGCCTGGCATAGCGTTAGTCAATACATTCCAGGAGGTCACGGTGTAGTATCACTCACATTCACGGCCATACTCAGTGCCAAAGTAGGTGAACCCGGCGCAGTACGTCGCACATAGCTCCAGGGTCATGGCGTCGTCGGCATACAGATCCTTCCCGGAAAGCGCCCTGCCCCCGGTCGCCTCCGTTTGGCATCCGACAAAGGTGTAGTCGCCCACGGTCGGCTTGACAGCCAGGCTTCCGGTCGGAGTGGGGGTGGCAGAGGTAGTGCGGGTCGCGGTGGTCGAGTACAGCTCAAGGCGGTTTCCGGCGCCGCAGAACTCGGTCGGGTCACCGCCGCAGACCATGTTGCACTCCTCGACGGGGGCCTCGGTGCTGCTGGAGTGGAGGCTGTTGCCGCAGTAGCATTCTCTGCCGTACTCGGTGGCCCAGTAATCGAAGCCGGTGCAGTTGGCCATGCAGGACTCGAGCGTCATCTCGTCGTAGGCGAACGCGGCACCGCCGAGCGCCCGCGCGCCCGAACCTTCGGTCCAGCAGTCGACGAACACGTAACCGCCAACGGTAGGCTTGATGGCGGGCGTCGGGGCAGCGGTCGAGCTGCTGGAGCTAGTGGTGGTGACGGGAGCACTGGTTGAGCTTGAGCCAGGGACGGAAGTCGTCGACGAAGGAATGGGAGGGGTGGTAACATCAGCGCAGGTGGCGCCCCCGGTGAAGGTGCCGCATGTACCGCCGAGGTCGCTGGCCTTGTTGAAGTCGTCTGTGTAAGCGGTGGCACCCGAGCCAGCAGTCACGCTAATTCTGGAGTTGAAGCTAAGACCGCCCGGAATGGTGAAACTGGCCGAGTAAAACGTGTACTGGCCAACACATTCACCTTCCACCATCTCAACGTTGGCCTCGTTCAGGGCCGGAACCGGGTTGCCGTCAGCCGTATTACGAGGCGTCAGATACGAGATGCCTAGGTTAACGGGCAGCTCCTTGTGGTCATTGCGGACCTGTGCCTTGGTTAAATGCCGCTTTCAACTATCGTCCCGGAGCAAAACGTACCAGTGCGGAAACAGTGAGAGAACCGGGTCCTTGGAGCAGGCAGCTCTGCGGCTTCTGTAGGACAACAGCATCAGACATGGGGTAAGAGTTGCCATTGTTATCGTATGTCTCGCTTGAACCGTCGCTGTGGTTCACCACGATGGTGAACGATGAGATGCCGGCTGCGGTGGGGATGGTCGCTTCGATGGGGAAGAACTAGGGTTGTTAGCATTACTATCGGGGCATATGAGAAAGGATGGTACGTACGCCAAAGGTATCATCAAAGCCATTTGAGACACCCTGCAACGTGGCCGTGGTGGAGCAGGTAGCAGACGACCCGCAGCTGTTCCCGCCACTCCGATCCTTCCAGGTAAGAACGACGTTCTCAATGGAGCTCGCCGGAACCTCGGTGGTCCTGACTCTGATGAAGCCGGTCAAAAGGAAGCTGGTGCCACCCGCGTTCAGGGTCAATTGCATGTCGACGGGTTTGACGGCGTATGGTGCGATGGGCTCAGTAAGGGTGACGCCCTCGGGAACAACTTCGATCATCTTCTGGAGCATGGCTTGGCAATTGTCACGGAAGACGGTGGCGTCGGTCATGGTGTTGATAGTCGCGTTTCCGTCCGAGCTGTAGACCTTGAAATCCGAGTGCCGGCCAACGCCAACAGCGGCACCAACGACGAGTGGGTTAGTCGTGTCCCCGGAAACATATTCGGTGGCCACCTTGTTGTCGAACTGGGCGTTGGACGTATCAAAAGGAACCTGCCCAACAGACTCGGGGACGATCTGAGGGAACTCGGTGCTGTGAACGGAGCCGAGAGTATGGCCACAGGCGACCAGTTGGATCATCTCGGTGGCTGTGAATCCCATGCGGTCAAACTGCTGTCTGAAAGTGGCAACGGAGTTCTGGGGCTGCGGGACACCGGCGCTGCCAGCCGAGGTCGCGTCCGTCCGCCCTAGTCTGAGGGGAATGACGGGACCACCGCAGGAGCGGACAGAGGCGTACACACCAGCGGCGATCAGGTCGGCCAGGGTGGACTGGGAGCTCAAGTAGTTGGCGTAAAACTGGAGCGTCGTGTTGTGGCCGGGACCGGTGTTTTCGCCGTTGCTGAGCTCGAACTGCAGCGAGCCGTCAAGTCCACCGGTGCCGAAGAAGCGGTTGTGCGGTGCCATATCACTTCTCAAGTTAGCATTCCCGTAGAAACAACGGTCCAACAACCGGCTGCCCAGCCTGCCGATATCTATCACTTTGCGGCAGTCCCGATATCTCCCCAAGCAGTAGCCCCCGACATCTCGGGCCCATCCACCTCTTGATTTCCTACAAAATAAACATCACGTACTGGAAACCCACGCGCAGCCACTCGCTGGCGGTCACGCGCCCAGGACCGGCAGCCTCGTTGTCGCAAGGCGTGATGATGTCGTTAAACAGACTCCCCTGGACTCCCTGGAGCTGATAGATGATCTCCTCCATGTGGTCGGTAGCGGCGGGCCATGTCGGATCAGCCTTGCCAGTCTGCGCCGCGAGGGACAGCAGACCGGCAAAGACAGGCGCTCTTGTTCTCATATTTAGCGAGGATTCAAAACATTAAATTACGGATAGGCGTAGAGTCGTGAAGGGGCCCTCGAGGGACGAAAACGAGCGGAGGGAACCCGGTTGCTCAACTCCCTAACCTAGCGGTCTGGATATAGTCCAGACAATAGACGGGACAGGACGTTCGTTACTCGAGAGAACGAATCGACGGAACTAGGCGAACTGTCGAAGCCGGGGCAAAGCGAGGGTGGAAGACCGAGACGGTCAAGGTTGAGGAAGGATGGCGATCGCGGGTTGCATCTTGGGAACACGCGCGTGTTGGGCGTTGATGTGTTTTTCATGGTGACCGTTTAGGGCTCAGCTCTGCCGTGAGAGTCTCGGCGGGACGATGTGACCCCCCTTGCATCCAATCCATCACTTTCACCCCCTGTCACTCGTATTTCCACAGGGTTCTCGGCTCGAGATTTCCAGGTCCAAGGAACGCCAAGCGCCTCGTCCGCCGAAATGCAGTTCGTCTGATTGGGCCAACCATCAACTTATCGATTCCAGCTCCCAGCCGCATGTTCTTTTTTGGGCTTCTTCGGGTCTTGTGGAGTTCGCAGCCTGGGCATTGGCGGACGGTCACCAAACCCGAACGCTATTGAACGCCGGCTGTTCTGGGCTGTCGTGCTGCGCTCCAGTTTCCCTTCGTTGACAAGCCACGTCGACGGGTCTTGAATCGGATCAATGCGTTTCTCGTCCCACTCCGCCGGCGGTCCGCGAATCGTTCCCATTTCTCTCGTCGGTGCCGGTATCCGGTGACAGGCCAACAATGACCCACATGCGAGTTGCCAAGTCGCTGGCAACCTCAGCGAGCATTTTGTCACTCTTGTTCTGCATGTTGCTGTGGTTTGGATTGGGATGCAGCTGCAGGAATGTCGCACGAAGAGGGGTCCCCAATCCTCCTCCTTCCTGGGTGCCTGGTCGGCGCCGATCTCCCCTCCCCCACGCCGCAATCGTATCCGATCTTGGTTCTGGCGGCTTGGCACTCTCCGGCTCCATGACCCGTCCGATCCCACGTGGCTCCGTGGGAATCGTGCCGCTCCGTGCCGAACCGAGGTCGAGCAAGACATGTCTCGATTTGGCATTGATGTGTGGAACTGAACGGTGTTCGAGAAGGTGACGAGAGGTAAGACTTTGTCAAAGGCAATACCTTACCTCGATGTACTACCTATGCTGGATCCACAATTGGGACTTTCCCGCCTCCCTTCTCGACCTCGTAGGCGGGGTTTCGGTCTCAATGACCGAGACCCTCAAACAACCTGTCCATGGGAAATACCCCGTTTCCCGACCATACCTCCGCTCCCCTCTCCCCTCTTTTATCGTTTCCGTTGAATGAACAGCGTGTATATTAATGCTTGGTCAAATCACCTAAATATAGAGGACTACTCTTAGAGAAACGTCTTTCGATAAATGTGCCTAATTAGATATTGCTTACCCACCTGAGGAATGGGCAGCATTTCCATCGGCGATCTCTAGAAACCAAAAATGATAACGATTTTCGTTCTAGGTACCCGGTTCATGACCAGATGGCGGCAACAATAAAAACACAGAACTACCTACACATGTAACCATGATAACTCTACCATCCATTGACTGTTGTTCATCCGAGTTCAAGAGGTAGTTGATACCTTGACAAACTGCTGACACTCTCGCCCAGGGAAATCAAGCAATTATCCAAGGGCGGATTTCCCTCACCTGGCTGTCCCGACTGTTTGCTCGCGGAAAGCGGCAGGTGCCCTGGTCCCCCGCCTCCCTCCTTCCTAACACTGGCACACCTCAGGCAGCCAACATCCACCGCCTTCCTCCCGTTCTATGAATCGGCTTTCTGCTCCCCATCTTCAACAAATAACAAGAACCCCTCTGGTGTAGCGGTTAACATAACGGATTCTCATATCGGATTCCGTTGCCCGGGGTTCGACTCCCCGGAGGGGTGTTTCTTTTTGCTGAACTTCCACTTTATCTCCTGAACACACTATTTCAATGTTCCATGGTTAACTTTCAAGATGCTCTTCTATCCCCCACGGCCGTGCAAACCAGGCACCTCCTGATAACACCCAAGGGTCTTAATTACGTTCTAGGTAGTACGAGAGCCCAACATCCAAATAGAAGAGGCAAACCTCCTAGAAAGAAGAGTCCCAGGCGGGAGTCGAAAAAGAAGACTGCGGTCATTCGCCAGCCCTGGAGCCGTGTCTTGCGTCCGAGGGGGGGAAATAACCACTTACCTAGGTTTACACTCTTACCACTGCACCTCGAGATGGTCTGCCGTGGGATCCGTTGAAAACCCAGGTAGCAACAAATGCGCAAGCTATATACTTCCATTTTCCCACCCAACCTTGCGACGGCCGTGTATGCCTATATAAAAATTATCCCAATGAGCATCTGGGGAGTGGTTACTTTGCCTAGGTAGATATTTAAGTAGCAGGTAAGAACCATGTATCAAACTTACGTCTCTCTCCCACTCCATCCCAGAGAACACAACAGGAGGCAGGGGCCGGCACCTACCGAGTAATTGTATCGGTCAGAAAGTCCCACCAAGACTTCGGTCGGCACAATGACTGAGGAGCACTACCCTGACGAGCCCGAGCGAGCTACAAAAACCAACTACCCAATAACTCACAAATGATGCACCTTCGGATTTATGAAAGAAGTGCTAGAGACGACGTTCAAATTGCGCCACAGTGGCTGTGCATCTCTTACCAATGTGACCCAAAAGTGGCTTCACATATCCTGCCCCACCATGATGCCAAGAGTTGGAATGAAGTCTTACGTCACCGTGGACCCTGATCTGGACCTTCATTGCCCGAATCAAAGAAACAACGGCAAGATTCGTCATGGGTTCGGCGCAGCGAACGGGAAACGGCGGCGTTTCAGCGATCAGATCTGCGATGGCCCGCTGGGCTTATGGGAATCTCGCAATGTGACAGGGTGATTCCGGGATGTGGTTGGATTGAAGCGCAAAACAGCAAGGCAGATCGCAATGCGGATGGGCGACTTGGTGGGCCCCGAACGCGGCCTTTGACGGTCTCGAGATGGTCAACTCGTCGTTCTTTGACAGTCATGCAACAGGCCGCAAACGCTGCAGCCGTGCCCGGTGATTTGGGCCCTCCCCACATCATCTCCATGTGGCCGTTTCTGCTTGTGACTGTGCCCGGTGTGGGGAAGCCATTTGTTTCCTAAACACAACTCGACCTACCTGAACTTGGAACTCTTTTCTTTTCTTCTTCTTCTTGATCACCAACTGTCGTGAAATGCCGACCATCGAGTTTTATAGCTTGCGCTCTCGAATCACCACATAACGCATCCCACGCTTACGCCACATTCCGAGTCTTCCGAAACCTCCAAACCTCGAACCTCGGAAAGCAACACACAACAACACCCATACTATGGGCGCGGGCACAGGCATTGCCCTCCGGGGCCTACAATTCTTTCTCCGCGCCATCCAGTTCTGCTGCGCCGCCATCGTCTTGGCCCTCTTCTCCTACTTCCTGGCCACCCTCCACAACCATGGCATGTCGATAGGCGTGTGGGTGAGAGCCGTCGAAGGCATCTCGGGCGTCGCCGTCCTCTACACCATCCTCGCGCTCCTCATGCTCTGCTGCATCCCCGGCCGCTCGTTCCCGTCCTTCGTCATGATGGTCCTCGATGTGGCATTCATCGGCGGCTTCATCTACATCGCCGCCGTCAACCGCGGCGGGGCGTCGTCCTGCAGCGGAGAGGTCGATACTGCCTTCGGGAAGGGGAACGCGGATACCAACGTGGTGGACAACGGCAACGGTGGATTCACGGCGCTGCCGAGCTTGAGACAGGCGTGCAAGATGGAGACGGCGTGCTTGGCCGTGTCGATTGTTGCCGTGTAAGCATTTCCCCATGACCTAGCAGACGAAGGTTGGACTGACATGTGACTCCACGACAGTATCCTTTTCGCCCTCACCCCCTTTATCAGCCTCGCCCTCGTCCGCCACCGCCGCAAGGAGATGCGGATCGGCCCCTCCCCTGACAATGACTATACCGAGGGCTACGGCGGACGCAAGCGCTTCAACTTCTTCGGCTTCGGCCGCAAGCGCGATGCGAACGCAGATCCCGCCAACGACCCCAACGCGCTGCCGGAGCATTCCACCCCGGACGACTTGCGCCATAGCTATGCGACCGAGCAGACCCGGGTGGGCAGCAGCGCCGGCGCCGGTGGTGGCGGGTATGGTGGGTTGGGCAACGGCTCGAGCAAGTACGGGAATGCGGGTGATAACATCCCGATGGGGAACTATTCGAATACTGGTACTGGGTATCGGTATGAGAACAACGGTGGTGTGTACCGGTAGGGGGTTGAAGGTAGTCCGGGTGTATTGATAGCGGAAATGGACCACAGCGATAATCTGAGCCGAGTTAGCTTCGGAGTGTAAGATGGAGAATGCCTTACATGTAGTTTACGGAACGAGTTTGAGTTTAACCTTCAACAAGAGAATAGAACATTAAGAGAGCACTTGCCTTTGACACACCGACCAGCCAGTCGAAGGATGAATAGGATTTCTATTTTCTGTTCGGTAACCTCACTGTCCTTTCCCCGCCTTCGCCTTCTCCCTCTCCCGGTCCTTCTCCAGCGCCACCCTCCGCCTCTCCTCCCACTTCTCCCACCCAGCCTGGCACAGATCCTCCACCACAACCAGGTCCCTCATCCGTAGCCACCTCGCCAGCGGCATATCCAGCGCCCACGCGACCAGCCCCATCTCCCTCATCAGGTACGTCACAGCAAACCAGGCCACCGCGCACCCCGCCCCGGCCGCGCACCCCGCCAGCACCTGCCGCACGCTGTGGTACTCCAGGTACACCCGGCTCCACGCGACCATGCCAGCCACGAGCAGCGCGCCGGCGCTCGCCACGGCGCGCTGCGCCAGCGTCCAGTGCGAGTGCGAGTACGCCTCGATGGACGCCGCCGCCGCCGACAGCCCGCCCAGCCTATACGCACGCTGCACATTACCACCACCGTCACCCCCCCCAGCAGCAGTCACAAGCCCCACACCACCAAGCGGCCGCGGCCGATGCCTTACGCAAAGAAACAACCCCGCCGCGACCGCCCAAAAAAACGCAAACTGCGCATGCGAGCTGGGCATGCCGTACCCGCGGCCCGAGCCGGCGCCGAGCGCGCGGTGCGGCGGGCGCTCCTCCTTGATGAGGCGTTTCAGGACCAGGTTGACCCCTTCGCAGGCGAGCTGGCCGGCGAACATGAGCAGGACCTCGGCCTCGCGGGTGGACCAGAGGAGGGTGGCGTAGACGACGCAGAGGCCCTGCGGGAGGAGGGAGAGGAAGGCGGCGAGGGTGGAGAGCGGGTCGGTGGGGTTCTGTTTTCGGGGGGTGGGAAAGGGGGGGGTTAGTCAAAGGTGGGTTGTGGGGGGGAGAAGGGGGGGGGGGGTTGGAAGGGGGGACGAACGTAGTAGACGTGGGTTATGGAGAGGGAGGCGAGGGGTGTTATGTCGTCGGCCATGGTTGCGAGGTTATTGAAGTGTGTGGATTTGGTTGTGGTTGCAGCGGTTTGAAGAGGATGCGCCGGTGTTGATGAAGGTGGGCGAGGGCGTCGGTTCGGGGGCTCGAGAAGAGGCTTTATAAGGTTTTCATAGCGTTGTTATTTGGGCGGCCTTGTTTTCGGTCGGGGTCCTAGGGCGATATCGCGACTTTGCGCTCGAGTTTGTCGTCGTTACGAGCTGATGTTGATGTCGGTGGCACATGCAACAAAAACACACTCTGGGTTCTTGGTCGCAGCGGCCTGCAGCCACCAATCGGTTCAGGCCGCTCGGTACGGCTCCACACAGGAGGGAACTCGCTAATTGCAGCCGGCGAACAGCCTTCCCAGGTTGGGTGGGGGCCCTGCGGAGCATGGAACACAACGCCAGTGTCCCGCAGTGGCCGAGACGAGTCATCGGCTGCAGGTCTCGAACCTCAGACTGGAAACATCGATGACAAGTCAGCAAATAGTTGGAGTGTAAAGGACTGGGTTTGCCCCCCGTCGACCTGGCTCCAGTTTCTTGATTTCCGAAATGCCGCCATGACATTGCAGATTCGCTGCTGCAGGTTGTTTTAGCTTCTTTTTTTCACAAAATCTTCTCGAAGCGGGGGGCGATTGCGACTACATGCAGCCTGCTATCAACAGCCAACGATCGATTTGGAGAATCTAACGAAACCCGCTCGGCATAAAACGAACCGCGCCGTTGGAGAATTTCTGCGCATGGAAACCTTGCGCATCACGCTTACGCTGTTGCGTCGGGACTACGGGCGCAGGTAGCAACACACGGGGCACGCACTGGTGCCATCGACCGCTATTTGAGCTCGTCTTTCTTTCTCCTTGACCCCAGAAAAGCGCGCGGGGCAGTGTGACGATTCAACAAGGAAATGGCCGACGACGACGACTTTGATAATCCTCGCGACGTTGAGCTTAGCTCCCTCTCCGCCATCTATCCCGAAATTCAGCAACTCGATCCAGACGACCCGTATACCGTCGCCCTCGACCTCCCCGTCAACCCATCGAAAGCCGTTACCGTCTTCTTTCCCGCCGCTGCCGATGACGGGCTACCTCCGGGCGCAAATGGCGTGCAGAATGGCCATGTTGCCGCCGCTATGGGTCAGCAGGGTGGCATCGACTCCCATGAGCTAGCACACCTGCCCTCGGTGCACCTCGAGATCACGCTGGGCCCCCAATATCCTGCCGAGCAAGCGCCGCAAGTTAGCATCTCCACCAACCCCCCGTGGCTCCCCGCCGACACGATAAAGCGCTTGGAGGACGATGCGGCCCGTTTATGGGAGGAGATGGGACGGGATATGGTTGGCTTCACATACATCGACCACGTGCAGCAAGCAGCCGACGGCGTGTTTGAGCTCGTCGACGGCAAGGGCTCGCTCGAGGTTGATCCGAGGCACAAAATCGCCATTCTGGACTACGACATCAAGGCGAGAAGGGCGGCATTTGAAAAGGAGACTTTTGATTGCGGCGTGTGTTTAGGTATGTGCTCTGCCGTCTTTGTCGGATGCCTCTTCCGGGAAACGAGGACCTGGTCTTCTTTGAGCCCCTGAACCCGCCCCTCCGGTAGCTTGTTTGTCCTAAGCCGTGAGCATCCCACTAACAAGTACTAGAACCCAAGAAAGGCACCGTTTGCCACCGGATGCTGGACTGCGGGCACGTCTTTTGTGTCCAATGTTTGCAGGACTTCTACAACAATGCCATTAAGGAAGGAGACATCACGGCGGTGAAATGCCTGACGCCCAACTGCGCAAAAGAACGCGCAATGGCTGCCTCCTCTTCGAACCGGAAACGCAAAAAGCCCAAGACCTTTATAAACCCCAGCGAGTTGCTGCAGATCCCTCTGGACCAGGAGACAGTCAAACGTTACGTGACGCTAAAGTACAAGGTCGAGTTAGAGTCGGACAAAAACACAATCTACTGTCCACGGCAGTGGTGCAATGGCGCCGCGAGGTCCAAAAAGCACAAGAAGCCCCAGGGTTTAGAGTTGGCCGAAGCCCCGGACGAGTCCATCTCCGACGACGAAGATGAGGATGAGGATGATGACCATCCCGAAGGGGAGGGCAAGTCCAAACCCTACAAACCAGCCGATGATTTGCTGGCCATCTGCGAGGAATGCAGCTTTGCCTTTTGCAGCCGCTGCTACCAGTCATGGCACGGCGAGTTCTTCCGCTGCCTCCCGCGGCGTGACAAGGCAGAGCTCACGGCCGACGAACTGGCTTCGCTCGAATACATGAGAATGCACACCACACCGTGCCCCACGTGCGGCGTGCCGGCGCAGAAGACGCACGGCTGCAACCACATGATTTGCAATCGCTGTCAGTCGCACTTCTGCTATCTCTGCTCGTCCTGGCTCGACCCCGGCAACCCATATCAACACTTCAACGAAGCGCCCGACGGCCGTGTTACGGGATGTTATATGCGTCTCTGGGAGCTGGAACAAGGGGACGGTGATGATGTCGGCATCGGCTTTGCGGGAGGTGGTGGGCGCGTCGATCGACCGCCCCCGCCGGCCATGCCAGTCCAAGAGCTCATCCCCGAGATCGAGGAGCCCGAGGAGGACGAGGAAGAAGTCCGCGCTGCTAGACAGGCCGCAGAAGCACGGAATCAGGATGCACACGGCAACGGCGGTCAGGTTGGCATTGCGCGAGAGGGCCCATTGGTTCTTCGCATAGCTGCCAACCAGCCCGCCGCTCCTGGACGTGGCGGGCCCCGTGGGCGACAACCGGCACCAAGACCTCAACCCGCAGCGCCTCCAGCGCCGGGGGCAGCTCGAGGAGCGGCAGCGAGAGGGGCGCGGAATCAGCAACCCGCGGCACGAGGCGGAGGACCCCAACAACAGCCAGCCCGGGGTCTGGGGGGAGGGGGGCCAGCGCAGCGAGGCCAGCGGCCTGGCCAAGGAGGTGCCGCTGCTGGGCATCAGAGAGGCCGAGGGCGAGGCGGCGGCGGCGCAAGAGCCGCGCATCGGCAAAATAACAATCACGCAGCAAATCAGGGCGACGGCGAGCTGGACGCAGCCCAGCAGGCGTGGGTGAGACAGTTCGTCATGCTCGCCCTGAACGACGAAGAGGATATACTGTTTTGAGGACGTTGGCAGCGACATGCGAGTTTTAGATCAGGCTTGCTTCATCTAACAAGACAGCGGCTTGTTTACTACACCACCAAGATACCCCCGATGGATGATGAGATGACACGTAGAGTCAGATAGCTCAGACATCAGAAACATATAGGATACAGCCGGGCATACGCAATATGCTCTTGCACGAGTAATGGATGGATTAAACTACGAACTGATGCCTGCCGTGACACTCGCTCCCATCGCAGCCGGCGCAACGGCGCAACGTGGCTCGTCAGTCTCTTCTCCCTCTGCTGCCACACTCCAATACGACGGCACACTACGTATTACGGCAACATTACCCCCTTTTTTCGTCAACCGCGGAGCCTTGCGCCGCACCCATAGCCCTCCAGCGTCGGGCTAAGCCCGCCTACCTGACCCAGCTGCAGGTTCCGTTGTCACCGTGCCGTCACGGATGGACACGCCCACACAGCCAGACCTACCTAGCATACTACCTCCACCCGCACTCTATGTACGGACCACACATAGGTAGCAGCAGACACAGACCAAAGCGCACGCGCACAGCAGCATGTATGTAGGGCGCTGCACGGAAGCCTGCCGCCGTCTGCAGCGAAGCAGGGAAGCGAGCGAGTAGGACACGGCGGGCTGGCATCACGCATACATGTACGGTTCGTCGCCTCCATCATTACCTCCCTATCTCCCTACCTTCCGAGCTTCCCTCCCCCCGGACCCTCCGTGACCTGCATGTGACAGTCTCTGGTTCCGGGGGGCCATATTCGTATGTAGGTAGGCTGGCTCGCTGCTGGTTAGTAGCTACCTCGGCAACTGTGTAAGTCTGTGTCACAAAAGGCTGTGGTTAATCCACGGGCGCCATCTGGTTCTGGTTTCTGTTCGGTTTGTGCGCATACAGCCCGAGCAAGCCGACCCGGGGGTTGGCGAGGCGCATCCCCGTTTTCGTATTGTTGTGTGTCTTGTTTTCTTTCTATTCTTAAATCCCGAGAAGGTCGTTACGTCGCCCGTTGAAACTTTGCGGGGCGCGCCAGTCGGAGGGATTCCCAACATTGCTGCTTGTTTGGACATGTGGGATGTGGCCCATACTCACTCACTGTTCGGTTACCATCTACGAAAGTCGACGCCTTCTGGCTCTCCCCGTCCTCGGCGTGCATCTTCTGCTCTGCTCGGCTTAGCACTGTCCCGAAAGAGACGTTCGGGAAATATAATCCTGTCTGCAATGGCTGGGTGACATTGGCTTCCCCACGAGGGGATAAATGGGATGCTCTGCGGTGTTACTTCGTTTCTGTTGGCTGATATGGGACCGTACTTTGTTAGTTTGTGTTTGTCTTGAGTCTCTGTTCTTCGAAGTCTGTTATGCCGCTCTACGTAGTACTACACGATCCGTTCGTAGATGCCGATCCGTGGTCCGAGAGTCAGAAGAAAAATGAGCTGCTTCCCTACGCTCTTGCCAGCATTGGTTCGCCAGTGAATGCGGTCCAGATTCTCTCGGAGGGCGGAAAGGGGGCGCTGCGCTTTGCCACTTCCGCGCACCATCGACGACAACCTGACTGGCCAGCCAGTTTTCGTTGGCAAGTTTTGCTCTCGAGCGGCGGCAAGCCAACGAGCTCACCAGTCAGGCCCCGTCAGGTGCCGGAGCGGTCCTGAGTCGAGCGGAATCAAAAAGATAGTTCAAAGACAGAGCCAGCCGCCAGCCAGCCATCCAACCAGCCAACTGAAGACGCGGACGGACATGCAATACCACCGTCTCCTCCACCGTTCCATCCGCCCTGAGCCACCTACGCAGCTCGCCCCAGACCTTTCCCTCCACCCCCTCCCACCCTGCACCCGCCACATCCACCCACAGAGGGACCTCGACAGGCGGCGCCAAGTTCGGCCTCCATCACCTCCGTCCGATCCCCGCCACGGCCGCCCACTGACGCTCGATTAATCAAGCACGCGCAGGAGGTGGATTGCCCCTTTCGGCCTCCTCCCCACCGCCCAGAAACAAGGCACCTTCTCTTCTCGTCTCGCGTCTTGCCCCATCCATCCAGGAGACAAGAAACAGAGTGGCAGTGGCAAGGGAAGGCCGGACGGGAGGAATCAACGGCGCAGAGCGGGCCCTCACCCACCGCTTTTCCCACGGTTCGCTCTTCGCTCCCTTCCAATGAGGTGCCCCGGCCCTCCCCCTGACCCCCCGGACGTACCCTGTTTCGATACTGCGGCGCCCCTGCGATAATCGTGAGTGAAAGCGTTACATGCCGAGTTGTGCGGAAAGCCGCAGCGCAACGGCCTGCGAGATACGTCGATTTGGCCTTGCCCCGGCATCCGATGCCAATGCAATGTCCATGCATGCTATGTAATTGGGCGCTGCGAGTTGTCGGTCAAGGGCAAGGGACAAAAGAAGGGACGACAGAGCTCGTGTGTCTCTTGTTGTTTGCCGCCCTCGCTTGCGTCTGCAGTCCGTTCACCTTTGCTCCCTTCACCCCCGCGGCGGACGTGCCGCGGCATGGCCTGCCGGTGGTAATTCCGGCTCTTGACCTCGCGAAGCAACCCTGATGGCTATCATGGACAAGCTCGGGCGTCGGATGGGATGGGAGGATGCTGGAGCATGTTCGGGTGGTACCCGACGGGGTTGCGACATTCCCCACAGATCGTGCGATGTGCCAAACAGCCCGTCTGTATGTAACTGCACTGCGCCTGTCCATACATACGACGATCTCATTTTTGGCTGGGCGTGGGAACTGACCAAAAAAAGGCGTCCACCTCTCTCTCACTCACTAGTATTTCGAGAGAGATCGGACTGGGCGAATGCACGGCAGGCGACTTGTTGCGTTGGTGGCCAGCCCTGAACGTGAGGCGGACGAACCAAGCCCCGGTGCCCCATTCCATCCACCCGTTCTTCTTCCAACAGTGATCGGTACCGAGTTTCTGGGGCCCCTTTTCGATTTCCCTTTGTCGGTGTGGTCATTGACAAGCCTGCCTCGACGCTCCCAGACGTGGTCGGGGGCACAAAACGGGCACGGATGGCGTCCTTTCGGTACTTGTTTCCGTGAGCACAACTGGGGGGCCCCTGGGCTTCGACCTTACTAGGTAGAGTCGGCCCGGGGCAGAGGGAGAGCAGTGCGATCTCCATCGACCTCCATGGCCAGAGCTCTGTTGTTGTTTGCCCTTTCTGTCGTGGCGCTCCATCTCTTCTCGGAGTTGACGTTCGAAAAGGGACAGCGACCGTGATGAGGGAAGAATGGCTATGCGGGTCGCGACTCACGGATGTTGAATTAGGCCCCGTTCTGTCTGCGCCAGGTCCCGTTCAAACATGGCTTCCTTGGGCTGCAAGGTACGCCGCGAGTGGAGTGTGTTGTGTGACAGTTGTGCCCGTCGCCGGCGGTGCAACCTCGACTCGACCTCGACAAGGGCATGGGTTTTGTTTGGATTAGCGTTGTAACTCGACCGGCATTGTCTCCGCAAATGGAAGACGAATGATCAGGGTAGCGAGGGAGCCCTGTCACCCGTTGGGGAAACAAGCAGGCAGCGCGCCCATCGCCGCGAGTGTTTCGAGCGTTTCGAACCTCGCCAATGTTTCACGTTGGATGCCCACCAAGAGTCTTCTGGGTCCGTCAGCCGCAGAATCGTCAGATACCTGTCATGACGTCCCGATCGCCCCCTGTGATGACACGGTTCCAACGACGGACGGCGGCTCCTCATGTCTCGGATCAGTGCCGAAATTATTACTCCATGATCAACTAACTTTCTAAGCGACGTCTTGTCAAAGCAAAGTCGAAAGTTCTGGTGGAGAGGGCAGCGAAAATCCATGTCATAATGGATGTGGAACTCGAAAAATAGCCATCTTTGAAAAGTCCTTTTGCCCGCATTGTCTCATTTCTCGATCCATGGAGCGCCATGCTTGTTTGAGGGACAAGACAACTTGGGTTGGCACAAGCAACTCGGCTTCGGTTGAGAGCTGATGCGATGTCCAAGCATTGAGCCGGTTGCTTATCAAACGAAATGGAATGGAGGCAAAGGCTCACTTACCACAACAAGTATATACGGATTACACGAAATAAGTTCCGGTCTCGGCAGGCCGGGAGCGTCTGCACGCAGTCCGTCATCGAGCTCCTTCTTGGTCAGCTTCGGACAGCCTAACTTGGTAATTGAAATCGGGTTTGTCAGTTGACAAAAAGGGTTTGGACTGAGACGGATAAGCTCGGGTTGCCGCCCAGGAACACAAACCAGGGTCTCGCGAGCGGTGCTCGCATGGAGTTTGGACGAATTTCGTCGGAACCACGGCAAACCAGGGCCAGGCGAGGACAGGCACGAGCTCCGCTACGAGGGTAGCTTGCACAGGATAACCCCTCCAGCGCGAAATCCTCCTCAACGCTAAATTCCGGCCCAGGCGAAATCCCTTAATAAACATTCGCGGTGTGGGGGAGGGGTGTCCAAAGGGGCGGCGACATAACTATCGTGGCTGGGGTTGCTTGTCCGTTGACAACCCTCAGGACAGCGGTTGCGAAGAGCGCGCAAGCGAGGCGGACGAGCCCAATCATCGCGACGGGCAGCCTTCAAGCGAAACAAGATGGGTGGTTGACAGGCGCAAGGACAGAAAGCGCAAGGGAACGGACGTGAGCGTGGGAGCGAATGTGCGCCACGATCCACGCAGCCGCACCTTGTTTCTCCAGCTGGGTAATTGGCGGCTGCCATTGGTTGGGAAATTGCCAGTGCCGCCGAATCGGCCCTTCCAGGCTAAACTCGCTAGCTCAATCATAACGGCGCCCCTCTTGGAAAGCCTACGGCAGACGCCCCCGGATTCGATTGGCAGGGTGTCATCCCGTGAGGGAGTTTTGCATGGCGCCGATGGCTTCCCGCACCCACTGGCACTTCGCAAGTAACGTTGTCATCGCTGGGGAAGCACCATCCTCCCGGAACCCTGGATATTGTGGTCAACAGAGATCAGTGTCGAAGCTGGCCCAGCCCGGACACTGCCTGCAGCGACAAGTCCCTCCTACGAGAGAACTCAAGCTGACGACCACGGGCCCTTTGTCAAATTTGCCGGCTCGTCCTTCTTCCGTCTGGCGCCGACAAAATGTTCTTGGCGCAAGACATGGAAGTGCGCCATGTCTCGGTCGGCCGTTCCGGGCGAGTCCGGCTGCATATCATTGTTGGACCTCCAATTGCGGGGTACATGTGGACATCGTGATGGTTGGCGATCGAGGAGGCTCTTCTCAAGTTAACTCTGGGTTGGCACGTTGGATATTCGGGTGACAGCGGGATATTGTATCTTTGTTTCTAGAAGGCTTCGTTATTCTTCTGTTACTCCCAGAAAACGCCTCAATCCAGGATCGACGACATGAATCTGTGGCAAGTAGATTGAGACCAGGCAACCGGCGCCGCAGAGAACTGGCGATAACTGGGCAGCTGGGATTCTGATGAGGTGGGTAGGGCTGCAGCCCGCCCCTCCTCTATCGACAGCAGTGACGGCCGCTGCGTGCTAATATCGAGTTTCTTTACTTAGAAGGCATTCAATATCGATGCTGCCAGAGAGACGGCTCCGTGATGTAGGCAATTTGGTGATCCGGGCTGCGTAGGGAGCTTGAAAGCTTGTGAAAGTGGGGTGGAGCGTGGCTGCACGCCATTCTTCTCGGCGAGAAGGGGAAGCTAGGAAGGCAGCAATCATCCGCTCACGGCTGCCCAGACGTGCCTTGCTCAAGTGGAAGTTACTTTCCGTCGGCTGTCGCGTTTCGTCGATGATTCTCAGCCATGACCGTCGCAGGAGGCGTTTCTCGATCGAGCAAAGCTCCTGTTCTCGGGGTGGAGACCGAGATCTTCGTTTTCTCGGCGAGCCGGAGGATGTTGCTAAAAGGAGCTTAGCGCACCATCCGCCTGGTGAGCGAACCGACCGAGAGATTTGAGCTGCCGCCAACCATCCGAGCCACCCACTCACTTTCCCACCCCATGGCCGAATCCTTCCGTCGGTTGAACGCGATGTCATGGTGGGTATCTTGTGCTCTTACCGTCTCCGAGCCGGTGAACGATAGGTGGCGGCAAATGTACATACAACGCAAGCTGGACTGATCCAACTCTTCAAGACAGCTCTGGCCATCTGTTTGGGGTCAGATGTCTCTCGCTTCCCCGCCATCGGCCCGGAGAAGGGAGAAGGCTAGTAGTCGATCTTGCGACTCTGGTGGGAAGCGTGCTGGGGTGCGCTGTGCGGGGGAGTGCCAGTGGACAGCCGAGTTGACAGCCGGGCTGGCTGCAACGTCAAACCATCGAGGCAAGCAGGCAAGATACCACCTCGATCACTAAAGCTCCGCCGACATCAGCTGTTGGATTAACACCTTGGAGTGCATCGCGACCGACAGCCAACATGTCTTTTCCTATCATCAAGATGGCGATTGTTTTGCAAACAAGGCAGTGCGCGGCCGAGAACGATGCAAACCTGGCTCGGTCGTTCTCGGACGAGAGGGCGGCCGCAGGTGTGTGGCGGTCGCTATATTAGCCAGCAAATATAGCCTTAAACCGGCTGTGAGAAGATCGAGACGCATGTTGATTCTGGGGCCGCGCTGAAGTTCCGGGCAGACTGTTACACAGCACCTCGAACCCTGTCCTTCTGCGGCTTGCGTGATACACAGAGGAGGGAAAATAATCAGATACATACAAAACTGACCTCGTGCTCTCGTAACGCTGGTCTGCATATTGTACCCTGTCGCATGGTCCGCGGGTAGGCAAGTGGTCAGCGGGCTTTGGTGTCGTCGGTTTTTGAGTTTTGGTTCTGAAGAGGGTAAGTTTCTCCTGCGACTTGTCTAAGCCCCACACCGAGGCCCTTCGAACCCACGGAGTTGATTCCGCGCTGTTCAACTTGACTGCCTGCGGACGCGAGCCTCGCTTGCTTTTCCGAGAACCTGGACGCCCTGATGAGAGAAATGAAATGAGACACGCCGACCCTTGAAAAAGATTGGATGCGAGGGCCGAACCCCATCACCTTCGTTCTCCAGGGCAGCTGGCAAGCAATTCGCGCAGACTGGACGGGCAACCGTTTGGCGGCACATGGCACATGGTTGAAAGACTTGCTCAGAACGTGGCGCCCCCCTTGCAGCTTGCACAGGTTTTGCTCATCGCACGCACGGCCTGCTGCCCCTGTCCCACGCCGTCGCGTTGTGCTCTCAAGAACTGGTGCTTGTCGCGATGTTTACAGAGGATCTGGCTGCGCCGGACAGGTGCGCGCGGGAACAGAGGTCGCATCCGTCGCTGCCCTGGGCAGATCTCACGAAATCCTCCGCGGCCAGTCCCCTGACTTTGCCCGATGCGATCGCGATTGCAACGTCCGCCCACGCACCAACAAGCTCAGACAGTTGCAATTGCAACGGACAGCCACCGGTAACAGCCGGACGGGCTTGCCCTTGACGTGAGTGGGGCCCGCCGTTTCTCGACATGCTCCCCGTGTGTGTCGAGCAGCCGGCCAACATCGACCAGAGGAGAAGAGAGGAGTGGAAAGTTTAAATCCTGGTGTGACGGGACCCGCTCACCCACACTCCATCCCGGAGGCCAAGCAACCACTAGCGCCGCCACATCTGGACACAGGCGGCCGAATGTGAGAAACACGGTATTTCCGAAGCCAGTGCTGGATTTTTTGAAGTTCGCTTCGCGCGGATCGTGGTTGTGGGCTGGTGTGCTGCTGTGTGCTGCCGTGTGGTGCTGTCGGGTGACGAGTTGTGAGTGGTGACTTGTCAGAATTTGAGGGCCCAGTACGAGAAAATAAAGACCTAGATAGGGAGGAAATTCGGGGATTGCGGGATGGAAAAGACTGCAGCGGAAAGGACTGGGCGTGGCTTCCCTCCACCTCCACACCGCACTTCGTAAGTTCCAGGTTCAGGTTGAGAAGGTGCGGTGCGGCGGCGGCGGCAGTCACAACTGAGGTCGTCGGTCACCCACACGCGATTGCCCGTTACCCGTTGGCGAGTCCGTTTTTAGAAACAGCAGCGGGCTGGACACCTTCCCTTCTTCTCCCCCCTCCCTTCCCCAGCCTGCAGGGCAATTTAAAATTCATTGAATCGCACACCTCGAAGCTGCACGTGTGGCCCCCGGAACACCAATTTGTGACCGAGCGAGATCTGGTTCTGTGCTCGACACCGTCAACGGCCACCATCACAAAAGACGAGATGACGAACCCTGCAATCAGGAACTTTACTGCCTGCAGCGGGCCAGCCGTTTGATCGAACAGCCCTCTCGGGGTTTCAACTCGATGGAGCGAACTCGACGCAGCTCGCGCAGATCGAGATGCCGCGGAAGACACTCCCCTGCCACGACAGCGAGTTGCACCGCTGCTCCATTGACTGTATGCACGATGCGGCACGGGGCATGCTGTTGAACAGTGTCTGAGAGGTCGACTTTGCTGGCCAGTACCTTCGGTTCCGCGAGCCTGGTCCAATCAGAGCGAGGTCGTGCTGGCCGTGCAGGACGCAGCAAGCAACCCATTCAACAGGCCATGGCCTGTACACAGTATCCGTTGTGGCGTGACCTCGCTCATCATTATCATCATCATCGCCAGGCTCGCCGGTCGCCGTGGCCAAGGAGATACGGAGAGAGATCACCCACCGGCCTCGACGCGGCTGATGGTCGGCGGGTGGCGGTGGCTCGACAAGCCACCTGAATTATGTCGACAACCAAGACATTTGCAACTCGTCTTGCCGTGTTCGTACATGTATCGGGCTGCCGTGCCACCACACCTGCAACGCAGTGGCAGTTCGATTCGAGGTCGACGTCGATTTGTGGATTTGTCTCGCCGCGCGCTCATCCCGGTCCGCTCACAAGATGGGATGCAGTCTCCACGGAGTCAATTGCGCAAGCGGGCCCAGGCACCAAGTTCCCATTCGGGAATGTCGTCAAGCGGCGCCGTTTTGCTTCCTCCGCACTTTTTTGCTTTTGTCATGGGAGACTTTCGGATGCTGGAGCGCGTCTTCCCTGCCCGCGCTACGACCGGATCGGGCGGCGAAGGCCGGGGGCTCCTCGCTCGCCCCCCACCGGCTGTGGGAACTCGGCTCCCGCTGCGAGCCCCCTGGGCACGAATCACCAGGCGAAAGCGCACATCATCAACGAAGTTACAGCGGTAACCAGGCGAGCGACGGTGCGCTCTCTCACCCAGCTGCTTGGGACAGCTCCAAACATGCGGATACGACTCTTTCACGACTCGCTCATCTGTCATTTTTTTAGGGGCACGCGCAGAACGATACCGAGTCCCGACACATCAACAAGTCTCGTTCCTCGTTTTTCCCTGAACATAATTCCGCCGATCGTTTGTGTGTCCTTCCTGCTTGAGGGGCAAGCGAAAGACAGCGCCTCGCACGCGCGAGGCAGACTCAAGACTTTGCCTCGGTCCACAACGGCCCCAGCTTCCTCTTTCTGCCCTGAGAGTATCGTTCGGCTCACTCTGGACGTTGCGGATCGAAACTAAACCACGGCGGTATCCTGGCACTCAAGAACGGCGGCTACTTTGTGTGTCGCTGGTGATTTCGTTTAGGCCTCTCCTGCCAATTGCGAAGTCAAAGAGGCGTTCGCAACGGCGGTTGAACCCATCTATAACGACTCTGATATTGTTTTTGCAGATGTCGATGGAGCGGGGGAGGGCAGGGGTGGACTGTGCGCATCTCCGCCAGCCGAGTTTTGCTGGGGTTCGTCGGTTTCGTCGTTGTCGACCCCGGTCGAGAGTAATCTCGTGAACCGACTTTTCCCCCCCTCTCAGGACGGGGCCCTTCGTCGGCGCGTTTATCACCCAACGGTCTTCTAGAAAATTGCGGGTCGCAAGCTGCCCACACAGAGTCCCTCGGAGGATTCTCGTGCTAATCAGATGCCCCTGTTTCCTCGGCCGAACATGGTGGTTGAACCGGGGCCCTGTTGCCTGAACCAGGATTGGACGGAGGAGGGGCCGAGGGCGGACGTGCCGTTTTGTCCGCCATCCCCCCCCTCTCATCGCTTGGCGCAGCAAGATGCGCCCCCCCTTTTCGCATCCGTTCAGACCCCCATCTTGCTGCTGGTCATGGTCCTGCTCGACGGGCCATTCCTCATCCAGCCCGCGCGCTGATAGTCCGAAGGCCCTGCTGCTGATGTTGCTTCCCGTTCGGCAGAGGTCAGGCAGGGCAGGGCTGTCTTGAACAGCTCTGACCTTGTCTCGCATGGTCATCGAGGTACCTAAATACACCCCCTCCACCCCTGCCTTTCAAGGTTCGCGTGTCACGTCGAAGCTGGCGGTCGGCAACCGCTTCTACATACCAGGTACGAACTGCCTGAGGATGGTTTTGTAGTTGTGGGCTCTACGGGGTCGTTGGTCGAGATTATGAGGGTGTTATCATATGCTGTTGACTCCTCTGCTTCATCAGTCCAGGAGAAACAAACCATAGCAGTTAATGCCTGGGAAGTGTGTGCAATCACACCCTGGTCCTTGATGGGGTCAGGGCCCCGGCCGGTATCTTGCCCCATCTCGAAGAACAAGGGGCCTCGGGAATGCCTGCCAGATCGCCCCCGTTTCTCAACCTCCTTCCCTGTATGGTTGGAACGCTTCTGCACCGGCCCTGCAAGCGGTGTCAACACTCCCCTCGGAGCCCACCCATGAGAAGCCGCTCGGGGAGCCTTGGCCTCGCCTCTCTGCCCTTGCCGCACCCCCTCGGGCCAGTGCCGAAGCCTCTCATAAAAACGGCCCCGTCCAGCGCCTGACAGTAGTTATTGGCTTATACATACAAGTACATACACACTGCCCCTACAACCCGGTCGTGGCTTGCGGTCCATTCTTCGCCATTCTTTCCCCTCTACCGCGAGACCATCACCGACCCTGTTTTGATCTTGATGTGGGCAGGTCCTGTCACAGTTTAGCTGGTTGTCGATCGAAGACTTTGTGTGTGTGGCGATACAGTCAACTGCTCCTGTGGAAAAGGGCATGCTTCCATGTCAGCCACAGCAACGTACACGATGGCAGAGCTGAGGGCTGAGTCGCAACACGGCAACCTGTGGTCCAACTATGGAAATCCCGTGCAAATGACCGGCCGGTTTAACCCGCAGGACCCATCAGCATCGGTGCCGCCTCCAACATCATCGCATCTTGTGCGGCCGAGGAGTCACCACACCATGGACTATCCGCAGTATCAGCCTGGCCGGCCCGGCCAAGAGGAGGGCGAGCCGTACGACCGATACCCGCACCCGTCGATGAACATCCCCAGCATCAACAGCCTAAAGCGGCCATACTCGCAAGTAGACCAGGCTCCATACACCGAGATGGTCCAGGACCTCCGGGACGACTACAAGCCGCCGAATCACGACCAAAAGCTCTTGTCGTTTAAGAAGGTTGGGGACAAGCACACCATCGTCGACGCTAAGGGCCGGATCCACGAGATGGAAATTGACGCGCAGCTGCACGGCATGTTCTTTCTCTCCGAGTTCCCCTCGGGGGCGGGTGACGGCAATGTGCTCAACGCCGAGTTGACGTGCTACCGGCGTAACCTTTTCCAGATCAGCGGCAGCCTATGCTTCCCGCAGATCCCACTCTCGGTGCTGCTGGAGTCGGGAGAGACGAGCCAGATCAAGAACATGGAGGTCAGCATCTCGGCGATCGAGTCCGTCGACGGCCACCCGGTGCGCCTCATCGTGATCCCCTGGAAGACTCCGCCGCCGAACTCGCCCGAGACGAACCAGGCACCTGACCAGGAGCCCCCGACACTGCCCCTGATTCCGCCGTCCGAGGAGGAGGAGGAAAACGGGGGCGACCACTACGCCATTTACCCGATCGGCTGGAGGCGGCTGCAATTCAGGATGTAAGTCGCACGCACCGGCCAAGGCCGAGAGGATAGTTGCTAACTCGTGACTCCAGAGCGACGGCAAACAACGGGAGGAGGAAGGAGCTCCAACAGCACTTTGTGTTGCACCTTAAGCTGCACGGGACCCTGGCCAACGGGCAGAAACTGGTGCTCTCCGAGATGACGACGGCGCCGATTGTCGTGCGCGGGCGGAGTCCGCGGAATTTCCAGGCAAGGAAGGAGATCCCACTGCTCGGATCGAGTGCAGGCTCGCGGGGACAGACGCTAGTCGAGACGGGTCATGGTATCGTCGCGCAGGCCGTCATCCTCAACAAGCCTCCGTATGACTCGCGGCCTCGGCTATCGAGCTTGGATGTTCCCCGGTCTGCCTTCACATTTACCGCGCCGAAGCAAATGCCACAGAGCCCGATGCAGATGCGGTCCAAGTGAGTCCCCCCCCAAGTTTTACGCTGCAGCAGGACGGGCGATGGTTCGAGAGAAAAAGGGGCAGACGACTAACAAACACCCGCAGCTCCTACCCAACAACATGGAACCCTCCCCCACAGGTCTCGGTGCCACACACTCCCGGTTCGGCCACCTACCCGACCTCGACAATACCCCCGGACCCGTACCCGAAGATGCCCCTATCCGGCGCCCAAACCTTCACAGCGGAACCTCAAGAAATGCCTATGCAGCCAACCTCGATGGGCCCCTCGGTCCAGCTTCCGCTCTCCGCATCACACGATCCACACCAACACCAACACCACGCCCATCCCCATCAACAACAACCTCAACCCCCGATCCGCACCCAGTTCGCAACCTACACATCAGCCCCGCCGCACCATCTCTCCCTCTCTTCAACAACGGGCACCACCTCCCCGGACAACTCGCTCGCGGTGCCCCGCTACATCGGCGACACCAACCCGCGGCCATCCAAGTCGCCGCGCCACGCGAGCCACCAGTCGGTCACCTCGTCGATCTCGAACGAAACCGCGTCGGGCGAGTACCGGTACGGCCCGCCCCCTCCTCAAACGCAGGGTGGCGGCTACCCGGCGCCGGAAACGAGCCCGCAGAGCCAGCATCCCGCTCTCCCGCCGCCTCCGCAAATCGGAGCAGGACAACAAGGGGCCTATGCCCAAGACGGAGGGGCCGCGCAGGCTGCGGGGGCCGGGCCTGGCGGACAGGCGCCGCCGCCGCGGGATTACTTCCCCACATCGCAAGGGTGGACGACGACTGCGGGCGGCGGCGCAGACGCGACTGGCGGGCCCGGGCAGGGCGTGGAGAGGCCGTATGGCTATCCTGCCGCTGCCACCGGCACCGGCGCCAGCGGGCATCATCACGGGGTGAAGCCGGAAACGCACCCCCATGCGGGCGCGGGTGCTGCGCAGACCGGACCGCAGGGGACGTACGGCTATGCGTGGAACACGGCATGAGGGCAATAATCACCTGCACTTAACGCCTACACCCGGTCGCCATACTACGCGCGACGGATTTGTATTATACTAAGGGGTGAACACCGCACCGTCGCTCCGATTAGCAGCCGCGACCGCTGCCTCGAAACCTTCAACACGTTCGAACGATTCGATTCGAAAATACAGCTGGAAAGCGGATAGGGATGGGGGGGTGTAAAAAAACACAAGCGGGTTACGGTACCGATCACACACAGAATGGGGTTGTGTAATTTGGCGGTACGTTGGGGGGGGGTTCGGCTCGGTTCGGTCTCGAAAAACAACTGTGGCCGTGTTTGAGTTTCCTGTTTGCTGTTTTTGTTTCGTTTCGCATGGCAGGCAGAATACCTTGGTAGCGCTTGGGGGCGGGGAGGTTGTGATCGTCTATTTTCCTGTTGTTTCCTTTATTTTTTCCCGACATGTTTCATCACCGGTTCTGTCCATTACCCGATCAACCCCCCATTCCTTCGTTTTACTCGTGATGTTTACATTTACACTTCATGGAGAGCAAGCAGCGGCTGTTTGGATTGATACCACATGTTATGTTACCCCATTTACACTTCTACTTACTGTTACATTGCATTTACGATTGATGAGTCTGTGTGGATTCCCCTTCACCGTCTGTCGCTTGGGTCAAACACCGTTGATACTCCTTGCCACTTTCTTGGGGCGTGTATGTACTGGAGGAAAGGGAGCGGGGAAAGTTGGCAATTGCCGTGTATCCGTCGCTTGCACGGTCTTGTACATAGCGAGCTCAAATTGAAACATATCGAGTCACGAATTCTGCGAAGCGCCGTTTCATGGCTTTGTGCATTTTGTTCAAAACATCCCCAATATGGGGCTCAGGGCTTGGAAATCTATTTTTATCTTGCCCGGTTCTGCGCAGAGACTGGTCTTCAGCCGTCGGCATCAACTACCGATGCTATCACAACCATGTGTATACGACGGCCTGGTTTCACTGGAAATGACTGTGCAATGCGAGCCTCAACCCGGTTACCGGCAAGGGCTCAACGTTATGCTCTGGCCTGTTTCCGAGAGGCATCACGAGGACATTCGACTCGTCCTTCTTGGTGTTATCTCCGGGCTGTCCAAATGAGCCTCCGAAACCGGATCATAGCCGTCTGCAAGCCACGGCGAAAGAAGAGACGGAAGGCCGTTTCCGAGTCGCTTATTGCGGGCAGGAAGATGCGATGGGTTCAGGGGGTTGTGATCCAGGGGCTGGGAACATTCTACATCCGGGGTTAGGGTTACTATCAGATTCTTGGCTTGCGCCTGCAGCGTGTGCACATCTGCTTGTCAGCTGCCGAAAATTGCCAACCCCTGCACATCTCAACAACCCTCAACACCAAGCTTCACATCTCCAACTCGCTCACCAACTTCTCAATTTGCGAACCCTATAATAATTCATTAAATCCTGTTTCACTTTATCAACTCACCATGTTTGAGATCCCCGACGCAAAACGGCAAGTTCCACCTCCCAAAACACCAAAGAGCCAACCACCAACTAACCAAACCTGCAGCGTACGGCGAGAGGATCTGTACGACTCATCCTCCGAGCGGCACTCCAGCCCCGAAGGAGACGATGCCGCGGCAGCAGAGCTCCGGGCGAAGCTAAACGCCCGCCTCTCCAGCCTCCTCTCACTAGACCTAGGTGTGCCCGCGGCCACCGCACCAGCAGCAGCAGCAGCAGCAGCAGCAGCAGCGCCGGCGCAAGCACCCACCCCCGCCACCACCAACCCAGCAGACGGGGACAGCGACAGCGAAGATGACGGCTCCAACAACGAGCAGCAACCAACCCCACCCCAACCCACCGACCCCGTCATCACCGCCACAGGCGAAGAGGAATTCGAATTCCGCCTCTTCGCCACCCCCCCCACCACCCCCTACTCCAGCGCAGCAGCAGCAGCACCACCACCACCACCGCCCAAAGTCGTGCTCGAAGACGAGTCCGAAGTGCGGTACGAGGGGCCCGCGCTCTCCCAGCGGCCGCTGTCGCACCACCTGCGCGGGGAGCTGAGCGCGCAGGAGCGCGAGCAGTTCCGTTTGGCGGCGGTAGCGGGCGGGGAGGTGCGGGCGTGGGCGGCGCGGCGGGCGTGGGGGTTGGAGGTGCCGTGGCGGGTTACGAAGGTTGTGGTGAGTGGGAAAGGGCTGGGGAAGGGGTTGGGGGTTGCTGATGGGAGTGGTGATGGGAGGGGGGAGGGGAAGGCTGCTGGGGGTGGGGCTGTGGGGGGGGCGACAAAGAGGAAGCGGTTGGGGAAGAAGAGCCGGATTGTGTTGAGGAAGAGGGAGAAGGCGAGGAGGGAGGTGGAGGCTGTGGCGGAGAAGCAGAAGATGAGTAAGGAGGAGCATTTGAGGGAGAAGAAGAAGCGGTTGAATAGGGAGAAGAAGCTTAAGAGGAGGCAGAAGGAGAAGGAGAAGAAGCTGGGGGCGAAGGGAGCGGCCGGAGGGGAGGGAGCGCCTGGGTCGGATTCTGAAGGGAGTGGGGGGGAGTAGTAAACCAAGGCTGGTGTTGTGGTGTAAACAGACGCTGCATACCTACCTAAAGTACCTACTTGCGGTATGTTAAGGAGCAGTGGACGAATCGACAATAAAAGTTTTAATAAGACACACATAACCCTCGTTTCTATCATAGATAACCCTCAAAAGCTGGTACCAAGGAGCGGCTCTTTTAGGAGACTTTCTGTTTTGTTTTGGCATGAATAAGAAGTTATTGTGAATCTACTTGTAATTCAACACACCACAATCATCAAAAGGCTACATGATATCATCTGATTTCATCACATGGTGTCTTGATAGTCACACTTCTTCAGCGCCAACACGGGCCAAATTGGTGGGGCTGGGTTAGGTGTGGGGGTTCTTGGCACTCGAGGTGAAACCCTGCAACTCTCCAACTCTCGACCTCCACTGCCGCCTCCTGCCGCCAAGAGCGGTTGAGCTCCCCACCAAACAACCATGAACGCGCTGTGGTCATCGCGTGCCTCGCCCGACGGCGGCGCTGCGGCAAGCGACAAGCCGTCGGTCGATAACCAAACGGAGGAAACGACGACAGCTCCTCCCACCGAAAGCACGAATACCACCGACACTCCAAACTCGAACCCAGAAAGCGAACCCCCCAAGCGACCACTCCTCCAACGAAACCATCCCTCCGTTCCGCCTCCCCCAGTCCCGGCAGCACCCTCCGCCCCGGAACCCCCGATCCTCCAGCTCCAGACCAACACCGCCGACAATAATGGCCCCCCACCCCAACTCCAAGTCCAAGTCCAAGGACTCTCCCAACAACCCCTCGGCCTACCCCCAGGCCCACCCCAAGGCCAGCAGCAGCAGCAGCAGCAGCAACAGCAGCAGCAAGGCCAACAACAACCACCGACCCAACCACAGGACTCGCTCTCCCTCGCGCAGCTCCGCCGCGTGGTGGCCGAGTTCCCGCGCGCCGCGGAGCCCATCGCCTACGACTACGTCTACGCCGACACGTCCCCGCTGCGCGAGGAGATCGACGAGTGGTTCATGTACAACTTCTGGCAGTGGGTGCGCCTCAACGCCGCCAACCGCGCCTTCTACACCGCCTGGGTGCGCCTCTTCGCCCCGCCCTCGTCCGCTGCCGCGGCGGCGGCGGCGGCGGCTTCGTCCGAGGCTGGCGGCGGGCCGCCGTGGGATGGGCCTGCTGAGGGGGAGGAGGGTGGGGAGGGTGGGGATGGGGATGGGGATGGGGATGGGGGTGCGGCTGCGGCTGCGGAGAGGAGGCGGGCTTTTGTGACGGCGCTGTTGGAGGGTGTTAAGGGCGGGGATCGGATTGCGAGGGCTGAGGCCGTGGGGGCGGTGGTGTATCTGGTGCTGGGGAGGTGGACGGAGACGGTCAAGGGCGCTGGTGTGCTGAGTGATGAGGTTCTCGAGGGGAAGGCGAGGTCTGCTGCGACTGATGAGCAGCTGGAGGCGATGAAGGAGGGGGTCAAGTTGGTGGCGGAGTGTGGGGGGCTGGAAATTGTGTGGGAGGTGTTGAGGGGTGTCTTTGAGCTGTTCTGGTGAGTGTTGAGTGGAAGGGTGGAGATAGGGGGTTTTGTGCTGACTTGGCAGGTCTGATGAACTCCCACAAAACGTGCAAATGGCGGCTGAGGAGCTGATCCATCTGATGACCGTCCTGTATATGGCCATCCAAGAGGTTTTGGATGATCCCGAGGGGATGGCCGACGTTCGGCATAGGCTACGTATGTTGCGGACTCCCGGTATGGTTTCAATTGCTTACGCCATTAGTTGCCCTGAATCCCGGCTTGATAAGCTTCATGCTTCAGGTTATTATGAAGTTACGATGGGACGAAACGGGTATCCTCCCGCAGACTCAGGTACGGCTCACGCACACACCCGGTAGCCCTCGTGATACTGATTGTTTAGATATTCCTCCTCTTCTGGAAGTCTATGCTACTAGTATTCGGCGGCTCCGAAGAAATCGCTGAGGCCAAGAAGGCCACCAGCGAGAAAACGGGCTGCGACGACAAGGAGACCATCACGGCGTCGCCGCTCGACTACCACGCGTTCCGCCAGGAGATCACCTCGAAGTATCCCGCCTACATTCCTCCCCAACCTCTCCTACCCCTGGAACCAGAGCAGAACACCATCATCCCCCAGCTGCCCAACCACCCGCCGAGGAACAACGGGTCTAACGGGGTCCTTCCGGCCGCCCCTGGCCCGGGTGGGGGTGCCTCTATTCTGCACCAACCCGTCCATATCGCCACTCCCGCTCCATCACCACCGCCGAGCCCTGGAGTTGGTGGTAAAGGCGGTAAGAAGCAGAACTACCAGACGAACCAGAACTTTCCATTCATGTACCCACCCCTCGATGCCTCGAGTAACAGCGCAGGCGGTAAGGGCGGTGCTGGGTTACAGGATTTGCTGGTCGGCAGGAAATGGGAGGGCAGCGATGTGCCGGCTTCTATCCTCGAGGCTGGCGAGCTCTTTTCCAAGCGAGTACGCATGAGCCGAGCTACTCGCCAGCTATGGGATGAACGCGAGGAGTTTCTCAAGTTTGAACGAGGCTATGATGCGGACAACGATATCATGGATGAGCTTGACCTGTCATCATTGACCCTCGAGGAGAAGGAGGAGCTCGGCTTGAACAGGTCTGCTGATGACAAACCCCGTGCGCCGACTACCCCTGGGCCAGACTATGGGCCCCACGGGGTCAGTCAACAAATTAAGGGGCGGTTGGATGCCGTGGAGGAATTTTACGTGAGTTGATGGAGTGCTGCGTCCTATGCCGTCAAGCTAACAACTTCGCAGAAAGAGGCACTCCCGCAGCTCCAGTCGTTGGTCATTGTGCTCCTAAAGCAGATCACGGCGATGACTAGTAACTTAGCCTCGCCCCAAACTGCTAACCAGCAAGGTCCGCCCAGCGCGCGGCCGAATGGTGGCCAGCAAACCGCACCCAGCGGCCCGAACGGTGTCCCTAAGGGTGATCCATCGTCGCCGCTAGATGCGGACGTCGATGAGCTGCGGAGCCGAGAAATCGCCGCCAAGGCCGTGACTGGTACCTTGATACTGCTGCTGAAGTGGCTCAAGCTCTCCCATGTTCTCAAGTTCGAGTACATGACCCAGCTCCTGCTAGATCTCAACTATCTCCCAATGGCACTCAAGATTTTCGCCATGTACGATGTTCAGCAGGTCGTCGAGAGCAGGACAGACCGGCTAGAGCATAGGTTAGTTTCGTCCGACCCTCTCCCTTGCAAGGGCCAGTAATGCTAACGGCAACAGCTTCTTCTACTTCTGCGGTTCCCGCGCGGGCGTCATCCCGCCGCAACACAACGTCCCGAACCCAACAGCAACTGAATTCGAGGACATGAGCGACGACGACGCCGCGCCGCCGCCCATCAAACGCAAGCGCTCACCCCCCAACGGCCCCTCCTCCGAAACCGAGGGCGCCGACCCTTCTTCACCTCCCCAATCATCCGACCCATCCGCCACCACCTCAGAAACAACCGAAACCACAACCGACCCCCCTCCCCGGCCGGAGGTCGACGAGCTCGGCTACCCGATCAACCCGCTCCCAACAGAACCCATCACCGACTTCTCGCGGCGCAACTTCTTCTCCCTGATCAACTACCTGCGCATCATGCAAAAAGTGTGCAAACAGCGCGCCCACCGCAACCTGCTCATGGTGCAATACAAGTCCTCCAACATCCTGCGCAAGGCGCTCAAAGTCCCGCAGCACGAACTGCGCCTCTACACCCTCAAGCTCTTCAAGAACCAGGTGCCCTACACGGGGCGCAAGTGGCGGCAGTCCAACATGCGCGTCATCACGGCCGTGTACCTGCACTGCCGCCCGGAGCTGCGCGACGAGTGGCTCGTCGGCTCCGCCGTCGAGGACCAGGTCGACGAGGCCGTGCCCCTCGAGCAGGCCCTCCGCTCCCTCACCCACTGGTCCAACCTGCGCCGCTACCCGGACCAGATGACCACGGGCGGGAACGGGCCCGGTGGCGCGGCGCTGATGCGCCAGGCGATGCGGGAGGAGCAGGACTTTTTTGTGAGGGAGTTGGAGAAGGCCGACTGGAGCTGGCTTGCTGAGGGTGGTGGTGGGGGTGGGGCTGGAGGGGACGAGAGTGGTGGGGAGGGAGGCATGGGGTGGGAGGAGGGCGGTTGGGGGTGAATGGGATGCTAGTTACTGCCGGTGGTTAATGCGACAAGAGTGCCATGGGGAGAGACAGGGAGTGGAGCTGCAAAGAGGGTAGTAATGGTGTTGATAGCGTTGGGCTACCTATGTCAGGGTGTAAACGTGGTGGTTTGCTTCCTTCTATGGAATAGGCAGTAAACATGAAGAGCCAACTTGGGACTGTTGATCACTCACTCCATCAGCCGCCCTAGCTGCTACATCAGCGAACGCCAACCTTTTTCACTCAGAACATAGCATCGACTTTGAAGTTATAGGTAGAAGGAGGAAAAAGGATATCCCATTCATTTGCTTTATTTGCATCATAATCCATCTCATCATACATATCCCCCCTCTTCCTATCCCCTCGTGGGAGACAAGTCATTTCATGACTGGTATCTGCACCAATGGCGGAGGTCACCAAGGCATGGCCGGCAGACCTGCTTGTTCCCCATGCTTCCTTCCTGCCACGTGGATATGGCTTCGTAAGGAAAAAAAGAAAAGAAATACACCGCTCCGTAGAGCAGGCGCGAAAATGATCGTAGAAGAAATGTTACAATGCCCTCCGTGATATACCCAGCAACGACAGCAACTGTTGCCAATACATGCGACTTGCGCGGTGGTTAAGGTGAAAAGAAAACAATGAATGCCGCCGTTAACACCAAAAGAATAAGAATAAAAGGGGTGGAAAAGAAATGAAAAGTGTCGTCTCGACAGACTGATTCCCTAACTCCTCAACAACGCCGTCCAAAAAAAGACGATTAATCCCAAGTGCCAGATGCCGCTGGCACTGTATCGTATGAGGTGGTGGTGGGGTATTTGCATCAATGGGCCGTACCAAGCGGCGCTGTCTATCAGATGACCGACCCCTTAAACACCTAGAAAATGCTTCGCAAACAAGGCCGCACAGTTGTTATACCTGGTTTCCGGCCAGGTCTAGATCCAGTCGCCCTTGGCGTTCGTCATTGGCGGCGTGGTCTCCCCCGTGCCACGGCGCCGTGGCGGGCTCCGGGGAGGGCTGCCGACACCCTTTGGGCTCGGTAACCTGGCCTTGGTCGGGGAGCTGGGGCTGTAGAATTTGGGGCTGAGGGTGAACTCCTCTTTCGCCGGCTCGGCCTTGGGGACTTGGCTGTTGATTCTCGGGACAGGCGGGAGGGTCTTCATCTTGGCGTCTTTGACGGGGTCTCTTTGCGGCTCCTGGTCTACGATTTCGGCGGACGGGGTAGGGGTGGTAGAGCCAGAACCGACGGCTCCGGCTCGTTTGGGGCTTTGCGAGTCAAGGCCCGGGGGTGCGTTGGGGCAACCGAGGGTATGGACCACATGATCGCTGGCCACAACTTTGTTTTGGGACAGTGGAGGCATATCGGCGACTGAGGAGAGACGAAGGCCGATTTGAACAGTGGCCGACGACACCATTGATGAGTCCCTTCGGTGGCGCATGTTTGAAAGGTTGGCCATCGACGGCGGCGGCTTGAGAGCATCGGCGGGCGAGTACGTCGTGGCAGGCAGTAGCAGCGACGCCTTTGAAGACATGGTACCCCTCGGAAATAATGAATATGAACGTTTGCGCATGTGGGGGCCGGTAGTTGTCGGGGGAATGCGTGCAGGCTCTGGTGCCTTGGGCATCAGGACTGATGCCACGGCCGAAACCAGCCTGTTGGAGCGCATGGAGTCTGGGCTTCGTCTGCCATTCCTGAATGAGGCCGAGCTCATGCTCCTGCCATCCAGTGTTTCCTCCTCTTTCTCGGCGGTGATCAGACTGGCTTCGCTGTCCATTCGGCGCAGGCCCCGCGAGCCAGCCACTGGATTCATCAAATGGTTGTCGAAGTCGTCGTCGTCGGGGTCGTTGGATTGTTGGCGCTCGGCCTTGTACCGAGCTCTTCTGTTTTCGTACTCGGCAGCCTTGTCCCTAGGTCCAATGGTCGACGAAGTGCTAGATTTAAGGAATAGATAAAGCCCGCCGTTCATCAGCCCAGAGACGTTAGCCACGACCGAGGCGATCATGGCGAGGGTTGGGGCGTTGGTGCCTGGTCCTCGAGGCCTGTCCCTGAAACCTTGAACGAAGAAGAACGGAATCATGAATGACTGTAACAGGTAAGCGACGAAAGCCAGCTGAGAGCGATCAGTGGGTAACTTACGTTCGAGATGACTGCGAGGGCTAGATAGTATACCATTCTAGAAGCGGCAATCCTGGCGGTAACTTCGACATTGATGCTGCGGTGTAGACGAAGGAACACGGTCACGGCAGACGCGAAGATAGTGGACGCTATGGCGACTAGAAGACCAAAGCACATGACAGAATAATGGGAAATAAACCAAAAGAGGGAAGTTATGCAGAAATCCGAAGGCTGATCGAAGTTCGCGACGAGAAAGTTGGCGAGAACAAGCATCCAGGCGATGGAGAGGCAGATCGAGACATTGTATTGTCCTCTGGGCGCGAAGGGGTTCTTGCGAAGGGCTCTGCTGGCGATCTCGACACCGAATACAAGCTGCGTGTAGGGTGCAATAAACACGGCTACCAGAATGTTAGCATGCAGGCCCTCAATCCGCTAGCGGTCACATTTAGCTTACCGGGGAGCATGAGCTGGGAGATCCATATACAGCCCCTGCCTAGAAAGTCGTCCAAGCCCGTAGACTGAACGCCGGCAAAGATGAAGCTTTGGATCAAGATGCCGACGGATAGAACAAGGGGAAAGGTTTCGGCCTCGGGAACAAAACTGAAGCCATTACGCCTAGAATCTGTGAGCGAGCGCCTCGACCCAAGAATGAGTAGCCGGGATCCTACCAGAACCTGAAGTTCCTATCGTTCCTCTTTTTCCGAAAGTACGATTCACACAAAATTCCCAGAGCGGTAGCAAAGGCGGCTATGATGTTGAAAGAGGCCAGGATGATGGCTGAGGTCCTGATGGATTTGGCGGCGGAAAACTTCAAATCATTGAAGAACATTCGCTGGTTGGCGAACTGGGTTCGGTTGAAGGCAGTCCTGGACCTGTTGAAGTCGCCCTGGCCCATAAACCCCGTGTTGTCGTCCCGCGACTCCAACCACCCGACGCCCCCCGCGACTCCGGCATATGGATATGGCGACATTGGGCTGATTCGGCTGGGCAGCCACGAGGCTGGCGATGGCGATGAAGCCGTGGTAGCGCCTTACAACTCTTCTGTCGTTAAGTCATCTAAACCACGTCGATCTCGTAGACACGTCGTCGTCCGATGGGCAAGGTAGGGAAAGGAAAGAGTGCGGCAAACAGAGGGAGGAGGAGGTGCAGGGCAGAGTAACGTTAATGGCATCATCCCAAGGGCCATATCATGGCTGAGCAGGGGTTGGCACACACCTTGAGCACAACCACGGGCCAGACGAAACAGTGCCTGAGCGAGCCAGAACCTGCTTGCTCGCCCTCCGACTGGGAATTGCAACAAGGGCCAGGGGATGACGGCTGGGTCGAGAACGGGAAGCACGCACCCCCCCTGGCAGTGGGGTCCCTTTCCAGAAGACACCGGATACTAATGCCGGCCAAGACGCATGAAGCTTGAGACAAGCACGGGCAGCCCAGCACTACTCCCCCCCGCGCGGTGGCGTTGCTGTGCCACGCTTTACCCAAACATCTGGACGAAAAGCTGGGCTCTTGGAAGAAGTTCCGGGCGCTGAGATGAGCCGGAATCAACCCCAATTTCTCGAGGTTGGCTCCCTTTGCCCTCCTACACGGGACGAATACACGGCCTTAGAGAAGCCATCAGTCAAGCACATCCATGAGTGCCGAGACGGGTGGTGGCGAACATGGAGCCTGTCTCAAGACGCGATACGAAGATGGAGGTTTGGTGAGTGTGGGAACGGTCCGGCCGAAGTAGGTTCCATGGCAAGGAACGCAACGCCCGGGCACTCTGGTAACGGTAACTGCCCGCGGTGAGCAACATCGTGCCTTCTTGGCGGGGCAGTGCCAGGAGTGTGATTTTCTAGGATGCGATGGAAAGAGCTCGATCCGGTGTCGAGTCTTCACTGTGGCAGGTTCGACCTCGCGATGCAAGCTCGACAAGCTCGGCAAGCTCGACGGGCATTGGCGGGGAAGGTGCCAGGCATGAGTTGCACCGTGCTGTTGAGGCAGACCTGTGACAGCTCCAGGTTTCGCTTTCCTGCAGGAACCGCTCTTGGCTCAAGCTCCTGTGTGGGGCTGCAGCCGTCAACGCCAAGCTCCGGAGCTCAGGCAGGGATAACCCTGGTCGCGCATCAAACACCGAACCTTCCTTTCACGTCAAACCTCAACATCCAAGACGAAGGTGACGGCTTCCTCCGAATAGTGACAGAAACTCACACTCAAATTCGGCCATTCTGAGCTTCTCTGTGCTGAAAATCTTTTGTTCATATTTTTCTTTCCAATTTGCAAAGGATAAAAAGGTTGGTTTTGAGGAGGGGATGCTAACAGTCCTGAAGATCGCGTTGATTGTATAGTACATGCATGTATAGACAACTTTTCTCAACGGTCTCGAAAACATAAATAATCCGGCAAGAACAGTGGTATGTACACAAAGTCAATCCACCTGTTGGATGGGCTGCCCCCATCTCAAGATCGTGTTCTCGGCCTTGATGGACGACCCACCGTGGCCCCCTCCGCTTCCACGGGCTCCGGACGGCTTTCCGTCTTGCGGTCCATCTTGGAGAAACATTCCGACGGAAAACCGTCCGATGAGCATCTCCTCAGTTCCCGCTAACCCCCCCCTGACATACCATGGCGTCGCCCCACGGATACTTCTGTTCGGAGACCACCGTCCACTCAGCTTCGGCCGTTCGCCATGGCAACACAACCCCTTGTATCAAACCTCCGGGAAGCCCACTTCCCACAACTTAGTGTGCAAGGGCCCGACCCCATCCAGGGGGCCTTATCGCCACATAAGCACTGGGCTTCACAGACCAATGTACACAGCACGCTGCCCTCGCCACCAGCTTCAAGTCCTTTGAGGAGGAGCAAGGCAAAAACAGTTCTTCCTCTAGGAACAGAGTTGAACGTTTGAGAGCCCATCCCAGCGATACCACTCTAATTATGGACAACGGGAAATTTATATGTCGGACCTTTTGTATGTAAGAACGGTTGTGCCCCAGCACTAATACCGGCTCGGCCGGAAGTGACCGAGGACCGGAGAATATGACAAGCGCACGGTCGGGTCTGAGGCCCCGCCACCTTGCTTAAGGATGACAGGGACCCCGAGTCATCCTCTCCAGCGGCCTCCATTACCTGTGGGGGAGAAGACCAAGCTTCAGGGCATGGCCGAGAAACCTGGAAGCTGATCGTTCCGTGATTACGGGATTCTTAGACAGCAGCCAAGCTTTTCTTTTGGCTTGGGGTTGCCTCTTTACACAGCATCGTGTTTCCCAGTCAAGGTCAAGTCACGTCCTCCCACAAAGTGGTTAGGTTTAACCAAGTCGGCGCCCGCCTCTGCTAACTCTCATACACCGGCAGCCGTCCAAAGATAGGACAACCTTTTTCATCATGTCCCCATCCCCCCCTCGCGACACACGTCATGCACGGGTTGAAAGTCACCAGTTCTTAGCTTCGTTTACTATTTCCATCAATCCCCTTAAGAGTTAAGGAAACTAGATTTGTGGCCAGGAAATACAATACCCCTCGTTATTCCACCATGGCCCGCCCTCACACTGGGGATCAGGGTATTGATCAAGCTGAGGTAGGGAAAGTAATTGAACAGGGTGAAAGGGGGTATTGGGTGGTGGTTCTAAGGGGCGACAGGGTTAGGGTTCGTGGCTTGATTCAGGGGAGGCCATACCACAAGAAAGTTGTCGCAGGTTTGAGTTGGGATGGATTGTGTGGCTTTCGTTCGCTTACATATTCCCAATCCGTTTATGAGGGTGGCTGGGGCGCTAAGATATGGGAAAGCAGCCCGCCGCTGCGGCCCGAACCCCATGCAACCAGCTGTGATCCGAGCCACCAACATGCATGAGGCAGACCTGCCAAGGCGTGAGGTTAACCGCCAGCCACCAGCTGAAGGCCGCCGGCCTCAGTCTCGAGCCTGAGACCGTTAAAAGGCGGGGGAATTGCTTTGCTTCCATCGGACGTGGAGGCGCTGATTTACTATCTCCAACCGGATGTAATCTAACCGCCAGGCCCATAACGGAGAAAATGAAGATAGAAGATCTCGAGAAGAACGGCATCGTCTTGTCCGAAGAGCCAGCACCCGAGGGATCTCTGCCCCGGCACATTGAGAGGGTGCGGTCTTTCTTGTTGGACTTTGCTTGCACACTTGTCGACGGCCTAGACGACGGCGACGATGACGATGTCGATTGTATCGAGGACGTTCTCGAAGGCCTAGATCTCGGACCGGTCGACCGTGACCTCCTCGACAAATACAAAATCATCAGAGATGATGCTCGGATCCTCCACTGGGGAAAAGACAGGGAGGCGGAATGGCAGACGTTCTTTTGGTACAACTTCTTCCGCCCGCTGGTGGAAGACGCGAGGGTAAAGGACGAGGATACACGGAAGTAAGTCTGACTTCATTTGATGTCACCGTCCTAGTATTCCTGCTGACATCTACAAGCACCGCGCGTGCCAAGTTTTACTACGAGTCTTTTGAAAGGTGGGCTCATGAGCCCATATCCAAGCGGCGAGTATGACACGGTGCTGACGCTATTTAGCGCGCAATCCCGACCCTGGACCCTGTTCAGGAAGAAAAGAGAGGACGACGACAGGAGAGAGAAAGGGTTTCGTCAAGATGACCGGGCACATCTGACCGAGCCCAAGCCGGACTGGGTTGCCTTCTTCCCCATCTATAACTTTCCAGGCGTGAGGATACCGACGTCGAAACGATGGCAATTGATGAAAGACCCGAAATCGGTCATCGTTGAGAACTTCTCACCCGCGACTCTCCAACACCTAGCTCGGTACGGGGTACAGTCGAGCACGGCCAACATCTTTCAGAAAACAAAAAGCCTGGAGGATGTTGTCCTCTCCGATTGCCTCTGCTTCCCTTGGCTTATTGTTGAGCACAAAAAGGCAGGTGAGATGGCGCTGGAAGAAAAGTGCCACTGCCAGGCGGCCAACGCGGGGACAGCCGCCGTTATGATGCTTGAAACCCTGACCAGGATTGTTCCTGGGGTCGAAGAGCATGCCGCCAACGAGTACATTCCACCCGTTGTGACTATGACAACGGTGGATAAGTTCGTCCGGGTGTGGATCACGTACTGCTGCGAGCAGTCAGACGACGACGCCACGAAATATGTTGGTAGCCCTGTTTAACCCCCCTTTCTTCTTGCTCGCAAAACACCTCCCGCTAACGGACTTGTAAAGAGGATGGACTGCGTTTGGAAAGGGGACATGACGCTTGTCTCAGATCTCATCAAGTTCCGCGCCATTCTTGAAAACGCGCACACTTGGGCCATGCGTGAGCAGCGCCCTCGAATCTCGGCTTACATCGACCTATGGAAATACAAATACCCGACGGGGAGTGAGATCGAGAATGATCGGAGCAGTCTGGCTCCCTCTCTCGCCCACTTGAGCCTGCGCTCCCCTCCTCTAGCCCCAACCGTGGACGAGCAAACGATCGGGACGGTGGTGCCATTGCTTGATGATGGAACACTAACCCAAGAGCTCTGGGGTCAATGGACGGACACTGAGGATGAACTGGATGGTGAATATGAACCGAACAGTGAAGATGAACTGGAGAGTGAAAACAACATCGACGCTGAAGAGGGCTTGGGTAGTCAAGAGTATGAGGAGAATGAAGCGGACGTGGAGAATGAAGCGGATGTGGAAAGTGAAGCGGACGTAGCAAGTGAAGAGGATCTGGAAACTGAAGAGGATGTGGAAACCGAAGAGGATGTGGAAAGTGAGGAGGATGTGGAAAGTGAAGAGGATGTGGAAACTGAAGCAAACCTGGGCGCTGAAGAGGACCGTGATAGGGAAGAGGCCCTGGGTAGTGGGGACGAACCGACGGAGGACGGATACCCAGAGTCGAAGGGGCTAACAGAGGAGGAGGATGAATTAACAGAGGAAGATCCAACGGATGACGAACCATTGACATGGACGGGGACGTTGACATGGGAAGAACAAACGACCGAGGGCGAACCGACATCGGAGGAGCCAGCAGTAGAAGAGTTACCGGCACCAGGAGAGCCGATAGCACGGGAGGAGCCCGTCGGGGAGGAGTCAGCAAGCAAGGAGCCAACATTTGACGAGCCATCATCAACAGCCAGGAGGTGGGCAATCTCAGATCGACCAGAAATACGAGACGAGTCCGTACTGGAGGAGCCGCCATCGACTCCTCCGCGGCCGCTGCATGGTAGGAGCCCAGGACCTCAGCCTCCTGCGAGCCGGGTTCTCCAGGAATTGGCGTTTGGAGCAAGCCTGCCGGGGCCATCTCACCAAAATACCGGCCCTGGTAGTGAATCCAACCAAGCCAGACCGTTGCCAGAGACAACCACACAAGTTGGCGCTGCCCGACTAGGAGACAAAAAGATATTCAAACAAGGCATTTATCTGCCACACCCCAGGTTACCAGGGAAAAGAATGCGGGTGAAGCTACCGGACCCGGACCAACGGCAAATCGCGCCAATGCCCTCGAGATACGCACGCTTCGATTTCAGGTACCCACGGTTCTATCTCGGACCCCAGCCATCGACCCAACCCCCAACGATAGACAACGGGATTCGACTCGAATTCAAGCCACCCCCAACCTCACCCCCCGATCCCGGACGGAGGATAGCGGTAAACCTATCCGACTTCAACGACGGCCCATTCAGCAATTTCGCCGCGTCCGCCACGCCCCCAATACGGCTGGCCAACCTTGCTCCTCAGGGGATGTCGCCCACCCCGCCTTCACTCAACAACAACAACAACAACAACAACAACAACAACAACGCGGCGGCGCCCTTGGGGCCACCTCCGGGAGGGATATATTCGGACCGCCCTGACACCCCACCTGCCATCGGGGGGTTCTTTTCCATGCTGAGCGTGCGGGCGGCCCTACCGCCGACGCCGGAGCCGACGCCCGGTCGGGGGAGGAATAAGCCGCAGTTTAATTCATCTGTTTCGCCATTCCTCCATTTTACACCATCGCAAGCGGCAAGCGAAGCAAACACGGAAGAGCAAACACATCACAGATCACAGCATCTCCAAGGAACCCAAAATATTGGTTGACAACGAAACAGTCGATTCTGCCTAGCTAAAAGCCAGATTGATTCCATTGGGGGGGTATTGTGATGAAAATCGCAATCCTCTTCGTCCCTCTCTCCCAGCCCGAGAACCCGGAACCCGAAAAGAAGAAACCAGGGGGTGTTGTGTTGTGCAGGTAATTAAAATCAAGACCTTATTCCCTCCAAAGCAACGCCTATCCCTCCTGTTCCTCCCCTCTCCCTCAAATCAAAGCCCCGAGAGAAAAATCATCATGATGATAATGGGAAATTAAATCGTGGACTGGCTTTGGCGAGCGGGATTGTTGGTTGGAAGTTGTTGGCCCGCTTTGGTTTAGTGGGTGATGGACTGCTTGTTGGCCTCGGCCGAAGCGTCGTGCTTGTGCTCCTTGGCCTTGTCGCCGATGGCGTCGCCGGCGGCTTCGAGGCTGGATGGTGGTGTTAGTCAGGTTGGGGTGGGGTGAGGAGTGAGTGGGAGAGGGAGAAGAGGGAGAGCTGGTGCTTACCGAGTGCCGACGTTGGCGTTGTTGTCCTTGGCAACCTCCTTGTTGGCCTCCTTGGAAGCCTCGTGGGTACTACCCTGGAGCTTGTCCGAGACGTAGTTGCCGGCCTGCTTGATGGTATCCATTTTGGTGTTTGGGGTTGGAGAAGATTGGTTTGTGTGGAAAGTTGTGATTGTTTGTTGTTTGAGATGTCTTGGGTTGGATGAGAGTGTGATGATGCTGATGAAGAAAGGGAGATGGCTTGAGTGGTGGGAGGAGGGATGTTATATAGACGATCTGTTCCTCCTTGGGCTTGATGTTCCCCTCGGTCTGTCAGTCATTCTCATGCCATGTGCACATGCAAGACATGGAAGAGGTCGGTTGCGTGTACATCAACGACGTCATACAAGCACTGTTGAAAGCCGTTCTATGGGTGAAGTCTGGTTCTTGGTGGAGTGATTGGGGAGTTGTGGTTACTTCCAAGTTCAAGCCGTTAGTTTCTCGCCCCTTTCCATACCACCCATACCTTGGGTGGCCGAATCACAGCTCTTGCCTGTCCATTCTCACAAAAAGCCTATAGATGACGTTCTGTAAGTGGGCTGGTGGGGCCGGAAACGGCAATGGACCAGTGTCGAGCCGGGGACGATTCTCCGGTCTTCAGCTCCCGATTCGGAAGTGACGCAATGTGGGTCCTTTGCGCCCAGGGGAAGATGAATGATTGGCTTACTTGGTCAGCTCCCCTGCAGACTGACGCCATCTCCAACTCTCCAACACCACACTGCCACACCAAGGTACCGCTTACTTGGGCCCAGAACCACGGCGGCTGTGGCGCAAATCTATGGGCCTGGTGTAATGCAACAACATCAAGCATCTGAGCGAACCAGCCACGACGGAGTTTTCTCCTCGGTCGTATGCACAGTCACAGTATACCACATAGCTGCATGTTTCGTGCATGTGGGTGGTGTGTAACCCGGCTGTCCCCGGGCAACACCCCCTTGGAACTCTTGGAAGGGGCAAACAAACCTCGATATTGCGGATGTTACCGTTCTCCATCTCCCATTTTTATCGCCCCAATCGTCCGAGGCTTGCCGTTGCAATCTCAGGGCAATCTGTGCGGCCGCCACCGTGTTCGTCCTTCTCGGCCTTTGCTTGTTGCACGTCTTGCGTAATCTGCTCCCCCGGCCCGTTCCTGCCAGACTTCGGAGCTCGCCATGATCCGATTGCTTGTTTCTTTTGTACCACGGCTCGCAGTACTGGTTCCGTGTGGCTAGCCGGCCCCTTAGCCGACGACGCGGCCTTGTGCTTGGGTGGCGGAGGGGCCTCTGGAGAATAGAATACCCTAAGCCCGTAAACAAACTGATGTGTTACGGGTGACTACCTAACACAGTACCTAGCCATGTGCCCGTCCCTGTTTCATGTCAGGCTGCCTTCCTGCCACGAAGTCGTAATCCTCGTGGTCTTGTGTCCGGCTGAAGCGTTTGTGCTAGGCCAGCGGAGCCCAGGGCGACACAACAAGGCAGCTTCTCGAAGCCTCACACCACAACCGAGAGCTTTACTTAGCTTACGAAGCATGGGGGTCCGAGGGGACCTCCTGACTAGATATTGAGAGAAAATTGTACTTGGGATTCCGTTTCACCCTGGGCTTTTCGGCAGAGGACCGAGAGCGTTACGACGAGGATGATGACGATCCGAAGAGAGGGATACGGTCCCTTATGTCGAGACCGGCCGTTTAAAACAAAACAACGGGGCCGGGGTTTTGTGCCTAGGTAGTCAAGGCAAACTACCAAAAAGAGGAAATCTGTAGCTCAAGCTAGCCTGGTGGTGACCACGGACCATGCCGTTTGAACCCGGGGCAAAGTGGGCCCCGGGGTTGATGGCGTGATGGCCCGGGCCGGAGACGCCACCCGGACCGGCAGACACGGAAATGCCAAGACCGGATGACACCCCGACCTTTTTCGTTCCTGTTTCTCTTCAGAAACTTTCCATGATTGTATTCGTAGGCTGGGCCAAAATTGAGTCGATCTTGAGCCGATTCGTTTCTTTATCTGATCGACCGAGAAATAGTCAATTGTACGTCGGAGTTGCGTAAAAAGGAAAGAATAAAGAACCTCAGCAATAATTTCAAACGGGTGGAGTGGGTCGGCCTCGTGTTTTTCTGGGACCGTCGTTTCCTCAAGAAAACTAACCAGATTGATCAGGCACAATCACCTGCATCGAGTGGAATTGGGCAAACGGCGTGCGCGTAGCATCTATTTTAAGTCCGGTCCTCAGCGAAATGGAAACATTCACATCCTTAGCCGACCGGATTCGAGACGCGTTGACAGCCCTGCCCACCGCTTCGGAGCAATGGGTGCTGGGATCCTCGAGCAACAGGATCATCAACGCGTCGGCGTTGCTCGCTCTGCTTTCTTCGGTCGCCCCCGCTGTGCCGGCCGTCGCCAATGTCACGCTGTATCAGCCTGGAATCCCCATTGCACCGTCTCCTCTGCCTCCGCCCGCCGCTTCCTTCCAAGCCGAGGAGATCATCCGCCAGTTTGTTGAGCTCGACCGGTCTACGGAATGGCATCTTACCCAGCGGATCGAGTTTGAAGGGGATACCTTCGAGCCGGAGGGCATCGCGCGCATAGCTGACGGCTCGGTTGACGACTTGGATGACGTCCGGTATTTTGTTTCTGCTGGCGAATGGACTGTCCCGAGGGCAGCAGACACCCACGGGGAGGGGTTTGCTCACATGCTCGTGTTTGATGGAAACGGCCGACGCCTTGCGGATGCCGTGGTTACGGAGCCCGGCGCGCTTGAGTACCACGGCGGTGGCATTGAATACGACGGAACATACATCTGGACTACTCTTGCTCAATACCGCCCCGATTCGACCGCCACCCTCGTCCGGATGCGCCCGGGCACCTTGCAGCCGGAGCCCATGCTTAGGATCGCTGATCACATGGGAGCCGTGGTCCACGATCTCTCCACCGGGGACATTCTGACTCTCAACTGGGGCGCCCGCAGCGCGTCTCTCTGGAATCTGAACTACAAGCCCGCCATCCCGCCCGCCTTCACTGCTCCGCGAGCCGTGATCAAGAACCCCAGCCACTACACCGACTACCAGGATTGCAAGTTTCTGGGCCACTCTCAACAATACGGGTTTCGGCCTGTCATGCTGTGCTCCGGCATCACGAACCTCTATGGCACAACCATCGGCGGGGTGGCCCTGGTCGACATGCGGTCCATGGTTCCCCTGTATGAAGTGCCGCTGACCATGGTGTCCGACCGTGGTGTTCTAGTGACGAAGAACCCGATGGATGTCGCCATCGTCGATGGCAAGCTGCGGCTGTTCTTTCTGCCCGACGAACGGAACTCGACGCTCTACGTTTATGAGCCTGCTGTGCCCGCGTAAGATGCCTACACCGACGCGCACTTCATCAGACCTCGATAGCGCATCCCCGTGGCCAGAGCTGTTGCGATTCCGGAACCTCGCCCAGATCGGGCGCCCTCGGTCATCGATGTGGTCGTCCAGTGGGATGGGGATGGCAATATCGTTGTGCACCCCAGGAACAGAAGACGCCGAGCTAGTTCTCAACCCTTTCGACCCGAACGGAAGTCCTCGTCACAAATTCAAGGAGTGGGTATGAAGGGATCCTCGACGGTCAGTTCCCAGGGCGTTAACGGCGTCCGGGGCTTGTGATATCCGCCGATTAAGGTTACCAATGTGGTGCTAGTAGAACGGTGGCCGCCTTCGGAGTCCTGTCGTGGCGGCTCTCTCTTTGACAACGTTGTATGCTCGGCCCGCATGGGGCCTACCAATCGGTTTGGATGGGACGGGATCAAGGGGATTGGCTGCAGCGATTCGGTTGGTGACCCCGCCGGCGAGGTCAACGAACATGCCAGTCTAGCATGCGTGGCTAGCGACCTCTCCAAGAACCCGGCCGACTCCAAGACCCTGTTTGCTCACGGCTACACCACAACCGCCATCACCTACCGCGCTGGCTCCCAAGTACAATTTTGACTACTCGTAGAGGGCCACGTACCCGGTGCTCGTTAATGGGGCCTAACATGGTTCTCTCATGCGACAACTGTGGGTTTCCCACCGCAAACATTCAGCTTTCGGGCCACATCATCATGACAACCCGACGTTTACAATGGGTACCAACATGAAGCTAGCGCAGTTCGCGCCGTTCGCGCCGTCGGCGGTTAGTTTGACTGTCAACATCTACGAGCCAGTCCCGTTGCCGCCGGCTATCGCTTCCAGGACCGTCGTGCGGAGGCTTCCGCCGCAACCGCCCAGCAGCCCTCGGGCCCCACGATCCAACCCTCTGCGTCACCCCAGGATAGGTATGCCTAGAATAACAGGAGTGCAATCAGAGAAAAACAAATAAAACACGGTAAAATGACGACAGAATGGAACATAGAGCAGAGATCATGGGGAGAAGGAGGCTATAATTAGGGATCAAAGAGTGGTACTTGCAAAGTAAACATGAGACTCGGTTCGAGGAATGCCCTCGGTCCCTTCGCTGGGCGGGCACGAGAGGGGTCCAGGGGAGCCAAGCTCTGAAGGCACGTGAAGGCCCCACTAATTCCCCACCCCCACCCAACAGGATGGCCCTTCCTGATTCACCGCCTTCGTGGGGTGCCGAGGGGCAAGAGCGACAAGACAAACGGGGTAACGTTATGGCTTTGATGGCCTGAAGAACAAGACATGTCCTCGAAATCTTTACAAAGCACCTTGTTATACAGTATTTACCATGATACGGGGCTTTAACCTCTGAATTTAAAACGACCCCTCCAACTTTGGTTGTAGAAGTGAGCCTCAAGCCCGCTTTGACAACCCAAGCGAGAATCTGTGAATTCCCCCGATCACTGCACTGCGTCATAGGCTGTATCGAATCTTCCACAAGCTCCGAGGGCACACGACATCTGCCAAGGCACCTCAAAGCTCGAAGCCTTGCCGTTCGCCTCCAGCCGTGCTAGTGATAGCCTCCTCCATCATTCACACACCATACATTTTCCCCTTTTGCAACCCGAGGTCGAGTGTTTTGGACGTTAGGAAATCGAAACCCCCACGAAGCTCTAGACCAGACCTAGACCCTCCTCCCGAGCGATACCGGCTATTCGCCGCAACGAGCGACGTGCAGCAGCTAGATCACCTCTCCACACTTAGGACCTTCCAATTCGACATCGACAGCTCACCTGTAGCTTGCTGCGACCCGACCCGCTAGACGGACGCAGGACACTTCACTCCACGCATGACCACCCCGACCTACTCCTAGAACACCCGCAAGAAGAGTGTCGGCGATCAACGCGGCGACAAAGCACCCAGAGATCTTTCCCAAGACAATCCTCGCCGGCGCAAGAAATCAGCCAAGATGGTCAAGGAGACCAAGCTCTACGACCAGCTGAACATCAGTCCCAATGCTACGGCAGACGATGTCAAGAAAGCCTACAGGTAGGTTCACCGCCCCCCCACCTCCTCTTCTCCTCCCCTTCCACCCCCGCCTTCTTTCCTACCACTGCATCATCACCATATCTCGACTCCACTGCTAACTCTCAAACTAGGAAAGCCGCTCTAAAATGGCACCCTGACAAGAACAAGGACAACCCGGACGCCGCCGAAAAGTTTAAGGAGTGCTCCCAAGCCTACGAGATCCTGTCCGATCCGGACAAGCGCAAGATCTATGACCAGTTCGGGCTCGAATACATCCTGCGCGGTGGCGCCCCGCCGCCAGAGAGCACCGCCGCCGGCGGGAACCCCTTTGCCAGCGCCGCGGCTGGCGGCGGTGGCATGCCCGACGGGTTTGCTTCCTTCTTTAACTCCGGGCCCGGAGCCGGCGGCGGCCCGCGATACTCGGCCAGCTACAACTTTACCGACCCCGAAAACCTCTTCCGCAACACCTTCCGCGACAGCGGCCTGGGGAGCGACATGTTTGAAGAGCTCTTCACGGGGGCGCGGTCAACCGCGTCCTCGGGCTCGGGTACCGGCGGGGGCGGACGGCGCATGCGGAATTCGTTCGGCGAGGGCATGCGGCCTCCACGCGCGGCCACGCCCGAGGTGACGACGGTCGAGCGGCCGCTCCCGCTGTCGCTCGAGGACCTGTTCGCAGGCGTCACCAAGAAGATGAAGATCAAGCGAAAGATGTTTGACGACGACGGCAAGCGCACCACCACAGACACCGTCCTGGAGGTGCCCATCAAGCCCGGCCTCAAGAAGGGGAGCAAGATCCGCTTCAAGGGCGTCGGGGACCAGGAAGAAGGAGGCCAGCAGGACCTAGTATTCATCGTCGAAGAGGTAAGCTCACAACCCCCCACCCTCATCCCCCGTTGTCCCCCCCCCCTCACTCACTAACCAACCCCCATAGAAACCACACGCGCTCTTCACCCGCGACGGCGACGACATCGTGCACACAGTCGACCTCGAGCTGAAGGAGGCCCTGACGGGCTGGAAACGCACCGTCACCACCATCGACGGCAAGAGCCTGCACATCGACAAGGCCGGCCCCACCCAGCCGGGCTCCTGCGACTCGTACCCGGGCCTCGGCATGCCCGTCTCCAAGAAGCCGGGACAGCGCGGCAACTTCGTCGTGAAATACCACGTCCGCTTTCCCATGACGCTGAGCCCGACCCAGAAGCAGAAGTTGAGGGATATTTTGTAGTCCTTTTCTTTTCTTTCTTGAGGGGGATAGCTGGGTTTCGGTTTGGATTTTCTTTCTTGGTTTTTTTCTCTTTCTTTTTACGTTTGCGTGTTGTTGCACGTCATATTATATCACATTATATCATGAAGGGGCGTTTCGGTGTCGTGTGAGCATGCTATTCCGTTTGTTTCCGGTGGTGGTGAGTGAAGCTGGGGGCGGGGGTTGGTGCGGGGGTCGGTTGGGGGGGTGTTCTAGGGACGGAACGGAGGGGATGGGACCAAGGGGTGGCTAAATCTGAAAGACAAGGACAAAGATCGGAGGAGTGCGTTGGGGGGTTGGGTTGAGCAACGTTGGTTTTGCCTGCTTGCTTGCTTGGATGACTTGACTGGGTAGCGGAGTCGTTCGTTTTACGAGTGCGAAGATTGATGATCAATGAAGATGAGATGAGATGGCTTCCTCCATTGACTTACTTCTGAGAGGGTGGGGGTCGTGTGGTTCTGTTGTTTACTTGACAGTGCAATTAGAGAGAAACACGAAACTTGGTTGTTATAAAGATAGAACCTGAGAAGAGCTCTTTGTGAGAAGATTGTCGTGCAAAAGTTCCGGCCGACTACCTACTAAGTACGACAAGCCCTTTATAATGTATTGGATGCTAGGCCATTATGTTGGTCAGCCGGTTCAGATGACAGGCGGTCGGACAAGAAAACAGTTTGCCCCTTCAATGGTATCCCCGTGTCCATATATTAACCTGGTCAAGAGGAGTCACAAGAGGGATAGTCAAGGGAGAAAGTAGGAGTAGATGATGGTTAAGTGACTAGGGATTGCTTTATTTGCTTCCATTACACACTATATTCGTTTCCGAGGATTGCTCCCAGACAAGGTTTTCTTCTTTCCAGAGTCCAAAAACCGTTCTCTTCCTCGCGCGGCAACTCAGGGTGCATGGGGTGCATGGGGTGCATGATGCACCATCCCACACCGTCCCGCGCCTCTGTTTGACCATCTCCCGTTCCATTCCCAGATTCCGGATCCGTTTCGAGAAGGGATAACGCTCGCCAGCTTTGCTTTCAAAGATTTACTCGTAATGCGTAACGATAAGAAAGAAATATCGAAGTGAAGCTACCCAACTGAGACCCAAGCTCGTTCGTTTCGTGTGGTGTAGTGTTGTTTTGGCTAAGAAAGCCACTTTTTGTGAGAATCCAAGCAATGTAGATTGCTGATTTCTCGCTCATTCAGAAAAAAACAGGTGTAAAGGCAAATCCAGGCCTGATACGGTGGCGCTCTCGGCCACCGCCCCAATATCCACCACTTTTGGGTATATGAGAAAAAATATTGAAGCATAAAAAAGTCAATATCAACAAAGAACGGAATGGTGGATGATAGTTCGCCGCTACCAGGTGATCCTGGTAACTCTCGTCTTCAGGTCCGGCGTCCCCGTTTTGAGGTTCCTTGACCCGAGCTGTATCACGGCAGAGCGCTCGCGCAGATCAAACTCGACGGCTCTGACCATAACCCGCTTCTCTTCGGGGATGGGTATCGCCTTGCGTTGTAGCTCCGGGGAGCGGACGGAGGAGAAGGAGGTGCGAGTCGAGCTCGCGCCGGGAGACACCGACTTCTCCCACCGGCCATTGCTCATCTCCGAGTGCGTTTGCGACTGAGGGCTGTCGCCGCCGGTGGACGGGCGAGAGTGGGTCTGGACGGGGCTGGAACCAGGTGTGGGGATGTTGTTCCCGTAGCCCCCTCCAAACAGGTCGACGTCCTCCTCCTCGGTCTCGGCAATCCAGATGCCGATCCGGGCCGTCAGCTCGCTGTCCCACATGCCCTCCCTGCGGGCACTACTCCGCAGCAGCTGGATGGCCTGCCGGCGGATGTGCGGCTCGCGGCACTTGGTGGCGACGACATACAGCGGCGGGACGATTCCCAAGTCGGCACTGAAGCTGGGCTTGATGTGGCGAGCGGCATACTCGTGGCCGCCAAAGATGTCGGGCTCGCAGCGGTCTTGGTGGCGGCAGAATGTCGCGTCGGGGCACCGCCTCGCCGCTGCTCTCCGTTCTTCGTCGCCGACTACCTCGAGTGCGAGGTCGACGATACCCTTAAAGAAAGGGGTAAAGTTGTCAAAATGCATCTCGCTGTCGCTGAAGGTCATGAGGAAGAGGACTTTGCTCATGGTTTGGAACATTTTGAGCACCGCAATGGCGGCCTTCTCCTGGCTGCTCACACCGGGGGCTGTCCTGGATGCGAGGATGGGATCGAAAGCCTGGGACCAGGCTTCGATATCCTTTTTGAAGGAGATGCCGTAGTGCTGTAGGGATGTGGGTAGAACGCCCATGACGCCGTTCTGAGCGTGGGCGAACATGGTTTCGGTGAAGCGGAAGATGCGCTCGCAGAGCTTGTCCCAGGCCAGCCGGGCTTCCATGACGGATGCGAAGCGGTCCGGGAAAGGATCCTGGTTGATGCTTATCGGCGATGCGGCGTCTGATGCAGGCGAGGCAGGGTCTTGCCCCTGGCTCGAAGTCAGGCGCACAACCCAGGGTTGGGGAAAGTGGAAGGCCATGTCGTAGGATTTGGCTTGAATGGCCAGCCGGGTGAACATCTGTGTGAGCTCCTCCTCAACGGGCTCGTCGGACGAAGAGAGAAAGGCCCGCCTCCTCTCGGCACGCAGCTGCTCCAGTAACCCCAGCCCGGTCTGAATTTGGACAATGGCTTGTCTGTGGTCGCCAACGAAGGAATCGAAACAGGCCAAGAGCACGCTTGCCATCAACCTGGTACGATGCGAGGTAGACTCGGCCGTTTCGGCCTTCACCAACGAATTGCAGGCGTTAGAATACTGCCTGAAGGCCATCTCCCAGTGCCGCACAGCGGAGTCCGCGGGATCTCTGTCCGGGTAGGGCGATGTGGGCGGCGATTCGTTCGACTTTTCCAGCGTCTTGTATAATGCGCCCAGCGCGACGACAGCATGGCGAATTGCTGTTGCCGAATGGCACTCCTGCAGAACACTGCGGGTCCAAAAAGCCGAGTCGAAGAAGCCAGAGAGCTCGCTCGCCGTATGTTCACGGAACAAGTGGAAGTACTGGCCTTCCTGGTCACTAAACGGGAGGTCCATCGAAGGGTGGTACAGGATGTTCATGATATTCGGCGTACTCGGCGTCATCGGCGGGGTAGTAGTGCGTCGCTGATGGTATTTCGCGACTCGTCTCGGGGGAAGCTGGACGGGCTCGTGGTTAGGTGGTGGCGCACCCGCCGCCATGGCCACGAGTGGTTTTGGCGCGATCCTGATCGCCTCAGACGGCCTTGCGCTCCGAGGCGGGGGCGGGTAGCCAGAACATGTTTTCCCGGCAACGACACAACGGTGACACTAGTTTCCAACAAATGTCAGCCATTTGTTCTCTGGAGCTAGGGCGTGCGGTTTCACATACGGCTGGTCTTTGCTCATCGCACTTGATTCTCCGTTTCTTGCAATTGCTACAACCTGTCTTGACCTTGAAATAATTGTTAACGACTATTCGTAACAGTTAGCCGGGAAGCGTACCTTTGGGAGAGACTTTCTCGTCCTCGGCGGTGGAGCATCGCCAGAGCCATTGACGGGAGAGGATTGAGGCGGCGTTGTGCGCGAGGTCGACGCCATACTCGAGGGTTCAATTGCGGCTCACCAGCACGCTCTCTGTCTCTCTCCTACCCCTCGACAGTTCGCCCACAGTCAATTGCGCCGGGACTATTCTCTGTCTTTGTCGGCAACAATGAAAGCTCGTCGGCGAGTTTGTGATAGAAAAAGGTTCCAGGTTGTGTGGGTCTCCCCAGCTCAGGGATTGGATGGATGATGCGCGCGCGCGTTGGAAGTTGGGTCTGCTATAAGGAGTGGGAGTCGGCAAGACGACGAACCTTGACTTTAGAGATCGGTGTCAGGTCAAGTAGAAACGGAAGCAGTCGTCCAGCTGAGAGCTTCGGTCAGTAATGGAGGGGAAATTCGGAAGATGGGAGACATGGGGCGTTGAAAGGGCCGATCCGGGGCGAGGCTGGCCTTAAGCAGGAGTTTGGTCCCTTGTGACGGGCGGGTGCCCCCACTTTTTCCAGGGCCCCCGGCTACTTTTAGCGCAGGGGTCTCTCTGACCCTGGCTGCACATGCAGATTTCCAGGCTACCGACCCTACCTCGCTCCTACTATGTAGACCTACGAAGTAGGCGGACCAGATCGCGAGATTGAGAGCCGAAGAAAACCAGGGCAGCTAATAAATCTCGCAAACCGACGTTAGAACCTGCGAGTCTCTCTCGCCCACTCCCGCCAGCTTTCCCACCTTCGATCCGCGAATAATACGAGAACCCAGAGTGACAGAGTACAACTTCAAATGTGTGTTGTTGCGTGCTTCCGGTGGGCGCACGGTGCCACACGGATTGGCTGACGGGGTGGGTGGTGTTGATTGCCGAGATTCTCACTGGCGGCTGTTGCAGTTTGTGTTAGTTTGTCTAGTCTGGGAAGGTGTTTTCGTCCGGGGGACGGAGAGGCCGCACGACCGCACGAAATCAAGGCCATGGACAGATGGCAGGCACAGGCTAGTGAAGCTCCGCCCAACTTTGCGACTTCCAAAACTCAACATGACTCTTTTCCGACCCGGCCCAGACTAAAAAGAAGCACCTCGTATATGGTGCCTCGGGAGAGACATAGTTCGTTGATCGCCTCGCATGTCTTGCATGCCTCGTTTGCCTCGTTGCGCCCCCGCGAGCATTTCATAGCGCCACCCGGGGTCGACCGTGAGCCGACGACGGCAATGACGCAGAAGCCATCCATCCACGTCTTGTGCGGCCCCTCCATTTGTGCGATCGCAACTCCCCACCTTGTATATTTTGCAGCTTGGTAATTTGCTGGAGCCGCCGTGATGTGCGCGGAACCGTCACCCCGGTTTCCACCCACCTTCTTGGCCTGGCCGCTGACTCCGGTCCTGGACGCTGTCAGTGGTTACACAAAGCACCATGTGCCGCTCCCTTGCGTGTCTGGCTTGGTCTCTTCGAGGTCGCTCTCAGCAAAACACGCGTCGATGGCGCCCTCTTTCCAACAGCCGGTACCAAAAAGGATCCGGGACCCCTTACACAGTCGAAGAGACGTGGCCGTCTCTCGGGGTCTGGGTCTGCGGGGTCCAAAGAGAGAGAGGCACGGCCCTTCTGGTTGAACGGGCATGCCCCTCCATCTCATCAGCCCTACGAGGTGGCCCGCAGCTGGGGGTGGCCATCTGCGTCTCGGTTCTGCCGTGCTAATTGGTCCTGTTACAGACCCGACCGAATCCCCGCCGCCTCCCGCGTGCGGTCGATCGACGCAGAAGCATCCTTCCCATACCAGCAAAAGACATCATTTGCTGCCCCAGGCAAATGGGCGGAAGGATTCTCGCAGTCGCGAACTCAGCCCTGCCAAGCGATTAGCACCCACCCTCACCCTTCGGGTCGGCCATCGCCGTCTCACCCCCCGGTCCAAAGGCGTGTCGCTGGCCGCGGCAAAGCGGGAGTAAGTTGTGCCGTCGGCCAGATCGAAACTTGATACCTAAACGAGACATTTTAGTCTCTTTCACGCGGCGCCGGAGGAATTTGGGCTCTGTGCTGGGGTCGGGACGCTGAGAGCCAAGCATGTTTCATACCTAGACAGGGCGACCTCCTAGGTGAGCCCCATAGTTAGTTCGTCTCCCCGTGTCTCCCCGCAAAAGTGTTCGTCTTGCTCTGCCTCCAGTCCCAATGAACGTCATTCGGCGGCGGCGGCCTCAGCATCCAGAACGCGCTGCGCCACAAGCTTGAGACGAGGGGTGACATTGTGAGGTTGTTCTCTCGGCTCGCTTCAAGCAGGGGAAAGGCGGTGAACCCCAGGTGCGGGATGTTTGGGGTTTAGCGGCGGTGGGTTCTGGAACAGCCTTCCAGAGAGCCCTTCCCGCGGCAAGCGGCCAGCGTGGTTGCACAAGCATGACAAGATACATGGATGCCTTGTTATCGCCGATGTGTTGTCGAACAACGAAACATTCGAGATTAATAACGAGCCGAACAACACAACGGTCAACGGGTCACATCAAGCTCCCTCACGTTCGACACAGAAAAACCTGGAGAAGTCCGCCCATGCCAAGCCTGTGAGAGTTCCCTTTCGGACTCGTGCTTGTGGTCCCGTTGTGGAGTTGGGCTGTGCTGTGTGGCTGGCGGTCTGCGGGTTCCCGCTTCTTCGATTCTTTTGACTCGACACGCTCGACTCCTCCGCACGCAGGAATAACCACACACAACTTGCACCACGATGAGAGTCGATGCAATTCCCATGACGGGAACAATCACTGTCTCCGGTGAACCCCGGCCTCTTGTAGCGACAAAGTTATCCCTTACTACCTAGCTAAAATAAAATAAAACCCACGGACGCGAGTCATGGACGGCTTCTGGTGCCCGGAGACCCCAGGCGCAACGTGGTCATGTGTGTCACCCCAAGGGGGAGACCGATATCTTGGAGTCCTCCCCCAACCGCTGCGGGATGGCTGAATCCTTCCTGTCGAGCCGGTAACCATGCAAATTGCAGAGTCAGATCACAGCAATCGGCAGTGAGATCTTGGCGCAGAAATTTAATATGACCGAACCATGGAATTTTTCCGTTTCATCACAAAGCGAAAATAACATGGAGATACCAAGGGCCACAAGTTACACAATCGGACTCGCGAAGTAAACAGACGAAAGCGAGGAGATGAATGAAATTGTTCGATCCCTTCTCGAGCTCGACTCGACGATGCCATTGGCCCGCCTTCCCATTTCCGTCATTTCGGATGTCGGGCCCCGGCCCGGGCCTGGCGCTGCAAGTCATTCCCAGGTAGCAGCCCTATGAGAAGGGCCCCCACTCAGCCCGCCATACACAGTAAACCACCAACCATGAATGTCGGGATGGAACCTCCACTTTCTTCGACGCAGGAGAGGAGAGAGGTAACGTAACCAAGCAGCATCCATCACAACTCACCACTCACTCCCTAAGCAACTACCAAGATGCCTCCCCCAACACTCGACCAGGTCATCTTCCCCGAACAGGCCAACCAGAACTTCTCGCGCATTCTTGGCGACCTCAAGCGGTCCAACTTCATCACCAACAGGCTTGCGTCGATATCCCACGACGCCGCCTTTGTTGAGAAGGTTGCGGATGCGCTAAAGCTGCCACTCGTGTCGAACGAGCGGTGCGGGAGTTGGTATATCGATCCCGCCCGTAAAGCCGGTTCGGCCTACTTTAAGAGTACGGATGGGCATACCGGGCAGTGGAAGTTTAGCTCGAGGAGACTGAACCTGCACTTGTTAGAGTTGATTGGGGAGAACGATGGGTGAGGTTTTGTTTACTTTATTGTCAAGTTTTGGGTTATGTAGTTGTTCGTGTTACTTGAATTATCTCTATTTCCGTCCACCCCCGTGTATTTGTTGAGCAGTCACCACGATTCGAGTCCTACCAACAAATGAACAACCACTGACAGCGCCCATAGCTGCATCATAGTCGACTCAACCCGCAGAGGCAAACGTAAGTAACCCCCCTAGACAAGTCAACCCACCCCCTCTCCTTTTCCACCTCTCGTTCCTTATCCTTTCCCCCTTCCTATCCTCCCGTTCCCCTCCCCCTCCCCCCTCCTCCCCAACTCTCCAAACCAAACCCCCCAACCTAACCCCCCTCCCAGGCATGCCCGACGCCCTAAGCAAGACCCTCCCAACCTGGTGCGCCGTCCTCAACCGCGCCCTCTTTCCCACCCACGACGCCCCCAACAACAACCCCAACAACAACTCCAGCAACAACCCCTCCACCAACCCCTCCACCAACCCCATCCACGCCCTCTACACGCCACCCAACACCGTCTCCCCCTCCGAAGCTTCCCAAATCACATCCCTCCTCCCCCAATTCCTCACCACCTTCCACTCCCTCGCTCTCAACCCGACCCCCCTCCTTACCGCCCTCCACCACAAACCCCTCCACCCCCTCTTCATCACCCCCGAAGACGACGTCACCACCACCGCCGCCGCCCTAACCCACCTCCGCCGCTCGGGCTACAGCCCCATAGTCTGCTGCACTGCCTCCCGCCGCGCCGCGCCGGGGGAGGTCAGTGAGGTGGGCGGGGGCGGGTATGTGCAGGGGGCGGGGGACGACACGGAGAATTGGGCGTGCGGGCTGACGCCGGGGGTGTTTTGGCGGTGGCGCGGGGTGTTGTTGGGGGCCGGGGAGGGGGAGTTGCCCGGGTTGATTCGGGGGTTGGTGGAGAGGGAGGGAAAGGAGGTTGAGAGGGAAGGGAGGGGTGGTGGGGGGGTGAGGGAGGTTGTGAAGGGGAGGGGGGTGTTTGTGGGGGGGTTGGGGGCGGATGTTGGTGGTGGTGGTGGTGGTGGTGGTGGTGGTGTTGGGGAGGGAGATGGGGAGGGGGAGGGTCTGTGTGTGGTGAGGGTGTTGTCGAAGGTTACGGAGCGGGGGGAGTGGGTGAGGGGGAGCGGTGTTTGGAGGTCGGGTTGGGGAAGAGCAAGGCGGCGAGCCGGTTGTTGAGGGATGCGCTGCCGCAGATTTGTGAGTTTGTGTTGGCCTACCTGAGGCGGCCCGCGACGGGGGAGGCTGGCGCAGCGGAGAAGAAGGTGGTGGTGCTGTGCGAGACCGGGAAGGACTTGTCGGTTGGGGTCGCGCTGGCGGTCTACTGTTGGTGTTTCGACGACGCCGGGAACGTGCGGCAGGATGACAAGGAAGTGTCGTTCAACAAGGCCGCCATCCGGGTCAGGCTGGGACACATCGTCACAACGCTCCCCGAGGCCAACCCCAGCAGAGCAACACTGCAGAGCGTAAACAGCTTCTTGATGGACTGGCGAAAATGAGAATAAATAAAAAATGATTACCCCAAACTCTGCGCTATATCTATGATGTATGCTATGACCCAACATGTAAACCGAAAGCTTCCTCCAAGACCCCGAGAGAGCGTCTCTAAGCACACACCACCCACTAGGAATTATCACCAACAGTCTAAACCTCACCGCGCTCGACCTTGGCCAAGCACGCCTCGAACTCGGTCCAGTCCTCCATAATGATGACGGCACCGGCCTCGGTCAAGACCTTCACCATCTTCGCCCTCTCGGCCTCCTTGTAGGGGCCGACGTAGCCGATGACCTTGAGGCCGGCGCGGGCGCCGCTGAGGGTCCCACTCTTGCTGTCCTCGACGGCGACGCACTCCTCGGCCTTCTTGCCGAGCTTCTCCATGGCGTGCAGGTAGATGGCCGGGTCGGGCTTGCTGGTGGGCTTGGGCAGGCTGGTGGCGGCGGAGTAGACGTCGGTCCCAAAGTACTTGGACTGGCCGACCTTTTCGACGCTGGCCTTGACGCGGCGCAGGGCGGAGCTGCTGACGACGGCGAGCTTGTACTTGCCCGAGGCGGCCAGCTTGGCGAGCACGTCGTCGGCGCCGGGGCACGACACGAGCTTCTCCTTGAGCTTGGCGATGACGACGTCCTCCTCGCGGAGCACGTACCCGTCGAGCTCCTCGTCGGTCATGGTGAAGCCGAAGCGCTTCTGCAGCGACACCATCATGCCGCGGAAGTTCTGGCCGACGAACTCGATGATGAGCGACTCGCCCGTGAAGGGCTGGTCGAGGGGCACCTTCTTGGCCGCGGCGATCTCGTTGATCAGGTCGGCGCAGCCCTCGAAGGCGAGTTCCTCGGACAGGACAAGCGTGTTGTCGCAGTCGAGGAGGAGGGTGTTGATCTGGGGGTGGTGTGTTAGTAGGGTTGAACGAAGGGGAGCGCAAGGCAAAGGCAAAGGCAAAGGCGCGAAACAATAGATGGGCGGGTGGCCTACCTTAGACATTGTGACGGTTGGAGGGTTTGTTCTTGACAATTCTTTGATGGTTACCCTGAGAAATGGCGTCGAAGTCGTCGAGTTCGAGTTTTGTTTTTGTTGAAGCTGGAGTTGGAGGAGACAAAAGGAGTGGGAATGCGCCAATTGAGTCTAAAACTGCACAAATAAATACCTCGCCGTTTCCTGGCCCCTCCTCTGAAATACCCTCCTTTCCGGACTGTGCCTGGCTCAAAAACGACCTCGCGAATGCGAAACCCAACACCTTTGCCGTGCCCGTTTCGTCGATAACCCCTCCATTGCCCAGGCCCGCCCGTCGATCCTGTGTCGTCATTAGTGGGGCGGTCCCTGGGAGCCTTGAAACGGGCCCAGCGGCAGCCTATCAGGGCGTCGGAAAGGCGCCCAAAATTAGCGGGCTGCCGTTGGCGAGATGCCGTTGCAAAGAACGGGAGGCAAGGGGCCCGGGGACTTCTGGGCATTTCGAGGACCCCTCTTTCCTCTTTGAATCTTTCAATAATGCCCTCGCGTTTTCGTGCCGAGAGAGCCGGCTGTTCATGCCGCCTGCACAGTAGTTCACGAATATGCAGGCAGCGCCTTTTTTGGTCATGAATCAACTCCAAACAGCCTCGAAGCGAAAAGGCTGAAAAGCGTCTTCCAGGTTGGAGTGGCCGGCTCAGCCTCTCAATCTGACGTTCCAACTCGCTCACAACTCGAACAAGGTTTGTTGGATAAAAAGACAACTCGGAAGGAACGCCACCCACGCCGCAATCGTTCCATCCAGGACACGCCAGGGTTCTCGTGGGCTTGGCCTGTGGAACTCGGGATCTTGTTCAGATAACCGAAGGCCGATCCTCCTACCAACGCCGACTACAAGTATAAAACAGCGACCAGCCAACATCTCTCCGCCTAGCCCTTTGAGCCCTTCAGGAAGACAGCTAGTCTGGTGGACTTCTGGTCTCCGCCTTCTATGTCCTTAAGTGTCTCCTCCGGCACCCCTTTCGTCAACAACGTCAGGTTTCTGCCAGCATTCCATTCCCCACTATCCAGAACCTCGTAGAGTCCGGCCTCCCAGAAACCCGTCTTGCGGTAGATGCTCTCAGGCTTGACCCACTTCCAGGCTGGGGAGAGGCCATTGCCAAGGACTTTGTCTGGGTCGTCGTTGAACAGAGGAAAAGAGAAGAACCGTAAAGAAGAAGATTCTTGGTCAGGTACCTCGAGCCGGCCCATCAGGCTCGCAAGCAGTTGCGACGTCGGCTCTGGCCCGGCCGCCAGCCCCGAATCCTCAGGCAAGGCCGCTAGGAGTTCGGAAAGCCTCACGGCGATGTCGAGATCGTCTAGCACGTCGAACGTGCCCAAGGATGTGAAGCCTTTGATGATTGAGAGGAGGCGCGGCGGCAAGACGACCGTGGCCTCCACGTGTGAGACGGTCGGTGGCTTCCAGTGGCACAGCGCGACGGGAACAGGATCCGCTTCATCGGCCACGGGCGCTACGGCCAGTATCTCGTGCCGATGTGAGCATGTCGCCAGATCATAGTCGGGGGGGAATTCCTTCGGACGCGGCTGCTATGCGCTGTTAGTCGAGGCTTTAAGTGCAGGTTTGATGTCTCGAGGCTCCATGACATACGGTACTAGTCTCCGCCATGCTTCGTACGGCGTTGCCTGCGTCTAGATTTAATGTTTAACGGGGGTTATTCTTCGTCAGCGCCGGTATATTTATTGCATATGCCGGTTGATATATACTGGGCCACCTAAGTAGAGGTTGGGCAGTTAGCTTGGCGCAGTAAGGGGGTGGATGATGAGAATTGGATGATGGGATGTGGGATTGGCAAACAGGCAACACAGGTAAAGGAACCGGCGCCGGGATTGGATGGCGAACGGATATAACTGCCTTGATGCCTGCCGGATGTTGATCAACCACGTTGCTTATTGGATAGGTAAGTAAGGCAAGGCTGGCAAGGCTCCTTACGATGTTCAACACAACCACAACCAATCCGCTATTCACACCAACAAACTCTCTCCAGGATAGAGGATGAAGTACATCCTTGATAGAGAACAGTGAACAATATTTACTCTAAGTTAGCCCTTTCTCCCGTATTCACAAGTAGGTACCCTGATTAGATAGGTAACACATATTGGTGTGAGCCAGCTCACGAACATCCCTAACAACTTCCTTCCTTCCATCCCAACTTCACCCCTCATAGCACGTACCTTCCCGGCCACTCCCCCTCGCCCTCGCTATTTGTGCAATGGCCACACACTCGTTTCCCAACACCCAACAGGTCCAGATAGCGCAGCTGCGGGTGGCGGGACTTAGAAATATTCTCGCTCGGGAGCCCTTGCGGTTGCATTCCTTAGGTCCCCGGTTCGACTCCGAAGTAAAATCCCGACGTCGGATTTTCGTACTCGACTACCTCCTTTAGTGTAGGGGTTAGTTGACAAGCTTTTGGTTTTTACTTACCTACCTTTTATTGCCAGGCGAATAATGTGATGCATTTTCTTCCTCCTTCATGCCGACTTAGTAGAGTACCTATATGCAAGCAACACCTAGAAAACATGGTGTTTTGACATGGCACTTTTTTTATCACCACAGACCACCTTGACTGATATTGTTTTTTATTAGACTGTGCCCATTCAAACTCACGCTCCTTGCGGCGCAATACATTAATTACATACTGGTAGTCCGCTTCGCAGCACTCAACGCCTGGCACCCCATCACATCCCGCATCCCGCTACAACCCCCACCCTCACAACGGCGGCAACTCCTCCCGACAGATCGGACACTGCAACTTGTATCTAAACCAGCCCTCCAAACACTTAGTATGAAAGATATGCCGGCACGGCGTGACCATGTATGCACGCCTCGCCAAAACCCCAACCAGTCCCCCCGCGGCGGCCGGATCCTTCGCATTGGCCCTCACAACCGGCACCTCCAGCACCTCGGTACAAATCGCGCAATCAATCTCCCTCACCACCATGCCATGCCTCTGCAGCTCCTTCTCCCGCTCCCTCCTCCTCCCCCCATCTTCTCTATCAGCAGACCCCGCCGACCAACTCCTCCTCCTACCCACAGGCGACGCCTCCCCCTCCTCCAGCACGCCCGACAGCGACGAGACCAGGCCGATCGGCAGCCCGCCCGCCTCGACGTCGCCCTCGCGCAGCACCGGGTGATACTCCCACACGTCGGGCATCCAGCGGGCGGGCAAGCCAAACCGCGGGCCCAGCACGTCCTGCACGGCGAGCGCGAGCAGCTGGCACCAGACCCAAGCCACCAGCAGGAGGAAGGCGGTGGGGTCGGTGTCGACGAACAGGACGTTGTCGCTCCGCAGGTAGAAGTAGGCGAAGGGGATCAGGCGGAGGACGGATTGCCCCGCCATGAAGCGCCAGGCGAAGGCGCGCCGGCTGTTGCGCCAGACGTTGCGCCGGATCTGCGGGGTCCAGAGCGAGAGGTAGGCGAAGGCGAGCACGTGGAAGAAGATGGAGCGCGCGTGGGGGGGCCAGGAGAGGGACATGGCCGTGAGGAGGAGGATGCCGATGCCTAGGAGGACGAAGGTGCCGGTGATGGAGGCGAAGGCGCCTACGCGGGGGCCGGGGGTGGCGGTTGTGGTTGTGGTGGGGAGGGGGAGGGCGGCGGCGCCTGCGGAGGTGTTTTCGGCGATTTCGGCGTCGATGTCTTGGTCGGAGGGGATTATGATGGGTGGTGAGGGTGGTCGAGCCGGGGGGGCGGTGACCCGGGGGGGGAGCGTTCCCGGTGCTGGCGGGGTGGTTGAAGGAGGGGTGGCCGAAGGAGGGGTGCGAGCGGCGGCTGGGGTTGCTCGTGGGCCCGCCTGTTCGCGTCGCCGTTCCGGTTCTTGGTTTTTGTAGATCTCGGATAGGAAGCCCGCGCCGATCGACATGGACATGAAGGCGGCGAAGGTGAGCATGAGGGACGGCAGAAACGTGTTGGTCGCCGAGAGACTCCAGGCTGACGAGCACGCAAACACCAGCCCGTCCGCGAGGAGCATCATGCCTGCTGTGTGGAAGCTGATACGCCCGAGCGTAGAGGGTGTGTTAGACTCCTTCATCTGGGTCTTCAGAAGCCACAGCTGAGCCATCAAGACGGCAGCGAACCCAAACATCCACGACTTCGTCCGTGAGAGCAGGACCTCCGTTTTGACGCCAACGAGATGGTGCCCCTCGACCGAGGGGAACAGCGGCGGTCCCTTGGACTCGAGGTAGTAGCCGCAGTCAGGAGACCAGGCGACGAGCGACATGTGGAGATCCGGCTTCCCTCTCGAGGGCGCCCCGGTGGGGAACCGGAGCTCATTCTCCAACTGGTCGATCACTGAATCCAACTGGTTGTCAAGTCCGTCCTCGCCAATGTAGAATGGATCTAGCTGGTGTAGCTGCAGGTACATGACGTACTCGCAGCGCGGCAGCGGCATGGATAGCTGTTCTTCAACCACAGGCGTCCAGGGGTTGCTTGCATCCGAAAACCTGCTTCGCTCCTTCTTGCTGAGAACCTCGCCCAAGGTTTGGTTCAGAAGCTTCTGGCCCGTCTCGAAGAACTCCGAACTGGGAACGAGATGAGGCAGGCCGAACAGGCCCGCGAATTTCTCGCTCGTCGTGGTCATGAGAATCGAGCCTTGCCTCGGCCAGTGCACGCCGTGGAGCCGGATCGCGAAGCTGGATGCCAAGTGTGCCTCGTCCTGGATATTAGCCACGGCTGAGATCTCCCTCGCTAGCCCTCCTGACGACGGCTTCGTGCCCTCGGCCGCCTCTTCCTCGTACACGGTGTCACCGGCATCCTCTGACAGCCGCATCAAAATGCTCCCGTGCGAACCCGTGACGTTCCAGCCCCATTCGGCATGATCATCCAGCCAGTGTACCCCCGGAGCGATCGCGCTCAGGTTGTAGCTCCCTGCGTGCTTCACGACGGAGCCCGGGCGACGCACCCACTTGCCGTGGACGGTGCCGGTGGCATTCTGCCACGTCTTGCTGACCGTGCCGTGCTCCCAATCCCCGGCCCCCTTCGGCGGCGGATAGGCGTGCCGGCTCCACTGGTGGCAGCGGTCCTTGAAGTAGGCGAGATCGTCCCAGGCGTACCCATCGGCCTGGCGGAAGCCCGTCAGGTTGAGGTAGCGTGGTGCCTGCCACGGAGGGGCGCCATCCTTTGCTTTGCCGGGTGAGAAGTCGCCCCATTTGGTGCTGTTTAATATGCCGTGGGCATCTCTTAGGGGGCCGACGCGGGACCCGCCGAAGAAGGGACCTGTGATCAAACCCGGGGCGTCATTCCGGGACATGAGGGTCATGAACAGGATGACGAATAGGAACCAGACGCGCGCATTTTCCCGGGACACCGAAGGCATGATGGGCGAATGGGACCTCTATCGGCTCTTGACTCTTGAAGTTGATGAGTGATGTCGTCGTAGTTAAAGTGATAGGAGCATATTGAACTATCGATGGGTAAGAAGTGGTTGGAGTACCATGAAATGCGGTTGAACCCGGATTCGGGAACCTGGCCACTCGGCTACCTCATCGGTTTTGAGGTCTTGTGGTCTTCTATACAGTGTAATCCGGGTGTTTTCGAGATTATGAGTCCATAAATATTTGTCGTCGGATGGTTGCTGGTGGTCAAGTCATCTCACGTGTTTGCATGTTGAGATGTTGAAGGCAGCTTTCACATCAGGCCCTGGTCCCTGCCACAGTGCTGGAAATTGCCCATCTGCACAGTGCCCCGAATGTTGCTGTCAAATTCTTGGCACATCGCCCCCAACCCGCTTCGACGTTGCTTGGCCCAGCAACGAACAGCAGTGTCGCTCGTCCCTACGAGTCTTGTAAGCTGTGGTCTTAACTGGAGCTCAGCTACGAACTAAGATATATCAAGTTATAAGGGAGGATTGACGACCATGGCTTCAAACAATAATGATTCGTCTGCCGCGCAGGCAGCAAACGTGAGTTTACAAAGCCCAAAACAGACCTCCACAAAGGTAACTAACGACTAGCCATAGACCAACGAAGATGCTCGCGCCGAGTTGACGGCCCAAGTTGAGGACCTTCTTCACACCTTGTCCAACAAGTTCGCCAGCGTGTCGAGCGAGATCTTCGCTAAAAGTAAGTTCCTGTTGGGTTCGGCAGCGTGGGTGGAAGCTGACAGTGAGCAGTGGATGAAATGTCCCGCCGTCTTGATAACTTGGAATCGCAGCTATCGAACAATAAGAACAAGAATTCCGGATCCAACTGATGCCAGGGTGTAAAGAAAGTAAAGAAAGGAGGTCCGGATTGAGCGAGCGTGCGTTTCAGGCGGGGACCGGAGTTGGTTCGGGTTTGGGGAGCATGTCAGGAAGCAAGACCACTTTGACTATGAACCTAAAAACTCGCGTAGACCATGATAAGATGAGACAGTCATTATCCATACACTGCTGGCTCTACCTGCATGACAAGATGCATGCTGGCTTACAGCTCCTCCTTCTCCTCGTCACCCGTCGCCTTCTCGGCGAACTTACGGAGGACATTGGTCTTGCTCTTCAGCTCATCCTGCTTGGTGGGAGCCAGCCCACCCTTCCTGATGATGCCCTCCAGACGCGCAAGCTCCTTGGCCACATACCCCTCAGCCTTGCTCAGCTTGTCAAACACACGCACATAGTACTCGGCGTACTTGGCCTGCGCCTGGTCCTTGAGGTCCTCGGCAGTCTTCTTCGCCTCGGCCGCAGCCTCGGCCAGCGTGGTCCCGCCAAGCAGCTTGGCCACAATGTTATCGAGCGCCTCGACGGTGCCGGCCGTGGAGTCAACACCGCCACCGACGGCACGGTGGGTGCCCGCCTTCTCGTTCAGGAACGCGACGAGCGCCTCCTCGCTCCGTCCACCGTTGTAGTCCTCGGGGGTGGTGCTGCCGGCGGGGAAGAACTTGATCGTCGGGTAGCCGCTCACGCCATACTCGGACGCGGTGCCCTTGCCGGTCTCGGCGTCGGCGTCGACTTTGGCAATCAAAACATTGGACTCGGTCTCGAAGTTCTCGGCGATCGTCTCCCAGGTCGGCGCGAGGCTCTTGCAGTCTGCAAACTGTTAGCACAATTCCCTGCACCGCAGGCTGAGGAAGACCTACGTCCGCACCACGGGGCGGTGAACGCCACCAGGACGTTCTTGTCACCGCCAATCTGCTTCTTGAAGGTCGAATCCGTGAGCATGACCACGCTGCTGGGCTTGGCCACCTTCTTCCTCGACCGGACACCCGTCTTCTCGGTGATAAACTCGGACAGGGACTCCAGGTCCCGCCCGCCATTGTACTCGGTCGGCTTGTCGCTCTTGCCATCGAAGAACTTCAGCGTAGGGAAGCCCTGCACGCCAAAGCGCTTTCCGAGCTCCCTTTCGGCGTCGGCGTCGACTTTGGCGATCTGAACCTTGTCCTTGCCGTGCTCGAAGGCCAGGGCGAGCTCCTCGTAGACGGGAGCGAGGGTCTTACAGTGGCCGCACCAGGGAGCGAAGAACTCGACGAGGGTCGGCTTGCCGGACTTCAGGACCACGTCGTCGAAATTGCCGGGGACGAGGTCGAGGACAGCCGACTTGGCGGCAGCGGCGGCCGCGAGGCCAGCGAGCACGAAGCTCTTGAGCAACACCATGATGATGGTGAATGACGGGTGTGGAAGTGGACGGATTCGATACAAGGTGACGTCAATGCAATTCTAGGGATGATGGAACAACAGCAAAAAGCCACCAAGAACAAAACAATGGATGAATAAATCTGAAGCAACAGACGGTGTGGCAACAGACAAGGCAATGCTTTGAAATCGCGGCCAAAAGATGCCACTTTGCGCCCCAGCAACAGGCTGACAGGTGAGCTCACCCCTGCCATTGCTCCCGCCCCTGCATCCCCGCTGGGAGCTTACCGTGCAAGAGACTACTCTCTGCACTGTCTAATCCAACAAGCGGCCTCGCCCAATAAGGTATCAGCCACGCGCCACACCCAACCCAGCCACCAACCGGCAAGCCCTCCCGCACAAAAAAGTCTCCGCCAATTTCGACCAGCTCCCTTGCAGATTGAAATTTCGGCCGACCATTCGCGAAACCGACCGCTTTCCCACGACGACAGCCAAACTCCGCCCAACTCAAGCCCTCACCGGATTTTCCTGCTCCCAAGCAAAGAAAAAAACCAACAGTCAAAATGGCTCACGAATCCGTCTGGAACTCGCGCCCGCGCACCTACGGCAAGGGCTCCCGCTCTTGGTAGGACATCACCCAACCCCAACGGAGGAGAGGGAGAAGGAGGACAGACCGAATGGAGGAAGAGGCATACCCCCGAAAAAAGAACAGAAATGCTGACGGTTTTTCTTCTTCCGAAACGAATAGCCGCGTCTGCACCCACCAGGCCGGTCTGATCCGCAAGTACGGCCTCAACATCTGCCGTCAGTGCTTCCGCGAGAAGGCTGCCGACATTGGCTTCGTCAAGGTATGCCCGAGCTCCGTCCACCACCGACGCACAACCCCCGGTCGACACACACACCATACACCGTACCCACCGTTCGAGGGACCCCGTTTTCTAACCCCTGATTTTTACAGTACCGGTAAACGAACTATGACAGTCAGTTGTCGAGTTGGGTTGAGCGGTTGAGGGGAGGACGAATGAATGGCTGGATGGCTGGATGGATGGAGGAGGAAGCGGGGTGGGTTACGAGGGGAACCGATTCCGACGAACACACGAACCACGGCAAAATATCAACATATTTTCTGCTCGGGGCGCGGGGGAGAAGGGGTAAAGGGTAGCCTTGCTTTACCAGGAACGGGTCGGGAAAACCGAAGGCCTACTATTTAGGTACAGATCCCAACGGTTGGGAATTCCCTCTGCCCAAGTTGGCCGGCTTTGGAGTTCATTTTGGGGGACTGTCTTGATTTGCATGACTTGGGCCAAAGGGGAATGCAAAAAAACGAATCCACAAATCCATCCACCATCTAACCATACGCCCGTTGGTTTTTGGCCATCTCGTTTGTCACCTTGAGGGTGTTTGACATGTGACAGGGACGAAGCAGCGGATTTGACGTAGAACCGGACTCGGCTTTGATCGGCGATACCGGGCGTAGACCTCTGGAACAGCAAGCGCTCGCTCGCTCTGCCCATTAACTTCGATGCCTGGCTCCTGCTTCTCCTTACCCATTACAAAATGGAGGGGTATGTTTGTGTTCCAGATTGCTGGATCGTGCCCCACATCGAGGGCGTCTGCGCTAGATCTAAATGTATCCTGCCATCCAAAACGTTTTCCTTTACGCACCGTTCACCATGGCCAAGCGTCCAGTGGTTCCAACGCTAGATCATCAACCTTCATTATTGCCTCATATATCTCTATAGTACAGGATTAAGACAACTCGAGAAGGGGAGGGGAGATCGGCGGGCCCTGGGTGAGTCAAAACGGCCCCCAGAATTGGCGCCTCAAAAATACATCATCACAAGTTTGTACAGCAGCGGTTTTCCGATTCCACAGCGCCCGCCCGCCCACTGCCCTTTGAGACGAGGGGCCCAGACCCAGTAGGGCATCCCTTCGCCCCAATGTCTATCCTGCCGCAGCCCAACCCCCCTGAGAGCATCACAATCGTACATTACTGCCGTAACCGTAGACTAGCTGATGGCCAGCTTACTCGACGATACGGGTAACCAGGCCGGTGGCCACGGTGCGGCCGCCCTCGCGGATGGTGACACGCATACCGGCCTCGATGGCGATGGGGTTGTGGATCTCGGCCACCATCTCGACGTTGTCACCGGGCATGACCATCTTGGAGTCGGCGTCCTCGGTGCCCTCGGGGAAGTGGAGCGTGCAGGCCTCGTCGGCCGAGCGGATGAACATCTGCGGGCGGTAGTTCTGGTGGAAACCGGTGTGACGGCCGCCTTCCTCCTTGGTGAGCGCGTAGAGCGAGAGGAGGAACTTCTTGTGGGCGGTGACACTGCCGGGCTTGGCGACGACCATGCCGCGGCGGATGTCCTCACGGCGGACACCACGGAGGAGGAGACCCGAGTTGTCACCGGCGCGCGACTCCTCGCACGACTTCTTGAAGGTCTCGATGTCGGTGACCTTGGTCTTGATGATCTCGGTGCCCTTGCCGATAATCTCGACGTCCGAGTCCCTCTTCAGGGTACCCCGCTCCGCACGGCCCGAGACGACAGTACCACGGCCGCCAATGGTGAAGACGTCCTCGATGGAGAGGAGGAAGGGCTTGTCGGTATCACGCTCGGGGGTCGGGATCCACTCGTCGACAGCCTTCATGAGCTCGTCGATCTTGGACTCGCCAATTTCGGGGCGCTTGCCGTCAAGGGCGCAGAGGGCAGAGCCGAGGACGACGGGAGTGTTGTCGCCGTCGAAGCCGTACGAGGAAAGCAGCTCACGCATCTCCATCTCGACGAGCTCCAACATCTCAGCGTCCTCCAGGGCGTCGACCTTGTTGACGAAGACGACAATCTTCTGGACACCGACCTGGCGGGCTAGGAGCAAGTGCTCACGGGTCTGAGGCATCTGGCCGTCCGAGGCGGCGACGACAATGATGGCACCATCCATGGAAGCCGCACCGGTAATCATGTTCTTGATGTAATCGGCGTGACCTGGGCAGTCGACGTGGGAGTAGTGCCTGTTCTCGGTCGAGTACTCGATGTGGGAGGTCGAGATGGTGATACCACGCTTCCGCTCCTCGGGGGCCTTGTCGATGGCACCATAATCGAGGTAGCTGGCCAAGCCCTTCTCGGCTTGCCTCTTGGTGATGGCGGCGGAGAGGGTTGTCTGCAAAGGCCTGGTTAGCTCGAATCGCGGGGTGTGGCAGGGCGATTGGCTTGGCGGACCTTTCCGTGATCGACGTGACCAATTGTGCCTGGAAAACCACCATGGTTAGTAGTCGAATGATAATGGGACAATGGGATTCCACCATGGCATACCGATGTTGACGTGAGGCTTGGTGCGCTGGTAAACGGCGTAGTTGCGGGCGAAGTTGAGCACTGGTGTCCTCGACTCGCGCTGCAGCGAGACTAGAGGGTTTTGTGTCTGACGGAGAGAAAGACGAGCCGTCCGCAGGAGCGGGGCGAAGGTCCGTAGGGCAGGCATTTTGAGAATCGCTCGCAAAAACACCGAAAGAGTGGAGGGAGCAGAGATGTGGAATCAACAGTCGTCGAGCTGTTGAAGGGACTCGGAGCATCCAAGCGGGAAAATTTGGCGTGCCAAAAACTCGGCAACTGGCAGGGCCCAGCACGGATCACCTTCCGTCTCGTGCTGCAGGGAAGCGGGCACAGCAAGCTCCCCGCTTCACGTGCTCTCGCGCAAAAATGGCTGGAATGCCTGGAGAATAAACGCGGCTTGCACGATTTAACCCGCGTCTCTCGAAAGACGCTCCTAAATTTATCCCACTCGATTCCTTCATCCGTCTACCACTGTATACCGAATAACTAAGAGTTACCGCTTGATCACATGTAATTGGACTGCAGCATTGACTTAAATCGTTGGTCATCCACGAGGATCCCCACACCTTCCATTCACTTCACAGCAACAAGATGCAGTCGAACTGCACAACCTGCAGATGTACATTAACTATTTTGTACTCCGTACCTTGACTATCTAAAATGCGCCAAGTCGCCTAACCAGCATCGTGTTTTGTCTTTTATCGCTTTTCTTCTTTTCTTCTTTGTTTTTCTCTTACCGACATTAATAGCATTAACTAAGGTCTCTTTGAGTACCACCCAACCACTTCTCTCAGCAACCCGTTAAGTGAAATCAAAAAGATGGCAAGTAACTCGTTAGTTATTCGCAAGGGCACTATGGCACGCGACCTAGGATCGGTTCGGACCGCCGACCATGTGGCGATCATCATAATGGGAGCCGAGAGCTCAAACGGAACGCCCGTCATCAACCATGATGATCATGGCCCAAGCAGATCTGTACAGATTAAGCTCGACGGGTCACAGTTCAGCGACGTCTCGGTCTTCCACTCACCGCAAGCATCACACATGCATGGAGTCAGGAGAGACGGGATGGGCAGGACGGGCAGGGCAGCACGGACGAGAGGGTGAGACACACAGGACTGAAAAAGAAGGAGATCCGCGACTGAGTAGATCTCAATGTCCAATATTTTTCACTTAAAAACCGCTGGTCGTGTCGCTGCTCGCTTGATTACATTCCTCTTCTTCAATCCATCTTCAATTCATCTTTAACTATCACCTAAGTCGAACTCTCTTCAAGATGGTCAGGTACGCTCTTGTTGCCTCGTGCATCGGCTTGGCCGCGGCCATGCCTCTCAACCTCGGGGTTCCGACACCAACCCCGGCCGCAGGTATGTTCTCCCCCTCACACCACCCCCATTTCTTTTTCCGCTTCTTTCCCTCCCCTTCCCGCCCGCCGCCGGATCACAGATACTGACACCCGAACAGGCGCCGTCAACTCCCCCTTTGGTGAAGACACACCTGCACCCGCAGTCCCGTCCGTGCCGTCCGTACCGGTGGCCAAGCCTGCCGTGCTCCCCAAGCGCGATGACACCCCCGCTGTCCCATCAGTGCCCGTACCGGAGCCTTCGGTGCCCGCGGTCGAGCCTGCCGTACTCCCCAACCGCAAGGACACCCCCGCCGTCCCGTCAGTCCCGGTGCCGGAGCCGTCTGTACCAGAGCCTTCGGTGCCCGCGGTCAAGCCTGCCGTACTCCCCAAGCGCGATGACACCCCCGCCGTCCCGTCCGTCCCGTCTGTCCCGGTGCCGGAGCCTTCGGTACCCGCGGTCAAGCCTGCCGTGCTCCCTAACCGCGAGGGCACCCCCGCCGTCCCGTCCGTCCCGTCTATCCCGGTGCCGGAGCCTTCGGTGCCCGCGGTCAAGCCTGCCGTACTCCCCAAGCGCGAGGACCTTCCCGCACCCCCCGTCCCGTCAGTCCCGGTGCCGGAGCCGTCGGTGCCCGCGGTCAAGCCTGCCGTACTCCCCAAGCGCGAGGACACCCCCGCTGTCCCGTCCGTCCCATCAGTGCCCGTACCGGAGCCTTCGGTGCCCGCGGTCAAGCCTGCCGTACTCCCCAATCGCGAGGACCGCCCCGCACCCCCCACCCCGTCCGTGGCCGTGCCTGCCGTCCCCAAGCGCGACGGCAGCGCCTTGGACAAGGGCATCCCGAAGGTGGACGGTGACGCGATCGCTGTCGTGGGTTGCAAGGGGCTTGCTGATGTACCCACGCCTGATCCAGTGGATGGTAAGGGTTGCGGGTCGGAGAGTGGGGAAGAGAGCGATGGGGAATCCTCCGAGAGCGATGGGGAGTCCTCTGAGAGCGATGAGGATTCCGGGGAGGAGAGTGATGAGGAGTCAGGGTGATGATTAGAGGGTGTGTGGTTTGTCCGGTTGTTTTTTTTTACTTCGATCGGCTGTGTTCAGGTTTAATTAGATGTTTCTAATATATGTTCTGCTTTGGTTCGGCCAGTCTGAATTGCCTTGGGGTTGGCCTTGCTCAAAGTGCAGATGATCAACTTATCCTAACGATGGGGAGAAAGCAAGACCAGGCCGTAACGCCCTGCGGGAAACGCGAGACTCATACATCATCGATGAAATGATCAAGGATCTACGCTATGGGGCTTTAAGTGTAGACTACGATGCAGTCGCGATATCTAGGGCCACCAGGGCGGACTTCTGGCACGGCTTTCAGGGCCGAGCGAAAAGTGTGTATAGTCTAACAATTACACGTCAGCCCCCTACTCTCTACATGATGCATGATCCAAACCAACGATCGCCAACATCTCCCTCACCGCAACCAGGTCATCATGCCGACCCTCCGAATCTGACCCATCTAGCTCAGCAGACGAAGGCGTCCCCGACGGCCCGACCTCGTCCGCGCTGCACTGCGACAACTCCTCAACAACCCCCCGGCCAGAGAAGCCCTACTTCTCCCACTCCTTGTACGCCTTCTGCCGCTGGCGGGTGTTCCAGCCCAGCTTGGCGCTGATGCTGTTGATCCAGTCCTCGCTGCGGCGGCCGTGGGGCTGGACGCAGGCGAAGGGGTACCTGCTCGCGCTGACGGTGACGTAGTCGCCGGGGGTCAGCTCGAGGCGCTCGCGGCCGTCGAAGCTCGCCCACGAGCTCGCGCGCGCGTCGTACGGCACGCCGATGCGCAGCACGATGGTGTCGGGCAGGATGACGGGCCGGAACGAGAGCGTGTGCGCGCAGATGGCCGTCACCAGCATGACCGGGTTCTCTGGGTGGCAGAGCGACCCGCCCGCGGCGAGGTTGTAGGCGGTGGAGCCGGTCGGTGTGCTGACGCAGATGCCGTCGGCCGAGACGGAGGTGAAGTGCTCGTCGTCGCCGAAGATGTCGACGTTGGACATGGCTGGGTTGTGTTAGTACCGTGTAAGCGAACAAACAGAAAGGAGAAGGGCGAGGACGGCTTACTTGGATTTGGCCCGCGGTCGACCACCACTTCGTTCAGCACCTCGTACGTCCCATCCGGTCGATGGGTGTGCTCGTCGTCCTTCTCCTCCCCGATCAACTCCTCCACCAGGTCCCGCGGTGGCCCATCATGATCCCCATCCAGCTCATTCTCCGCATGCTCCCCGTCCTCTTTCAACCTCGACCCCGTCTTCCGGCTGCGCATGACGGTCGCCTCAAACCGCAACCTCAAACTAACCGTGATACCCTCGCTAAACCCGTTCGTCAGGGTCTTCCGGTAGTCCTCAAAATCGAACTTAGTCAGAAAACCCAGACTCCCGAGCGCAAAGCTCAACACGGGCGGAACAATCCGCTGAAACAGCCAGCTGGCGTACAGCACCGTCCCATCCCCGCCCAGGGTAATGACAAAGTCAAACGTATGCGGCCGGGCCCTACACATCTCCTCAGTCCAAAAGCGCAACCTCTTCGCGACATCCCAACTCGCCTCCTCACTAACCTCCCCGGACACGACATAATCCCGCCTAACCTCCTCCACCAACCCGGCGACATCAAACCTCTTATTCTCTTTCAACTCCCGATCCACATACACCGTATACCTCACATCCCTTTCCCGGTCCAGCAGCCAGCGGCACAGCTCGCGCGTCTTGCCGATCAGCTCCGGGTCGTAGATCTTGGTCAGCAGGAAGATGGTGCGCACGCGGAACTTGAGGCGCATGGCGCCCAGGCGGCGGCTCAGCTCCCGCACGCCCCACGCCATCTCGCTCAGCTGCTTCTTGGTCAGCAGCCGCGAGTTGGGCGCGTCATCGGCGGCGGCGGCGGCGGTCGTCGTCGTCGTCGATGATGCCGAACGCCGGTCTAGCTGTTGTTGTGCTGGTGTGCGTGGTGCTGTGGTGGTAGTAGTAGTGGTGGCGGTGGTGGTGGTAGGGGGCCCGACCATCGACCGCCGCCATTGCTTCTCGTCGGCCTGCCCGACTCGGCCGCCGCCGCCGCCGCTGCTGTTGCTGTTGCTGTTGCTGCCGCTGCTGCCGGATGTGTTGCTTGCGGCGCTGTCGGCGTTGTCGGACGCCTCCTCGTCGGAGAAGCGGTGCGGGTGGTGTGAGTCGCGGAGGATGGTGGCGCAGGGGCGGTTGGGTGGTTCCTCGCACACATCTTCTTCTTCCTCCGTTCTTTCTTGCTGCTTCTGCTGCTGCTGCTGCTGTTGTTGCTGCTGTATCTTGCCTGTTGTGTTGTCGTTCCCAAAATCCTTCTCGGCAGTCTTGCCGTCAGCATGGCCGTTCTTGGGGTCGACAGCACGACTCGGTCCGGCTTCGTGGCTGATATCATGTTCGTGGTGTTGGTCGTGGTGATCTTGGTGATGGTGGTGGTCGTGTCGGTGGCGTGTTGGAAGATGGGTCTTGGCCTTCTGCTGGTTGGCTAGGAACTGGTGGACGAGACATTCCGTCTTCTGGTGTACCGGTGGTGGTGCCCGGCGGAGGTGTGGGGGGACAGCATCGCTCGCGACGAGGGAGCTCTTGCGGCGGTATGGGTTCGATTCATCAAAGACAACCTAGGTAGATATTGGCTACCATGCCATGACAGAGGTAGGACTACTTCTTACCTCGACTGGATACCGGTCCTCGTCACTCCCGGACGAGTGGGCGGGTTCCTCGAACGAGACTCGCTTCGGGGAGGGTTTGTCCTTGTCCTCCATTGTCGGCTTTGCTATGGTAGGTAGGCAATTGAATTGATAGTAACTCGATAGTAGTGCAATATGGTAGGTAGGTAGGTAGGGACTGATTGAATTGATGGTACAGTATACAGTACAGTAACTGTGGTTACGGCAATTGAGAGACTATCATCCAATTCACCCCCCAATTCCTTCGTGACTGGTCGTTGCCCTGCTGATCTCGTGCGAGACGGTGGGTGGGCTGACTCACTACCGTGTACTGTGGTGTTCTGGTAATGCTAAGCTGGGCCTGGTATCCTCAGGCAATCATGGTTTGTGTGTGTCCATATGTGGTGTGTTGGAGCGGGAAGTACGCGGTGGCGACGTCAGAGAGGAGAGGTACCCTGAGGGTTGCGGTACACTGCGTCATAGCGGGGTGGCTACCAGTCGAGACCATGAGCTCGAAATTTACCCCGCCTTCTTTATTCGACAATTGCAGAGAGGCTGGGAGGTTCCTGCTTCCTTGTCTCCCGTGCAAAAGCGGAGAAGGGAGAGGAAAAGGCTCGCCTCTTCAAGCTCAGGGATACCTACCTTACTCGTGGGCAAGTCATCCTGGCTGTTGGCCTCTACAGATTTGAGGTAGAGAGATGTACACACACAGTAAGAAAAGGGAAGTGAGAGATGGGATGAAGATCGTCGACGGGATAGATAACAAGAGGGAAAAAGAGGCAAGAAATATACTGTAAAATAAACGTGCTTCATCCTGGGAAAGAAGCCCCCCCATCAAAAGACCCGAAGTCGGGCATCGACGCTTCATGTGATCCAGCAAATCTCAACTGCATCCAGGTTGTTACGGCGGCGACAGGGATATACCAAACTCCCAACATACACACGCCATACAACCGCGAAGATTACTGCGTGTATGCCGGTTCCCATGACTCAGGACGCAACAAGCAACAAGATGAAGCACCTCATCCTCGTCGGCGCATGCTACCTGGACACGATCCTGACGTGAGTCGCCTGACCTGCCCTGCCTGCCTACACTGCCCGTACACGACATCCACAAGAGGAGGAGGAGGAGCCGGGGAGCGGCGTGGGTGAGCAACACAGCACATCACAACACGGGAAAGCACTGGGGTCGGTCAGATGATCAAATGAATCTCACGATCGCACTCACTCACACACAAACACACACTCACGCACACACACACTCACACTCACACACGCAGGGTCCCCCACTTCCCCGACGAAGACTCCAAGCTGCGCGCGACCGCACTGCAGGTGCGGCGCGGGGGCAACTGTCCCAACTCGCTCGAGGTGCTCGCCCAGCTGGTGGCCCGGGGCCCGCAGCGGCTCCCGATCCAACTGCATCTGGTGTCGTGCCTGCCCGACGCCCGGTCGGCCGCCACGCGCAAGATCTTGTCGTCGTTTGGCAACGGCAACGGCGACGGGGATGGCAACGGCGATGGCAATGGCGACGGCCTCGGCTGCGACATCGACTTTAGCCACTGCCTCTACCGCGAGGGCTACGAGCAGCCGGCGAGCTGCTACATCGTCCGCAGCGGGGAGACGGGGAGTCGGACGATTGTGAACTTCAACGACCTGCCGGAGATGACGGCGGGCGAGTTTGAGGAGATTGCCGACGCTTTTACGAAACACGGGGGGGACGAGTGCTGGTGGCATTTCGAGGTGCGGAAACATGTTGTCACCATGGACCTTTTGCTGTCTCGGAGTACAAGAGCGTGGCCTTGGGGTTGACCTAGACAAGGGCCGAATCCCAGAGACAACGCTCCGTTGCATCCGCTACCTCCGCCGGGTTACGCCGGCGAGCACCATCAGCGTCGAGGTCGAGAACCCTCACCGGGAAGGCCTGGTCGAACTTGCCGCCGAGGCCGACGCCGTCTTTTACTCGAGAAGCTGGGCTGAAGTGAGTGCATGAGTCGGTTCCCGTGTCTTCCGCGGTGTTTGACGTCCTGTGACACTTTCGCGCGAGCGAGTCGTGGGTCGGCGAGCTAAGAACATCTCAGAGCCGAGGGCACACAACTCCGGAATCTTGTCTCAGAGCCGAGGCGGCATCATCGTCAAAGGCGTAAGTTGCGCCCCTCGTCGCCTGGGGCGTGCTGCAGCTGTTGACACGTCGTGGAAACCTACAAAAGCGCCATCATGTTGTGCACGTGGGGAGAACAGGGCGCAGGGCTTCTTGCGCTCCAAAGTGGCGAATACATTCACCATCCTGCAGCTCCGTCTGGGGAGACGATATCAGTGGTCGAGTAAGTTGGCCCTCCATCTCCGTCTCTGGTTGGTGGAGCACGAGCAGTGCGGTGCTGTGAGCTGCAGCAGCAAGCAGCAGCAAGTGAGACCAAGTACGAGCAGACTGCTGCGAGCAGTTGGGGCCGGACGGCGGGGCTTGCAGCCGCCTTGCATATCGTCCGTCGAAAGCTGCCGCCGAGGCTCAAATTGCTGTGCTAACCGTTGGGTGGTGTGGTTTCAGCACTATCGGCGCGGGTGATACGTTCATCGCTGCGATGCTGTATGGCCTGCATGCTGACGCCTGGAGCCGTGAGACAAAGCTCGCCTTCGGTGTCGGACTGGCCACCAAGAAGGTCCAAACGGAGGGCTTTGCAGGACTGGTAACCTAGCGTGCTGCAAGTCTTGTTTTTGGGTTGGCTTGACTGTCAGTGCCCTCGTGATGACGTGGAAAGTCCCAGTTCGGCCTCTTCGACGAGTCAACGAGACCAAGAGGCAAGGTATCGGAATCGGGTAGGTGGCAGACGGCAGGGGGAGAAGATGTGCGCCGTGAAAGGACCCGAGGAAAGGGGGGGGAATCTGACGGCTCTCGTGATCAACCGCGCCCGGAAACGATCCCCGCCGCGGGGTTCCCAGAGCTGAGTGAAAAAGGACCAGAAGGCAAAAACACACGGCCAAGCGCCGAAAGTAACCCGCCGATGACTGCAAACTGTCTGTCACTCCGTGTGTTGTGTTGTGCTGGGCAAAAGGCGGTGAAATTAGTGGGTGTGCTAGCCTGGACACTGGTCCGCGGCACTCACCCTGCATAAAAAATTGGCTGTTCCTCGGGGAACGACGGCGCCGACACTGCAGGCTCTGGACAGAGGTTCCCTTGTGTGCCTCCCCTCTCACAGACAGACAGTTCACAGTTCCACAGGCGGGCAAGTTTTTAGCCTGTGGAGTTCAGACAACAGGCGACCCATGCCGCTGCAGACAGCAAATAGCCACACCTCCTCGTGAGTGAAAATCCAGGCCGCGCCCTCAACATCCGGTCGCTAGTTCTCCGGTTGCCCTCAAGCGAGGAGCGGGTGCGAGAGAGCGAGTGTGTGTATGGATGCGAGTGGGAAAACCGGTCGAGGCAGACGCGGTCCTTCGTCTGATGCGACCTGTCGCCTGTCGGGCAGCAGCCGAGGCTCTCCTGAACATTCGGAAGGGAAGAGCCACCAGGAGAGAGACGCGCAACCGGACCAGGGAGATTGTGAGAACGGAGGCGGCACAAGGCATGGCCGGATCGGCAATGTGAGCTCAGCCATCTCGGTGAAATGAAGTGGCAGCGATGGAACGACGAGCCTCGGAGCCTGATGCATCCCGACGATGGAACGGAGGCATGGGCAACAAGCCGAGCACTGCGCTGGCGTTCTCGGCAAGCTTCCTTTTTTCTGTGCCACGCCCGTTTGTGGAGGATGAGTGGGTGCTTGATGAGCACGTTGAACGGAGCGCGAGCGGTGGAGTGAACCATGGACTGCCTGTTCTGGCATGGGCCAAGGGTGACGTACGACGCTCTTTGGCTCCGTCGAGGCGGGCAATACCGCCGAGCAGTTTTTTCTGTTGTTGCATCCCGTGGAAAAACCAACGAGTGGGAATGTTTCGCAGGCTCTGGGTGTGTGGGCGACAAGCTGATTGATCATTCATGGATCGCGCGTTCCGGGCCCGACGGGATCCATGGATTGGCCGTCACAGGGGCTCGGGGGGGAAGGGGGGGCTGCTCCAGCAGTGTGCAGTGGGAGGAGAGTGGAGAGTGGATGCTCGTGTGTGGAGCGGTTCCATGCCTTGAGATGGCTCCTTTGCACCAGGCCCGATTGCCGCTGGGAGGAAGATGAGCGGCGTCCTGCTGCAACCCGGGCCGTCGAGCTGAGTCCCAACCTCGTTCCATCCACGGCCCTTGGTGACCAGGGATGTGATACGCGAGTCTCACCCGGGGCTCTTTCGGACTTGCATGCAAATAACGATGCCTGTTGCTTGGCGTTTTAATAATGTACCTGCTAGGGGGGTGTCTTGGTCACCTTTGTGAACCCCCACTGTCGATTGAAAGACCTCATCGAATTGCTCACTCCCCCGGGCCTGCGGCGGATGTCCTGACGAACGAAAGCCGCAGGCTTGGCAGGTCTGTTGATGAAAGTGGCACAACGTCTCGCGTTCATCCTTGACACCTTGGTTGGAGAGGCGAGCCTCCACTCGTCTCTCCCGCTTGGGCCTCGAAGATTGCGTCTGAATCAGGTAGCATGCCAGCATGCTCACTTCGGAGAGGACTCGTCTCCTCTCTCGTTCGTTAGTTAGCGTGATGGGCTTTCCCGAGCAGATTGGCGGTCGAAACAAGCCGGAGTTCAGCCGCTCGCGCTCGCGCTTCCCCATGCATGTTGTGTTGGAAAAAGGCGGCTTATGGAAAGCAATGACCCAGACGTCGTGGCGTTTGTGAATTCCATGCCCCCCTGTTGCCGATGCGCCCCCCCAGCCAAGCCCAAAGGCAAGCCAAGAATGGTGATTACCGACCATTGGGCGGAACCGTCACCGAAGAGGCCATCGACCTCTGTTCCCGTTTGGATCCTGTCATCACATGGGACCCCAGAAGCCAGTGTTGGGGTGCTCATGCACAGGGCTGTTTCGCCGGTCGCTTCGGCGGCTTCCACGGGATTCGCGTTCATCAATGTGCGCCCCGTTTGGGAAGGTCTTGGCGGTTAGCGTTCCCCTGACCCATCATTGCGCTGCAGGGGAACCGCGCATGGATATCTCCGGTGGGGAGCTTGAAGCCCGGCCTTCTTTCTTTCGTGGACATCGCCGCCGCGAAAGAGCCCAAAGCGCAACCGGGTGGCCTTCATGACTCGACCAAGGCCGGCTGTTCGTCTGCGGCGTCACTTTCGATCCTATTTGGTCAGGATGACGGAGAACAGCCGGCATATTCGCCGCAATGAGGGACCGCCGATAAGGCCGTGGTGACGGTGGGCTGTTCGTGTCAAGCACCAATCCGTCCAGTCTGACGATCCCCGGACCGCCATCACGGCGAGTCGGAGGGCGGCGAATCCCAGCGGCGAAACACCCGCAGGCAACCCACAGCCGGTCCCAGCCCTCATCTTGTAGTGGATGCACGGATACGTCAAACACTTTTTCTCTTCCCTTGGTCGTTCCATACATACCGACATTGGATGGACAGACATTTGCGGAAGAGGAAGCTGCAGGCCGCGAGATTCCCGAAACCAGGGTGTTGATGACAATTGTCGCACCTCCGTTGGAAATGATGACCCCCAAAAGACAGGCGGGAGCCCGGACGGTGCATTGCCGTCATGCGGTATTGGGGAGAAGGGGAAAAGTGGGTGGGCTTGCGGCACCCGATTAAAATAGTTCCAGGCCGCAGCCGGATGCTGGGATGGAAGAGCTTGGCGGGCTCTGAGGAAAAAGAGGACCTGGCATTTCGGTTCGAGCCCCACTCTGTTTAACCAATGAGCAGGATTCGACCACAACAGGGCAAGACGTGGGGAAGATGCGATCTGATCAAGGATCCCGGCTGTGGGTCGAGTTTGCGCATGGCCCGGGGGTGCACCTGCCCGTTGCAACTCCGTTGTGTGAGCGAGGAAAAAAAACCAGCCGCGAGCATCCGCACTTCGCAGAAGGAACCTCTCACTCGCTCCTGCGCTCCTGTCCACTTTTCAAATTTTTGATGAGCGGCACTGATACACCCAACAAGGATCTGCAGGCAATCCGTTTGCACAGCAGGCAGTCTCTCCCAATTCATTCTTTTCATTTTATTCCCGCTTATGGCTGATCGGTCGGCCTTACGCCCGGCCTTCCTTCTGGCGTTTCAGTCCGACTTGTCCTGGGTATTCGTCACTACACAGTACTCAGTACTTCGTATCGTTACAACGGTGAGACAACTAACAAGTTCGAGATGCCATGGGAAACAACGGAGAAATCAAGAGACTAACCACGTTCGCGCTGATTATCGAACTGGAGAATGGACATCTGGACCTCCCTCTCGATGATGGGCAACTTCGCCGTGGAGCCGATCGGAACCCAACCCCAAGGTGGCGCAGCCTCTGCCAGTTCTTGTCACCAAAAAGTCGTGATCGTCAGTGGAGTCCGTGGCACAGATGTCTGATATCTGGCATCCCGCAGATTCCAGGCCAGCAAGGAATGTGCCGTTTGAGGCCGACCCGAGCCCGAGCCATGCTAGGCCGTTGATGCTGCACCAAGCCGTCGAGCGAGATTTCGACCCCTTGCCCGTCACCCGTACTCGGTACCTCAACCGGCAATAAGGCAAGCTCCTGCGCGTGGGGTACTCTGGACATGTGCATCTCTGGATTCATGCTGCAACCGCCATCGCGAATCCTTGGCAAGGCCGGCTTTATCCACACACACCTCGCCCTCCGGTGGACGATCACGGCCTCGGACACGCCCCTTGGTTCTGGATGGTCGGCTCTCCTTGCCTCCACAGTACCGAAGGAAACTGATTCCCTGGCGCACCCCACCGCTTGGACACGCCTCGCACACCCATGCAGAGCGGGTCCTCTGCCAGCGCGTACCAGTAAACTTGCGCTAATCTCAACTTGGGCGAGTGATGTCCCCTCGTGCGCTAAAACGTCGCTCCCCACCCCCTTGTTTCCTACCTTGCATCCTCAGAGGGAACGCTCCGCTCGACCTCGCCTGTGTTCAGCGCCGGTTAGGTGACCCCGTACCTGCCCTCCAGTGACACAGCCGCCTGCCCGCATCGCAGGGCGGGTTGGTCTCGGTCTGCGTGCCATGGGGCTCAATTTGAGGCGCCAGCCCATGCTCGGAAGGACCTGCAGGTCAAGGGAGGGGGGCTCCTCTGCTCGCGACCGTGACCACACAACCACACAGGCAGCGGCATGACTTTCAACCAACCTTGCAAACCCAAGCCGCCTCATCCACCTGCCTCCGCTTGACCGCCGCCCACACTGTTCCCGACACCCCAATCCTCCACAGCAACATCGCGCTATCCGCAACCAGCCACGGGCAGCCCACCGCGAGGAGATCGGTTTGACTTTTCGCCCCTGCAACCCTGCGCCAGAACGCCCCCTTTCAGCGATGATGGTCCCACCCATCCCTGTCGCTTTGGGCCTTGCAGGACCACAAGTCGAAATGTACACGACCTGAGCACACAGTGATGCAGACCAGAGGCCCGAAACCACTTCACCAGATCCCCGTCCCAAGGGTCGGGCAGGCTAAAACAATCCCTGCACATGCATATGACGCAGGTGTCGAGAGCCCCAGTGTCATGGAACAGCTCCCGTTGACACGCACTCTCCCTCCTGGCATGCCAAAGCGGCAACAGGAGGCTTCCCCATCACCCAGATGAGCATGTCTTATTGTATCCCTCTCCACGTCCAACATGACTAGGGAGACTGCGTTTGCAGACAAGGTTTGGTTTCCCTCTCTTCTTTATCCATAACAAAACGTCCGGCCCTTTTTCCTGAAGGCCCGACTTCCGCATATTACAACCACCACTTCCCTCAATATCAGCTCTCGCCCAGCTTGATATACCACACGGCGTCTGGCAAGAGTCCTTGTCTCTCCTTGTTACCGCACCTTTCAGCTCTCTTCCTAGTCCATGTCAGGACAATAGCAATTTTACCAACATCAAGATGATGCCATCTCTTGTCGGCGCCAACATGGTCGGTGTGCCTCACCACCAAGTTTCTAGCGGCGCATACACCATCGACGCCATGTTCAACGAACTCTCAAGGCAACTCGGTGGGCACACGAGGAGATACTCGAGGGCGGCAAACGGGCAGCAAAGAGCAGGGAATGCCATGAGGATAACCAAGCCCAACAGCGCCAGCAACAGCCCGAGGTCATCAACACTACAGGCGCGGAGGAGGACGCTAATCGGGGATGCTTTTCGGGGCGGGCTTCAGGCCCCGTCCCCGGCGGTGCACCAGGCACAGCTACCGACGCCGTCGTCAGCACCCCAAGACGAGTGCTTCTACGGGCGGGAAACCTCGAGACCGGCACGCCCGGTGAGCTGGCACCCATCGTCACAGGACGCACAACAGTCCCTCTACGCCCAGCCCGACACGAACTTTTACTCCTATTCCGCTTACGACGACGCCCTGGCGAGCCTGCAACACTTCCCTCCCACACCGGGGCCGGGTTCGGGCTACACGTCACCGATGGAGTCCTTCTCGCCACTCTCGCTGCCGTACTCGAGCTTCAGCTCTTCGCAGCAACAAATCTATTCTTCCATGAGCCAACCTGTACCGGCGGCGCATCAACAGCAGGCCGCGGCCTTCTCGTCAGCTACCTGCTCCTCCGATTATGCCGCGGTTGCCGCACCTTCGGAGATCCCGTACCTACCCCTTACCCACGCGGCAGACGACACGATCGCGTGGGATCATCACCCAGATAGCACGGCCCTGTTCAGTCGGCCTACGGCACCCCCCACGCCGGAGGATTTTGCTTACGCCCTCGATCCCAACCAAGTGACGGAGACGTTGGCTCAACAAAAGCAGCCGACAAAGCCGGAAGCTGCCCAGCAGGCGTATCAGCCGCTCATTCACGACGACGAGAACGATGACGAGTCTGAAGGCGAAATCCTCTACGGCATGGGGCTCTACGATGCGCCGGGCCAGGTCAAGGAATCATCGCTGCACCAATCTGTCGTTCACTCCCTGCTCGGGGGGGTGAGGGACAACAAGGAAGAGGAAGACACGGGCAAGGGGCTGGGTCTCAAGCTCGAGGATGCGTGGGAGCCGCCCGCCAGCGAGGATGAGAACGAAGAGGACAACGACGAGGACAACGACGAGGATGACGATGGGGAGGGACAGTATGATTGAGCCGCACGCTGGATACGTGACTGGACTACCTGTCCCGTTTGCTCCTCTACTTTCTGAGTTTAATTTTTTTTGTGTTTGATGCATACAAGCGAGGTGCTTTTACGGGTGGACAGCATGGACATGGACGGGGACAGGGGCATAAGGGCACGGATACGGGTACGGGCACGGGTACGGGAGAGGCAACTCATCAAACGGATAAAACGGGATAGTAAGCAAAAGGTTTGGCGTTTCTCGGAGATGGCACTACTGTGTACATCGGGAAAGGCAGAGCCAACTCATGTGGGTTTCACAACTCGGGGAAACCCCCGAAGATCCATTAATTTCACAAATATTGTGTAAAGAAATCTGGCCTTGGCGTACCTTATGTCGTGTACTTGTACGGTGTATGCCAGAGATTTAATTAGCGGCTCCGGCCAACTCAACGCTGAGATAAGTTCATGGTTGTCTCTCATCCGGTCTTAATATTGCCCGTGACAGTGACTTAGCCACCTGCATGCATGCATCTCTGATGGATGGTGGGCTCTTCTACGGGTAAGGGGGAGCCCACTGGGGCGCCTGCCGCTACTATTGCTGTTATTGCTGCGGTGAGATTGCGCAACTGCAGGTTGAGTTGAGTGTGTTGGTTGAGTACTTGCAGCTTTGTACCTCGCAAACCTCAGGCTAAGTCGACGGGAACCCGCTCAACCGTGCCGAACCACCCCCCCATTCCCCTCCCCATACTTTCCCTTCGTACCCCGCCATACCCGCCGTACCCCTCATTCAAATTGTTTGCCAAACTGCAAATCTTTTGGGCCGTTATCGGAACACGGGAGGGAAACCGAGGGCGATGGAGCAAGTGGGCAGGTCCGGTCCATGGGAGTGAGTCAAGCAGCAGAACCACAAACACAAAAATAAATCGTCACTTTTGTTGACCATATTTTGCCAGGCGAGAGCAGGAATTTCCCGGCAGACCCAGAGATTACCTAGCCGTACAAGTCTGCACACAACCAAGATGGCTTCGCAACAGTAAACTGCCCCCACCTTCCTCCCACCTCGCACTTTCCATGTCACCATCCCTCACATCCATCACACCCAAACATCGGCACACGCAGGGACACCATCTTCGAGACGGCGGCTGACATGGATTTCCCGCCTCTAGCAAGGTGCTCATGCTCGGCGCGGGCTTCGTGACGCGGCCCACCCTTGATATCCTCAGCGATGCTGGCATCCCCGTGACAGTCGGTATGCACCCTTCGCCCAGCTTCCATCTCCGAGAGAGCAACGACCCCCCCATTAACCGTGTAACACACAGCCTGCCGCACCCTGGCATCGGCCCAGCAGCTGTCCGAGGGCGTCAACAATGCGCACCCCATCTCGCTCGACGTGACCGACGACAAGGCGCTGGACGCCGAGGTGGCCAAGCACGACCTGGTCATCAGCCTGATCCCCTACACCTTCCACGCCACCGTCATCAAGTCGGCCATCCGCAACAAGAAGAATGTCGTCACCACGAGCTACGTCTCGCCGGCCATGCTTGAGCTCGATGCCGACGCCAAGGCCGCCGGCATCACCGTCATGAACGAGATCGGTCTGGACCCGGGCATTGACCACCTGTACGCCATCAAGACCATCGACGAGGTGCACAAGGAGGGCGGCAAGATCCGTAGCTTCTTATCCTACTGCGGCGGGTTGGCAGCCCCGGAGAACTCGGACAACCCCCTCGGCTACAAGTTTTCGTGGTCGTCGCGCGGCGTGCTGCTGGCCCTCCGCAATGCGGCCAAGTGGTGGCACGGCGGCTCCGTCGTCGAGGTGTCTGGCAAGGACCTGATGAACGCGGCCAAGCCTTACTTCATCTACCCGGGCTTCGCCTTCGTCGCCTACCCGAACCGCGACTCGACCCCCTACAGGGAGCGCTACGCCATCCCCGAGGCCCAGACCATCGTCCGCGGCACCCTGCGTTACCAGGGCTTCCCGCAGGTCATCAAGGTGCTCGTCGACATCGGCTTCCTCGAGGATGCGCCGCTCGACATGCTGTCGCGCCCGGTGCCCTGGAAGGAGGCCACGCAGGCCATCATCGGCGCGCCTTCGTCCTCGGCCGCCGACCTCGAGTCGACCATCCTCGCCAAGGCGACCTTCGAGTCGGACGAGGACAAGCAGCGCATCCTGTCAGGGCTCCGCTGGATCGGCCTGTTCTCGGACGAGGCCGTCACGCCCAAGGGCAACCCGCTCGACACGCTGTGCGCGACGCTCGAGCGCAAGATGCAGTTCGAGGAGGGGGAGCGCGACATGGTCATGCTGCAGCACAAGTTCGAGATCGAGCACAAGGACGGCTCGCGCGAGACGCGCACCTCGACCCTGTGCGAGTACGGCGACCCCAAGGGCTACTCCGCCATGGCCAAGCTGGTCGGCGTGCCCTGCGCCGTCGCCGTCAAGCAGGTCCTCAGCGGCCAGCTGCAGGACAAGGGCATCCTGGCCCCCATGAGCTCGCGCATCAACGACCCGCTGATGAAGGAGCTCAAGGAGAAGTATGGCATTACTATGGTGGAGAAGACCATCTCGTGAGCTGTGGCCGCTAAGGCAGAGGGAAATTTAAAATAGATGATGAGTGAGGATAGATAAAATGATTCTCATATTCAAACTTTCTGTGAACGAGCGCTTCGGGGGCATATATTCTCCAAACCAGCATTATTATTTCACCCCGCTTTTGATCGTTGCATGTTTACCACAACTTGAATAATGATTCAAGGAAGATTTGGACATGTCTGACTGAACGAAAGCAAGAAGGTGATGGACAGGGGTGCACTAACAGTGAAATCCGATCTCCCAGCAAACTTTGCCGTGTATGGAGTAATCCTTGTTAACGGACTCACTTTGACGAAACCTGTGACGCTGTAATTACAGTTCTTACAACAGCGATTTCACTATCACGATACCACGAAGTACCTTAATAACTTCAAACCCAAGTCCATCACCACGCCCGCCCTCATAACCCTTTCCTCACCCCCCAAATCAACGACCAAGCATACATCCCCTTTTAGAATTCCTCCCGATGGTACAATACATCTTCACTCCCTGGCGCAACCGCCACGAGCTGCTCGCCGTGCGCGCGCAGTTCTACCCGGAGCATCACCACCACGACACCACCACCAACGCACCCCAGACACAACGAACACAACCCCAATCGCAACCCCAATCACGAACCAACCCTCATTCTCGGCCCTGGTCACAGCCTCAGTCTCAAACTCGGTCCAACCCCACCACCACCGATACAGCCACCACCAATGCCGCAGCAGCAAAACAGCAGGCCGTCGCCCGCGTGTCCATGTGGATGCACCGCGGCGGCTGTCCGCACATGGTCGAGTCGACGGCGCTGCTGATGGCGGCCATGTTGAGTGATGAGGGGTATGGGAACGGGAGTGGCGATGGTGGTGTTGGTGGTGGGAATGGTGGTGGGAGTGGTGGTGTTGGCGATGGTGGTGTTGGTGGTGGTGCTGGTGGTGCTGGTGGGAGTGGGGCGGCGGCGGCTTCGAGGGCGTATGCTGTGCGCGCGGCGTACTCGGCTGCTTTTAGTCGGTGAGTTTGTGTTTTCTTTATTGACTTTTTTCCTACTGGGGTTTGGGCTGTTTGGCTGCTGGCTACGTTGAGAGTGGGTTGGGGCAGTTATGCCCTTGCGAGGGTAGTCCAGGCTGTGACCTCGGGTGGGCGTCCAGCGAGGACGAGTAGGGAATTGGGCTCCAAGGGGCGAGGGAGCATGTCATGGACGACGAGGCATGAGCGCTTTTACTCTCGAACTATCCCCATTCCATCGCCCCCCCCCCCCCCTTATACCACCACCCCATATCACCCCAGCATCCACCACTCCCAGCCCATCTCCCCTCCCAACCCAGCTAACCACCCCCTAGCTTCGTCACCGGCCTCCTCGACTCGCACCAGGACAAGCAGCGCAAGATGTCCATGTACGACGTCGCCAAGAGCGTCGGCCTGCCCGCCACCTTCGTCGAGCTCCGCCACCAGGCCACCCACGAGCAGCTGCCCTCGCTGCCCCGCCTGCGCGCCGCCGCCGCCAGCGCCCTGCAGTGGATCTGGGACTACTACTGGCGCGGCCTGGAGGCCCCGCTGGCCCTGTCGTCCAGGTCCGCGGCTTTGCTCGCGCGGTTGCCTTTGGCTTCGTCTTCGTCTTCGTCTGCGGCTGGGGTTGGTAGTGGGGGTGGGAGTGGGAGTGGGAGTGGTTCCGGTGGGCAACCCGCTCAATCGGGGGTAGGACGTGCTGGGTCACCATCACCGTCTCGGAAATCACCGAAGGACCGGGTTAAGGGACGGGAGGGTATTTCTATGGATACCGATGTCCGTGAAGAGGAGAAAGAGTTGCATGTGCTGCTGAAAAGGTATCTTGAGGGCGAGGAGGAGCAGCTCAAGGGCGAGATTACGAGGTTTAGCGAGGGGTTGGTTCTGACCGTGTTGGATTCCATCTCGGGGAGTACAAGGGATAGCACGGTGATGCGCCGGGCGTTGGCGCTACAGCGGGACATTTTGCTAAATGGAGTGGGTGCGGACCGGATGGAGGAAGATGAGGTACCTAAGGGAGAAGGGCTGTCGAAGAGTCTTGGGGTTGTGGAGGATAAGGTGGACAAAGTGAGGGATGGGATGGAGGTGGAGGATGAGGGGGAAACGGTGGTGACGGAGGACGATGAGGAAGAAGAAGAAGAGGAGGGCGAAGATGGAGAGGATGGGGATGAGGTTGCGATGGCTGAGGTGCAGCCGGCTTGGGTGCTGTATCAGGAGGAGTCTTGGGTACCGAAGCCCATTGGGGTGGTATAGGCGGTATTGTCTGTGCTATGGCGGTTATCTACATCTTGACAGCACGTCGCAGGCCTTCAACTCATCGTCTTCCCGCTGCCCCTGAATTCGTCTAGGAGGACAGACGGTCGAGAGATGGGTGGTCATGTGACTGCGGGGCTGGTTACGGCACGTCTCGAAGCGAGTCGTCCAATTACGACGTCACTCCGTCCTGCCTGCCGAGCTGCATCTGTTCCTGCCGTCAGCGGTTGTCAAGACCCGGATTCGTCAGGTTTCCATCTGTTTAACTCCCCGCTTATACAATCTGCACTAGTTCGCTGCTCCGGCGTAACTGTATACTCCGCATCCCAGAGCATGTCCGCTTTCACTGCTGCCAGACGTCTTTTCCAGCCCAGATACAAATTCTCTTCATTAACTGCCAGTGTAAGCTTCCCCTTTGTACTCCGTATCTGACATTTGAGACCAAAACTAAATTGTGATATTACTCAGCCGGCTACCGTTCGCACAATGCATATCCAATCGATTCCTATGTGTAAGTCTCAATGGACAACTGCCATTGAAAGTGATGTCGAGAGTAATATGATATGCCATTGCAGGGGCGGGGAAGAGCGACAACTACGCTTACCTCGTCGTCGATGACAAGTCCAAGGAGGCTGTTATCATTGATCCGGCACACCCGGCCGAGTGAGTGTTCACTGTATGTAATACTCGAGGCACCAGAAACTCACATTACTAGGGTTGCGCCGGTGTTGAAGAAGGCTATCCAAGATGGAGCTATTAAGCTCTCGGCCATCATAAATACCCACCAGTGAGTATCCGTGGTATCCGGTACGCAAAACGGGAAGCTGACCTTCCAGTCACTGGGACCATGCTGGTGGGAATGAGGAGCTCGTGAGTTGACTAGGTACTCACCACTCGATCGATTGACTGTGTCCTGACCGTCGCAGCTTTCCGAGCTCGGCCAACCCCTCGAAATCATCGGCGGCAAGGACTGCAAGAAAGTAACCAAGACGCCCGCTCACGGCACGACCTTCAACATCGGCGACATCGCCGTCAAGGCGCTACACACGCCCTGCCATACCCAGGACAGCATTTGCTTTTTTATGCAGGATGGCGAAGACAAGGTTGTGTTTACAGGGGATACTCTGTTCCACGGAGGCGAGTTGTTGCCTTGCTAACAGTCCTTGTGATTACCCCTTTCTGACCGTCGGCAGGCTGTGGCAGGTTCTTTGAGGGTAACGGTGAGGAGATGCACAAGGCGTTGAACGTGACGCTGGGGTCGCTCCCTGACGACACCCGGGTCTTTGTGAGTCAAACACCCCGACCTCCCGACCACAGTGCTGACCGTCTTCAAGCCCGGCCACGAGTACACCGGGGCCAATGCCAAGTTTGGTGTTTCGGTCCTCCCTAGCGAGCCGGTCAAGGCCCTCGAGTCATTCGCCAAGGACAACCGGGAGACGCAAGGCAAGTTTACTATTGGCGACGAGAAGAAACACAACGTGTTCATGCGGCCTCAGGTAAGGAACCGCCGCGGACGTTAGTGGCTCTGGCAGCTGACCCGAGAACAGGACCCCGCGATTCAGAAGGCAACAGGCGAGACGGATCCTATTGCCATCATGACCAAGTTGCGCGAGATGAAGAACAACTTCAAGTGAGTCGGCTGTCCCGGGCCTGGTCAGGGGGTGCCCGATTCATGGACACGAGGTTGATCAAGAGTTTGGGGGTGTGATCAGGGAGGTGGTTGTAGAGAAGTCCAATCTGTAAAAATAGCTGCGAACCATGCCATGAAGGCAAGTCCAACTTCGTTCCATGAGGTCGATGCCCTCGGCACATTCACAGTGGTCGTACAGCCAATAATTCATATGCCTGAGCATTGAAATGTCTCCGCCAGCCCATGCCACCAGAACCCGACAGGATTCAGGCGCAGTGAACTCGCGGACGCGCCTCAAGAGAGACACGGGGTTTTTAATATTGCTTCACTGTCCACACTTGCTCGCCCTGGGTTTGAATGGAGGCGGCAAGCTCTAGCAAATTTTGAAGCGGTCGACACTGAAATATCGAGTACCATGGGAAGGCACACATCCTTTGAACATGGAACCTGACAAAACCGGTGTCTGCCTACCACCTACCTGCATGCGCTTCTCTTTGTTTAAATACCGCCTAGCGACTTGGATTGGAGTCTGGCAGCGAGGGAGAAAGAAAGCGGCTTGGTTGAGGCAACTTTCGACACGGTTTGCACCATTCTGGTATCGTCGAGGTTTATGGTGGAAAGAGGAAAATTTCAACGCAGCGGGACCGGTATATAAACTCGGCTCTCACGTGCCCAGGCGCCCACTTGGCGATAACCGCCCCACCCTGGAAGATCAACTCCACCTCCATCCACTCTCGACAGCGGGTTGCCGCGATCCCACCTGCGCGCCGTCGCATCGCATCGCAAGTTAGTGAAATCAGTCTTAACTCTCCCAGAAACAAAACCGCTACAATGGTAAGCCACCCTCCCCTCCACACCCCACACACCACACCAAACCACAACCCACTAACCAACGCCCCCCTTTCCCTCACAGCCAACCCGACGCCGCCCCCCATCCACCACCAGCACCACCACCCCCAAACCCTCCACCAGCACCAGCACCACCACCACCCCGCGCCCCTCCAAACTCGCCAAAGAACACGCCCTCACCGCAGCCGAAGAAGCCGAGCTCCACGAAGCCTTCTCCCTCTTCGCCGAACCCATGGACGGCGAAGAGCCTTACGGGGTCATGCCCATCAGCGACGTACGACGCGCGCTGATCGCACTCGGCCTCCCGCCCTCGTCCCCCGCGCAGCTGGCCGAGTTCGCGTCGGTGCTGGACCCGGACGAGGAAGGGTTCGCGACGTACGAGGCGTTTGTGGGCGTCTGCGCGCTGCAGTTGCATGCGAGGAGGGATGCGGCGGAGGCGGAGGCGGCTGGTGATGAGGGGGGGGCGCATGCGGGGGAGTTGGAGGAGGCGTATGGGTTGTTTACGGAAGGGGGGGAGGGGGGGGGGAAGGGAGGCGGAGGTGATTACGTTGGCGGATTTGAGGAGGGTGGCGAGGTTGTTGAGGTTGGATGCCGAGGGGCAGGGGGTGGGGGGGAAAGACGGGAGTGGTGGTGGGAAGGGGAAGGGAGATGGGTTGGTTGTGACGGAGGAGTTGTTGAGGGATATGATTTTGGAGGCGAACGGGGGTGCTGGGGTGGGGAGGGGGGTGAGGAAGGAGGAGTTTGATAATGTGTTGAGGAGGGCAGGGGTTTGGCGGTGACGATGTTGGTGACGGCGGTGGTGATGATTGGGATGGGATATCAGGGAAGCGAGTGAATGATTCAATGACGCGCCGCGGCTGGGACGCTGGGGTACGGCGTGTGGCGATCGATGGCGGGCATATATGAGAGATGACAACCGGGAAGAGGAAGCCCATGCACACCACGGTCAACCCTACGACGGGAGCAGGCATGTGAATTTGCTGTCCAAAACGAGGACACGCGAGAGAACGGGGTGGTCCCTAGTTATTTAGATAACTGTTCTCTACATCCAAGTGGATATGCCCACTGCGGCGATACAGCCGTTGACATGGAACGCAACGCCGCCATATGCAGACCGTATTTTCCAGATCCCCATATATGGCTGGGGTTGTGAACAAGACACGCTTCTTTCAATGAAATGGCTTACTCCCCTACGTTCATTGGCCTTCCGTCGGCGGCACCTCAACAATCTCAGGCGCTTGCCCTTGCTTAGCACCAGATGTCGACTCCTGTGCCGCCTTGGCCGCTGCCGCCTCCCGCGCGCGCTGCGAGTCAATCACGACCTGCAGCTCGGGCGGGACCTTGAACCCGGCGTGGTCCGAGTGCTTCTTGTAAAAGTAGTTGTCCGGCTTGGGGCGGAGCTCGGCGGGCAGCTCTTCGAGCACGCACTGCACCATGGCGTCGATGGAGGCCTGGCGGGACGCGTCGCGGTGCCAGATGGAGATGAGGTGCGAGTTGAAGCGGACCGAGAGGCCGACGCCGCAGATTTGGTCGCCTGCGTATCACACCCGGGTTAGTGACCGGCAAAGACATAGGCACAATAAAATCACGAGGACCGGATGGGCATACCGTCTTCCAAGACGCTCTGCAGCTTCTCCCCGATCGCCAGCAGCTGCACCCGGTTCCACACGTCCGGCCCGTTGCTCTTGGGCACCCGGAAGGTCCAGCTGCCGCCCAGCACGTTCCGGCGGTCCTCCCAGATGGGCTTGAACCCGGCCTTGAAGAGGTAGATGCTCTCGCGCATCTTGATCTGGTCTACCGGCGTGTTGTTGTTGTACCGCCAAAAGTCCTGCACGCTCTCGATCGGCGCGCCCAGCTGCTCGAGCTCCGCGTGGTATTCCCCATTGTTGTTGTCGCCCGCCTGCTGTTGCTGCTGCTGGTCTTTGCTCTGCTGCCGGTCGAACCACACGTTCCAGTAGTGCTGGGTGGGTAGGGGGCGCATCGCCTTGAGAAAGTTGTGCTTGGCATCGTTGCGCTGCTCGGCGGGCGACGACACGCCGCTCATGGGGGAGTTGGGGTCGGACGACTGCGATAGCCCCGAGAGGCCACGCGTGAAGAGGGAGGGGCGCATCGACATGGTGGTGGTGGCGGCGGCGGGGGGGATGGGGTTCTTTGTCCGGGCTGTCGTTGGTTGGGGAGGTGGCGGCCCTGCTGCTGCTCCTGGAGGAAGGGATAGGGGTAGAGAGCGGATGGAAGGGCAGAGTCGGGTAGAATATCTACCGAGATGTAGATACCCGTTGAGACTGTGGCACGGGTGGAACAGACGCGAAAGATCCACGTCACGGGAGTTTGTCCGTCAGCGGCCTTGTGGGCGAGAGCAACGTTGGCCTGCGTGACTGCGGCAGGTTGTCGATGGCCGGTCTTGTTCCCGGTTTGTTTCAACTGATGGGCAAAAAGATGGGACGAAGCAGAGCCGCAAACAACTCGGAAGACAACTGAAATATTCAAACTGGTCGACTTAGCAACTGTTTGCTAAAATCATCTGCTGCATCCGAAGCGAAGGTGCTTCGTCTAGCTAGGTTGTCGTTTTGGTCAGCCAGGGGTTGTGACGCTGCGATGGAACGTCGATTGTCAGGTGAGGAAGGACAACGAAACGAGGGGCAGGGCCAAGGTGTGGTGGTGCGCGCGTGGGGGAATTGCGGGAACGAAGGTACCTAATTAGGGAATCGCCCTCCTTCCCGGTCAGGTGTCCGTCGGTCTGCTGCCCTATGGGGTCACGGCCGTCACACACAAAGAAAGAGACAACAATACGAGGGCGTCAATTGCTACAGAATGAGAAGCGAAGCGCCGTTCCAGGTTGGGCGGCCGAGACGAGCAACGTCCATGAATGGGGATCCCAGGCCGGGGGGACGTGGAGCATTCCCCCACCTGTCGGTGGGCTTGTACCTCGCGGACAAAAAAAGCCGGACTCTTGGAACACAACGAAAGCCATCCTAAAGCCCAAAGGACTGGATTTATCCATTTAATTATGTTCTATTTTGCCCTCTTTTCCATTTGATTTATTTTTCTCGATTTCTTTTCATTTGTCCTTTTTGCTTGATTCTTGCTCTCCTTTCAATTTCTTTCTGTTCGTCCGTTTTGCTTGATTTCTTGCTTTCCTTCCATGTTCGGCCTTTTTTGGCCAGAGGGTCGCTTGTTCCCCTGTCGGCCCCCAAGCTGAAACGGGCATGGTGGGGCAGCCTGTGTGTTTCAACTGAGGCCGGCAGCTGAGTGAGGCGCGCTGTGGGGCGAACCGCCAGCAGAGGGCCTGACGAGAGAGCCTCCCCCGTCACTTGTTGGTGTTGTTGTTTCTCCGCTTGGCTCCTTGCAGCTCTTGTACATACATACCCACGTCAGGCTCGGGTCGCTCGGCATCCCACCCGCCATGCACAATGGCGGCATTGCATCTCGACAACTGCTCCAGTTGTGCACAAAGGGGCAAAACAGTGACACTGCGGGGTGGTATCTTGGCGGCGCTATCCCCTGTGTTGCTTGGACTGTTTCTTCATGCTGTTGTGACGTGGTTTGGCCCTCTGCCAAAGGTTGAAGGTTCCGAGCTGGCTGAAATGGAACGGAGATCTGCCAGCGATGGCGTCCTGCACGAGGGACGCGAGAAACAAAGGTCCCATGCACCCACTTGTGGATTGTCGGTCTCGGGCCGGGTCGTCGGGCTGCCCTGTGCCTTGCCCGTGATCCTTCCAGGGTTCCATCGGAGTTTCGTGTCAACCTCTGTTGGCTTGCTGATGACTCGCATTGTTGGGCCTTGTCTTTCTTTCGGTTTGTTTTTTTTGCCTTTGTATTTTCAAATTTGATTTGCCCAAACAAGCAAAAGCCTGGGGCTGTGTGGTCTCGCAAGTGCAGGCGGAGGGGCGAGATTCAAAGCTGGGGAGATACGGAATCGGCTCTTGGCACTTGAGCTGACCAAATGGGGCTTTGCCGGCCGGGATGCAAGTGCCTGACATAGTGGGTCACGCCGACCACCTTCGAGCCCTACGGTGAATCAAAGATGGCAGCAGAAGACGGCCGACCAGAGAAATGTTGCTTGGAAATACAGGGAACGAATTGCCCAAGTGCGAGACATCCCAAACACACACCTGACCTGAGGTGACCTTTTTTTTCGAAAGTGGGGGCGGGGTTTCCAGGTTCATCTGAAGTTGGCCAGGTGCTGGACCGACCTTGAGTTCCGTTAGTTAGGTACCTCCCTGGTTACAGCACTTGCAGTCTCTTTCCAGCGCTTTCATCTCCAAGCTGCACCCAATTTCGATCAATCTTCCATCACCCACTCGATCAGTATTTTCTCTGACCTACGAGTGCAGACCAGAACAGCAGAGTTGTTTTGCCCCTCGTGATCGAAGCGCCATCCATTTCTATTTCATTTGGTCATTTTTCGACCTTTTCTCGACACTCCAAAACGGAACCTGCAGCTCCCACAACCTGGGCCACGCACGACCACCACGTCGCTCTCCGCCTCGCCTCGCCTTGCAACCTTCTTCCCCGACCACCAGATCACCTGCCAGCTGGCATTGGGCACCACGACGTTTATTCTTCCCCCTCGGTCAGCGCTATTCAAGGGCCAAACGTCATTGTTCCCACGTGGACAGCAACGCCACTAGTAGGTATGCCCTGACCTTAATCGGTTCTCTCTTTCCTAGCGTTCCCCGGCGCATCGCTCTCATTCCCTATATCTCCCCTCCGTCTGTCAATCGACACTTCGGATTCCTTTCTCCGTCCGTCAAACTTCACAGCCCTTTCCAACGCTCTTCTCGGGAATCCATCTTTCCGGCTCTCTCCTCCCCAATTTCCACTCCCACTCTTGGCCATCTTGCTCCCGCCATGGCTCCTCAAATCAGGATCGTGGTGAGGGACAGAGGGCTCTTCGCGACGGGGACGCCTGTCAAGCCCTTCGCTGCCTTCAAGGCGGCTCAGTCGGTGCAGCCTCCTCGCTCGAAAAGAGGCGATTTGGCCATGCTCCGGCTGGGGCTTGACATCGCCCTCGAATACTTCAATAGCGACGGAAGCGTGTCCATTTCGTCGCTAACAACCAAAGCCAGACTCTGGGCGGACCGGTACTTTAAGGGGTACCCGTACGCAGCGAAGAGGCCAACTGCCCTTTTGAGAACCTTCCCCAACCTCTTCAACTTGGACATTGAACGTACGAGTTTTCCTACCTGCGAGCCTAGCCCATTACTAACAAACTTGCAGCCCATCTTCGACTGCTACCAAAGATCATGTCACCACCGTCCTCTCCCGAGCCCGAGGGCGCTAGTCCTCGAGATCTCCGCCGTTTTGAGCGGAGAGCCATGAACTCCGAGGCATTCCCCGAGTTTGCCGAACCCACTCTTGCTTCGGATGCCGAGATTGAGCGAATCATCGATCTCCCGAACCGCCGCACTGCGCCCACCACCAAGCCGACAATGAGGGTCGACGCCTCTATGCTTCGCGGCTCGGGCCTGATGAGCACGCTCCCCGAGTTCCTCGGCCAGCTGGCGCGGGCCAACCTGGAGACCGAGACAACGCTAGCCAACGACCCAGACGCCGTCCGCTTCGAGCTTGACGAGGACCAGGCTGCATCCCAGCAGCACGTCGAGATGAACCTGTTTTCGGGCTTAGTCGAGGCTCAGAAATTGAGACACCAGAGGCGCATCATCCTCCCGGGTGACCTCGCCGTCAAGCACCCGGGTACCCCCCAACAAGATAGCAGCGAGCACGAGGGCAACATCGATGGCATGCAACGCACCGACGAAGACAGCGGTGACGAGACCGACGCCTCAACCTCCACAACCGCCAGCCTGCACGCCAACCTCAGGAAGCGCAAGGCGTCAGATTCCGTGGACGACGATGACTCCGAGGCCGCCAGCCCGCCCAACAAGATCCGCCTCCAGTACCGCTATCCCACCCCCAAGATCCGTCACTACGACATGAAGCGGCGTAAGCTGGTTAGCCGGCCGAACCCGGATGCCGTTCCCAACGACCCGTTCGAGCCCAAAGCTGCCGCCCACAAGGACTCCATCACCGTGGCTGTGGGCGACAGGCCCACCAGCAGCGGCAGCAACGTCAGCGCCTCTTCTTCATCAAGTGGCGGCCGCGTCCCGATCACCAGAATTCGCGTCCCTAGCCGCAGCCCCGACGGATCGCGGTCCACCTCCCCCGATAGAATCATCATGCTGCGGCATCCCGTGATGCCATCGGCGACGGGCTCGCGCGATAGTAGCGAGGAGCCGGGTTCATCTTCGAGCCGCCGGACTAAGATCAAGGTGGTACAGAGGGAGCGGCGGGACGCGGAGAGGAGGACATTGATTGAGGAGGTGGAGTGAACTCTCGACCTCGACTAATTGAAGGGCATATTTCGACATTGTTCAAACATTTTTTCTTTTGTCATTGTATCGGCGGATACACTCTCAGCATTGGAGTTGGCAGCGATGTAATAGGCGTTATGGATGGCTGCATGAGCACCGTTTCACCTGCGGCTTGGCTTGGAGCTGGCGTTGCATGATACACAGGGAACACGGTACCTGATCGGGTGGCGGTTTACGGAGTCGGCGGCATTGGCATTGGTCAGGGAGGATATACCCTAGACATCACCTACGTCCTTTCTTTTGTGGTATCGCTTTTTTCCTTTCGTGGTTTGCGTCCAGTCAACGGCATGGACATGGGCATAGACACGGGTATCAGACCCAACATTGGGGGGCGCATTGCATTAGAACACGCAGGCGATAGAGCATACAATACATCATTCATAACAAGTTACTTTGCCATTATTCGTGTGGTAAAAACATCGACTCGTTCACAAAGGCATTCCTATTCCTAAACCCATCTACTCATCATACCTAAATAATCCTTCTTGACGTAAACCGGCCTATCCTATAACCAACCCCAACCGCCCCAACTCCATGCAGCAGCGCAGTAACGGTACAGTAACAAAGCTCCTCCGCTCTCATCCAGCGTGTCGTGAAAACATGATAAAATCAGAACAACCAAAACAACATACGAAAAAGCAGTCGTAGCAATATCCCACCCACCCCCCGACGTCTTCCTGCCTTACCACCCCCATCAACGCACCCCTCATAATCATCAAAAAGCCCCCCCGGCCCCGTCAAATAATATTCGACCTCTTCCCCAGCGGCTTCCTCCGACTCAACTCATCCACAAAACGGGTCTTGTCATCCCCGATCTTGCGCCGGAACATATCCAGATCCTTCAGCAGCCCGCTCATGTGCTCATGCATGTCGTCAGCATTACGCTCATACTTGGCCGCCTCTTCCTCGTCGTCTTCCTTCTGTTCTTCCTCTTCTTCCTGGTCCGGCCCGCCCGACGCATACCCGTCATCATTATCATCGTCAGCACCAGCACCAGTATCCTCCGCAGCCTCCTTGTTGTTGTTATCGCCATCACCCTCCCCACCACCACCAACCGCCACCACCCCCTCCTCACTAACCGGAATCGCAGGAATCGGATTCCGCAGACTCTCCAGCGCCAACTTGAGATGCAGGCGCAGCGCGTCGTTCTCGGTCTGGAGGGAGCGGATCTTGCCGTCGGCGAGGAGGGAGCGCTCGGCCATGGCGAGCTGGAGGCCGCGGACGCGGGCCTGGTACTCCTCGAGGCGCTCCTCGGCCTCGCGCGCGTCCTTCTCGCGCCGCCGCGAGTCGCCGACCACGAGCTGGAGCTCCCGGATCTCGGCCTCCATCGCCGCGATCTGCGCGTCGCGCTCCGCTGCTGATACCGCGTCCACCTGGTTCACCACCGCCCGCGTGCGGATCCGCTTGGCCTGGTCCGCGTATCGCAGTGTCGAGAGCGTTTCTTCGTAGTCGGACGGGGCGATGCATGCGATCATGGCTGTCTTGGAGTTGCCTCCGAGCGAGTCCTTGAGAAGCCAGGTGAGGATGCTGTCGCGGTAGGGTACGACAGAGGTGCCCGGGCGGGGGCGCTGCTGCTTGGGGTCGGCGAGCGCGGCGATGACGCGCCCGAGGGTGGTCAGGGACTTGTTGATGTTGCTGCCCTCGCGCAGGCGTTGGCCGGTGGCTTCGGTGGACTTGGCGCGCTCGGAGCCTGCGAGATCGACCAGGCGGATGCGGCTGGAGCGCTCGGTGGTTTCGTCCGTCTCGAGGTCGTGGTGGATTTGTTTGAGCATGATGGTGAAAACGGCGTGGCTGCGCGAACTGGTGTCGTTCATCTTGGTGCTGGCCGTTGTGCGGTTGTTGTCGCCGACGCGCATGTACCGGATGATCTCGCGCAGGCTGCGCACTGGGACCTCGGTGAGGTCTTTGACGTAGGGGCCCTCGGTGGGAGACTCGCGAATCTTGAGGTAGTACGGGGGCTGGTGCGGGATGACAGGGACGAGAAGGTCGCGGACGTGCTCGTTGTAGACTTCGAAGTACGAGACGCGCACGTTGTAACTGATGTTGGGGGTTTCGTCTTGGGCCGCCGCGATGCGCTCGAACAGGTCCTCGCATGTCCGTGGTATTAAGCCAGGGTGGTCTGGCGTGCCCATCATGGTGTAAGACTTGCCGGAGCCGGTCTGGCCGTAGGCGAAGATGCATGTGTGGTACCCTTCGAAGTTGTGATCGAGAAATTCCTCGCCCAAGCTATCGTAGACATCTTCCTGTGTCGCATAGTGCTCATCTTCTGGGTCGTGGCTCCAAAAGCTGTTGTCAAAGGTGAAGGACTTCTCCTCCAAGACCTTGCGCGAGCGCGCCCGCGCATTGGCCGGGTCGTGGTCATTGGGGACGAGGAGGGTTGTCTGCTGCGAGACCGGGTCCATGTGGATGAGGCATTCTGCATCGCGGTGGATTTCTGCATGTTGTTGGAGTTAGCGATCGCGATTGGTAAATACCCTATTGCATTATCGAACAAGGGAGACAGAAACACATAAACATACCCCGCGGTAGAAACGCCCGCACCCTCACGACGACCCTCACGTTCCCTCCCCCATCGACCCGGGCATGCGGCGGAACGGTGCCATCGCGCGATCGCAACGAAGGAGTGCTCGCGCACGAGGCACCGGATCGCTGGGCGACGTCGAGGTAACCTGCGGAGTTCGGCATCAGGCGCGGGTCCAGGGAAATGCCAATCAAGGTCTCATTGATATCGCCGACGACGTCTCGGAAGCGTTTTTCGAGGTTGCTGTACATTTAGTACTGATGCGCAAGCCGGGGGAAGCTGTGGATCGCCAGCTGGCGCTTGCTGAGGTGGCTTGCCTCGACGGGGTCGGTTCCTCCTGGCGATTGTTTACATTGGCTGGGGGGTTGCAGTTGCTGGGGTGAGCAGATGCGAGCTGCCGAATATGCAGGGGTTGGCTGGGTTGGCAGTTGCATTCAGTTGCATCTTGGCGGCAGCTTCTGCGCTAAAATTGGGGTAAGTGGGCCATTCACCGCCAACCGTGGGGCATTGCGATGTGTTGGCAGCACTCAATCCATGCACATCACCTCTCCCTGGTATTCATGGGTATCAAACCAGACTCTTCGATGCAAGGAACCGCCAGTGGTGGATCGGGTTTGCAAGGTTATTGGTTATTCAACGACGGACTGAAGCAGAGGAAGAAGAAGGCAGCAATGAAAGAAGCGGAGAACCCTCCGATCTGGGTACCTTTCCCCGGAGAGTGTTGCCGGGAATCCACAACTCTCAATAATATGCGAGTTGAGAAATCTCAAGGTATCTAACTATCTACCGTGCAGTTCGTAAATGCAGCCCTCTCTCTACCTCTACCTCTAAAAGCAAGCCCAGCTCCCAATAACGCCCACACCCCCTACCAAACCATTCAACGCTCCAACCCCCTCCCCAACAAAACCCCCCCCACCTCCTTAACCAACCCCATCCCCCTCCCCACGCCCTCCCCCTCCCCCTTCCTCACCACCTCCCCGCCCGCCTCCATCACCCGCAACAAGTCCACCACCTCCCCCTCCAGCGGCACACAATACACCAACCAGCCCAGCGCCAGCAGCATCCCCTCGAGCGCCTCCGCCGACGTGTCCTCCTGCACGATCGCCTCCAGCACCGACGCCGCCAATTCCACCTGCTCCGCCTCCGGCAGCAGGTCCCCGGGCCCCGCGCGGCGCTTGCGGTTGTTGGCCAGGGCCACGTTGAACAGCAGGGCGGCGGCGGCTGCGCGCGTGTTGGTGTGGGCGTCGTCGAGGAAGCTGGAGGAGATGAGCTGGGTGAGGGCGGTGCGGAGCGGGGGGTGGGTGAGGATTTGGCCGGGGTAGAGTGGCGTGGTGAAGAGGTTGCAGGCGAGTTGGAGGGTGACGAGGCGTAGGGCGTAGGGGCAGGTGGTGGGGGAGAGGGTGGTGGTGACGTGGGTGAGGATGGCGGTGATGGTGTCGTGGTGGGTGGGTTGTTGTTGTTCCTCGGCGAGGTAGCCGCTCACGCGCGGGTCGATGAGGGCGCAGCGGAGGAGGTCGATGAAGGTGAAGAGGAGGTCGGGAGGGAGGGTGGTTAGGGAGGAGCGGATGAGGGAGGTGAAGGCGGCGAGGTCCGGGAGGGTCGTCTCGGCGGGCCCGTCGGAGGTGCGGGACTCGATGAAGGTTTTGATGCTCTGGACCGCTGGATGGGCTGCGGTCGCGCCCATCTTTGCGAGGAGCTTCGGCAGAGGGGGGATCTTGGTGAAGGTGACGTAATCGGCGGCGGGATTGGAAAAGGTGGGTAAATCAAGGGCCTGGTGCGGGTGTGGTGGCCATGCCATTTGGACGAGGAGTTGGACGTTGCCTCGCAACGCACTTGGGTCCGCGCCGCTCCACCGGTTCTCCTGCTGACCTTTTAGGAATGTAATGAATGTCGGCGTCGCCGAGATGGAGTATCGACTGCCAACATCCAAAGCTTGCGAAGTATCGACTTTGATCAGGACCCCCTTCTCCCCGATCTCACCCGCGAGCTCATCATAGAGCGGATAGAGGGTTTTGCAAGGAGGGCAGGTGGCCGAAGTGAAAAAGACAACAGCGCATGCTTTCTCGAACCTTCCCAGCAACTCGTCGAGCTGCCCTAAATTCGAGACAACGTGGACTTTGCTAAGGGGACGGTGGAGCTCTGACTGAGGCTTGACCGAGCTGCCCGGGGTCTGCTGCTCGATGCCGAGAATGTTGCCTCCGCGTTTGTTGGCGTTGATTTGCTGTGTTAGCGTGGGCAAGATCATCTGACCAAACGGTGAATCTCTGCCACATATTAGTACCTCTCGTCCCGGTTCGTTTCGCTGAAGACCTTGGAGAGGGCCCCTGGATAGACTTACAGAACAGTTTGAGGCATGTTGGTGATATGGCTAGGGATCCCTTTGCCCAAGAGGAACGTGGCGAAGTCGTTTGAGAAATTGTTGCAGTTGTGCCTCCACAAGTCGTAGGCCTAGAGATTGTTAGTATCCCATGTCCGTAATCGCGAGAAGTGTGATAGTCAGCTTGCCTCGACCGTGTAGATTTCCCGCAGTGAGTCTAGGTACTCCTCAATTACGTCCATGGGCACTTGAGCGCCACAAATCAGCACCATTATTCGAGGGATATTTCAAGGGTAGTCTGCGTCTGTGAATACGTACACTCGGTCGTCCCAAGATGTAACTTTTGCATGGGCTGCCCGAGGTGCGACGACCCCGGTCTGATGGCAACAATACTGCCATCATACACGTATTCTCGCCCGTTTAATTGTATTGCCGTGTGGTAGATGGCATCGAGCTGAAATCCAAGCAGGCCGAGGGACATCTGACGCGCGAGGCCCCTTGAGAGGTCATAAACGAGAAGGTGGACGTCCATGACGACGGCGCTGTAATGACGGGTTACGGGTTCGTGCAATAGTTACAGTCTGATGGCCGTGATGGGGCGGATTCTTCCTAGCGGTCTGGGGGTGGGACACTGCCAAAAGAGAGCAAAGTTTGGTCAATTTTGATGTACTTTCAAAGGTATATGAAAGAAGAGTGGCCGAGTTTCTGATCTGATCCGGCTCGAAGGCAGCGAGCGGTTACGAGGCCAGCCTGAGTACGCTACGGCTTCTGGAAGCCTGGAGAAGAAACCTTGTAACTTTGCCGCTGGTATGTTACAACTCAATACATAGGTAAGAAACGGTTGGTAATCAAAGGACGTGTAATCTGTAGATAAGTAAGACACCGAGGTCCGGAATAGTTACAATTAGGTAGGTAGTTCCTCCTACAACCCTCATCTACATCTTGAATGTATCCGCATGCCTGGGATGATCTGACTCGTGGCTGGAGTGCCGGAATCAACCCGCACACGACACATCCCCGGGTGTCCCCTCGTCCTTGACGGGCTCGCCGATCTTGCGAAGGAGGTTGGACCAAACCGACTGGGCCGGGGCAACGCCCACGGGTGCGGCCCAGAGAGACAAATCCGGGAGCGCCTCTTATCAGATGTGATATCGAAGTTCGAAAAGGGCCCGGGTAAGGCAAAGCAAGCGAAAGTGTGAGAATCAGCCATGCTGGTTGTCGAGACCGCTGGGTTGTGTGTTGTTAGTCCAGCCAACGGCGAAAGTGGAGAAGCTGGGTGAAAAGTGGAAAGTCTTGGTCAGAGGTACGCCCTATCAGAACGAAGAAAGTGGGCCCGAGAGACGATGACAGGGGTGCCTTGTGGCCTTTCGCGTCATTCCTTGCAGGGCCGTTTCATTCAACAGGCTGTCAGAAAATCAAGATCCATCCATTCATGGATTGCCAGGTCTGGAAAGCCAAATCTTGGACAACCAACCCCTATTCATCAACCGCACCTCCACGTTTTTTTTGCCTGGAGGTTTTGCCGCTGTTGCACCTCCTCCTGAGCGGCGACTGCGATTTGATTTTTGCGGTTCCTGCGTTTGCCAGCAACTGCCTTCATGTCTCTCGTTTAACGCCCCTTCAATTCGATTTAATCGCCACTTGGCTGGCATGTGCGACTTGGCCTCGAGCCCTTGAACCTCGAAAGCCACCTTCAGCTTTCGCCTCCTTAGGGACTCTAAACCCGTCCCTATGCGACGCACATCGGTCTCGCTGCCGACAAAGCACATCGCCTACGATCCTCACGAGAAACCCGACCGATACGACGACAACCGGGAAGAGAGTCTAATCATGAAGATGCAATCTGCTTGGGTATCGCAGTCGCAGCGGGCGCGCTACATTAAGACTGGCTCCATCATTTTCGTTGTGTTTTTGGTCTTCTACTTTTTCTCGCCCTCAGGGGTAGATATCTATAATGGAGGTATGTTTCGCAGGAAGCTGGAGGACGTGTGCCCTTGCGCGATGTCGAGCTGACCCGAGTTCCAAGGATCATCAGTTGGAGGGCAAGCTGCTCAAGGCCAGACACCATCCGACTCGTCTTATGGCACCGACAAATGCACCAAGTCCTTCTCCAAGGACAAGCCCATCGTTCAGTACGTCTCCATGGTCGACGCCGGCAGCACCGGCTCGCGCATCCACGTCTACAAATTCAACAACTGCGGCGCCGCCCCCGAGCTCGAGGGCGAGGTCCTCTTCAAGATGACCGAGAAGATCGAGGGCAAGAGCAGCGGGTTGAGCGCGTACAAGGACGACCCCGAGGCCGCCGCCCAGAGCCTGGACCCTCTCCTCGACGCGGCCCTCAAGGTCATTCCCGACAAGCTGAAGGGCTGCAGCCCGATCGCCGTGAAGGCGACCGCCGGTCTGCGGTTGGTCGGAACCGAGAGGAGCGGGAAGATCTTGGAGGCCGTCAGGCACCGCCTGGAGACCAAGTACCCCTTCCCGGTCGTCTCCGACCAGGAGGGCGGCGTGTCCATCATGGGCGGCGCCGACGAAGGTGTCTATGCCTGGGTCACGGTGAACTACCTGCTCGGCAAGATTGGCGGCCCCGACCACAGCGAGACTGCTGCCGTGTTCGACCTCGGCGGCGGTTCCACCCAGATCGTCTTCCAGCCGACCTTTGAAGGTCTCAGCTCCGGCGGGATGCCCGAGAAGCTCGCCGAGGGCGACCACAAGTACGACCTCAGCTTCGGCGGCCAAAAGTTCAGTCTCTACCAGCACTCCCACTTGGGCTACGGCCTGATGGCGGCGCGGGAGGCCATCCACGCCACGCTCGTCGAGGACCTCCATGAGCAGAACAAGGACGACGCCGCCTGGACCAAGAACGCCGTCGTCAATCCCTGCCTCTCGGTCGGCACGTCCAAGAACGTGACGGTCAAGCTGGGCGACAAGCACCCGCTCGGCGAGAGCCTCGACCTGACCATGACGGCGCCGTCCACCGCGGGGGCGACCCAGTGCCGCAGCCTGGCGGAGCGCATCCTCAAGAAGGAGGCCGAGTGCAAGCTGGCGCCGTGCTCCTTCAACGGCGTGCACCAGCCGTCCATCGCCAAGACCTTTGCGCGCGAGGACATGTACTTTTTGTCCTACTTCTACGACCGCACCCAGCCGCTCGGCATGCCCGAGTCCTTCACCCTGCGCGAGCTGTCCGACCTCACTAGGAGCGTGTGCGGCGGCGAGCAAAGCTGGGACGTCTTCGCCAGCGTGCCCGGTGCCCTCGACGAGCTGCGCGACCGCCCCCAGCACTGCCTCGACCTCAACTTTATGTTGGCCCTGACACACACCGGCTACGAGATGCCGCTGGACCGGGAGGTGCGGATCGCCAAGAAGATCAAGGACAAGGAGTTGGGATGGTGTCTGGGCGCTAGGTAAGCCTTTCTTGACTCTTTCCACCAACGTACTCGACCCGTGATTGCTGACTCGTTGTATAGCTTGCCGCTCCTTTCTAAGGGATCTGGATGGGAGTGCAGAATTACTGAGACACATTAGGGGGAGGAAACATGAATTGAGCTGGTTGGATCAGGGGGGGAACATGATTACGTGTTCAAATAGCACATCAAGCCCGGCGAGGCGTGATGCTCTGATTTGTACGACTGAAGAAGTACAACACGGAACGAAGGGATAGACAACGTTATTTATCTAATGTAGTGTGGGTATTATGGGCCAACTATGGTCTCTCAAACCTTGTTCTCCTGGTTTTCCCAACAGTGATATGTACCACGCCCAAACCTCCCACCTCCCGTAATGTACTCTATCCCCCCACCCAAAACAGGTACCCAAAACTAAAACTAACCCGGCACCCTCACCGCCCCCAAAACCTCCTCCAACACCTCCTCCACCCCCACCCCCTCCAAAACCCCCCTCACCACACCGACCTCACTCCCCCACTGCACACTCCGCTCCAGCTCCATCCCAACCCCAACAACCCCAACCCCACCCCCACCCCCCTCCCCATGCGCCCCAATCCCAACCACCCTCAACCGATGCCCATAAACCTTCCTCGCCGCCACCCCGACCAGCGCCGGCGTCACGTAGTCCAGCCCGTGCAGCGGCGCCAGCGACCCGCTCAGCCTGGCTAGGTGCTGGGTCGCGATCGTCGAGATGCTGCTACCCGGCGCGATGGCGCGGTGGGTGCGCAGGAAGGAGACGATGTTGGCTTGGTAGCGGGTGACGGCGATGGAGGTGTGCGCTGTGAGGGAGAGCTGGGAGAGGTGGGAGATTTCGTGGTCGGTGAGGGTGGGGTGGGGTGGGGGTGGTGGGTTGGGCTGTTTTTGGGGTTGTTGTTGTTTCGGTGGTGGTTGTTGCTGTTGGGGTGGGATGCTGGGAAGGTTGGTGCCGCTTCGGGCGGTGCTGGCGGTGCTGTTCTTGCGGGGCCGCCAGTGGTCTTGGTGATCGATGGATGGGATGCCGAGGCCGGTTGTGCCGAGGGAGGAGTGCCGGTTGAGCTTGACTACGCTGGTGCTGGAGGTGGTGGAGGCGGCGTCGTCCGCGTCGTCGTTCACGTCCTTGTCGTTGGGGGGCCCGGGCGGGGGGTTGAACGCTTCGTCGAGATAGGGGAAGCCATCCTCCTCTGGGTCGTGCCAGTGGCTGAGGTAGAAGAAATCGTTCAGGTGGGGGGTGACCCGCGCCTGTCCGATACTGCTGGCGCCGACTATGGCGATAAAGAGAAACTGCTTCGGGGCTGTCTGTACGCTTGTTCTTGTAAATATGCGGCGCGTGCGGAGAAGCTCGAGAGCTTGAATTTGGACGGCCCGGGGAGCGCGATCCAGGTCCTTAGCCAGGACGACGTTGGCGATCCGTGGTTGTGAGAGCTGCGAGCTACTTCCACCGGCGGAAGACGAGATTGGGCTTATGGGCCCTCCAATGCGCGGGGATGGGCTGAGCGGAAAGTAGGACCCGGGTGAGGGCCCTAGACCCCCCACCGAGAGCTGCGACTGCTCATGACGCGGCCGGTATGGGGACACGGAACGGGTGTTGCCTGGTGATGGCGGTGTTCGAGCTGGGTGGACGAATAGACCTGTCGCAAACTCGTCGAGTGTCGTGTGGGCGTGGCAGCTGATGATGGCGGAGCTGAGGTTAAAGGTCTTGGATGCGATCAGGCGCAACTCTTCGGCCAGCTCGTCGACGCTGTCGGGCTCAGTGCTAACCAGGCAGTGCTCGCGGGCGATGAGGCTAAGGAGGACGGCGAGTTCGAGGTCGCTGAGGTTGTGGATTTTGTCGAGAAGCTGTTCATCCGCCATTGGATAAATATATGCCAGCTCCTAGAGACTCAATCCAGCCCATGCGCGGCCGCAATGATAGCAGGTAGGTCGAAGTGAGTTGGGAACTTGTGACAGCGAAGTTGCCAAAGCTTCGCCCAATTAACTGAGTTATCCCAATCCAAGCCTTCTTCCCTTGCTCCTCTTTCACACCTTGTCGTCTATGCGCTGATATTTGGTATGCCGCCTTGCCATCTCTGGTACTGCTCCGTATATATGCCGGTGTTCGGTATCCGGCTCGAGTGTCGTCGCGCTGTTGCTCGTGTGCTTCACTGTCAGCTCGTACTGTGAACTGTCGGCTTGGCTGCCACCGAAGCTCGGCGGAGCACTGTGCGGCTTGGGGGAACTGAAGCTCAGACCAATGCGGCGGGAGCGGGAAGAAGCAATGGACCATTTTGCATGCACGCATCAACGCTAAGCCGAAAGTTGCCTGGTTTCATCAGCGGACCAACATTACAGATTTATGATTGGCCCTGGCTTCAATCCGGTCATGCTGCCTGCCCTGCCTTGCAGCTTGCCAGCCATCAGTGGGCTCCGCTCTTCGCCAGCGTCACTCCTCCAACGAACGCCCAGTCCCCAACAACAGCCCCGTCGTTTGTCAGTACCGCTGCGACTTGTTTATTCCAACCGATATACCGTTTGCGCCCTTGAACCGAGTGGCGCTTATAACACCAGAACCTCTTATTATCTCTTTATCGGGGATCGCATACCAGCATCAGCAAGTGTTCCAGTCCCACGTTACTCGACTCGACTCGACTCTCGATCGCCTTCCCCACACCATTCACGATTCAGCGAGACACCGGCGCCATGTCTAAGCAAAAGAAGGTCCTTTTGAAGGTGGGATGCGCCGGCATGGATATCCCGTTTGCACCGTTTGCTAATGGCGTGAATTCCAGGTCATCATCTTGGGCGACAGCGGTGTCGGCAAGACGAGTCTGATGAACCAATATGTACGCTGCCGAAGCTCCTATCCGACCGCTACTCGACGCTCCCGAATTGAAGGTCTGACTTTGCATCGCACTACAGGTCAACAAGAAGTTCAGCGCCAGCTACAAGGCCACGATCGGGGCTGATTTCCTGACTCGCGAGGTCATGGTGGACGACCGCCGGGTTACGATGCAGGTGCGCAGGCGACCCCGACCCCGACCCCGACCGAGGAGCTCAGGCTTGTCTACTGGAAGAGCGCGCGCTAACATACGACTTTGATAACAGCTCTGGGATACGGCAGGCCAGGAACGGTTTCAGTCTCTCGGCGTGGCCTTTTACCGAGGAGCTGATTGCTGCGTCTTGGTGTACGATGTCAACAACTCCAAGAGCTTCGACGCACTCGACAGCTGGCGGGACGAGTTCCTGATCCAAGCATCCCCGCGAGACCCGGATAACTTCCCGTTCGTGGTGCTTGGAAACAAGATCGACGTGGAGGAGAGCAAACGAGTGGTGAGTTGGGCTGGAGCTTTGCGAGAGTGGACGGGGGTGGTGCTGACGAATTTCAGATCTCGAACAAGAGGGCTATGACCTTCTGCCAGTCGAAAGGAGGCATCCCCTACTTTGAGACCAGCGCAAAGGAGGCGATCAACGTAGAGCAGGCATTTGAAGGTAGGTGGCCATCGGCACCAGAAGCGAGAGAGGGCCAGGGCTGACCGTCCATAGTGATTGCAAGGAACGCGCTGCTTCAAGAAGAGTCGGAGGAGTTCAGCGGGGACTTCCAGGACCCGATCAACATCCACATCGAGAACGACCGAGACGGTTGCGCATGCTGAGCAGGGAGGAAGCTAAATTGATTCGGATTTCACTTGTTCTACTGGTTATGTGCTTTGTATGATATCATGCCTGGTGTGTCTGGCTGCTTTTGCTCCAAACGGGAGAGTTCCGGTTGTCATTTGTGTCCCAGGGTTAGCGTCTGTGGGATGCCTCATAGAGGTGGATGCCTTGGTGTAAATTGAATACTATACAGTATATAGTATCCGGTCTATCAGTGCTGTACGATGGTGGGTTCATCTGATGTTGCGACTGTGGCACTGGCCTCAACATAAAGTACACAGCCCCAACTCTGCTTCTCTTGTGAGTTCAAACAAGGGGCTCCTGACCTCGCCCAAACATAACCACCTTTTCGACTCACAACTATCACATACGACCATACCTACCTGAAAATACGGGATCCCGTCCGCTCTCCCCGAGTCAAACAAGTAAGGGCCAGACCAGTAGTTGGGTCGGTGACGACCAGCGAATCCCTGGTGTTGTATGTTTTTGACCTTTTTGCTTACTTGTATGTTTCTCGGTTGGTCCCAACCTACCCCCGACTCTAATTACAAAGCCAACTTATTTAAATGGAACTATTATAGTTAGGAGCTCATTTCTTTGCTTCGAGGTAAGCAATGCCCAATTAATTGCATTTGCTGTACTTACCGCGTTTGTATCAACCCAGACACTCCTCCTTAGTACAACCAACCCTAACCCCGCATCACGAATTCGCACCATTTTAGGGATGGTCAGGGGCTGTCTTGGCGTTGATGTCCTTGGTCAGTCGCGTGCACACGGCAACCCACACCAGAGCAAGTCCGGTCAGTCCCGACTTGAATCCTCCAACAAACCCCGGCCCTTCGCTCGTGTGAGACATTGTTGTGCGGGTGCCGCGGTAGTTCGTGCGACCACTCTCCTTTGCTATCTCTGCGCTCCTTTTGCTTTCTATTCCTTTACGAAGTCAGTTATAACCCATCGACTTGTTGCCCAGCATCACCTGAATTTGTCCCGCTTGGTTTCGGCATCCTCGGTTTTATTTCGCCCGGAAATGCGACAACCGTCAAGGCCGTCTCCGTCCGCCGGCCCGCGCTCGTTCGTTCCTTCGCGGGGTTGATTCCACGCCTCCACGATAAGATAACAATACCGAACTCGATTTACGACCCGTATACCATATACTCTCCGGCTGCCTGGTGCTATAAGTCGGAAGGGGCTACAAGTTGGGGTTGAACCACGCCAGCCAACGGAGATACCACACCATGGCGCCCATCGAACCGCTGCTCCCGGGGGAGCTAGCGCCGGAGCAGAAACAGACAGACGAGGTCATACAGCACTCTACCAATACACACCCTTCTTCGTCCCGGCGCAGGTCGCACTCAGTCACAGCAAGCATGCTGTCCGCAGCAGACTTCGAACCACCACTCTCCCGCTCCCCGTCCACAGCAGCCATGACTTCCGACTCGAGGACAACAGGAACAAACACATCACGAGGCAGCAACATACGCGAGAAGCTCGGCCTCGGCGGTGTCGCCCGGCGCACCCTCGGGATAGGGCTGCTGCTAGTTGTCGTGTTTCTATGGACCACGTCCAACTTCCTGGCGAGCGTGAGTTCCCCCTCCCGATACCCATACCCCTCTCCCACCGCGAATCTGCCAACCACTCGGTAGGCAGTGTGTGTGGGGGGGCAGGATAGCTTCGGGCCACTAACGAAGGAACGACGCCTTGCAGTACATCTTCTCCGACGGCACCTACAACAAGCCCTTCTTCCTCGTCTACGTCAACACCTCCTGCTTCGCCTTCTCCCTCATCCCGCTCACCATCCGCTACGTCATGCAAAACGGCATCGACGCTCTCTTCGCCGGCGCCCTGCAATTGTGGCGGGAGAGGAGGCTGGGCTTCACACTGCTGCGGGGGAGTGCGCGGGACGAAGAGGGGGACAGGGGTGGCCGTTTTGGTGGCGATGGCGATGACGATGCGGGGGAGAGGCTGCTGGTGGATGACGAGGGGAGCCTGGAGGCGCTGGACCTGCTGCCGGCGAAGGATGACAAGCTGAGCTTGGGCGAGACGGCGCGGTTGAGCCTGGAGTTCTCGATGCTGTGGTTCGGGGCGAACTACTTTGCCTCGGCGTGCCTGGAGTACACCAGCGTGGGGAGCGTGACCATCTTGACGTCCACGAGCAGTATTTGGACGTTGATCTTCTGCGCGGTTACCAAAGTGGAGGGCTTTACCGTGCGGAAGCTGGTCGGCGTGCTGGCGTCGCTGGTGGGCGTGGTGCTCATTTCGTCGGTGGACTTGTCTGGGGCGAACGACGACAACAGGGGGAGTTTCCCCCACAAGACGACGGCGCAGATCGCCATTGGGGATGCCATGGCGTTTTTCAGCGCCATCATCTACGGTGTTTATGTCACTGTGATGAAACGGAGGGTTGGGAACGAGGATCGCGTGAATATGCCGCTGTTCTTTGGGCTGGTCGGCCTGTTCAACGTGCTGCTTCTCTGGCCAGGCTTCTTCATCCTGCACTACACCGGCATTGAGCCGTTCGAACTACCACCCACCGCGAGTGTATGGACCATTATCGCGGTAAGTTTTACGGGCAACGTCACGAAGGAAAACTTGCTGACGCATCTCAGGTCAATTCTGCCGCGTCCTTCTTCAGTGATATCCTTTGGGCATATGCTATGCTGCTCACGACGCCGCTTGTCGTCACGGTCGGCTTGTCCCTGAACATTCCCCTCTCGCTCATCGGCGAGATGATTCAATACTCTCAGTATTCGAGCTGGCTATACTGGGTGGGAGCTGGAGTCGTATTTATATCGTTCTTGTTTGTCAACAACGAGAGCCACGAAGATGGCGCAGACGGGAAAAATGACCCGGCTCCGGGAGTCGAGAGGTCAGCCGTATAACATTTAGATCCCCGGTATTTGTTAGAAGACACGTAGAGTTCTTCGTATGCTAGCATTCTAGAGCATAGATGATGATTCAGGATACCCATCGCAGGTTGCCCCTGATGGTCGGGTCTACCAGTTCGTAATCGAATCGGCATTGTCCCAGCTTGGAGCACAGGACGAGGATACGGGGGCTTGCAACGCTACTAGCGCTCTTGTGCTGTGCACGAAGTTGTGCCTCTTGATACAAATTAAACCCAGACTATTAGGGCTTTCTCACGGTCAACGAACGTTCTATCAGTGGTCGTTCATGGGACTCCTGATGCCTTGACACTTCTCGGCGTTTCACTGCGTTGCAACTACCCAGCCGGCAACCGACTCCCATCTGGCTTGGCTGTACAGTCCCAATGGTTAACCTATCCGACCTGGCACTCTTTCGCCTTACTTCGCTGCAGTTAGCTGCAGCGGAACTGCCAGCACCTCTGCGACACAAATGTTCTTTTCACCCAGAGGGCGGACAAAGATTGGTTGGCAGATCTACGGGCAGACAGACCTGTATGAGTTGCCTTGCTCGGGTCTTCCGAACTTTCGTTGCCTTCCGGTCAGAGTCACCTGCACTTCCTGGGCAGCGGCAAGCGAGGCCCAAGTCACCCATATTTCTAATGGTTATGGCTTCCAGGCTATGATTCCCGGTACCAGCCACTGCAGGCGGTACATTGTCATGGCAAACGGCTCTTAAATTATACCTACCTAGGAAGCTATCCAGTTTGCTACCCTCACAAACCTACTACCCAACATCCATATTGTAACTCTCATAAAACACTAATACGCTCCCTCGACAGCACCCTTTCCCTCTATGTTCTCCATAGATGTTAGACCATCGCACCCACGGACCTAAATACGAGTCTGTAATGGATTCACAGGACGGCACCCCTAGGTCTCAGGGCCGCCATCTCGGAGACAGCATTAATACCGCCACCAGGACGCTTCACACCAAGTTGAACAAGATCATCCTACAACACTTCCCGTTCGCCCTACCCCCTCATGCGACCGACCCCTCCATCTACGTCACCGGCCTCCTCCACATCGCTCCTATCTATCTCACCTTCGAATCTCTCTGGCAAGACATCCTCGACGGCCACGACGACGCCAACCCCAGCCCCAACCACCACGCCACATCCCTCCCGCCACCATGCGAACCACGCATCCTCGCCCCCCTCCAAGCCCTCTATCACCCCCTGTTAGCCCGCACCAACCCCCTCCTAACCGACATCCGCACCATCACAAACCAGCCAGACCTCACCCCCACCACCACCACCACCGCCATCACCGCCACTGTCGCCCTCCTCGCCGAACTCACCGCCCTCTCCTCCTCCCTCCAGCAGAACCCCCGGCAGAGCAATCAGCAGCAGAATACTCAACGGGCCGTCTTCCTCGCCCGTATCCGAGAGTCGGTACACGCCCGCCCACACGTGCTGTTGGCGTATGCGTGGGTCTTTTACATGGCGCTGTTTTCGGGTGGGAGGGTGCTCAGGGGGTTGTTGGAGGGGGTCGGGGAGGGGTTTTGGGGGGGTGTTGCTTGTCAGGAAGGGGGCGGTGCTGAGGGTGAGGGTGAGGGTGAGGGTGAGGGTGAAGGTGAAGGGGGGGATAATTTGGGTGCCGGGTCGTTTTTGGACGGGGAGAGGGGAAAGGCGATTGTTGTGGCGGCGCTGGAGGGAAGGGGGTTAGTTGAGGATGGGTCGGTGTTGAGGAGAAGAGACTTGCCGTTGGGGTTTTTCAGGTTTGACACGCCGCGGGATGGGGAGGATTTGAAGGTGGAGTTTAAACAGAGGTTTGGGGAGGCGGGGAGGGTGTTGACGCATGAGGAGAGGGATGAGGTCGTCAAGGAGGCGGCGGAGATATTCGAGGATATGATCAAGCTTGTAGATGAGCTCGACAACATGCTCGGGAACACCAAGTCTTCGGGCTGCCCTAGACCTGTCAAGCGGAGGGAAAAGATGGCCACCACGAACGGTGAATTGGCGAGTGGAAAGGGATGGAGAGATGTTGAGCCAGCCGCCGGGTTCGCGTGGTACCTGGTTGTGGGATCCCTACTCGCCGGCGTCGGAATATGGGCGGGATATGCTTGGAAGTGAGGCGCGAACGATATGGCCTTAGCTTCTTCAACCCCCTAAAAAGTAACGTCCATAGAATGAATGGTATGCGTACGTAATTCCATTGCTTACAACATATGCTACTCCCGAGCTTGACACTACCTAGCTACCCTAACACCGCGCAATGCTATAAGAAACAAGAACAATGCCACCTTATGCGCCGTAACCGCTGGTCCCATGGTATGCCTGATATAAACAACCCAACAACCCAACCCAAACCTTAACCACAATCCAAATACAGCACCCGACACCCCCACAACACCAAAACCCGCAACAACTTCATACCACACCCCAACCACACCCAACCCAAACCTTAACCACAATCCAAATACAGCACCCGACACCCCCACAACACCAAAACCCGCAACAACTTCATACCACACCCCAACCACACCCAACCCAACCCCCAACATCACCAATCATCCGCATCCCCCTCCCACTGATCCCCCACATCCGCCCAACCACACCCCCACCTGCGGCCCTCCCCCTCCCCCCCAGTCCTCAAATCCGCCGCCCTCTCCCTCTCCTCACTCCAGCAACGCACGAGAAAATCATCCCCCACGGTCACCAACTTCCCGTCGCTCGTCCACGCCACGGCGCCGACCTCCTTACCGTGGCCGCGCACGAGCGGCGTGCCCCTGCGCACGACAGGCGTGGCGCCGCCGCCGTCCGACTGCCGCGCAAACAGCTGGCTCATGCTATTCGTGCGCGTCAGCGCCGGTCGGGTGGCGGATGCCGAGGCTGAGGTGGCGGACCGGAGACCGGGCCGCGGGTGTGAAAGGGGGGCTTTGTCGGTGGGGTTGCCGATGTAGTAGGTTTCTTCTTCCTGGTCGGGGGATGATGATGATGAGGAGGAGGTCCAGGCGTCGCGCAGGTAGCGCTCGTCGGTGGGGAAGAGCACGGCGGCGCCGTCGGAGCTGCCGACGGCGAGGAGTTCCGGGCGGCCCTCGGCGGCGGGCCGGATGGCGGTCTTGACGTAGAAGCTCGTGGCGTGGAAGAGCGGGTGGCGGAAGCCGTAGAGCGGGCCGAGGCCCTCGTGGGCGGCGCCGTGCGGGTGGTGGCGGCGGCGCGGCGGTTCGGTGCCCGGGCGGGCGGGGGTCAGTTCGGAGGCTTGGCCGAGCATGAGGTGGGCGGTGCTGTAGGCGTAGACGGTGTTGTCTTTGCAGAGGGCGTACAAGCGCGTGCCGTCGCCGCCGAGGGTCATGGAGCAGATGCCGAAGGGGCGGAAGGCGACGTGGCTCGGGGGTGGCGCCGTGTAGGAGACGGGGGTGCTGGCTTTGTGGTGCCGGCTGGTGTGGACGGCACGGATGTCCCACAGCTTGATGCTGGCGTCGGCTTCGCAGGCGGTGAGGAGGAGGTGCTCACGGCCGGGAGGGAGGAATTGCATCGCTGTGACCGAGACCTCGCCTATGCGGCCCGGGACTTCGCCCAGGCGAGCAACATCCCCGGGATTGGAAGAAGGCAGGTGACCTTTGCCCTGCCTGGTCGTCCGCGCGTGCGCGTCGTAAATACTGTTAACTACACAGCCCGGGTTGAGCGGCTTTGGCAGACGGTGGCGCAGGCCAGCCTCGGAAGCGATGCCCAGGTCCTGCACTGGTCCACCTCGGCACCGCAGATCCCAAATCTGAACGCTGCCGTCACGACCCGAGGTTGCCAGAACACAACCGGAGCCGCGGCCAGGCTGGAAGCGTACCTGCTTCAGGGACGCTGTGTGGTGGCCGAGGATGGAGACGGGTCGTTGTGTCATCATATCAATGACTCTGCCGGTTTGATCCCCCGACGCGGTGGCCAACAAGTGGTCGTCCTCGGAGAAATCCAGGTCGATGATGGCGTTGCCGTGGGCCTGGAACGACAGATGGATTTTCGAAAAGTCCTTCCTCGAGTCTAGTAGGCGTACATAACCTTCCTCGTCACCAACCGCCACAAGGCTGCTTTCTAGAACGAGTTAGTAGAGCGGATGGCGAGCGACCCAGTCCTTTACTCACTATGACAGGTAGTTGTGCAGAAAGGGATAGCACGCGGTGCTCCCTCATGGCTGGACGAGAAATGGGCATCTTCAGGCCGGCTCTGGAAATCGGCCGTTTCCGTCCTCCAGTCTAAAGGGGTCAGAACGCATCTCGGGAGTAAGAGACGGGGGTAAAATACTCACCAGCAACAGGACATTCCAACGCCCGTTCGCTGGCAAAGCGCATAGTACCCGTCATCCTCTGTACCAGCTGAGCCCCCAATCCTCGGCGGTGCAGCGGTACAGGACCCTTGGATGGTGCCGCCATAGCCTCCGGCACCTCTTCCTCATCATCGTCCTCGGAGACGTCATCATCCCTGTAGACAGTATCCTGCACGGCCCGCCGGGACCTTAGAGATTGAATGGGGCTGGCCAAGCCTGGCCTCAAGTCTGCGGTGGGAAGCAGAGGCGAAGAGTTCAGAGGTGACGGCAAATAACTCGTCGACTTCTCCGGGGTCGAGTGGTTGAACTTGCGGCGTTTCCCCCGGTGGGCGTCCTGGAACTGGGGCAGGTTGAGTTCTTCCGAGATGGGCTTGAGTGGGCTCGACGGTGTCTGGCAGCGGTTAAGGGCCGGGGCGGTGAGATCGCAGAGGGCTTTCCGGGCGGCGCTTGGCTTGGAGGAGACTCGAGATCGGGGAGTGAAAAATCGTTGAAACTTCCTAGGTGTAATCGACGGGTTTCTTCGCTCTTTGCCGCGGGTTGACGGTGCCCTCGGGGGTGATGAGAGGAGGCTGGCGTTCAAGGTGGCCGACCTCCTGGCGGGGGATGAAGGGATCTTGTCGGCCATGGTCAATGGCCTCCTTTTCGAGAGTAGATCCCAAGGTGACCTGAGGGAGTGTTGCCGATGGAATAGGTAATCGGATAGGATAGGAATTAGAGATTATCGAAAATGGAAGGATGAATGGCAAGAAAGAAAGACTCGAAATGTATTACACTCTGCAGACCAGAACTCGAATCATGCCAGGTCTAGTGCAATTTCTAGGTTAGGTTGTCGGGTCCTTTGGTTGTCTGTGTTCTGCTGTCTGCTTGGAGAATCCCGCGGTGAGTGAGGCAGGCGAGAGAGGGAGAGAGAGGGTCTATCAATCCCCGCCTCTCACTTGCTGCGGAACCTGGAATTTGCTGCAAGACGCGGTTCGCGGTGCAAGGAACGCGCTGGGCGTGCAGGGGTCTTTAAGTGGTTGAGGCTGGGCGCCCTATCAGATGCTGGGTTGCCGATCCAGGGACGTGTCAGGCCAATCAGCACTCCCAATCGCGCCTAAGGCGGGGCCACAGCCGCCAGCCCCCCGCGGAGTTTTGGGGCCCACCCCGTGGACAAAAGAAGCCGGACTCTAAGTTCAGACGTCAACCAAACATCGACTGTAGAAACGGAACTGAAGCCATCCAGGAGCTCAAAGCAACTGCGTTGGCTCGATTTACTCTTCTTATTTTGCTCGATATATTCTTCTTGATTTAGTTTTCGATTTCCTTTTCTTAATCCTCTTTGCTTAGGTTACCGCTTTCTTTGGGGTTCGGTCTCTTTTGGCCAGAGGGTGGGGCTTCCAAGCCCCCAACCTCGAACACCCACCCCACTTTCAGCAGCGAGCTTAACAATCCCGCCTTGTGTGTTATCGCTTATCGGTCTGGGTCTCCGCCAAAAATTTAGAGAGCCAGAGAGAGCAGAGGACGGGAAGCCATCGACAGCACGAGGACCCAGCCAGCACACCAAGGGGTCGCATCGCTTGCGACAAAACAGCCCGTATCATGGCGATCCAAAAGAAGCACGGCAAGGGCCGTCTCGACAAGTGGTACAAGCTCGCCAAAGAGAAGGGATATCGTGCGCGTGCCGCCTTCAAGCTGATCCAGCTCAACAAGAAATATGGCTTCCTCGAGAAGAGCAAGGTCGTGCTCGATCTTTGCGCGGCGCCAGGGGTACGTTCAATCGAATCTGAGACCACGAGTGTCACCAAAGCTAACAGGCCCAGTCATGGTGTCAAGTGTGCGCCGAGACGATGCCCAAGGACAGCATCATTGTTGGTGTCGATCTCGCCCCGATCAAGCCGATTCCCAAGGTCATCACCTTCCAGAGCGATATCACCACCGAGAAGTGCCGCGCGACCATCCGGACACACCTGAAGACTTGGAAGGCCGACTGTGTGCTCCACGATGGTGCGCCCAACGTCGGTACCGCCTGGGTGCAGGATTCGTACAATCAGGCCGAGCTCGCCCTCCATTCGCTGAAGCTGGCGACCGAGTTCTTGGTGGAAGGAGGAGCCTTTGTGGTATGTTTGAGGATAAGGGGTGAGGGGTCCGTCGTTGGGCGATACTGATCTTTCGACAGACCAAGGTCTTCAGGTCCAAGGACTACAACTCCCTGTTGTGGGTTCTTAACCAACTCTTCACCAAAGTCAACGCGACAAAGCCGCCCTCCTCTCGTAACGTATCGGCGGAAATCTTCGTCGTATGTCTTGGTTTTAAGGCGCCGAAACGCATTGACCCGCGCCTCCTCGATCCTCGTTCCGTCTTCGAAGACCTCGCGGACCCGGCGCCGAACAATGAGGCCAAGGTGTACAACCCGGAGATAAAGAAGCGGAAGAGAGAGGGTTACGAAGAGGGAGACTGTACGTATCCATGTTCTGCTCCTCGCTCGGCCATGCTGACACATTACAGACACGCAATACAAAGAAATTGCTGCCAGCGAGTTTATCCAGACGATCGATCCGATTGCCATCCTTGGGCAGTACAACCGGCTTACATTCGATCAACCGAAAAACGGCGATGTGGCATTGGCTGCCCTAGACAAACTGCCCGAGACAACAGAAGAAATCCGGCTGTGCTGCGCTGATCTGAAGGTCCTCGGAAGGAAAGAGTTCAAACTCCTCCTGAAATGGCGTTTAAGGGTCCGGGAAATCTTTGGGTTCCCTACCAAGAAGTCCGCTAAGGCTTCGCTTTCGGAGGAAGTGGCCGAAGTGGAGGATATGGACGAGGAGCTCAAGATCCAGGAGGACCTGCAAAAGATCAAGGACAAGGAGTCGTCCAAGAAGAAGAAGGAGCGGCGGAAGGAGAACGAGAAGAAGCAAAAGGACATCGTGCGCATGCAGATGAACATGACGGCGCCCATGGATATCGGTATGGAGCAGGAGGGTCCCAGAGGCGGGGATTCCATGTTCCGCCTCAAGGCGATCGACCAGACCGAGGCCCTGCGGAGGATAGCCAAGGGCAAGATGACCAAGATCACTGCGGCCGAAGAAGCAAAGAAAGACCGTGATTCCGGCATCGGCTCCTCGGGCGAGACGGACGACGAAACCGATGAGGAAGAGGATAGGCTGGAGCGGGAGCTGGACAACATGTACGACAACTACCGGGAGAAAAAGGCGGCGTCCGACGCCAGGTACCGAGCGAAGAAGGCCAGGAAAGAGCACGGTGACGACGAGTGGGAGGGCGTTTCGGCGAGCGAGAAGGAGGAGAGCGATGATGACGACGAGTTGCTCGAGGAAGACAGCAGCGACGGCTCGGACTCTGAGGAGCGCGGTGACACCAGCAAGCCGCTTCTGCGAGATCTCGACAACACACCCCAGGACGAGGCCGGGTTGTCAAAGCGGGCGCGCGGTTTCTTCAGCCAGGATATTTTCCAGAGTATCCCCGGGATATTGGACATCCCAGAAGAGGAGGAAAGCGAAGAAGAGAGCGAGGACGATGCGATGGATGTCGATCAGGTAGTGACATCCGACATCGAAGAGTCCGAGGACGAACTACCGAGTATTGAAGAGCAAAGGAAGATGCGCAAGGATAAGTCCGCGCGCAAGGAGAAGGAGAAGGGCTTTGAGGTGGTTAAACAGAAAGAAGATGATGAGGAGGACGACTGGGAGGAGGCAGAGAAGAAGACCAAGGATGGCAGGCCCAGTATGTCACCTCTTTTGAACCAGCCCGTTCCGAGACTAACGCGCGAATAGACATCGATATCATCACAGCCGAGGCCATGACGCTAGCCCACCAGCTGGCGCGCGGCGAAAAGTCGACCTACGACATCATCGACGAAGGGTACAACAAGCATGCCTTCAAGGACCGGGATGGACTGCCCGACTGGTTCCTCGACGACGAGGGCCAGCACGACAAGCCGCACAAGCCCATCAGCAAGGAGGCGGCGGCGGCCATCAAGGAGAAGCTGCGGGCGTACAACGCCAGGCCGATCAAGAAGGTCGCCGAGGCGCGGGCGCGGAAGAAGTTTAAGCAGGCCCAGAAGCTCGAGAAGCTCAAGAAGAAGGCTGATTTGCTGGCCGGCGATGAGGTTTGTTACATGCCTTCCTTCAAATTGCTGCTTCACTTTGTATGCTAACTAGCCGTCACAGGGAATGTCTGAGAAGGAGAAGGCTTCCAGCATCGCCAAGCTGATGTCTGCGGCCGGGCGGAAGAAGAGGAAGGCGCCTGTCAGGGTGGTCAAGGCCGCGGGCATGAACCGTGGTCTGTCTGGCAGACCCAAGGGTGTCAAGGGCAGGTACAAGATGGTGGATCCGCGCATGAAGAAGGAGATGCGCGCGCTGAAGAGGGTTGCGAAGAGGAAGTAGATGGGTTGTGGGTGGTTGGGGTGGTTGGGATGTTTATAGTATAAGGGCTGTATCATCGGGCTCGCAATGCCTTGGTGTTGGAATATCAACTGTCCAAGCGCCGCATCGCCGTGGTTCTGCGTGCTACTTTCTTTGATTTGACACTGACCTGACGAATGTGCTCAGTGGGTAGAGGGGCCCGGTAAAGTCCATGTCGTACCTGACCGAGATCGAGTTAGCGTCATGGAAAAACAAACAAACTGGTGGCGGGGCTTACCAGTAGTTGACGGCGATACACACCCCCTCGGGCGAGCAGCTTTGCGACACCTTGTGATACCTGCCATCTGTTAGTCTTCTTCCCAAAGTATGGGCCCTCCTCCATAGCAGCAGCAGCATGTAACTAACCACAAGCAAGGCAAATACAACATATCCCCTGGCTCCAGCGTCACCCTCATCGGCTGCACCAGCCTCGAATACGGCGTTGCATTCACCTCGGGCCTATCAGGGTCCCACGTCGCGAAGGGCACCGGCTCAACCCCCTCCTCCAGCACCAACCTCAACCCCTCCCCACCCTTCTCCCTGTCCTCCCCATCCCCATCCCCATCTCCACCACCTCCCCCATCACCGGCACGCACATAAACCCCCGACCGCAGCGCCCTCTCCGCGACCCCGGCCTGGCACGCCGGCGGCACCAGCACGAAGTGCTTGCGCCCGGCCACCTGCACGTACACGTTCTCGTAGCTGTCGCGGTGCAGCGCCGTCACCGACGCCCCGTTGCCCACCCACAGGTTGACGGCGTCGGGGCTGCGGCAAAGCGCGATCCGCGCCCAGGGGATGGTGGCGGGCACGTGGGTGAGGAGGGCGCGGTATTCGTGGTGCAGGTTGTCGTTTTGGGTTTGGGCGTAGCGGGTTTCTTTTTTGTTGGTACTAGGGGGGGCGCCTGTTGGGGTTGGGGGGGTTGTGAGGTAGTCGAGGAAGGTGCTGAAGGGTTGGTCTTCTTCGTGGGGTTTGGCGAGGACGAGGGTGGTGCTGCCGTCGTCGGGGGAGGTGTAAGGGGTTGGGGCGTCGGCGTTGCTGGGGCGTGGTTAGTTAATAGGGGGTGGTTTTGGTCGGGTCAAGGGGTTGGTTGATGTGGGAGATGACGTACCCCGCTGGAGTCACGGCAACGTTGACTAGCTCGTCGCCGAGGAAGTCCTTTAGATAGTCGACTGTCCATGTTCGTGTTGCTTGCCAGTCGGCTGCACCACCTCTCACTACGAAGGGGGTGTTTCGGGCGACATATCTCATAAATTCGAGTGGGCTCGGTTCTTCGTCGAGCTCGTCGATGATGGAACTGTTAAGTTCATGATAATTTGTAATGAGCTCTGCAATTGGATCGTTGGGTTGGGTGTCCTCCATTTTGATATTGTGAATTAAGGTTGGGTGAGGTTCTCATGATTACAGCTCTCATCGCCCAAAATTACTTCCTTCCCCAAAGTGATCACGCCCGACGGTATGGTGGAGCACGGGCCACTCTTAACTCGGGAGTCACTGACCCTTCTAGCGCTGTATATACAAGAATTGAAAGAAGAAAAGGAAAGAAAAAGAAAAGAAAAATAGTATTTAATTGATACGGTTTTTGTTCCTTCTCCTCTCATGAGAGGTGTACAAGTCGGTACATGAGTTATGCAAAAGCCGGCCAGTTTCAGGGGGTCTCCCTTGCGAGCGGCCCAAGCTCCTTCCAGCGCTCAAACCTGCATAACTTCAAGGCCCATCTGCCGCAAAAAGCAACCGTTTTGGCCCGCCGCTGGCAACCTGGCTCTTGAAACACCCACAGGAGCTCCGACCGTTCACTCGAGTCGCACAGTTGCGTGGTCCCCAGCGGCGCCACTGCTTCAATCGATCTCTTCGATGCACTCGTTTGCCAAAATGGGCCATCATCGTTAGCGCATCAACGCACCTGGCAGGCCCCACCAGCAAGCTCCCAGTTACGATCACCACTCCGGAACCTGGAATATCTCGAGACATGATTCTTGCATCGGCCACAACTACCACCATCAACCAACGTACGAAGTACTGTGTAACACCCAATTCGACGTCGGAGCGGTACTCCATCGAACCTTGACTGAGCTACACAATTTATACATGGATGTTACCGAAGCAGAAGCCTATCACCTGGAGGAGTCGCGTTTGCCGGGCTACCGGGCCGTCGTCACCTTTGACCATCTGAGTCGTCGCCATCATCGTTATCACCGCCATCGACGCTGTGACGTGCGCTGGGCACCCCATTTTCTTTCTTTTTAATCTTGACAAGGCCAGGTAGGCCATTAAAGAGTCCCTTTGCGACGACCAATATTTCCAGTTACCTGCCCCGGCACCGTATCATCGCCACCTCTCCCACCCGCGAAGCAAGACACCTTGGCAGACGACCTCAGCTGAGCACACAATAATGTTCTGCAGCTAGCTCCGCTGTTCTTTCTCTTGGAGGCGGCACCTAGTTCGATCACACATCTCCCGCGTTGAGCATCTCGTACTTCTTGTATATATCATTTTACATCAGCGCCTCCAGATACGGAGTGCCGCTGAATCCTGTCAAAAACACCACACATGGTGACCCAGACCCCCGGCTATTATGCTGTGGTATCTCCTTTACCCGCTCAGAGGGTGTGTGCTGTTGCTTTACTACTACCAATCCGCTCATAGACCCGACACTGACTTGCTTGTTACAGCACGACCGAGGCCCCAGTGTTGCCGCCCAGCCATCCGCTCCGAAGACTCCTCACCAGATATGGAAGATGGGTTGCCCGTCATGTCAAGACCGTTTTACCCCTGTCCGGCGCCGTTGTCTTCATATTTCTCTACCTTGTCCCCTTTCTTTACACTGTCGATTCCGTCAACATCACGAACGGCGTCTCGCCCCTCCCCCACCATGTCTGGACCGATGCCCAACCCCTGAGGGATGGGAGCGACGTCGAGCCCGACGTTGTCATGCGCTCAATCTGGGTCCATGGCAGCTACATGAAGGCCCTTGACCGCAATGTCTTGCTCGGGGCCCTCGAGCTGCAGGACGCACTCCTCGGCCCGACGACTGACTTCAACCCACGCCAACCGCACAGCACTCGGGTGTTACTCGACCCAGACGCTGACCCGGACGCTGACCTGGACCGCCAACAACGGGACGCCTTTCACATCAGCAACGGCCTGACCGACCAGTCGTGGTTCTTCCACTCTCCGTTGCAGTACTGGTCAGGCTCTGCCGAACACATCGCCTCGGACCAGGACCTCGTCTCCACCGTCAACAAGAAGAAAACGCAGCCGACCTTTGTTAACACGACTCTGCGCCACTCGATAGTGTTCAGCGGCAAGCGCTTTCAGGAACGCCAGATAGTGGCTGCCGACGCCCTGGTCATCACCCTGATTCACCGGCGTAGGTCTCCCGTGGCCAGGCAATGGGTCAAAAGGCTAGAGGCCTTAGCCCAAGATGCCACGCAGGACGGCAAGTGGCAGATCATCCCGCCCAGCGGTAGAAGCACGGGGAACCAGCTCTACCAGTTCCAGTTTCAGCCAATGACATGGTATGACTGGGCTATGCTGGTACCTGCCTACTCCATCCCGTTATACTACCTGTTGTACCGCCTGTCCAAACTGCGCGCCGTCAAGTCGAGGGTTGGCCTGATGGTCACCATGCTGGTACAGATCACAGCTTCCATCGTCTCGAGCTTCACCGTCTGCGCCATCTTCAAGGTCGATCTCTCGCACGTCCCTCTCCAGACGTATCCGTTCGTTATTCTCGCCATCAGTATGGAGAACTCGTTCCGGTTGATAAACGCTGTCATCGTAACGTCCTCCGCCATCAGCATCAGCGACAGGATCGGGGAGGCCTTTGGTGCGACTGCCCACATCGCTATCGCTAGCCCCATTCAAAACTCCCTCATTCTCTACGGCCTGTCCAAGACCGGTTCGCTAGGAGTCTCGGGCTTCTGCGCCTTTGCCACCATCGCCACCTTCTTCGACTTCTTCTACTTGGCCACTTTCTTCCTCGCCGTTCTTAGCGTTGATGTACGCCAAAGAGAGCTTTCTGAGCTTGAGAAGGCTTCGCTAAAACGAGGCAAGACCCCCCAAGGCGGGCTGCCTAAGCAACCCTGGATCAGTGGGATCTACCCATTCCGCCTGGCCGAGACCGCCATCTCAACGAGGATCGCAGGGTCCATTGTCTTGATCGGTTTCGTCCTCATCGCACAAGCCCATTACTCCTCCGAGGGCAGCCGCCAATGGCTGAACCAACTCTCCAACCTATCTTGGGGGGACGCTAAAAGCACCCCCAAGTCCTCGCTGTTAATTGATATCCACCAGGCCAGGAGCGCGACCTCCTGGCTGCGCATGCAGGATCGCGAGACTGCGCGGGAGGTTATCAAGGCCATCAAACCGTGGGCACACAGCTACGTGGCCCTTGTCTACGATCCCATCATTTTTATTCTAAAGGGGGCCGACCGCACCCCGGACACGGAAGAATCAAGGTTTTTACCAGCCGTGTACGACTTCATTCACCATCAAATTCCCCTGTTCGTTGTCTCCCTATTGACGACGCTGGCTGCGCTGCGCCTGTTTACGAACCATCTCATCAAAGACCAATTCAAGGATGACCCAGGATCCGATCATCCGGATGACGAGCCCTTGCTGTCGGTCCGGTCTTTAACCAAAGGGCACACGCTGGACGTTGCCATGCTGGCCGCATCGCCGGGAGGCAAGCTCGTCTCCGTCGGGCTCGACCGCGCCATTCAGGTTTGGAATGTGCCGACGGGGTCAAGGCGGCCAGTGCAGTGCGCCGCCGAGGTGCCACTGGAGAATCCGTTCCCGGTATTGAACCTAGCACTTGACGACAGATCAAAATGGCTCGCATTGGTCTCGTGGCAGAGAGTGTTTATCTGGAACATTGAGGAGAAGCGATGGGCAGATGTTAAAAATATTGACCTGGGCGGTCATAGGCCGGAGGCAGTGTTCTTCGTGGCGAAAGTCCCGAATGTGGCACCGACTCTAGTTCTGGTGAGGAGAAATGGCATGGGCCTCGAGTTGCCGGTGGCGGCTGAGGATTCCCGAGACTTTGTGATTTGCAAAACGCCTTTGGTCTGGGCGGTATCCTTCACTGGGCAGTGTAAGTCCAAACACCCCATCACCAGTTCCTCTCGCTGATCGTGTTCAGCAGGCAACCCCCAACAGCAAATACCCCCCGCCGCCATCCTTACCGTCTCTCGTAAGAGTTGCGTTCACCTTGTTAGGCAGCAAGGCGATGGGTGGCTGTCGACCGAAGTAAAGCTTGAAGGCAGTATGGGGACAAGGAACATACATTCCGTGCTCCCTATTCCCGCACTATCTAAATATCTGATCGGACGGCCCCAATCCGTCGATCTAGTCGACCTTGACTCGTCGACAGTCATCCACACCTTCCAGACAGAGATGATGCAGCCGCGAACCCTGAAGCAAATCTCCCTCGCGCCAGCTCAACAACCGGGACTCACATCCTTCACACTGTGCTACACCAGCGCCGAGACTGGCGACCTCGTCGTCGACACGTACCTCCCCGAGGTAGACACTGACTTAATACCGCCCTTCTGCCCGGTGGAATCGGGATCGCACAACCCATGGAGCCAGACCAGAAAAACCACCAAACACATCACAAATCCAGGTGTATGGGAAGCACTCCCCTCCGGAAGCATCATTGGCGTCCACAGAAAACAAACCACATCCTCGCCCCCCACAACAACCCCATCCTCCATCACCACACTGCGCAGACGAACCGCCGGCCGTTCCAGCCCAGATCATACACACTACACTAATACCCCCCCATCATCATCACATACCCAACCCCAAGCCTGGGAAGCCTGGGTCCTCAACCTGCGGCCCGACGCCAAATCCGAATATGAGACTGCCCCCCTCCAAGACACCGACACGAGCCAGCACCTCATGATATCGGAACTCGGCCCCATGACGCGCCTCGGCACGACGAGTGTCGCCGTCGGGCTGGGGGATGTTGTGAAAGTGGTCAGCGCCGGGCACGAGTATTTTGACCAGGGGAGGGCCGGGTCGTTGGGAGGGGTGGGGCTTGGAAGGGAGGGGCTGCCGTTGCAGCAGGTTATGGGCGTGGGGAGTCGGAGGAAGAAGGGGAGTGTTGGTGCGGGTGTGGGGAGGGGTGGTGGTGGTGGTGGGAGGAGGGGGGGTGCGGATGTTGGGTAGGTGGTTTGGTTTGGTTGGGGAGTGGTGTATTAGTTAGATAGAGAAGGGGGTGGTCTGGATTTGCGGTTGGGTTTGTAGTAGTAGGCAATTGAAGTGTTTGAATATGGTTGAATTTAGTGGATTGTGGACCACGTACTTGTGGTCGTGAAATGGAAGTCGTGATACATTCTAACTACCAATAAACACAAATCCATCCCTATACTATCTTTCTCATCCTCGAACTATCGCGTTGCCTGGAGACTAGTCCCATACAAAGTGTGATACATGTGCTGCCGCCCAACCAACTCTTACAATACAACAATCGCGGTCGTGAGACCCTTCCATGAATGGGGTTCCGTATGTACCCCCGAGGCCTTCGTAACGTTCGTGTCCCTCATAAACCTTCAACTCGCCCACCACCCAAACTCAACAATTTCGAGGGGAAGAAAGAATAAAGAAAAATAAATACAACGAACGAAGTAAAAGCAGCAAAACCAACCTCCGTAACCTCTTCCTAGGAAAGCAACCACCTTCTAAGCCCAACACACTCCCCGCCTAAAACAAACAGCCTCTCCACCGTCCATCCGGTCCATACCCCCCCAACATAAGCCATCATCATAATCATCTCCTAACCCCCATCACTCAGTTTAACACCCTCTCACAGCCCCCCTCCATCCCTTCACAACACCCCCTCCCACCCCCTCCCCCTTTACCTCTCACTCACAACCCCCATCGACCCACCCAATACAAACAATACAGGGGGGCGCATCACCGCCCAACATAAGCCTGGTACGCCCCCCCGCTGCTGCTCCCAACAGGCTTGCAGTCCTCGCAGGGCTCGCCGACGGCAATGGTCTGCCAGATGTGGCGCTCGCCGCAGGGGTTCTGGATCAGCGAGGCCGGGCCGCAGAAGGTGGCGAAGGAGAGGGCGACGTGGTGGCAGGTGTGCTGGTGGGCGTAGTAGCGGCACATTTTTACTTCTTTTTTTTCTGGTCTTTTTCTTATTGTTGTGTTTTGGGGGGGGTTGGGGGTTGTTGTTTGGAGGTTTGTTTGGAGGGTTGGGTGTTGTGTGTTGTGTTGAACTGAGTTGAACTGAGTTGAACCGAGTTGAGTTGAGTTGAGTTGAGTTGTGTTGTGTTGTGTTGTGTTGGTAGTTGGTTGGTTGGTTTGATAAGGGGTTCAATGATGGTTTTGGTGTCACTAGAGAGAAAGGGGCGAAGGCGGGTTGATGAGCAAGAGCGGGTTATTTGAACAAGAAACAGTCAACGAGGCCAGCAAATGATAATATTGTGTTGGCTCACGTCAAGAGAAACCCTCGGTCGGTTGGTCACTTGAATGCGATCTCAACCCCGTGCTGACTCGAGGCTCACGGGCGAGGCTGACTCTTATACCACGCGGCAAGCGATTACTCACAAATCGCAAACGGAAAGCGAGGTGATTACAGTTGCAAAGATAAAATTCTTGCAGCTGAAGTTGAACGGCAGGACGTCTCGCCTTCCTTGTGCAGCGCAGATCCGTATTCCAGCTGCTGGCTGCTTGCGTATGGATCTGACCAACTCCTTACCTACTTTATAGCTCAGCTCTCAATTATACTGCAGAACCCGCGCAGCCTCACACCACCACCCTCCATCTCGGGCGACACGCGGGCCCAGCGGGCCGGGTTATCAATCCGGGTGACCAATCTCCGTGACACGGAGCGTGAGGGGACACCTGAGCCCGGGTCCTTCGTGATGCTATTTATGACATGGCCCGCACGCTACTGGTAACCTACCACAATCGTCGGCGGGAGTTCGGAGCAACGATACGACCGCCACATTACATTGCCGAGTCGCCCGGCGAGCTCCGACTCGTGAGATGTACGATCTGGCTGAGCCAAGCGGCTCAACATAACACGATGCGCCTCGGAGGTGCAGCTCATAACTCTCAACTTCACTCATCGCTGGTCAAGTTCCGAGATAGGAATGCGACCCGGAGAGAGCAAGAGCCGAGTTGGAACTTGTGCAACCAGCCCAATCATCCAGCGTTTGCACGGCCCCCAACGTGAAAGATGGGCTTGCCAAGCACCGGCTCCCAGGACACCGAGACAGAGCGCTGCTCTTATAGGGCTGCAGGGTGAGAGCAGATGACGCTGTGTAACGGCCATGGTGACCATCCTTGTGATCGGGCCGCGTGGACTCGACGACCGGGTCAGTTGTCCGCATTTCTCTTTTTGTGAGAATTTGAAAGGCAACCGAGTGTAAGTTGTGAGAAACATGGGTGTGGGTCGTGTTGAACTTGGGGCTGTCGAAATTCGAGAAGGGAAATACGTTAGCCAGATTGGGGCGAGGCTGTTGAGGCTGCGAGGGCTGCCGAGCGGCTGATGAGGCAGACGGATATCGGTCCCCTTTTCAGACGAACCAGGCCGATCCGGTCGAGGTGTGTCGGTGGCGACTTGCAAGCTCAGGGGATGTTGGACTCGGCTCACCGCCAGTTCGTTTCTGTTTGTTTCGAGAGCACGGAAACGGCAGGCCGCGCGGGGCTATCATGGCCGAAAGGCGACCATCCGTGCTGTTGTGTAAATTTCGACACGCTGCGCGGTCTGTTGTGGGAGGGTGGCCGCATGTTTGAAGGCCAGGCGCGGTGCTGGATCGCTTGTGTGTGGGTGGTTGATGCTGGCACCAATTGGCTTTGTTTTGTCCCATGTGCGCGGAAATGCGATGGCTGGGAACTGGAAACAATCGCCGGGGTTTTTTGATGAACCCTCTCGACCCTGTGGTGCTGGACCAGGTTCAAATCGGCGGGCAGGGTTCCCAAGTCAGCGATCCGGCAGCACTTTCAGGGCAGTTTCGGCGGGCTGGCGCCGGGATGAACCTGGAGGGCTCGTGCACCCTTATTCCAAGTTCTTTCCAACTTGATGCTTGGGAGTTCTTCTTACCCAGCCTTAGGTAAGCAGCGAGTAGAGCTGTCCTTTCCCGATTTGATGCTTGCCATCCGTGCCTTCACCTCGGTACCGACGCACCCCGGGGGGCTCATCGCGGAGGCGCCAACTGCTTCCTTCCATTCCTTGAACTCGGATCCATTCTTCAATTCTTTTCTCGACAGCCACTCTCCCACTTTCGCTCTCTCAATTCCACACAAGACCGGCGCGTGCCGAAACACGTGCGGGTCCCCGGATTCACTCACGCCATGCATCGCGCCTGATGCGTCTCGCGCGTCTCGATTGCTCGTCCTGGCCAGGCTGCCCTGCTTCATTGCAACTCCAATCGCCGGTGCTGTCCCCGCCCGAATGGAGCCGTGGGGCTTGCGGCTGCATCCCAGTGATTGAGGGTGGTGGACAACTCACCTTGCAGCGCGCCATCATCTGCGAGCCCTCCAACGGCTTCCATTCGTTTTCAAATCCAGGCCAGGACCCCCCGTCATCACTCTCTTTGTCTATCCTATGACATTGTCGCTCCTTTCCGATCCAGACTCGAATCAGACCTTCGACGGCGAGCTGCACTTCTTGCTTGCCTTGCCTTGCATTGTGCGTCTGCGTCATCCGATGCACTAGTATAGGCTGGCCGCCGAGTCGGGTCGTTGTTGATTTGTTCCAGCATCGTCAAGGCTTTTCAGAAACCACCCCCCCAGAATCCCCGGCCAGAGTAGCGGATCCACTGCCTTTGCTTGTTCATGCATGAGACCTTCGCTGTGCCCTGCTTCTGCTGCTTCTGCTGCTTTCGCTGCTTCTTCTGGTCTCTGTTTCTGCCTCTGCCTCTGCCGCTGCGCCCGTGGGCACGTCCTTTAAGACATCTTCAGACCCCGGACTCTTGACCTTGTTTACTTTCCCTGGCCCTTCCCTCCCCCGGCACCACGGCATCAGGGTAGCCTACCATCGAGATCTCGCTCCGAACCCGGCTCCGGGCAGAACCCGCACCGCCAATTGACCCACTCGTGGCCTCGAATCGGCTTCAGGCCTGCTCTCAGACGCTGTCGCAGCTCCCGAGCTCCACCGCCGCGCGCATCTCCCAGCCCCCCAGGGCAGCATCGCTTGGCTTCACCGAGTCCACTGCGACAGATCCGAATAATCTGCTGCGTGCGCTTCCCCTAACAAAAAAGAAGTGCAGGACCCCCGGTCGAGCATTGTCCAAGTGGTCCCGCACGACCACGCGCGTTGCCGGCGCTTTTCCAGAAGGTCTCGTGTTCTGAGAGTTCTGACCGTTTCTGAGCTGCAGAAACCCGGGGGACGAGGTGCCGTTTCATCTCATCCGCTGCCGCAGCTACCTAACTCAACACCAACCACGCTCACCCACCCGCCGCCGCTCACCCAAGTCGCTCGTTCGCACCTTCGCTCGCTCGCTCGCTCTCTCGCACTGCAAGGTCGCCGCCATGCCCTGCGTCACCATCCGCGCGCCCACCTCAAACTCCGAGCCTCAACTCTCCTTCGGGTCCTCATTCGAATAGCTAACCGGTGTCATCCGCGGCTGCTGATTCGCTATCGACTCGCCCTCTGCCCTGTACAAATTGCCGCTTCAACGTAACTTGCTTCGCTGTATCATATTGGTCAGTACTCCTCCAATGACTCGAGTCGTCCGCCCTGCCCAATATTCTGATGCCTCGACTGCAGTCTTGTGTAATAAAAAAAAAAGGCACAAACCAATTCGTCGAGAGGCCGATTCGGGGACCGTTGAAGCCCAAGACGCTGGCAGGCCTCACTCATTCTTAGGCCGCCGTGTCCCAAGCTCATTTGACGACGCCGATGTGGTAGGCGGGGATATACCGACCGATATTCACTCATTCAAGTTGCGTTTGCTCGAGGGGGAAATTTGGGTTTGTGGCGCACGGTGAAGTTGGTCGATCCGTGTCATCCCTGGCCGTCCCCGTCCCCGATTCCTCCGGCGTCCTCACCTCACCCGCCACCACCACACGACATCCCCGACCGCCTTTTGGCGTGGTGTCTTCATGGCTTCCTCGGAGATCGACCAAAAATTCCTCGGGAAGCTCGCCAAGGCAGTCGAGCAGGACAATCCCCTATTGGCGTCAGTCTTGTTCAGGATCCTGGGGCTTTCCATCAACCTCTCCGCTCAGTTGATCAAGGCACGGAAACAGCGCCGACAAGATGCCGCCCAAGCAGCATCCAGCCTGGACCTAACCTACCATATCGTATGGCTGTCGCGCGAAGGGCTGGTTCTGCTCCAACAATACGTCTTGCCCATGGTCGGAAATTATGTCGAACTCAAAGTACTGGCGTACAAGCTGCGTGCTTCGTTTTACCACATTTTCGTCCTCTTCCACAACTCCCCACCCGTCCCCGCCATGGGCGTCAACACCCCGGAGGTCCAGTCATCAACAACAGCACCTGGCTCATCAACACGTCCCGACAAGGGAAAGGGGGTCGCGAGGGACGACCAAGAGGGGAATACGTCCAAAGGCGGACCGGTAGGCCCTCCACCCGGCTTCGGGCCCACACCACCAACAGCGTTCCTCATGAGGCCTGGCGACTATCTCCCGGAAGCGCACCAATACTTCCGAGAGGCCGTCCACCTCGCCGACGAGTTATTATGGGGCTCCCATTCGCTCCGCCTGTCCGTCAAGACCGAATACGCCGCGTTCCTCTACGAGTGCGTCCACGACGTCGAGAGCAGCCGCCAGATCGCGAAGGAGACCATCGCGGAGGTCTACGAGGCCACCGAGGGCATCGACAACGACATGTTCAACGACGCATGCGAGCTGGTGACGGTGCTGGGGAAGATGATGAAGCGGGGGCTAGGGTCAAACACGACCCTGAGGAGCAAGGCGCAAGGGGGGTCAAGCTCAGGGACACAAGGGACGCCACGGGCGGAGCAGGGCGAGGCGACCGCGCCGCCGGGCGTGCCCCCGGGCATGATATAACACCCGCACCCGGCCGCCACCACCACCACCCCGACTCAATCAACCACGTCTGGGACCACTACACTAATACCGCACCTCGAACCGTCACATACATAATCACCATCCTCCACGCCCACACACGCTCACCAACCAGGCATTGAGTCACCCCGCCCTCTCCCTCCCTCCCGACGCCATTATATATATATCCCACCACCAAAAGCCCACCACTTAGCCACACGGCAGCATCGGCGCGAACCCGTTACCATAGATCCCAGGCGCAGTCCCTAGGCGTTGTATATACCCACCACCCCCACGCGGCCGCAACCCACTGTGTGTCACCGACTTGTCATTTAATGTTTTCCATATTCTCTCTATTTCTGGGAGCCATATCCTGCGTCGTCTCCGAGGAGAGGACCATTTCTTCGTTTCTCTTTCTTCAATGATACCCGGAACGTCCATAGCAAGGCGACGGTGTCTTTTCTGCCTGGTTTTGGGTTGTCTGTATGTACTTGTGGTCGTTTTAGCAAGCTCTAAGCGAGCGGGGCTTCTGAGGGAGAGGGTTTTGGGGGCTTGTGAGTGTAAATGGGGATATTATATCCTGGGCCTTTTTTCTTTTAATTTGCGAACCTGCCGCTTCATGGGTAGGTGTTGTTATTTTGGGGCTGGGGTTGTCGCCTCTGATATACAAGACCAAGCACTACCTACTGTTGCGGCCCTACGCGTGAAGCGTTTTCGTTGTTACCATGATTGTAGTGTTGACGTGATTGTGCCACCGCCATAGTTGTCCTCGTAGTTGTTGTATCTGCTTCGTTGTCATGGTCGTGACCACAAAAGGTCACCATTGTACAAACGCGATCACAGTTGCCGAAGCCGTCGAGGCGACACCAATCACATCCTATATTTCATCCCGTCTCGACGACGCTACGATGTATTTTTCCTAAACCATGCGACCGGTAAATGGATACTCGCTAATGAGCAAAACGGACCCCCAACCCTCTCCAAATCCCCACACCACGCAGACACTCTACCTATTCTTGAACTTCCGAGAAACCAACCGCCGACGTGGACACGATCTCACCAAACCCTACATGACCTCCCGCCCGACATCACGTAGCGACCGTGGTCGAGAAACCAACCATCCTGCCTGGGAACCAGGGGAACGAGGGTTGAGCAGGTGCGGGTCAATGCGTTGTGGCGCCTTGAAACCAAGACATACGACGGAGATTTCGGCCGAAACGTTACGCGAGGAGGGTGACTTTATCGCATTGACCTTGGTGAATAGCTGGTTGAGAACCCACAACAGAGAGTTGTAGACAAAAGCCGGTGCGATCCTCACGTGTCATTCATCGTCGTCATCGACTACTGCCGCCACCACAACACCCAAAGGCCCGGGTTACTGACCTTAGAGACTCGGCACATCTGAACCCATCTTCTCGTCGGTCTGCCGGATCCGGGGGGCGTTTTCTTGGAGTTCGGTGCAGAAAAGGGGGTAGGGGTGACGCAAAGTTGTTGTCCGGTATCCTTGACGTAGCCCTCGACATTGTGCTTCAGCGCTCAGAGCGGGAGTGAAGCTAGCCATGCCGGAGATTCTGATGAGCGGCGTCCGGATTCCATGGTACATGTTGCTGAGGATGCAATCCTTGGAGTCTATGGCCTCGTTTAGAATGGTCTCGGGGAGTTTGAGAGCATCTTCGATGTTGAGGTGCTCGGAGGATCCCCCCTTCACAATCGCCACGGCCATGGGAACGGGGAATCTGGCGGTCCGCATTTAAGGGAGTGCATTGAGCGGTGAGTGTGCATAGGTTTGATGTGAGGACAGGAAGAGCGAGTCTAGCTAGGCGCCGTTAGTTCACACTCCCGGTTTGGTGCAACACTGCAAGATGACTGAATCAGGAATGGTAAAAGTGAACTGGAAATGCAGTCGATCTGGGCAAGACGTTCAAGTAAGATTAAACCATACGTAGTAGGTACCTACTTTGCAGAAATATCACGACCACATATAACAACCCTAACCCTTTACCCCTGAATGTCCAGAATGTCAACAAACCCTACCACTCCCTCTCCATCTCATTCCACTTCCCGTATCCATGGTCATGCCAGTACGTGTCCTCTCTTCCGGCATCAAGCACATCCTCCACACTCGCGGGTTGGTACCCAGCAGTATAGCACACCGAGGCCATCTCCGGGCAGCGTCGAGTCTCCTTCTCCTTCCCCTTCGCTTTGTGTCCCACCATTTCACGGCTTTTCCCCTTTCCCTTGTCCAACTTTTTATACATTTCCGTATTACTTCCCCCATCCTTCTCAGCCTTCCGCTTTCTTTCACCCTTTTTTTTATCATTTCCCTTTTCCCTTTCCCCCTCCCTCCCGTGGCCCTTCCCCTTACCCCTCTCTCCACCCCCCTCCGGCCAACCACCCTCCGCATCCCGGCCGTCGCCATCTCCATTTCCACCCCCTCCTTCCTCCCCATCCCCATACCCCTCGCCACCCCAATACCCCTCCTGGCCCTCCTCCCTGCCACCCCCACCCTCACCCCCACCCTCACCCCCATCATAACCCCCATCCCCACCACCACCACCACCACCACCACCGCCGCCATACTCACCACCACCACCACCCTCATCGTACTCACCACCACCACCACCACCATCATCATCATACCCACCCCCGTCGCACCCCCCCACAGAGTAATCCAACCGCAACCCAGCCAGCGCCAGCACGGGGTCAACAGAGGGCAGGGAGACCGGCGCAGGAAAGGCCTCGGCAAAGGTCACGGTGGAGGGGCGGGCGGCGGCGGCGCTCTGCAGGTAGGCGGTTGTGTGGGAGAAGGCGGCTGGAGCTGGGGGGCGCTGCTGTGGGTGTGAATGTGGGTGTGGGCGTGGTGGTTGTGGTGGTTGTGGATGGGAGGGGGTTCGGTGGTGATGGTGGGGATGGGGATGGGGATGGGGATGCGGCTCTGAGGGGGTGGAGGGGGGGTAGGAGGTGGTGAAGGGGAAGGTGTTGGCTGCGGTTGTGAGAGGCGGGTCTTGGGTGGCATCTGATAAGGAGGTTAGGTTGGGTCGTGCGTGGTGTTGGGTGAGTTTAGATGTGGTGGAGAACGTACTGGTGCCTGCTCCTCGGCAGCTGGGACAGTGCCAGTGGTTGCAGGGTTCGTCGTAGGAGTTCCCAAAAGGGAGGACTCCGTGGCAGACGTGTCGACCGCCAGAGTTCAAGTATGAGCACTTGCAACACGCCCAACCTCCCCTGGATGACATGACGCTTTTGGTGCTCTGCTTGAGAGTTCTGGAGGGCATATTTGGGTTGATGGAGGGAAATGATTTACCGCCGGGGAAGAGGTACTATTTGACAAAAGTAGATGGTGATATAAACAGAGGTTGCTTGTTCTGCTCGCCATGCGGAAAGGTCTGAAAGGGTTGCCATGAGACATATTTTATAGGTACTGTAATGGAAACAATTATACAGGTTGCTGTATCTTTCCGAGTCACCGAGCTTGTCTTGTGCCACCCCAGCTATACGGGGCAAAATATTGGATGTGTGTTGCAGACACCCGCGTGGGGAGGAGATAGAGGCTGGACGGGAGGAAGCAGGATCATACAGTGCGGCCAAGATTGTGAGACAAGTTTACTTTGCATGGATTCATCTACACTTTGGGATATTGAGATGTGGTGGGCGCCAAGGTGATCCTGGTTCCATATCTCGGGCCAACCGGGAGAGAACGATGCCGGGGTTCGCCCGATATGTTTGCAAGATATAGCGACGCATACCTATATACCACCCCAAACGAGTACGATATAGCAGACACAGTTGGTCGTGATAGAAGACCGAGAGCCCGGAAGCCTTTTGGCCCAGTTCCCAGTTCTACCGCGTTCATACAGCACGGGATGAGAAATACACGCTTAATACGCACGCTTTGTATTGCTATCTTATACTAGTAGAGCAATGCTGTCCGTCCTTGTCCCTCTGCTGCTCCCTTGGACTGCTGTTAGCACATTCTATACTGCCGTGTTTACTGTCCCCCTTAATTGCCACCCTGTCGGCGTCCTGCTCCCTCATTCCCGTCATCCTTGCTGTCTTTCTGGCCCGAATTAACATCTTTATCCTCATCAACTCCTTGGTAGTCGTCGTTGTTGTGACCTGTGATTAGCTCTTCCGCGGTGCCTATGATTAGAAGGCTAGAAGGCACCAGGCAAACATGGGTAAGCCAAACCTCGATATACATTGTCGATGCCGACACCCATGATGGCGGGAGCAAACTTACTGAGTAGGATCACTCTGGCACTGAACACAACGGCAATGGCCGCATCCGGGTTCTATCCGCATGTCGGGGCGCCGGTTGGCAATGATATGGGTTGGGGTGTTTGAGCAGACGCCTGCCCATTGAGATCCGACATTCCGCTGCTTGCAACTGCAACACCACCAACCTAGCCCCTGGTACTGGCACCCGGGGTGTGTACAGAAGGCGTATATACTGGCGAGGTGACCTTCAGTTCTCGTTAACCTGATACAAGGCAAGGGCTGATCTAGCGGGCCCGGCTTGAAAGAGAATTCCTCGCAAAACATGTGAATGGTACGGGGGTGGCCGCAAGGGAGCTGCCAGAAGGTTTCGCGGCACATACTAGATAGGAGATATCTGTTGACGTCGGTTGTATAATGGATGTGGTGGTTCCAGGGGTGTGTCAGAGCTCACTAAAGTGATGGTGTTTTGGTTAGAAAACTGGGGGAATGAAGCAGGTAGAAGGAGGCAAGAGTGACTGGTTGCCGTGATTCATTTCATGATTTCATCCTCCTGGAAGGCACAACAGGAGGACAAAAACCGAAACTGTGGCCATTTCCAAGCCTCTTCAAAACGAAGAACATAGAAGAACATGACTATCAAGAATCGAGAGCGTGCGCTATTAGGTTTTGACTTAGCCCGAAGTTAACTCCTGCCATCGCCTGTAGGTCGTTGGTTTGGCTCAGACCAGCGAGGCATTCTAAGAGAGAGTATGTCATGGGAAAACAACAAAGTAAATCCACCGCCAAAAATGACTCAGCTTGGCATCATCCGACACTGAACAGACAGAGGCCGCGGTTGCCCTACAGCTCTGGACGTTATCACCGGATCTGCTGACTCAGCACACGGGGGTCTCTGCTTGCAACCTCCTTATCTCAACCGACACCGGCCCATCGCTATCAACCTCAACTCGCAACTCACCCAACTCACTCACTCACCACCAACCTGCCACCAACTCACCAACTCACAAACTCACCACCAAACCACAACCATGGCGTCCCTACCACCCCTCGAACCAAACTACGCCGCCGCCCTACAACTAATCGACGAAGCGCACGCCTTAGACCCACGCCCCGCCCCCAACGACAACCCTGAGGACAACAACAACGATGACCAGCCCCCCATCCCCTTCGAGCTCGACTACGCCCGCAAGATGACACGCTGGCTGGCCGTGCGCGCCCCCGACGCCTCACCCGAGCTCCAACTCGCCTGCCGCGCCCAGCACTTCCGACGGTAGGTTACCCCCCTTTTCTATTTCCTTTTCCTTCTTCTAGACCCTCAACCCTCAACCCCCCCCCCTTTGACCCCCCTTCCTTACCACCCTCGACATTATTAACATCACACACTTTCAACACAGCTGGGAACTCCCACGCACCTCCCACCCCGCCACCCGCGCCGGCTACCTAACCTGGCGCGCCAAACAGAAATCCCAAGCCGCCGCCCAGCTCACCGAGTTGCTGACCTCCTCCCCGACCATCCAGCCCCCCATCCCCAAGGAAGCAGTGCAGCGGATTGGGGCGCTGGTGCGCAAGGAGGGTCTGGGTCGCACCACCAGTACCACCAGTACCACCAATGATGAGGGCAGAGAGGAAGGGGGGGACAGCGAGACGCAGGTGCTGGAGGACGTGGCGTGCCTGGTGTTTTTGGACGGGCAGCTGGAGGGGTTTGAGCGGACGAGCGAGTTGGAGGAGGAGAAGCTGGTGGGGATTCTGAGGAAGACGTGGGGGAAGATGAGCGGGCGGGGGAGGGAGCTGGCGCTGGGGATGGAGCTGGGGGAGAGGGCGGGGGCGTTGGTGGCCAAGGCGTTGGTGGTGAGCTGAGGGAAGGGGAGGCGGGGGGGGGGGGGATGTTGGGGTTTGTTTGTGGTGGTTGATGGGGTGGTTGAGGGTTTTTGTTTTCTGGTTGGGCTTGGCTAGGTACCTACGTGTGGTGCGTGGGCACAGCTGGGGATGAGGCCTTTTCTCGGATTCCCGTCGACGCCAGGCCGTCACTTGTTACGCATCAAGACATTATTAACAGAGAGCATCCCAATGACGCTCGTTCACTTCAAACGCAGTCCTCTAGCTGTACCTAAAGCGCCCCTCGGCCCCGCCAGCACTACCTTAAGGCGGACCTTTTCACTACCCAAAGGTATTTTCCAAAAATGCACGTGTGGGACATGCCCGCACCGCAGCCCGGTACTCCTCGAGATGTGCCACGTCCGTCTCGTTCCGGGCGAGGATCCGGAAGTTGCTCGTTCTGTCCGCCGCTGTGTCTCGGCAGAAGATGAGTCTGTTATCGTGTCGGCGGCCGCCAAAGCTATAGTCGCCGAAGACGAGAAACTGGAGCGAGCCGATCCCTTGTGGCCCGAACACCCCCTCGGCGAACTGGCGGAAACGGGGCTGTAGCCCTGGCCGAAACATGGCGGCGGCGGCGGTCTCGGCGCATCGTCCTGAAATGACATCGTCTATCTCACTGGGCGGGCTTTGTATTGTAATGTCCGAGCCGCGGCCCACCTGCCCTCTACCCAGGGCCCAGGACATCTCAGACCCACGACTGTCGGGAGAGGGCTGACGGATGTGGAGCACCTTCAGCGAAGCCTTGGCCACGAAAGGCAATACGATAGACCTCTGCAAAGTATCATAGTCAGCTTACCGTGGCTCGGGGGAAATGCCGAGTTTGAGTCCTCACCAGCCGGTTCGGGTGGCACGACAGGCCGATGAAGCCGAGATCTAGATTATTGAGCGGGTTTGCCGAAGGGTCATCTCGTATCCGGTCCATCTCACGTGGGAGCAGGGAAAGGTCTTCCACAACCTCTTCCGAACCGAACGAAACCCTACTATGCGCCGCTTGCCCCGCCGTCCGCTGGTGATGCACAAATTTCTTGAGAGTTGGTTGGTGGCGGGCGACGTTATCCCAGAACGAGAGGGTTTCCCCTTGCTCCGGCTCGTCAATGAAAAAATCCTCGAGTCCTTTGAAACCGTTCAGAAAATCTTGTATGACGGTGCGGCCCCAACCGTCGGGCGTGTGGTCAATAATGTGTAACTCAAATGTCTTGAGCCGCACAGGAAGGTTAAGCTCCGTGGCCCGGGCGAGAAAGGTATCCCAGCCCAGACATCGTCGCAGGGTGAGGGACCTGAGGGTGCCAAAGTTGACGGCGCACGCCACGTCGGCCATGAGAGGTAGGTCGGTGAAAGACAGCTCGCGAATCGCTGGGAAGATGAGCCGGGCGGGTTGGGTCGTCAGGCCAAAGAATTTGGCACACCAGTCTTCCTGCTGCACCTTCTCCTCGCTACGGGAATCCAAGTAGTACCGAAGTGATTCCCAACAGACAAAGTCTAATTCGAGACGCCGCAGCCGCTCCGAATTTCGCTGGATAGCAGTGGACAAGGTATCGAGGGCCAGGCCATTGGGGGCTATCCAGCATAGACTCTGGAGCTGGGAGAAGGACGACAAGTCCACGGCGCACCACTCGTCCGGTTCCTCGTTGCAGAAGGTGTTGGTTATCAGGCTCAAGGATCGCAACGAGTGATTCTGAAGCGTGACGAACCCGCTCGGCCCGAGAGCGCCGGAGGGCACGCAAGCGCCCAAGCCCCAGCTACGTTAGAGGGCGTTAGTGAATTCACGGGCTTGGGAGTAGTATGCCGAGGCGGAAGTACCTAAAAGATTGCAGATGGCTGTCCTCAAACTTTTCAACGGCCCACCGTGTCCGTTGGGCAAGGCGCGTGAAGGGTGAGGAATATTTCATCCTAGTGTCGGCCACGGACGTACTATACCCAGCTATGTCTTCGGGACGCTCCACATGGGGACATCGTGCCGCGATGGGATACCGGTAAAACTCAGCCTCAAAACGGAGTTCCCTCGCAAGTTGGAGGCGTTCCTGCGGTAGGCGCAAGGCGTCGTTGTGGTGCAAATACTGTTCCGACTTTGAGGTGACGACGACTGACTCCCAGAGGGGTTGAAGAGCGATCCGATGGCATTTTTGGGAGACGAGGGAGAAGGATTGCAGATCTGGTTTGCTCAACTGTTTGGGATTGCGCGATGAACTATGTAATTAACGCTTGTGAAGGAGGGGAGGGGGGGAGAAAAGAAAGAGAGAGTGAAGGGGGGGAGGGAAAGCGAGAGAGAGAGCGAGAGAGAGACAGAGAGAGAGGAAGAAAGAGCGACCAGGTTAAATGATCAGCTAGGTAACTAACCTGTTTGACGATATGGAGCAGCAATTCTGGCGGCAGAAGATCGAACATGGTACTGATCTAACACTCTTGCAGGTATTTTGGCCTACCTTTACATCCAATGTTTGTTCTCGAGAGTCTCCCGTTCGTGTGTTCTGTCCGTCTGTGACAGTTAGGCAGTTACACTGAGTACCCACCCTGGGCACCTAAGTTAGGTAACCTCGGTACACTTAACCTTGTGCACTACTAGGCTGCCATCGTGGAACCCCGCAGGTAATTCGAAGCAGGTAATCGCTACTGTGTATCTACTGTGTAGCTGCACCCACTCGACAGCGATGCAACCTTGCGGAAGCCGTGTCTTTCATAATGGGCACTCGGATAAGATCCAGACAACCCACAATTGAGCTGGTTCGCCGAATGCGTCCCATCCGGCGCCGCCCCGGATGCCACCACGCCAAGTTGAAGCGCCGGAATCAACAGCCGGGATTCGGCTCCACTTCTCGGTGCAATCCACGCCGAAGTGCCCCACTCTCGGCTCCGGTGCACCGGCCGGCACTCGGGATCGATAAAAACAAGGTCCAACCCCCGGAAAGGGTTTGGTTGAATGAATTCACTTGTTCCCGGCTATCTCTATGCTAATATCTTACCATGCCACCCGCAATATCACCCTCCGAGCTCGCCAGCCACAACACGCTCGGCTCCCTGTGGATCGCCGTCGACGGCCTGGTCTACGACTTTACCGACTTCGCCCCGACTCACCCCGGCGGTCTGTCCGTCCTTCTTGAGCACGCCGGGAAAGATGGGACAGAAGCATACCGGGCCGTCCATGCGCCTTCCTTGCTCCAGTCCATGCTCCCTGCGTCTCAACACCTCGGCCACCTCTCCTCTCCTCTCCCGCTTCCCCGTCCCCCCACCCCACAACCATCTACAACGCGCAAGCCCCCTTTATCCAGCCTAATCTCAGTTAACGACTTCCGCCTGGCCGCCCACACTTTCCTCCCGCCCAAGACCCTCGCCTTCGTCTCGTCGGCCGCCACGGACTGCCACACCCACCACCGCAACAGCACCGCCTACTCCGAGATCACCCTCCGCCCGCGTGTGCTCGTCGACGTCTCCGCGCCCGTCTCCCTAGCGACCACCATCCTGGGCCAGCCCGTATCCTCCCCGGTCTTCGTCTCGCCCACCTCCCTCGGCAAGACCGTCCACCCGGAGGGCGAGCGCGAGATAGCGCGCGCCTGCCGCGAGCGAGGCGGCGTCGCCCAGGTCATCAGCACGAGCGCGAGCTTCTCCGTAGCGGACGTGGTGCAGGCGGCACTCGACCACCCATCCCCCGCCGGGCACGACCCCACCACCACCAACATCCCCGTCTTCCTGCAGCTCTACGTCGACAAGCACGCCCCCAACACCGAAGCCCTGCTCCACTCCCTCACCTCCCCCACCAACACCACCACCACCGGCCCCAAAATCAAGGGCGTCTTCCTCACCGTCGACGCCCCCGTCCCCGGCAAGCGCGAAGCCGACGAGCGCATCCCCTCCCAAAACACACCAACCACAACAACCCCCATGGCAACCCAACTAACCCCCCTCACGGACACCCACGGCTCCGCCCTCGGCCGCCTCATGGCCAGCTACATCTCCCCCTCGCTAACCTGGACGACCACCCTCCCCTGGCTGCGCAGCCACCTCCCGCCCCAAACCCCCCTCGTGATAAAAGGCATCCAGACGGCCGCCGACGCGGTGCGTGCGGTGGAGGCGGGCGTGGATGGGATATTGTTGTCGAATCATGGCGGGCGGAGCGTGGATGGGGCGCCGGCGGCGGTGGTGGTGCTGTTGGAGTTGCAGCGGTGCTGTCCGTGGGTGTTTGGGCGGGTGGAGGTTTTTGTGGATGGGGGCGTGGCGAGGGGGGGGGATGTGTTTAGGGCGTTGTGTTTGGGGGCCAGGGGGGTGGGGGTGGGGAGGGGGGTTTTGTATGGTACGTATCATCTATCTGTGCGGTGGTGGTGGTTTCGTTTGTTTGTTGTTTTGGGGATGGGCTGATGGGAGAGGGCTGACACTGTGCTGGTTTAGGACTCGGATATGGAAAGGAGGGCGTCAAGAGGGTGTTGGAGAGTAAGTGGTCTTTTGCCTTACCTTCTTCTGCCCGCTTGCGACTAACGAGACAGTACTCGACGACGAGCTGGTGACCACCATGAAGATGTGCGGTGTGACGAGCCTGGACCAGCTGCACCCCGGGCTGTTGAATACGCGGGCTATCGACCATCTTGTGCCGGATAGTCTGAGCGAGGAGCACCCCTACGCCAAATGGAGGAGGAGCAAGATTTGAGTTGAGGGTAGATAAGTTAGGAGTCTCAAGTTAATGGGGTGGCTGAGGCATTTTGTTTCGGTTTGGCTACGTGGGCTGGTTGTGCACAGCTGGGGATGAGGGCTTCTCTCGGATTTGGATAGAGATGAGAGTATTTGGACACGTCCTACCATGTGTGTGCGAGGCGGTCGCCCGTAGTTGGTTATATATCCATGGGAGTGAAGAGGACCCGCCGATTTTATGGTGCTTTTCAACTAGTGTCTTTGCCTGTTAACGTCGAGACGATCAGGGTATACGTACTTGACGGATGTGTCTGGCTGGTTTGTTCTCTGCACCTCATGATATTGAGGTTGCTCTGCAATAAAAACGAGGGTTTACTGTTATCTCCGACCCCTTCGAGCACTTTGAGCCCTACCCGGGCTTTTTGAATAATCAGATTGTGTGCTTACGAGTACTCTCGGTTTGTCTCGTAAAATGTATCCAATGAGGCGTTGGATTTGCTGCGTTGGGCAGCCTAGGCTCATGCACCTATCCGGACTGAGTTTTGTCCTGAAGGTTGGGAGCGAGTTCTTTCTTTCTCTTTCGTTTTATCTTCTGCATCTCAGGTCCACAGTGGACTAGGTAGTTAACCATGGATTCATACGGTTCTCGGCGCCCGCCTGCTGGTGAGGGCGGCGTTATTCCACCTTTCATCCCTCCCGATGCTTCTCCCAACACTCAGAATGTTCAGGAGTTGCAACGTCAAGTTGCTAGTCTCACGGCCGACCTTACGAATGTCAGAACCTGGATTCAACAGCTGGCGTTGAGGGTTCCTCCTGGGGAGCTCGAGAACAACCTCTGGAGTTCTGTTCCCAGACCTACTGGTGATCGTCCAGCTCGAGATGATGATGGTGGCACTGGTCCCGGCATTGGCCCCGGCTCTGAGCCTAGAACAGACGCTGCTAGCGGTGGCTATGAGGTGAGTAGTCCAGCGTATTCCAGTGTATCCGGCCTGTTCGCTGATTCTGCGTGGTTAGCACGTCGTTGGCAGGTGGACACGGGCATCGGTTGATGCCGTGGAGAGGTCACATCTACTGCGTTATGCTCGACCAATTATCCATAGAATAACGGAAAATGGCGCGACTGCTGGGAATAGTTATGTGATGGACGCAATCATCAAGGATATGGAGAGAAGTTGTGCCTTGGTTACTGCCCCAAGGCAACCTCCTGACAATGTCGTTTCTGGTGCTCAGGGCCTGTCTAACAACGATCGAAGCCTTGGTTTGTTGAGAGTTTGGCGTGATGTTGACTCTAATCCACCATCGGAATGGCTATTCATGTTTCAACTGGTGGATTATTTAGCTACGGCCTTGGGCAGCTGATGTATGACTTCGTCTTCATGGTATCCTACCTACTGTATTCATTGCGAACATGAGTGAACCGAACATATTAATACCTCGCAAACCACCCCCCCATCCCATCTCATCCCATCACACAAACCCCCCTAACCATGCAACTCCCTCAACTCCCCATCCCCCCTCTGCGCCGGCAACTCCGCCGCATACCCCTGCTGCTGCCCACCACCATACCCATCCCCAACCCCATAACCCGGCGGCGGCTGCTGCTGCTGCTGCTGCTGCTGCGGCTGGAACCCACCCCCCGGCGCGACCTGCGTCCCCGGCGAGACGGCACTGCCAGGCGGCACATTCCCAAACTGCTGCTGCTGCTGCTGGCCCTGCTGCGGCGCACCAAACCCAGCAAACCCGCCAAACTGCCCCTGCCCCTGAGGCGGCGGCGACGGCGTGCCCTGCACATTCTGGTATCCCGACCCGGGCCCCGACAGCGGCGGGGAGCCCGGCGGCGAGCTGCCAACCACAGTCGCCTGGTCATACCCGCCGGCGGTGGTGGTGCTGTAGGCGACGGAGCCGTGGCCGGCGGGGGGTTTGGCGTAGCTGGCGACGTAGTAGCCCTGCGGCGGCTGTTGTTGGTGGTGTTGGGGTGGGAGCTGCGACATGTGCGGGTCGCCGCCGTTGGGTGGTGGTTGCTGTTGTTGGTGGTGGGGGGCCATGCCGGCGGCTGCAGCGGCGGCGGCGGCTTCCTTCTTTTGCTTGTCGTGCATGCGCATCAGCCACCAGACGCCCAGGACGATGAGGGCGAGGGCGCCGATGCCGCCGACTACGCCGCCTACGATGGCGCCGACGGGGGTGGAGGAGGACTCAACAGGGGGCGGGGTTGCGGTGCTGGTGGTGGAAGAGATGGGGTCGGGGGTGCGGGTCGGGTCGTCGGAGAAGGTGCTCGGGTCGGTGATGGGTGTCGGGCTCCGGCTCGGGCTTGGGGTTGGGGTCTCTCTGGACGACGAGTACCACACCTGACCTGTCCCGGCGGCTACCGCGCAGCCGAGCAGGGTGTAGCCGACGAGGGCCTCGTCTTGGTAGAGATGGGTGTGGCAGTATGGGTACTCATCGTTACCGCTGTGATGTGTGTGTCAGCGCCGGTCTATTCGGCTTGGGTCCTGGAGCACACTTACCACCACAGAGTGCGGCCGTTGTTAGTAGTGTAGCTGTCACGTTCCGACGAGTCGAAGCATGTGGTCCAGATCGGGCAGTTTGACGTCGTGTCGTCGCAGCAGCCGATGTGAGAGTGTATTGAGTTGTATACGCACCGTGCCGTGTTGGCGCACCAGAGGGACGATGCTATACCGTGTTAGTCTAAGTGTGTCCATACATGCATGTTTACATCTCAACCGCGGAGGCCTGCTTACTGGGAATCCCGCTCACGTAGCCGCACGTATTATCGTCCGTATCACGGGCCTCTAGAACGGCCCTCACCCTTGAGGCCTTGGGTGCAGGCGTTGGCATTGGCGGACTCATGCCCAGCTCGAGCATGTAGCCAACAGGCGTCTCTTGGGGGGGAACCCATCTTGGGTGGCCGTCTTCACTCCATTTCAACGCTTTGGCGTGGGCCAGGCCGAGAGCACAGCTCAAGGCTGCGCAGCCGATGGCCTTCCTCATGCCGAGCAGATGATATTCGAAGAACGAGGTCGTTGGTGGAGATAACTAGTCAATCTGTCGATCAACTCAAGGACGACTGTGGAGGGAAGATCGCGGCCGCGCTTCTCCGCCAGAATTACTCGGCCAGAATAATGCACGGGGGAACCAGGGACCGGGCGGAGAGCAACGAGCGCGTCCCGCTTTTGAGCGCTGGCGGGATGAGGCTCTTTGGTTCCAGACTGGGCTCCGAGCTGAACAACAGGCCCAGTCTTCCCATGGGACGAAGGGTGTTATTGGTGGATGTGGCTTGCCAGGGACCGACGCCAGGAAAGTCGGTGGCGCGGGGTCACGGGCAACAGCGTGGTATCGTCAACTTAAGAGTGAAGAGAGTCGTCAGTCGTCACACAGCTTGTTGTCGTGTTGTTTCTGGTGTCTTGCTCTCTCTCTTCAACAGAAGCCCCTGAAGATGATCCATTCACTCTTCCCTCCTGAATCTCATCAAAGTCCGTCGCGTCACATACCACCATCCCACGCAACCCTCCCTCCCCCGCCGCGAGCAAACATGGCCGATCACCCGTCAGCAACGCCCCGGGGTCGGGGGGACTTTGAGATGCGTGGATTATTGAGACGTTAAACCCAACGCGGACACGGATGGCGCCCAGCGTGGAGAGCTGCTGTCTTGGCACCAAACAAGCTGTCTGCCGCGTCGCTTAACCGAATTTTGACGTTACATTGGCGGGAGGCTGAAAATGGAGAGTATCGCGAGGACGGGAAGACGGCAGCGTGGAGGGTTCGGGTCCGAGAATCCGAAGCCGGTGAGCCGATGTTCGGTGCGAGCGGAAGTGAGAGCTGAAAGGGAGGCGGTGATGGTGTTCTCATTTATCTATGTTGTTGCGGAACACAAGCATCTGCATGCTCCCCCAAGGATTAATAAGTTTGTCACCCTCGTATTCCCCTCCCCACACGTGGTGTGCTGCAGAGATCGTCGTCAGCCGCCGAGAGGGGCCCTAGCCGGAGAGAGTTCCCGTGAAACTGAGGCCTGCGGTCTTACTGGAGAGTTGATTCCCACCGCGTTTCTGTGAAACATCGCCAACACGTGGTGATGCCGTCTCATCTTGATACATACAAAGACAATGCAGGAGAGCGCTGACCCCCAACCCCAACACCCAACTCCAAAACCCGTCCCACTCAACCCTGACGATAGCCTCACACAGCATTCCATCCCCCCAAGTAACCTCACCATCAGCCCACCACCCCAACAAACCCCCAGATTCAACCCCTTCCCCTAAGACAAATCCATATCCCACGACGAAAAGTCCGCCCCAAACTCACTCCCCGTACTCAGCCCCCCAAACAGCCCATCCGCACTCATCTCCGACCCGGGCACCATCTCCCCACCCCCAAGCCCGCCCAAATCCCCCGCATCCAACCCCCCGCCATCCATCACCATCCCCTCATGCCCATGCAGCCCATGATGATGATCCCCAGCCACCGCCGCCGCCGCAGCGATCGCGTCCCCCAGCACGCCACCCACATCACCCAACTCCGGCTGCAGCATCGCGGCAGCAGCAGCCGCCGCCGCCGCCGCCGCAGCTGCCGCCTCCGCATCCGACGGCGGCGCGGGCGCCATCTGCGCCTCGACGCGGCGGTAGAGGCGCACGACGACCTCTGCGACGGCGGCGTCGGCCTTGCGCGTGCGCTTCCAGTCGTCGGCCTCGGCCTTGAGGGCGTCGCGCAGGGAGATGCGGCGCTGGGGTCGGGTGGGGTCGTTGCCGCCGTCGTCGGGCCCCCCGGCGGCGGGGGGGTTGGTTGTGGTGGTGGGTGAGGGGGTGGAGGGGGCCAGGGAGGGGTCGTTGGTGACGTCCGGGGCGCAGATCAGGGCCGTGGCGACGTCGTAGGCGATGCTGGCTTGGGAGATGTCGGTGGCGGTTTTGAGCTCGTCGAGGAGGATTGCGAGCAGGCGTTTGGCGCCGAGCATCTTGACGGCGGCGAGGGTCTGGCGGTGGGTGTAGGTGGCGGGCATGCCGTTGAGGGGTGGGTTTTGGGCCCATTGGACGAGGTTCTGGGCGGTGTGCCGGACGGCGGCGGAGAGGCCGCTGTGCGGGGTGGCGGCGCCGTTCGCGCCGTTGTTGGCGTGCGTGGTGCACCAGGACTCGAGCTCGGTGTGGCCCGCGCCGCCCGTTCGGCGGGAGAGGGCGAGGTTCTCCTTGATGGCGCGGAGGAGAGGCTCGACCTCCTGACACTTGGGGTCTTGCCGTTGGTAGGAGCGCAGTGCGTATTCTAGCGGTTTGGCCACGATGTTGAGAACAGACGAGAGCATGGTAGCTGCCTCGCTGGAGATGGAGCTTGGCCGAATAATGACCTGGAGTATCTTGATGATGGCGGGCTGCATATGCGGGTTGGTCACCCACAGCTGATTGGAAAGGTACAGTATCGCGGGGACCAGAGACGGCAACAGGAGGACGCCGACCAGGTCTATGACGGTTAGCAGTGCCAGGTTTCCGGGGTGGGGGCAAATAACTTACACTCAAGACCGCCCTTCAGTACCTCGTCCGTGAGGTACCCTGCGCTCAGCGCAACGACGATCTGGTGGAACAGCGTAGGCATAAGCAGGTAGAAGTCCTGCGGCAAACACAAAGCCATGAGATCGTCCCCGAGGCCGCCAGTATCAGTATCGAAAAGGCCATGGATCCAGCCGTTCAAGTGTGCCTTCTCCTGCTCATTCAGATCCTCCAGTGGCCGATAATGGTTGCCGCCGCCCAGTAATCGCCCCACGAAGGAGTCCGGCGAGCGGATGCCCAAGTCCGCGGGTGACAAATTATACCGGTAGACAAACGCCAATAGAAGGATCAGGATGGACCCGAATTCTTCGTACACTGGGTGGTACTCGCCCTGCTCCTCGTCGTACCCGCCCCAATTGTCGAGCAGGTCACACAGCGGATGCAGGATCTTTTGTGGCTTGTCGAAGAGGAGCAGGACATCTAGTGCCAGAGGTTTGGCCGCGAGTTGACTGCAAAGCTGCTTGAGAGGCAGGGTTGCCTTATCCCGGCAGAGGCTGCCGATAACCTGCTGGGGTCAATACAGATCGAACAGTGATATCAAGAATCACATACCTCAATGATGGCTTGGGCAGCAGCACCCACGTTCCCGTTCATGTTGTCCAGCTCTCCAATTAGCTTCTGCGTCCTGTCCATATCCAAGAGACATGCCTGGACCAAATTATCTTTCACGTAACGGCCCTCGTCCGGCAGAGACTGATACGTAATGTCGCCGAGCAGGTTCTCGATTGCCGTCTGGGAAAGCAAGCCGTGTAGCTGGCAAGAGAAACAGAAATCTTGGCGAACAGAGTCGTGAAAGGAGGAGCTTGTGTTGGACATTTCGAACATGCCGGACAGCGTGGGGAAGACGTTAGTGTCCACCTGCCCCAGCGCTTCCTTGATGCACATCTCCGCGTCGAAAGGATACATGGTCGGGGAGTTCGTCAGCGAGACGAGTATTAAGGGTACTTTGTTGACCACGAAAGACTTTAGTAAGTGGCCAGTCTTAGGCCCCTCATTGCGAAAGACGGCGTTTGCGAGGAGGTCGAAGGATGCTAGGATAAGCTGTACTGCTGTAGATTGTATGTCTCCCTGCCGCATGTTAGAAGCTATCCCGCGCGCCCGTTTCGGTTTAACTTGTGAGTCCATACCTGGTATCTGTTTTGTAAGTATGTAAATAACGCGCTATCGTCAACCATGGGCCGGCCCACGAGCTGGACACTGTCAGCTTGAATCCAAGGTGTTCCTAGCGGACGCAAAGGCTTACCGCAGCGCTGAGGTAGATGTAGAGACCGGCTCGAGAATTAACGACCGGCATCTCGGGTATCTGGAAGTTGTCCATGTCGATGAGATTGTCCATGTAACTGTTTACTTCCACGTCTTTCTTCTCCGCGGGGAGATATTTGCCGAGCGTTTCGGTACGAAACTGCTCCAGTCGGCCTGCCATCTCGGGCAGCACTTGCATCACGCAGGGAATGAAGGTTTGCAGGGCATCAGAAAGCTGCTTGCAAACGTCTACGCCGCCGTCAGCCCCAACTCTAAACCTTAACCTTACCCGCAATTGCTGGGCCGCGCGCCTACCTTTGCAGAGCCGCCTGCTCAACGTCATTCGAGCCAGCGAGTTCTCACTGAAGGCAATGAGCAACAGAACGAACGCAGTCCTCGCGTCTCCCATCTCGTCTCTCGCCTGCAAGCCGTGTATTGAGCCAAACGCCTCCCTGGAGAAGACCGCCGCCGCCGCGGCGAACAGGCGCGCCCATTTGGCCAGCATCTTGGCCACCTGCACCGCATTCCGGGCCGTCCTAATTCCAGACTTGTGATGTATCGCCTGCGCAAGTCGCCAGAATATCCTCTCTTCGTCATCGTACGAATTCTGCCACCTGACAAGCTGTGATGCTCCCTCTCCCCTTTGCCCCCCCTCGACGCCATCCCCGGTTGGCGCATCGGCATCCTGTGATCGCACCTTCAGATGCGCGGACGAGTACTTGAACAGGGCGCGCAGGACGGAGGCGGGATCGACGCGGTGTTGCTTCAGCAGGGCGTCGAGATAGAGGTGCACGCGGGGGTCGAGGCTGTAGCGTTGGCGTTCGGTCGGGCGCAGCAGCTCGTCGGCGATTATGACGGGCGGCAGAGGGTATTTATCCTTGAAATGAATGGGGAGGAAGTCGGCGAATCGGGCCGGGTCGAGACGCTGGTTGCGGGCGCGTTGGAGGAATAGCGACCACGCCGCTACGGAGGCCGACAGGCTTGCTTTCTTGGTGCCTGCGTCCATGGTTGGGGCATTGACGTCGCTTGCTATCACTGGTGTGTAGGGCGTAAATTGTATCCAACCAATTCGTAAAAATGTTCGTTACATGTTCGTGGTGGTGTGTGGAGTGGGAAGAGTAGAGGTTGATGATGACGGGATCATGCACGAAGTAACGCGCCGGGGAAGAAGGGTCCGAGTGAGCAGGTCGCAGCAAAGAGTGGGGCGCTGGAAGCCAGAGCTCTGTAGGTAATTTACAGCGCATACGTTTCTCCGTAACTGACCACCCCGGGCTTAATAACTGCAACAAAGCGCCCGCCACATGATAAAGAGCGGCGCGTTTAAACATGAGCAGGTGATTTCCCAAGGCAGGCAGATGGCAACAGGTTTATACGTCATTCTTAAGAATGGCTGTGGTCATGCAACCATGACATACCTGCCAACAACCATCACGTAACTATCAAATCCCTGCCGTACTGCTTAGTACATCCATCCACAGCATCATGGTACGGATAACGACCCAGCTTTGCCCTCGTGCCTCCTTACCTCAAGCGTACCCAAGGACGTAATCAAGGTCCGTAACCACAATTACCCGGTGCCACGCCGTCTAAACACCAAACACACTTCCAGGTGATACAGAAGTATACATAGAAACCACGCCCGCTGAAACAAAAGACCTCCCTCAAAAACCAACCTCCCAAAACATGTAATGCTGCACACCTTTGCCCCCTATTCCCAATCCCACAGGTATGACGGTATCCAGCCCGGACGCCTGATCCCCAACAGTCCCAACAACCACAACCACACCACCTCCCATCCCACACAGCCCACCTCTTTCACTCCTCCTCCCTCTTGATCCTCACCCCACCGCCCGACCCCGATCTCGACGGTCCCGCCTCACCACCCCTAACCTCAACCGACCTCGGCCCAAGCATCCTACCACCACGAAACCAAAGTCAACAAACCCCTCCCCAAACCAACCCCAAGAAGGCCCTCATAGAACACCCATCATTGAAAAAAGAGAGGGAGGGAGAAAACTCACCAATCCTGCATCGCCAACCACTCACTCCACCCGGCCTCAGCATTCACGATCTCCGCCTCGGTCACATTGCGCAGCGGCTTCAAGAACGGCAGCGACTCATCCGGCGGCATGTCATAAGCACCCTTGACCTCCAACCACGACGCACTCTTGGCGGCAAACAAAAAGTTGCGCCGCTCCTGCTCGTGCAGCGGCCGCAGGCCCAGCTCCCAGTCGTCGCCGAAGAAGCCGTGCAGCACGGCCGGGATGTCGAAGCCCGTGGCGACGAGCCGCCGTATGTAGGGGTGCAGCGAGACCGGGCCGGCGGCCGGTCCGATTGCTGGTGGCGGTGGTGGTGGTGGGGGGGCTCGGGGGTTGGCGTGGAGGAGGGCGGCTTGGTTCTGGGCTTTTTGGAAGGGCAGTTGGATGTTGATGAAGGCGGCGAGGGCTTGGACGGGGCCGTTGTACTGGGCGTGCTCGAGGAAGTAGCGCACGCAGGATTGGAAGTAGGGGTACCAGTCGAAGAGGTCGAATTGGCCGTCTGTGAAGGGCTGGATGGAGTGGGGGGTTAGAAAGGATGGGCTGGTGTTGGGATGGCAAGTTAGGGTTGCGGGCAGCCGCGGGGGAGAGGGTACCTGTTGCTCTTGGAAGGGGTGGTAATCCCCCTGGGGTGCCGCCATGGTTTCAACGGTGAGGTGAGAGGGCGTTGATGGTGGATTTATTTGTTTCCCCTTCGACAGACAGCTAGTGTTGCTTCTCTACTGGCCGATCGGCGGGTGTGTAAACGGCGGGAAACGGTTGGAGAGCCCCAGCTAGAGGTTAGTCTTGTACGTCTGACCCGCCTGGTCGCTGAAAGAGCACTTGTTGGTCTGTCTCGTCCTTCTACTGGAAACCTCAAGGCCTCAGAGGGTCTTATTCGCAAAGATAAACGAGATGGCCGAGTGGTATGTCTGCTCCGTTTCGACAGCCACATTGACAGCGAGAAGGACGTGGCATCAGCTAAAGAAGGCTACCAAGTGCTCAAGGGGAGGTACGATTGGGGGCAGAGCACTTTCATATAGCCGTCCGTTTCGACGGGACCTGGGATGATGTGCATCTGCCGGCCCGGGAAAAATAGAAAATATGTAGTAGCCAGGGGCTAGCATGTGTCGTCTACTGTGTACCATGACAGCCAAGCCATCACGACCGGGGCCGAGCCGGACGGCAAGGTGAGGATGCGGCTGCAGTGTGCAGCTGAACTGAGTCTGATGGACATGGAAGGCCCGCGGTACCTGGCAGCCATGGTTGTGGGGATGGCGATCATCAAGGCTGGGTAGGTATTGTTCGGTGACCCACGCACAACTCGAGGTGAACAGGGGGGCAAGGGACGGGCCACATTGGTGCCCACGATCTCCCATCCGACACTCGATCCCGGTAGCAGACGAAGCGAAGTGTCTATCGAAACGCGGAGGGCGGCACATCGGCTCTTCATTCGCCGTGCGGGCACGCCAGAGGCTCACCGGGAGGCGAAGGCCCTCAACAAGTGAGACCTAACTGTTCCGCCGAGAACGAGAAGAGGGTTATGAGAGAACAGGTGAGCAGGGATCACAACACCGCTCCCGCTGGCCCTGGATGGGCAAATCGAAAGAGACCGACCGCGTCTCCTGCATAGCGAGACATGACGGCAACCGGCCCCGGAATCCCATCCCATCTCGACATGTGTGCGGATCGTTGCCGAGCCGGGGTGGGACGGAGGTCTGGCTTCACCCTGGTGGGCTTCTGCCAAGGGCCCAAGGGGCAAGGGTCCAGGAACTGGCCGCAAATCAAGATCCAGCACGGCCCTTCCGCAGATCCGACCCCGACAGGGGTAGCCACGCCCGATCCTCTGGGTCCTGATGTTGCGTCCAGCTGTGTCCCGGATGGAATGTCGAGATGCCGAGGCGCGCGATTCAGCTTTCTTGAGCTGCGGCCTTGCTCTTTTGAGCACGAGGCTCACACGGAAGTCGGGAAGTCAAACAAAGGACTCCTCCCGGTCCGAAAACGACTCGAGCGGTATGCACTGAGGACTCCCACAACAATCCCTGGCTCGCTGCCCCGCGGTCGACGGGGTGCAACCCTGAAATGCAGGTGACGCGCCACACTGCCGGGTTCTGCTGGGATCGGTCGCCGGGAGTATCGGCCACCGTGACCCGATGGGGCAGGCTCGAGACGGCTCGGGCTTCAGCGACACCAGGTTCCTAGGGCCATATAGTCACGGCATGGCTTCTATACTTGAGGCAGCCATGCGGAGGTGGCAACACTCGGGCTACCCCCGATTTGCTGCTAGGAAGGCGGACGGCTTAGCCGGCTGGGCCTTTGTTCGCAACCGACCGCCAACGCCAAAAAGGCTGTGGGTTATCGCGGAGGCTCTGATGGAGATGTACGTACACAGTATGGACATCCACTCCGTACATATGTACTTGGGCTGGACCAGGCTGGAGTGATGTGTCCTCCAGGGCCACCAGTGCTAGTGGAAGCCCCCTGGTGGCGATCTTAGTCGGACTTTGCGGCTGCTCACATCCCTGGAAGTATCCCAGACTCGGTAACGGGGACACACGGACAAGACAGGAGGCGGCCTGCAGGTGCTCAAGAATTTCTGGAATTCCGGATCTGTCGAGGATTCCCGTCTCGCTTCTTTGGGCGTCCGAAGAGAGGGGCACGTTCCTAACGGGACGGTCGCACCTGCTTTCGAACCCCTGCGCGAACCAAAAAGGTGCTGGAGGGGGGAAGCAGGGGCTGGAATGTTCGGCACCTCACCGGGCGGCTCGGCCGATCGGTCGGGTCTGTTCAGCTTGACAGGCCTGCCTGGAGCTTGACAATCCTCAACTCCATCAGAGTAAGTGATAACGCAATCGTGTTCTCTGGCTACTCTTGGCCCACAAATTGTTGGGGACTGCCGCGAGGACTAGCGTCTTGTTCGAATGGAAAGATCATCAAACATCCGTCAGAAGTCCGCAGAGGATGAATCTCAGGGAGCCATGTTATGTGTGCGTATGGATGGATGGTCTTTTGTTCGTCTCAACTCTGCAAGTGCACAGATGCTTGGGTCGCAACCGCTTGATTTCGAGGTGGCAACAATCGGTCAGCTCAGAGTGACGTACAGATGTACCGAGAGCGACGTGAGAGGGTCATGCCAGTTCGTTCGCCGCTTGTTGTTGGTTCCCTTAGCTGATTTTTTTCAGAGCCAAATTATCTTAAAAGAGAAGGAGAGAAAGAGAGAGGCCTCGGCAGTGTTCAAGGTTTGTGTCCGCTGTGGGGACATGGCTTGCGAGCCCTGCGATCGTGTGGTATGATTGGCCAATGGCTCGATCAGGCAGGGGATCGAAGTGGAGTCGGAGAACACTTCGTCTGCCAAGCGTCAACGGCCGACTCAGAGCAAGGACCTCACTTCCACTCTCAACTTTTTCAGGCCTAGCACTCAACGGATCAACACATTCAGTTGGGTATACTGTGTAGACTTAGCCTCGTGCCGTGGCTCAAGTTGGAAATTTCCCCGGAGCCATGCCTGAGCCGACCTCCGCAACCTTGTCTACACAGTACCGCTCTCAGGGACCATGCCGGAACCAAACAAGCCTTCGACTTTTGGCGTCATTGCTGCCGTATTTGACGTGCCCTTTTGCTTACCCTCCCGCTGTGAGCTCGACGATGACTGTGTACTTCGTAGCTAGCCAAGATGACGGAGGCTCGCTCCTCTTTGCAATGGCAACCACGCGACAGATGCGCGAGAACCAGCCACCAGGGCTTCCGGAATTAACATCACAGGGAGGCCGCGTGATGAGAGATCGACTGCGGTCTTTCCCGGAGAGGGCAGAGGCTCGGGAGCCACAAACGCCCATTTGATGCACGGCTTCCCCGATTGCTCACCGCCGCAGCATTTCATCTTGAATAAGGTGAGGTGACTAGGTAACTACCCGTGGGGGTGACGTCGACAACAGCGATGGTCGAACACCAAGACCTGTCTTCAAACCCCCCGAGGGCACCACGCGGTATGCCGTTGCGCGTAACCCCAGACACTAGACGGAGATTGGTTGGATCTGGGTACATGAAGAACGTGCTCGCCACTTGGACCCGAGATCGGCGGCCGTCTTCGTGCTATGGCACAGCCGCGTTCATATTAGCATACTCGGGTAGAATGCAGGAGGGACCTTTCTCGCGGATCCTTTCAACCGTTTTTTTTTGCAAGGCTCGGCCAGGCCCTTCCAACGACGCTAGGTAGACCTGGACGTGCATACATTGTATTGAGTTCGTGGCGGCAGGGAATGCCTCATTCTCTCAGTGCCTTGCCACCCAATGACTCTCAACGTAGACCTTGACTTGGCTTGCCCAGCCCCAATTCTAGGTGCGAAGATAGAGTCTAATGCCTGGTTGTGTGTACACTGCCATGGTAATTCTCGAGGTTGTCTCGGAGTGATGCCAGCTCGCCAACAGCAGCCGCCAGGCTGAAGATGTGCATGGGGCCACAAGACGACCCAACTCAGATCCCAAGCCAATGCCAATGCCCCCAAAGTTTTAGGTAATTAATGACTGTCAACAACGAGCAATTAACGCGGCGGATTGCTCCACGTTTTCTCCGGTTGCCCAACATGTTGGGGTTGTGAGCCAGGGTTGTTGTCTGCTTTGAAATGGCTTGCAAGGAGCGTTGACTATGCACAACCTCACCGAAAACCACCCATGACATCAGTTGGAGGAGCCCAGGATGTGTGGGCTGTTGCTGTGCAAGATCGACACTTGTCTCATGGCAAATGTTTAGGTAAACGGAAAGCTGAGGACCCGTCCTAAATCCACTCTGTTGTCTTAGCCACGGGCTGCTGACCTTCCTGAAAACAGAGGGGAGAGTTTACGCTATAATAGTAGTTAGTCGATGATTTGGGCATGACAACTCCTTACTCAGCAACTCACGTTTCTCACAACTCTCCGAGAGGACTCGAGATAGTTACCTCGTGATTTTAGGTCTTGGATGCTTCGAAGTCAGCTGCTGAGATACCCGAAGACGGGAGGGCTCGCAAAAGACAACCGGCAATAAACGGCTTGTTCAACGAACTGAATGCAAAAGTAAGGTAAGGGCTGCACGGCGACTTCGGCTAGCAGAATGAGAAATTGTACAAGAGAGATGTTTGTTGATGAGTGCCGCATGCAAGTTGGATTCCGAGGCGTCGACAAAATAGGTACCTTGGCGTGTGCTGGGAGTGATTTCCTGTCTCGGGTTAGGGGCGCACTTTCGGTGACCCTGGATGGACTTTGGTAAAGGGTGGTAACGAACGGGAGAAACGGGTCTTGTAAAATACCTGACCGTCCATCTGGATACCAGATTTCGTTAACAAGCTCCACTCACCATGGTCCTCTGTTACATGCATATTTGGGGTAACGCCACACTTGACCCCAACAAGCTCAAGCACGAACCACACAAGCTGCGGCGCTAGTGGCAGTTGCCAGATTGCAGACAACCACGTTTTTACGACATCGATTCCTTCCAAGCTCGAGCTGGGATTTGGACCTCTCCTGAACTCCCATCTCTGCCTCTCTTTCTCTTCTTCATCAACACCCCCCCCCCCCTTTCCCTTTTTGGAACTCGGCACAATGGTCAACTTCAAGTGGTCTTCTCTCGCCCTGCTCGCTCTGCGAGTCGCCACCGCGTTTGCTGCGGAAGATGTAAGTTGCATCATGCCCCGTCACCTGCAAACAGCCCCTTTTTCGATCTGCAGCTCGTAGAAGCGCAATTGCTCACGTGCGACCTCTCCAGGTCGACTCCGAGCCCATCACCGCCGTTCCGGTTGAGAACCCCGAGCTCAAGGCCGACATTGAGACGACCTTCCCGGATGCCGACATCTTCGGCGTCAAGATCGTCAACGGCCGTGTCACCAAGGCGCTGATCGAGATCACCAACCATGAGGACACGCAAATCGACGTCGCCTTTGTCGGCGGCATGCTCAAGACCACCAAGCCGCTGCCCGAGGACGCCCCGGCTTCCGCCGCCATCCTCCGCAACCTGACGGCCGTCCGGTACGACGTCTCGATCCCTCCCGGCGAGAAGCACCAGCTTCCCTTCCAGTTCGTCCTCGACATGATGCCGCAGGACGTCGTCATCGAGCTGGTTGCCATCATCACCAACGCGGCCTCCAACCAGATTTTCCAGGCCCAGGCCCACAGCGGCGCCGCGAGCATCGTCGAGCCGCCCACCAGCCTGTTTGACCCCCAAATGTAAGCTCCCACTTCACCATCCACCCACTCCATCCACCCGACAACCCATCACCCACCAAACGACCACTGACGAACCACCCACCCACGCAGCATCTTCCTCTACCTCTTCCTCACCGGCGCCTTCGGCGCGACCCTCTACTTCGTGTACAAGACCTGGATCGAGGCGCTCTTCCCGCAGGCCAAGGCGGCGGCCCCCGGCGCCGGCGGTAAGAAGGCCGCGCGCAAGGCCGCCGCCGCCGCCGCGGTCGCCGAGCCCGAGCCCCAGTCCGGCTACGACTCGGCCGGCGCCACCAGCGGCGGCGACGGCTCCAAGAGCTACGACGAGAGCTGGATCCCCAACCACCACATCAACCGCCCCGTGGCGCGCCGCGTCAAGAGCGGCGCCAGCGGCAAGGCGAAATAGAATTCTCGTCGTGTTTAGGGGCTGCGAGCCGCGCCGGGGTGTGTGTGGGTGTTGGTTGGTTTGGATGTGGTTGGGGTTTGGTGGGCGCGAAGTTGGTTGAGTGGAGGAATGTTGTGGGAAGCTGGTCGAGAATGCGCGCCGCGGCGGCTTTCCGTGGGAAAAAGCAGAGGAGAAAAAGACGCGTTGCGTGCTTTCGCCGCTTGTGCTAAAATCATCCGTGTAATTCGTTCTGTACAATCTAGTGGCTGGGCAGGGGATAAAGGATGGGAACGGAAAGCGACTTGATAAAACTAAATTTAAGGCGTTTCTCGTACTTTTGTTGGTTACACCTTGTACTGTCCTTGAATGTGTATTGAAAAGCTCAACTGTGTAGCCAAGGTCACACACGTGTAATGCTACATCACGAAAATGGGAAGCGCCGGGGAGGGGGTGTATATACCATACTCAAAAGTCGTCTCGCTATGCACCACCACGCGCACCTAATGTATACCAAGGCATTGAAAGACTCGAGAGGGGTATGTATGCCGAGCAACATAGTGAAGGTACGCCGCGTCTACTTCATTCATCCAGCATTCTAACAAGCCAACCAGCCGTTTTCACAAGACGAGGAAGAAGGAAAGGAGAGAAGATAGATGATAAGCGAGAGTGAATCCCAGAAATCGCTGCCTCCACTAGTTTAACACCCATCCACACACAACCCAGCCCACCCCATCCAACGCCATATAACCCCCAAGACCAGTAAGCAGCTATGCAAACCCTCCCTCTCCCTTCCCACCTCACTCTCTCACTCCTTTTTTACCCCCCGTTCCCACTCCCACCTAAAAGAACCGCCTCCGCCTCTTCCCCGCCTCAGCCAGCTCGCGGCCACCAGCCCCAGCGGGACCACGACCGGACCCGCCGCCGAAGCGGTTGAGGTCCTCGATCTTGGCCAGGACCAGCTCGAGCAGCTCCTTGCGGTGGATGAGGTCGAGGTGGCGCCTGACCTTGGGGTCCTCGCGGGCGAAGCGGTCGAGGCCGCCGGCGGCCATGTGCTCGTGCAGCTTGCTCTCGACCTCGCGGGGGAAGCGGGAGTAGAAGTCGTTGAGCATCTCGACGTTGAGGAACAGCACGGCCGTCTGGGAGAGCTTGGTGGCGACGGCGTCGAGGAAGACCTCCGGGCAGTAGTACTTGTTCTCAAGCGCCTTGCACTTGCGCGACTTGGACGCGAGGATGCGCATGTTGAGGATGTCGGCGCGGTCGCGCAGGAAGGCGGCTTCACGGCCTGTTGGTGCGGTTAGTATGGCCACGTGCGAGGGAGGGAGGGGATGGGGGCCGGGAAGGGGAGAACATACCTCGCTCGAGGAGAGCGGCGCTGAACCCGCCTGCTCCGCTGGGGTGGTCGCCCTCGACAATGACCTCACCCCGGCGTGCCTTGTCAACGAAGGTCATGACCTCCTTAAGCTTCTTTCTCCCGCCGACCGAGTTCTCGAGGCTCTTCATGGCCGATTGGCACTGTACCAGCTCGCCCTGGAGCACACCAACGACATGCTCACGGCCCTGTTCCCACTCGTTGGGCTGGATATCAGGGTCAAACTTGTAGGGCTTGAGAGAAATCTCAATACCGTCGCTTGTGGCGTATGATCGGTCGGCGAGGACGGTAGAGGCGGCTTCGCTAATGGCCTTGCGGGCTGACGGGTGCTTGGAGAAAGATGACTTGTCGAGGAGCTTGTCAATGTTGGACTGGACGGCGTTGGAAGCTACCGTTGCTGCGACACGACCCACACCGAGCCTAGTAAGACCGGATAGGGCCGTGTCGAGTTGCCGGTGCCAGTAAGGCGACTTCGGGTCGGCGTTGGGCAGGTCGGCAATGTTGTCTGGCTCAGGCAGAGCAACAGAGAGATCTTCGACCGGCCTGTTCCAGTATCTGGCGGCAAGTTGGTCAAGGACTTTTTGGTCGAGGGCAGCTTTGAGCAAATCCTGCAGCTGGGCACGGCCAAAGGACGACGAGAAAGCGTGGAATTGATGCTTGAACTCGTCCAGGCTTGCGGCCAGGTACGCCTCGGCGCTCATGGGTTGCTCGTTGTACTGCACCTTGAACTGATAGGTGGTTTCCTCGAGCTCTCGCTGGATGGATTCGGTAGTCTCGTGCAATTTAGAGGACATGGTTTGTTCCAGGACTTGCATAAGCTTCTTTCGAAGCGTTATTGTGCCTGTGTTGACCCCGGCTTCCGGCCCAAACTGGGAAGGGTGTGTGTTGAAGAAGGATCTCTCGTTCCGGGCGATGCCTGCCAAGAGATTGCCGGTCTCCCTCCTGAAGAGACCTGTCTGGGTGGGCAGCTTGGAAATGACGCCAACATAGCCTAGCCTAAGCGGGTATTTCCGGTCACTCAGGATATCAGCGCCCTTGTCCGGCTCGACCAGGTCCATCTTGGTTATAACACCGATCGTCCTCTCTCCCCGCGGGTCTACCCTGCGACTGGCTTGCAGGGCGGTCGAGTTCGCCAGGTCGGTGTCGGCGGCCGAGATGGCCAGGATAATGTTGGGGCCCCGGATATACTTGTCACACAACTCCGAGATCTTGCGCTTTAGTTCCCGGGGTTGGTTCTCTCCGGCGACTTGAATGTAACCGGGGAGGTCGATAAGCGACAGGTCCGGTATCCCCGGCGAGTGAATGGTAAGTCGGATGGGGTCGTCCGTTACGCACAGAGACTCGGGGACCGACTGGTTAAGCTCTGTCAGGGTCTTCTGGATTAGAGAGAAGTCGGTAACCCGAGAAAGACCGAGATCGGGGAATTCGCCGTAGTCAGTCCGGGCGTCGGGGTCGTTCACAAGTGTGAGCTCGATAGGCCGCCGAGTGATCATGTTGCTCCCCTTGGGCAGAAACTCATGCCCAACGATGGCTTCCAACACGGAGCTTTTCCCCGACGACTGCGACCCGATAACGACAATAGACGGCAGCGTGACGGTGTTCGTTTGGCCAACCTTTTGGAGGAGGTTCCGAATTTCGATCATCTTCTTCGTGATGTACATCATGTGGTCGTCTTTGAGGACCTCCTCGGGCGTGCGTTCGTCGTTTTCGTCGGATTGATCAAGACCATAGGCGGCGGCCGAAGCTCCTGCAACGGCGGCAGCTCCAGACCTGCTCTGCTTGGGCGGTTCCGGCCCGCCCTGTCCGCCCGGCCCTCCCTTGCCGGAGGCAGCCTCGCCTTCCCCTCGCATAATCTTGTCCAGCCATTCTGGCATCTCGAACACCTCGAACTGTTGTTTTGTGTTGTCCCATCCTTGTTTCGTCTGCCCAGCGATATCCTTGGCGCCTCCCCACAAAGTTGAAGCGGTCGAGGTGACGGTGGTTTTCATGTTGCCGTACATCTCTTGAGTAGAGTTACTGATCTCTACGTCTCGTTAGTAAGAACCACCCGAGGTTGGTGCCCAGGGTCTGGCTTACGGATGGCCTGATACTGTACCCAGCCCAGACCTCCGATCATCAGGCCGCCAAATAAAGCGGGGATCCTGGCAAACTTGAGGGCCAGCTTGGGCAGCATGCGAACGAAGGAGGCATTGCGGACGATGACGGCGTTGTGGTAGGCGTTTGCTGGAAACTGCAGCGATCTCCGGAAGCCACGAGCGGCAAGGTCGGCCCGCTGGATGCCGCCGGTTGGGAGCTGGTGAAAATGTCGGACCGCACGAACGGTGGTGCGGCGGGCGAGGGGGCCCATTGCCCCAACTGCACGAAGCTGCGCGCTCATGGTGGTGAACCGAGCAGCGATAGTCTAGGCGTCATACGGCAGCATGGAAGTCGACACAATCGTCGAGCGAATAAGGGTGGGGGGAGTTGAAGTTGTCAGTGCACTTGTTAATCGGGCGGTGCTTTGCGGACAGTCAGTGACAAGGACCTCGCTCGTTTTCCCTCGGCGGAAGAGAACGGGGGGTTGTGCCCCACCTTCGGGCGAGAAAGAGCCCAGTCTATGGTATAATTGCATATTTAGGTCGAATTCATATCTCATGGAATGTGCGAAATTCGACACACAGGAATTCCATCCGTTTAATCCAGGGTCCAGATCAGATTCACAGTATTTAAGTGAGCAGAAACCCCATTTCCCGATATCGGAAAGTATGGTCGTTTGTCGGCGGTGTTTGAAAGAGCATGTCTTTAGATTGAGCCGTTGACTACCTAGTGGGAGAACGATTAAGTTGACGGGATGAAAGTTAACTATGAGGAGGCAATGAACTCCCTATGTCGGACGGTCATGGCATGTATTCTGTACATAATCTGTACACAGTAGCTAACTATCCCGAATAGGTCAGGCACCGATAGGACGGAACAGCGTTGCTTTTGGGGAGGTTATCGTCTGATGAAACAAGTGTGCCCTTGGAAGCTCGGGCTGTGGGTCTCCCCACATAACCTGGAAGATCCGTTCCAATGCTCGGTGCATCCAGCTTGGCCCGGTCTCGGCTGCAGGGTGGCCAACTACCTAGCGCAGGAGCGTACAACAGCTGAGCCCGGCGTTGGCACGACTCGCGGCAACTTGAGGTAAGGTTAAGCTGTTGCAAAAGAACCAGGCGCATTGACGTCAAATGTTACTCTTGCGAGGGATTAAACCGACACAAATAACCTTAATTTACCTTGCAGGGTTCCAACCTGATTTCGATCGTCCACTTCAAAAACAGCATACGAAGTCGTACTCGACTTCCTTAACAAAGGAGCAAAGGCACTTCCGCCATTCGCTCAGCCGATTTCGTCAGCCCTGCAGCCGGGAAGTTGCCTCGAGCCATGCATGCCCTTGTCCGTCCCTGACTCCTCCAGCAGTCTTTAAGTGGACCAACACCTTGTTGTACACCCAAACTCCGAACGTTTCGCTGCAGTTAAACTATCCCACGTTTTAACCTGTCACACGATCGCAAACATCGGGGACAGGTTCGGGATTTGACTGGAAACTGTTGTGTCTGAAAGCACTAGTTATTTATTTATCTTTTGCAAACCCTTCCCGATCTTGCTGCAGTGGACCAAACACCCATTCAACTCGCACCGCCCGTTCTCGGACCGCTCCATCTTGGGCGCCATCACACCACCGCCATGTGCCGGTTCCTGGTAAGATGGCCGCGCCAACGCCTACCACTAAAGGAGCATGGTTACTGAGAGTTGTTCGCATTATCTAGGTCTACAAAGGCAGCGACGAGATCCTGCTCTCGAAGCTCGTCCTCGACCCAGCGCATTCCATCCTCAAGCAGTCGTTTGACTCCCGCCTCCGACTGGTGAGCCAGCGCGATTCCGTATGCTTCTAAGAGTCGTAACTGACAGGATTGTCTCGGGCCGCAGGATACTCGCCGCGGAATAAACAATGCAGACGGCTTCGGCATTGGTTTCTACACCGATGCGAGACTGGGCGCCGCCCCGTGCCTCTTCACCTCGACCACACCGGCCTGGAACTGCGTAAACCTACAGCGGATCGCCTCCAAGACGGCGTCGAGGTTAATCTTTGCCCATGTTCGAGCTACTACCGAAGGGTCCCTCAGCGAGGACAACTGCCACCCGTTCTGCCACGGCAGCTTAATGTGGATGCACAATGGTGGTCTGGGCGGCTGGAAGCAGATCAAGCGAAGGCTGGGTGAGCGGTTGGCCGACAAGTGGTATCTCAATGTGGTGGGCGGCACCGACAGCGAGTGGGCTTTTGCTCTGTTCCTGGACACGCTCGAACGGATGGGTCACGACCCCAGCTCACAACCCGAGAGCGGATTTGGGCCGACAGTCCTCAGAAAGGCGATGCTCAAGACGATTGCCCTCATCAACGAGCTAATCGACAACATCCCCGAGAGCGTCGTTCATGCCGAGAACGTCGACACCCGGAGTCTCCTGAACTTCTCCGTTTCCGATGGCCACAGCATTATCTGCACGAGGTATATTGGCAGCTCCTCGGATGAGGCTGCCAGTTTGTACTATTCGTCCGGCACTCTATGGGAAACGAGGGCACCAACGCCCGATAGCCGGGACTACCAGATGGAGCGAAGTGATAAGGGCGCAGACGTGGTCTTGGTGGCGAGCGAGCCGCTGACCTTTGAGCGAGGTATGCCCAGCGAAGCCAGGCCCCGATGAGATTTGGTACTGACCGCTTCTAGAAAACTGGGTAAACGTCCCAACCAACTCAATCCTCACAATCCACAACCAGACAGTCATGGTGCATCCAATCATGGACCAGTACTACGACCGCAACCCGCAACACCGCCGCTCAACCGCCTTCGTCCGCACCAAGGGCCTCTCGGCCAACGAGAAGGGTACCTCCAGGGCCGGCACACCCTTCGGTCTTCCGGCAGCGACCCCACCCATTTCCGCCGCACTACATCTCCCCGACCACGTGGAACCACACAAGCAGCAGCGCCTCCGCGGCCCAACCATCCCCTCCATCCCCGCCAGCCTCTCCGCCCCCCGCGCACCCGATAGCTTCGCCTCAAGCTCGACCCTACCGCGTTCCCGAACGCCGCTCTCCCACGCCGAGACCATCGCGCCAGAGCCATCATCATCATCATCAGCAACCCTGCAAGCGCCGTCCACGGACGTCAGGGCGCTCACGGCGCCGCCCCTGCTCCGAGCCGCGTCGCAGCAGCCGCCGGCGCAGGGCAACATCAAGAAGAAGCGGGCGTCCCTGAGCGCGGTCGAGGCCGTGCACGGCGGGGGCTCGGCCGGGCTGGTGCAGTACTTCGATACTAGTCCGATCACGCCGGAGCCGGTGCGGACCGAGTTTGGCACGCCCGATAAGATTGCGCGCATGTTTCCCGAGCTGGCGCTGCAATGAGGTGGCTGACTGGCTGGGTGACTGGCGGGCCGGCCGGGGATTGCTTGGTAGTATTATGGGTGGTTTCCTTGTGTGTTTGTGGGGATACTAGATTGTTTGGCGTCTGGCGCAAGGCATGGGATATATAGCATAGGGAGTAGCATGCGGAGTGTCTTTGTTTAGTTGTATGTCTTGTCGTCTCTGATGAGGGCCGAGTGGGGGTGCTCAACTGTGATGTACTCTGCTTGAGAAAGATACCTAAGTAGATAGGGGCAGACTGGCTGTTCATAGCATAGCATAGCATAAAGCACGTCGATACCGGATTTCTTTTTACTTTTTACGATCCCTTGCACCGAGGACCAGTCCATCGATGCGCCCCGAATTGTCAAAAAACCGTGTGATATTATTGAACCATCCCACCCCAAACCCAACCAAAAAAAACACACCAAGTAGTTACAACCCTCCTCCTACCCATCACTACTACAAGTCTGCACCGTAACCTCCCACCGCAAGTTCCCGCCCCGCCCGTACCCCTCCCCGAGCCGGTTCTGCACCACCCGCGCCAGGCGCGAGCGCAGCTGGCTCAGCGCCCCGTCCTCGTCTGCTCCCCCGCCACCGCCGCCGACGACGCCACTACCCCCCTTGGCCACCCGTACCTTCAGGTTGGCCATCCCCAGCCCGTAGTGCACCTGCCAGAACTGCGCCTCCTCGACGCGCGCGACGTGCGGCTCGGCTTCGATCTCGCGGACGACGGAGGAGACGGTTGCGGAGTCGTTTTTGTTGGGGTTTCTGCTGCCACTGTTGTTGTTCAAGGTGAGGGCGGGTTTGGCGTTGTTGCTGCTGCTGGTAGCGGCCGTAGTGGCCGGGCCGGAGGTGGGGGAGACGGACAGGTCGCTGTAGCTCATGAGCAGCATGAGGCCCTGGGCGACGGCGAGGCGGGTGCCGAGGACGAACATGCTGGCGGCGATGGCGGCGCAGATCAGGCGGTCGAGCCAGACGAGGTGGGGCACGCTGAGGAGGGGGAGGAGCAGCATGAGGAAGGAGAAGCAGAGGGTTAGGAAGTGGAACGGGTTGGCTAGGATGCCCGCGCCCGGGAGCAGTCGTGCTAGGTAGGGGAAGGGCACCCGCATCACCCGCCGGATCCGCCCGTGGTTGCGCAGCCCGTATGCGCTCACCAGCGTGCTCACCACCGCGGCCAGGCAGGTGAAGTCGACCGTGCCGGGGGTGATGTAGCGCGCGCTGTGGGTGTGGCCGTGGCTGTCTAGGGGGCCTTCGCCGCCGCTGGGGTGTGTGGTTGATGATACGGAGGGGTGGTGTGGGGCGTGCTCGCCGACGGTCTCGAGGAAGTGTTTGAGGTTGTGGGAGATGAGGTCGAAGCCGCCAAAGACGAGGAAGACGGACATGGCGAAGCCCGCGAGGACCTCGGCGCGCTGTAGGCCGAAGGGGTGTCGGATGCTGGAGCGCCGCCAGACTTCGAAGTTGCCCAGCACGTCGACCGCCACGCATACGGCGGCCGACCCGACGTCGAAGAAGACGAGGTGCGACAGCGCCGTCATGGCGAGGGAGCCTTCGGCGCCGAAAAAGACGTACATGGCGACGGCCGCGTGGCAACAGCACCACCAGAGGCGGGCGCGCTGGCCGCTCTGCATGCTAGCCCATGCTTCTCGGAGGGTTGGTATGGGAAGGGAGGCCGGTAGTACGGGAGGTGGTCGCGGAGGTGGTTCTTGGAAGATTTGGTGTTGTGCGCTTATCGAGCTGTGTTTGTAACGGTGGCCTCGTCGTTGCCCAATATTCTAAAATAGGGGGGAAATTGGTTAGCTGGTCTGATTTCAAGGCCGCCGATATTCCATCCACAACTGCCTCGGATTGTCGCATTGTTAACAAAGAGAGGTATCCACGTACTGACTTGACTGGCCCTGCGGAGATAAATTGAGTCTGAAAGTTGAATGGGTTCTTTGCGGTAGGCCCATTCGAGCCCACATTGGCAAGCCCATCCTCCGTGGCCATGGCGAAGGTAGACTCAGGGGTCGGAGGGCGCAACGAAGGCGAGTGGTGGGGATGGAGGAGGGCGGCCGGACTCAGAGAGGGTCTGCGCTCCGGGGTATTCGCGACTGGTGGGTCAATGGTTGTTTGGTGGTCTCGATCGTGATCGTGATCGTGATCTCGGTCGTGGTCGTAGTCGTCGCAAGTGAATTGGAACGAGGGCTCGCCTGGATTTTCGTCGGGCGCGACAATGGCCGGGGTTGGCGGTGTCGTCCCTTGGGGTTTGGAGAGAAACTGACTGGGAGCCATGTGCTTGTTTGATCCGATCCCACGCCGCTCAATGGTCCTGCTGTCTCCCCCCCTGCGAGCTGTGGTTGTCGGCGGGCAATCGTCAAGGTGCGGGCGGAGCCAAACGTGGATCTTGAAGAACAGGGGGTTCCGTTTTGCGCTGAGTGCCCCGAGCGCCTGGGTAAACGTGGAATAATTTCCCCAAAAGTCTCAAATCTTCAGGGTCGGTCTTGGCCTTCTCATTGGCCCACTAAGTAGGTTGGCCAGACCGTGTATACTTTTGACATCCGAATACCTATGAAGATTTTGTATAGTAAGGTCCCCAAAGATCCCCAGCCGAACCGTTGGCCAACAACGGCGGCCATCTTTCTCGTGCCAGTGGGGCTCGAGGGGCACCAAAGCGGGCCGAGACACCAAACGGGCTTGGCTCGCTTTCAATGCCCGCCCGCCCAGCCACCCCCTTCTTGCAGGATCCACTTTAATTGGCATTCGCGAATGCAGGGGTTCGAGATTCTTCTGCAAGGCACCTCACGTCATGTTGACAAGTTCCGTCAACAACCACCTTCAACCTTCCTTCAATCCTCCGGATCCAGGGGTGTCCCAACCTCAACCGCTTCGCAGTGGCCACCGGGAGGCGTAAACTGCAAGCAACCCGGGAGAGGCGCGAAGGGCATTGAGAGGGACCGTGTCGAGCGTGTGTCTTGCTCGCAACTACCGAGCAAGGAGTACGTACCTTACCGTGCGTACCCATCAACGCCCACCAACCCGAATTCCATTCGCTATGGAACAACCTACGTCAGCACCCACCGCGCCCGATGCGCCTCCCGCCTCAAACCGCCCACCAGCCCCCGGCAGGAAGCGGAGCTCGTCTGGGGCTGGTGGGCTGTTGTCCAAGCTTCCCTTCATGCGCTCCACAGGCGAGCACCGTCCGAGATCCCGCCGGAATACCATCGAGACCGACCCGGCTGCTCCGGCCCCGACACTGCCGACACCATCCTTCATTTCGATCCCTGCCGACGCACCTCAGCACCACGTCCCTGCATCCCCCACTGCGCCGGCGCCGCTGCCTCACATACTTCAACATCCGACGCTACAACAGACGGCGCAACAGAAAACACGACGACGTAGGGGGTCACTGCGGAAAGTTGCGTTGCTCGGACGGGGCGCCCAGCGGGAACGGCGCGAGGGACGGGGGTTAACCATTGATACCACACTTGACGACGGGAGTAGCGGGACACCCTACGAGATTGTGGCTACAGACACGGGACCCGTCACATCAAGTCCGGTGCCCATTGACGGACGCTCCAACGCCAATCCGATCCCCAAGACCGGCGGGGCCGACCAACCATACGGGCTCGGTATCACGGACCCAGGACACCGTACCAGCATGGACGGGCACACCTCCACCTCCGATCCCGACGCAACACCCACCGCTGCGCTAGCACCCACCAACCTCGGAACCACAGCCTCCAGCCCGCCCATCAGCGCCGCCGACAAGCGGCCCAGCATAAGCTACAGCACCACCAACGACGAAGATACCCTACACATGGCCCGACCCAGCGCGCCCTCCCTCTCCATCCCTCGCGCAACCACCCCCTCGCTCTCCCTCTCCTCCTCCTCCGCCATCAGCCTCCTCCACCCGGACCGCGCCTCCCTCTCCTCCGGCTCCGAATCCTACTACCTCACCCGGCCCGCCGGCGGCGGACTCAGCAGCGTCTCCAGCGCCATCAGCGCGCTCCCCTCCCTCCAACGCCGCCGCAGCGCCACCGTGCAACGCGCCAAGTCCCCGCTCGGCCTCAGCTCGCTCGCGGCGCCGCTGCCGCAGGCAGACGCGGACTGGGACTACGCCGAGACGGAGTGGTGGGGCTGGATCATCCTGGCGGTGACCTGGACGGTGTTCGTCATCGGCATGGGCTCCTGCCTCGGCGTCTGGAGCTGGGCCTGGGACGTCGGCACCACCCCCTACGCGCCCCCCGAGCTGGAGGACGATCCGACCCTGCCGATTGTGGGCTACTACCCGGCGCTGATGATCTTGACGGGGGTTATGGCCTGGGTGTGGGTGGTGGTCGCGTGGGTGGGCATGAAGTATTTTAGGCATGCGCAGGTTAGTGGGGATTGAGAAAATAGAGGGGGTACATAATGGTTGGGGTCTTGGTGTTTGGGTTGCGGCTTGGGGTAAGCGGGTTGGGTTCAACGGGAATGTAATTTGGCGTCGGTGTGCGCTATGCTATGCTACTGTGGCTATATATACCCCATGAGTCGTCGCTTCTACGGGACAATATTATAGACTGATGATGGTATCCCCATCCCTCGGGCTAGTACCGGCTAGGAGTAAGAAACATGTCCGTCAACAGATGTTATGAGAAGTTATTCACAAAAAGAAGGCGGATGTTTGAAGTACCAAGACTCCTCTCTCTTAACCAAAACAAGCCTTCAACCTAGCATAAACTAAACCTCGCATAAAGGAAACCATAGTCAACCAGCCAACTGAAATTAGTCCGAATCCAAGTTCCATGGGCAAAATCATGTATTGTATACTCAACTCGAAGTGTTTATAATCAACTGGGAGCTAATGCCCGCTTTAAAAGAATACAAAAAGTATTGTATATAAGTAGCGAAGTACTTGCCCCTATTATTTCCCTACCAACCCAGGTAAGATTCTCTGTTCTTTGATTTGAAGTTGCTCTAGTACCAGGCTTGAGTAGCCCAGCAAGTTCTCAACCCTAAAGTCGAAGACCCGGGCCCATTGTTAGATTTGCCGTTCCGTCGACAGCCTCAGTGTGTGGCACAATAAGTATTGCCGCACCCAACAAACCCGTTTAACAGATACAGAAACCGAATTGTTGGCCCAGTCGGCCCATGGGGCTAACATGAACTCCAGCACACATCGGCAGCCTTTTACGAGCGGTTAGTAAACGCCTTGGGTTGGAGGCATGGCGATTAGGGGGTATAAAGCAGCCTCGATTCCAAGTTAACTGAAATATTATGTTACTCTCTTCATCCCTCAACCCTCGGATCGAGCCCAACAATCTGTGGTCTGGCACCGCATACCTCCGCCCCTTCCCTTCTTGTTTGTCCTTCTTTTGGTTATTTCAACTCCGCCCCAGGAGCAGCTCGGCACTTCTCACGGTCTCAACTAATTATTCTGAAACTTCTCTGTTTCTCCTACCGAGTCTCCAGCCACCATGAGTAATACCATGACGAGTAATGAAGGTATGAGGTTGATCGCAGATGATGACTCTAGGTTCTACCGGAAGGGAAAATCTCTGGGCAAGGGTAACTACGGCGAGGTTTTTGAGGTGACAAACTCAAACCACCAGGTACGGCCCTCCCTCCCGGTTCTGGGTGGAATTACGACTCGGGAAAGCTAACACACGCAACCCCCCCCCCCCCCCCCCCCCCCTTTTCCGAAAATGGTACACGCAAGGTCCAAAAGGTGACAACCTTGAGTCAAGATTGGTCCAGAAACCGGGAGCTCCAAGTTTGGCGCAACGCATGTAAAGGGACAAAGCACGTGGCCCGGGTGTATGACGCCTCGTTCAACAGAGTGGCGGGTGAGGTCCGCATCTACACGGAACTGCTCGAGGGAGGCGACGTGAAACATTTGATGCTCAGCATAGAAAGACACACGCCACGGCAAATGGTGCACCCGGCCATCGTCTACCTCATAACTAGCCGTGCAGCTGGCCCGGGCGCTCTCCGAGATTTAACAGCGCGGGATCCTCCACCGGGATATCAAGCTAGACAACGTTCTGTTGACACTGGGGATCACGCTCCAGATGAACTTGGCCCGAGGCTTGACTCTGCACTCTGCCTGTCGTCAGCCCCATCATGTCCACCGATTTGGTCGGGTGTGGCTGAAGAGGTATTTGTTACACTCGTTAGGTAGCTCCCAAGGCTCCCAAGACAGTCGCGTACCTCAGCAATGGCATCAGGCCTGAATCGCGCATGCGCTTCCTCCCTTGCATGCATTCATCCAGTGACGCTGCTGCGGACTCAGTCACGGCTGACCTTGAAACAGACCGCTGATTGGGCCCAAGGTTCTCGATTTAAGCGCTGTGGGACATGCAGGGGTTTCGCCCCCCCCCCAGTGGGTGCCCCCGGAGTTCGGTCGCGATTTCACAGCGAGTCAGGCTCGGGCGCTTTGCTACCTAATTTAGGCGCGGCTCTCGAAACAGTTGGGGCTGTCCCCTTGTGATGATGCTTCTGTGGCTTCCTCTCCGTGACAATATTGCGTGTGTTTGGTGGGCTGAAGGAGCGCCTTTGGCGCGTGGGCGCGCGCTTGCTGCTCGCTCGCTGACAAGGCGGGTTTGATGCGAGTCTGAGCCGCTTCAGGCCGCTGTCGTGCTTGGGGCGATCCGTGGTGGGCAAGGTGGGTGAGGTGACCCTGCCCGTGGCGTTCGGTGGATAGGTACGTACCTGAACGCTGACCACCTTTCCGCCCGTTACGTCATATCCGTTTAGGTCAGCTCCGAGGAGGCGTTGTAGATGCACGACGGTCAGTCGACGTGTTTCCGTGATGGATGCCCCTTTCACATATTGAGTAATGTCCGATGTTTGATTATTCCTCGAGTATGTCGTCGTGATGGGGTGATGTTTCAGGCAGAAGATAAATTTATTTTACCCCGGACGGTTGCTCGGGCTCGCCTTGACTGTGATCTGCAACGGGGTGGCCGAGTATTTTAATCTTCCTTGAGAGGGCTGAGCTGAGACAACAAAGCGACTCGCTCCAGAACTTCCGGACTACGAAGTACCTACACACAACTTCGAGGAGCCGTCCTCCCGAGGTGGCGCGACGCGTGAAGTTTTGCACAACATTGGCAATCCGGGATCAGACTTTGCGCTGTCAGGGGCAATTTGGGAAGGCAAGGAGGTTCCTGGGTGCCACGCTTCGGTGGGATGGTTCAGATGGCGATTTCGGAACGCCGCCAAGGGGAGCCCGGGGTGGGGGTTGATTTGTGGAAGGGCAGCGAGGGGCAGGGACCTCCTCCGGGCCGCGAGGGTATGGTGCGCACGGACCTAGGATGGTGGGGACCCAGGTTCCAGAGCGGAAGATCGACTTTGAGATTCAGACGGCCGTTGACCGCTGCGCTCACTCTCAAGTGCCCAGTTCCGATCCTTTGAAAGCCATCAAGGTGACCATCTGGGAGGGTCAGGTTCAGGTCACCAAACGAGTAAGCCGGTCCATCAAGGTCGCACAGCATCGGCCCTCTCGTGGCCAGTGGAGAGGTGCGCCACTCGGCAAGAGGAGATGCTGCAGGACGAAGCGCCAAGACTCGCCAAATCCTCGAATTTGTCAGGTCAGAAGCGAACGGGTGTTCAGCGCTGTTCTCGCGAAGCAAGCACCGGCGAACCAGAAAGCGGTGGATATAAAACGGCCCGGAAAATACCAGCCCATTATGTAGGTATGAACAGACGGTGCTGGAGGTAAGCGTCTTGGCCCTCGGCAGCGTTGCACGCGTGATCTGTGGCCACTTAGACGGCGATCGCGGTCGATGAGGAGGACAAGAGGCCGGAATGTGGCTACAGAGGGAACGGAAGGCGGCCTCGCCCAAACGCCTGCCAACAACGCACACCGGGCTGCTTGGGCGAGCAAGCAATGGCTTCACAATCTGCTTCAACAGAGACAGCTCCCCCGAGCACCAGCGAAGCATTTTGAAATGTCCTGTAGATATCGCTCACCGGATGCTGAGGTACTTCCAGCTCTTCGAGAGCATCAGGTGGGTGATCGCGCTCCCCTCGGGTTACCCCCGCAGCTGTGAATTTGCCCCTTCCAACGTTTCTTGGACAGTTGAGCCCAACCTCAAACTTGTGGTCTCCGCTCTTGCCTCGGGGACAATCCACCATGAAATCGGTGCTGCAGGATGCTTCATGATTTCCCTACAACAAACTACAAGTACCTATTCATCCTGCGAACAAATCGGGGTTCTTTTGACATATCTTTGAATCCCGTTGAAACAAGTGCAAATTGCCTGTGAAATTGGAAGCGGGCCGAGAACAAGAGAAAAGAACGCGGAAGGGTCGAAGAGAGACGAACCAGGAACGGGCAGGTACCTGCCCCTGCTGGAGCCTCAGGCAACAACGTGGAACTGACCCGCTATGCAGCTGGAACAGTGCTTGAAGACCGGGGGGTCAGGGCGCTGGCTGGGGACGCAAAAAACCAGCCGCTCTGCCTGCTGTTCAAACCCATTCACCCAGCCTCTCATACCACCTACCTGCATCAGGCACTGCGAGCACCGGTCATCTCCTCTTTTTCATCCACCGCCTCCTGATAGCGACCGGTTTCCGCATCTGCCATCTGCGCATTCGAACAATCCTATTTACGCCCAACACACCATCGCAATCGCTGTCCGGTCGGCACATTCTCGAACACCTCCCGCGCCACTGAGGCATTTGGCAGTTCCTGACTCGATCGCCGCTCATCAATCGACCTGGCCCGCACCCGGCCGACTGGGAATTCAACAAAAGCCCCGGCTTTGCTTCCTCGCCTACCGCCTTCCATATTCACCAAATACTTCCTCTTCATTTCGACTTAGTTTGCGTTTGGTCGTTGCGGTCAATTTGTCTGCCCGATCCTTCTCGGCGTCGACACATCGAACGAGTTTCGCCCATCCACAAATCCGCTGGGGCGAGAGTCGGGTACGATCGACCCCCGTCATCCACAGGCGCATAAATATTGGAAAATGCGTTTCATTTCTAACCCTTTCTTAATAACAGACAGGGCATCCAATCTCGGCCACTCTCCTATCGCGACAGACACGTTCCCGGCCATCGAAAACAACACGACCGCCTCTTGGTCTGCATCCTTCCACCGTCACCCCCCTCTCCCTATTTGGTGCCTAGCTCGTGCAGCGTAGAGGCAAGCCAACATGAGGGAAGCCAACTTCAGCATACCCAATGTCAACAAGGCATCCGTGGGCATCACCACGGCCTTGTATGACCGACGGGCCCTCGACTGCACCTCGACCCTCCCGCTGATCAACTCTCTTAACCACCTCGCCTATCTCACCACATCCTCGGCTAGAATCCGCGACATCCTTACCGTCGATGGCGGCATTGAAAGGCTAGTCTGCATCCTGAAGGAGGGCCGAAGCAAGGATATGATGAACATGTGGAAGTGGAATCTAGCCTTCCAATGCGTCGTCAATATTGGAGTTAGAGGCACCGAGGCCGTCCGGACCCGCGTCGTCGAGGCTGACATGGTCCCGGTCATCGCCACCATTCTCGACAACTACATCAAGGTCATCGAGAAGATCCGAGAAAAGGCCGAGGAAGCCAAGCAGAAATCCGACCATCACCGCCATCGGATAGGCGGGAGCAGCCGTGTCCACAAGTCATCCAGCTTCTCGTCCCGTTCCGGGACACTAGATGTGGACCAACGGACTTTCCGCAGGCAAGCGCCTCCCCCGTCCATTGATGTGTCTGCGGCGCTGGCCGGGCCATCCACGGGGGTGGTTCATTCCAATGCCGACCCAACACCCACGGCTCCCCAGTTCCAGGTGACACCTCCGGCCGACCGGGCCCCCTTAACCGCCCACCGGCACCGCCATCATCGCATTACCTCTCCGGGCCCTCAGACCGCGCCTCTCGCGCCAATTGTCCCGTCTATGGATGCCGCCGATGGCTTCGCTCGACCCATCAGAGACGCTGACCGTCTGGGCAGCATGCTCCCGTTCTCCCGTTCCGCCATTACCTCCCAGCCAGCTTCCCCAACAACGCCTCTCCCGCCTCCTCAAATGCGGTCTCCTACTGTGCGGCCTACCTCCATGTTGGCTGCGACTGCTCGGTCTCGGAGGAGACCTTCCATTCGCCACCAGCACTCGACCGCCGCCGAGCCCGATGATATGAACGCTGAGAGCATCACCTCGGAGGACTCGCCAGACGCCGAGATGTCGGGCACTAATGATATACAACCGGAAGTCAACGTTCAGGATGTCGCGGTGGAAGATGGAGACAGCATCATGGCAGGCGGGGCAATTGACCTGACGACTCCAACCGCGTCCGAGGCTCAGGACACCGGCACCTTCAACATCACCCACCAGGGCCCGGTCGATGGTAGCGTCACCACCAACAATACGCCCACACCCGTGCCGGCCATCGGCCTGTCCCCGAATAGGCCAACTCTCGTGACCCCGCCACAACCGGCTATGCCTAGCGCGAGCGTACCTCGGTATCTCCTCGATCGCCAGGTCAGCCCCAACCCACAAGTGCTTGCCGCCATGCCGCGGGAAGAAGACGTCTTGATGTCGCTACAGCTTCTTGCATACGTTTCCAAATACTGCAACTTACGGAAATATTTTCAGAGGAGCCATCTCGTCCCCAAGCTGAAGATTGGGAAGGAGATTCAGCTTCTGGATGGCGCCGACCCTGCCGCCCTCGAGGCAAAACTCGAATACGATAACGAAACCCTTGAGGAAGAGTACTGCCTGCCCAACGACCTGAACATCTTCCCGCTAGTGGAGAAGTTCACTGTCAGATACCACAGCACCGACATGCAATATTGGGCCGGGGTGGTTATGAGGAACCTGTGCCGCAAGGACGACACGCGGGGAGGCATCCGGCAGTGCGCCTACTACCAGTGCGGCAAGTGGGAGGAGTTCACCCGCCAGTTCGCAAAGTGCCGCCGCTGCCGCCGGACCAAGTACTGCAGCAAGGAGTGCCAGAAGAGCGCCTGGGCATTCCACCGCCACTGGTGCATCGCCGCCACGCAATGATAGAAGGGGATAGGCACTTCTATCTGCAGTTTGGAAATGATGGTCGTTCTATTGATACCCCCCGGTTCTTTCTCGAGTCATCCTCACCGGGATACACACACGAAGTCCTCCTCATCTTGCATGGCGTTATTCCCATAATGTCTATCCGGCCACCTCCTTTTTGAGCAGGCCCTCTTCTCGACAAAAACAAAGCAGCATGGCGATGCATGGGCACAGCTCAGCACAGCACACCACACAGCATATCACATTTCTCTCCACACACACACGGACGGCTACCTCCGCGAGCATGGTTGGCGTTGCACGATACCACGAAGGGCTTCCTTTTTTTCCCCGTCTAGGCTTTTTCGGGCTTTTCTGGCAGACAGACGTCGCTTGTTTCCTTTCTTTTCAGGTTTTGGTTTTTTTTTTTTTGGTTGGTTTCCTTTTATTAGCAAAACTCAACGCGAGCTTTGGGTCAGAGGCCGGGGGCGCCCGCGGAATTCATCATACCTTGGTACCCTACCGTAGCCAGGCACGAAACGAACGAATCCCCTTTTTTGTTTCAAACTTGGTACTTTCTATATCGTGGGGCGTGATCTTGTGTGTGTGTGATGTGTGATAGAATTGTGGATGGGTGCTGTGCTCTCTCTTATCTCTTAACCTTGGGGGAGGGTATGGAATAAGGGGTTGGAGGGTCAGTCAGTTGGATGACAGGGACTGGGGTACGGACGGTATGTGGCATTATCTTCAGCGGGAGCAACACTAGCGCGGCGTTCTTCTATTTTTTCCTTCTCCTTTCCCCCCCTGGTCTTGTTTTGTTTATTTTCTATGATGTTGTTTTTTTTACTCTTGTGATATGACGTACATGGTCCGATGCGCAGATTCGTGTGATACACCCCTCCCTCTCCCTTTCTTTTCTTTCTCCCCCCTGTTCCTCTTTTGCTTCCTTACGCTCTCATGGCCACTGGGTGGCGTGGAGAGAAGTGTGTTGTTGGTGTGATTGTACCGTCGTGTTGGTTTATACGTCGGTCGGGATGGGGAGCGTCTTTAAGAGGCGGGCTGCCCGCCGTCCCCTTTTTTTGGGCCGGGAGCGGGGTGGTTGCGAAGGGTGGGGATGGGATGGGACGACAGGTGGACCTGGCGGACAGAACGTGGATTGGGTCTGTCTATACTAGTCAGGTACAGATGGGATGAGACGGTTGCGGTTAGGGGGGTTATCGAGGGGGTGCGTTCGTCGCACGCAAAGGTTAGTATTGGATATCCGAGGTTCGATTGTGCTTTGGGCGGGCGGTTGGATGGATGTCTGGACCACAATTACTAGCCAGACACTGGTTTTGGCTGTCGAAGGTAGGTGTTTTGGATGGCGTGGCTGGCAAGAATGGGAGCGATGCCGGCTGCATTGTGTTGCTGTCGGCGAACAGCTAGTTAGTGTTCTGGGCTGGGGCGGTAAGGAGGGTTGCTAGCCTGAAAGTGAGCCCAAACTGCTCATATGTGTATATATCATGGGGAGTGAGCTACTAAGGCATCTCCTCTAAACGACTCCTCTTCTTCTTCAAGCTACCGGGCCATGGTACCCACCTCGTGACCAACTTCAGTGGCGTGCCCCTGAAATTAATTTTGACAATCCTTCTTTATTGCCTCGGGTTGCCCTTGAATCAAAGAGGAGGATGGACAATGGGAGATTATCCTACTGTGCAAAACCATCCAACGCCACCATCTGCTCTGCACAAAGAATCGGTGAAGCGAGGACGAGGCAACAACCATAGCCCTACGCACGCATGTCATGTCACAGGCAGGTATTGAACTGAATTTTCCCTTCCCATCAAAACACCGGGCGCCATTCAGAGTAGCTACCTCGAACACTATCAACCGTCTGTTTCAACAGCAAAGCAGCCTTTGACATATACACAGTACCACCTCCCCTCCTCCGGTCGCCTAACCCGCCCCGTGATTACCGTTTACCTCTTCCCCGCCTGCCTCCGACTCTTCCCCAACCTCGGCTTCGAACCCTTCGGCCCACCGGCACCACCACCACCGCCCGGTCTACCACCAGGGCCACCGCTGCGGCCGCCGCTCTTCATGCGCTTGGCGTTGAACCCGCTCAGGTCGCCGGACGACATGGCGTCGCCGGACTTGGCGTGGCGCTTCTTGCCGCCGAAGCCGAACTTGGCGTCCTTCTTTTGCCGCTTGGCGTTGGGCGGGCCGCGGCTGTCGCCGCCGGCCGAGCGCTTCTTGCTGTTGCCGGCCGACTTGAGCTCGTTGTCGACCGCGACGTCGAAGAGGTCGTCTGCTTCGGTGGCGCCGAGCGCGGACGAGCCGCCTTCCTGTCGTTCTGTGGAGAAGGACGAGCGTTAGTATCCAAGTGTAAGGAGGTAATCAGGGGGGGGAATAGGGGCACGTACTCCGCTTGAGCAAGTTGATCTTCTCGAGGGTGTCGCGCTTCTGCTTGGCGCGCTCCTGCTGCTTCTGCACCTGGACCTGCTTGCCGAACTTCTTGAGGTCGCGCTGCTTGCGCGCCTCGGCCGACGCCTTCTTCGCGGTCGCCTCCTCGACCATCTTCGCCTTGACCTTCTGCATCGTCTCGTCGCTGCGCACCGTCTCGGCGAAGAAATCGGTCGGCCGCGTGAAGGGCACGCCCTCCTTGCGGAGCAGTGTGCGCGCCTGCCGGGCGGCTTCGAGCGACTGGTTCATGAAGGCGAGCTCGCGCTGCAGGTCGTCTTCGACGGAGGGGATGGACTCCTCGGTGATCTTGGAGGAGACTACTGATTGGTGGAATACGAAGGGGACGGTCTTCGGGTTGGTATCCAGGGCAAAGCGCCGGAGCGCGGCGAGGAGCCCTTCTTTGTTGTTGATTGTTTGACGGACGCGGGTGCCGGCAGCGATTTGTTCCTCGTCTTCCTCGTCGAGCTCTGAGAGCTCATCAACGTCAATATCCTCCTCCTCGTCCTCCTCTTCGTCGTCGTCATCATCGTGATTCTCGGGTTCTCCGTCCGAATCGAGTTCTGATTCCGAGTCGGAGTCGTCTATCCCCGCTAGGTCGATGCCGCCGTGCTCGTCATCCCCGCTGTCGTCCGAGTCGCTATCCTCGTCGACCGGCTCTTCAACCCCAGCCTTCCTCTTGTTTGATTTGCCGCCATTTATCTTGGGCTCCTCCTCGTCGCTCTCGTCCTCCCACTCTTCATCCTCAACTACTTTCTCCACAGCCGGCTCATTGGACTTTCTCCGACTGGCATTTTGCTTGTTTGACTTGCTGTTGGTAATTTGTGACTTGGGCTTCGGCCCGGCCTTGGGGGACTGTGTCGCGCCTTTCTTCGCCATTTCGCTGGTGGTGATGGTGGGGACGATGGGGGTTGGTTGCTGCACCTGCAATCTGCAGAAGCCTCTGAAACTTTTTTTGGCTGGCGTTGCGATTGAGCGATAAGATAAGGCACAATGGTGGGGCAGGCAAAGACGCGCTCGCACACAGCAGTGAGCAAGTACAACCCTAACCCCTGTTCGGTGTAAGTTAGCGCCGAGGAATCCAACTGCCAGGTCTACTAAACCCACCCCAAAGGATATTCTGAGTTAGAAGACTCTGTAGCTAAGTTCGAGCCTAAAGATTCCGAGTAAAAGTGTTGGAACTTTGAGCAGAAGTTTGAGAGCTCTGATGAGAACACTGCTTAGCCATCATTTCTGCTGTCTGAGATTGGCTCGACGTTGGGTGAGGACAAGAAGTTGGCTTGGACGCGAGCTGGCAGTTGGTGGGTGGATCCAGTGGTCGGGGTGGAGAGCGGCTAACCAGTTAAAAGACGGAACCCCTCGCACACTGAGTTTCAGGGCATGCAAGAAATTTGAGTAAAAATATGGCGAAAAAAGAAACGCAAACTCCTTTCGAAGTTTATTTTACTGCCCACAACCAGAATCGAACTAGTGACCTTGTCATAGAGAATTTACTAGTGACACGCTCTACCACTGAGCCATGCGGGCGTATGTTCAACTGTGAGAACAACTACGACCACACGCAAATTATGGTGTCCATTTTCTCGGATCCCTTGAGATCTTTGCCGTCTCCAAATCGACTGAATTGTGGCCAGGAGGGTAAAGAGAGTGCGCAGCGTTGGGGAGGCGGTCCCGGTTGTGCTGGTTGTAGTGGAGATCGGAGCGAGAATGATGTTGGCACAAGCAGTTGGGCTGCTGTCTGAGAGCGTGCAAAATGTCTTGCAGGTCTATCACAGGATCCGGCAAAATATTCATCTCTAGTCATGAGGAAGATGAGGAGCATCGGGTTCATATGAGATGAGAAAAGCGGGGTTACTATTGCCGTTGCGATGGTATCTTCGCTCTGAGGTAAGTGACAACACTCCGTGAAGCCCCTGAGTTGAGCCCCTGAGCCCAAACCCCTGAAACTTCAACCACACCACTTCCAACTCAGTCACTCATCGCTAACAGTCACTCATAGCAAGGTAGAGAACCAAAAGTTCTGTCAAACCGGCTTCAATTTACTAGAGACCATTCCTCCTCCAAGTACCAGAAAAAAAGCGAACCATATCACACTGTCCCATCCCCCCTTCAAACCCCTCCCCCCCAGCCATCCCAAGAGAGAGAGCTATCTACACCTCAACAAGAACAAGAAGGGCGCGAATCTCCTTATTCCCATCTTCCACCGCCCGCGAGACGACATCGCGAACTAGCCCCGCTGGCGGATGGAGCAGTAAAAAAACAAGGGTGTGCTGATAGCCGGTTGGCTGAGGTTGTCGAGAGCGAGGAGCTCAGGAGAAAGGAGACGGGAGACAGTTGGGGTCTGGCCGCCGTGATGTTGTTTAAAAAAGTATAAGAAAATCCAAGAAGATAAATAAGGAGAATGGCGGCAATGGCGGTCGGTTGATGGTGGGTGGGTGGGTCGTGGTTTGACGTTTCGGTTTTGTGAAGCCGGCTGACGAGGTGTGGTGTTGGTCTGGCGTGACAAGAGGCATCTCCTGGTCCCTGGGGCTCAGCGGGCTGGGGGAGGTCCTGGCGGATCAGAGGACGCTCCCCTCTCTCATCCCAAGGGGATGGGGTTGTTGTGCCGAGGGAGGGGTGTGGTGTTTTGGTCAAGAGGTCATGAGGAGGACCCTCTTGAGGAAGGCAGGAGATGCGGCTCGTACACGGCCGCCCGCACCGGGCATCCCCTGGTTGTCATTTACATGACAACGCAGTAGGCGTTGAAGTTGGTGGAGGTCTGGGGAACCTTGGTCTGGGTGGTGGTGGAAGGCATGTTGATTGATTTGGGGGTTTGTTTGAAGATCTTGTGATGTCTTGATTGCTTGTGATAGTGTGATGGTGAACAACAAGAGGTCTGATAGTAGGTCGAGGGCGAAGAGGATTTTTATATCTTTATCTCGAGGACATTGAGAGCACACTAAGAGACCAGACACTCCGATGGCCATCGCTACTATTCCTTCCACTGGCCTGCACCCTGAGGAGAATGGCAAGCGTTCTCGACCCCGTCGCATTCTTTGACACCCCTCTCTTTGGAGTTCTGACAGACAAACATGCAGAAAGAGGCCCCTCCCTGGGGGGCGAAGGTCCTAGTATTGTGCCCTTAGTATTGTGCTCTGGGGACAAGGCGAGGTCGGTCCCGGTGATGCGATAGGAAAGCCATCTGGGCCTCCAAGTGAACATGCACAGCGTGAGGAGCACGAGTTGCGATTAGTTTACATTCCTTGATCTGCTTGATTGCACATAATGGTGGACTGGGATTTGAGAAGCTGCCACATGCCTTGCAGGTCGCTAAGGTTGAAGTCGTGGTGGCGTGGGGCTTACTATTGTTCCCCCCTGAACCCCTTAGTATTGTTGACCCCGGCCCTTGTTTGTCATGTGCAACCCCGGCCCGCAAAGAACATCAAATCCGCTGAGGCGACATCAACCGTCAAAGTTCGACTAGCCCTATCCCATACTCATATTCTGAAAGAAAAAAAAGGTAATTGGTGTTTGCCGTTCGGACATAAGCACCTCGAAACGGCTACCTCGTCGAGCCCCCATTCCACTCGGGCCCGTGAATGGCCCGTTGAAAGCAATTAGACGGCACTTTCGCCAATCACCCGAATATCGATGCTCCCGAGTGGGAATCTAGAACCGAGTGAAAGGGAGCCTAGTCGTCCAGCCAGTAATCAGCAACGGCGTCTGGATGCATCGAGGTGCAGAACACAACCGACGCAACGGCGCGGAAGCGAGGTGAGTGGCATGACCTGTGGAAAAGAGGCGACGGGTATCGAGAGGCAACATGATAGGAGCCGACAAGACTCGGTCTGCCGTCACCGCGGAGAGGGCGGCAGGATGCAGACACCCTCACACACTCACCCGCACCAGCGAAGCAAGTTCCTCACCCACCCACCCACCCCCAGGAGCGGAAGAAGGACCAAAAGGGATAACTCACCACTTTCCCTTGAGCGTAATCACCACCCACGCGGCGCCAGTCTCATCCTACCCAATAGCGTCAGCCACGTCACATCCCTTTCATTCACCATCGGCACGAGATAGCCCGGGGAGCCTCAGCCCCCTAGCCGACAACCCGCACCAACCCGGGGACATGATCCGACGACAACGGCGGGACAAACGTACCACTTCCTTCTCGACCTTGCTATTAAAGCAAATCGCACTCATAATCCCATCCCCAAACTTCTCATTCATGACCGCCTTGAACGCATACCCATAATTCTGCACAATCTCGTACAGCCTATAAATCAACGGCTCAACCGGCGGCATGGGCCCGGCGCGGCCGCGGTCAGGGAAGCCGGTCATCTGGGCGGCGACGGTGGACTCGGCCGAGAGGCCGAGCAGGCGGCTCAGCTTGTCGGCGTCCTCGGGGGAGGCGCGCGCCTGCCCGTAGAAGATGGCGGCCACGGCCACCTCGCTGCGGCCCAGGTGCTCGGCGATGGCCTCGAAGGTCAGCCGCTTCTGGGTCTTGGCGTCGAAGAGCGTGGCCGAGTAGCCGGGGAGCCGGTCCATGATGGAGGACTGCGTGCGTGGGGGGGGGGGGGTTCGTGTGTTAGTGCGGCGCGGGCTTTTTTGTGACTGGTGATTTGTGATGGGTGAGGGGTGAGAGGTGGGTGGGTGAGTGATGAGGGTGAGGTGATGAGGGTGCGAGCTAATGCGTGACTTACATCGAGAGAAGCGAGGTTCTGTCGTTGCTCTGCGATATCGATCATGGATCCGCGGCGGGGTCGTTGGTCTGCCATGGTGATAGGAGGGATGGGTGACTGTCTTGCTGCTTACTTGCTTCGCGGATGTATGTCTCGGGGCTAGTGTTGACCAAAGTGTGTTGACGAGGCGGTATTCCGGCACTTTATAACAAGACACCCCTCTACATGTACGAGGTTTCGGACCCCTCCTTCTCCTGTGGCTGCATATTGCTGGTACCAGGCCGATATGGGATGTATGAGCTCACCAACCCCACATTCCTGTGGGTGAATGCATCAGGGCCCTGTCCCCCGCAGGAGATCAACCGGAAACTCGGAGGAGCGGGGTTGACATCAGATGATACGGAATCCGATATCCAGTCTTTCTCTTGTGTGTCATGCCATATCGGGCTTCTCTCTGTTATTAGTAATGCGCCATCACCATCTGCAAGTCTTTCCAGCCTCTTTTGTATCCATGAATAAACGTACCGACTGCTGTCCTCTAATAAAACCTCCCTGGCTTCGTCCAATCCTTTTTGGTCGCCGCCTCCAGATCATCAACATTTAGCATCCCAATCCCCTCCTCGACGAGCACCTCCCAAACCCGGTTCCTCACAGAGATCGGCCACCATGGCAGATTCCAGTACCGCGACACCAAACCCCTATTCTTCGCCTCGCGAATATGGCTTCGAATCTTCTCCAGCTGGCTCTTGGTCGGCCCTTGCGACCACCACATCGCCCCAATGGCCTTCCAAAAGTCGGCGCTCGCGTAATATGAGTTGGTTGAGTTGTAGCCCGAGTTCTCCAGCTTGTCCAGGGGTGCATCGAAGAAGGCCTCGCGGCGGCTCGAGTTCCCTAGAATCTGGTCGAACGGCGCATTGCCCGTCCCCACGACGGTGATGGGTCGCTGGTAGAATTGGTCGTTCTCATAGTAGCTAAGCCAGTCTCTCTCGCGCAGCGGGGCGAGCTGCTTCATGACCCACGGCCAGGTTTCCGGGCCGTCGGTTTTGATGTCGACGAGGAGGACCAGTGGCTGTTCCGGGTCGGTGTCGAAGACGCCGTTGTTTTTGCCGTCGTTGAACTCGGTCGAGGGGTTTTGGTGGGTGAGGATCTCGACCAGGGGGTTGACGTACAGGCTCTGGAAGGTTCGGTTAGGCTGTAAACTTGCCGTGTCGTGTCCGACCAGGAGATCGCCGTTGCGCAGCCAGACGTCGGACTCGACACCGGTGCATCCGGCGTAGAGCGCCGTGAACAGGGGGATGTCGCGCCAGTAATCGTTGTGTGAGTGGCAGGGGACGGGCAGGACGTCTCGGAGGAAGTCTGTTGGGTACCAGGCAAGTTCTTCGGTGCCGGTGCCCGGTTTTCCCCAGTTCACGAACGGATCGCCCCTCCTCCGCACTCCAAGGTAGCGATGCGCCATTGCCTCGGCGGAGTTCACGAGGAGGAATGTTGCGGTCCTTGGGTGAGGTCAGTGCGTGAATGGGAATAGAAGGCCGGCTGACCTACACCATAATCAAGCCCAAGAAGCATGCTGCCCATGCCCCTGGTATCCTCGGCTTATCCCTAACGCCCCGAATGCTGTCTCTACTCACACCGTCCTCGCTGTCCCCCGCATCCTCAGAGACGGCGAGATACTCGCTAGTCGCCGCCGACTTTGGCTTGTCCGCGGTCCACGAAGCCATGGTTGACCAGAAAGTCGAGAGAACACCAGATTCCCTGTCTTGAATGGTCTGAGGGGTGTTATGTGGGCGCGCCCCTGAAGAAGAAGACGGGGTGTCTCGGAGGACTGTGACCCCCACATGTGTTACCTCTGCCGGCGCCGAGTCCCGGTTCGTCACCTCCACTGGACCCACCGACTCCGGCCGCATGATCCGAGTGTGTATGGGTGGGTTGCGCCGGAGAGGGATCACGTTCGTTGTCTATCAAGGTTTGAAGGTGTTGGGAGGTGCGTGCTAGGAACGCGTCGTTTAAGTTGCACAAATTGCGGCGCGTCAATCGTTGCGACGGGCAGGTTCGGTAAAAATGCAGAAGGGAGGAAAGCCAACGGGAGGAGGAAAGCGAGACGGAGAGGGTTGAAGGAGAGTTACCTAACACTACGAGCGCAAAGTCATAATATATCCATGTAAATTTAGGTAAGGCAGTGTCAGATTCGCAGTTGGTTGAGTTGCGTATGCTAAGACCAAAAAAGCGGCGTCGACTCGCCGTCTTTCGGGTCCAACGCCAACGGAGAGTAATCTGCCGATCCGCTCCGCTCCGCTCGATCATCTTCCGTTCCAATAGCGCTCGTAATCTGTAATCTGCGTAACATTTTGAACATCAGGTGCGGTGGTTGAGATGGATGGAAAGAGAGCAATCCTTCCATCGCTTCCTTCCCGGATCGTGCGGGAGATATGCTCAATGATTCGTCTAAACTCAAGGCAGGAACCAGGAGAGAAGGAAGTCGCGAACGGGTGGTGACCCGGACTTTGCCGGGGTTCTTCCTTGGAGCCGACCGCCCCAGAAAGACAAAAGAACCCGAAAGCTGTAACAGAATACTACGAACGACTAGGTCAGGGTTGATATACGAACGCGTAAGTTAATTCCTCACAACGGAACGACCGGTTCTATCCCGACCATCGAGGCGTATTGTCGCCGATATCTATTTATGAATACGCTCGGCGAGTCCTTCACCCACTGTGCGTGTTGCCGGAGGATACTGTTTCAGGTCCCTGGGTGTGGGGCTCCCGCATTCTTAGTGACTGGAGGATGGTGGGCTTTCTTTCACCCCACCATCTCCTCGCTGCCTCTGCATCGTAATTCGCAACAAATCCGAATACGTCGGTACACCCTGATATTTGGTCTTTCCCCCCCCTTTGCGTCAAAGATGAAGGTCTGGTCTTAGGCTGCGACCGAGAACGGCCTCACATCTGCAACACGATGCTCGCGGGTTTTCGTCGGAGTGAACTGGGGGAGACTGGACGTCGAGACGTCCCGTCCCAAGGACAAGAACGGTCCCCGGACAGGCAGTGTGATGTAGGCAAAGAAGAAGCGAATTAATTACAACAACAACCTCCACCAGTGAGTACTCTAGCGCTAGTATTCTCATCGTTCTTGGAAAGAAACACCGACAGCTCTGATACTCATCCATGACGCCCCCTCCTCCCCCTACCCTGATCCAACACACCGTACGCCAAACCGCCGAGTTCTTGACTGCCACCCCCAACCACGAGATTGACTATTGCCTGGCACATAGAAGTCGCCAGGTTTCCTCCGCCTCTCTTCCGGCCGCGGCGCATTTCGACTTTGATCCTGCTCTCGAGCTCGGCTTGCTGCTGTACGAGCGCAACCTCACGTTCTCTAGCGCGCAAGCGTTCCTGGCGGACTTCGGTTTCCAGCTGGTGCTCGAGCGTCATTTGCTGCCGCTGGAGGTCGTAAGTATGGCGGGCCTTGTTCTCGTTGAGTTCACGCCGGATAGCGGCTAGCTCACGTTGGAGCTGAAGAAGCTCCGGTGAGGCGGAGGCGGCGGCGTTGTTGGATTCTTGGTTCTTTTGAGTTTGCTCGGCCTGAACCTCTGCTGCCAGCGCCTGGTATTTGGCGTCCTTTTCATGTGCCAGCTGCTGCAGTGAGACGCGCAGTTTGTCGCGATCCGCGTTGAGCTGGGCAGCCCGTCTCTCGGCATCCTCCTTCTCTTTGCGGAGGAGCTCAAACATCTCGGTGTCTTTTTCCTGGAGGGCCATCTCCATGCTGGCTTGGTATTCGACTAGGTCGGCTTCGAAGCGGCGGCGGGCTTCGAGCATCTCGGCTTGGACAAACTGTCCAGCGGCCGTCTCGTCGAGAGTCTTGCCCTCGTCCACCATCTGGACCTGGATGTCCAGCACCGCACCTCGAGAGTCTTCGCCGTTGGTACCACCCGTGGTTACAGCGTCGATGAGGCTGCCAACGATCAACTTGGCCGACTCGGGACTGCCGTCGTGCTTAACAATGCGGCTGCCACGCTTGATCATGCCACCCCAGAACTCAGGTTTCTGAAGGTCCTCGGAGCGCTGCTGGCCGATCTGTCGGCCCTCCTCGGTGGCTTCGAGGCCTTTCCACATAGTGGTGGCGAGCACCACGCTCGAGAGGCCGCGATCGCCGCACAACTTCTGGAACATGTGCAGGTTCTTGAGCGCCGATCCCTGCATCCTGGGATCGCTGATGCGATGGAGATAGACAATTCCGGCGAGCCGGACCTTCTGTGAGTAGATGCCCGCCAGGAAGAAGGCAATATCCTTCAGAATCTCGGTATCGGAACGCGACGTATCGTCGAAGCCGGGCGTATCAATAAGGTAGACCGTTCGGTCGCCGTATTGGAAGCTGTAGATTTCAATGTCGGCGGTGCCTGTAAGAACGTAGTGAGTTTATGCTCTCAGAAGGGCACCGTCTTCCATTTGATGGTGTGGTTGAGGGGAGGCCATACAGGAGTTCAGGGAGTGGCCAATGCGGACCGACTGCTCTGCTAGCAGTGAGATGAACGTGCTCTTCCCAGAGCCGGTGACGCCCATAAGAGCAATCACGATATCGTCGTCACTGAGGCACGAGTGTTGTCAGCGTCACCGGCCCGCAGAGAACGGGAATTATGGTACGTACCTCAGAGAGATGACATCTCTTGTCTCCATACTCTCGTCCACATCCATGCCGAAGTCGTCTGAACCCGTTGAGGCGACGGCCCCGGGTGGTTCAAGTCTCGAATGGCTAGCCCCATTCCGCATCCCATTATCTCCCTGCCCATGTTGCGTTTCGGCAGCGTCAACGTAGACCTCACTGTCTTCTTCCATTTTGTCTAAGGGATGCTATCGCGAAAAAGACAAGTTGATTCAAGGATTCACCGCGCCGTACATTCGGCATGGGAGATTGATTATCGCGGTCAGACTTGACAAGTAAATCATCCAGTAATAACCCAGATTCCAAGGCAATGCTTTTGCGGCCCAAACCCCCCTAAGACTTTTGCCAAATGCCCAAGCAGGTGCATCCTAATCTGGCCTAAGACTGGGACAACCGCCCATCCCAAGAGCCTTGCGTTTGATGCCAATATGATTCGCTGATGCAACTTGCCGCCCTGTTGTACACCAGCGCCATGTGGAGACCTCTTAGCCTGTCAGTTGTCGCCCTAAACCGTAACACCGTGGACCCGGTGGATTCGAGTTGTACTCGAGATGCGTTTGCGATTTGTTCCCCTGGATCTTGACACTCTTCTACCGGGCCATGTTCAAATTACCCGATCGAGCCAATCGAGATGCTGAGGGGATGTTTCAGGCCCAACTGGAAACAAGGCGAGTCTTCGCTGTTGGGCTGCGGTCTTGTCATGGGATGTACAGCTCAGAATTGAAACCCAATAGGGTACCCACGCACATCACCTGGCACATGTTGTAGGCCTAGTTGCAGGGCGAGCAATGAAAACGGGACGCCACGAGCCGCTAGCTACATATCTGCCCCTTGCTTGTTCAAAAGATAGCGGAATCTTCCCCGGACTGCCGCCATCCGTGGCTGATATATCTGAGAACCTGGTTGCCGCCCTCCCCTTTTATGGACTTCCAATCCTCCCCGCGCTTACCACGGCGATCTGATTGTGTCGTGCAGTCAGCGAACCTAGACGAAGCATCCTCTCCATTTTCTCGCGATTGTTGTCTCCAAATCAAGCTCAACATGGCCACTTGGGATCCCACACCAGCTGGTAGCGAGCAGCCACCCGGATATGACGGCCACCCACCATCTCGGCCTGAAAATGGGGTTACCAACGGCAGCTCTCAGCCAGACACTGCGGAGCTTCCTGCCCTGACGTTAGTGATCCCCCTCTCAGTTCTAGTGTAATTAGACCAATGCATCCTAACAGCTGTGCAGCCCGAACGACGTTGTCATCGCGGTGATGGGAGTAACGGGGTCCGGCAAGACCACTTTCATCTCCTACTTTGCCCCGAGTGCACGGATTGGCCATGGTCTGGAATCATGTAAGTCGGCGCCGACAACTATCACGTTGGAGGAACGGGGAGGAGTAGGACTAACAGGAGATCCCGCACCAACCCAGGCACCTCGACCGTCAACATCCACAAAGCGACCATCGGCCAGGGGACGGTCTACCTGATCGACACGCCCGGCTTCGACGACACGCACCGATCCGACACGGACATCCTGCGGGAGGTGGCCAACTGGCTCAACTCGGCGTACAAGAGCCGGATCAAGCTGTCGGGCATCATCTACCTGCACCGGATCGCCGACAACCGCATGAGCGGGTCGGCGATGAAGAACCTGCGCATGTTCAAGCGGCTGTGCGGCGAGGAGGCCCTCTCGTGCGTCGTGCTGGCCACGACCATGTGGAGCATGATGGCGTCGGCCGAGGACGGCGCGCGGCGCGAGCGCGAGCTCATGACCAAGCCCGAGTTCTGGGCGTCCATGGTGGAGCGCGGCAGCAAGGTGCTGCGGCAGGACAACAACGCCGTGTCGGCCATGGAGATCATGCGGTACATCATGGCGCAGCGGCGCAAGATCGACCTGGACATCCAGAAGGAGATGGCCAGCGGCAAGACGCTGGACGAGACGTCGGCGGGCCGCGAGGTGCAGTCGGGCATGGAGGTGATGCGGCGCAAGCACGAGGCCGAGATGGCGGAGCTGCGCCAGGAGATGGAGGAGGCCCGCCGCGACCACGACGTGCGCGCCCAGCGCGAGATCGCCTCCGTCCGCGCCGACCTCGAGGAGAAGCTGCGCCGGGACCGCGAGGACCGCGACAAGATGCGCGTCACCCTCGACGAGCTCCGCCAGCAGCGCGCCGAGGAGCTGGCCAACGAGCGCGCCGCGGCGCACGAGCGCGAGCTGCAGCTGTCGAACCAGATGTACCAGGCCCAGCTTGATAGGGAGAGGGCGGCGAATCAGGCGAACGAGTCGTTGATGGAGGTGAAACTGCAGCTGGCGGTGAAGGAGGCGGATAATATACGGCTGCAGAGGGAGGCGGCGGAAAGGAGGGAGAGGGACGAGGGGGGCGGCTGTGTGGTCATGTAATTTTCACTTCTATAGAGTTAGAGTATTCTCAACCTATCTAATCCCACCGAGTAGTTCATGTTTCTTCTTGGATGAAGTAATTGATTATTCGATTGATAAACACATCTGTTGATTGACATATTGACGACTCGGAACTAAAGAAGCGTTTAATTATGTACAGCTAACTCTGATAGTGAGGCATGTCTAGTAGTTAACGAATTGAAGGAAGAGTTGGTTATTAATACTCGGTCCATGACCTTATCTAAATATGATGAGTTGGCGCAATTCCCATTGTAGCGAGTTGTAAAGTGTACAGCAGTCGAGTTATGAGACGGACTAGAGTCTGGTATCAACGCAACTTTGTCCCAAGTTGGATGATTCTCAACAACGTGAAGGCATATCAGACGATGTAAGTATACCGCCGACGGTAAGAAGAGATACCTGTCTAGAACAAGTGAGTTGGCTTTGATTACCATGAGCAGTTACCTAGGTAGACAGGGAAGTCTATGGGGAGCTTGAAGGTTCACGTAAAGGTAGCATTTCACTGTCCAGCTAATTAAATGGAAAAGAAAAAGAAAACTACGGCAGGGGAATCACATCCTGGAGTACCCTCTTCGCCCGTCATTCTTTTCTCCCTCTTCACACAATGACGACACGTTAATATAGATCTTCGTCGGTCTTGTAAGTGGTGACTGCTTGACCCTAACCCTACTGAGTATTTATTCACAGATAATCGGCGCCAAGCATCAAGGTCGGGGACTGTATCTTATCGGACCTGTGGGGAATTTTTTCCCGCGGCCGTGGAATTGATGGCCCTGCCTCAACCCAGCGTCAAGCCCCCAGCAATAGAGGTTCAGCCAAACCAAACCGCTTGCCCACAATGCCGCATAAGCATACACGGCGAGACCAGGACGAGTCGACGTAAGGATTCGTTGCCTTACCCGGAGCTATGCGCTTTCGTATCTAATAGCCTGCAGTTTCGACCTTCCTCCGTCGCAACTCGCGAAACCGCTCCCTACAACAACCATATCCAAGAAGAAGGCGGCCGAAAAGAAAACCGACGATGCCCAGAAGAAAAGCGGCCAGAAGAGGAAACGGGGTGGGAAAGATGGCGACGATGCGCCGCGCGCTTTCAAGCGCCTAATGGCATTCGCCAGCGGCAAACCACAACGGTCCGGTCTCGACAACGGCGATGCGCCGGCAAAAGGCAAGGGGAAGAAGAAGAAGAACCAGTCGGCAACCAAGCCCGCAGGCACAACAACAAAAACAACTGCAGCAACGGCGGCGGCGACACCAGCAACAGCCTCAGACCCGACCCCGGCAGAAGACCTCAAAATCCGCCCCGGCGAGCGCATCTCCGAATTCAACCAGCGCGTCGACGCCGCCCTGCCCATCAGCGGCCTGGTGACGAAGACGGTGAGGAACGGCAAGGACCCGCTCGGCCTCAAGGTGAAGCGCACCAAGAAGGAGCGCAAGATGCACAACATGTACGCCGAGTGGCGCGAGATGGACCGCAAGGTGCAGGAGCGCCGCGAGGAGGAGCGCGAGCTGGCCGAGGAGAAGGAGATGGACAACGAGGCCGCCGGCGTGTCGTGGAAGCTGGACATGGAGGCGCAGGGCAAGAAGAAGAAGGGCAAGAAGGGGAAGAGGGGGAAGTATATCGGCGAGGAGGGCGGGCCGGAGAGGGATCCGTGGGAGGAGATCAAGAAGAAGAGGGGGGAGGCCAAGGTTGGGATTAATGAGGTCGCGCAGGCTCCGCCGGAGTTGAAGCTGCCCAAGAAGAACCTGCTTGTCCGCGGGGCGGCTGTGGCTGTGGAAAACATTCCCAAGGCGGCCGGCAGCTTGCGGCAGAGAGAAGAGTTGCAGGGGATTCGAGACGAGGTGGTGGCTTCGTATAGGAAGATGATGAGCGAGAGGAGACCTGTCGTGGGGGGGAACTGATTGATTTACTTTTCGGTAGGTCAATACAAGCGAATTTGGTGGTCACTGAATTGGAATTAGAAACCACGAGTTGCCCCGGGAAAATCTCGACTGTGAATTGCCATTGAGTATATGCCGTGGAGAGAGCATAGGGCGCCTTGCCCGCATTTACATTATTTAACTGCCTGTTGCTCAGCGCAGCTTTGTGCTGCCCGTGAAGAGCATCCATCAAAGTGGCGTCAAGGTTCCATCCCTTTGTGCAACGCCCAGAATCAGCGGTGCGGTACGTACCTTTCAAGGATCTGTTTCAAGGATTTGACGCACCCCACCTCGCCTTCGGTTGCCCCTCCAAAAATCCTCCCGCATCATCGCGACTTTTCCTCAAAAATCCGCGAACAGAACCACGAGCATCAGCGTTCAATCCCCGCATCGACTCGCAATCGCTAAATTTTCGGTTATCGAGAATGAGACTCGGTGCACTACCATCATGAGCGGAGTTGGTCTCGAGGTCCTCCTAGAGGATCTCATTCCCGAGATCGCATATTCTGGTGAGAAAGGTGAGTCGCATGCTCTTGAACAGGCCCTCCAACGCCATCAGACACGCTCTGGGATCTAGCTAGAGGGATTCCATTGGCGAATTACTTAGATGCAGAGTCGGTCTTCTGCCGGAGGCCCGCACTTCTGTTGTTGATTTTAGAGTCGGAACACCAGTCATACTGACTCAACAACAGGAGTTTCGATAACCGAGCTGCTGAAAATCGTACGGCGATATCACCTCAGCCTCGAGGGAAAAGATGCTTCAACAGAAGAAGACGCAATTGGGGGGTTGCAGGCGCCAATCAGCGATGCCGACTTTGAGAAATCACTTACGGATGCCGAAATGGCATCTGCCCGTTGGGCCTGGGACTGGCTGCGTTCTCGACCACAAGTTCTCATCAACGGAAACAAGCGGTGGAACCGGCTCGAGTTGGGCGAGGCCCTCGCATTGCCAGACGCCGGCTCAATTGACCCAGCACTTGCCCCTGCTCCGAGCGATTCTAAAGTAACCCACCAAACCAAGGGCAAAAAGCCCAAAAAGACCCTCACCACCCGACCCAGGATACACCCCGCCGAGGATCTTGTCTGGCAGACTCTCACTCGCCATGGCGTCGACTACAAGCGGGTTCCAGCTCTGGAATGGGCCTGCTTGCAGGGAGTCGCATCATCTAGATCCGAGGGCATCCTTCAGAGCGATCTCCGGCGACTCGTCGATCAAGACAAACGGTCATTACCAAAGCGGACGGATTCGCTTGCTCGGAAGGGCTACATTGCGAAGCGGACGGTAGTTGTGCAGAAGATGAAGACGAGCAGACTGTGGTTGATTGACTTCGCCCCTCCCCTAGTCGAAGCAGAAACATGCGGTCTCGACTTGACCCCCGAGACGCTCAGCAAAAATCTTGAACCCGTCCCCTGGCATCAACGCTGGACCGGAAACAACATTGACATGGACGCACTTGGCAGGACCGCTGTGGGCGTCGTCAAGGCTTTCAACGTCATCCGGTATGCCGACCTAAGGCTCAAGATGGGTGTTTCGGGGAAAAGGTGGCAGATGAAGACGTTGGCCAAAAACTGCCAGCGTTTGGTTGATGTCGGCGTACTGAAGTACACGGCCGCCTCTTTCCCCGGCACCCGCAAGGTCTTCAAAGACTGCCTCAAGTTCGTGCGCGAGCCCAATTCCGAAGAGTGGGACAAGTTTCTTGCCACTGGAAAAAAGACATCGCTGTATTCGGATCCGACGAGACACCGTGAGCCGAAGCCCAATGCGCTTGCTCTCTATGGTAAATCGGGGGAGGACGGTCAGGGGAGCAGCGATCCCCGGTCCAAAGTAAAGCGCATATTCAGCGGCTGGATCCCCGAGAAGCCTCTCGCCCAGACCGTCTTTGAAGTCATCCGGAGCGCCGGCCTAGAAGGCGCCTCAAACCCTCAGGTTAGCGTGGCTACAGTTGGCTACCAGCATCGACGGTATCTTTCCAGCTATCTCACCAAAGTCGCCGAAACCCAGCAACCGCTGCACCTCAAGAAGTTCCAAGTCGTCAGCAAGCTCGTTCGCACGGGCAAAACTTCCGCCTATATGTTCTCTGCTCCCGGATCAATAGGCCAGGAGGCCCTTCCTCAAGTTGATGAAAGGGAGGAACCGGTACAAGATCAAGGAGCTGCTGAGGGCTCTTCGAACGCGACGCCGAGCAGCCCATATGGCTTTGGACAGATCCGGCCCAAGGTTTTCAGTGCGGGCAAGGGCTTCTCGCTTGCGGACATGTCACGGGTCGCTAGGAGATCGAAGCCTTCATCCAAGCGGAAACTTCTGCCTCGCATCAAACCTCAACATTTGGCTGCCGCCGAAGCTGCTGCCGAAGCTGCCGTCGAAGTTGCTTCTGAGGCTGCTGTCGAAACTGTCACTGAGGCTGCTACGGTTCCCGAGGCCGCTGCCGAAGCTGTTCCTGACGTTGCCACGGGAGAGAGTGCTACCACCCCCGACCCGAGCAGTCGGCCGGCCGAATCCAATGTCAATGGATCTTTAAAACGCCCCTTCGATGAAATGGAGACCGGACCTGGGGACGCCGAAGACGCTGCGATTGAGCCACCAAATGACCAAGAACAAGTCCCGTCGCCAAATCCCACGGCGGTCAATGAAGCCACCAGGGTGCGAACAAACGAAGAGCTTATCTTGAACGTCCGATACAACAGCATTGTTGGGAAGCTGCAGGTCCACCGCCAAGACCGCAAGCTCACATTCTTGAGATCCGGAAGAGGCATGAAAAAACCCGTCATCATTCCCGTCGACGACGGCCTCGCCGAGCCGATCATACAAGATGTTCCGGAGACCGACGAGAAAAGCTTGGTGGTCAATACTAGGCAAACGGACGGGGCACAGACCCAGATATTTGTCTTCATCTTTAACAACGAAGACCAAGCCAACGCTATTTGGATCCAAGAAGAAGTCACCAAAATGAGATCACCCGATTACCAGGTCCCTACCCCCGAGGAGATTGCGGCCGCTTCCGAGGCGATCGCAGCTGCGACCGCTCCCTCTGGAGCCGCTCGCGGTAAAGGCCGGGGAGGTGGCCGAGGCAAAGGCAAGAAAGGACAGGCTCTACCCGCCGGAGTAAAGCCATACGTCTGTGAACTATGTGGTGGTGCCTGGAAGAACGATCTTGGTCTCAAATACCACCTAGAGAAGGCTCAAGTTCCCTGTAACCCGAGCTTCGACCCTACGATCCTGCTCGAGCGATCCCGGAAGCGTCGTAAACTTTCACCAGTCCCTCCGTCCGTTGTCAATTCTGAAGCCGGCGATGAAGAGCCACCAGGACGCACGCGCAAAGCGAGGGGTGGGAAGAAAGGCGAGAAGAGAGGCCCTCGGCTGCAGCACAGAGTCCGCGCTGCTATGCGCTCTACACAGGATCCAGCTCACAAGTTCCGTGGCCTCAAAATCCCCAACGTTGAGGACGAGGAGGGGTCAGCAGGTTGGGAACCAGAGCGCCCTAAGCGGATACTTATGGGCCCGTCTGGATTAGAAGGATACGGTTTGACCGTAAAGAGCGTCCTCCCCACGGGTCCGTCACACATCTCGAGGCCCAGGGCATACTCTAGCGCTGAACCTCGCCCTTTCACGATCGGCACTGTTTTATGCCCCAGAAATCCGCTCGCCAAGAATGCCGCCACCCAGAACAAATCAGCGGTGGTTGAGGAAGATACTGTCAACGTGGTGACTGCCGACCAGCCGCTAGAGCAAATGCCTTCTTTGCCGACGGCACCCGCAACGCCCTCGCATTCCCGGAATTCTGAGGATGCTCCGGTGACCAGGGATGCATACAATGGCGAGCAATCTTCCCACAGACCCCTCGAGGGCTTTACCCTGCGGCATACGAATGGAACGCCTCGCTCCAACCGATATGATGTTTCACCCTCGAGAAAGTCTCTGATGGCGAGTCAATCGGAGGTAGCTGAGAGTGAATATCCAGACCTTCCCTATCAACACGAGGGGCAGGACTCGGGAAGAAGTTTCGAGCTAGAAACATTGGCACCCCACAACGACCAAGGCGGATACAAACCATTTACCCGCTCATCAAACTACGACCGCATGACCAGCGATGCGAAGAGGCGAACCGCCCAAGCTTTCGATATCATAAACTACCTCCTAGACAACAATCTCGGCGTGTTCCCGGGCGACAAGGCGCTGTTCTACGCTCTGACTAACGTGTTCTTGAAAGAGTTCAGGAAACAGATGCCGCCTACCTGGAAAAACTGCACCAGTGCGGTCAAGGCGATTGAGACTCGCAAGCTCGCCGCCCTCCATACCCATATGCTCAAAACCGAAAGGGGCAGGCTACAGACATGCACCTTGCTCATCAAAACCGGCGTGGACCCGAACGGAATCATAGCAACCAGGATGAAACAGAGGATGCGCGAGACATACCCGGCCATCTTTATCCCGCCTGCCTTCTCCCCAACCCAGCAAGAGCTGGCCCTCTTGCAGGAACTCGACAGGAAAACTACCGACAAGGACAATGTCAAGCCGAATGCAAACGGCCAGAAGTTCCGGAGCAGGCGCAAGATCGAGGAAATCGAGGTTTTTGATGCTCCTTACTACATGGACACCGCTCCTGTTGTCGGGCCCAAGAGGGATCCCCTCTGGATCCGGGATACTGAGCGGTTGGTTGATGACGGGTTCATGAGTCGAAAGAGGTCACTCGACGACTCCTCCTTGGGACCTTTGCAAAAGAGAGCGCGGGCTGGCTTCCAGGTCGATGAGTACGACGATATACCGGTGGATCCTAGCATTCTGGGAGACTCCATGCCACAGTCACAACACGAACAGCAAGACGGCCCTTCGGTACTTGAAGCAATCAAGGCGTATAGCTTGATGCCGGCGAAACTAGGCCCGCGTGGTGGGCGACGACGGTTATCGTACTCGTACAAGCCATTGGCTAAACTATCCCCCGAGCTTGGTAGAATCAGGAACCCTGGGCTGGAAAGTTTGCCTAATGGTTTCTTTGGCGGTACTTCGACTCCGGCGGCAATCCAGTTTGTTCCACCCGTGGTCCTGATTCTAGACCCCAACACAGGCCTAGAGGACGAAGTCCAGGAGGTTGAGGAAGGCCGGAGCCAGGACCAGACTTCGAGTCGGGAAAGCACGGAGGATATCCTGGACGAGGTTGGTGCCGAGGATGGTTTTGAAGAAGCAGTCGAGGCGCCCCAAACATTCCGATTCGCCTGGCCCTCGGTTCTTGAGCCCGTAACCAAGGGTACCTGGCCTGATCACTCCCTTGGCTTTTTCGAGCACTACGAAGGCAGCTTTACTCTCAGCGGCTGGATGCCTGGCCTGAAGTGGCTCCAGCGTCAGAACTTCCCGACCAGCGCCGAGGAAATGGCGGAAAAGCAAAAGGCTGAGAAGATCAGACTGCGCGACTGGGTCGACCGGGACTATGCCAGATTCTGTTCGATCGTCAATCAATGTGCAGCATGGGAACAATCAAAGGCCGGCACGGCAGTCATGCTGGGTAGCAGTGTCTCCCCCGGCTATAACTTCATCAACGTGTCCTCGCCTCTATCGAGGACGAACTCCCGGCCGGTCACTTTGGGCTGGTCAGATGACACCGAGTATAACCTTGAGACTCTGCCATACGAAGACCTCGAAGACGACGATTATGACGATGTCTCCTTCGTTGATGACGCAGAGAGGGCTGCAAGGGATGACGAGCCGTCGCCCAAGAAACGGCGTCTGCAAAAGACCAATGGGGTCCAGGTGAAGCGGTTGCCGGGCAGGCCTCCCAAGCTCAAGCTTGCGGCTATCAAGACGATGCGCGAGCACACGGCATACCCGAAGACGGCGGATGAGTTTCTGCGGTACGATAAAGAGGACCTCGACTGGTCGAGCGAGAACGTTCGGCTTGCGGCTTTCATTGTGGTCACTACCTTGCTCGGTGGCGTGGATAGAGTTGTGGACTGGGGGTTGATGCTGAGGCTTGTGCCTGATCTGACGTGAGTTGGCTACCATTTGTCTCGAGGTGTGCGTTCACTAACAGCCAGCAGTATTAGCCAGCTCCGACACTATTGGTGTGCCTTGAAGAAGGACCGGTTGTCGACCATCGTCGGCCTCACGGAAAAGTTTCGGCGGGCGTTTCTCAGGGCGTACGAGAACAACGAGGTTCCGCCCATTGATTTCAACAACGTACTGGCCTATGACTGGAAAGCCTTGATCAAGTGGACGACCAAGCTCGACATGGCCGAGTGGCGGATGCTGCCATCCACACGCAAGGCACTAGACAAGACCGTCACTGTGTCCAAGTTCAAGCATGGCAACCGCCCATGGAGGGAGGCTTTCTATCACCCCCAGCGGTCCATCTTCAACAAATTCCAGGACGCCACCTCCGAGTCACTTGCACTATCAGTGGACAATAGCTCCGATCCCAAGCTGAGCACCGACATGATCGTTTCCATGTCCTGGACGCGGTCGCTGTGCGTGACGCCGGTCGAAGCGTACACGGCTGATGCCGTCCTCCACAAGCGCAACAGCCTATTCCCGTCCCGTGCCAAAACGGAGATTACTGAGTTGATGATTAAGGGCGTCGACCAGCTCCAACGGCAGGGCGTCATCTCCAAGTCGTCGTCGAAATGGTCTAACGGGCGCCGATGGCGCTTCAACACGCGGGTTCTCGACTCCCTTGAGAAATCCGCCCAGCAACACAAGTTTGTCAAGGCGGTTGAGTTCAAAAAGGAGCTCGACCAGGCCTTCCGGGCGGGCGAGACAAAGAAGCGCGTGACCTACATCACCAACGACGGCATGATCATGGCCCTCCTGAACCTGCAGGCCAACGGCCGCGTGCGGGTCAAAACAACAGGCCAGCCGAATGTGCCCATGGGTCACGAGCCGGGCAACTACGAAACCCGCAAGTACACCAAAAAATACATGCATTTCCGCCTCGACGTCTTCCCGACCGACGCCTACCTCTACGACGAACCCGCCACACCCACCCAAATACACGGCAACCAAGAAGAAGAGGAGACCGAGCACCACGAAACCGAAGCCGAAGCCGAAAAAGAAGAAAAAGAAGAAGAAGACACCACCCTCACGGACCTGCGCGCGCGCATCCGCGCCACCGCGCCACCCACGCGGGGCCCCGGCGGCGCCGTGCCCGTGTGGTGCGACGTCTTCGGGCGCGTCGACGCCGACCGCTGGCTCAAGTACCTTAGCGCGGTGCTGATCACGCTGGCGTCGCGCGGCTCCATGCGCGCCGAGGAGCTCGCCCGCACCCTCAAGCCCGTCATCATGGTCTTTGAGGCCGAGCTGGTCATGGACTGGGCCGGTCGGCTGGGGCTGTTGAAGGCCCAGCTGGGGGGGATGGCGCCGGCGGTGATGGAGTGGTGGTGGATTGCGGTTGAGGTGCAGCGGGAGGGGTTGAGGGAGATGGAGGAGGAGGCTGCTGAGGCTGCTGCTGCTGCGGGTGCGGGTGCGGGTGTGGGTGCGAGTGGTGGTGGTGGTGGTGGTAAAGGGGTGGGAACGGGCGTGGTGGACGGGAGTGGGAGTGGGAGTGGGGGGAGGCAGAGGAAGGCTTTGCCCTCGGCGAGACCGGTGAGGGGCGCTGAGAGTGGCGGGGCAGTGTAGGCTTAAAATGGTGTGCAGGTCTTTGGGGAGGAGGGTGATTGTAAGATTGTGCGAGGAATGGGGTTGTTGATTTGGAGTTTGGCTGCTTTGGTGGTTGCCCTTTGGAATACCCCGAGATGGTTATCAAGGGGGGAAAAGTCCTTGGGGATAAAGGTTGGAGTGCGATACCCTTTTCGATGTACATCGCATAACCTGGAGTTAACGGAATGGTGCGGGAGCATTGCCTTTTACACAACTCCATTGTCTCAATGGATGGTTCTTAAACTTTGACTGTGTTCTCTGCTGTGTTGTTGTAACCAACGCTACTTGCTGGGTTGACCCTGTTAAGCCGCTATCCCCGGCTGACAGGTGATGCTCAAGGCCAAAATATGGATAATGATTGTCTATCCAACGCCTGAACTCCGTCCCAATGTCCATACTGACGGTGAGTTCAGTGGATAGAAAATAGACTACTCGGTTCCTCTTTATAAAGCTCATGCAAACATGACCTTGGCAACCACGGCGGCCAGCAAGACAGCCACGGCAATAATCAACCTGTCCAGCCACACTGTGCTTTCATCCGCCCTCGGTTGGAGCTGCTGCAGCGGCGGACCAGCCGCCACCGGAGGCGGGTTCGGCAACGGTACTGTCCTTGTCGGCTGCGGTACCGCGCTCCCTCCGGCCATCTGTTGTTGTTGCTGCCCACTACCCGATGATGATGACGACGTCGGCAAGACAGGTGCAGTCTGCACAAACCCCTCGGCCAGCCCATCACTCTCCCCATCCCCTCCTTCCCCGCCCTCCTCTCCCGCCTTCTTCCCCTTCGCCTCCATCTCATCCCGCCACCCCATCTTCAACTCCTCCGGCACACTGACCTCCTCCGCCGCGGCCGCCTCCCCCATCTCCCTCACCCTCTCCACGCACTCCCCCAAAATCTCCCCGTTATTCTTCCCCCCGCAACACGCCCCACACTTCCACGCGGTACTCTCCCCGGCCATGCGCCGACGCACCGGCTCCGCCGCATCGAGCCCGCCCAACTGGCCCTTGACATCCGTCTCCATAAACGTGCGCAGCGCGACCAGCGCGGTGCGGATCCCCCACGCCGGCTGCCACGTCTCCTCGTGGTGGCCCGAGATGCTCAGGCAGATCTCGCGGTTGGTCTCGAAGCGGCCCGAGGGGGTCAGGAAGCGGAAGGAGGGCGGGCGGAGCGGGTACCCGGGGGGCAGAACGATGCGCCCGTGGTAGATGCCGTGCTCGAAGGGGGAGGCCGGCGGGCCGCGGAGGGTGAAGTGCCATTCGAAGAGGTCGGTTTCGAGGGGTTCGGCGTGGTAGTCCGCTGACGGGGTGGTGGTGAGTTCGTGGGCTTCGCGGACTGTGGGAGGGTTGAATGGGGGGGTTAGTTAGTCTGGGGGTGGGAAGGGTGGTGGAAGAAGGGGGGGGGGGGTTGGCTGGGTGGGTTAAACATACGGATGCGGCGGATGGTGGGGGATTTGGAGTTGAATTTCGGTGTTGGGGTTGCGGTTGACATTGCGCGCGATGTGATAAAATTGCAAGGGAAGAAGACGTGGGCGTTGGGATTGGGAGGCGATGTCTGCCGAGGGTGGTTGCTTTGTTGGGTATCTAGTTTGTGGTGGGTTTAAATCAAAGATGGCGGAAAGTAAAGTGTAAAGTTGTTGATCTGTCAAGTTCGGAGATGGGCATTGGCAATCGCGGCTGATGACGAAGGAGGGACAAAGCGGCCCAGCCGCTGCAAGGATGCGACACTGGCTGCGCCTGAAGGGACCTGGAAAGAGGAAAAAGGTAGAGTTACTAAATATGTCAAGTCAGGATTTATTTGGTAGCTTTGTTGGGCGCACTTGATACATACCATGCACATGCTCACATCAAGCTGCTAGTGATGCTCATTCCACTGGGGCAGTTTGGCAGTTCGCTGCTCAGTTGCAACAGATAACACCCTGGCAGGCCTTATCTTCGTTGCTGGCGGCACCAGCGGGTCTGCGGAGGTGTGGGGCCCGGGCCTGGGCTGCCCGGGCTGCCCCGTGCTTGGCACCATCTCCCGGACCCACACCGGAACCATCAAGGTTCTTTACAATCCGGAGGTATAGCCACCTGCCAGCTTGACTTCTAGGTAGTCAACAGGAAGGAAGATGCGATGAACGGACCGAGCGATGAAAGAGAGTGCACTATATAACCTGCCTGAAGATACCTTAACAATATCTCTTACGCCTCTCACCCCCAAGGAGTTTGAAGGGGACATTCCATAGTAGGTAACTGAGTTACAGTTCACTGATCTTATACTCTGAATCCAGCATCTAGACCACGTTTATACAGGTAGCCAACTTTATCCCGGTAGCTTTGAATTTGTACTAATAATTCTACCATTGTGCCCTGTCATTCAACAGGGCATCATGTTATTTGCCGGGCTCAAGATGTCACGGCAGGCAAGCTCTTTCCCTCCCCAGGCCATGCAGACGAACGAGCTGGGTAGCTCCTTCCGCAGCAGCGCAGAAATATCTTCCTAACAGTGCTTAATCGTCAAGCCCTGATACCTGTGTTTTTGTAGTCACACCGATCTTCAAAATCCTAGGCCATACCTCGATTAAATTATTTCCGAGTTATCCATCCCCCCCCACCTGGGCGCTCTTGCGATCCCAGCTCCTCGACTTGACACCCTCTGATACCTACATTGTTCGAACCAACCGCGCCCTACTAACATCATGACCGTCACCTGTAAGGAGTGCAAGATCGAGGTGGCCAGCAGGGCTGCTCTCGCAGAGCACTGGCGGGAGAAGCGGGAGGGGGGTAAGAAGCACTACCATTGCCGCCAGTGCATGCAGCTATTCCACACCCCAGGGGCTGAGGATCGCCACCGTAGGGAGGTAGGCGCGCCGGATTTACCCCCTTCAGAAAACCGTTCCAAGCTAATCTCCTCGAGTTCCACGCGGCTAAGCAGGACCTTGGCTGCCCTGGTTGTCATGAGCGATTCCTTTCAGCGAGCGGTCTAATCGAACATATCGAGAAAAATCGCTGCACCAGAGTTAGGAACGATGACTATGCCGCCCGACGCGAGGAAAAGCTCGCTTTTACGAGAGAGTTGGAGCGCCGCGAATATGAAGACCCCGATCTCCCGGGTCCGAGGCCCGGGCTGCCCGGGAGTTCAGCCACCGGAAACGGAGCACTTGACTTCACGCAGTATCTCTCCGTGGCCACCAATATCGGCGTAAAGGCCCATCCCGGTCCCGTGACCCTTCAACCGGAGGCAAAGACCACGGCGCTGGCGAACATGCCCACGTTTGCCGCGAAGAAGGCCGAGTTTCCTCAACTGGGTGGACGACTGGCCGATCTTTCCACCAGCGGTCCTGACGGCAAAGCAGGGAAACAGCTCGCAAGCGCATGGGCTGCGAAGAAGAACCTCTTTCCGGATGCCCCTGCCCCGGTCCGGCCGCCCCCCGGGGAAGATGTGCAGCCGGTGGTAGCCAAAGAGTCGAGATGGTCGGAGCATGACCCTCGGAACCCGGGCTGGAATGCCCGCAAATATTTTGTGACCTACCTTAACAAGTACAAGTGTCCACACGACCGCTGCCCGTAAGAATCATGTCCGATATTAGCGCAGACGAGAAGAAGAGCGCTGACAGTCCCACAGCAAGTCGTTTCCGAGCGTGGCAGGTCTTCGGGGTCACCTTCTCTCGGGGCCACACACTGGCCTGCACAAAGTGCAGTGCCCCCGGTGCTTCAAGTGGTTCAACACCATGGCGGCCATAACGGCGCACGCCGAGTCGCAGAGCGTGCGTTGCGATCTTCACAGGACCGACGGCTACCGGCAGTTGCTTGACCAAATGACGGCGGGCATGATCGACACGGCGGGCAAGCACGAGGACGGCACGTTGAAGTATACCGTCCCCGACGCTGCTCGCCAATATTTCGGCACCTCACAGGGAAAGTGGGCTGCGGAAGTACGCAAGCAGCAGCGCGGCTGGGGCTCCACCGACGAGGCGGAGGGTGATGGTGGTGAGCAAGCTCCGAAGCAAGACTAGTGGAATGGTAAAACCGAGTGGGATCTAGGGCCAAGCGATGAGCGGAGGAAAAGACGCAAGGGTTGAATTCGGAGGATGATGTCTTCAAGTAGATGTCTTGTAAAGTAAAGAGCGCTCAATCCTTTTGCCCATAAAAGTTCTGTGTCTAACCACCGGTCAGGATCTGGCCCCAAGTTTGTTCAAGATGGGCATTTAACTGACTAGTCGCCTCCCACACTCTCGCCCTGCGACTAGATGCATGAACATTCGTGGGTTTGGCCGATGGGAATCGCAGTAAGAATGTCGCATCCTGTGGCTGGACAGGAACGGCATTTGGAGTGGAAGGCCTTGAGCGCCAAAATTATGAGCCATGTGCAGTGCAGGGACATGTACCCCCAAAAACGCGCAGAAATGCGCCCCAAGTCTTCAGTACCAGTACCCATCCTCCGAGTCCCTTACTGACCTGACCCACCGAACGGCCTCCCGGGGCAAATTATACATTTTGCTGGCCACCGCCCAGAGAAATCTCCTCGCCCCGGCGTGGAAGTAGCAGGCCACAGCCAAGGAGGCGAGGTACGTCACGAGAGGAACTACGATGAAGGAGGTTGTGAAGCCGCGAGGGACGCCGATGTCGACGTCGTCCCCAGAGTTGTTCAAGAACGGCAGAGCAAAGAAGGTCTGTCGCTGCTGTCAGCATGGGGAGATGATAAGAACGAACGCCGGCCAACCTACCGCCAGAAAGCTGATGGGCGTGTAAATTACGGTGACGACGGTGAAGACGTAGACGGCCCTGTTCAGCTCGATTCCCTTGGTCGCTTCGCGGAGCGATGTCGCGTTGAAGAGCTGGGTTCATTCAAGGTTAGCCTGACACACCAGATGCATGTCGAGCGAGCGACAATCTGAACCGAAACTGATTCGTACCCCGTCTCGGAGGCCTTTGATCTCCTCTGCCTTCCGGTCGATGCGGTCTATGAGAAGCCGGGCTTTCGCGTGGACGATCCTGGTGGCTGCGTCCCAGCCCAACTCGGCGGCACGCCAGTCGGCTTCGTCAAAGATCTCGCTGGGCCGGACCTCCCGCGTCCATTGCTCGCGCAGGCTGTCCCAACCATCGACCATATCCGTAACCCAGCCGCGGCTGACCCGGAGGGTTTCCAGGATGGTGAAGTAGAGCCTCGAGACCCGAAACGAATCGTCAAACAGGTAGCTGCCCCATACCTCGTCGTTCACCGTGTCTCCCAACTGTCACGGGGTTGATGAAAACATTTGAGTCAACCCGGGCGAGGAGTACGCGAACGGGACGGGGGTTGTGGGAAACACCTACATTAACCGTAACCATGCCGTCGATGGTGCCCAACGCACCCTTCCATCCCGCCTCCCACTGTCCGACGGCCGAAAGAGACAAGGCTAGAAAATGCGATACGCCGGTGCACCGCCCGGAGGGAACAATCCCATTGGCCTCCCACGCTTGCCTGCCGGTCTCGGGAACTCCGTGGGCCGGATGGGCGGGCTCGTCGGTGTCGGTGAGGGCGAGGATGGTGTAGGGGGCATCGCGGGTGAGGTACAGGGTCACACAGACTGCTACGGCCTTCTCAATGAGAAATCCGCGGTCATGAAGCCAGTTCAATTTCACGCGCTCCCTCCCTCTCGCGAGCACCCAGGGGCGACACCCGGCATCGGCAACGTCTCTGCGCGCTTCAGACGGTTCCCAAACGAAGAATCGCAGGTGCAGTTGCAACACCAGGACCTCGGCAACGTTGGGGACCAACGAGCCGAGCCGAGTGGGCAGTCTCCAGGCACGCGCTGGACGGTCTAGACCACTACTGCGCTGCCCGAAGGTCTCGAGTAGAACCCCACGGAAAGATGCGCGCTCGGCGTGGTGGAGGAGGTTGACGGTGAAGAGGAAGTAGTCCGCGGGGATGTGGTATCGGTACGGCACTCGAAGAAGCCTAGGCAGGGTGCACGCACAGCAAGGTGAGTTCCCCGACGATATAATTTACACAAGTGCTAGTGAGATGATGCGTCTCAGCGTCGTCAGACTCACCAGGTCTTCCCATGGGCGGGCCGCTCTATCGACCCCGGCTGCAACCGCGGCGGTCAGGTCAGGAATCACCTATGTAGTACCGGGGGTGCAAACAACCCCCCCCATCATCGGACTCACCATGCCTCGTCCGTCGAGAATCGACGTCGACGTGGGATAGCCATCGGCGCCCAGATCGTGAGCGGCACCCTGCAGCCACGTCCGACCGTCGGGTCTCCAGTCAAACAGGACCCCATCATCGCCACTCATCTCGAGATTGCCAAAGGCCTGCGGCTCCCAGTCCATAAACGCCGCGAGCTTCGACACCGCCCGGCAATATGCCCGCGATTCCCCTTTCAAGTTGCGCTCATCGCTTACCATGGTGACGAGCTCGCGAAGACGAGCCGCGGTCGGCGCGGTGCATCTCAGGATATCGCCTGCTGTTGGCACCACCGGCACCGTATCCCGGAGCACGTTTGCCTTGTTGTTCGTCTGGATACGGATACTTGGGTCCAATAATTCGGGAGGCGACGCGGCGGGGGACGGGAGTGGCGGCTGGGGGGCGCGCAAGAACGGCCTGAGATCGTCCAGCGTCGTCGCCAGTCGTCGGAGCACCTCCAGGAGCGCCGGGTCCGGCCCCGCAAACCCCTGGCAGGTCTGGGTGCCGCGATCTGTCATCGTGGGGGCAGTTTGTGGCATGCCGGCACAACCTCGAGTTTCAAGAAGCAGTGTGAGATGAGATGGATGAATGAGGCATCATGGCTTTATTGGGCCCTTCTTTTCGCCTGGCGGCCACACCAACAAGCCGGTAGTTCGGCTGTGCTGCCACGTGAACAGGGAGCCTGCATCAACCGCACCGCCGGCCCCCACATTCCATTCTGGGAAGGAAGGAAAGGCGCGCTTGAAGTTGTCTTGATGATATTCCAACCTCGACTCTGTGCACACAAACGGCTCGCTGGGTGTGATTAATTAAATACCAAGCTCAAGCGCAGCTGGCCCTCCAACACCCCTTCTGGACCCCCGTCGCCGGCGCCGTTTGCAGTCGTGACGGAGACGGCGGCGGTCCGGGAACGCGAACGAGACCGTGTCTGTCAAAACATCGGGCGAGGGTTGTGTCGGGGTGTGCTAACTCAACCACACGGTGAGGTTTTGCTTCATGGAAATTTGGTGCAAACCTGATAATTCACTCCAACGCGACGCGTGGGTGATGGGCCTGGGCTTGCACGATTACAGGGACTTCCTGGTCCGAGCGTTCCGCGGAAGCAGCATTTCTTCCCGCAGCGCAGGCCCATTGGTCTGGGGAGTTTGAGGTTTGTTGGGGCCGAGCGAACGAACGGTAGAGACCCCTGTAGGAGAGTTTGGGGTTCCAAGGGCTCGGGATTTCTGCTGAACCTCCTTCCTTCAATCTTTTGCAAATCCAACAGACACTCCCTAACCATAATAATGGACCGATAGCGACCACGCGCACCGACCTCCCGGACCCGCTACAGCCACCGATCAATGGATGCGACGCCGTTGTCACGATTTGATCCCTCCGACCCCTCCGACCCCTCCTACTCCTTCTCCTACGCAAACACCACTGCAGCCACGACTACCACGACCACTACCGCAGACACCGACATCAACACCAACACCATGGGCTCGGTTCGCCGCTGGGCCCGTAGGCTGGAGCGCCTATGCTGCACCTGCGCAAAGTACTTCCCGCTCGTCTTCGTCTACGGAATAACCACATGGGCTGTCTATGTGCTGGTCATGCTCTGCTCCAAACCGTCCAAGGTGACGTGGCTTGGTGAGTTCTGTCATTCTCTCGGTCAACACTCCTCTCTCTACGTTTTCACCCATGCTGACCCATCCTCCCCCACAATCCAGGCACACCCACTGCCGCCGGCGGCATCGCCCTCTACCTCCTCCTCAACTGGTGCTACACCACCGCCGTTTTCACCCCCCCAGGCAGCACCACCAACGACAACGGGTACAGCACCCTCCCGACCCACGCCGCTCCGACCGCCACCTCCTTCACAGTCAAGTCCAACGGTGAGCTGCGCTTCTGCAAGAAGTGCCAGGCCCGCAAACCCGACCGTGCACACCACTGCTCCACCTGTCGCCGCTGCGTGCTCAAGATGGACCACCACTGCCCGTGGCTGGCCACCTGCGTCGGCCTGCGCAACCACAAGTCATTTCTGCTCTTCCTCATCTACACCACCCTCTACTGTTTCTACTGCTTCGCCGCGTCGGGCGCCTGGGTGTGGGAGGAGATTTTTGCTACCAGCGCCACTACCGTCGAGAGTCTGATGCCCGTGAACTACATCATGCTGGCCATCGTCTCGGGCATCATCGGCATAGTGATTGGCGCCTTTTCCGGCTGGCACATCTACCTGGCCTCCAAGGGGCAGACCACAATCGAGTGCCTCGAGAAGACTCGCTACCTCTCCCCTCTGCGCCAGAGCATGCACCGAACCTACATTAACCAGCACACGCCCGGCCAAGGCATCGCCCTGCCTTCCTACGGCCAACAGTTCCTCGACATCCACCAGAACGCCCTACCAGGCATCACCCGCCCGGAAGAAGGGGAGGAGCTGCGCCCGGAGCCGTCTCGCTCCCCACGGCGGCACCACACCCCGGATACCCCCGACATCGAGTATGGCTCCCCATCCCGGCGGACAGGGACCGAACCCGATCTGCAGGCCGGCACGCGGCGCTTCACGCCGGACGAGATGGAGCGCTACCGCGCGCGCAAGCGCTACGAGGAGTACCTGGACGAGCAGGACTCGACGCGCCTGCCCAACGCCTTCGACCTCGGCCCCCGCCGCAACCTGCTGCACCTGTTCGGCCACAACCCGTGGCTATGGCCCGTGCCCGTTAGCAACACCACCGGCGACGGCTGGAGCTGGGAGCCGAACCCGGCGTGGGTCGGTGCCCGGGAGCGCCTGGCTCGCGAGAGGGAGCAGCAGGCCGAGCGGGAGAGGGTTGCCGGGTGGGGCGCGGGGGATGATGGCGAGGATGATGACGAGCACGACAATGATGGGGAGGGCAACGGCCTGCTTGGGGTGCAGGGAGGGGCAGGGAGGCACTACATCCCTCGTCGACAACAACACCAACCACCAGCCGGCGGGCGAAACCACCGCCCCTTTCAACACTCCTCCCTCCGCCCCTCCTCCCCCGCAACCACAACGGCCGGCCGCAAAACCCCCAGCAAAGCCGACCGCATCCTCGGCCGCGACCCGAACCTCTACACCGACGGCGCCAACAACAACAATCTCGCCAACGGCGGCGAGTCAGTCTCGCTCAGGCGCCTGAACCCCGCCACGGGGCGGACCATCGAGGACGAGCTGGACGAGATCGACCGCGCTGACGACGGCGCCGATGATGATGATGATTATAATGATAACAATGATAATGGGAATGGTAATGCAAACGGGAGGGGGAGGGGCCAGCAGCAACAAGCACAGCAACCACAGCAACCACCACCACAGCAACCCCCACAACAGCAACAACAACGCGCCGAAGCGGAAAGGCGCGCCCTAAACGTCGTGACCAACACCCGCTGGGGGAGTAGGAGTCCTGGGCCGGCGAGTGGCGGTGCGAGTACCCTGTTGAGGGGGCCGGCGTCGCCTGCGTCGCCTGCGATGTTGGGGAGTGCGAGTGGGAATGGGAGTGTGGTGGGCGAGGATGATGACGGGGTTGATTGATTGATGGATTGATCGGTTGGTTGGTCGATTGATTGGGTTTGTGGTTTTGGGTTGGGTTGTGGCTGGTGGGAAGCGAAGGAAAGGGAGGTTGTATTATTCTTGGTTACTGGATCCATGTGAAATCGGCCGGCCTTTATCTTTTTTTTGGGTAGGTTTGTTGCTTGAAGCGGATCAGTGGGGTGGTAATCTGTGCTGGGTGTAGAAATAAAGCCGTGTCTGTCTATAGATGGTGGGTTGAAGATCTACTCGGTCTTCACTTGGCGATTCAAACCGTTTCTTGTCTCTATCCTTTTCCCCCGGCAGTCTCACATCTCTTCCCCTAGGTATCTTGCTCCGGTAGGAAAGAGACGACGGCTACAATCCAACTCAATCCATCCTGAGGAACAACCAACTGTCTCCAGACAGCCCTGTGAGCACGCCACGGCCGGTATCTTACATCTTTGTGCCACGTCGGGTAACATACCCACCCACCCAGCCAGCACGGTGCCTTTTTGTCTCCAAAAGATCCCACAGGTGTGGTGCCACAGGATGGATCAGCTGATCCCATCGTTCCATCCCGTCCCGTGCCATCCATCACTGCCGACTTATCGTGAGCAGCCTGTCATGCATTTTGTCTGTGTGGTGGTGGGTGGCGGTTGGTTGTTTGATGTGGTAGGCGGGCGGCGACACTCGCGGCGCCACTAAGGCCGAGATGGCAGGTTGCTCTGGGCCTTGGCTTGGAGGTCTGTCTGCACGGTTCTGTTGCTGAATTATCCGGTCTGGTAAAATTTGAGAAAATATTCATGGTGGTTGGTTAGCGGTACGCAGTATGGAAGGTGTCGCGAAATGTACATACACCAATGGCGTGTCTCGGTGTAACACAAGGACGTCGACATCAAGATGCCAAAGCGCGAGAAGGCAATGTTCAGACCATCAGACCATGTCAAGCACACACAGCATACAGGGCACAAGCCAAGCGAGGAGACAAGTCTCGATTTCCCAGCGCGAGTCGCCGGTAGCAAGCAGTATACAGATCCCATCCATCATCCCACCCGCCGTCGACGGGGATGTATGCAGTAGAACTCCGTAAAAAACGCAAGGCAAAATGTCCACACCACCGGAATGCCCAGCCCGCAAATGCAATCTCGATGAATGCCGCCGAAAGAGACGGCCCTCCCCCTTACAAAGAGGTAGATGCCCGGAGTCCCCAAAGGAAAAAGGTCATGACAAAACGCCCATGTGCCTAGCGCCCACCGCGGAAGGATGCAAAAACCGCCCCGACCCATCTCGAGATCAAGGAGAAAATGTGTTCATCGAAAGTGGAGTTGACGGTGCTGGCTAGCAGCGAAAGAGAATAGAAAAAAAAGGATGATGCTCGGGAGCGAGCCTGCCCTGCGATGCCGAGATGCGCCCCACGAAAACCCAAAACCGACCCTCTCCGAGGTACACGGACACACATGCCCGGGGTCCCGCCGTCCAGGGAGATAGAGATAGATGCAAACACTCTGCGCTGCCCCATCCCAGTCCTTGTTTATGATGTCTTATCCGTCCCTATTTTGTCCGTGTAATGCAGGAGCCCCGCCAGAGGGGTTTGTCATGATCCTCAACCCGCTGCCGAACCCGATGTGACCACCATCACTCCTCCTTTTTGAGAGAAAACAAAACAACAACTGAAAACCCCTCGGTGACATGAAGAGAGGAGAAAAGTGAAAGAAGGAAAATGGGAATCATCAAAGTAACAGCCCGCCAAGTTTTTTCTTGCTTCTTCCCTGTCTATAAGCCCTTCGCGCCAGTTCGTAAATGTAAGCCTCGCAATGCGGGTATCATGTTGGTATCAGAGGCCGTCCTTTTGGGTCGCCAGGACGTGTCGACGGCGCATGCAATGTTCTCGAATCTCCTTAGTGATGCCTCCCCAAAAAAACGCCTCCAGTGATGAAAGACAAATGAAAATGGTGCCCGGGTCTCGCCTCGGTGGTGCACGTCTCCTTTTTTTTTGTATCCATTCCCCCGACCGCTGGGGAGGATACGAAGTAGTTGTTAAGACCAGCCCGTGGGCTTGGACCGGAGAAGATTGGTGAAAAGCTGCAAAATATGGTGTTGGTACATGTCCATAATCCTCCACTCGCAGCGAAAGTACTGCTACGGATGTCCCAAGGCGAAACGATCATGTTGTTCGGCCGCTGTCCATGCTAGACTTGGGGCTCGTGTTGGCAAAGACATTTCTGCCAATGTTCTTGAGTTTGTTGCCATTCTTGGGCGCGTCTTCCTGGTACGAAACCATGATGTCGGTGAATGGGCCCTTCTTAATGTTGCAGAAGAGGGTCGAGAATAGGAAGCGCTCCCCTCGGTGGTTGTAAAGTGGGATCGTGCGGTAGCCTTGCTTGAGGTCGCAGAGCTTGACGGTGTAAGTGGCAAAGGGTGCCTTGTCGTTGTATCCGCTCCTGTCACCAAGCTTGACGCTGAACCGTACAAAGATCAAGTCGGGATATTTGGTGGTGACGTCGAAGGCACAAGTCTTGTCGAATTCGGGGTTGAATCCATTGTTCGGCACGATTTTGGTGCGTTGCTTGAGCTGCATTTGTTGGGCTGCAGCATACGCAGCCGCATCCGCCTTGTTCCGCTTGTCGTCAGCCATCAACACCTCGACCTCGACGTAAGGGTCCAGCGTGCGCTTCTCGCCCAGGTTCGAGGGCCGCATCAACTGCTGCGCAGCGATGACCTCGATCTCGAAGGCGACCTTCTTCCGCGGCCGCCTACCCACGCACTCGTCAGGGGATAGGTTAGGCATCACTTGGATTTGGCGCCCCTCCAAGGGCTTGAGGACATAGCCTGACTGAGCTGTGCCGCCGTCGAACATGGCTTGGTTCAGCTGCATGCCCGTGTCGAAAGTCTGCCAGTTGAGGGCCGCCATCTGCACTCCGCGCTTCCAGTAGATGAGGGGATCGAAATTGCTCGACGAGATCCGCCCGCCGTTGGGATAGACGCGCATCAGGTGGCGCATGTTGTGGCGGTACATTGCCCTCTTCCCCTCGCTCGGCTGGTTCTTCTCGGCAAACGTCTTCTCCTTGAAAGAGAAGATGTGGTTGAATTTCTTAGCGTCGGGGCTGTCGAAACCATCAAAGTGGATGCCCATGCAGTAGACGCCCAGCTCCCCCAAGACGGGATGGATCTTGCTGCTGACCTTTTTCGCGGCGCCCACTTCGCCTTCGCTATCACACTCACTAGGGCTACTACTGACGGCTTCGTGGACCAGGCCCTCGGTAATGGTGTTGATCTGCCGGTTGGACCTCGAAGCTGGGGACGGGCTCAAAAGGGGACTCGACGGGACTGGCACAGGCACGCTCTCCATCGCCAGTGCCCGCTGATACGGTGAGGGCATGCTGTTGCCGCGCCGGCGCCCGGTGGGCCGATCGATGTTCCTGATAGACTCGTCCGACTTCTTGACTTTGATGAGGATGCGGTCCATCAACTCCGATGGTGAGGGCAGGCGATCTGAGGACGGGTCCAAGGGCGCCCGCACAAGCTTGTCGCCGAAGATGTCGATCATGATCTTGGCCATGTTGATCTGCGTGTTTGGGTTGCAGCGCACCTCGAGCGAGATCCAGAGAGGGAAGCGCGATTTGGCGAAAGCGTATTTGTTGATGGTCTTGATCACCTCCAGAAACGAGATGCTCGTGGTCAGGGTGTGACCGTGCGTCACGACCGGCTGGTTGGCCTCCCCGTCCCAGCAGTCGACCTCGATGCAGCGGCAGCCCCGCAGCAGAGCCGAGATGTAACCTTCGTGGCTCGAGATGCTGGCCACCTGGCGGCCGATCAAGTACGTGTTATGCGAGCTCGAAATGTAGTATTCGTTCATGGGCCGGTCGAGCACGTAGTCCTGGGGCTCCTTGGGGACGACCTCGTTCGAGGTAGAGGTCAGAAAGCCAGCAAACGAGGTCTCCGACATGGTCAACCGCTCCTCGCCCGGGATTCCTTGCTTTTCGGCGTCCCTCGACCTACCCTTGCGGGCGAACCGTGCAAAGACGAGCTCCCAAGAGGCCAGGTCGTCGTCGACAGCCTCGTGCTGCACATCGCGCAGGAATTGAAGAAACTCATCCTTGGTCATTCCACACATGGGGTTTTTCGCATGGGTGTGGTAGATGGTTTGAATGTCTCCGCGGGTCTTCATGAGGCGCACAAATTCGATGAACTCGTCGAAGTTGAGCCGGGAGCTGGGCTTCATGCCGGATGGCAGATGGTCCGAGCTGGCCCGTCGAGATTTGACCATGTCGAACTTTCTGCGCAACTCGTCGACGGACACGTGGATGTGCAGGCTGCGGCACACACGCTCAACGCCGGCGAAGTCGATGTGCTCGTCCTCAGCGGAGCGCATCTTTCCCAGCTGCCTCTCCATCTCCATCCCCCAGTACGCGCGGACAGCCTTGTCGTTGAACGACATCAGGCTTGTTGCAAAGTCCTGGCGATGCTTGGAGATGGTCTCGAGGGCCTCGATCCACTGATGGAACGACTCGTCGCTGTCGGCAATGAGGTGCAACAGCTTGGTGTTTGTCTTGTTGGGGAGCGTGTAGATGAGAGAGAAGAAACGAGGCTCTACCGATTCCGGAAGCGCAGCGTCGAGCCGATATTGCCGGATGTCTTCGGCGGTGCGAATCTCTCTGATGTCGTCAATGTAAAGGTACTTGTTCCTGTCCCACCAGATCTTAGCCGTATCGGGATCGAGGTACAACGTGATCCGTTTAGTGCTCTTCTTCTTGGAGACCTTGGTCAGGGCCATTCCTTGGCGAAGGGAGAGCGGGATCAATCCGAACCCATCGGACGAGGTTGATGAACGGATGGAGCCCGTCTCCTGAAGCGTCACGTCGTCACCGGGGCGGTCTTCCACTACGATAGCAGCCTCGTTATCCGAGTCGCTATCAAAGGGGCTGATGTTCTCATAGGGTGTGTTGGGGTTGCTCGTGCTGCCTCTCCGGCGTATTACCCCGGGCCCGACGCTCCCGTCGCGGCTCCTAGGGTGAGTTGATGACGGCCGCCTGTTCATCAAGCCGGCGGCCTTGCGAACCGTCATGGAGGCACGCCGGACGATGCTCAGCTTCACCTCGCCCATGGCTGTCGTGCCGGTGGTCTTGAAGGTGGGCTGGCTGAGCGAGGCAGTGCTGGCCCTCCTCGACATCTCAGTGACGGTCTGTCGAGGCTGCTGTTTGGCGATGATGGACTCGGGGAGTTGGAAAGGCACGACCAGCTGGTCAATGTCTTCCAGCCCCTTTTCTTGGCAACCCACCAGTGTCTCGGGGGACGCTTGAAGAGAGCTGCTGGTGGTGATGCCCGTCGCGACGGTCTCGGCAGGCGAGCCATGTTGCGAGGCGGGCGATACAGAGGAATTGCTAAGGGCCGAGGGCGGTATCAAGACCAGCTCCGTCTGGGGTATCAGGTCGGTCGTGACCTGGCTGGGCCGCGCCCGGCGGTTCTGAAGTGATTCGGAGGCCATGGCTGGAATGGCAGGTGGTAATGAAGGATTGATGTCGATGGAAGCTGTCATGTTGGCGGTAGAATGCAGAGAATGAAGGCCCTCAGGATAACGTGAGGGCCGTTTCGGTGAACAAGCCCCGGTACTCGAGCTCTCGGGTGGGCCTGAGCTTGTGGGTGGAGCACCACGGTTACTCTGGGGAGGAGAATTGCTGAGAATTATATGGGACGAAGCGCGTTCCGCCGCATTTTCCGAAGTGCTTTATGAGAGACCCGGCCTTCCTTTCTGGCGATCAAAAATGCGGGGAAAGTTATAGACGAGCCTATGATTCCGGCAGAGGCGGGTCTCTGGGGGTAGAGGTGTCGAAGGGATGGGAGTGGCCGCCGGGGCTGTAGACGCAAGTCGATGGATGACCAGCAGGCCGAGTCGACGCGAGATCAGCAAGCCGCAGGGCGCAACCGAGCCAGTCGGCCTGTCGTCGTGCAGGTGTATCTGTGGGTACAGGTACGAAGGGCAACCCAGGTACCGACATGTACGATTTTGCTGCGTTCGATTCCTGGGGAGGATGGGCCGGGAGTGGGCCGTGTGGTGACAGCCCCGGGTCGCTCACGGCAGAAGATGAGGTGGCAGGCCGTATGCAAGTGGCTCTTTAGGGCACTGGCATTCCCAGGATGCCGGTTCTGGGGGTGGTAGGTGGTAGGAAGCTCAGGAGATCCACAAAAACCAGGCGCAGAGCAACCAGCCAGAGAAAGAAAAAGTCCACAGTGCCGATGGAGAGAAGCAAGCGAGTCAGGCGCCGTGTTTCCCCCCCAGCGCCAGCCAGTTCAGATCGAACAGCAAAGGCAACCGCCCGTCCAACTGTCGGTCCTCCTTGCTGGCTGCGGGCCTTGGCGGTTTAGGACGAAGGCGGCCGGCGTCTCGCTGCGAGCCGTCCGTCCGTCCGTCTCCGGGTTTTTCGGGCGCCTCGAGTTGCAGCTGTCCCGGGTAGCTGCTTTGCTTGGCAGAGACAACCGAACAATGATTTGTACTTTCGTACCGCGGGATGTCCGTACTTTTTTGCAGGGAGGGGTTGCTGCCGCTGTCGGATTGATGAAAATAAAAATGGGATTGAAAAAGGGATAAAAAAGGAGAGTTTGTTGCTGGTGCAAATCCAGCAATATGCGCGTCGGTTTTCGGCCGTGTGTGTGTGCGCGTATCGACAAAGTGTTGTCGAGAGGAATGCTGCTGCTGCTGCTGCTGCTGCTGCCGGTTGACGATGACTCGGCCGCGTTGTGACGGACCTGCACTGCAGGGTTGACGACGGATATGACGGCCGGGATCAGGAGGTGGTCCTAGAAATGGCCAATGCGGCAATGGCAATGCTGGCTGTTGGCTGCTGATTCTGTCTCCTTTTTTTGCCGTTTTCTTTTCTCTCCCTCTCTCTCCCTTGTCGAAAGCCCGCCGTTAGGTATGCTTGTGTGCGTGTGATGTATTCTGTAAATGATAATGTGCGTGGTACGGAGCACAGACAAGACGCACAGTCGTTGGTCCGAAAAAGGGAGCTCGATTCAAGGGTGATGCGTGCGTCTGCTTATAAACTTTATTTCAGGGCTGTGGTGGAGGGCGGATGGTCCTTTTGTCTCGCCGCGTCCCAGAGTGCAATGCCCGGAAATATTTAGTGTGGAGGTCGACGGTGTGGGCGGTGCGGGAGTCATGGCCAGGACAAGGGCGGTTGGGGCGCTTGGTGCAAGGTCGATCATCGACAGGAGAAACAACGGTCAGGGACAAGGTGAAAATTGTGTCATCCGTACTTATTATTATAGGTATCCATTGGTATTATACGTACAGCACTGCCGTCACCCGTCACGGCGTCACGACCAACAGGCCAAAGCGTGGTGCGGGTTCTTGGCAGGAGGCAAACGGCAGACCCAAGGGAGATGCGAATTTGGGCACTCGAGGCGCTGCCCTGGCGAGCCTGGCTCAGCTGGGACTTCGTACCCCCCCAACACCTTCCCTCTTTCGGGGAAACTGCGACTGCTCAGCACCCGTCCGTGTCCGGGCGGATCCCCCTCGGGCAAGCGGGCAAGTGGGCAGAAAAGAAGTGGGCATGGAGCGAGCTTGGGAGCTTGGCCCTACACCGCACCTTCCAACTTGACCTGCGAGCCTCCATGCTGTGTGAAATACCTCCCGTGACGTGCTGTAACGGTTTGTTTCACCTTGGGCATCGGCATCGGGCAGATTCGAGCAGGCTGGCAAGACGGCCCAGCAGGTTCCATAGTTAGCGAGCCTGGGAGCCCGGCATCCGAGCCATGTACCAGATACTCCAATTCGAGTCCCGGTTCAGAGAGCACATGAGCCCTGCTGGCCGCTGATCTGAAGGGGGTGGTTCTTTGAGGAGCGGCGTCGATTGGAACGAACCGCTATGGGGGCGTCTGGGAAATTCAATCCAGGCGCAAATTTTCAATGGGCACCAATCGGCGGAGCTGTGGTATGGAAACACCTTGACAACTGCCAGTGGTCTCCCCCGAGTCGGCCCAGCTCGCTTCTGTGGGGTGAGGTCAGACCGCCCGAATCAGGCAAGCCATCGAGCCTTGAGCTACCATGTACTTTGTACATACATGCAAGATTAAAAGTTACACGTATTTTCGCCCCTCGACCCCTGTTCCATGTCAATACGCCTCTATTCTCGCAGCCAGCTCCATAGCGACCTCTCACTCCCCACGAACTGTCCCCACAAGCCATTGTCGTTCATTCGTTGTCGTTCTCGCGCCAACGGTCGATTGGGGGGATGGGGGACGGGATGAGATCATGGGAGACAAGAATATTCTGTGGGTCAAAACTCTGCGAGGTCCCCTCTGCCACAGGAATTCCGCATCGAGCCTGCCTGATCCGGACATATCGGAATGCCAGCGTTCCAGCAGGGACGACCAAACAGCGGGGGTTTGGCTGTCACGTCCCTTCCAGCAATCACTTTTTTTACCCTTTTTTTTAATTGCCCCCCCCCCATGGATGGTGCTAGAAGACGGAATTCTGACAGGCTGGCACTTTTGCTAGGGTATACGCCCGCAAAATCCTTTGTTGGTCGACGATAGATCAAAGAACCCCGCTCCACCACAACAAGCGAGAAGCCAACTCTGACGCCAGTCCATGAACCTAAGGCGTCCGCTGGGCAGAGCGTCATCAAAGAAGAGCAAGCCACCGTGGGCGATTTACCATTACCGCAATCTCGTCTGTGCTTCTCATCCGTCTCTTCACCGCTGGCATCCGTCATCCGTCACCCGTCATGAACCTGCCGCTGCTGCGCTGGTGGGCGACAGGAACAAAGGAAGCGGATCCGAGCTGCTGGGTGGTTTGTCGATGCCCCTCCCCACACACCCTGGATGCTGCCCACATGGCCCGGGTTTGTTTCTGCCCCTCGTTTCCATCCCGCTACCAGCAGTTCGAAGCACCAGCCGCCCCGTGCCGGGAAGCCGACCGGTGGCAGAATTCGGGGGCGTAACGTACTTGGTATGTACAACAACGAGTTACGGTGTACAACACCCTGCTGAGGTCCTGCTGACTGTCCCAGAATATTGTACAAACCAAAATTCCATGACCGCAATGCCAGGGCACGCTTTTTAGTGCATGATTCCGCATCTCGAGACTAACCGACTACATAGTAGTTACAGGAGTGAGTTGCTGTGTAGAGACACACACTACCGTCGTTGCATCAATCCGCATCGGGACGAATTCCTTGGCCAGCGGGATCACTCCAAAACCCGGCAACACGGCTCGCTAGCACACCGACAGGTCGTAAAGCATGTATTCGTACTGCGTAAACAGAACCACATGCGAACGCCGTATGTTAACGTTACATGGTACATCTTCCATTCCTTGAACCCGTCTTTCAATACCTGGTAAGTAATTCCAACTATTCCCAAATTGGAACGCAACCGAGCAGTCAGTTTTCTCGGGGTCCCCGGTGTGAAAACTCACATTTCATAGTGGATTTGATTTTCAGAACCAAAGAACATCCATCTGCTCACCTTGGGCGCTCGGCCATTGTATCCATGCAACATATTATATTCACCGACATTTCCGGGTCAGCCATGAAAAACGCGAGCTGGGCCCGTGGATCTGGTCAAAATCGCAACCAGGCACAAACGAGGGCTGCGCAGAGCCTCGGTTTCAGCACTTCGTTGCCTGCCAAGAAGACCAAAATCGCCCTTGCCAGCGCAACGCGACGCACACAATCGGCATGATGCACGGCATCGCATCGCATCTCAACCCCCCCCCCCCCCCCCCCCTCCCTTTTCTCCCCATTTCTCTCACGGGAAAGTATTACCCCCCAACGCAATGGACTCGTGGACTCCCAAGCCGGATCATCGGGTACAAACGGTGATGATCTGTTTCCAACACCCCGGCTACTATCATGTGTCAGGCACGACCAAGACGAAGATCGTGTTTTCCTAACCCCTAACGGTGGCCGACTATCACTGCTTTCCATTCGTCCTTGGCCACAAACTGTTGCGTCGTCAGGAGGGAGTGTCCTTTCTTCCAAGTCGCAAGCGGCGGGAGCAGGCCGTGACACCGCAGGAATGTGGGCACCTTCTATATACAGATCATGTCGTGATTGGACGCCTGAGGTTTTTGGCAGTTTGATGGGGCAAGGGTCGCCTCGGACTGCATCATCACGAGGACAGAAATTCGAACCCTCGGCGCCAGTGATCTGAAGGCGATAGCGGAAGCCCCTGCTGCCGCCGAGGAGCTGAGGGTTTGGACATCAACGTTATCCCGAGCCCCCACCAATGACGGCCACCTCCCAGGCGACTGATGCCGTCTCGGCAGAGCTCTTTCAGCAAACCGAATGCCGTCTTTTCCAGCAGAGCGGATTCAATGTGTGATTGGTATCGACCCGCAACTCGGTCACCACAACCCGCTGCCGTTCCATTGCCCCTCTCTCACAGAGGGCCCCGTGGGCGTCACTGGCGATCCCGACAACCCTCTCATACCTTTCTTGCGAGTGCGACGCGCCGACGCTGGCAAATGGCGCAACGGCCTTTTGGCGGCCGCCGGAAGCCAGCACGGAGCCGGGGGGGGGCCACCTCCACGTGCCCATTCCCGTTTCGTTGCCAGCCGGGCGCGAGGTACCACGACCACGGTGATGCTCCTGTTCTGAAACGGCGGCCACGCAGATCCTTGGTCAGAATGGAAGCGAGGAATGACAGATTTGCATCCTCAAAGATCCTGATCCGCTTTCACCATCAGACCTCGGGATGCCGAACACCACCGCTCCTTCCCCTCCCCCGTCACCCCGTTTCCTGTCATGGCTGGGCGTGCTGGGTACTCAGCCCCGGCTCTGAATGGCCGTCAAATCCGGGAGACCCACTACGGATCGGCGATGGTTGCGCTGTTAGGCGCCGTTGCCCGGCCCTGGGCTGTTTCATGTCTGTGGTCCCCCAGGCTCCCCGGGCTTGAATATGACGTCCTTTGGGAACAGGGCTTCGTGCCATGGACCCTTTATTCCCATTTCGTCACCCGCACGACCAAAGCCAGCGATATTTTGGGTACTGGCCCAATAGGAACCAGATTTATCCGTCCATCGGGCAATCCGGGCGAAAAGCCCAAGGGCTCCGCTCCTCGCCGCCGCCCGCCTGCCGCCCGCCGCCGCTGGATGACGGCAATTGGGTAAGAGAGAACATCATCCCCTCACTCTCCCCCTCTGACGGCTTCGGCACCGACTCTTCCCCCCTTCTCCTCCCTCCTCCTCTCCCTCCGTCAGCGAGAGCTCCTTCCCCATGCACGCATACATTGCACATGCCTTGGCGGCTTGGTGCGCGAACTCGGCCATCCCACGACAGGACCCCAAATGTAATAGCATCGCGAAGAGTTCACCCGCTCTGCGACCCGACGCGGAACCACAGCCTGCTTTCAGCTAGCCCGGGCCTCTGGAACCGATCTTCGCGCATTTTTTTTTCGGTGTTGAATCCCCGCGTCGCGCGGGGTGCCTGGTAGGGTCTGGTAGGGACATTCTGCTGTCGCAGCGGCCCCGGGGATGAGCGGGATGGTGCCGGGCCGCAAAGTAGACTACATAAGGGTACTGGCCACAATCGTCGCCACACGGCAACCTCCACGGGAGGGGCCGTTGCGTGCGCGCGCCATCGAAACGTCTGCAGGTTGCAGGCGCATCTTTCTTTTTACCCCTCTATCCAACAGAGCCCGGGGTGAGTTGAAAAGGGAAGCTGGATCGAAAGTGATCTCTTGCAACCTCGCGGAACCTCCCCCAGGTTCCGCCCGTGCCAGCCACGCAGGAAATATGCAAAGCAACTCAACATCTCAGGAGGCCAGCCGCCCCGACCCATGAATGGAACTTGATCGTTTTTCTGTTGATCCCCCTCTCCCCTCCCCCCACGGCAGTTGCAATGGTTCAAACCGCGGATCGGTGCCGGTGCCGGCCTCTGCCGCGCATGAGCTGATATCAGCTCGCAAGACGAGCTCAACAAGTCGCCGATCGGCCTCTCACGCACCATGTCGAACGTCAGACCGGGGCGATGATAGAGTTCCGGTTGCAATGCTCCCTCCCTCCAGCGTAATCATTCGCGACACTCTGTGGGCTTCAAGCACGCCACGATATCTCGCCCATGATGACGTTATCGAGTTGCTTGAAGGGGCCTTTGGAACCCTCGGATTCCTCCCTCGCAGCAGGACTGCACCAGGCCGGAGAGGGGTTTCCAGCACGTTGAGGAAGCATCGCGAGGAGTTGCATCGGCACCCTTCAATTGGGCCCGTCCCCCGCAGCCAGACGGACATGGGCTGCAGAGAGCTCAATCTGGCAAAGGGACCAAGGTCACGAGCTGCCTCCTCCGCCCTGTGCCCTGAGCCCTAAATTTTGTCTACGTGGCATACTTTTACTGCGAGCATGGCCCCATCGGGCGAGGTGATCTCGATTACGCACCGCCCTCGTGGACGGACGAATGTGTCGCGCATGCTGCAGAATGCAACAGCTCGTATCGGCAGGGAAGCCCTCGAAAGGGGACCAAGAGGGAGTCCCTTGTCCGTCCTTGTCCGTCCTCGTCCTCGTTGCCCTTGACTGTTATCGCGTGGGAAACAAAACATGGCCAATAGAACCCCCCCCCCCCCCCCCCGCAGCACGACAACCATGTCCTCGAACCCCCAACCCCCCCGCGAACCCGCGAAACCCCTCGAGCCCCTCTGGCTTGCTGCACATCATTTCCGTTGCAGCGAGCATGGGTGGGTGAGGATCATCCGCCCGGGCGGGGAGGAAGGGAGGGAGGGGGGACAGAGAGACGCCCGTTTCACCAGATGAAAACCATCATCTCCCCCAGAGAAATACAGAGGGACAATCCAAATCTCCAAATTCAATGCAGGAAGACGGGATTGTCCATCAAAGACAGGACGACTTCCCCATCTGTCAACCAACCACAGGGAATGTCCCTGATCTCCCCAGGCACAGATGTCAGCCATGTCCAGGAAAATCGTGGCACCATGTTTCAGAGGGAACATTTGAATGTTCTGGGAGGGCTGTTGATTGGGGCCTTTCGCTTGAACGAGTTAGCGACCAAATGCGCCGATGGGGATTCGTACAGGCCAGCGTGTTCTGGATGAACTGGCCAATAACGAACACGAAACCAACCAAACGCAATCACGCCGGAGCCGAGAAGCAACTCGGAGGAGAACCAAAAAAAAACTAGCAAAAGGGGCGATTTTCTAGAATCCTTCCATCCTGGCAGGGCTCCGCCTCCGCAAAAGGAATCCCTGCATCGCACCAAAACCCGCCAGTTCGGCTGTGTCGGAACGAAGCCAAGACGCTCTGTTTCGCTCTTGCAGAGGTGTGGGGCCGGTAATATGACGTCGGCGCACGTGGGAAGAGCTCTGACTTCCATGCCTCCCTGCCCTCCATGCCGCCTCATCCTCCTGGCGCCAGCCACCGAGCCACCTCAGCACCTCAGGCATCCACAGTGGGTTTCAGGCCTGCACCTGCACTGACCACGCAGAAAGGTTCCTTCCTTTTTCGCCGAGCCTGCGCCTGGAGATTGGAAGATGGAAGGAAGGAATCAGATGGCTCAACAAAGCACATTTTCCCGACTCCCCATTGTTGAGCTCAGGCTCGCTTCTTCAAAACACCCTACCGAACCGTGCTAACCCCTCCCCGGGTAATAAGACGACCCATCAAATGGCCCGAATCGGCCAAAGCCGATGCGGCCTTTTGTCTTTTCAGTTTACACAGTAACGTTATGCACAGAGGTCATGTGCTTGTTCTGCTGATTTGACGACGCAAGCGGAAATAAGCACAGAACTCCAACTCGGGCTGCAGTCATGTCTCTTTGCAACTCCAACCTGTGACCCCGCCGCAGTCTCGGGTTACACGAACCTCACCTACCCCACACCTTGGGCCGCCCTTCTCCTCACCTTTTCGACGACGTGACGACGGGAAGTCTGGTGTGACCAAACGCGCCGAGGTGCTTGGTGGGATGCATGAGCTTAATTTGGCTCTGGGTGCGTAACCCGATCCTCTCTTCTCGGTCCCTCCAAGACCGGGAGACCCGATCGAGGGAACACGGGGAAGAATGGGAACACTGGGAACAGCGAGACGGGACTGTCTACACTAGCCCAGTCTCTACCTACGGTACTTACGAGACCTGCCAACACCAAGTGGACATGTCCCGTACGACCTACCTCCATAAGGGCTATCGGGTAGTTCGTGATGATTCAGGGCCTCAAACGACAGTTTCCCGTTTCGGAGGTCGAGTCACATACACGATATCCGTCATCTGAACACACAACACTCCATCTAGCCTGTCCCTCTGGGCGTAAAGCAAACCAATCCCCCAACGCGTCGCCCCTCCTCAACAACTCACCACAAAAGTCCAAGCTCTCAAATTAAACCCTCGCCGGCCTCGCTTAGAAGCCAGCCAGCAAGCGGGCCGAAGAAATCAACCCCAAGGACGCGGTCTTCCCCACCTCCCATGCAAGGCCGTGCATATGTCGTGGGTGTGCTCGGGTCAGCGAGTGACAGCTCGCAATCTTCCAGCCCTAGCCCGGCCCGACCGGACGAACGAACCCTCTCGGACAACCGAGGCGCTCGTCACCTCCAACGTACATGTACCCCTTCCCCCTCCTGCGCCAGCCCTAAAACGGCAACGACTCCAAGCATTCGCGGCTCGTTGGGGTCGTCTGCCTCACTCTCTGACCCTCCGAACGCCCATGTGGACGTGGCTTGCCGGCTGACTGCGTCGACCTTTTATGGACCAGACCTAGTTGCTGTCTATGTACCAAGGAGTGACGCTACCTATCTGCAGACCGATAGTACCTAGGTAGCTCGGTATGCATGCTCACCACCTACATACACACGGCCATCCCTCTTGGCGGGACATGCATCTTGGCAAGCCTCATTTTTTTCTTTTGGGGATGGATCTTTTGGTGCCATTGATACCTATGTACTGGACTTTTCGTGACAAGATGGCGGTCGACCCCTGCTGCGGTATGACCCTTTTGGGGTCTGTTCCTCGTGAGTGCAAAGTGGCTGGTAGCTAAGCTCCTTGGTGTTGTTGTCAGCATTGTTGGTGGCGTTCCCATCCCAACCTTGTACTCCCAAGTGAAACAACCACATGTCGTCCTCATTTTCCCTGGGCAGCGATGGCGATCACGACAGAGACACCCTATCAATTCATCAATGCATTGCCTCGTTCGTGAACCAGTCCCGCTCACCGCAACTCCATTTCAGCTGAGCTCTTTACCCCTTCACCGAAGGCCAACGCCCAATAACCGCCACCCAGACCTTTTCCTTGTGTAACCCAAGCACGCAACGCACAGATTACCAGCTGCATCTGCGTGGCTGGCTGGCGAGGTTCCATTGGAAACCTTCACCTCGGACTTTTTTGCAGCCCCATCCAAAAAGAAAATCAGCAAATCCTCCTTTTCCCACCGGGATGTTGTCGAAACATGCAATTCCAATCCCACCGGCAACGGACGGGAGGAAGCCTCCGTGATGACGAGAGAAGGAAGGGCAAAAGGAATCAAGGAAGAAACTAGGCAAGTAAGTATGTACATACATACAACCAACAGGCGGGACGAGATCACATGAGGCCGCGTCGATGAGGTGCTCTGCCCATCACCCGTCCCTCCCGACCATATTTCCATACCACCGCCCCCCCTTTTTCCGCCTCGGTTCCTCTCAATCTGAAGTCTGGAACTCATGTACAAGGTAATCTGGCACAGCTCATCCATCCGTTTCCAGACGGCGCCTACTTTGCTTCTTTACTCGCCTCCACGGCTGAAGCCTGACTGCGCCGCCGGTTAGGAAAGGTCGGCTGGTATGTATGTATGTACACTTTGGGGGGGTGTCAGCCTGCAGTCTCATCAGTCAGTCAGTCGGTCTGTCAGTCGGTCTGCCAGTTGGTTAGGTTACCGCGCCGTCCGCCGGCCATTCAGCCATCGCCGAGTGCAGAGCGAGGTTTATGCTTTCCCAATGTCACCTTACCTTTTGCTCTGCTTCTGCTTCTGCGTCTGCTTCTGGCGCGGCTTTCCTCTATCGGCCATGGATGCAGAGCCAGCCGGGCTGGCTGAGTGGTTGGTGAGTTGACTGGTTGGCTGGTTGGTTGGCTGGCTGGTTCGTATGTACGCGGGTCAGTAGAGGGTGGTAACGGGTACCTCACCCTGCTGGGCAACCAAGATTGGGCTGAGTGGATGGATGGGGCATCCCCTTCCGGCCGACTGCTGCTGCTGCCGCATTGTCAGCTTCGAACCTTCAACCCACCACCTAGCGCGTTGTTGTGTGTTGAGAGAGAGCTGACAATGTGATACGACCCTGCCTCCCACGACCACCGCGCACGCGATAACACACACGCGCACATGAGCAGATGGGCTGCGTACGGGAGAAAGTGGGAAATGAGGGAAAATAGAAACTTTTGTGTCTGCCTATCTGAGCCGCGCCATGTTGGATGGTGGATGATGGGGCGTGGTTTGCCACCGCCGGCTTATTCGGCTGCCTTGTCGGACAAACGCGTTCAGTTTGTACGACTACATGGTAACTACATGCCACTCGCGAAGTTTAACATCAAACAGAAAACCTCGAATATTTGCAGGCATCGTTACTGACCCCCTGCTCCCCTGGCTGCCACGCTCGGCTGCTTCCGAGACGCCCGCCCCCTCTCCCCTTTTCGTACCTTTCTGTGTACTCCCACGCTTTTTCTCACGCACCTCTCGTGGCCTTTTGACCCCGGACCATGGGACAGCCTCTCCTCTATTCCATTCGGTACCGGGAACCACTCAGGGTGGGACACGGCACTGGGTGGCTGGTTGGCTGGTGTCACAAGAGGGGTTGGTCAGGGGTATTGAAGGTCGGCTTGAGAGGTTGTTGAGGGGGGGGTGGCATAACACCATGATTCCCGTGATGATGTTAGCTTAGAGCTGATATCGATTCCTTTGCTTAACCTGCATGTCACGCAACAGGTCACTGGACGCGTCATCTGACGAGCTTGCTTGCCGGTCCGGGAATAAGTACCCAAACGGGCGTGTGGTATTATATACCGGCATGCGAATATCAGATGGAGAGAAATGTGATGATATGCAGGCGCTGCAGACAGTGCGACCTTGGCGGTGTGGTCGCCAGGGTAGAGTGGCATGTGTGCATTTCATGATCGCTCGATCCCGATGGCCTGCCCCGAGTTCCGTACCGTCATGTCTCTTCGTCGTCGTCTACTCCGATCTACTACTCACCGCCGTTCTGCGTCGATAACAGAGTCGTTGGCCAAGCTGGCCAAGCTGGCCAAGCTGGCCAAGTCCGATGGCACCGTCTCTCCGAGTTCAACGGAGGGCTTGGACGACAGTTTGATGAGAGACGTGAAGGCGTCATGTACCACGGCATTGCCAGCTCCTGCTTCTATGTGACGCCGCCTGCCGCCTCGATGTGGCCTGCCCGCAGTTATCCGTCTTGGCTCTGTCGCTCAGTCGTACACGACACGGCGGTCGGGAGGTGGGATGGATAGGATCAGCTGGTGCTCGTGGCATGACTGCGTTTTTTGAAAGCATCAGATAAGCGAGAGGCAACAAGGGACAACCCGACACAGTCGGTTGCCTCGGAGGGGAAGGCCTATCACTGCCCGTGAAGGTGCAGATGCCATGCACTCGTCAGGGTGTTTCGTGAGATTTGGTTGCCTCGTCTGGGCTTCCTGCCTCATCGACGCGCTGGTGCTGCATCTCGTGTTGCCTTGATTTGCTTCTTTCGGGCTGATCAGCTGGGTTGATCTTCCCGTCCTGGACGATCATGACCAAGCATGTATACACGTACGGGTGGAGGCGAGCTGGCATGACAGTCTTGTTTCTCGACCTCACCATCGTCGGCCCAAAAGCATGATAGAGAAGGACTACTCGAGACGTCCTTCGTCGAGATGGGATTTACTAGCCCTAACCGAGCATCGTGTGACACCCCTTTCTCGAGGCCACGGCGTGCGGGATTTAGGAGGAAGGACAGCATCAGTGACTCGACACAGCTTCCGCATTCGAGATCGGTGTCTTTGACGGGTCAATTACACTGCTTGCTTACACTGCATTGAGACACTCGACGCCCATAAAGTGGGCGTCTCACTGGCGATCACGCAACAAATAAAAGACTCCTTAATAACTAGTTATCAGGTAGGGATCGATCGAGGTCTGGCTTTTCGTGGTGTCAACTCGGTCGGTCAGAGACCGGTGAGCGAGCGGAATCCGCTTGGAGGCAAGGTTCTTCCGGTACATGCACATGCAGTGTACATACAATGGTGAAGTTGAGAAAGTCAAAGTGGTCTGAGACATCAATATGCTGGACTTGTCTGGCGCCACTCCCAGGCCTGTCGAGGGAACACAATGGCTCATGGCAAGGCGTACAAGGACAGGGGTTGCGGGAACCGACACAGGAGGCGGCCATGGCAACTGCGCCTGTATTTTCCTCCAGCCAATGCTGTACGCGTAACTGAGACACAGGCTCCTTCTTTTTTCTGCGCCGTCTCACACGACATCAATCAGGCTGAGCCGTCCCTGGACAGACGAGCACCGAGACATGGCACAGGAGCATGTCTCTGACTAGACCCACTCGTTACATTCCATCACTGTCACAGCGAAAACGACTTCTCGATGTTCGATCCATCGGGTTGACAATGTCTATCAATGTCCTTCCGAATCCAGCCGTTTTGTACCACGAGACCCCGGTTCCCCTTGCCTGCTAGGCCCAACCCCTGGCTCACATGTCAGGTATTCCGTGTCCCGGTCCTCTAACTACTTGGTATTCCTTCGCCTTGTTTCTAAACGCAGGAGCCGACGTTGTGTCGTACAAGCCTTGGCCTCTGATGGTTTGTCCGATCTGTTGAGCGTGGCTTGGTGATCGACGAGCTCTGCGTCTCGAAGTTGTGTCCGTTGATCCAATGAGGACCAAACGTCAAGGGGTCCGTTGACTCTTCCATTCTCGTTCCTGGTTCCCATGGGCGGACGTTAACTAGCCCCAGCTCAGATACCACATTTCGCGTTTTGATAAAAAGCTGATTGCTGCGAGAAAGCAGCAGCCCGTCTAAGCACTACTCGAGTTACTTGACCCGAAGTCTCGGTTATGTGGACGGATACTGTACAGGCAGCCGAAGCGGGAGAGCGGAAGCAGACAATGAAGCAAACAACCGGCCCCCTTGCTGCACGCCCTACCGTACATGTAGTTTTACCAAAAGCCCAGACCAGACGCCACCACGCCTCACCGGTCTCCCCAAATCCCCCAGCCCTCCGAGGCCACTAGTCCGTTATGCCACGCTACGCCTCACCATGCCGTGCAGAATCCCATCACCAAACCTGGCCCAATCCAGGCCCAAGAAACTGAGACAGCCCCTTGCCTCTCTCCATCAGCCCGGCCCGATCACCGAAAGTACCTGACAGCATCGGCGTCCCAGCCTCGGCTCTGCTTTCCCTTAGCCCACCTCAAGCCGGGTACTCGACTGCATGCAGTATACAGCTCGGTACCGCAACCCGACTTATCACTGCGCCCTCCCCCCCTCTCCTGCTCCCGACACGAGGGATGAGGCACTGGGCGTGCATGACTTGGCGCCGCCACAATTGCGGGCAAGTGAAGCCGGTGAAGGGAGCCTGCAATCAAAGCCGCAATCAAAGCTGCACCGTTGCCCAACTACCAACCACAGAGGTAAAAGACATGGAACGCCTTGGGGAGGCAACAAGAAGGCAAACCTGCAGACAAAAAGTACGAGGCCAAGGAATGAGACGCCGCCCAGCCCAGCCAAGGTCCGACGAGAGCATGAGCTGGCAGGCCGTATTGCTATTCCCCCCGCTCCGCGCATTCCGAACTGTGCTCTCTGCAGGCCACGGACAGGGCGACCAAGAGACATACAGTTGCAACGTAGTATTGAGGATGCGGTTTTCTCTCTATTCGGGGATCGCTGCGTTGTCCGGTCGCGGTAACCGCGGAAGTGAAAAAAAGGACGCTGGATATTGCGGGTGTTCTCTGCAGGAGCTCGCATGTCGTCGTGGTGCAAGACACCCGAAGCAGCGCTGTGGTGGAAACAAACATCTGCGGTTCGGGAATAGCTAGCCGAGGCTCTGGATTCAGGGGTAAAGTAAACAAACCGCATTCGGCACGACACGAGTGCGCGGGCGACGCCGAAAACTCCAAACCAAAACGGGCTCAATCCAACCGCGATTATATCCGCGCAATGCTGAATGTAACATCCCATGACCATGACCGTCCAAACTAACAATCCCATCACCATCCAACTCGCCCACCCATTCACACCCCCAACGGCTGCACATTCCCCCTAATCTCCCGAATCACCTCCCTCGTCCTCGCATTATCCTCAAAGCTCACCTTGACCAAATCCACCACCTCCTCCGCCGTAAAATACAGACTCAACTCCCCCTCCACCCACAGAAACCGCACATCCTTCAGATTACTCTGCAGCACCTCACTCAGATACTTCAACCGCAGCCAGTTCCCCGCAAACTGCGCCGTAACAGGCACCTCCCCCTCCTCCCTCTCCACCTCCACCTCCCCCTCCTCCCTCTTCACCCCCACCCCCCCCCTCCCCCTTCGTCACCACCCCCTCCTGCGCCGCCAACCGACTCGGCAAGAACAGCTCATCCAGCTCCCCCTCGACCGACGCGATCAGCCCGGCGATGTTGTAGGCCTCGTCCTGGCCGATGGAGGGCAGGTCGGTGACGTCGGCGATCATCTTGGCCGCCACGGCGTCGACGAGCCCGCCGACGGCCTGCTGCCAGACGGAGCGCGCGAGGACGGCCTCCCAGGCGGCGGCGAGGGAGCGCACGCGCGCCGTGGCCGAGGTGATGGATGATGCGGTGTCGGGTTGGTGGAGGAGGTTTTGTTCGCCTTTTTGGGGGGGTTAGTATCTAGGTGTTGGGGGGGGGGGGGGGGGGGGGGATGGATGGGATGGGGAGGTTTGGGATGGGGAAGAGGGGAGGGGGGGCGCGTACCGCCTAGTAGGTCGCGCAGGACTGTTTTTTGGATGGCTAGTTCGTTGGTGTAGGCGCGGTTGGCGAAGGATTGGAGGGATTTGATGTCGTTGTCTAGCCGCAGCATGTTTTGGGCTCTTGTGCTGATGTCGTCGCGCGTCTTCCAGGTTGTGGCAAACTCGGAGAGTTGCTCTGCCACGTAGGCGGCGTCGTTGTAGAGATACCTAGGACCATTAGGGTGAGTTCTCTTTTGGTTAGGGTCCAACTTACATGTTGCCGCCGATTCCCGGGGAGTAGTAGTGAGGTGAAACGGCTCGAAATATGGCCAGGACGAGCGTGGGGAGACTGAACAATCCTGCTGCTTGAGCCGCGACTGGGCTGCTCGCGTAGCTGTCGTGCGTCAAGGCGGCACCGTCCTCGACTATCGCGAATATCAAGTCTAGAACTGGCTGCGGCAGAGAAGAGATGCTGTAGGTCTCTTTCAGGACCAACTCTCTGGTCTGTGGTTCTGATCGCGGCGCCGTAGGGTTTTCTGAAGCTTGGGCTTCATCAGCGTTGCCCTCGTCACCCCATCCCCAAGCTTCTGACGGGTCCTCTTCCTCGTCTGGTTTGCTTTCGTTGGGTACCGCCGCCGTAGCTTCCACGCTCGGTTCCTCTGCTGCAGCTTCCTCCTCCCCCCAACCCCACGCGTCAGCGCCGTCATCACCGCCATCCGGTGGCCCACCCACTGTGCCATTTTCTGCCTCTTCTGGGTTTGCCTGCCCGCCATCATCCCAGGCGTCCCAACCGTGGTCGTCGGCAGAAGCGGCGGCACCGTTCGCAACGAGTTGTTGACCCTCTGACTTCGAAACCATTTGCTTCTCTACCTTTTCCACCCGCTTCGGCGCGCCGAGGCCCCGGGAAAGCATGATGCGCACGGAATCCAGCGCAGCTTCTCTGCATTTTGCAAGCCAGACCTTGGGTGCGTTGTCCGCCCATTCTTGTAGACCACCGAGGTTTGAGAAGCCGAGCGCTTTTAACCTTGCGCAGAAGGCTTTGGCAGCTTCAATAACCTCCTGGAACTTATCCATATCCTGGAGCGATGATGGTACGGCTGAATCGAGCCAGACACTCGTGATCTTATGTATTGTTTCCGGTAGTAGGGTGGATGAAATAGTATCGATAAGGTCAGGGGGAAGCTGCTGGACTAGGAAAGAGAAAGCCTGCTCGAGGTCTGCAAAGAGAGACTGAAAGGTTTTGTCTGACGAGCCTCGTAGTTCAAGTGCACCCTATATTAACGTGAGTAAGCGCGGGTCAGAAAGTACAATGGTTCACTCACATCTTGAATGTGGATGCTGGGCAATGTTTCTTTGCTTATATCCATCCTCGGAAGCAGGATCGCTTCGTTGATGTCCTGCCAGAGCCGACTCATTCGTTGGTCGACCTCCTTGTATGCCCTCAGACCTATTACTGCGTCTTCAAGGCTCATTGGCTCATCTACACAGGTCAGAGCCGTTTACGAGAAAATCGGCATCAGCAAGACTCACCTTCTCGACTGCTACTTATTGAGACTCTCCGGCTCTCCACATCGATATTGATAAGTGCGTTCCACACATGATCAAACACGTCGTGCACATCCGACTTTAGCTCGAACGCCCGGATGTCGAGGAGCTTGACGGCACGGCAGGACCTGTTCACTCCCACGGTATCTAGTTGCTTCCAGGACTCTGGGGAACATCAGCAGCGTCCAGCGAAGCTTACGGGCGCATTACTCACTTTCGAGTAGGTGTAGAGCATCTAGAATGCGCCGTTCATCTCGCGCTTGCTCGACCTCATCGAGGGTGCGATTCACCGTTTTGATGCCCTTGAGTGTTTCGTGTACTTGCGCATTGTAGTTCAGCTCGCGAATCAGGAAGTCGGCCTTCGCTTCGATCTCGTCTACCGCACGCCCCGACACGGCAGGGGTTTCGGAGGCCTTGACTATCTCGGCCGCAAGAGCTTTGGATCGAAGAATATCGTCCTGGACGGATTGCGCATTCGCCTGCCAGGTCCTCACGTCGTCGGCGGTCTCCTCATTGATCGCATGTATTTCGGCCTACCGCAGAGGGCGCTTAGCATGCGCCCGGCTCCCAACATGTGAAGGCTCGTACCTGAAGCTTTGCCTTGGCGTCTGCGAGTGCCTTGATGGCCGTCGGTAGGGATTCGGCGTCGATGGGCAGTGACGAGACATCCTCCTCGGGGAACGAGCCGTAAACGGAGAAATCGACGAGAGCTTGCGCCATGTGCGCGGCTGGCGGATCGGAGGTTGTCATGGCGAGTGCGGTGGGTGATTTGTTCGGGATATAGGCCTAGTGAAGCTTAGGATAGCTCGTCGAGTTGAGGCCACTTTAAGCCAGTTAGGCCCCTCCCGCGCTTTACACCCTGTCCCGTCGTAGCTTTGGCGTTCTCGACAAGTTCACTAGGGGTTGCGCAGTTGGTTTAACGCCAGTAGCAGATACATTGATATTCTTGCCGTGCGGTTGGTCGTTTCGTAAGAACGTCAAGTTGGTTTTGGTGAGGGAGGTTCGAGTAATCCGCAGGTCAAGTTGCTGGTTCAAGGTTCAAAGCTGTCTCCAATTGGAAGTCAACGTCAAAGCTTCGAACCTTGGCCGACATTGCACGAACCCCTGCTCCTGCTTTTGGGAAGTTGGGGAAGCCCCACTAACCTCGGGCCGGCCACGCACGAGTCCCAGTTGCTGCCAGCTGGTGGCATTGACCCACTCTTTTCGAACTTTTGCCCTGCACCCACAAAATTAAACCTCGAATTCTATTCCTCTCTCCTCTTCCGCTCAACGTCACGACGACAACCACGACGCCATCACCAGTCACAATGGCCGCTTCCAAGAAGGAGACTCCCCGCACCGGGCTGGCAACCGTAAGTCTTGAACCATTTCCCATCACAATTCGGAGCCGCGCGATCTTGGGCGGCTGCAATTGCCGCTCGTGGTTTCGCAAATTTTCAAACCGCAAAATGCTAACTCGCGACTTCACAGGGTCTCAACAAGGGCCACGTAAGATAAGCCTTCTTGTCTCACCTCGTGGAGGATCTCTGCACCTGCTTCATCCTCTCGGGGATATATCGAAGCATATGCGCGGATGATGGACTCTTGGCTGATTCATGTTCGCTCTTCCCCCGATTACAGAAGACCACCGCCCGCGTCAGCAAGCCGCGCGTGAGCCGCACCAAGGGCCACCTTAGCAAGCGGACTTCTTTCGTCCGTGAGCTCGTCAAGGAGGTTGCTGGGTACGTTTTGTTCCCTTCCACGGACGTTCTGTGGGTGGATTGGATTGTGACTAATGATTTGAACAGCCTCGCTCCCTATGAGCGCCGCATCATCGAACTTCTCCGCAACAGCAAGGACAAGCGTGCCCGTAAGCTCGCCAAGAAGAAGGTAGGCGTGCTCGATAGGATTTCTCTGCCGGATCACCGCTAACACTTGACCAGCTGGGCACCTTCGGCCGCGCCAAGGCGAAGGTTGAGGACATGAACCGTGTCATCGCCGAGTCTCGCCGTACCGGCCACTAAAGCGCCGCGTCGCTTTTTGGGATGCCACTATAAACCGGACGCCGAGGGATTGATGACGGATTCCGGGGGAGGGACACCGGTGTTGAGGGCCTTGCTCTCCCGGCCAGCACCCTTTGGCTTTGCGCTCAGAAAAGAGCTCGCCATCTAGACCAGACCAAAATCGACCTCGCGATTGTCTTTGATACCCTATTTACCATATCACATGTGGTGAATTCATGAAACTTGTTCCGATGGCTTGCATATTTCTGTCTCCAGATGTGAACCTAAGGTACCTGCTTCAGCACTGTCATCCACTCGGTGGCCACCAGCAGTTATAAGCGGCGATCAATAGTGACACATTGTTTCCGGGTGCACCACAAGCCCTGCCCGGTTTGTCACCCCAGTGTATCCTGCCCCGGATCAGGGCCAATCGGACCCGGTTTTCCACTCAGATGCCATCCGGGTCGGGTCCGTGACCGCCGACCTGCCGACGCCGTGGCTTCTGTGGACCCTCATTGTGGGCTTACTCTGCGGGGCACACACACCCTGACGACCACTTGCCCCGCCATTCAGGGATTCACGATTGTGCCGGGCACCAACAACAAGGGCCGCAACTGGTTGTGGAAGGGTGAGCAGCTCTGTTGGCTGTCGTAAGAGTTTCAACTGCCGTGCTCGGTAATGCTTTCCACAACCTCGTTAAGAAATGGGAATTGCACCTAGAACCTAAATCGATTATTACTGTGTTTCGTCCTTCCTTCCAGTCTCCAAAACGGAACAAAAAGAGAAACCGCTAAATTCACACAACTCCCCGCACACAACAACTCATCGACCTGAGCCCGATAATTTCAACCTTGGCCCCCGACAATTTTCCATATTTTTGCTGTCTAGACCGATCAGCTGCAAGGACGCAGCCACACCGCTATTGGTCTTCAACTCTACCGCCAGGCAGCAAGGCGACCCTTTGCTGGCAGCCTGCATTTGCCAACCCGGTACGTCTATCAGCGTCTCCCTGTCCACATCATCATGTCACCATAGCGTATCACATTTGGTGGGACAAGGCTATGGCGATAGTTCCCCGACAGAATCATCGTCGTCGACGTTTCATGCCATGAGACATCTGGCAAACCCCAAGCCACCCCTCTCTCCTCGTTCTCCTCCTCCTCCTACCTGTGGTTCTCCATCTCCCACCTCGCGTGCCCCAATGACCATATCGCCTGTTATCTCTCATACCGCGGCAAGATGCCTTCCTGGAGCCTAATATCACGGCTACTGCTCCTTGTGCTCGCGTGTGCTATCAGCACCGTGGCCGCAGCACAGAACACCCCGAAACAATCGTTGGACTTTGGGTATGCTACACAGCGAATGTTTGCTGTTGTCACTTGAATCCTGGTGATGAAATGTCAGCCACGAGCGGATGCACATCTTTCTGGCAGACTTAAATACAACCCCGACGTTCAACTGCTAACATACCCCCCAGTTACCTTCAAGGTCTCATGCAGATAGTGACAGGCCGGAACATGACTACTCAACAGAAACCTCGGTTCCGCAAGGTCCAGAGCTTCAGCACCGACTATGCCCCGACGACCATCACCCAGTATGAGTCGGAGAGAAGCGGCATGCGGGTCATTGTGGCCGACCGCAAGGGGCCCAAAATCAACGGCTACTTCACCTTAGCCACCGAGATCTTCGACGATTCGGGTGCTCCTCACACCCTGGAACACCTCGTCTTCATGGGTTCCAAGTCCTACCGATATAAGGGACTGCTAGACAAGCTGGCCGGCCGCGCTTATTCCAACACTAACGCCTGGACTGCCGTCGACCACACCGCCTACACTCTCGAAACCGCCGGATGGGAGGGCTTCGCTCAGATCCTCCCCGTCTATCTCGAACACGTTGTCGTCCCCCACATCACCGACGATGCCTGCGTCACCGAGGTCCACCACATCGACGGGGAGGGCAACGATGCCGGTGTCGTCTACTCTGAGATGCAGGCCCTTCAATACAGCAGCAACGAGCTCATGGATCTGCGGGCTCGCCGACTACTATACCCGGAGAACATCGGGTTTAGATACGAGACCGGTGGCATGATGGAAGCGCTTCGAGTTCTGACCCCACAACGTATTCGAGAATTCCACAAAGCCATGTACCAGCCTCAGAACCTCGCCATTGTTATCATCGGCGAGGCTGATCACGACGACCTCTTGAGGATACTGGACGACTTTGAGGAAAGCATCAAGGATGACATCCCACCTCCGGATCCCCAGTTCAAACGTCCTTTTGTTGATTCCGCCCAGCCGCCGCCACTGGAGAAGACCATCGTCGAGACGGTCGAGTTTCCCGAGGAAGACGAGTCGACGGGTGAGATAGTGGTGGCTTTCTTCGGTCCGAGCTGTATCGACCAGATCCAGGGGACAGCCGTGAACATCATCATGACATATCTTTGCGGATCGTCCGTGTCCGTCATCGAGAACGTCATGGTTGAGAAGGAGCACCTCGCGAGCTCAGTATCATACTGGTGGGACAGCAGGCCAAACTCGGTCATCTGGTTCCAGCCGACTGGCGTTGCTACCGAGAAGTTGGCCTTCGTGGAACAGCGCCTCATCAACCTTCTCAAGGAAGTCGCATCGAAGCCTCTCGACATGGGCTACATCAAAGAGTGCCTGCAGCGCGAGAAACGCCAAGTGAAGCTCCAAGCGGAAGGTTCGGAGGGGTTCTACGCCACCAATATCATCACCGACTACCTCTTTGGCAAGCGCGACGGCGCCACGTTGAAGGAACTATCGTCACTGGACGAATATGACATCCTCGACGGCTGGACCGAAGCTCAATGGAGAGATTTCCTGAAGAAGTGGATTTCAGATGCCCACCACATCTCCATCTTGGGCAAGCCGTCCATGGAGCTTGCAAACACCCTCAAGGCCAACGAGGAGGCGCGACTAGCCAAGAGGAGGGAGGAGCTCGGTAAGGAGGGCCTCGAGAAACTGAGCGAGAAGCTTGAGAGTGCGAAGAAAAACAACGACAAGCCGATTCCGCCCGAGGTGCTGGATCAGTGGGCTGTCCCTGGCACCACATCTATCCACTTCATTGAGTCCGAAACTGCGAGATCGGGCAATGCTCGGAGTCTGGGAGTGTTGGACAACGCCGCGCAGAAAGCCATCGACGCAGTACCGCAGGGCCTCCCGCTGTTCGTGCAGTTTGAAGACGTCCCGACCGGTTTTGTGCACCTCACCGTCCACCTAGGCATGTCGCAGATTCCTACCAAGTACAAGCCGCTCCTGCCTCTGTTTGCCGATATCTTCTTCAACTCCCCGGTGACAAGGGACGGCCAGCGCATCGAGTTTGAGGAAGTGGTCAAGCAACTGGAAAAGGATACCATTAGCTACCACATCAGCTCGTCTTCCCGGCTGGGCGACTACGAGGGCGTGGCCATCCAGTTCCGGCTCGACCGAGAGAAGTACACTACCATCATCAGCTGGCTGCGAACTCTGATGTTCGACATCATCTTTGACCCCGTCAGGATCAAGGCGGCCATTGTCAAGGCGCTCGCGGATATCCCGGAGGCGAAGAGAGATGGTCGCATCATGGCTCACGAGGTCGAGATCGCCATCCACTTCAGCCCCGAGTCCTACCTCGCGGCGAAGCGGACGCTCGTCAAGGCCGTGTACCTGCGCCGCCTGAAGAAGCTCATCGAGAAGGAGCCCGAGACCGTGCTCTCATGGTTCGAAGAGCTGCGCAAGAGCCTCTTCACCTTCGACAACATGCGCGTCCTCGTGACGGCGGACATCGCCAAACTCGACAACCCCGTCGCCGCCTGGGACGCCCTCACAAGCAACCCCGCCCTCGACCCAACCAAGGACATCCTCCCCCTCACCAAGCTCTACTCACTACTCAGCGCCGAGGGCCAAACCCCGGGCTCCGTCGGCAGCGTGGTCATCCCCATGACAACCCTCGACAGCTCCTACAGCGTCAGCACCGCGACGGGCTTCACGTCCTACTCGGACCCGCGCCTGCCGGCCTACCTGGTCGCGCTCGGCTACCTGGAGGCGGTCGAGGGCCCGCTGTGGAACGCGGTGCGCGGCAACGGGCTCGCCTACGGCGTGTCCTTCTCGCGCGAGGTCGACGCGGGCTACATCCAGTTCCGCGTCTACCGCTCCCCCGACGCCAGCAAGGCCATCGAGGCCAGCCGCGCCACCGTCGCCAAGCTCGCCGAGGGCGATGTCCCGCTCGACCGCCACCTCGTCGAGGGCGCCGTCAGTGGTGTGGTCTTTGGTGCGGCCGATGAGCAGGCTACCATGGCGGCGGCGGCGCAGCAGAACTATGTTGTTGGTGTTGTGCGCGGGCTGGAGCCTGGTTGGAACCGCAAGATTTTGGCGAGGGTGAGGGAGGTGACCGAGGATGAGATCCGTGCTGTTATGCGCGAGGTCATCATGCCGGTGTTTGCGCCGGGGAAGAGTAACGTGGTGGTGACGTGCGCGCCGATCATGGAGGAGGTGAGTTCTTTTCTTCTTCTTCTGCTTTTGAGTTGCGAGGTGGGTGGGTAGGGCAGAGAAGAAGCTGACTTGGTTTGATAACTGCAGAACATGGTCAAGGCGCTCGGTACCGCTGGGTACAAGACCCAGGTGCAGACGCTGTCGCATTTCTATAACGACTATGGGCTGAAGGCGGATGAGGAGGAGGAAGAGGAGGAGGAGGAGGATGAGGATGAGGAGATGGAGGATGGGGAGGATGTGTCCGGGTCTGATGAAGATGAGGATTGATGTGGGTAGATCTTAGACCGGCTTAGGCTTGTCATAGATATTGCATAGATTTTCTTGACAAACTGCGTGCTGGGCCTGTTTGATGTGGTTAACGTGACTCTCTACTCGGTAGGTTCGAGAGATATCTCAGGTATGTAAGTAAGGTCCCGGAATAACCCCCTTGAGTCACAAATATCGATGCCTGGGAGCAAATGCCAACCGTTTTTGTCTGCAATCTCATTACTCATCTACCCGAGTTGTCTAGGGCAGCTACCCCAGCCCGCCAGTAACAGATAACAATTCTAATCCTGCCGCTCTATACCAACCAACCATCATCCGCAGGCACGCGATGTCCCCCTCTTTTAATCCCAGGTCTGTGCCGTCGCTGTGTCCCTCGCTCTCTCGTCCGTCCCAGAACGCCGTTATGGTATATATGTATGTGTGTATCAGGCCATTCACTCAGTATCCACCGCCGCTCGCACCGTCGTATATGCATCCGCCAAAAGCACAAAGAAGAAGACGCCTCCGTCCGAATACCCCATCTCATCCCACCTACTCATTCACCGCGTCCATCATCCCATCCACCCCGTCCCACCCCGTCCCCCCAGCGCACCCCCTTCGCTCACCGCACCCCATACGAAGCAGGCAGGCAGGTAGGTAGACAGGCGGGCTCGACAGGCAAGCCAAGCCAAGCCAAGCCAGGACAAACGACAACGGGTCAGATCAAGCCTGGGCGGTGGCCTCATCGGCCTGGAGGCGACTGAGCAGACGATCGCGCCAATCGTCGCAGACCTTATCAAAGCCGGCAACGACATCACCACAGGCGCGCGCGCACTCGCGGCGCTGCAGGCGCTCGCCCCAGCCGCCGCGGTCGAGCCAGCGCTCGCCCTCCTCGCGCAGCTCCTCGTCGCGGCGCAGCTCGGCGACCGTCTCGCGCGCGGCGCGCAGCCGCCGCGTTGCTGTTGTCGTTGTCTGGCGCGACATGTGGAGTGTGTCGGACAGGTAGTTGAGGGTTTGCACTAGGTCGCCCGTGAGGGTGTGCAGGGAGGAGAGGGATTGCAGGGCGGGGGTTGCGGGGCGCGGCATCAGCTCTGTGAGGCTGAGTAGCATGGGGAGGAGGCTTTCGAGCGTTTCTTCGGTGGGGGGTGCCGCGAGCGGGGAGAGGAGGGGGAAGGTGAGGTTGTGGAGTTGGCGGGTTTGGTGGGTGAGGTGGGTTGTGAGGGCGGAGTGGGCGGTTATTAACCTGGAGAGAGGGGGTTGGTTAGCGGAGGGCAGAAAAGGGGGTATGGAGGAAGGGGGCTTACCGAGTGGCGCCACCTTCGACGTTGCCTTGTGAGCCGAGGTCACGGAGACCGTCAGTTACGCGCTTGAAGGTCCCGTCTGTGGCCGAGCCGTTCTTTTCCGTACCGCGGCGGGCAAGCGATTCGACCTCGTCCATCTGCTCTACTAGTTTGGATGGCATCCCGGGTGACTCGAGGTCCGACTCGCTCCCGTACTCGCTGCCGTCGTACTCGCTGCCCTTCCTTCGATGCCCCCGCCCGTTCGGCGTTGGGAGCCCCAGACTCCCTTTGGAGTTGTGCCCCTTCCCGGAGCCAGACGGACTCCCGACCTCCACGCCACTGTCCCTGATCCCCTCCTCCTTCTTATCGTCGTCTATGGTAACATCCTCGAGACTTATCCCCGGCGTCCCCCCCTCAGCACCCTGTCCATCCGCCGCTCCCTCATCATAGTCGTCATCTTCATACCCATCATAGTCCTCTTCGTCGTCGGAGAAAGCGCCGGCCAGCTCGTCAGCTAGGTTACCCAGCCCTCCGCCTCCTGCGTCGCCAACCCCGCCACCACCAGATATTCCCAGGTCCATGGATGAATCATTGAATGAAGAAGCTTTGGATTGGCGGCGCTCCCCTGGCGAGTACGGGGCGTATGAGACGGAGTGGTCGATAGAAGGGTGGCGCGAGTGCTGCGGCGTTCGCGGTGAGGACATTTTAGCGGTCTGTTTAGACCGGTGACTAAAGTGTTCGGCGTTGGGCTTTCAAATTGGACGGTCGCTGCCGTGGCGGTCAAGGTGCTGCCTGCCCGTCGCTCCGTCGACCGATGGTCCGAACCGTAGCGGTAGCTGATATGTAGTCGATGGAAGCGGTGATCAGCAGATTCGGGGTTGAGCCAAACGTCTTAGTCGGTCGTTGCCGTGGTTATGCGCAGGGATGACGAATCGTCGGTCGGCCGCGAAGAAACACTCGCTGGCGAACTGAAGGTATATTAGACCCGGCGGTCTATAGCTGGGCGGGCGAATACACTAAACAGGCCAGGCCGTCTTCGATGCTAAAGAAAAGAAAATTACAGGCTGATGTCGGAGGTTGACCCCGGATTGTTTCAATGACTGGGTTAACAAGGGAGGCAACTCGGGCTAACGCAGGGCAATGAACGTCGTGTCGTCGTTGTCGCGTTGACAAAGCAGTGGGACTTGAAAATAGCAAGGAGTGTTTGTCTCAGATCCCCCCGATGAGTGGTCGTCGGGCTGCAGTTTTTATTTTCGTCGAAAGCCATGCAGCATTCCGCGTCCAAGTCCCGTTTCTGGGCCGGCACAGCGGCCTGACGGGGTGGGGGGGTGTGACCAGGGGATGGGATTACAGGACCAAGATGACCAGGGTACCCACCTCTTAACGGGACGACGACCACGGTTCGCATGAATCTGCTAAGGTCCGTCTGAGAACTGCACCAAGCCTTTGAATTTCACGGCCAAATATTAAAAGTTAGGAAGAAACCAACGATACGGAGAAGCTCAGAATTCCAGACTTTAACTGCTTCCGGTTTCGATGTTTCCACGCACGCACGGGTAGACCCGGAATGACCGGATTCAGCTTCAGGTCAGGAACAAGTCGATGGCGGGGCAGGGCAAGCAGATGCAGGGTTAATCAGGAAGCTGGCCAATTAGGTAGTTACGGGGCGAGCCAGAACTGCTGCAAAACCCCCACATTGGCCTTGATCGCTGCCCCTCCTCGTGCCTCAAGCACTCGTGAACCCTCGTTAACAAAATATTCAAGCAAGCTGCCATCGAACCAGGCCGACAACTCCCACAACACAGCCTCTGCTGCTCGTGCCATGGCCAACTTCCGTAGGTTTAGGCCCGACGACCTAAACAAGCTCTCAAAATGCAATCTCGATCCATTCACCGAAACGTATGAGCTCGGTTTCTATTTGCAGTATTACGCGAAATGGCCGTCACTGTTCCAGGTCGCCGAGGACCAGCACGGCAACATCATCGGATACAGTAGGGACAGACCCTTTTTATTGTTTTATTCATCAGACCTCTGACCAGTGCAGTCATGGGAAAGCTCGAATCGTCACCTGAGATATACCAATTCTCGGAGCACTACCTACCCTGGCACGCCCACATCACGGCCGTCACCGTCGCCCCAGAGGCTCGTCGTCTCGGCATTGGGAAGCTGTTGACGGAGCAGCTCGAGGTGGCCGCCGATGCCAACGATGCCTGGTTCGTCGACCTGTTTGTGCGCGTCAGCAACCACAAGGCCATCACTTTCTACAAGAACATGGGCTACAGCGTCTTTCGGGTGGTTAAGGACTACTATGGCGAACACTCAACTGACCCGACCCTGTCGAGCGAGGATGCCTACGACATGCGCAAGCCCATGAAGAGGGACGCGAAGCGGCAGCATGTGAGGGACGATGGCGAGAAGCACGAGGTGGACCCGAGCGATGTGTGGTGAAAACTGCCTTGGCTCGTCCCTCGAGCTGCCATTGAAGTATGCCCAAAAGCGAAGGCTCTGCTGGGGCACGCCATGATGCAACTCTGGTTTTGGTATATGAGATACCCACGGCATTCTGCAAAGTTGGCGGACGAGGACACTCGGCAGATGAATGCCCCTTAAGCGCTAATCAGACCGCCCGATCTTGCGCCAACTTCGATTTTAGGAGGCCGGGATTGCAGTGAGATGAAACAGCATGCGAATCCCTCTCTCAGACAACAGAAGGTGTGTTGACCTCACCCATCGCTTGAGAGCCAGCCTCAAATATCAATACCGTTCAAGGTCCATCACCTCCGATCCAAAATCTAATGGTGCATGCCCAAAGTCGTCGGCATGTGCGGATTATGCCTGTCCTTTTCTACGGCGTTCAACTCCCGGCCTAGGAGGTGGCGAAATCTACTCATACCGAGAGGGGTTTCGTGTATCAACCTCGCGGGATGAGATCACCCAGCGTCAAGTTACGCATGGGTGAAAGCGCGTGCACGCCAGCATCACCCTCGATGCTATGACACACCGACCTACCCCTTTCCCGTAACTTGCCCCAGAGTTCGCAGGGACGTCCCTGACCGCCGAGAATCCCAACATTTTCGTAGGGCTGAAGACGAGGCCGGCGTCTACATGTGTGCATCCATGCCGGGCTTAACCGCCAACTAGCCCGGTGTACATATAACCATGGCGGTCTTGGGATGACGGGCTGCTCTTGAACCTGCGAGTGTGCTTTGAGCCGTGACAAACCGTTTCCGGTTGTCGCTATAGCTTATAAACAACAACATCGTCTTGTTAAAACGAAAATGATCTTCTTGCTAGTATCCCTATTACACCACCTAGAACGATAAATCAACAATACATGTACACCCATCTAGCTTACAACTTGCTCCCCTTGCCCCCGCTCAAGTACACGTTGGCCAGCTTGAGCATGTCGACGGCCTCAGCCACCATCTCGTCCACAATCTCCCCCGCCGGCTGGATCTTCTGGATGGCCCCGGCCACTTGTCCCATGAGGTGGGGCACGTCGATGTCGTTCCCTTCCTCGAGGTCATGCTCAACAGGCACCACCCCCTTGTTGCACAGCTCCTGGATCTTGTCCGGCTGCGTGTGCCACTTCCGGATGTAGTCATTGGTCTTCATCCTCAGCGGCCGCCCACTGAGCACCAGCGTGCGCTCGGTACCCTCAAACTCACAGCTCACCACCTCCTTCTTATGCTCCTCGCTGCACCCAGCCTCCACACTCGCCACGAACCTCGTGCCCACCCACACCCCGGCCGCGCCCTGCATCAGCGAACTCGCCAACCCCCGCCCATTCGAAATCCCCCCAGCCGCCACCACCAGCGCCGTCTGCTTCCCCCCGAGCATCTTCGGCCTATACTGCCTTGCAACATCCACCACCGCCGGAATCAACACACTATTCGCCACATCCCCGGTATGCCCGCCCCCCTCCCCGCCCTGCGCGCACACCATATCGACCCCCAACTCGAGCGCCTTGACCGCATGCTTCGGATGCCCGACCATATTCATGACCAGAATCCCCGCCCCATGCAACCTCTCAATCACCTCCACCGGCGGCACACCGACCGCACTCACAAACAGCCGCGCCCCACTGCCCACCGTAATATCAATCAACTCCTCCAACTTCCCGCCCGTGTAATCGTGATTCGTCTTGCGCGCGTTCCCACCGACCTGCGGCAGCGCCAGGTCGATGCCGAAGGGGAGGTCGGGATGGCGCAGGTGGGCTTTCAGCTCGGCGACGATCTCGCGCAGCTGGTCCGGCGTGTACATGAACCCGCCGATCACGCCGAGCCCGCCGGCGTTGGACACCGCGGCGGCGAGGCGCCCGTTGGAGGTGCGCGCCATGCCGGCGAGGAGGATCGGGTGTTGGATGCCCAGGAGGGTGGTGAGGGGGGTGGTGATGGGGCCGGTGGGGGGGGACATGGTGGTGGTTGTGGTGGTGGTGGGTGGTGTTTTGGGGGTGTAAGTGAGAGGTGAGGGTGAGAGTAAAAAGGGGTTGTTGATGTGAGAGATTGGAGTTGGGATAACTAAGCCGAACGCTTGAAGGAAAGTGGTTTGATGGCGGGAAGAGAAAAAAGAGAAAAAAGGACACTGGCAACAAAGATAAATAAGAATCAGGTTGTAATCACAAGCAACCCTCAAGACTTCAACAAACCTTGAAGACAAGGGGAAGACGCCCTGTGGCCCACTGAGTGGAGTCCGGAGCCGGGCACCCGGGGTCGAACCGAGAAGCCAAGATGCGGGGAGCGGGGAGGAGCCGAGGCATCTGCAAGTCACCGATGGGGCCTTGGCATCGACTCTCTCAGGGCAGTCACCAACTTCCATGAAGTCTCCGATTTGAGCAAGAACTGACACCACAAGTAGAACATGGCAAGCGTCTGGTGATATTCGCCGGACCGTGTCGAGCCATTTACATATGTATAAAATCATCCAAGTTTCTCCAGATAATACAGCCAGCCAGGCGCATGATAATCATGCAACGTCTATCATAACCATTCTACCATGTCCTGTGCACTGCGCAGAACACCAACGCCGGGATATCAAGCCAATCCAGTTACTGTGTACATCCTCCCCAGAGGTACCGTGGTATTTCTCCCTCTTTTGACCCCTTAAACTCAAGGAGAGGCCGGTTTCATAAGCCATCGTGACCATCAGCCATCTCATAAAGATAGTCATTCGTTCCAGGTTCGTTTTAAACACCCGTTCATTATGTGCTTCGGAAGAAGTCTTAACCAAAATGAGGCAGCCGCGCCGGCACAAAGGTGTTCTCAACTCGTAGTTCGCCATTAGTTTTCTTCGTTGGTGTGGGGCTAGGCTCTCGGGTCGCGGGGTGTGGTGGCTTAAATTCGATCTCTTCAAGCTCGTCGTCATCAATCGTGGTTCGACGTAGGTTAGGTGCGAGGCCCTCTGTTATTGGGGTAGGCTGAGGCTGGTTATTTGGTGCGTCGCTCTCCGCTTCGTCGGTATTATTCAAGGGCTCGGAACCGTCCTTGCCCAGACCTCTCTGCATGGCCAGTTGTGCGGCAGCTCTCCGCCTCCGCTCGATCTCTTCATATTCTTCCTTGGCGGCTTGCTCCTCTTCCCGCCGGAGGTCCTCTAGCGAGGGGGCCTGTACCGGGCTTTCCACCTCCTGGACAGGAGATACCGGGTTGCTATCCCACTTGCTTTCCTCTGGTGTGTGCGTCGACGACAGCGTAGTTCGAGAAACTGTCCTTGATAGGCCCCTGTCTCTGTCCCTATCGGCTGGCCGTTTCCCTTTGCTGCTGCGGGTCTTGGTGCTGCCCCGGTCGTCAACCCGTTCCAATGCCACCGTAAACTCGTCGCCCAGCGGCACCGCATCCTCATCCCCTTCCCCATCGCTCGGGAATAGATCACCCCTTGACCGATATGAGCTCGACGTATCCCCCGAAGTTGTGGTGTCGCTCCTCGGCCTTTTCCCTTGCTGCCGCTGCTGTTGCTGCCTTGGTCCCTCCTCATCGTTCCCTCCCAGCAACGGCTGATGTTCATCGTCCCTCAGTCCATCCCCATGATACCCCTGCTCCGTCCCTCCACCACCACCACCACCAGGATGCTCCCTCAAATTCGCCGCCGACGGTTTGTACCTCAGACTCCCCACAATCTTAAACGGCAACCTCCCCAAAAACCCCAACGGCGCCGTCCTCGGAATAACATTCGGATCCTCCTCACCGGAGCTCTTCCTCCCCACCGCACCCCTCGTGCCATAACTCATCCCCCTCTTCCTTCTCGGCTGATCCACCACATCCCCGCCACCACCACCACCACCACCACCACCCCCAACCCCAGACCCCCTATGCCCCGACCCCGTCCCGGCCAGCAACCGATCCCAATCCCCACCCAAGATCCCCCCACCCCGCCTCCCACTCCCATGGTGGTGGTGGCTCTCCCCCTCCCTCCCCCCGGCATCCGCCTCAAACTCGGCCGCAAAATCCTCCTCCCAATCATCATAAAAATCAAAACTATACTCCGGCGCCGCCCTCCCCACCGTAGTCGTCCTACGCGACCCCCTCGCCCCACGATCGCGCTCGCGCGCCCTTCGCGCCCTTTCGTCACGATCACCCAGACATACGGCGGCGCACGAGTCGACGGCGGCGCCGAGCGAGGCGAGGCAGGGGTTGATGTAGCGGTGGCCGAAGGTCCAGATGCCGGCGGCGGCGTCCGACGTGACGGCCTCGGTGGTGTGCGACAGCTGGTTCCACGTCTGGCGCAGCCGCGGGTCTTGGATGAAGGCCATTGTCTACTCTCTACTCTCTCTTTCTCTCTCTCTCTCTCTCTCTCTCTCTCTCTCTCTCTCTCTCTCTCTCTCTCCGTCTCTCGCTCTCCGTCTGGGTTGGTTTGCGTTTTATGTGTGTTTGTTTGGGTGGGGGTGTGGTCGGGGGTGGTTGTCGGGGTGGTTGGTGGTTGGTGGCGCAGGGAGCGAGGGAGCTACCTAGCGGTCGCTTTGGCGTTGCGGGCGCTGGAGGGGCGACATTCGATAAACCGACTCGGTTGTATCTGTGGAGGCGCGCTCGCTGGTTGGGGAATTTGGAATTGGTGACGCCGTTCAAATATTGGAAGTAAAACGCCGGTGACGGCTGTTCAATGGAGCGGGATGAAATGCGCCGGAGCTGGGGTCCGCGACTGTGTTAATGTGAGCGGACGCGATGTCCAGGGAGTCGGCATTTGGTCCGGGCACTCGAACTCGATGTCGGAAGGAATGTACAAAAATGAAGATGAGTCGTGGATTGCCGCGCAATTGCTGATGGGCATTTGTAGTCTAGAGATTGCCGCCGCAACTTGTTTCAGGGCCGCATTCCTACATACCGAGATGTCGGCAAAAGAAGGTCTGGTCGGGCTGCGCCGTTCTAATGACGGATTGATGCATAGCCTGCAGTGAGGTGAGACTCTGGGGAAGCCCCGCTATACCACTGGCTGCCAGCTGGATTTGGAAGGCGGATCGCAGCATCCTTGCGGAGCCACCTGGCGATGAGATCATCGCAATGGCTCGAGTACAGATTACACAGTAACTCGCATCACCAGCACATCGATCAAAGACGGGGCGGCGCCTGGGCGGCCCAACGCGTCCTTTGAGAATGATGAGTTCAGGAGTTGCAAAATATACTGCGTCACGCTATGTAGCTAGGTACGGTAGCTCTACCTAGGATACCCGCCGGTTGAGCTGGATCAAGGGCCGATCATGGATGATGGCCCAGTGGTGAGATCAGGCGAAAGGGGATATTGAGTGGACGCCGATGCCAGGATATCCACCGTTTCGCTAACTCGAGCTGAACCGCAAGCTGTATCATAAGTTGTCCCCTGGATGAGCTATCCCCCCAAAGACGTCTCAATGATGACCATTCGTAGTTGCGGCAACCGGCGCGGGAGGCGGTCGCTCGGGGCCATACGGTTGGGGCTGTTGCTGGTGATGCAGCTCGTCCTCTGTCTCGTCGTCGTACTCATCGCCGTCGTCACTAACCTCTTCGTCTTCGCCTTCATCGTACTCGTCGTCCTCGTACTCGCTCTCGTCTCCGTCCAGGTCCCCCTCCACATACCCGTGTTCGACCGTGCCCGTCAGCCCCTGCGGGATGCCCCGGCCCTGTTGTTGCATTTGTTTGATGATGCCGTTGAGCTTCTCGAGCTTCTTCTTCAGCTCATCGATCTCGCCCAGGTTCTTGTTCCGTTCTTCCGCCATCTTCAGGATGTTACCGTTCACCTGGTCGTGCTTCCGCTTGAGGTTTTCGTTCTCGCGCTCCAGTCGTTTCGTCTTCTTCGACATGTCCTCCATCTCTTTCCGGAACGTCATGAATAGGTCGTTGCTGTTGTTGAGCGTATCCTCGACCTGTGCCCGCGCGTCAGTCTGCGCGCTCGGCCGGCGGTGGCGCACGGGACAGACCTGTTTGAACTTGTCCACGTAGACGTTGAGCTGTTGCCTCAGTTCCGTCTCTGTCTTGGAGAAGGTCTGCACCTGCGCGTTGAGTTGCCTCGACCGCGCAAGTTCCGCATCGTAGTTCTTCTTCTCCCGCTCGAACCTCGCCAGGTTGTACTGAACCTCGAGCTCCTTGGTGCGCATCTGCGAGTGGAAGTGGAGCTCCCTGAGCTCATACTGGTCGATAAAAGACTTGAAGCGCTGACAGAACCTAGGGACCGTGAGCTGTGAGCCAGGAGAGCATGGGGGCCTGACGTACAACTCCTCCATCTCCATGTCGACCACCTGCTTGCGCGGATTGTCCTTCTCTTCCTGATAGTCGTCCATTCGCCTGAGGATGCCCGAGTATCTCTCGTCCCAGGTGTTCTGGCTTCTGACCTGCGTGTCGGAGAGCGTCTTGTTCTCGTTCTGCCCGAGCCATTCCATCAGCACACCGGCTTCCAACAGCTAACCCTCGGGCGGGGGAGCGCACCTTAAGCTTGTTATTCTCCCTCTGAAGCTCACGGCAGAGCTTCTCCAGCTTCTCCTTAAGAGACACGGTTTTGTTGAGCTCGTTCCTACTGCTGTCTTTATCTTTTTGCAACTGGTCCCCGCGTTTCTTGTTTTTAATACTCTCGCGCTCGTGCCGCTTCATATCCGAGAGGAGGTCGGAACATCGTTTCGTCAGGTGGTCGATTTTTTGGAGCTCGCTCATCTTCGAGGTTTGGCTGTGCAACTCCCTATTCGCCTTTTTGACCTCCCGCTCTGCCACCAGTCAGTCGTCAAGTCCTAATAGTAGCCCGTCTCCCCACGGCATTTCTGGGGTCAATTCTCGATAATAGCACCATAGCGGCAGGCAACAACTTCCCCGCCTCATCTCCCCCTCCCACCCCTCCCCCCACCCAAGACCAGAAATAAAGGAAAAAGGAGCAGTCCGCGGCCCCTTGGATCCGGTAGCCACGGAAGAATAGGACGTGTACCCACCGATATCAGCCTCCTGATCTTTCTCGCCGGCCGCATCGTGCTCGAGCTGCGAGATTCTTTGCGCGATGAGCTTGGATGCTTCGTTCGGCTCGGGGGTCTTCTTCTGCTTCCCCTTCTTTCCGGGGACAGCGGCAGGCGGTGCCGGGGCGGGTCGGTTGTCATGGCCAGCAGCATGGTGCCCGGTGGCATGGAGGGGGTCGGACGGTTGTTGATTCGGGGCTCCAGCGGCCACGGGAGTCGCGGGTCGGGGTACCACAGTTGGTGAAGCCATCGTTGGGTTGGCCAAGGACATTGGGGAGGTAGCTGCCTGTGTGAGGCCTAATATACGGAGTAACAAGTGGTGAGCAAAAGACTAGGTACCAAATATGGAATGCCGTGGGGAAATCTGAGGTTCCATACGCTATTTACCCTCAGTAGTGGCGATGTGGCCTGGGCGCGGAGACGGCGACCGAGCGTCGTCCTCGTCGTTTTCCGTCGCTCTGAGAGAGTTTCGACGTCGTCTACAGTCGGAAGGAGCCTCGAGATGACACTGCGGGTCGCTTATTCAATCAGGCGACAACAGGATGGCATGCGTCACTCGCGATGCACAACTCGGGACCGAATGCACGCTATAAAACCCTTCGCTGTGAAGGGAAGCAAGCGTGTGGGTGATAGTTAACCAGATCCCGCAGCGAGTGCACAATACTGCGCCGTCTGCCGTCGAGCAGGGGTCTCGAGGGTAGAGGAGAATGGGTGTCAGGGTCGCACTTGGTTGGTGCTGCCCGGTGGTGGTTGAGCAGGCGAGCAACTGCAGAGATTGCTCCTGCGTCTCCAGAATGTCGTCGCAATTGCATTAGCCTCGTCCAGCCCTGGGAAACCTGGAACGGCTGCTAAAACTCAGGTGTGGAGCTGCACCAATTCATGCCGTGGACGACACATCGGGGCGTTAACCCGCGGCGACTCAGCGCTTCTGTCCCTTCCATCGAGTCGGGTCGCCCTCGGTGGGGGAAGTGGCGGGCATGAACCCGTGCTTGGCAGATATGACGGTACCTCAAGGCCAGGATCCAAATGGGGTAACACTTCAAGTGTAGTCGACTGCCAGAACGAAACGAAAGCCATCTGGAAGCCAACAGAAGCTGTATTTACTGAGATTGATTTTGTTTTACTCGGTTTATTTTAGCTGATTTGTTTCCCTCGGTTCTTTCTTCACTTTCTTTTTGTCTTGGTTTCATATTTTCCTTCGGAGTTCGGTATTTTTTTGGCCAGAATGGTGAACTTGAGGCTTGTGTGGTGCTTCAATAACACCCTCTTCTGCCCCACTTTCCGATCAAGCCGAGCCCAGTTTCGGCTTCGGTCGCTGCCAGCTCCACTCTCTATCCAGATTTCGACAAGCAAGCTTTCCATATCAAATACTCACCTACACTAGGCACCTATCTGGGCAGGCAAGTTGTCGTAGGTCCTATGCCAACCTAACCATTCGCCAAATCGACTCGAACCAGCGACGGGTTTCCTTTCGCTACCCCTAGTCGGCGCCGTCAAGATGCTTCGCAGCACAGCTACACGCGCTGCGAGAGCGGCAGCAACCGATCTCTCGCAACTTCCCAAGGCCGGCGAGAAACTCCATGGTTTCACGCTTCTCCGGACGAAGCATGTCCCGGAACTCGAGTTGACGGCACTGCACTTGCGGCACGACAAGACAGGCGCCGAACACCTACATATCGCCCGTGATGACAGCAACAATGTTTTCTCCATCGGGTTCAAGACCAACCCCCCAGACGATACCGGCATCCCGCACATCCTGGAGCATACTACGCTCTGTGGAAGTGAGAAGTTCGTGCTCGAGTCCCAGTTTCTGTTCCCTTTTTAACGCCCACAGGTACCCAATCCGGGATCCCTTCTTCAAGATGCTGCCGCGTACCCTGTCCAACTTCATGAACGCCTTTACCGCCTCGGACCATACCTTTTACCCCTTCGCCACCACCAACGCCCGGGATTTCAAAAACTTGATGTCCGTATACCTCGACGCGACTCTCAAACCTTTGTTGAAGGAATCCGATTTCACCCAGGAGGGATGGCGAATCGGGCCCGAGAACCCCCAGGCCCTTGCCGCTGGCGGCGAAGTCAAGCCGGAGGACCGGAAGCTCGTCTTCAAGGGCGTCGTGTACAACGAGATGAAGGGCCAGATGTCGGACGCGGGCTATCTCTATTATATCAGATTCCAAGACCACATCTTCCCAGACATCAACAACTCGGGTGGCGACCCACAGAAGATTACCGACCTAACCTACGAGCAGCTTAAGCAGTTCCATGCTGAGCACTATCACCCGAGCAACGCCAAGGTTTTCACATATGGCGACATGCCGCTGGCAGACCACTTGAGGGAGATTGACGCCCAACTTGGCGCCTTCGAGCGGATCAAGGGTGATATGGCGATCCACCGCCCTATTGATCTCAGCGGCGGGCCCCAGGAGGTGCGGCTGCAGGGCCCCATCGACCCTCTGGTCGACCTGAACAAGCAGGTCAAGACATCCGTGTCTTGGGTGCTGGGCGACACTTCCAACGTTGTCGAGTCGTTCTCCCTGGCGTTGATATCTGCCCTGCTGACGGACGGCTACGGTTCACCTTTGTATAAGGGCCTCATCGAGACCGGCCTTGGCACCGACTGGAGTCCTAATTCGGGTTACGACAGCTCGGGCAAGGTTGGCATATACTCAATTGGCTTGACGGGCGTGGCGGAGGCGGATGTATCAAAGCTGAAGCCCGCTGTGCAAGACATCCTTCGCAGCGTGCGGGACAAGGGCTTTGATCGATCCAAAATTGACGGCTACCTGCATCAGCTCGAGCTGGGCCTCAAGCACAAGACGGCCAACTTTGGCATGTCTTTGCTGCACCGGTTAAAGCCGAAATGGTTCACGGGGGTCGATCCGTTCGACTCGCTTGCCTGGAACGACACGCTTGCTGCGTTTGAGACCGAGTATGCCAAGGCGGGCTACCTCGAAGGCTTGATGGAAAAGTACCTAATGAACGACAACACATTAACGTTCACTATGTCTCCATCTGCCGAGTTCGTGCAGGAACTTGCCAAAGAGGAGGAAACCCGGCTCAAGACCAAGATTTCCAAGGCTGTCGAGGCCGCAGGTGGCGAGGACCAAGCTCAGGCCGCTCTCGAAACACGGGAATTGGCGCTCTTGACTGAGCAAGGCAAATCCAACACCGAAGACCTAAGCTGCCTACCAAGTGTTCACGTCCAGGACATTCCGCGCCAGAAAGAGCCGGTGGTTCTGCGAAACGAGACCGTGGGCGAGGTTAAGCTCCAGTTGCACGAGGCACCAACCAATGGCCTGACGTACTTCCGGGCGATCAACACACTAGAGAACCTGCCCGATGAATTGCGCTCTCTCATCCCGCTCTTTACCGATGCCATTATGCGCCTCGGCACGAAGGACATGACCACGGAGCAGCTGGAGGATCTCATCAAGCTCAAGACTGGCGGCGTGTCCGTCGGCTACCACTCGGCATCGCGGCCGACAGATTATGCGCAAGCAAAGGAGGGTCTTGTGTTCTCCGGGATGGCCCTGGATCGCAATGTCCCAGTCATGTTCGACCTCCTGCGCAAAGTGATCGTCGACACAAATTTCGATAGCCCAGAGGCCGCCCAGCAGATACGGCAGCTTCTACAGGCCGCCTCTGATGGCGTTGTCAACGACATTGCCTCATCAGGCCATTCTTTTGCTCGAAGAGCCGCGGAAGCCGGTCTGACGTGGGATGCATTTGTCAGGGAGCAAGTCAGCGGTTTGTCGCAAATAAAGCTTGTGACAAGCCTAGCAAACCGGCCGGAGTCTGACAAGCTCGAAGATGTCATCGGAAAGCTGAAGCTGATTCAGCAGTTTGCCTTTGCGGGCACCATGCGGGCTGCCATCACATGCGATAGCGAGAGCGCCGCCAACAACACCGGCGCTCTTTCGAGCTTCTTGGGCTCACTCCCGTCCCACACTGTCAACTTCCCAGCGCGCCAAAACCGGGACTTTGCAAAGAACATCAAGTCGTTCTATCCCCTACCATACCAGGTCTATTATGGCGCGCTTGCCTTGCCAACCGTTTCTTATACGTCGCCTGACAATGCCCCTCTCCAGATCCTGTCCTCTCTCCTGACCCACAAGCACCTGCATCACGAGATCCGTGAGAAGGGCGGGGCCTACGGTGGCGGCGCATACTCGAGGGCGATCGACGGCATCTTTGGCTTCTACTCGTACCGCGACCCGAATCCGCTCAACACCATCAAGATCATGCGGAACGCCGGCCAGTGGGCTGTAGACAAGAAGTGGTCGGACCGCGATCTCGAAGACGCTAAGATCTCCGTCTTCCAAGGTGTCGATGCCCCCCGAGCGGTCAACGAAGAGGGCATGAGTAACTTCGTTTACGGCATCACCGAAGAGATGAAGCAAGCCCGCCGCGAGCAACTCCTCGATGTCACCAAGGACCAGGTCCGTGACGTCGCTCAGAAGTACATTGTGAACGCATTGAGCAAAGAGTCCGAACGCCTCGTGTTCTTGGGCGAGAAACGCGACTTTGTCGACAAGTCCTGGACCGTCAATGAGATGGACATCAACGGGTCTGCCTAGAAGTGGGCCTCGGACAACGACTGCCCTGACAGCCAGTCGCCATGTATTCTTAATATGTATAACATCTACCGATGATACCCTTCTCTAACGTCGCAAGCTCACCCCCTCGTTCAAATCGCACTGCACCAGCGCTGCCATAGTCGCAAATCCGTCTACCCCTTCATGGCCAACGGCGGCTCATCCAGCGCCACATCACCTCGGTGGCTTCCCCATACCAGCGTCCAGATACGATACGTCTTACTGCTTCAGTTGATAGCTTTGAGACCACAACATGGCGCGAGATCAAACACACAGGCACCGGTCTAGCATCGGGTCTGGCTCGTTCTCTCAGAACCGCCCTCCACAGCTTTGGACTCGCGGACTAAAGAACAGAGTACATGCTGTGACTGTTGGCCCTCCATTTTCACATGTGACTTACAGTTGGCAATTGGATCTTCTGCCGCTCCTGCTTACATCATGTAGGTACGGTCCAGATCCGAGTGGCTGTCAATCAACTTGCAGGAATGGGAACAGTGACGGCCAATCCCCGCTCACTTCATGCCGGTAACCGGCGCAGGTACATGCGGGTGTCAAAACCTCAATACCGACTTTTCATCGGTGGCCGAGGTGGCAACGAGACAGGCGGTTGCAAAGTTTCGAAGGGGATCTACTACGCTCTCCCGACCCAGCTGACGCATGTGATGTTGAGCGATTTCCGCCCTCCCTTACAAGCGCGCAGCGAGTCAGCGACAGCGAGGGCGCCATGGCATGCAGCTCCAACGCAGGACCTCCCGACACCTTGAATGCGCACCACCATGCAGTGCTTCGTCGGGGCTACGACTCATGCCAGTTGTCGGTCGCTCCCCGATGGTGTAGTTGGGTTGTCAGGGCACACTCCTCCATCACACCTTGGGCATCACAAGGGAAACAGGCTAATGTTGAGGACGCCGTCGGTGCGCGATTTTTTTTATCACTGGCGCTGTGTTGCTGGCTATCGAAATATCGGTGGTTTTGCTGCGTCTGGCTGGACCAAGCAAGACCCGCGTACCCGCGGCCGCGCGACCCGCCGTGTCCGCTCACCGTCCCCTCCTTTTCGTCGGGGGGGATCGAGATGTCTGGCGGTGTCTAGCGGGGAAGGGTGTGAGACCCGCATTCCGCTTCTGCACTGCCGCTGACCGCAAGTTGCGGCTTGAAACTGGCATGGCTCGCATGGCCGCCGGCAGACAGGTACAGATGGACTTCAGAAACTTCGATTCGTGCTTTTTTGAAGGAGCAGAGGGGTGGGCGGCCTCTCTGCGAGCCACCTACTGCGGGCCGTTGTCGTTGCCCATCGACCCCGTTGCCTGCCCTGCGATATCTGCGACGCTGTTGGCCAACATGCAGGCCCTGGCAACTCGGCTTCACCTTGGGATCTCAAATTTTACGTGTTAAATCTTCGGCGTTACGGAGTTCTATGCGTTGTAAAGAGAGAGCCAAAATGCACGTAACGTATGACGGCTATAGAAAGGTACTTTGATTCGGACCTTTCGCATTCGGACTCAAGGCTCGTCGCGATTTGATGGTGGTTGAAGAGGGAAAAATCGTGAATCAATGATGGCTCATCCCGGTGGCCCCGCCTTATCCCCGTTCACAACCTTGGTGTGGAGACTGTTTTGTGCACTGGCCATGGAAATCAAGGAAAAAATTGAGCAGAACCCTCTGATCCCCACACTGATTGCACACCCATTTGCACGCCCCTCAATTTAAGAAGCTCCGACCCAGCTTCTAAACTTTCACCTTTCCACTCACAACGGTTTTCCGCCATCTTGTCTCACATCGTCTCTCCCGTATCCCTCTCTCCATCGCTCTCCGACTATCCCAGGCCTCGCAGAAATTGCAATTGCTCAGACTCTGCCTTTTGTGTAAGTGCGACATCGATTTCGGCGTTTCCTTGTCAAGGCTCGTGCAATGAATGGATGCCACACGAGGTACAACCCAGAGAGCCGGAATTCTGGCTACACGGCGTCGCGTGCCTCGCCCCGGCTCTCGTGGCCCTATCACCGTCACCCATTGGGATGGGAATCAAACAAGCAGGACCTACAACAAGCGCCTTGTTCAGGATGCTGACGTCGTTCACAGGATCGGCTTTTGCTCCGTCACACTTCGACTGCCTTTGGTCTCCACAAAGGCACCTACTCGACTACGGCTTTCTTGGCCGTAGCCCTTGCCTCGGACGAAGATTTCAGCCTCCGAAAAACCTTCCATATCATCAACGTACTCCCACCACCTGCTGAGGACGCCTAAGGAACTCGAGATTTCCTTGTTCGATTTCCTTCGCCACCAGAACCCCGAGTTCGACTCCCCCAACCAGCTGCCGCATAGGACGAGTGGTGCGGTTCTTCCTCTAACCGGGGAAGAGTCGACGAAGTCTCGTCAGACCGACCAGGGATCCGTCTGCTTCCGCTTTCGACCTCCCTAAAACCTACTTAAGCACCCGTGCTATCAATCTTGCCCCTGTCTCCTGACAGACTTCATATCGCGCTCTAGCTCACCACAGCCAACGCGAACCAGCCAACCGGTCCTTAACCCGCTACGCTAACCACTCTCATCTCCGATCCACCGTTCACTCGCGAAATCGAGGGATATGGTTATGCCAACGCTCATCACGGATCGATTCACACCACTTGATTATACGGACTTGACGAATAATCATGTGTTTTTGAAGAGCTACAACAATGGCCTCTTTGGATACAACCAGCATGGCCACCTCGGCCATCATGACGACGGGGACAGGCTCAACTCAGCCAAGCAGCTGATTGGCGACGCTCTTCGGGAGCGCGTCGAAAATGTCAACCACGAGTTCTGCGAGCCCGGCGAGGAGGACACGTTCTTCGTGGCCGACCTCGGTGAGGTTTATCGCCAGCATCTTCGCTGGAAGCGGAACTTGCCGCGGGTCAAGCCGTTCTATGGTACGACCCACCGGTTTCCCTGGGATTGAGCCTGACTTCCGTGCTAACTATTTACAGCCGTCAAGTGCAACCCGGACACGAAGCTCCTGGAGCTGCTGTCCGCCCTCGGCACCGGCTTCGACTGCGCCTCGAAGGCCGAGATCGAGCAGGTCCTGAAGCTGGGCGTTGACCCCTCGCGCATCATCTACGCGCAGCCCTGCAAGACCAACTCGTATGTGCGTTATGTCGCCCAGCAGGGCGTGCGCCAGATGACCTTCGACAACGCCGACGAGCTCCGCAAGATCGCGCGCCTGTATCCTGATGCAGAGCTCTTCCTGCGGATCCTCACCGACGACTCCTCTTCGCTCTGCCGTCTCAGCCTCAAGTTCGGCGCTTCGCTCGATTCCACCGACAGCCTCCTGGCTCTGGCACACGAACTCGGCCTCAATGTTGTGGGCGTCAGCTTCCACGTCGGCTCGGGCGCCTCGGATCCCGCTGCCTTCTTGAAGGCCGTTCAGGATGCCCATGTGGTTTTCCAGCAGGCTGCTTCTCACGGATTCTCGCTCAAGACCCTGGACGTGGGCGGTGGCTTCTGCAGCGACAACACCTTTGAACAGATGGCTGGCGTGCTCCGTGCCGCTCTCGACGACTACTTCCCGGCCCACTTGGGGATCAACCTCATCGCGGAGCCCGGCCGCTACTACGCGTCCGCGGCCTTCACCCTCGCTTGCAACGTCATTGCCCGCCGCACCATTGAGGACATGTCGGCCGCCAGCTACATGGTGTACGTCAACGATGGTCTGTACGGCAACTTCAGCAGCATCATGTTTGACCACCAGCACCCTGTCGCCAAGGTGCTGCGGTCCGGCGATCGTACCATGTACGACACCCCTGCCGCCGACGCCACTGACGAGGCCGACGGCATCGAGTACAGCATCTGGGGCCCCACCTGCGACGGTATCGATCGCATCACCGAGAGCATCAAGTTCCCCCACCTGCTCGACGTGGGCGACTGGCTGTACTTTGAGGACATGGGAGCCTACACCAAGTGCTCGGCCACCACGTTCAACGGGTTCACCAACAGCCATGACGTCATCTATGTGTGCAGCGAGCCGGGCGCGAAGGCTCTGCTCGATCTTGATTGAAACGGCTAGTCTGAAGGCGCTACTGGAGTGACTTTTAAGGACTGTCATTGCCCCTGATTTGTGAAAGACGGGGGTCACTTTCACTTCTTTTACTGCTTTATAGAAAATGGTGATGGGGGCTAAGTCCTCGGTTGAGATTCGATAGGAAAAACGAATAGAGACATCTATTCCCAGAATTGTCGCCTCCTTAAAATATCGATCGATTCCTCGATGCACAGGATACTAACGGAGAGATGGTCAGGTGTAACAATAATAACCATATGCGGGCCGCCGGTGTGATGAAGAGCAGAACACCGGGTTTCACGACGGCGAATGGTCGCATGTTTAATAACCTTAAGGATCAATCCCCCACGCCGAGCGTCTCGGCCAGTCCCGCGCCAAATTAACGCCCCATTTGACCGTTGGGGATCCTCCCTTCCCTTTCCGGCACCGAGAAGCATAAGTACTGGACGAAGAGTAGCCCCAGCACCTTCCATTCTATTCTGTTGCTCTGATTTGCCAGTGGGGGGTTGCGTTTTAACTTGCTTTTAGGTTGTTCTTTTCTTTTTCTGAGCTGCGTCTTCCCTTTTGCTATGCTATTCCATACGATCCTTGGCCAGTTCTGGCATGATCTGACAGACTTCCCCGAGATCCGCCCATCCCGCTTCCCTCTTTGTACGACCGGACAAGAATGGGCTGAGCTGAACCGGGGATTAAGAAAGACTGGAACGCAGTGCCACAGTCACCGCACACCATTTCTCATCTGGTCGTGTGCGAACCTCCCTCTCCTGTGCCCCTCACTCACCCGGCTGTCCTTTTGGGTGAAACTGTCTCGGCGCCCAATCCAATCATTTGTGATTTGTGTGCTTACGGGGAGCTTTTGCTTTCTTCTTCTTTTACTTTCCGTGTTTCCTTTCCCCATGCTGGCAATCGGGTCGTTGACTTCTTTACTTGGCTTGTCCGGCATATTATCTGCTGACCTTACGCGGCCCAACACCTCGCTCGGGTACTGCCCCCAGAGGAATGATACATATTCTCCCAACCCAATCGCCCATTAATAGAAAAAACGAAGCAAACGCAGTCAACACCACAAACCTCCAGCCAAACAACCATCAAATAACCATCAAATAACCATCAAATAACCCAAGCAACCAATACACTCAAATCCGAAGACGAGGTAGAGCCAAAGGTTTGCCAGCAAAGCAAACATGGTCCGCAACTTCGTCATACTCGCGGGGTCGTCCCACCCCGCCTTCGTCGACAAGGTGGCGGGCGTCCTCGGCGTCGCGCCCTCGAGCCGGGTGCTGACCAAGTTCTCGAGCGGCGAGACGCGGTGCGAGATCCGCGACTCGATCCGGGGCAAGGACGTCTACATCGTGCAGAGCTTCGGCACGGGGGACGACGACGGCACCGACGGGGGGAATCAGGGACTAGACGGCGGCGGCGGCGGCGGCGGGGAGAAGCACACGGTCAACGACTACTTCATCGAGCTGTGCATCATGATCTCGGCCTGCAAGACCGGCAGCGCAAGGAGGGTCACCGCCGTGCTGCCGCTGTTCCCTTACTCGCGGCAGCCGGACCTGCCGTTTTCCAAGGTCGGTGCGCCCCTTGTTGGGATGTCGCCGCCGCCGCAGCAGCAGCAGCAGCAGCAGGGGAAGGGAGAGGGTGAGGCGGCGGCGGGTGCCGGTGGGAAGGGTGCGGTCCAGTACACGTTTGAGAGCGTCCCTGCTACGCCGGGGCCGAATATCCCTAGGACGGTGGGGCTGGGGACTGCTGGTGTTGATGTGGTCGAGATGATCGGGGCGCAAGTCTCCCTGCGGTCCAAGGAAGGGAATGGGCGGGCTTCGTCAGCGCCGGCACCCCAGCAGCAGCAGCAGCAACAGCCGCCTAACAGCTACACCACGCATGACTACGAGAATCCGTCGTTGATGATGGCGCTGCAGGCTAAGCCGGGACATAAGCAGTTCATGGCGCAGTCTGGGTCGCTGGTGGCGAACTTGTTGACCTGCGCCGGAGCCGACCGGGTCCTGACCTGTGATCTCCATGAAAGTGCCTACCAAGGGTTCTTCGATATTCCCGGTATGTTCTTTACTGTCCCACGAGGCTAGCACTTGAGGAGCAATACTAACTTGCGCTGCAGTGGACAACCTCCACGCCCGCCCTCTCCTAAAGCGCTACATCCAGCAGAACATCCCCAATTATCGCGACGCCGTCATCGTCAGCCCGGACGCGGGCGGTGCTAAACGCGCCACTGCCATCGCCGACAGCCTCGGGCTCGCCTTTGCCCTGATTCACAAGGGTATGCCTTCCCCTCACTCTGAAACCAACACCACATCCATCCAACGAAGCTAACATCCCATAATCGCAGAACGGCGCCCGCCCAAGATCTCGCAAGCGCCCAAGGCGACCATGATGCTGGTCGGCCGCGTCGCGGCGCGCGTGTGCATCCTGATCGACGACCTGGCCGACACGGCCAACACGATCACGCGGGCGGCCAAGCTGCTCAAGCGCGAGGGCGCCGTGCGCGTCGTCGCCCTGCTGACCCACGGCGTGCTCAGCGGCGACGCCATCGCCCGCATCAACGCCTCCGCCCTCGACGCCGTCGTCGTCACCAACACGGTCGCGCAGGAGCCCCACCAGCGGCTGTGCCCGAAACTGGAGGTGCTGGATATCAGTGGGACGTTTGCCGAGGCGATTCGGCGGGTGCATCATGGGGAGAGTGTTAGTATGCTGTTTCAGTATGATTGATGGGTTGAGGGGGGTTGGTTGGGGGTTGAGGGGGTCGGTTGATACTTGGGTTGGGGGGGGAGGGTTTGGGGGTAGTGGGATGGGATTGGGGGTGCGATTGGGGGGGTGCGATTGCGGTGGGAGGATGGAGGATACGGTTGAGTTGGGGGTGTTGGTGTGGATGTGGATGAGTGTGGGATATGCTGTAACTCTTGTCCTGTTTTCTGGGCGTGGATTCCATTGCTGGGATTGGCAGTGGCGTGTTGGGGAAAATGGGAAACGGGACGGGAGGGAAAAGGGCACTCCGGTTGGGTTGTCGTGATACCCCATACTCAAAAGGAAGTTTTGTCTCATTACTTCGCATTCGTACTTGGTGTAGGTTGCGTTAGCGTCAATTTCAAGTATCAATCAGGAAGATGGATCAGAGTAAGTCGGGAGGTACCTGCGGTAAATTGTGGCGTGCGAGAGATCAGGCGCACAGCTGATGGTAAACACAGCCCAATGTCAAATCCGCGCTGAAACAATGGCAAGGAAGATCAGAGGCCAAGTTGGGAATAAGGTTGGCGCCGGGACGATCAACGGTCGGCACTTGATTACCCTGTCAAACGGGTACATGTACGCATGTATACAGAATACCGGTACGAAATACTGCTTGTCTTTGTTTGAAGGGGGAGGGTATCGAGGTACATAGCCACTGATAGTATACGAAGCAGAGTTGTGGCATGCAGTGGGACTCCCGACATGTTGGACATCCCACTGCATGTTTTGCATTTCTCGCGCTGCTCGACCTTCAATGGTACGTTCGATCGATGCATCCAGACACGCACACACCCCCTTAAGCCTTCGAGATCGAGGGATGCGGATGCGGGATCGCTGAATCGAACGCAAGGGCACAGAGAGTGGCGTGCGGGGTGGCATGGGTGGTTCGAAAGGAGCCGATGGGGTTTAATTGAAAACGCGAACCCGACGCGGGGCGACCCGTGACGAGACGCGCCGCAGATTGGCCAACGCAAGGGAAGCAGGTCCCGTGCGACAGGCACACGTTTGCCGACCAAGGCCTCTCAGCCACTCGATGACCCCCACTACCCATGGGGCCGATGGGCTTGTGCCGCTGGGCAGAAATCAAAACAACAACAACAGAGCAAATCTGGCGAACCACACAAGAGCCTTTGCTGCAATGCGCGCCCCGTGATCTCGGCCACAGCATGCACATGTCAAAGGAGGGGACAACAAATACCGCGGTCCCGTGGCCGCAGGGGGGATTAAATAATGAGGGAGATGCCCATCGTGTTTACGGCGTTTAGTTTGTGAGACGCACCTGGGAATGGCCGCTTTTGGCTGCGACCAGGAGTCAAAAACAAGAGGCCAAGTGAAGCCCCACAACGATGACGGCGTTTAATAATGCTATTGATCTGATTGTGTTAGGGAAATCATCTCATATTGATTTATGCATAAGTAATTATGATAAAGCAAAAGTGCAGATAAATTCAGGTACTGTGTCCCAGCACATGATCTTGAAGTGTAGATTCGGGCTGTTGAATACACAATGTGAATGGCGCCGTTGGAAACATGGTGGCGGGATGGGCGCTGGGTTGCAGCTGGGGCTGGATGCCCGCCGCCAAGTTGCACAACACCCTCGCTCGAACCGCACGTTGCAGCCGCGAGTTGTGGATGTTTTGATGGCTCGTGCATTCCAGGATGGCTGGTTCGAAGGGCGAATGAGCGGTGGAGCGCGACGACAGACCCGCTGGTCGCGATTTTGGAATGGTGAAATCTATCCGCAAACTGGCGTAAGAGACTGGAATTCGGAGGAAAGTTTCCGCCAAGAATAGTAACCTCTGCAGACCTCGAGGAGCACAATAACATTACCGGCGGTCAATACGGTAAGACAATAGAAACGCCAACACAACAGGGTCGCGGTTGTACGGGGCCCACCACACTAGCCAAGGACCAAGCAGGGGGCGGCAGGTACCCTCCCCATGTCCTTCCAACCTCATTCCTCCTCTCAACCACACTTCTCCGCCTTGCCACACATCATCACCGTCGCCGCCGATATCTCGAGACCCCGACCGTCCACGACGCCCGGCCGAACTCCCTACGAAACTGCGCGATTGAGATGATATCGTGAACCTCTGGATAACCCCTATCAGCTGCAAAGCTCTTGGGCCCTTGCCCTGTGCCGTTGCCCCGCCATCGAACGAGCGCAGACGTCAGCGAGCCCAACCGTTGCGCGCCTTTTATCGCTCGTCGCGTCGCTTCGCCGATAACTCGCTGTTTTCCACAACAACTCCCGCGACTTCGAGAAGGATTGTTCTTTTGATTCATTCGCCAACTGGGTTTCTGGCCGACACACAATCATTTCGGAGGGCCATTCACGTTCAGGACGAACAATCGCTTGCGGATCTACGCGCTTTCTAGTTTCGCTAGATCCACCCAACATTCGGCGCGAACAGCACTCCAGTCCCTCGAACAACCTAGCCAACGGTCCCTGTTCTGGGGGTGCCTTTGCGATTTAAGAAGAGAAGCCAACGCGCGCTTTCCTACAACTGTCCGCCCCGGTCAACAACCACCCACCCTCGACTGCATGCACACTCACATTGCATTCGTATCTTTTTGATTGGCTTCAATTAAAATGTCCTTCAACATTGCCCGAGAGGGCGAGGCGTCTGCCTCTGGCGCGGGCCCCGGATCATCTAACGCAAAGTTTGCTCACCCCGCCGCCGCAAGACCACCCTCAGGCCTGCTTCCTTATAGCACACCATCATCCAGAAGCGGCACAACAGTTGGACAGGTCCGTCCGACAACTGCCGACATCAGCCACAACGACCCCGCCACCGTGCGGTCGCTCGACTCACAAGGGGGGCGCCTCTACGGAAGCCCGCGTAGGAAACGGCAGAGAATAGATGCCGACCGGTATGATCAACCTTCTTCCATTGTCTACAAATCGATGCTAACCTTGTTACAGTTTTATTCCGGCACGATCGGGCCGTGATTTGCAGTCTGGGTTTCACTTGATCCCTCCGCCACCTCGGCCAACTCCGGAAAGGGGCAGGCCGAGAAGCCCTCCGAGGGGATACCGTTCTCAAAAGAGTAAGTAGCCTTTCTTGGCTCCTGTTGTTCTGTCTTTACCTAACACGCTGTAGGCGAGGAAGCGGATGAGACCTTCAGGGAGCTACTGCGTGCAGAACTCTTTGACGATGCCAGTATCCCACAGGTTTCTCCTAGGTGGACGTCGGATGACCGGATGCGCACACCTCCTAGGAATTCGCCCTCTCTCCCAGCAACACCACAGAAGAACCTATTCTCTTACGTCTCACCCCGACATCAACACCTAATTGGACTTTCAACACCTAGAAAGACACCACAAAGAGCACACAACCTGATTCCGGATCCCCGCTTGGACACGTACAGCACTACTCCTATCTCATATAACAGCCAACAAATGTTGCTTGCCCCGAGGCGTCAACACAGGACGGTCGCTAAAGTGCCGATCAAGGTCCTAGATGCTCCGAACCTGGCCGAGGATTTCTATCTTAACCTGATGGACTGGGGCAGCTCGGATGTTCTGGCCGTTGGCCTCGGCACTGGTGTCTTCATGTATAATGCGCAGAACGGCAAGGTGGCGAAACTGTGTACCCTCGAGGACGACAAGGTGACCAGTGTATCCTGGATCCAGAAGGGAACCCACATCGCCGTCGGCACCAAGAAGGGGCTGGTGCAAATCTGGGACGCGCAAAAGTTCAAGAGGCTCCGGACAATGACGGGCCACACCGCGCGGGTTGGCTCGCTGGCGTGGAATGCCCACATCCTCTCCACCGGGTCACGCGATCGCTCAATCTTACACCGGGACGTCCGCGCGCCGGATCAGTGGGTGAAGCAGCTAACAGGGCACAAGCAAGAAGTGTGTGGCCTCAAATGGAACTGCCAGGACGGCCAATTAGCGAGCGGCTCCAACGACAACACAGTTCTGGTCTGGGACAAGGTCATGGACCAGAAGCCCCTCTGGACCTTCAACGAGCACATCGCGGCCGTCAAGGCCCTCGCGTGGTCGCCCCACCAGCGTGGACTACTCGCCTCCGGCGGCGGTACGGCCGACCGCCGGATCATCTTCCACGACACGGTCCGCGGCACGGTCCGCAACGACATCGACACGGGCAGCCAGGTCTGCAACCTGATGTGGTCCAAGAACTCCAACGAGCTCGTCTCCACCCACGGCTACATCCAGAACAACCTCGTCGTCTGGAAGTACCCCTCCATGACCCGCGTCGCCAGCCTCACCGGCCACACCTACCGTGTCCTCTACCTGGCCATGAGCCCCGACGGCACCCAGGTCGTGACGGGCGCGGGGGACGAGACGCTCCGGTTCTGGGAGGTGTTTAAGCCGAAGCAGCCGATCAGGTTGTTGGGTGGCAGTATCGATCTGCCGGTTATTCGGTAGTTGGGGGGGGGGGGGGGGGCCACCGAAAAGAGGTGGCTACAAAGAAGGGGGTAGGATTCAGCGATGATTTGCATTTGGTGGTTATTTAACAGCGGCTAAGGCATGGATGGGAGCGGAATGATATGGGACTGGACTTGGAGTTGGGAGTTGGGAGCTGGTCGCCGTGGCTCGGTGGTGGCACTGGACAGCGGGGAATGGGTGGACGGATCTGGGAAACGGGATTTTTACGCGCCTTGGGATGGGGAGGGCTTCAGCGGCATGGCTTGGCTCGGGCTGGGGACTCTGCTTGTGCTTTTTGGGATCGAAACTGGTTTCGGGAGGCGTTGGGAGTCTCATCAGTGGATTGCTTTTGGTATGTGCATGGAATGGCCCCCGCGGTTAGCGAAGTCGGCTCGGTAATTGTTTGTGCTGGGTATTGGGACGGCTGTCGGGAGGTTGGCCATCGGATGGCTTATGGCTATGGCTATGGCTATGGCTATGATGGGGGTGGTGTGGGCTGGACTTCGTCCCCGGTCTCGGACTCTGTTAATGCCAACCTCTTGACACACCTTTTTCGCGGTTCTGACGTGATGTATTCGTATGATGATTGTTACGATGACATGAAAACTAAGATGGGTTGGTGTGATTCTCTCGTTGTATTAAATGTCGTTCAAGTTGTTCGTCAATACCATGTTAACTGGGTCCTTAACGTTGACTTCGTAGTACACGCATGTACCAAATCCCATCCAAACTGCCGCCGTCACCTTCAGATTAGACGGAAAGAGAACAGACCGTGTTAGAGCGCGAGGAGATGACCAACGGAACAAACATTCCCTGAACCAAAAAAAAAAAACAAGGAGAGAATGCTCCCCAAAAGAGAGCAACCGAAACAAAACAAGAGTGCTAAGCAAGGGGTATCATAGATAAGAGGGTGCAATATCTGGTCCTGTTCCTCCCCGGTCCTCACTCATCTACCACTGGCAATCTCGCGCCGCCACACCACACGTCTGTATCCAACAGTGCCCTGCCACCTGGCGTAAAAAGAAAAAAAGAGCGGATGGCCAAAACCCGCCCCCAATGGTGAGCTCTATTATCCGGCGCGCCAAAAATCGTTTCAAGACCCGTTGCCAAAAAACAAGCCGGGATATCGTTACCATGCCATGTATTACACATAAAAAAAGAAACAGAGAAAAAATTATCGTGACTCTCCACTCCCAGTCCGTCTCTCCCGGGCCACATCCCTCGCGCCGCCATCCATATCCATATCCGCGCCCGTGGCCAGCACCGCGGCTGGCCGCTCGTCGTTCAGCAGCGGGATATTATCAACACCGCCGACCCCACGCACGCTGTCATCATCCAGCGCCTTCCCCGTGATGCTATCAGCAAGGGAGCCGTTCCTCCCGCCCTCGCCGGCGGCCGGGGTGGCGACGGGGCTCATGACCGGGTTGCCGGCGGCGTCCTCGGCGGGCCAGACGTCCGGGCTGTGCTGCCACTTGGCGACCTCGGCCTTCATGGCCTCGAGCTCCTTCTGGAAGCGCTTGCCGAAGACGTCGATGTAGTAGGTGCCGCCGTTGTAGACGCTCCAGGTGAAGACGACGATGAGGAAGAGGGACGAGGCCCAGCGGCTGTAGAACCACAGCGAGCAGGGCAGCATGGTCAGCACGGCGTACGCGTACTGGATCATCATGAAGGCGGGCTCCTGCAGCGCCGACGGCAGGCCCAGCACGAACTTGCCGATCCACACCTTGCTGTACGACTTGCGCAGCCACGTGAAGGACGTCGGCCGGCCAGCGGCGATCTTCTCGCGCCTGCGGACCGTGATGAAGAAGTAGTACAACAGCTGCCAGGCGGCGTAGGGGATGGAGGACCAGGCGAGCATGGAGAGGACGTTGGCGTAGGCGGTGGAGGAGCCCGCGGGGGAATTCTTGATGGTCCAAATGGCTGGGAATCGGGCTTGTTGGGCGGCCGGGTCGAGAAGGTGGACGATGCAGTGCAAGGTGGCGCACGGCATTATGTGGATGAAGAGGGAGGTCACCTTGTCGAAAGAGTGGAAGACGAGCGAGTTGCGCCACATGATGATGGCGACGGCGTTGTTTCCGAAGGCGAGACAGTAGACGGCGGTGAAGAGGCGTTTAGAGGAGGGGAAGCCCCAGATGCTAAGCATGAGAAGGAAGTTGACGAAGTAGCAGAGGTCGGCGAGAAAGTAGTGGTAGCCGCGCCTGTGGTACGTGTAAAACCGGATGGGCATGAAGTAGAGGACCTGGACCGTGTACCAGAGGTGGAACAACTCAGGGTAGCCACCGATCAGGTAGCCGCTGACGAAGATGTTCATGACGCCGCAGATGAAGGAGATCTTCTCACGCAGCGTGATAACCTTGGTGTCGTTCCAACGCGAGCCGAGCTTCTCGACACTCGTGCGCATCCGTTTCCGGTACCGGTCCAACTGCTCCTCGGCCGAGGGCACGCGACGCCGCCATTCGTCCACCATACGCTCGCGGGCGATACGACTCTTGTTGCCGAAGGCCTGGCGCGACTTACGCACTTTTTCTGTCTGGGCGGATATGCCCTTCTGGAGCTTCTCAAGCTGCTGCGACAGCGCGAAATTATCGAGGATGTCGAGCACTGTCAGGCGGTCCAGCGGCGGAAATGGGTCCCAATCTTCCTGGTACGAACTGCTCCCAGAGAAGGACGGGTTGCGGGAGAGGCGTGGGCTTGTGGGAACGGTCGGGCCCAAGGTGGGCGTGGCGAGGGCATGTTCGTGCGAGTCGTCGTCGGGGGGTGACCCGCTTAGGTCTGGCGTCAGGACCGCTTCGCTATCGGTGGAAGCGCCCTCCCACCTATTGTTGCTGTTGGGGATCGGTATAGGATTGCTCCGGTTTTCTGGTTCCGCCATGTTGTCTTGTTACGGCCGTAGGCCAATTCTGATTGAAGAAAGCCGGCGAGACGCGATGGGGGAACGGAGTTGGGATGCGCTGGGGAAGGAGGAAAGTCAGCCGACTGCTAAAAACTAAATAGAAAAAGAGTTTCAAATTATGAACAAAGATGGGCACGGGGTGGTGGGTATCCAACGTCATTGATGTGCACAAGAACGAGAAGGGAAGAAAGCATCAACAAGCGGTGGACGCTAGACTTACACGGGACTCGCCAACAAAGGCGATTGGATCAGCGCAAGCGCACCAGAAGCTGAAGTTCGGACAATATCCCCTTGTTCGGTCTGAATATCACGGCTTTGGATTCGGTGCGTCGTGAAGGTTGTGCTAAATGCAGCTGATGATTTGTGATCTTTCAGGTCCGGGGGGGGGGGGGCGGTGGGTGGTGGCGGTGGCTTGAGCTATCTTGGAATAAAAAACAGTCTCGAAGCTTTCGGAAGAGATGTGTGCCTTTAAAGGGCGTGAGTCGAGGTCGGACGGGCGGAATAAATCATGCGAAAGTCATAGAGACGGTCAGGGGGACTCGAGAGTTTGTCACACTCTGGGTTGTTTGGGGGAGGTACAAAGTATTCCGTCCTTTTTGGAGGATGAGTCGAGGCAGCATGAGCTTGTGATGGCGAGGTTAGCAGGCAGGGAGTGCCCAGCTGACCACGGACCAGGAAAAAGGTGTTGAGCTTCGTGCTGCAGGTTTAGCGTGTCAAAGAACCCCTGCGACTGGCTCGCAACTTGGCGTGTCTTAATCCGCCGCTTTTACTGGACGAGGACTGCAGCGACAACCTGGGGAAGTCTCGCATTTGCAACTCATGCAGCTCACCCACCACGTCTAGATCGGGGTCTGCTGATACCGGAGTGGCGTGAATAGTATCGTGGGGGTGACTATCAGAATTGAAGACCGTTCTCTGGATTAGTTACCCGGAAAATCCGAGTATTTGAGACCTGGGAATTAACTAGCGTGATGTAGTATGCCATAGTACTCGTGTATGGATGGGCGAGATGGAGCGTGCCTGGTACCTGCCTCCAATTACTCGACCACCGACTGGCCAGAATTTGACCACTGGCACTTCTAGGTGCCAGTGAACCGATGGTGAAGTGGGAAGTGGACAAAATGTCCTTCATTTTCGGGCCAACAAACTCGGTCAGGAAGTGCCCGGCTGGTCTGTAACATCTGGGTGCCTCCTTCCTTTGATCTGAATCGTCTGAACCCTCCCTCACAACAACCCTAACCCCAAATTTGTACTTGCAAGTTCAGGTTGCCTGATTCCCGAGTCCGTGCACTCCCCCACCACCAGAACGGCCGCTGTCGCGTAAATTCGGAACGAGTCGCGACATCTGCGAGGCGGGACCTGGCGCGACCGATGAGGCAGTACGAGCTACTTCGGATTTGATGCGTTTTTAAATCAAAGCGCGTTCCCATGCCCATGATCGCGTGGACTGCTCGGAACTGTCGTCCATCGCACTATTCCATTTTTACTGCCCGATTCTGAGCGCGACGGACCGAGAGATAACAGCTCCACGCGAAGGAGCAAATCGAAATCATGGGGAAGCTCATTCGTCTCGAGCTCTTCAGTGCGTGCCGCAGCTATTCCAGTCAATCGCCCGTAGTTTCGAAGCTTACATGAGTGATAGACTTCAAGTCCTACAAGGGCCACCACACCCTTCTGTTCGGCGACTCGTATTTCACCTCCATCATCGGTCCCAATGGCTCTGGGAAGTCCAACTCGTGAGTTGCGATTGTCAATCATGTACGGCACGTCGTCCGACTCTAACGAACTCGTCTTTTATTTAGCATGGACGCCATATCGTTCGTACTGGGGATAAAGTCGTCACAGCTACGATCGTCACATCTCCGCGACCTAGTCTACCGCGGCAGGGTAATGAAGACGTCCAAAATCCAGGACGACGGAACCGCCGCACCGACGACCAACGGGCAAGTCAACGGGCACCAAGATGGCGACGATGAGGATTCCTCACAACGGGCGTCGAGGAACGACCCGAAGACGGCATGGGTCATGGCGGTCTACGAGGACGACGCGGGCGACGAACAACGGTGGAAACGGAGCATCACCAGCAACGGCACTAGCGAGTACCGTATCAACGACCGCGCTGTCACTGCTCAGCAGTACAACCACGCCCTCGAGGAGGAGAACATCTTGATCAAGGCCCGGAATTTCCTGGTCTTCCAAGGAGACGTCGAGGCCATCGCATCCCAGTCCCCCCAGGACCTGACACGCCTAATCGAGCAGATCTCGGGGAGTCTCGAGTACAAGGCGGAATACGAGAAGCTCCAAGCGGACGCCGAGCAGGCCGCAGAGAACCAAAACTTCCAGCTCCACCGAAGGCGAGGCATCAACTCGGAAATCAAGCAATATCAAGAACAAAAGAAGGAGGCAGAAAACTTCCAAAAGAAGACGGAGGAACGAGACGAGGCGGTCATCAGCCACATCTTGTGGAAGTTGTACCATTTCCAGCGCGTCATGGACGAGTCCAGCGCCCAGATCCAGGAGCATCACGAGAATCTGAAGGAGTTCCGCCGTAATGTAGAGGCCTTCGAGAAGAAACTCGAAACGGCGCGCAGGGAACAGGCCACCGTTGGCCGTGAGGTCAGCAAGATCGAGAAGAGCATCAAGGGCAAGGAGAAGAGTATCGAAGACCGCGATAACAGCCTTGTTCCGATCGACGAGAAGATCACGCAGAGCTCACAGGACATGACGGTTCTGCGGAAACGGATCTCCGATGTCAAGAAGGACCGCGATGAGAAGGCGACAAACATCCAGAAGCTGAAAAAGGACTTGGCAACGGTCGAGAAGGCGCATCAACAGTTCGAGAAGCAATGGTCCGAGACGTTAAAGAAGCAGGGTAAGGAGCTGAGTGACGCGGACCGCAAAGAGTACACTGCCCTGCAGGCCGACGCCATGAGGAAGACGTCCGATAACCGAGCAAAACTGGCCAACCTGGAGCGCCAACTGAAGGGCGACGAAGTAACAGTAAACAGTCTCAAGGGCAAGATCGACAACTTTGAGGCCGCCTCCGAGAAACTGCAAAGCGAGGTTCAGGCGATTAAGGACCGCCGCAACGCCAGCCAGGACTCGGTTCGCCAATCAACGAGCGACATCGACGCGAAGAAGAAGGAATTTAACAGCGTTCAGTCTGAGCGTATTAGGATTAACAACACTCACACCGAGCTGGAAGAGAAGCTTCGCGATGTGCTAAGGAAGCTCGATGATGCCGACATGGGGCGGCGACAAAACGAGAAGGAGACCAGGATGAGGAACATGATTAGCGATCTCAAGCGCATCTACCCGGGAGTGCGCGGTCGGGTGGGTGAGCTGTGCAAGCCCAAACAAAAGAAGTTCGACGAGGCTGTCATCACTGCGCTGGGCCGTGACTTCGACGGAGTTGTGGTGGACTCGGAAAAGACGGGCATGGACTGCGTCCAGTATCTCAAGGACCAGCGGTTCCCCCCAGTCACTTTCATTCCGCTCGACAACATCAAGGTCAACACCTCCAACTCTGCTATCAAGGGGATCTCGGGGGCACGGCTGACCATTGACACGATCGATTTCGACCCGTCCCTGGAGCGGGCCATCGCCTATGCCTGCGGTGGTTCCGTGGTTTGCGACAACCTGGAGGTCGCCAAGGATATCGTGTACAACAGGAAGATCCAAGTCAAAGCGGTAACCGTACAGGGCTACGTAATTCACAAGGGCGGTACTATGTCTGGTGGTCGGCTACCCGAAGACAAGGGCGGGAAGAGGCGATTCGAGGAGCATGACGTTCAGAATCTGCAGCGGCTGGCCGAGAAGTTCCGGGACGAGATCGCAAAGCTGCCCAGGCCAGGAAGGCGAGGCGCTGCGGAAGAGAGTCTGCAGATCGAGATTGGTGCGCTCGAACAACGTCTCCTACTCCAACAGAGCGAGCTGGCTGCGTTTGAGAAGAACCTCAAGAGCAAGCAAAAGGAGCTGGATCACGCAAAGCGGGAGCTCCGCGATTACCAACCCAAGTACGCCGAGAAGGAGGGCGAGCTGCAGAGGACACGCGCTACCGTCGAAAAGTTCGAGAAGGCCATCGCGGATGTCGAGGACAAGATCTTCAGCTCCTTCTGCAAGCGTCTCGGGTACGAAACTATCCGCGCCTACGAAGCCCAGCAAGGCAGCCTCGAGCAGGAGGCGGCACAAAAGCGCCAGGACTTTGACCTGCAGAAACAGCGGATCCAGAACAACCTGTCTTGGGAATCATCACAGCATGACCAGGCCAACGACCGGGTGCGGACGATGGAGACAACTCTAAAGAGGCACCAAAAAGATATCGGGGCCTTCCAGCAGGAGAAGGAAGACATCGAGGAAGCGAGGGCACAAGACCAGGACGAGCTCGAGGCACTCCAAGAGTCTGTGGAGGAGGTCAAGGCCAGCCACGCCGAGAAGTCCAAGAAGGTGGCCGACGCGAAGCAGGATTTGCAGAAGAAGACCAAGGAGATAGAGTCAAGGTTAAAGGAGATCAGCAACCTCGAGGGCACGGTGCAGAAAAACAGCGCCCAGAAATTCGCCTTGCTAAGACGCTGCAAGCTCGAGCAGATCCAGCTTCCGATGAGCGAGGGCTCGCTCGACAACATCCCCAACGAGGATGTGCTGCTCCGCAAGGACCAGGACGCCATGGATATCGACGGCGAAGCGGATGAAGACGAGGTGCTCGAGGCCGCCATGGACGACTACGGCATCGAGATTGACTTTGACGGTCTAGACGAGGATCTCAAGAACGTATGTCTCTCCGTTCCCTTGTGCCTAACAACCCACAGCCATCAAGCTAACAAACCCCGCCAGCCCGACGACGACCTCGAAGACAAGCTCCAAGACAAGATCACCTCCCTCACCACAGAACTCGAGAAGCTCAACCCCAACATGCGCGCCATGGAGCGGCTAGAATCCGTCAAGTCGCGACTCGAGTCAACCGAGCAGGACTTCGAGGACTCGCGGGCGGCGCTGCGGTCGGCGCGGGACGCGTTCACGCAGGTCAAGGAGAAGCGGTTCGACCTGTTCAACCGGGCGTTCGCGCACATCCAAGAACAGATCACGCACGTGTACAAGGACCTGACGCGGTCGGACGCGTACCCGCTCGGCGGGCAGGCGTACCTGGACATCGAGGAGGACACGGACACGCCGTACCTGTCGGGGATCAAGTACCACGCGATGCCGCCGCTCAAGCGGTTCCGCGACATGGAGCACCTCAGCGGCGGCGAGAAGACCATGGCGGCGCTGGCCCTGCTGTTCGCCATCCACAGCTACCAGCCCAGCCCCTTCTTCGTGCTGGACGAGGTCGACGCGGCGCTGGATAATGCCAATGTGGAGAAGATCAAGAAGTACATCCGCGAGCACGCCGGCCCGGGCATGCAGTTCATCGTCATCAGCCTCAAGCCGACCCTGTTCCAGGACAGCGAGAGCTTGGTGGGCGTGTATCGCGATCAGGAGGTCAACAGTTCGAGGGCGTTGACGTTGGATGTAAGTTTGCCGTCCCTTCTCTTGGCTATGCCGGTCCCGTATGTTGTGGGTTTGCTGACTAACCGGTGTGATATAGCTGCGAAACTATGTATGATAGAAACGCGGTGGTGGGCGGTGAACGGTGTTGTGCGAGAGAAGGGTTTTGGGACTAGGCGAGGGGAGGGGGATTTGCAGAGCAGTTGTTTCTTTGCGGACGGGGTTCGACACGGCGAATATGGACTGGTTACGGTTTATTAGGCTCTATTTATTATTCTATCCCAACGAGCAATTTTTGCCTTCCTTTAACGCCAGAAGTGTGAGTGTGTGGTTTCCGTGTATGATAAGACCAGCCTTCACGTATGAACAAATCTCTCGCCTAAAGCCATTCCGCTTTGCATGCATGATGGGCCCTGGTGGCATTCTGCCATAGTTACTTCACCGTTCCCTCTCGTCTCCGGGTATTTCCATCCCCTCAGATATCCTCCTCCACGAGGGAAGAGTGATGCGATGGGGCGCAACCAAGCCAACGCCAAAACACCGTCGCAGTCGCAGTCGCGGTCGCACGCTCTGTCGAAGAGGACAAGCCCGCCACAGGCCAAAGGTATCACCCTGCTGTGCCCGGCATTGTTGAGCAGACCCCCAAGTTTCGACTCCTGCTTCTTCTTTCATTTTCCAACTTCTCTTCCCGCATTGTACTTGTCGTTGTCTCCCCTCCCGCGACTCAAACGACATCCTCAAACTCAAAGTCGGACTCCTCGTCATCCTCCATCTTGAAGCTCATCGTAGCGCTGCCGCCGTCAGCCGTCTGGGCCGTCTCCAGCTTGACGCGCTTGGCGGGCAGCATGTCGGCATCGTCGCCGTCGCCGGCCGCGTCGAAAGACATGGTGGGGGCCGCCGCCGCGTTGGTGGGCACGGAGCTCTCGGTCATCCAGGCGGGCAGGGCGTTCTCCTTGAGCAGGCGCTCCTTGCGGATGCGCTCCTCGACGCGCTCCTGCTCGTTGTTGTCCGAGATGGTGACGTGCATGGCGCGCGGGCCGACGTTGGCCAGGCCCTTGACGGCCGACGGCTTGCCGAGCCCGGCCGCGTCGACGGGCACGCTGGCGAGCACCTCGTGCGTGGCCGCCCGCACGATCGGCCGCTTGGTCAGCATCGCCTTGTCGAAGTCGCACTCGGGCACCACCACCCGGTCGACCTGCTGCAGCATGTCGGTCATGAACTTGAACTGGTTGTTCATGCGCGATAGCTGCTGGTGGCCCGGCGCTTCTTTTTCTTGGGATCGCTCCAGCAGCGCGCCGCACCGCCGGCACGTGAAGCGGCCGTCGGCCGACACCGAGTCCAGCACGTCGAGCTGGGTCCACTGGGCGCGGCAGCGCGGGCACGAGTACTCCTTGGACTCGTCGGCGGGCTGGACGCTCCCCTGCATGTCCTTGTCGGACTTGTAGACGCGCCACTTGATGGCGTCGATGGTCTGGCGGTAGTCGATGTAGTAGTGGGTGCGATTGACCGCCCGCGTCTTGCCATCCTGTGACTCGGGCCGCGTGTGTACGGTCAGGAAGCGGGCGTCGCGCAGGGAGGCGCACAGCCGGTGCAGGTCCTTCAGGTTCATCTTCATCAGGTAGGCGAGCTCGTCGTCGCGCAGGGCCGAGTGTGTTACCAGCGCCTCGACCACCAGGATCTCTTGGGTGGTGTAGAAGGCGCGCATGACGGCGCGCACGAGGGTCTGAGCAACTTCCATCGTTGCGATATTGATTTCGCTTTCGATGGCGCGATGGGACTGCTATGGAAGAGGGAGTTGGCGACGACGAGAGCGAGTAGTCTGAGAGCGAGTCTGAGAGCGAGTCGTGGTCGTGACTCGTGAGAGGAAGGAGAAGGAGAAGGAGAGAAAGAGAGAGCGAAATGCGAGGTGGCCTTTCCGCTTTCCTTTCCTTCTCAATCCCTCAAAACCGAATCTAAAGTTGATAAAAGTCTACACACAAAACAAGACTCCTCTTGACTCCTGACCAGTCGTACAGTAAGTAATGCGTGTGTTCAGGCAGGTTGATGAGAATGTGGAGGCGAGTCAAAGAACAGGGATCAGTCAGCCTTGTTGGCTCTGCCAAGAAAAAGATGGGAGAAAGGGCTGGAGCTGAGAAACGGTGTGGTGGCCTTAGTAGTAAGGCAGCAAGGCCACAAGGAGTGAAGTCCCGAGGTAGTTGGCATGCCACCGCCCTCTGACAATACAAGTGTGGTATTGATTAAATGCAATGTAGGTAGATACGTTCTGGATGTCGTGTGAATTTGTGAATAACTAACTACCTTAGGTACTTTACCTAGGTGGTAGGTAATTACCAGGTGAACTCAGGTTCAGCATCGTGGATATGTGGTGGGCACCGTGCGTATAGAGCAACATGTTGATTTCCACACGGAGCCGGGACGCTCTTTCTTTACCGTCATTGCAGGCGCCGCATTGTTACATTCCACTTCTTGGTTCCCGTCAGTTGTGAGAGCGAGGCAGGTTCTCGAAACCCCCGAGGGCTTCCCCGCCTTGGGGCTGCATCCGTCCCCTTTCAATATGCACGTCACTGAGACTGGCCGGGACGGTGCACACAACGCCCATACTGTGTAGCAGGTAGTATGTGGTACGAAGTAACTCGTTCTTGTCTCTCTGGCCCTTGCATGGCCCATGGCCCGCGTCATCGTCATCGGCCACGATCATCCATAAACGGTAATTTGTCACTTCATAGCTTGAAGCCGGGCTATGGTTTTTGTTGATAATTCTTACATTTTCGCATTTTCGTATTTGTGCTCCATTGCTCAATGCGCCCAAATGCCTCATGCTGTGGCTGGTCTCTTAAAAGCCGCAAGGGAGATGACCAAGTCCAACTCGGCCACTGGGAATAACATCGTTGCACTACTATCCCAAACGAAACACCCGGGCAAGTTGGGTCCATGAGTAAGTAGTATGGACTCGAATACGGACTCTCGAAAGAGGTCGGCCAGCCACATGGCCCTCAGTTTTCCCGTCATATTTCTTCTATCTGCCAACCTCGGATCGAAAGAATTGCAGGACCTCGAGGAACAAATACCCACACTCACCTACGATATCAATGAAGCCGAGGTTATTCTGGGCAAGATCTCCCGCAAGGAGCGGGCGTTGTTCGAACTCAGGAAACACAAGCTCGTCACCGAGGAGATCCATTCCTTAGAGCGCTCACCATCCACACCTACAACCCCTGACCGGAAACGCGCCCGGCTACAGACGCCGGCCCAGGCTAGCTCCGATATCGACTCGGACACGGCATCAGACAACGAAGTCCAGCGGCGCCTGGTAGGGCCAGCCCCTGTCGTACCAACGGTCAAGGTGGTCAAGCTTACCTGGTTTACCGACTCCATCCAAGGAGGGGAGGTGGTCCCAATCGACGACTATGTTGTCTACGAAGGCCGCAAGGTGCCAAAACCGCCCGTGGAAGCGCCGCAGCTCGGGCCGGCAGAGAAGGCAGCAGAAGTCATACAGCGCGCTCTTGCAGATGCTGGCAGCACCCTGCTAAGGAGCCCGCGGCCGGGGCCACCGCGAGGAAGAAGGGGCGAGACCTACGTCAGCCACCCCGTCCGGCCCACCCTAGTCCGGCAGAGCACATCGGAGCATGAAATAGAGACGCAGCTACCGCCAATACCAGAGTACCTTCATACCACTTATTCATGCCAACGTCCGACTCCGAATCACCCACCAAACGAGGCCTTCATCGAGGAGCTAGCCAAGATCAAGACGGCCCGAACATTGACGGGAGACAAGATCGGAGTACGGGCGTACTCGAGCGCGATCGCCACCATCGCAGCCTACCCGTACAGTTTCCAAACAGCACAGGGTAGGTGCCCAATTCCACTTGGATAGCAAGCCCAACCACTGAGCGCCCTCACAGAAGTAGCCAGGCTCCCGGGTTGCGGCAATAAGATTGCCCTTCTCTTCCAGGAGTTCCGAGACACCGGTCAGATCAGGGAAGCGCGCGAGGACGAGTCAGACCCCAAGCTCGCCGTGCTCAAGCTCTTCTACAACATCTGGGGCGTGGCCGAGACGACGGCGCGGGACTTCTACAACCGCGGCTGGCGCGACCTGGACGACATCGTCGAGTACGGCTGGGACACGCTCACGCGGGTACAGCAAATCGGCGTCAAGTACTACGACGAGCTGCAGCTGCCCATCCCGCGCGCCGAGGTCGAAGCCATCGCCGGGGTGATCCTCGCGCACGCCAACCAGGTCCGCGCCGGGTTCGAGATGGTCATCGTGGGCGGCTACCGGCGCGGCAAGGCGGCCAGCGGCGACGTCGACGTGGTGCTGAGCCACCGCGACGAGCGCGCCACGCAGGACCTGGTCGGCCGCGTCGTCGTCGGCCTCGAGCGCGCGGGCTACGTCACCCACACCCTCTCGCTCGCCACCACCAACTCGGAGCGCGGCCAGGCGCCCCTCGCCTGGAAGGGCAACGCCCCGCGCCGCGGCAGGGCCGGCGCCGGGTTCGACACCCTCGACAAGGCCCTCGTCGTCTGGCAGGACCCGAACCCGAACCCGGACCTAGACCCAGACCCAGACCCCGCGCGCAACCGCAGCCGCAACCCCAACCCGCACCGCCGCGTCGACATCATCGTCAGCCCGTGGAAGACGGCCGGCTGCGCGGTGCTGGGCTGGACGAGCGGGACGACCTTCCAGCGGGACCTGAGGCGGTACTGCAAGCGCGAGCGGCTGCTGAAGTTCGACAGCAGCGGGGTGCGCAGCCGGCGCGACGGCGCGTGGGTCGACCTGGAGAGCGGGCCCGACGGGAAGCCCGCGCCGGATATGCTGACGGCGGAGAGGCGGGTGTTTGAGGGGTTGGGGTTGGAGTGGCGGCCGCCGGAGGAGAGGTGTACTGGGTGAATGGAGGTGGGGGTGAGGTTGTTGTTGAATGTACAGATTGGTGTAGTTGGAAATATTGTTGTCGTTGGAGATATACCCTTGTTTTGCGATGATGCAATCAGGAGGCGCATATCGCCATCTCCCAATGGCCAGTTAAATGGTTCTTGTGTGACCCGATGGACCGGACCGATAGGTTAACCGACGGAGCCGCCCCGGTGCTGCACGACACCACCGACGGGAGCGACCTTAAATAGACGGCATCAGCAACTGCCTCACTCGCCTAATTGTTGCAGCCATCGGCCTCGGACGTCGAAAGGTGCGATGGAGAGTATATTCTGTCAGCTCAATGCCGTCGGGGGAAATAATGCCGTCGACTTTCTCGCTAAGCACACTAAATCCACGGACACTTTTCGGTCGGTATCGGGGAGTCTAAGCTCCGTGGAGCGCATCTCATTGGCTAATTCATCCTAAAATCGTCCGTTGGGGGTCGCAGAAATGGAGCCAGGCCATCGAAACGTGGTACGGAGCAACAATCGTATTGTCGAAACGGACAGAAGACGACAGCATTCCGACTTTTTTACAAGTATTTGAACTGATCAAGTCTCGTCGAGAGAAGCAAAAAATTCATCATCACTCCTCAACTCCTCATTCATCTCACACAATTTTGTGCAAACACATCAACGAGCTCCTTCAGACTCAACCACAAACCACAAACAATTAAATCCTTTCCAACTCAACTTCAATTTCGTCATCACCCTTCTTCACCTTCCACCTTCACCCACCACCCACAACCCACCGCCAGAATGTCCATCGCCCTCCCTAGCGATTATGGGTAAGCACCACATCACATTCCCTCACCAACAAACCCACACTAACCAACATGATCCAGCTACGTCCTCCTGGCCGCCGCCTCAACCCCCATCGTCAACATCGTCCACGCCTTCTTGACCAGCTCTAGCCGCAAGGCCGCCGGCATCAAGTACCCCATCAGCTATGCCTCGGCCGAGCAGGCTGATAAGGACCCCCGGGCCTTCACCTTCAACTGCGGTACGTATTAACCAAACCCCTTCCCTCTAAAATGGAACGCCCTCTGACCGCAATGAAACAGCTCAACGCGCCCATGCCAACTTCACCGAGAACCTGACCCCCTTCCTCACCGCCCTCCTCGTCGCGGGGCTCAAGTACCCCGTCTTCGCCGGCACCCTCGGCGGCGCCTGGTCCGCCGCCCGCCTCCTGTTCGCTATCGGCTACACCTCCAACGGCCCCAAGGGCAGGATTGTGTAAGTTTTCTTTTATGAGGAGCCCAATCATGCCGTGGTTCACCTTGCTAACCCGTGCCTTCTTCTAGCGGTTCGGTGACGGGCACGCTGATCAACTTCGCGCTGGTTGGCACATCTCTGTACACTGCTCTGGGCTATGCGCTCAACTGGTAGTGTGATGGGGTGATGGCGGGCTGGGGCGAGGAGGCGACCTGACATTGCAATGCACATGTATAACAACCATAGCGGCTGCGACGTATTAGACTGTTAATTTCATACCCAAAAGTTACCAACCCTTTCACAGGATCCGATGAGCCGTTGTGACTATCACCTTCCCTCTTTTGGAGACGATGGCTGGACTAGCACCGACCGACCCGTGGCCATCGCATGCTTCTTTCACATGTTTCATAGGTTTTCATCTTCTACTGTAGGTTAGGTGCCCCGGGCTCGATAAGCACCCTCTGGCCAAAAAGGCCGAACTCGAAAGGAAAGCAAGAAACCAAGTGAAAACAACAAATAGAAGGAAATTAAGCAAAAGAAGTCGAGCAAAAGAAATGGAACAAAATATAAATAAAGTAAATGCAGTTCATTTAGCCCTGAGGATAGCTTTCATTCCGTCACAGCGACCGGAGGATTTGAGGTTTCCATGGTCGACCGGCATCTGCACTTTGGAGTTCGGCTTTTTTTGCCTACGAGGTGATAAGGTAGAGTAATGCATGTGGAGACTGTTCAATGTGAAGCTCTGGTCCTTCTGCGGCGGTATAGGCGATAATGGATGAGTCCGTAGCTGCGTATATTTCCACGTATATGGCAAACAGCCATCTTCCTGTCAAACTGCTGCTTCGTGGAGAACAAACGAAGGACTATATCACACTTGTTAACCAAACTCGCACCCCGGTCTCAAACCTCAGAGCGGAATTGGAGACAGCCTGCCATTTGCCAAGCGGGTGGAAATGCAAAATGCAGAAGGTGCCCATGCGCCCCATTGGGAGTGTTTCTCGGGAACCAACGATAAAGTACGTAGGCGGGCTGCAGACTTAAATTGTAAGGTAGTCATTAAGGAGAGCTCGAGAAGGAGGATGCTAAGCAACTTAAATCCAAAAGCGAAATATACCCAAGAAATTGGCATTGGCGCGTCCATTCATCCATCCCCAAAATCTCGTGATGCTCATGAATTGGTGTTGAGGAGAAGTTGGGGGTTGCGGGGCACAAGGGGTTTGTGGGTCTCGACAGATTCCCAGATTCCGCCAAGGCTGGTCAGCCACAACACTCGCCACAAGGCGAGGGAGGACCTGGACCTGGAACTTGTCCTTTTCAGTGAGGGGACAACAATCCGGCGCCCGAGCTAGGTTGCGGAAGCGAAAGCGGCGCACCAACTTCACCACGATATCCCGCCATTCAAGCGACTCCTTCCTAGCCACTAGTCGGTGAAGCTGCGGCCGTGCTTGATTGATATCCTAAATTTGAGGTTATCGACAACCAGCAAGCGCCCGGTGCCACAGACCGCCCCCCGGTATCCGTTACTTTTCCAGGTTCGTCAGTCTCGCAGGGTGCGCCGCCACTTTGAGCTCAACAACCTAACGGATCGGCACTGATGACAGCTTGCATGTACCTAGTCACCAGCCACATCTCCGTCTCCGTCTCTCGCCTCTTCGAATTTATTCAGATCCTCGATTAACCGTGGTCCGGAGATCAACTGCCCGAGACTGCGCCGACGTCATCCCTCACAATGGACTACGACGCTTTGAAGGAGCAGTGGGGTGAGGTCGAGGATCGTGATGGAGTTCGCCTGAGCTGGAACGTTTTCCCAAGCACTCGCATGGTTAGTTCAGCCCGCCTTCGTGCTGTAGCGACACCTCTTCTCTCGGAAACTGATGCATCTCTAGGAAGCCTCGAGATTGGTCGTTCCCATTGGCGCCCTCTACACCCCTCTAAAGGAGAAGCCCGACACTCCCCTGCTGCAGTTCGAGCCCGTCACCTGCAAGCAGCCATGCCGCTCGGTCCTGAACCCCTTTTGGTAGGCATACCCCCCGCCCAGTATGCCCGGGCTGGTAGCGCTGACAACCACCACAGCCAGGTCGATGTGCGCGCCCGCCTTTGGATCTGCCCCTTCTGTCTCTCGAGGAACCCTCTTCCGCCGCACTATAAGGATATCACGGCCAATGCTATCCCTCCCGAGCTGCACCCCTCCAACACCACCATCGAGTACAGGCTGTCGCGACCGGCCCCGAGCCCGCCCATCTTCCTCTATGTCGTGGATACGTGTCAGGAGGAGGACAGCTTGGCTGCCCTGAAGGAGTCCCTGATTATGAGCCTCAGTCTCCTGCCGGAGCACGCCCTGGTCGGGCTGATTACCTACGGGACGATGGCACAGGTGCACGAGATTGGCTACACCGAGTGTGCCAAGTCGTACGTCTTCCGGGGCAGCAAGGAATACGCTGCCAAACAGGTTCAGGAGATGCTGGGCCTGATACAGCCTGCGATGCGCCCGGGTATGCCCGCGCATCAGCCAGGCAGGCCCTTGCCGATGGGACCCGCCTCTCGGTTCCTGCTCCCGGTGGCCCAGGCCGAGTTCCAGCTCACCAAGGCACTGGAGCAGCTGCAGAAGGACCCCTGGCCCATCTCCAGCGACCGCAGAAACCTCCGCTGCACCGGTGTTGCTCTTTCCGTCGCCGTTGGCCTGCTCGAGACGTCGTTCCAGAACGCCGGTGGCCGTATCATGCTCTTCGCCGGCGGTCCCGCCACCGAAGGGCCCGGTATGGTCGTCGGCCCCGAGCTGAGGGAGCCCATCCGATCGCATCACGACATTGACCGTGATAACGTCAAGTATTACAAGAAGGCGCTCAAGGTATGTGCACCGTGCTAGAACCGAAACTGGAGTATGGAAGTGAACCAACATGACGACAGTTTTACGATAATCTCGCCAAGAGAACCGCTCACAACGGCCACACGATCGACATCTTCGCCGGCTGTCTCGACCAGGTCGGTCTTCTGGAGATGAAGGGTCTCTGCAACTCGACCGGAGGGCACATGATCTTGACGGACAGCTTCACCTCGTCCATGTTCAAGCAATCGTTTATCCGTGTTTTCGAAAAGGACGGCGATGACAATCTGTTGATGGGCTTCAACGCTGTTCTCGAGGTTCTCACCACCAAAGAGCTGAAGGTTACCGGCCTCATCGGCCATGCGGTGTCTCTTAACAAGAAGTCAACCTCGGTGGGCGAGACCGAGTGCGGTATCGGCAACACCTGCTCGTGGAAGATGTGCGGAATCGACCCCAAGGCTAGCTACGGTGTCTACTTTGAAATTGCCCAGGGCGGCCCGTCACAGCACCAGCAGAGCCAGAAGGGTATGATACAATTCCTGACATACTATCAACACTCGTCCGGCCAGTTCCATCTCCGCGTCACCACCATCGCGCGGAATCTCAGTGGGCCGGCTGGCGACCCAGCGATCGCCCAGTCATTCGACCAAGAAGCAGCCGCCGTTCTCATGTCCAGGATCGCCGTCTTCAAGGCCGAGGTTGACGACGGGCCGGATGTTCTTCGCTGGGTGGATAGGATGCTCATCAGGCTCTGCTCGAGGTTTGCGGATTACCGCAAGGACGACCCGTCGTCCTTCCGCCTGGAGAAGAACTTCACCTTATACCCGCAGTTCATGTTCCACTTGCGGAGGAGTCAGTTCTTGCAAGTTTTCAACAACTCGCCCGACGAAACAGCCTTCTACAGGCACGTGCTCGACCATGAGGATGTCAGCAACTCCCTCGTCATGATTCAGCCCACGCTCGACTCCTACACATTCGACCAAGAGGGCGGGCAGCCGGTGCTCTTGGACTCCTCTTCTATCCAGCCGACCCACATCCTCCTCCTCGACACCTTTTTCCACATCCTCATCTTCCACGGCGAGACCGTTGCCGAGTGGAGGAAGGCGGGCTACCAGGAACAAGAGGGCTACGAGAACTTTGCCGCTCTCCTAGAGCAGCCAAAGGAGGACGCCAGGGTACGCCTCTCACTTCTGACCCTAGTTAACCAAAGAAATTGCCGCTAACAATGTCACCTAGGATCTCATCACTGACCGCTTCCCCCTCCCCCGTTTCATCGTCTGCGACCACGGCGGCTCGCAGGCACGCTTCCTGCTCTCCAAGCTCAACCCGTCCACGACACATACCTCGGGTGCCGGAGCCTACGGCGGCGTCGGGGCACAGAGCGCGCAGACCATTTTCACAGACGATGTGTCCCTGCAAACATTTATGGAGCATCTCATGAAATTGGCCGTTAGTGGCACGAACTAGACGCCCTAGGTTTGAATGCGACGGGGTGTGGGAACAGTTAGGGTTCAAGAAGGAGGGAAAAGAGGGGAGGGGGTGATGGTGATGGTGGCCGAGGGCATGTTTAGAGGAGAAGACTCTGTGTGACTGTCTAGCGTCAGTGTTATATGTCAACCGATATTACCAAAGAATAAGCGGCTTCCCCCAAATCTCATCGCTTTGCTGTTAGTGAATGGAGTTTCGAGCATTCATAGGGTGCATGAGAGAGCGCCAACATTTGGCGGGTAAGGAGCCAAGCACCCAAGGTCGAGCAACCGTGTGGCTTGAAGTGTTCCCCTCCAATCGGGCTGTGGCTGCCCCTCCCGCCGCCCCGCTCGACCAAAAAAATTCCAGCCACACACTCCAAAATCTTAGGGCAGCCGGGGAAAACCCACAACTGCGATTTTTTTGTGATTCCGTTGATACGGCTTCACCCCTTCTAACACCACCAACTCAGCCAATTTTTTCTCACAACCGGCCGTCACCATGCGTAAGTCATTGCCCGCTGATTGAACTTGCTAGAACTACCCGGATTGCTAATTTGCGCAATTGTGCAGCTCCCAAGGTCGACCCCAACGAGATTAAGATCATGTAAGCTCCAATGGCTTCCTCGCTCCCGATCATGCCCGTTTGCGAACGCGTTCCTCCCGAGAGAAAAGACGAGAACGACCGGAAAACTGACAACGGTGCCCTCACAGCCACCTCCGGGCAACCGGTGGTGAGGTCGGTGCGTCCTCGGCGCTTGCGCCCAAGATCGGTCCTCTGGGTCTTTCGCCCAAGAAGGTCGGCGAGGATATCGCAAAAGCCACTGGTGACTGGGTATGAATTACCCCTCCGCAACCCGAACGAGCTTGGAAAGGATTTCGGATTTTCTGACGAACGCGATTTTCGCACGACCGTGTACAGAAGGGTCTCCGCGTGACCGTCAAGTTGACGATCCAGAACCGTCAAGCCGCCGTCTCGGTCGTCCCCACAGCGTCGTCCCTCATCATCCGGGCGCTCAAGGAGCCCCCCCGCGACCGCAAGAAGGAGAAGAACATCAAGCACAACAAGTCGGTTTCCCTCGACGAGATCATCGATATTGCGAGGACGATGAAGTACAAGTCCTTCTCCAAGGACCTGAAGGGGTGTGTCAAGGAGATTCTGGGTACCGCTTTCAGCGTCGGCTGCCAGGTGGATGGCAAGAGCCCGAGGGCTATCACCGACGCGATTGACGAGGGCGAGATCGACAGTACGTCCCCCCCCCCCCCCGGCGCTCCCATTCGGCCACGAGAGAGCCACGGTTGGATCGCTGTGAAAAAGGAAACGGCTTGCTAACCATGTCACAGTTCCTGAGGAATAAATTCATCAATGAAAGTCGATTTGGTAATTCTTGGCATGTCATTAGGAGTTCAGGGCTTGGCTTGCTTTACACCAGGCTTGCCAAACAACGGCGAATCAATCAAAAAAATGATTTCATGGCCGAGTGTGGGTGCTTCGCCAGGACTCAGCTCGTGGCTGCGTGGAAGGAGGTTTGCTGCAGTTTCCAACCCCTCATGGTATCCCGTCCATCTATCCACCACCCCCCCTTCGATGAGAAACTCCAACCGAGTTGCCCCTGGCTGTTCACTCCGGAACCGACCTGCTCCCCCATGGTCCTTTCGGCTCTTTGTGCTCAGGAAGATCAAAGTCTGACGTCCGATTACTCACCATGGCTTTCGTTGGCACTTTGTGCTATGGAAGTCGAGGTCCATATTTCGGGTCGACATTTCCCTTTTCCCGAACCCCCAGCTGCCTGCTGTGCGACAGCCCTGCCATGGTTTTGGACCGCGGATCGGGCTGCTCAAAGCGTGCCCGAGCTGCCCACCACCAAAGGCGGAGAGGGCTGGGACGCATGATCTGTGTTTCCGAATGTTCCTGGCGGCGATCCCGCCTTGTCGTGTGTCTTGGGTGCTGTCCCTGTTACGCACTGCAGCCGGCTTCCCAAGCCCAGTTGTGTCCTGTTTCTGCTGTAGTTTTCGGGGCTTGCTGAAGACCACCCGCGAAGCCGGAGGCATTTTCGTCGCTGGATTCCCGGTTGTGCTCGTATGTCGTCTTTGTACAACACAGCAATGTATGTCTCGGGTCCCATCCAGTGGCACGGCCTGCGGCGGCAGGAAACCGAGACGGTCAGGTAGGGCACATAGGGAGAACACAGGGCCAAGGTGGTGGAAGCTCGAACTCGAACTACCCGAGAGGTCACGCCATGCTGCTGGTTGCCTCTTTTCTCCCCAGCTTTTACTTTAACCCAATTTATGATATTACCTGTTTTAGAACGGCGACGTGCATTATACATGCAACCGACTGCAGCCGCCTGCATTGGTAACTTGGGGGGGATGGGTTATGTATGGACATGTGTACACAGTAGTGTAGTTACCGCCTCGCTTTGCCGAGGAGGAGGGTCGGCTCGCTGGCTGGCTGGCTGCGTGGGCGCATGAATGACGCGGGTCGGCGCAGTGGTTGATCGCCCTCGCTTGTTGTGCTGGACCGCGCGGGCTGCATCCTGGGGGTGAGATTGAGACGGGGGAAGAGGCGAGGACCGGAAACTCGGGAGGGTTCGGAGTATGGGACACACACGAAGAAGAAGGGTTCTTCTGCTGCCTGGGAATGAAGAGCGTTCGGTTGACGCGGACGAGGGGGGGGGGGGGGCAAGCTGTTTCAATCCGTGCTGGGGTGAGATGGTTCGTCCCGTCCGTCAGGACGACATCGACACGGTAACTATTCGTACCTAGTGGAGGTCTCTTTTTTTTTTCTACTCCCATCCTTGATATCTCAGCACTTTGGGGCGCATGTGCTGAAGTTCAGTTTGACTCGGATCGCCCGCGCTGCTGCAACGTGGAGCGGCTGCCTTCTAACGGCGGTATTTGGTGCCCGTTGCCTCGGGGGGTTTGGAGATCGTCGTCAGTTTGGCCGCTCGGCACGCCATGTGCCAGACAGCCGCAGATCTCTGCTGACACGGTATCTTCACTTGTTGCTCGTGTTGACAAGGGAAAGCCTATTTTTCCGTTTCTTTTTCTCTTTTCTAGCGTAGCTCCCCGCCGAGGGCTTAATACATAACTAGCATCAAGAGAAATGGTCGAGAGATGGGGGCAATGAGGACACATGGCATCTTCAAATATCGACGAACGTTGAATCAACCTGCCAACGGATTTGCTCCCAGGACCCTTTCATCCTTGGAACTTTTCTTGGTGTCTTGGCTGCCGCTTGGGCTGCGGCGTCGCAGCCGTTTGCGTCCCCACACCATCCCTTCCCGCAACAGGGGTTGTTTTCTGGGATTCATTTGATGTTGGAGGGGAAAGGGGGGGTGAATTGTCGCAAGCTCCAAGTAAGCTTCAAAGATGCGGATGGGATTGGAGGGGGGGAGTCGCCGGAATGACAGCTCTCCTCTCCTCCATTTGCTATATGACAGGTCTCTTTTTCTTCTTGTTTTTAATTTTTAGCTTATTCTCATCACAGCAAACCGCGGCTCGGGATGGGTCTCTGCAAGGGAGGAATGAGATTGGGGAAGCGGGCGGGAAGCAAAGGCGACGCAAGCAAAGCAAGCAAGCGGACAAGCGAGTGGGGCCCATCCCATGCCGGCCAGCCGTTCAGGTCGGCCTGTGGCCAAGGGGGCGGGCGAGCGAGCCAGCGGCGTGCCGGCCCTACCGGTCGGTCCACTCCCAACGTCCCCCCAAGAAAGTGATTGCTCGCTCGCCTGTCGTTCCTTGTCCCCCATAGGTACGCCCTCGCTGGCTGGCTGCATGGCCTGGCTGTCACGCTTCGGGCCAAAAGAAGTGTGACTTGGATCATTGAGAGGCGTGAGAGGCTCGCCAAGTGAGGGTGGCTTCAGCCACTGGGCGTGCTGATCGGGCAATTCGCGGGGCGACTGGTCAGGTTGTTGGTGTGAGCTCATGCATGTTTCTGATCGGCCAGCTGCGGGAGGGTGAGCCGTGGGGTCAAGAAATAGTCTGTTGGTGATCTGCTCATGCAACAACAGGGCATGACCATTCCCGGTCTAGTTGAGCTTGGATGAGCTGGTTGGGGGAGGGGGGAGAAATAACCTAGGGCGGGCGTTGTTGTTCGAATATGAGGTATCAGTTTGTTGGAGAGTGAGTGAGCTAGAGAGAACATTCGAACGACCGGCGTACGAGATGTGTCTGATCGGGCTGCCTAGGTGTTAACTTAACTCATGCGTAAATTGCTCCCATGTTCCCCGAGGAGGAACGGATCTGCTGTGCTGCATGTCTGACTGCCTATCTGACTGTGACCCTTGCGGTGGTGCCATTGGGGGGGGGGGCCTCTTGGCTGGCGGCAGCCACACGCTGTGCAGCACTGCGACACACACCGCAAAACACCACGCCCACCAGGCCCGTTATGATCTGCCTCGCCGTGTCGCACAACTGGCGTGGCAGAAAAGCGAAGAAGCATTCCGAGGCTGCGCTGCCTCTGTCCTGCTCGCCCTCTGCCTATCACATCTGTCTCGTAACGGGGCGGCAGGGTTGAGAATCAGGTTTAAAAGATGGCTCGGTGGTACCAATATTAATGAAAGGAAGCACACCCCAGGATGCGACCCATGTTCGAGAGGGTGACATGGCGTTGCCCAACACACTTTAACTGGAGATGGTTGACACCCCCAAGATTGGTGTGAGGCCCAGGGCCCGCTGTGATTGTTCGGCCGGTAGCCAGGTGGTGCTGCATGGTGCTGCAGCATGGGGCCCTAGCGCCCCCACGGGTCTGGGTTCGGTATGGAGGGGGCGTCCCGTATAAAACACACGCATGCCCTGTGCCTGCCCTGCACGGCCCGGGCAAGCCCGCAGCCTGTCGTGCACCGCCTGGCTTTCGACTGCCCTGGCGCTGTTCCACTTTTGAACCTTTGGGACGCCCCGTCTTCGAGTTGTGTTTGAGCTGGGAATGGTGGATGTCGACGTCAACTTCGGAAATTCAGAGTCAGAAACGGAAAGAGGCGAGAGGAATTCGACGGAAAAGGGGACTCGAACTATAATTGGGTGCATAAGGTAGCCTTTGCACCTTCCCGCTTTCTTTCCCAGGCACGATCGGCACCTAAACTTGCAACCTGGAGGTTCCCCGCCCTCTACTGCACCCCTCCTTCCCGGTCTCCCTACAACCTTACCTCTTCGTTCCAGTTCCAACAACAACATCTCCACTCCCGCCCCCGCCGGATCTTCCCAGCTTCAAGAAAAAAAAGAAAAAGGACGTTGAAATCAACGTGAGGTGGAGCTGAGGTGTTGGTTGTTTGCTGCTATTGCCAGCAACGGAGCGGGGCCTTTCTCTTTGCGAACTGCGAACTTGAACGATTGCGACCGTCCGACCGCGAATCACAGACCCACGAGCCGACACGCGTGTTAGGTGCATGGTTGAGATCTCAGGGTGGCATTGGCTGGGACGACGCCCGACTTCGATTTCTGGCTCTGGCCCAGATGGAGCGCTGGGACCTTCAAGGCTGAGGGCTCGATTACGATATCGTACTCGTCGCCGACAACTACGACAACGACGACCATCAACCACAACACCTACGCTCTAACCAGAACCGAACCGGCACAGCACGGGCAATGACGAATCCCGCCTGAGCTCACACCCGGTCGCCATTCGTACTTACCGTCGCTCCTTAATCTGATTTTCGATTCGCCATTTTGTCCCTCGGCTTTTCTTTTTTCTTTCAGCAAACGATCCGCCGACTTGATGCACATCTCACGATGTTACCCCTCGTACAGATGCACCAGATGGTGCAACCTCCGCTTGACTTCCTCGGGCCTCACCACCATCATGGCCACCCAAAACCGGACTACTCATCACATTATCACGAGTCCCAACTCTCACAACAGTCACAGTCTTTCCATCCCCATAGCTCAACCCCGCGAGCATTCGCCATCCGAAGCGCCCAGCATGCCCCACCCCTGCACCGCATCAGGACCAGCTTCACGAGGTTGAACGGGCACGCCCACGATCAGGCTGAGAACTCTCTTCGGCGGAAGACCCCGAGTGGGACCATCGACAACGGATACGATGGGTCATTAACTCACCTAGCTTCCGGCCCCCCTGCGCTGAAACACATGATCGTGCCGGCTTCGTCCCAAATCTTCCCAACCGCCGTCGTCCACCGACCGCCTAACCAGCCCATTGGTATGCTGCAACAACATCCAGCAGGCCCTTGGGCATACTCGGCACCCGTGCCCACGGCCAACTTTGATCACGGGATAGAGGCCATGAACGGCCTGTCCGGGACGCCGAACGGATGGGGGTTGAAGGCTCCGAACCCAGCGCTAGATCCAAGTGTGGGAGACCACCTCAACTTCCTGCAGCCTGTCCCCCCGCAAAATCATCCCGGTGCACCCAACTTGCAACAACTCTTTCGGCCGGGGTACCAACAGTCATTATCGCAAACAGTCTACAGCCCCGGCAGCTACCAGCAACCTGCGGTATGGAGGGACGGGAACTTTGGCTACCAGACGATGATCCCGCTTGCAAATAACTACACCCCACAAAACTCGGTTGACAGCGCATTCATGGGGGCTCAGTCCACAATACACCACGGGCTACTCAACGCTCCGGGACTAGGGCAAGCAAATCATTTTGGCCTACCCTTACCGAGTCACCCTCTCGATGACGGCTTTGCTCGCTATGGCCCCAACCACATGACACACTATGCTGCCAACGCTGGACGAAATTCCATGCCGATGATGCCTGGTGCCGGGCAATTCGCCAAAGGCGTCACCGCTGGAGAACCAGGATCGCCAACCCGGTTCAAGGAAAGGGCGCTTCAAAGTGCCCACAAGTCATACAACGACCTGCTGCTTCATCTCACCCATGCCAAAAAAGTGCACCATGGACGCAGCGGTTCAATGTCGAGGCCATCTTCGAAGATTATGGTATACCCGAAGCCTTCTACCAGCAGCAGCAGTAACAGCGGGAACAAGCCACGACAATCAGCTGCCTTTGCGGACCCAGCAGCAGGTTATATACAGCAAATGGTCCAAAAGGAAGCAGCCGCCCGAATGTTCACCCACAACCACTACCAGCGCCCATATCACGAGATGGGCTCCCCTGTCCTCAACGCCAGAGCTTCACTCGACATGCTATCTACACTCTGTGAGCAAAGCGGTTGGAAGTGGGTCGAGGGGATGCTGCTGGGAGGGTGTCTTCACTATGGCCTGGAGCGTTACGAAGAGGCCCTGGAGTGGTTCAAGCGAATCGTGAATCTGGACCCAAGGTAGTTCAACTTCCCCATTGACTGATAATGCGCAGGGTATGCTAACTACTTTGCCAGCCACGTGGAAGCTATCTCTAACATAGCCGCGACTCTGTACTGCTTGAATAAGCACGAGGAGGCAGAGCAACACTGGGTGAAGGCTATCAAGTTGCGCCCGAGCTACCTGGAAGCAGTCGAGCATCTCGTCAGTCTGCTGTGCTCATTGCATAGAAACGGGGCGGCGGTGAACGCCATCGAGTACATCCAACGGTCGTTGAGAATGCCGGGCTCAGACCTGCCTCGGGATCAAGCCAGCGAGACTGCCAGCGAGGCAGATCTCGCTTCGCCAATGACACTCGCCGAGTCGACCCCGGATCCATATGTGCTAGACGCCGAGAGCACTGATAGCCCAGAGCAACGATTCGCTTCCATGGATGAGGACCGCAAGTCACCCGGTTTCGGTTCCAGCGGTTACCGCATTCCAGGAAGCGAGAACGGCCGCATGGTTCTCCTTATTCACGCCAAGGGGAACATGCTGTACTCGTTGAAGGATATCGACCGCGCTTCGGAGGCCTTCGAAGAAGTGGTCATGATCAGTGCTGGAAAACAGGTTCAGGGAGTCAAGCCACTCATCAGGAGGATACAAACAGTCTTGGCGCCCCGTGATCGGTCAGGACAACGCCTGGTCTCTATCCAGGAAAACTTTTCTGCTCCCCTACTGCTGCCTCCGGACAAAGCGAAGCTCACGGCCCAGCACGTCTTTGCTCCCACCGGCGGCCAGTTACCCGGACTCCAGCACATGCCTGAAGGGGCGCACAAGCGATCCGTGGTGGCAACGACGAGCAACTCGCTACTGTCTCTAGCTAAAATCTACCAAGATGCGATGTCGAATGGCGGCCCATCTTCCGGTCTCATCCGTCAGCCCGCGGGTGTCGGTGATATCCTATCCCTTTACTACCTCTCCCTGTCGCTTCAGGAGAGCCCGTCGACCGCCAACAACGTAGGGATTCTTCTCGCCGGCGTCCAGCAAACAGCGCCGATACAGTATATCTCGGTTTCCGATATGGGCCTCGCTGCCAGCGTTCCCGGCATCGTCCCTGGTAGTGGCTTGTCGCTCGCACTCGCCTATTACCAGTACGGTCTCACGTTAGATCCGAAGCATGTCCACCTTCACACGAATTTGGGGAGCCTGCTCAAAGACATTGGACAGCTAGACATGGCTATCTCGATGTACGAGCAGGCTGTGGCGTGTGACGCGTCGTTCGACATTGCCCTGACAAATCTTGCGAACGCAGTCAAGGATAGGGGTCGGGTCAACGATGCCATCAAATATTACCAGCGGGCCGTGGCCGCGAACCCAGACTTCGCCGAGGCTGTCTGCGGCCTTTCGACTGCTCTGAACTCGGTTTGTGACTGGAGAGGGCGCGGTGGCGTCTTGCTTGCCGGTGGCAAGTATGATCGGTGGCATGTGGACGAGAATGGCAAGCTTCAGGACGCTAAGGGGCAGGGTCAGGGGGGCGGCCTGATGAAGCGCGTTGTCGAGATGGTTGGGCGCCAGCTCAAGGAATCATCGACATGGGGCTGTGGGGTTTTGCAAGAGAGGTCGATCGTTCAGCTGGCGGCCGAGTTGAGAGATGCAGGAGCTGGTATCACAGACGCGTTCCTCGACTTGGAGACCGAACTACGAAAATGGGCCGGGAGACCAGGTGAGGGCTACCGAGTCCTTCGCCTCATCGAACGTTCCACCATCGCCGCCATGCGTTCCTGGTACCAAGATAAGCACATCAGCGGCACCCCATCGCCGACCGGGTATCGCCGGCCAAAGCCGCCGGCAAGCCTTTCGGTTCCATCAGCTCCGACAGTCCTGCCTTTCCACACCTTCACGTGCCCTTTGCCAGCGAAGGATGTCCGCATGATCTCACAAAGGAACGCTCTGAGAATATCGTTTTCAACCCTCAGGTCGCCCTGGATCCCACCCGTCGTTTACGAACCACCCGATCCGCCGAGCCCCCACCTAAACGTGGGATACCTTTCCTCTGACTTCAATAACCATCCCTTGGCACATCTGTAAGTCATCAAGGAGTCCCTTGTTAATCGTTACCTAACGCCCCTTCCCCTAGGATGCAATCCGTTTTCGGCATGCACAATCCGCAGCGTGTTAAAGCGTTTTGCTATGCCACGACGGCGAGTGATAGGTCCATTCACCGTCAGCAGATCGAGCGTGAAGCACCGGTCTTTCGCGATGTCAGTGCCTTCTCCCCGGACAAGCTGGTTCAGCAGATCGTTCAGGACAAGATCCACATCTTGGTCAACCTCAACGGCTATACACGCGGTGCCCGCAACGAGATTTTTGCCGCTCGCCCTGCCCCGATTCAGATGTCGTTCATGGGTTTCGCGGGCACACTGGGCGCCGAGTGGTGTGACTACCTCTTGGCTGATGCGACCGCCATCCCGCCGTCAACGCTTCGTCCCCACCGGAACAACCTGACGTTGGAGGACGTGTTCCGCGATGAGAAAGATGCTGATGCTGAGGACTGGATCTACTCGGAGAACATCATCTTCTGCCGCGACAACCTTTTTCTGCTGCGACCACGCACAGTCTGCCGACGGGTACAACGAGCGGGACGTGACGTGGGAGCAGGATCAGCAAAGGCGGTGGAGAATGCGCAAGGAGCTGTTCCCAAGCCTCCCGGACGATGCCATCCTCCTCGGGAACTTCAACCAGCTCTACAAGGTATGCTCATAACACTGAATCGCCGTACGTTATCGTCACTAACCACAAACAGATCGACCCGACCACCTTCCGTTCCTGGTTGCGAATCCTCGCCGCCGCGCCGAAGGCCTACCTCTGGCTCCTCCGTTTCCCAGAGCTCGGAGAGACCCACCTGCGCCGCACGGCGCGCGACTGGAGCGGCGAGGGCGTCGCGAGCCGCATCATCTTCACCGACGTCGCGCCCAAGCTCCAGCACATCTCGCGGGCGCGCGTCTGCGACCTGTTCCTCGACACCCCCGAGTGTAATGCCCACACCACTGCTGCCGATATCCTCTGGTCCAACACCCCACTTTTGACGCTGCCGCGGTACGAGTACAAGATGTGCTCGCGCATGGCGGCCTCGATCCTCAAGGGGGCACTACCGAAAGGGCCGGAAGGCGAACGGGCGGCGAAGGAGTTGATCGCAAACGACGAGGCCGAGTATGAGGAGTTCGCGGTGCAGCTTGTTAACGGGCTGGCATACCGGCCACGGGGCGAGTACAGGGAGGGGGTGGGAAGGCTGTCCGATCTGAGGCGGCTGTTATTTGAAAGCAAATGGACCTGTGCGCTGTTTGACACACGGCGGTGGGTCAGGGATCTGGAGGAGGCGTACGACATTGCCTGGGGCAGATGGGAGAAGGGGGAAGGGGGGGATATATACCTTTGAGCCATGTGGCGATGGCTTTTGGCTTTGGCGCTGGCTTTGATGATCATCATGGGGTGCGATGGCATGCGATGGAGAAAAGGGCGAGCGTTGGGCTGGGAGATTTGGGTTCAGGGATCCATTGGGCTGGCATGCCCGGGTGATGGATGGGGGATTACTTTAGACCTGGTTGCGATTGCGGTGATTTCGGTTGTTGTTGATGTTGTGTTATCCCACGGCTCCTTTCGCTGAGAAAGATCTGCTTGCGGGCGGGAAGTCCGATCGAGCGCGAGCTACGGTCTGGACCATGCTTTACCCCCTCCCCCTTTTAGCTTATTTTGCTCCCCCGGCTTTTTTTTTGCCGATTCTGCTTTGAGTTGTCATGTCATGTCATGCCTGGTGTTGATGTTGGCGTTGGCGTTGTTTGTTGTCTCTGTTGATAAGGAAGGTCAGGGTCCTCTGAGGAGGAAAGGCGTATATTGCAGTGCGCATGGGCCCGCCCCGGATGGGCGGGAGGTATGTTTGGTTTTATGGTTTATGTATAGCGCGACTATCATAGCATGGGTGAGCGAGTGAGTTTGTTTCCCCGGCCGTTGTGCCTTTGGGGCTCGGGGTAGAGAGGTCGATGCGACTGGTCTTGGTTTGACTCCACGGAGCGAAGGGCCGGCGTGAGGGGATGGGATGGCATGGGATAGGATGGGGTTAGATACCGATTTGGCTTCTTGATGGTACATGTTTGCCTCTCCCCTCGTGTCTATTTCTTCTTGTCTTTTTATCTCCCGTTTTGTGAAGTCAGTGGTCGTCTAAGTGAACGGGGGAGTGATGTGCATATGGGGAACAGCTTGATGGGATGCGGACTGTCCAGTTCACCACTGGCTTCGTGTTGGTGGCTGGTTTGATGTGTCCTGGGTATATGATGTCGTGAGTGTGAGGTTGGCGCGGATTAGAGGGTTTGCCGGCATGGGGTTTCCCTACACAAGAGATGGTGACGAACATATGGCTGAGTATTGTACAAAAAAAGGCGGAAGCATATGGCATGGTGATCTCGTTATAAGGGCGAGCAACTACTTAAAACCACCACGGTTACACCACTCCCAGGCTTCTTGTGTAGAATAAGCATGGTTCCAATGCTGCGTCCCGTTATCTCCATGGGCTTGGTTCAAACATCTTGCTTGGCCTGAGTTTATCCTGCCAACCCGGCCATCTTCATCAGATATTGTTGGCTTCGGAAGGGAACAAACAGTGACACAATATTTCTTGAGACTCTCCACTCGTTGGTAATCTCACACTAACTATCATAATGCTTGTTCCAACAATAGAGCCGAGTGATTCTTAATGCTGACGGAGGGATTCAACCTTTCCTTGATAGCATACAAGTCAAACAACATACTATTCCGGAGTTGTCTGCCCCCGGAAGGGGGTACCATATAGCAGCACAAGTCAACTTCTCCCATCAGATGGCCCTCACTTCATCCACAGTGCTTCGTAACCTTTCATCATCGTCTCATGCCCGACACGCCCCATCTGAACCTAGTTGTATTTGCGGTAATGCGAGGTGGAAGAAGCCCCTAGCCATCCTCATAAGACTCGATGACGGTGACGCAATCCAGAACCCCATTGTAGTGTTACGACCTCCTTTGGGATGCTTGGCTCACGGCTCCCTGCCTTCGGCTGATGAGTGTCTCACCCGGATTGTCATTCCAACTGATATACGAAGGTCGGGGCCAAAAGTGAACACCCACCAACAAGTACCTTGGCTGAGTCAGCAACGTGTCAATAAAAGTTTCTAAATTATCCATACTGTATTTTCCATTCGCTAATTGAGAGCCAGCTTAGCGTGAGATGCGCTAGCCTTCAGGGTGCTCGCCTCTAAACCTTTAGCGAGCAGCGCACTGGAGCTTCAGGGCTTGCACGTGCAAGGCGCACAGTGAGCACGGACCACGGGCAACCTGGGTCTGGGGGTTCACTTTTGGCCGCAACCTTCGTATTCACACCGTACCACTAAGACGACTCAACGACGCACATGCATAATCACTTGATCCTGCTCACACGGTTCCCAGCACGTTCTAAATACGCTATATCAACCAGTGGAGACGGGGGCAGCAGACGACTGCTGCGCTGGTATGACAACCCCTAAACGCTTATCTCAACGTTCGTTGTATCACATCAGCATCCTCCGAAGCCGTTCGTCTAGAGACTGCCGAGCCGAAGCCACCAGAGTCAAATGACGACTCCGTCGACAATGCCTACTGTGTACTGTGTAGGTACTGTGTAAATAACAAAGCCAGCCGAGTCAAGTTCAACGTGGGACAAGCGGGCGGCAAGGGGGAAAAACAACAAAAAGCCGAAAGCAGCAAACGCCCCCAACCGGAGTGGCCGGTCGATCCTCACTAACTCACAAACTGCCCCTACCCGCCCAACGACAAGTATTCCCGAGGACCTGTCTCCGGGCCGAGACAATGGGCAACCAAAAAAAAAAAGGCGCCCCAATCGCCCGTCCCGCCTGCACGCTCCCGCGCGGCAGCAGCCAATATGTATATTCCCTTGGGGGGCCCAGATCGGCGTCCCAAAACGGCCCAGAAACCGCCCCACGGGCACACACACAAGCGCACGCACACACATACATACACACACCCATCACGCGCCGCCGGGCATCACACACACATCACACACACATCATCATCACATCACGCATGATGCAGCACGCAAACCGCATCAAACAGGCATGGGGAGAGGGAATGACAGGCAAAGAAATGTAAGCCCCCCCCCGGCCCGACCATCCCCCGCGCCCCGACGTCCCGATGACGGCCGGTGTGCCTGCCCACCGCATCGGCGCTCTGCCGTTCACGTTGCGCCCATCACATTTCCCAACCGGGGAATTGTGAAGAGATGTTTGTGTGTGTGTGTGTGTGTGTCTGTGTGTGCGTCTCCGTTTGCATACATGCCAATCCGCCCGGACTCAACCCCGGCCCGGGACGGCACGTTGCATCCGCAGCAATAACTCACTAACCGGCAACACAACACAGCACAGCACAACACAACACAAGACAACACAACACAACAGCCGCCTCACTCTCCGGCAAATTTGCCCACTTTGACGACGACACCTCATCAACCGGTGAGCCACCACGCGCAGGCAAGTTTTGATGACGGGTTATTGAGTGAGTTACAGCACGTAGTACTCGTAAAAAATACCGAAAAAGGCAGGTGATCAAACCCAAACCCCCCCAGGAGAAGAAGAAGGCTCTTTCGATCCGAGATCTGCAGCATCATTCCCATACCGCTCCCCGCCAATCCGACACCGCGCGCGCCCACCGCCGGCCGTCGGTTTCAGGGGGCCGCCTGGGCCGCTGGTAGGCCCGATACGCGAAAAGCCGTTTTGGGGCCCAGATCGCCGGGTCGGGGGGTCCAGCAAGCGCGTGGGTTGGGAGGCCTTGCTGTTTGATTGGCTGCGCTGGGGTTCCGATCTGGGCTGTCAAAATATTCGCTGTCCCCGTTTTTCGTGTGCGCTGTTCGACTTATCCTTGTTTGCTTCGTGCTATGGCCAGCGCTTGGGAAGTGTCGTGCTTTGAAGCCAGAGGCCATCTTCATTTCCTCTCATTTTCCTTTCCCTGAGTTGGAAGTTGGCGGTCGACTGTGAACAAGGGGGTCGTTGACACGACACTTGGCGGATCATTGGGTCCTCTGTGTTTTGCTTGTCCATACTTGGATACTGTGGTATGTGTACTTGGTATGTATGTACGAACTGCCAGGGGCAGAGGAGTTCACTGCGGTCATTTCCTCCACGTGAGCGGCGGCGTTTCCAAGACATGAGTTACCCGATGCCGTCCTCCAGAAGGAATCCGCCCGGACCGGCGCCGTTTTGTGGACAGGCCACTGCGCCGTGGTATTGGCTTGCGCTTCAGAAGCAGGATGCAGAATAACTACACAGCACATAACTTTTTGGTAGTCCCGCATGCCGTTGGTTTAGCCGTGAATTGGTGGAAACCCCCAACGCCCTCTGGGCCGAACTCCGAAAGACGGCGGGACTCCACCCTCTCGAGCTCCTCCCCTGAGCGGTTGCCTTGTGGCTCTTTCATGGGCAAATGGCTTCCCGTTCCAACGAACGTAAGCACGGCGATCACACTTCAGTCCTGTCGACCCGATCGCGCGGTTTGCGCGGGTGATTGGCACAAGCCACACCGCGTGTAATTCTGGCACAGTTTCCCAACCGATCGGCCCTTCTCGCCACCGCGCCGAGGAGATCCTGTGTAATGGTCGATCGGCATCCCCGGTTCTGCTGTTGGTCCTCACGGTCCTCTTTCACGGGAACCTCGTTGAGCTCGGCGCCCAGGCACGCCAGGTTCCCGAGAGGAGACTGTTGTTGTATGCCGGATGGGGCTGGTGGCTGGGCTGGTGCACGTTCAACAACCCCACAACAGCCGAGGAGAAACACAGAGTGCCCCATAGGCAAGGATCGCCAAGCTAAAACCCACCCGTTTGCACTCACACATCGGAGGAGTTGTTGGTGTTTTTCGTTGTGAGCTTACCAGCTTCGTTACCCCCGATGGCGCTGAAAAGGGGTCGGCTCGGATGGAGAGCGCTCACCAAAGGCGGAAACTTCTCCCGCTCGTGCGCTCCCCTCCATTTGAGAGTGTGGTGGGTCCAGACGAAAGAGAACAGGGGGCTAAATCGGCTCAACGGTCTCCCGTGCGTCTGCTGTCTGGTTCCGGCCCGGGACGCTATCGGCGCGCTATTGAAGAAAACGGCGCTCGGAGGTGGGGAAACGGGCCACCGTTGGTGTTCAGTTGAGCACATGGCGACGGGGATTTCACAGAACGGCGCTGCCCAGCGTCACGACTCGGTCTTCTTCGTATTTTGACCAATCAGCTGCCTGTGTCAATGATCTTCGTTGTGGAGATATACCATGAGGCGCTGGGTCGATGTTTTGTTTCATCTTGCAAGGAACAAAACACCTCGGGGGATTTCTTGCGACAGTCGCAAAGCCGATCGGCGGAGTCCAGCGGCCGTGTCACCAATTTTGTTCATTGAGCGAGCGCAGCTGGATTCATGATCCTTCTGGTGTAACGACAACTGTGGTCGGGATAACTTTGGGTAAGCACACAGGGATCTCAACGCCTGTGTGCCAGGGAACTCAGGGAACTCGGGACCAAGTCGAGACCCGTGGACCCGACCAAACCCACAATGGATTCAGGTCCCAGTTATGCCATTCGCTCGATCCGGGGGTCGCAAGTGTCTCTTGGGTGATATATTCACGCCAGTTCGTTGCAATGGAGGGTCGGGGAAGCACTCACGCGAGTCGGCCGGAAGTTGCCGCGAGCTGGGCAAAATCCTGGGAAGTTGAAATGCCATCCACACAGTCCCATCGCAGATGATCTTCCCACTGCAATTTTGACACGGCTGCGGCCCAGCTCCACTTTCTCGAGTCGGCTAGACGCCGTGTGAGTATCCGGCGAGCCGTGGACGTATCCGGATCGATCTCTGTCAACAGGGGCCCACGATTGTGGAATCCTCGCGCAGATCCTTCTTCAAGAACAGATTGGCGCCGACTTCTGGTTCCGTGACGGCGGTCCCATTCCGTCATGCTTCTCCGCTCTTCTGCGGATGGGTTTGTTTCACCCCGGGAATCGGTCTCCGTGATCTGGAGGATGCAAGCTTTGCTTTCTGACATGCAAACGGCGTCGGGCCTGCAGAGAAATCGAAATGGATCTGGGGGCGCTGCGGTGGCTTCTTCGCCCCGGCGCTTCGGCTGTTTGAAAAGAGTCGGGAAAGTCAAAACAATGTTCCATGGGTCGGTCCCCCTCCAAGTGTTCTCTTCGAGGTGCACGACATGAGAACGGTGAAACTGCCGGGTTTCGCCCTGTAAAAAACCGGACGACCTTGTGCGCTCGGGCATCACCCCGGCGCAGCCTCCATCCAAGTCGGTCACGATATCTCCGCCAAGTTGGCGACGGTTCCCCGCAAACATCAACTCTCGCAGCTTCTCCTCTGCCGGCGTGTGACAACAGAGTGTGTGCGTGCGCGTGTGCTCTGTCGCAATCGCGGGATCTGCAACTTGGGTCGCACAGACGGTATAAAGTATTCGAATCCGTGTGTTGCGAGGTCGCCGACCTGGTAGTTCCCGAGGTTGCATTTGGTAAAGGAAATACCACCCCGCGTTGCTTCCGCGGGGAGGCCTGGGCGGTTTCGTTCCAGAGGACGGTAGCGTTTGGGACCAAGAAGCGGATAGTGCGGCGACACTGGCACGGATCTCCGCCGTTCCGGTATTTTGAAAGGGAGGGCGAGGCGGTTTCGGTGGGGCAGCACTCGCAGGTTTGACCAGGGCCGTTGAGATCACCCACGGCCCCCCTGTGGTCCTCGTCCCCAATGCCGGGGTATCGCTGTCTCAGGGCTGGAAATCGTGGGCGGGACTGGCAAGTTCCAGCCATTCACGTTCCTCGATGTCATGTCGAGGCGCGGGTGATCTCGTTCCCTGGAACCGCTTTTCAGCTCGCCCCAACTGTCTGGGAAGGAGGGACGGGTGTCTGGCGTTCGCAGAGGGAATTTCAGAAAGACGGGGCAGTCGGCGAGGGTACCGGCGATCATCTTGGGCACCGGCGAAACGGAACACGGAACACGGGCGTGATCCGCCTGCTCGGCTCTGACGTGGTGTTACGGGGAATATTACCGTGTGTAACGAACAGGATAGACGGCAGCAAGGCTGTTGAAGCGGTAGCGATCATCTTCTGCAAGGCATCTGATCGTCTCGATGGGTGGTTGGGAGCTCTTGCTTTTCGGCTGGTTCAGCTCGTGCGACCCGGGTCCGATGTCATCGATTGTGTTGCTGATCGTGGGTAGCATTCCGTGCTCTGGTTCGATCCGAGTCATGGCCGCCGCCTTTCGAGGCGTGGTGGGTTGAGAGAGATTGGCTGGGGGGTGGGAAATAACAAATGCTACAATTCTCGACCAAACAAAATCAACGGCGCAGACTCCGGTGGCTGGATCAAAAAGGCTGAGGATTTGGTTATCGTGACCATTGCCGTATTTTGATCATGGTATTGTATTATTCGTGGGGTTTCCATGTTGGAAAGTCGTTCAGACTCCAATCCCTCGGTCCCAGGGCCGAGGCCCCAGTTAAAATGTTAACGTTAAGCCCTGATGCATCTACACAGTACCCGTGTACAGAGGCTGGCATCCATTGTTCTTTCCAGAGAAACCTCCCATTTGTGAACTCGGGATGAACCCCGGCCCAAACGGGACGCGGCAAACTCGGTCGGCCCTTCCACCTTTCATGCGCATGAGGTGCCACCTTCCAATTTTGCTGCTTTCGCTTCGTAGTAGGGACGGTAGGGTAGGTACATAGCAAAACTGGAGGGCACTTGCTTTTTTTGACACCGCCCTCACGAGGAAATCGTCACCACCATCTCCCGAGCCAACTAAATTCATTAGGACAACTGGCACTCTGCAGGCTGTTGATGAAGTTGCATGGTCCACATTCACTGCCTGCAATGTAATCTCGTTCTTGCGTCGGAAAATGCGCGGCATCGACCGCTATTATGTAGGTAGGTATTCTTCCTGGGTAACTCGCACTGAGTACCAATTATTATTGTACAAGACATGTCCACTTTCGTACCCTATTTTCCGTAACATTGCCGCCTGCCCGTGCCCACATAGCCCATGATATACGACAAAGGAAAATGGCATCCAATAAAGACGAGGATGTTGGGTAATAATGTAATGACGGGCGAGTGACCGACATAGGAAAGGAGAAAAAAAAAGTGAAATGGAAACTGGGTATCCTAAAACGAAGCAATAAACCGACCCGACAAATGCCCTTTGTCTTTCATCCGCTGAGAGGTATCCGTTCCAAGGTGACAAACCGCCACCCGAAGAGAGAGAAAACGCCAATGCCAACCGTGTACGCCGTCCAGAGCCCAAGAGAAAAGGATGTGTCAGATCCCCTAGTTAAGCAGGAACGAGAGTGAGTTTTTGCCTCTCCTCTCGCCCTCGCTATCATGCTCGTGCTCTTGGTACGAGTACCCAGTGCTTGGCCTCCGCCCCTTTGTTGGGTACGGCTCCCAGCGCGACGAAGAGATCGAAGCCCGGCCGATGGGCGTGTTGGGTGCCGTGGTGACGTAGTGGCTACGGGGGGAGTAGGTGTTTGGTTGCATGACCTCGGACGACCGGCGAATTGGGCCCGGCCCAAAGCTATGGCTAAGGAGGGCAGGGGCGGGGAGACAGCTGCCTGTTGGTGGTGTTGGTGGCGCGTAGAGGAGGGGTGGCAGTGAGAAGGTGGTGGGCGAGCACGATGCGGAGGCGGGCTGCGAGATGCTCCAGGATGACCCGTTGTCCGACACGAGGGACGGGGGCCGCTCCGAGTCGTAGGAACGAGCGGGCGAGGACCGGGAGCGGGCGACCTCGAAGGGGAGGTCAAGAGGGACAGGAGGGAGGATCCCGCGGCGTTCGGGAAGCGCAGCGAGTCCCAACGACGGCGAGAGATCTTGAGGGTACTGCTGACGCTGGCTGTGCTGTTCTTGGCCCGCCTCTTGTCTCTTGGACGTCTCCTTGCGTTTGGCTCCGTTCCACCAGTTCTTGATCTGGTTGTCGCTGCGGTTGGTGCCCAGGTTCCTGGCAATCTGTGCCCACCGTTGCCCGCTCTCGCTGACCATCCTCATGATCTGCCGCCCTTCGTCGTCCGAGATGGGAGAGCGGTTGAGTCCGGGCTTGAGGTGCTGCGTGTACCGCTCCCGACACTGCTTGGCCGACCGGATGCCCATCCCCCCTGCGATGCGAGTCCAGTTCGGCCCATAAGCAGCGTGCAGTTCCAAGAGGAGAACATCCTCTTTCCCCTCCCAGTTCCGCTTGTTGAGAGCCTGTTCCGACAACATGGATGCTGTGGTGGGGGTTGTTGAAACAAGAGATTGTCGACCTGAGGTCCAGGCGTTCAAGAGCCGCGTCGAGAGGTGCGTTTGAGAGGCTGAGATAGAGGGAGGAAGTTGAGGCTGTAGGAATGTTTGTTCGTTTAATAGTGACGATGGTAAAAGTATCCAAGAGAGCACCGAGTCGGTGATGTCGAGTTCAAGTAGTGGACGGATTACCGATGGACTGGACAGAGTTGATGAGACGGAGGGGGGGTGAGGGGGCGGGGGGGTCATATACACCAAGGCAATCTGCATGGCGTGGGGAGAGAATAGTGATCAGTCAGTGCAAGGCGCTCCATGTCCAAACGATCGGCTGCCAGGGTCAACGCCAGAGGGGTGGGCAGCAAGTGCCTTGGGCGTTAAGTTAACGCGGGCCCTGTCGACTTCGCCCGGGATGTGGGCCTGGTCAAGCTCGCCAGGGGCCCCTAGGCGGGTTGCTGCCAAGCAACTCTGGGGGGGGCAGGAGGGAGAACACGTTACGACCCCCCCTGGGATGCAAGTTATCGAGCCGTATTACCGTGTACATACATACGTACCGCTGCCGTACCGATCCCATGCCACACGGCTATCCCCGTCAAACCGGGGTTCTTTTTTTTGGACAAGTTGTATCCGAGTACGAACGACCAGTTCAGAAACAACATGGGAGACTCATGGAGTGGCCCAAAATACTACCAAAACGCAGATGACTCGCCTTGGCTCGACCAGGTGAATTCTGCGACGCCGACGGTCATCGGTCCGCCGTGAAGGTCGTTTACTGCGGCATCGTGATCAACGTCATCTCCCATTCCAAGGAGAGCAATGATTACGCGCAGTTCTTACTCCCAAACCACCCGTTTGTTCAATTTCGTGGATTTGAATCCATGTCGAGAGGTGTTCAGCTACGATTTTTCTTCATGCGTCAGCGATATCTCTGCATCCGGAGCAGAGAAGTGCAATATTGAGGTGCTACAACCCGTCCTTCGGGAGCCATGGTGCTGGGAATGATGCTCACAGATGCAGGTCATCAACCTGGGACGGGAAAATTAGTCAAGCTCCCTTGGGCAATTCTAGTAACAAAAACAACAACGTGGGTGGTACGCTAGTTATCGGGTTGTTCAGTTCAGTTCGACGCACCTGAACCGCATTGAAGACGGGATGCAGAGCACCCTCGCTTCTGTACGGCACTTTCAGAGCAGTCGCGAGACCACGAGCTGATCTATTAACCCATGTCTTAGGGCATATATGATATCAGTATTATAGGCAGGGCCGAGTGCGCGACAACCCTCTGGACCAGGGGCACCGAGACGGCATCGACAAGCGAAACACGCTGTCGGGTCGCATCCCTTCTCTCTGGGCCCATCCGGCCAACCGGCCACTCCCCCGGGCAACCTCGACTCGCAATGGGACGCATAATCGGTAAATGCTCAGCTGCTCGGTCGAGTCGCAGATGCTCGGCTCCAGCGCCCTTCATCTCCTCGTCGAGGACTCAACGAAGGGGGTCGATCCAGCGGCTGGTTCATCAATCTCGTTAGTTAACCTCCTTGCTCGGGTTCTTCTTGCTTCTCGTCAGACTGAGTGATCCTTCTGCCGTGGTTCCGTTCATGCTGGTAGCTGCGGAATTGAGACCGTCCCGAGCACCTACCGTCGCTTCTCGAGATCCGAGGTGGGGTTTCTTTCTTGCGCGGCCTCCCTCTTGATCAACCACATCACAGCCCTGGTGACCCAGCGAGGCGGACCGTGTTGATCCTTGCGGGTGGCTTCAGCGACCCGTTCACTTGGGTTCGCGGCCGGCTGAATGCACGTTCCGGGGTTTGTCGACTCGCAACGGCGCCTAGCTTCCCTAAAACAGCTGTTGGTGCCCGTGCACGGGAAGTCCCATGCAGACAGTCAACGCAGGATCACTTCCTGTGCCAGCGACCGACAGGAGCCGAGGCGGACGGGGAGGCTCGAGACCAGAATTCTGAGGTGACATCAATCAATCAGATGGAGAGGGACAGCAGGCGCGGCACGCTCCCGCCTTCGCTCTCGCTCATGTCATGCACAATACCTCCATACCAAGTATGGGCAGAATCCCGTATGTATGGTGTGGACGAATAGGTACGAAGTATGCACATACTTGTACGTACATGTGGACAAAGTACCGACACAGGAGTTGCGCCTCCTGGGCGGGTGGGACATGACATGGCACGCACCAGAATACAGCTTTGGTTAGCGACATAACCAACTTGGAGAACCCGATCTCTCTTGAGTCCGCATTAGGCGCACTAATCATCCGGGCTAGCGAGGTCTCGATCAACTGCCTGCGGGGGAATCTGCAGTTGCTCCTCGTGGGCGGGCAGGGGAGCAGGTTTCTCTTTAATTCTCCGAAAACAACGGGCGATAGCTTGTGGGCGGGGAGAGGGTGGTGGGTGGCCAATTCTTCCTCATTTTCTTCCCTCCAGCCAGTATCTTGAGCGAACCTTCCACATGTCTCAAATGCCACGATTGCTCTTTCTTTCTTTGCCAACCCGGGCGGGGCGGGGCGGTCAGTTATCATTCCGCCACTGCCTGAAACCGTATGGATCGTGGTTTCCTCCGCTGGCGGGGGGGGGGGGAGTCAGCCACAAACTCCCAAAGGAAGCTCCCCCGCAATCTCGCTCCCCCTTGCACAACCAAAATCTGGTGTCGTTTCAGGACTCTGCACCGCACCCACAAGGCCCAACAAATCTTCGATCGAGTCACCTGAGCGCGCCGACTCCTCTGTCGATGCAACGAGAGAGCACGAAACCCCCATGCCGCCAAGCACCAAGCCACAGTACCTCGGCCCACCCTCTGGTCCTTGTTTGCGCCCTCTTGCACCGCACCCTCGACCAGCAGCTTGTCACATCCGCGACCTCTGGGATTGCTAGATCGTGATAGATGGGGACCGGGCAGCCAGCAGAAGCAGCGGCAGTTCACTTGCCCGCGCCCAATATGCGTGCTTTCGGTCGTCTCGTGCAGCTGGCCTGCATGATCGTCCCGTTCGCCCTGGGATCCCTATTCGCCAACACACCGTCGTCGCCGCCTCTGGGACAGACTGCACACCGATACCAGCAGCGACCCAGGCTGCGGCGAATCGTCAGTCCACACGTTTTGTTCGTCCCTCTTGCACGCGGGGTTCATCCTCTTCCCGACCTCGTGAATGCCTCGTGGACAATGGGCATTCAACCGATCTCCCCACGATCAACCGCCTGCCAATAATCTTGCGGTAACAAGGAAACGCTGATGCCGGTCGTTTTGCGGGTTGCCGTCCGGAACAAACGCCGATGGACATGGCTGTTACCGGCCAATACGAGCAAGCCTTGTGTGTGAGGGTGCCGGCAGCTCGGGCACCACATGTGGCTAAAGCCCGACTCGGCGACCTGGGACCGGGAAGGGGGTGGGATCCGCCCCTAGCGTTGACGCAAAAAACCGTTGTCACACAGCGCCGGGTCGGGGGCATCCAATCATGCAAAACAGATCTTCAGTGGCGCACCTTGCCCGATGGCCGGGAGCCCCTGCCGGTACGTACCTGAGCCGTTAACCGTTCCTGGAGAAATCTAGCGAACGTTCAGCTGCCTCCTGGACGCCTCGGCATCCCAATCGGGAATCCCTCACACCCCCGTCCCGCTGGGATGAGTGGCCCAGGCCAGCGGCCGGCTCCCCCTTGCCCGTTGTAATTTACCGCGCTGTTACCGTTACCTCTGACGCGGAAAGATTGCCCTCTGGGCCCCTGAAGTGTGAGAAAGACCCTTGCGGGGATGATGGTGTGTCGTTCCCCTTTTCTCCGCTGGGGAGCCCCTCGGTGACAGGGCTTCCAGAGGACGCGATGCAACCTCCGTTCTTTTTCGGATATCCACTCAACATGTCAGTGAAATCCTTCCAAGCAATCCCAGGTATGAACGCATCGACCAGGTCTCAAAATAGAAGGACACAATCCGATCATGATCTCATCGTCAATGTCAGGTGAAGCACTTGAGATCGCGAATTTGTGTGAGTCCCGGACAGTAATCTCACTGTGTATATGCGCGGCTGAGGTAGCTCAGGTACATACCTACGGATAACTACGCGTTCACCAGTCAAGTCACTCTGCATGGCCGACAACGGCTTCAACGTCATGAAGCACGAGAAACAGTTCACAATCACCCCTTTTGTTTTCATCGATCGCCCTGCTGCTCACTCCACGACTCCCCACTTCCGGAAGCCACAAATTGGCCGATGCAGGCGCCAATACCGCCATGTCAGTTTTTTCTGTCGTCCCGGCCATTCCATTGGATCGACAAGCCAGCGTCAGATCCCTGTCCAGCTCAAACCCAGAGCCGCCTGGAGACGGGATGTGAGCGGCAAGTAAAAAGTCCCCCTTCTTCCGAACAAGGGCGGAGAGCCTGGCAACAGACACAACAATGAGAAGGTGCCACTTCCAGCTGCCGGCCTGAGCCGTTTCACCTTCCGTTTCCCAGGGCAGGTCCTGGTTTCTTCCGTGTGGTGTAACTCCGGACACACCCCAGGCTGATCAGTCGTCAAGGAACGAGGTGGTGCGCATTTGTCCGCCCTTCATTCAGCGCCCGAGGCCGTGGCCGTTGACTGAAAGAGAGTGTGTGTACATACCAGGGTCGTCCCCGCCTCACTCATTGGCAGAGAAATGCCCTCACCCAGCTGGGGCCGTCCGGCCACGCCCGCCGCGCTGAGACATCTGAGTAGCCGTGCTCAACGGTTAGTGGATGACATACAGACCGGTACGCCTCAAACGAGGTGAAGCGAGGAGACTGATCCACACGGCGGCTGGCTGGGACCGCAAGATGGGTTGATTATCAACCCCCATCTTCCCCATGAGGAAAATGCTCCTCGATCGTGGGCAGCTGAGTGTTGGCCCGCTGCTCCGGCCTGAAGATTGTGATTTCCCTCACATCCAAAACTGAGTCTGAAGTCGTCATGCCGGTCTACAATCAGCGGGAGCGTCGTGACGGCCTTCGACAGCCCCGACCCTGCTCAACTTTGTGACGTGGCTCATGCAGTTTGAACCTCGAGTGCGTGGAGAAGCCCGCAGACCTGTTCTCTCGCATGTCCCCCACTCCCTCCCTTCCCGAGCTGGCCAAAGGAAGCGGCCAGTCCAGCTCAGGTTTTGGGCATTCCATGACTTACTGTTGTTCTCTCTGAGCAAGCAGGCCGGAGGAGGGGCCGGCCCTGCTCCCTTGAGACTGCCAGCATCAGCGTGCCGTAAAAAAGCAGCCGCATGGGGCAGGTCAAGTGATGCGATTGCTCCCGTCTCTCTGCCCCTTTACTTCGCTTGACCGCCTTGCCTTGGTTGCTCTAAGAAAGTCACAGTGTTGGCTCGGCTCAGCTAATATCCAGGAGCTACGAAGGGCGGGGGCGAATAACTAGAGGGCAGTAATCAAGCACCCTTTCGGTAGCAGCCCCTTCTCGGCCGCCCACAAGCAGCATCTCAGCTCGGCTCAGCAAGATCGATGAGACCCGGAGTTCCCGCCCGCAGCCCTGGGGCACAGCTTCAAGTCAAGCCTTCCGCCGAGGACGAGGCTGCCCCGGGGCACAACCCAGTTCACCGCTCCTGTCCTATCACCCTTCTTCTCGTTTTATCTCCAGAGATCCCAACCCTCACCCGACGGCCATTCACCCACCCAATCCACACAGCTTCACGCCACGGACTGTTCGACGTGCATCCGAGACTCCCCCATGTCTCACCTTGTTCTCGGCGCTGCCAGCACACACACATCCAGTACCACAGACATCCAGAACTGTGGCGTGATCCCAACGGCACGGGCACCTGTCACAGCCCAGTGAGGTGCCCCAGAATCCCATGCCCATAGACCAAGAAACCACCCGGACCATTAGGGTCGCGAGGAATGAGAGACATGCAGCAGGTGGCAAGCAAATCGCGGGAAAACGGGGAAGCGATAAGGGAGGGGAGGGGGGCTGTTGCGGTTATTGAGGGGGAGCGTCCACCTGGACGTACATTGGTCCCGCCCCTCGACGTTGCGGTCTGGAGCCTCGCAGCGTCTTGTTGGTATTGTTCCCCCGACAGGACAGCATAGACTACGGGGGAGAGGTATTCGTAATCCTTTTTCTCCTCCCCTCTCCCCGCTCCACATCCATGGCCAGCTCACTCCTTAACGGGGCCCGGCTTCCGTATTCCCTCTCATCCTCTGCGTGTCTCTCTATCGGTTCATGGACAGCGCCGTGCTCCGTCCCTTGTTCGCGTGCTGCCCCCCCTTCCCCTCACGTAGCGGGCGTGCCTCCTGTCGGCGTCCAACTTAGCGCCGGTCAGCCAGGGGCAGGGATGGGAGGAAAGGGGCACAACTTCGAGCCAGCTTGGTCCAAGAGCGGGCGCCATGGCTAGCGGCAACGGTTAGGGCCACTAACTGCCATCGGCAGCAGGCTCAACGAACGGTGGGTGGGCCTTGTGCAGAAAAAGGTTTGGTTTTCGAGTGTGAATGGACGGGGATACCGTTAGAATGGACGTCTCACTTGCCACTTTCCCACCAGTTGCTTCGCAGATTACACCCACCCCTCCCCCCTTCTTTTCTCCGTGATGGGAAGCACATCGCCGACTACTGGCCAACCGGGGGACACGCCGCACCCACCCACCCACACTCACACCATGGACGAGATAAACAGACAGATGTGTGTCTTGGGTTCTAGCCTGTTCTGCTCCCGAGATGCGACGTCACACGCAGCCCGTTGCTTCTTTCCCCTTTCTCGCATTGATATGATGGTATGAAACCTCGGGACCGGACCCATGCTGAGCGTCGTCGATGACTTGGCCGCGCTGGTCCCTGAGTTGCACCAAGCACGCTCAACTCGTCACTCCGCTAGTTAGTCAAGCATGGGGGGCGGCGGGCGGGAGATCGGGAACCATCGGCCGTCTGGTCCTGGCGTGAATTGGGCCGTGGGCCGTGGCACGACGGGAGCGCCTCTCTCTCCCCAGCCTGAATGGGCCGGGGAACGGTTTTGCGTCCCGCCGCTCGCGCGCCTGGATCGGTTGGGCTGGGGCCCAGTCGGCCGCCGAGAGAGATGGCCTCGCAAGCCCCGTAGTTAACCGCATGCTTACACGGCCTGCCATGGCACTCCGTTCTTTTTTGCCTGGCAAGGCTGCTGCTGCTGGAGATCGAGAAAGGGGGCGCCGCTCTTCAAGCCCTGTGTGAGACAACCGCCCCGGGAGAGGCGCCGATCGGAGTCGAAATTCTCGATGCCATGGCTCTGTAAAACACTTGGTAATGCTTACACTATCGTCACCAAGCGGCGGATTGTCTCTCTCATCGATGAGACGAAATGAGACATGTTTCTTGCCTCAGCTCGGCCGTGACGAGAAGCACGGCTCGGGTTCGATCACCGTCCTCCCGTCTCCCAGACCGCCGCGGCGGCGGACAACGTTTCTGCAAACTAACTACGGTGTGTTGATGTGCTGACGTGCTGATGTGCTGGCACCGCCGGCACTGACCAGCACCGCATAATCTCACCTTTCTTTTCCCTCGTACCGTGATACCGCACCCATCACTCACCTTCATCCACACACAAACCGGGGACCTTCAAACTCAAAGTCCCCCTCGGCAGTGAGGGAAAAGGTCGTTTGCCGTCTGTGGTTGGCTAGGTGGGGAGATTGCAATTCGGCCGCTTCAGAGCTGAACGGGACGGGGGAGACGGGAAGGATGGCATCATCAACAAGCACAATCTGATAATGGGATAATGGGGAGCGTTAGCGGGTGGGGTGGGAAAGGGGGCGTGTGGTACGGAAGGAAATAGAGGCGAGCTGAACTGTCTCGTCGACTGCTTTTTTGGAAACTTCCATGTTCTTTGGTCGGCCCACGGTAGGGGCATCGGTGACTGACCATGGGTGATCGGGTTGGGCAGGCGGTCGTGACGTGTTCAGAGGGCTTGGGGACTTGTAACAGATGCTGGCGGGTGGCTTGCTCTCGCAAGCAGGCTCCAGACCGAGAAGGAGGCCGGGGACTGCGAGGACAAATGCTGCCAGCCTTCTTGCCGTTGCCCCTGAACGGGCGTCCCAGATCGCGTTGGCTGATCGATACGTTTGGTAACCCCCTTTTGCAAAGTGCCACCGGGTATCAGGGTCAAAGTCCCTCCGCCTCATTGTGTAGACTATGCCGTACTGTCTTCTTACTCGCAGCGGAGGAATGAAGCTGACAAGAGTGTGCGACGAGGCTCCTGGGTCTGGCAGCGTTTTACTTCGCCGCTGTGGTCTAAGAGGACAGTTAGAGGTCACGCGGTAATGGGGCAAAGGAGTTAAACAGAAGTGAGCTTTCATTCTTCGCTGCTAAAACACATTCGCTTGCACTCCTGCTTCCCATGAACCGCTGTCGGAGCACAACGCTCGGTGTTGTGCCATACCGTGGCATACATCTATGTGCCCCAAGAGCAAATCGTGCTGGAGGGAGCGTATGGTGAGGCTGTCGCTGCCCTACCGAGCGGGAGAAGCTCCGAGCATCCTGTGCCCCTCGTATAAGCATAATTTATCAGTTAGGAACTGTCTTGCCTTCGCTCATGGTCGCTGTTATTGCCCTCAAGTGCGCCATCACCACGGCCACCATCATCGCCCACCCATCTGACAGTATTAGTGGATGTGGAATGGCTCATCGAACCGGAGCTAGAGTCTGACGGTGGTGCAGCTGGCACACTGCCTTCACTGTCAGATACCGCGCCCCGAAGGCCCGACAAGACCGAAAGCAACCTGTTGGTTTCTGCTGGAGCTAGGGCTTCTTCTCCCGTAGATGGCGCGAGTGGGGGATAGACCTCGGGGGGAGAAATAGGAGAGGTCACGGATAAAACCTCGTCGCCCCCCTTGTCGAACGAATAGCACCTGCGCCGCTCTTTCATGTCGGTTGGCTGGGCTAGCAGAGACTCGTGATGTTCAGAATGGCGGGTTGTGATCCTCAACTGTGGCAACACCCCTTTGCCCTTGCCCTCGCGCCGGCCCTCGGGCGCCCGGTGACTTGACTCTGATGCCTCGGAATGTTTCTTTCCCTTATTCGGCCGGCCCTTCGATTTACCGAACAGGCTGAAAGAGGGCGGTGCAGGGTCGACCTCTGTGTCAGGAGATGATGAATCCGAGGACGACGTCGATTCATTATCCGTTGACAGAGAAGACTGGGATTCGAGGCTAGGTGTAACACTTGGCTGGTCGTTGCTTATGATCGCATATTCCGTCGCCGTCTCGACAAAGGTATCTTGACTTGCGATGGGATTCGAAGAATGCTGGTCCCTCAGAGTATCCTTGAGGATATCATGAGGTTCAGGAGCGCCACCTGGGTGAACAAGGACCGGAGCAGCCCTAACTCGTCCTTCTCGGCGTTGGTGGCGAGCTAGGCACTCTTCAAACTCGCGCTGTTCCACGACACGGCTCAGGGTAACATCGTTTTCAGCATCAAGGATCCTTGGGATTGCGCCTGTATGCGGTTAGCACCGAGAGCGTGATTCCGGTCAGGCGTAAACCTACACAACGTCCTGTAGCTGCTCGTGGCTTCGGCAAGGTCAATCGGGTCCTCTTCCTCCGACGGCCGTGCCTGGTCTTCTTTGGCGGCCTCTTGAGTTTGCAAGCTGTGCAGCCGCTTCAGCTTGGCGTGGAACCGCTTGCTTCCGACACGGTCGACGAGACTCCCATGACGGGCGAGGGCCACGCTGGCCACGCCGTCCCTGCTCTCCTTGGCCAGGGCGAGCTCGAGACGCTTGACCTCTGCCTTGTAGGCCTCGCCGGTCTCGATCCACTCCTCCGTCATGCCGCGGAACTGCTCCAGCTCTCTCTCCCGCAAGTCCTTTATCTCTGCGAGTTTCTCTTCTGTGTCTCGCAACTTCCGAGTCAGGCGGTAGAAGCCCTCGATGAGGGACAAGACGCACGAGTGGTAACTACAACAACAAACGGATATCAGCGAACCAACCCAACCAACACCGCAAAACAAAACAAAGCAAAACAAAACAAGAAAAACAAAAGCCAAAAAAAAGGGAACTCACGTCGGATCCAACCTCTCCCCCGCCCCCATCCTCCCCATCACACTACTCAACAACTCGGCCATCTGCATCAGACTCGGATTATGCCACGGTTCCCTCGCAGCAGCACCCCCCTCCTTCCCACTCCCATTCCCACTCCTCCCACTCCCACTCCTGCTCCTCGCCCCACCACCACCACCACCCCCTTCCGAACCCGCATAACCCGAGTAACCCGAGTAATAATAATCCATCTCACTTAGCGGCAGCATCGCCAGCGACGACGACGACGCCCCCCACACCGGCGGCTCGGACTCCGACCCCGCGGAGCCTACCCCCGCTGCCATGGCGTCGAGGGTGGATGACGAGCCATTCCGGGCGCTGCTGTTCTTGAGGCTGAGGAAGCTGGAGACGGTGCGGAGGGTGGCGCCGGCGGATTTGCGGTGGTGGTGGTGGTGGTGGGCGTGGTGGGAGTGGTGTTGGGAGTGGTGTTGGGAGTGGTGTTGGGAGTGGTGGGAGCGGCTTTGGGGGGATCCGGTAATGGGGGAGTCGGTTGGGGTTGAGACGGGGGTCGGGACGCGGTGGAAGGTGTGGCGGGTTTGGAGGGTGGGCGGTTGCGATTGCGGTGGTGGCGGTGGGTGTTGTTGCTGGTGTTGTTGTTTTGTGATGTTGCTGCTGGAGCGGCCGAAGGTGCGGAACCAGCTTGTTGTGTTTTGGTTTGGGTTGTTGTCGGTCATGGTTTTTGTTTTTCGTTGGGTCGATGAAACTCGTGGGAGGGTGATGGAAATGGGTTGTTGACAAGGAAGTTTTGATAGAGGGTTGTTTGATGGAATGTGGTTTGAGGGTCGTGTCGTGGGTAGTTGCGAAAGTTGAAGATTTATGGGGTAAATTAATGGGGATCTCAGGCAGAGAGGCAGAGGCATCACGGGCTCGGGCTCGGGTTCGGACGAGAATCGCATGAGAGAAAGAAGTGGAAGGAAGGCGCGGCTCGCTGTGGACCTAAAGGGATGTCGTCTCGTCTCGGTGAACAAACAAATAATGGGAACAACTGCGCAGTTTCTAGACAATTGGAACCACCCTTTCCTACAGCTGTACTCGCAGAACTTGACAGTTGGAAAGGGAGGATACTGAGCCATGCATTCATTCATATGTCAGATCGAAACACGTGGGAAATGAAGGGAGCACCTCGTCTGAGCAGCAGAAAATCAGACCCGTCATCGGTCTGTCGTGTTTATTCGTTGGCGCCAACTCCACGGCATCGCCGATATCTTCGAGAGCCGAGGAAGTCGGCAAGAAACCATCGTCGAACTCGGTTTATATATCATCCTGCTGGCCTGGTGACCCAGTCAACACCACCGAGCCGCATCAACAAAGCCAAGTGGTCACCATACCTCCGTCTCAGCCCAAGCCCATGTGCATCTTGCTAGCCTGTGTGCTCCGCGTTTTCCCTCGCCCCGTTTTGTGCTTCGAGCGACGTTTTGCTTCCCGTGATGAAACGACGAGGACGACCACCTAGTGAGGGGAGAGAGGGGTCGTCGTGATGATGAACCCCGAGCGACTGTCGCTAGCACACCAGTCAGCCTTGGCTATGTGCGCCGTAGTGGCCTTTGGGCGACGAGCCCATTCGTCAGCTTCCCGTCACACATTACAACAGCTAATAGAACATGTCCTCTGCTTTCTGTCTCCTTCGGCCCCTGCCCTCGATCTTCTCTGCGAAAAGCTCCTTGCTGGCGTTGCTGCCACCGCCAAACTTCTCAGGGAATAACTCCTTGGCTGTGGGCCCCGTGCCCTTGATGGCGATGCCCTGGTCGTTACCGCGTTTGCCGGCGATACCGCGTATGTTGAAACCGCCCGCGCCAGGGGCGGTAATCCGATCTGCAAGACTTGCTGGAGTGGGTGTCAATGAGTGAAACAGGGTGATGGGGTTTGATAACAATAGCAAGCGTCATCTCGAAACCGTTGTGCGTTCTGTGAAGCTAGAGCACTCGCGCTAGCCTCGCCGCGAGAGAAAGTCGAAACATACCGCTTGCCAGAACCGTGGTGTCGCTGACTTGATCCATCTGTGCCCTGCTACCGACGGATGAGCCAGCCTTGGTGGGAAACAGTTCTCTCGCCCTGTTGTCCTCCCTCGACGGGAAGAGCTCTTTGGTGTTGTTGTGCCGGGACAGGCGCTCTTTGATCGAACGCCCCTTCTCCCGGCTGCGTAACGCCGCGGCTGACCGCGCTTCCTCATCCAGATCCATCTCGGCATCCCCATCGCGGTCTCGGACCGGCGAAGCTGACCGACCGCGCAAACCGCGGCCACCCCCGGAGAGTTTCGTCGGGAAGAGCTCCTTCTCTCGATTCCGCTGGGCTGCTCCCCTGGTATCGGAAGAGCTCGACATTGAACGCCGCCTCGGGTGTGAGGATCCGCTCGTGCGTGTTGCCAAGGCTGACGGGTCATCATCATAGAAGTTGATGTCAAAGGTTTCGGGCTCCTCGTCATCGCGGGGGTCCCTTCGTCTGTCGCCCCGCCTGTCTCTCCGGTAGCGGTCGTCCCGGTGGCGGTCGTCTCGGTCCCGGTATTTTCCCCTACCAAACTCGCCTCGGCGTCGGCGCTCCTCCGGGTCGTATTCGGGGTGCAGTAGGTAAAACCGGCTGCGCTCCGACGCCTTGGCGGCCTTTCTATCTCCCTCGACAGCAAATCGAATGCGTAATGTGGACTCGGGCTTTTGCGAGAAGCCCTTGGCGGGTATCACCTCGAGAGGCGGCAGCTGCGTCGCGTCGGCAATCTCCACGGCCGCAAGCGCGACGAGGGCTTCCTGTGCTGCGTGTTCGGACTTGAAGATGAAATTGGCCGATGTGTCGTCGATCCACTCCACGCGACCAAGTTCGCTCGTGGTGTAGTGTTCTGCCAGATAGCCCTTGACGTGGTCCGGGTTGAATGTGTCGAGGCCTTTTATGTGCACCTTGTATGGCACCACTGCCTTGTCATTGTCTGCCATGTCGCCATTGTCTTCGTGGTTGGGTGCCTCCTCTACCTCGCCGGGTTCCTGCACCGAATGGCAGTTAGCGAGTTGCACTGGGCGGGAGTGGGAAGCCCGTCGCCGAATCGAACCTGTTCTTCCTCCGAGACGAGATCTTGGGTATATGCCTCGGGAATTGTGGGAGCCGGCAGGTTGTGGACGTCGTCGACGTCCATTTCAATGTCGAGATCCATGGTGAGGAGTCTGGAATGTGGACGCGATGTGATGGGATGTGATGCGACAACGCGCTCGACTTCGTGTGATGGAGTTTGCGGCTCGACTTTTGCAATAACTGTAGGATAACTTTGGGAGAGGTGGGACAATTAATGGTTTAGGAAACGAGGGAACAAAGCATTGTGTTATCGGGAGCAAGATAAGGTATATGAGAGGCAAGCCAATTAACGTAAATGGTAAGGCTGGCTGCGAGATCGAAGACACGCGATGTTGGGCTGCATTCGCAAGGCTGCGGCTGGTGGCGCCCGGGCGTTTGGTTGCGGTCGGAGATCTGGTCTTGGTTGGAAGAGCTTGGGGAAGGTACTTGGTTGTACTTGATTGCTTTACTTTGCGGGAAGGTACTTTAAGTTACCTATAGGCTAAAACGGCCCGTGCTCCGAGATCCCTTGCCGTTTACGTCGGCCATGAAATCAAGAACTGCCCGTTGTTGACTCCAACCCTTCAACACACCAAAAAGGCGACATCCAAAAGCCGGAACGATCTGTGTCTCACCTGGTCTTTTCGCCATTTTATTTTCAGAATGCCTTCTTCCATCCCTATATCAAATACTAGAAGAATTTTCAAGTTGCCAGTCACATTGCCTCGTCGTTTCAGTGCCTCCTTCCAGTCTCCAAAGTTTAGAAACTGGCACTCCAAATTCACAGCAGAACTGCTAAACTGACCACTTGCCCTTTGGAACCCATTCTTACACAACCCTTTTTAGTTATTTCTTGACCTGCTCTGAAGTCAGAGATGAGAAGACCCCACCGACTGGACAACGGGTACCTAACACAGTTCCTCATCGCCAAACGCTGTGTAACCCGGCATATCCTTGCCATTGGCTGGATGGAGGCGGTCGAGCTTCGCATCAGGCGAGGGGACGATGTTAATCCGGACATCGTCAAAACCAATCGGCCAAGGAATACGGCAACAAACCGATAAAATCCCAACCCGCCTCCTCTCTCATCCTGTCCTCCGACTCAAACACAGCCATCGGCCCGAGGTTTCACTTCACACCATACACTCAGCATCGGCCGGCTCTGGGCGGCCGGACTCGGCGGGTAGAGAGAGTCTATCATTTTTGATTTCAACTAACCTCCTTCAACAAGCCACGCCGGCTGCCAGTTGCCAGGTAGGTACGGAACCATCCTCCCATGAGGCTTGCCGCCATGTTCGACGACACAGGGCTAAGTATTTCCTGTTATCACCCACCCATCCCCAAACATTCCACCCAACTCACTCATCCATACAACGGCGTCAAGATGAATAAATAGAAAAGGTAAATGAATTCGACAAAATATGACGGAGGGAGGTGAACAAAACAACCAACAACCAACAACAGCACCAGCAACAACAAAAAAATGCCCAACACCTAACCTGGATAAGCCAAGCCAAAATAAATACCCACAGCCCCGCGCTGTATCGTTGTACGCCGTCTTGTCTCCGTCAAACGCCCCGACCCTTTCGCCTTTCGCCTTTCGCGCGACCCCCTTGATCCCCCAAGTCTATAACATTACGCCCCTTTCAGCGCGCTATCAGCACAGTCTATACCCTGTGTTTGTTTGTTTGTTCGTTCGTCTCACATTTATCCTCTTCCTCGCCGGGCTAGTCAGGCCAGACGTGATCGAGTTCTGTACCGTCCCGTACCGTCCTGTGCCACCCACCGGATGCCACATGACCCAAGCGGGCATGGTCGGTTACCTATATCCAGCCCCAAAATAGCACTTTGCCCCCCCCCAACACCACTCCACTCACGCAGTCTTGATGGTATCCCTCCTCCGACTAATATCCACGATCGGCCCGGGCGCTTGGCCCCCCGTCGCCGCCGCCGACACCACCGACGAGGCAGGGCACGCCCTCTTCACCCTCGCCTCGTCACCTCCTCCTCCTCCCTCTGCTCCCCCGGAGCCGGTCGACGCGGCGGCGGAGGCCGCCGTCCCCGAGCTGAAGCTGTTGGACCGCGACATCTCCGTCAGCGGGCGCTTGAGCCCCGCCACCACGCCCGCGGCCGCGGCCGCGGCGACAGGCGGCAGGGCGGTGGTGAGGTCGCCGGCGGCGGGGCGGTCCTCGTCGTCGACGGCCATGTCGGCGTCGTCGAAGGGGTCGGTGTCGAGCAGGGCGTCGTGGGCCCAGCAGGACTCGAGGCCGTCGAGGAAGACGGGCGCGTGGCGGAGGGTGTGCCAGCTGATGGTGTGGCGGCGCATGGCGATGTAGAGGGAGTCGATGACGCCGTGGGGGTCGACGACGGCGCAGTGGCGCCGCAGGAACTCGTGGTCACAGCCCGGCGCGCCGCCCACCAGCAGGTGGTGGCGGCCCGGGTCGTCGAGCTGCCGCAGCATCGGCAGCCCCTGGAGGGTTGCTGCGTCGCACAGCTTGGCCTGCAGCGGCATCCACTCGCGACCCCGCAGGAACTGCCCGAACGCCTTCTCCACCGCCTGCTTGAACGACGCCGCGTCGCGCCCCTGCACCGCGATCATCTGGTGGAGGCCCCGCGACAGGCACCGCTGGTACGCCGTTGTGTTGCGCTCGAACGGCATGGGCACATAGGCATGGGGTAGGAGGGAGACGTGCACCGTCCAGGGCCCCGTGGGCCGGGCAGAAGGGGAGAGGCTCGGCCGCGGTGAGTGGTAGTGGTGTTGTTGTTGTTGGGTCAGGCGTCTTCCGCCGCGCCCTATGTCGTCGCCGTGTCCTGGGAAGGGGCTGGTGTTGGCGCTGGCGATGGGGCCGCCCGTCGGCGATCGATACGGGTGTAGGTGGGCGGCCCCCGCCCCTAAAGGGCCTAAAGGGACGTTTGGGCGAGACGCGTCGGATGTCGACCTCCTTCGCGGTGGTCGGACGGCCAGCGCTGCCGACAACCGCAGTTCCTCTTCCTCTTCCAACGTCTCGGTTAGGTTCTCGATGCGCTCCTCCAGGCTGAGATCGGCGTCTCGGAGCTCCAGCTGCCCCGCATGCAGCCTGTCGAGCTGCTCGTCATGATCGCGGAGCTTGTCGTAGATCTGGCGGAGTTGCTCGTCGTGCTGCTGAGTCCTGCGTTCGGCCTGTTCGATGGAACGCCAGGTCATGCTGACGTTTCGGTAGGCCCCCTTAATTTGCTCACCAACCTCCTCCCTGCTCTTTTCCAAGTGGTCCTCCACTTCGTTCAGCCTGCTGACGACGCTGTCCAAGACGTCGTCTTGCCCTTTGGACATCTGCTCTTCGAGTTGCTGCAGCCGCCGTTTCAGAAGCTCGAGCTCCTGCTTCTGGTCTGTCGAGGGCTCGGGCTCCTTGTTGTGGAAACATGCCAGATGCCCACATTCACAGGTTGCGCCGGGGATGTCCATGTTTAGCGAGAAGTTGGCACATGCGCACCTCCGGCCCTTGACCTCGGGATGAAGCAAGATGTACCGGCAGTGCCCCTGAGGCATTTTCGTTTCATCCGGTTGGCCGTTGGCTGCCATCTGCAACGGCGACGGAGAGGCCGAGTGTACCGACATCTCGGGTATTAGAGGGGTGATTATCGCCTGAGAGCGAGAAGTGTCCTGCGGCGCCCCTGAGGCCGTAGGCTGATTCTGGTGAGGAAACAGCTTGGCTGATGGATCCTTGGTAGGTGGTAGGTGGTAGGTGGTGTCCCGGGAGGTGAAGACGGGACAAGGCGATGAGCGAGGGAGAGAGAAGAGGAGAGAGTGAAAGGGAGAGAGAGAGAGAGAGTAGCGACCCAACGACGGCAGCTTATCGGAAATCACACATGGCAGTCAGGAGCTGGACTAGCCGGGATATATCCATGGGGCAGCGGTGAAGTTGGCCGTGCTCGTCAACAGTAACACCCCAGTCTCGGCAGGGTCAGAAACACTTGGCCGCAGGGCGAGTAGCGGGGGAGGGGGGCCGGGAGTTATGTGTGAGAGGTGGGACTGGTCGTCAGGGTCCTCGAGAGGCTCTGTGCAAGCCGATATGTCGTGTGATCGAGACCCGAAAACAGCAGTGGTGGGTTAGCGATCGGGCGCCAATATGACGCGATCAGGGCCCAAAGCAAGGCAGGAAGGAATGGCCGACTGATAAACGATTCAGGACAGGCCAGGCCAGGCCAGGCCAGGGAGGTAGGGAGGCGGGGTTGGTTGGTTGGCTGGGGGAGAACGGGGAGCGCTCGGTGAAATGCTTGGGGGGGTTGCCGGTCCCAGATCTGGCGGTATCTGATCTATCTGTCTGATACCGAGGAATGCAGGCGGAGCGAGGGTCTCAAGGTTGCTGATAGGCAGGCAAACCGGTTGCAGGATCCCCAGGTCTTTGATCTATCTGCCCAGAGCGGCAGAGCGGCAGGTTCCCGTGGTAGCGTAGGTATGGAGATAACGTTTCCCGAGGTTGTGTGGAGAGTGCGGACGGTCCCGATAACGGCCAGCCGATGGAAGTTGTTTGTTTTAGTGTCGCAGTAGCAGCGTCGGGAGCGGGTAACTTTTTAAATGTCTTATGGAGCCGCGGAAAGGGAACAAGGCGCCCGACCCGACGAGAAAAACACGGGACGACGGGAATGAAGAAAGACAAAAAACAGCGCCGCGGTTGGCGAGGTTGTGGGCCGGGGAAAAGAAGGACGGAAAGGCCCCAAAAGACCAAAAAGAGAGATACCCAGTACGAAGAGATAGCGCCGGCTGCTGGGATTTGAGCAAGATAAATTGCTTGCCGGCCGGGCGAGAAGGTACCCAGCCGTTTCTGATGGCCATGGCAGCGGGTCTTTACCAATAGCGAGGTACCGGGGACGCCGCGGGTCGAGTTCCCGTGTGGGGAGGTTCCATCCTATGTGGCACTACGCTGCCCCTCCACGACGCCCGCGCCCGCCGTACCTTTCTCTGGACCCCCGTACGTAGTAGACGCCGAGATGGCGCCAGCTGACGTGACAATTGTCTTCTTTCGACTGCGAGCAATGGAAGCCCGGGCAGCTGCCCTTGGAGCATAATTAGGTACCTCCCTAGCATGGACGGGCACAGACGTGTCCAGACCTGACTGAGGTGTGCGAACCTGAGGCGGTCTGGCCGGTGGAGTTTCTACTCTGGACCGTAGCATGTTGTGTGTAATACATTGCGGATCAAGTGGGAACGGACGAGCGCATTGTGAAAAGCCTTCCCACAAGCGTGGGCGGGACGTGGAGGGGGAAGACCATGCGTTTTGCAAAAGGTGGGCGCAGCGGCGGAGTTTGGTGTGTCAGTGACCGAAAGAGACGGCGCCGGCTTTGCACATGGTCAGGCTCTGTGGATGAACGGCCCTGCCTGCTCCTGCCTCCCAAACTTTTTTTCTTTCCTTGTTCCCCAGATCCATCCCCCCGCCAGTGGGTTGTGGGCTCCGTTTGTCCCGGGGGGGTCAGCACGACCAGCAGGGTCCTCACCCGTTGCGGACCAGGGGGGACTGTCTCTTTTGCGATGAACTTGTGGGCCAACGAGAAACTTTCTCAACAGGGAAACAGGGTCGATCTGACAGGGATACCCGGTGGGACTCGAGGGATGCCACATGGACCAGCAGCGACCACCCAGCGGCCGTCTGTGGGGGTCCAAGATAAGAAGTTTTGCTGCCTGAGGCTCCAGATTAGCGTGCGTTCCAGACTGCAGCCCCTCGAGCCGACAAATCTTGGCTCCCATTTTTGGCGCCAACATCCGAGAAACAAAAAAAAAAAGGCACATCGACACGGTGCATGATTCTAGAAGTTCGGCGGGAATCCCAGACCCCGATTCCTGCATCAAGCCTGCCTCCTGAATTTTGGCGGCCTGGGTCTCTTCCCATTCGGCCGCGATCTGGCGCTTTCACCGTTCCAGTCTCGGTTGAACGCCATTTTTGTTCCCGAGATGTGAGTCTGTTTGCAATCTTGGTGCTGCCGATGGCAGCTGCAAGATAAGGTAGGCTCCACGGACCAGGGCGAGCTGGGACGCCCATAACCGAACTCAGGCAGGTACCTTATTTGTTGTGTATGTACATTGTTGATTGTTATCTCGGACGACGCACCGTTGCACGCCGCTCAGTCTCGCAGACCACGGCTTTTGCATTGCTCTGGCTCCTCGAAACCAACTGCGTATTCCGTACTCGCCTGTCATTGGCCTTACCCCAATCTCCCTCGACTTTGCTCACATTTTCTCTCTGCGGCGTGTTGCACCGGCCTCTGGCGCAATTATGCTGTCGGCTGATGTGCCGATTATCCCGTTGCACAGCATTCATAACCGAGCAATCCTACGAATACATATTGTGGAAACGGGAGGGAGAGAACCAGCGCGCCGCGCCCCAGCCGACCCTCTGCGACCGATGCCGTCTCTCGTGTAAGTCCGCTGAGCCAAGATGGGGTGGCAATTATTCTCCGAGCTTACCGCACCTAACCATACACTGGATGTGGACGGTTGGAGGGCTGACGACTTTTGTGAACGACGAGAAGAAACCATCTCACAACGAAGAGGTGGCCTCCCGTGTCAGATCCCTGCGCTTGATCGGGTACCGCAGCATGGCACGCCAACCATGCCTGTCCTGACGCTCTGAGGCGCGGCCATATCGCGATAAGGGGGAGATATGGTATCAGAGTAGCGGTGGCCCGGCATGTTTCGGGTCGCTTGTCAGTTTTTCCCACAGCGCCTGCAGCGACGAGGCCCGTGAGGGAGGTCTGTGAACGAGGCAGAAAAGCTGTGGGCGCCATGCGCGCGCACGCCTTCGGCCAAAGAGATAACGTGCCGGGGCCGGCTGCGCGCAAACCGTTTCGTGATTTGCGAGGCTTTGGTCGCCATCCAACACCGAGTACCCGGCCTAAACCCGGCCAATGGCCTCCTCATCAGGGGAGCACGGGAGGCATGCGACGTCGAAATGCTGCGACGCGGGACGAGAGGTAAAAGGTGCAGCGGGCCCCCGGGTGATACCACATCATGCCTTTGAGCAGGATACGTGCATACGGTGCCGTGGGCGAATGGTCGTCCCCGGACCAGCCGCGGTTTTGTGTACATACATAACCAAGGGCTCCATCTCACGGGCCATGACAGCCGCGGAACCCTTTACCAACGACAGGTCCGAACCATGAGTTTGTTTGACACACGTCTGTGGGAAGCCGTCCAGATTGATAGGATGCTGCGTCCCTTGCGTGCTTTGTCGCGGAATGGTTGACACCCGTGCGCCATTCCTACTAGGCATTCGAACTTCGCGGATAAGTGTCAAGCGTCCATCGTCGTTGAAACGTGGCGTTCCCTTTATCGAGATCGGAAGGGGTTGTTCGGAGCTCGCAAACATCACGTTGGGGCGTCAGCACCCATCAAGGGACACGGTGAAGTGGGGAGAAGTTGGAATTCAGCCTCGAGCGGGTGCATCCCGCCGCCTCATCTTGGGAGGCGTTGCGCCCAGCAGCCCATTACCTAATGGGACGAGACCCCTTGTCGTGGGGTTACAGAAGCAGACAAATGGCAGCGCGCCTACCTAACACATGCTCGCCCGATTCGTACGGGTTCGTGCCGCCGGCCAGATCCAACGGCTTTGACCATCGGATCGGGCGTCGCCCTCGTGAAACGCAGAGGCGAACCGGGAGAAAGCAAACGGACAAGACGGAGGGGAGAGGTCAGCGCTCCCACGGTGATGGCCTGATGGATGAGATGAGCACGGCGGACCCCATGCATCCGCTCATTCCATGGAGTAAGCGTGTTCTGGCCTTTTCTTCCCCCCCACCGAGAAGCCGCCGCAAGCGCATTTGGACATCTCGAAAAGTACGTCAGCAAGCAACGGGGATCAAAAGCCATTCATGATCGAGCCGAGCCATTTGGCCATGTCCGATTCGAATCGAAATGTGCGGTAGACAAGGGTGAGAGAGAACAAGCCAAGGCCATTGGCGAGACCGGGTTGGCGATAACAAGCTCATCGCCAGATAAGCGTACCGAGACCATCGGCGCCCGGTCCGCACCACTTACACGGCAGAAGTTCTCTGCCCGATACGGACTAAACCTGTCGGTGAGACAGCTGGATCAAGATGTCGAACCCAGCTGCGCAAGGCTTTCAGAGAGATATCGTTGCTTCTTTCTCAGCCCTATCGCGAACCACAAGTGTCCCTGTCCAGAGCACGTCATCGTCCACCCCGGCTCACCCGAACTTTCTCCTTTGGAGGTGAAGGGACGAGTCCGATTGGGACGGCATGGGGGAAGCCTGGCTTGTACGGGAGCGAGCGCTCCCGCCCCTACCAAAACGTTATCTCTATCAAGTTGACACGGCGTGGACGCCGTCTCTTGTGGCGTGGCCGAGCTGGACTCGATGCCCACGAAACACGCGCCGAAAGTTCCTCCCCCGAACAAGCGTCGTAGGTTCTTTGGTGCCCTGTCTAGCTTCAGCCTGTGATTGTGCCGCCACAGCGGTAAGGTGGACCTGTCCAGTGCCAGACTAGTCACCGAGTGTCGACTCATCCCGCTGGATATCTCGTCGTGACTTGGGGGATGTTGGGGGTGTAGGTTGGGGGAGGGTTGGCCGACCCAAGCGAGCCCAGGCGGCTGGATCCCCATGCATCGACGTCGCGTAACGGTACCATTAGGCGAGTGGCATTCGTCGCACGTGGGAAGTTCATCTATCAAAGTCCAGTGAAGTGTGTTTCGGGACATGTGTGAAGATGGGGGTCGGCGGGTCGCTCGAGGGTATCACGAAGCGTATCATTCCAATTGGCCCGAAAGCCTCCCCCGTGCCTTTGAGGACGATGCCCGCAAGGACACATCGTTGGGAGGCTTCGTTCTGCTGGGCCGTGCCATCATCCTCGGATGCAAGTCTTATCTTCCACATCCCGCTCTTGGAGCCTCTCACGCCATCAGCCACTGGCGCGTCGTCTTCTTCCCTTGGCTCCGCCCCTGGAAGATATCCGGATCGACCTCATGAGTAGATTTGCGTCCGAAAGCCCATATTCGTCGGCGTAAATCCGTAATTGATGGGGAGCATGGCAGAATCCGCGTCTGTCTCAGAGATGACCTGGAACAGCACCGCAACACGCTATGAAGGGGCCAGGGAAGAGGGAATGGCCGTCAGTGGTTCTTCCAGACGCATGGAATGCCACCCGAGTTGAATATTTGAGTGAAAGAGGACATAGAAAATATTCGTGAGATTAAGGGCATTGTGAGTCGGTTATTGGCTTCCCATCGTCGGTGAGGCGGATAGGTTATCCTTTACCGTGGTGGTGAAGCAGAGAAGAGGCCTGAAGTGCTTATCGGTACTTCGTACCGACCTATGTAATCTGTGTTCCGTGCGTGACCGTCTTCCGTTCCTGGCCCGAATGCATCTCGGTGAAATAAAAGTCCGCCCAAAAAGAAGTCAAGGTGGGGAAAAAATAACTTGATTGGCAAGGGTCAGGCCGGTCAAGTTTATCGCGATAAGCTTTTGTTGCAGAGATCGCGTTCGAATTAATTGGAGGTTTTCGTTTTCGTTCCGGATCACGACGCCGATAACACAAGGATTTTGACTCCGATCCCGATTCAAGTGCACTGCCATGTTACGACTGGCTAGACAAGGACGTAGCGCACTGAGGAATCATTTTATATGCATATCATGTCGCGCCCTACTTACCACCGGTGCCACGAGGCTACCGAGTGCCGTCGCCAAACTTTGTGCAGCACGCCACTTCTCGTCGTCGGCGCTGTTGTCGACTGATCAGCCCTCGCAGCCACCGCAGATATCGGAGACAACCGAGAAACAGGCTGAGAAGGATCCCGAGAAGCACGACAATAAAAAGCCCGAGAAGCAGGACAGGAAGGATTCTGAGAAACGGGGCAAGAAAAGGCCCGAGAAACACGACAAGAAGGATTTTGAGAAACAGGATAAGAAAAAGGTCGACAAAAGGGACAAGAGAAAGGCCGAGAAACAGGCCAAGGAGGAGAAGGATTTTGAGAAATCCAAACCGTCAAAGTCGACCAAATCTTCGACGCCAACCAAGTCCCCACAACGGGCTCGGGCGGCTCGCAGGAGAGCCCCATCCGCCTCGGCGCTCTCCTCGTCATCGCCGACCATCAGACACAAGCTCTGGCGCGAGACCCTCAAGGTGTTGAAGGACATCAAGGCCGACCAGCGCCCACCGTCTCAAACGACCGAACATGCCCCCGCCACCGAACCTGGGGCTCAACAGCCCGCTCCCGCCGCCGATTCTGGCTCGCCGAACAAGCCGAAGGGAGCAAAGGGACCACCAGCCCGCGACGCAAACCTCCTTGACGGCGCTCTTGCAATGCTGAAGCAGGTCCTCCGCGAAGAGTTGCGAGATGATGCTCAGTTAACTCAACAGACCGTCGAACGTGTACTGGATGAGAACCCTCCGACCGCTGCGCCAAAGGAAAAGAAAATCACAGGCAAGACCTTAGCCGAGGCTTTGGGCGCTGTCAAGCCAGCGGGAGACAACCCGGCCGAGCAATCTACAGCGCCGACGGAGAACTCGTCTGGGAAGGCGCCTAAGAAGACTTCCAAATCCTCCAAGCTCGCACCGCTTCGCGCCAGTAAAAATACGGGCAGCAAGGGACCTCTCGACTTCATCGTCAACCGCATCGATGCGAATAAAATTGATTTGACCCCCATCGAGAAGGAGCAACCACCTGTCCCTAGTTTAGCTTACGGCCTGGATCGTGTGCTCTTTAACCCAGGTGTTTATCACATCCAAGATCCCCGCTCTCGCGTCTTCAACTTCGATCCCTACCTAGAGCGCATCATGCCCGTCAAGGAGTTCGATTACGACGCTATCAAGCAATACATCACGTCTTCCAAGGACACCACCCTCATCCAGACAGCCGCCGAGCACAACAAGAAGTACACGGGCTCGACCTCGAGCATGACTTCCACCCTTGCCCACTTCCACTATCTCCTCTCGGCCTGGCGTCCCATCAATCCTGGCATGATGACCAAAGATTTCGAGGTCGACTCGCACCGCTTCACTCGCATCCTGCGCGCCCCCGCCGCCACCTTCCTCCACTGGAAGGACGGCACCTACGCCATCGATGCCGACAAAGAGTTCGATAGCGCAAACGTTCTGAGCATGCTGGGCAAATCCATGGAAAAGTTCCTGACTCTGCCCAAGGAAGAGTTCGAAAAGTACCGTCGATCAAACTCGGACCAGCTGACAGAAGAGGAGCGCAACGGCCCCGAGTCATATCACTACACCACCCTGGGTGACTTCATGATGCGATCCCAGCTGGACGCCTACGACCCCAGGCTGCCTGGGACCGGCATGTTCGATCTCAAGACCAGGGCTGTCATCTCTATCCGCATGGACGCCCGCGATTTCCACAAGGGCATGGGCTACGAGATCCGCAGCCGCTTCGGCCAGTGGGAGTCATTTGAGCGCGAGTACTACGACATGATCCGGTCCGCTTTCCTCAAGTACTCGCTCCAGGTCCGCATGGGCCGCATGGACGGCATATTCGTCGCCTACCACAACACTGAACGCATCTTTGGCTTCCAATACATCCCCCTCCAGGAGATGGACCTTTCGCTGCACGGCCAGGAAGACGTGACCCTTGGCGACCGCGAGTTCAAGTTGAGTCTCTATTTGCTCAACAAGGTCTTGGATAAAGCCGCTGCCAAGTACCCCGGCCGATCACTACGCCTCCACTTTGAGACCCGAGGTGAGGAGACGCCCTTCATGTACATCTTCGCCAAGCCCGTCACCCCGGCGGAAATCGAGCAGATCCAGGGCGCCACGCAAGCCAAGATCGAAGAGTTCGAGCGCCAAATAATGGGCGTTGTTAGAGAGGCACGTGCCTTGGAGGACGAAGAGGGTGGGGAAGAGGGTGTCGACGAGGCCGACGAGCTTGATATCGACGAGGCCGAGGGCGAGCAGATATCCAGTTCTGGCGCCTGGGAGGACGTGATGCTCAGGGTGGAGGATGAGCTGGAGGACGAGGAGCACGGCCTGACCTTTGTCCGCGAAGCCATCGAGAATGCTCTCAGAGAGAGCGGGCTCCTCCGGTCCGCAGCGCCCGATGAGACACAGCGCTATGTCGATTCCTTCCTCGACGCGTTGACGGGCAACGGCCGCCGTTCCGCGCCCGAAGGCCAGGAGACCTCCGAGCTTGCCGAGTCGAGCGAGGCTGAGGCATCCGTTGACGCCGAGTCGGCTGCTGAGTCTGGCGCGGAGACCGACGCCACGTCGGCTGGCACTTCAGAAGCAGCGGAGGTCACCCAAGAGTCGAGCGAGGATTCCAAGGAGGGTGGGCGGGCGCCCGCAACCGAGGACTCATCCGCCGATGAACCTACCTTGAAAGACCTCATTGTCAAGCTGGCGATCCTTATGCGGGCGAGGCAAGCCCGGGCGAGGCAGGCCCGGGCGATCTCCGGTGAGAAGTGGTCCTCGCCCATCGAGGACGAGGGTATCATCGACGAGGATGCGTCGGAGGTCGAACTCAAGCTCCGGAAGATCGAGAAGATCCTCTCGGAGCTGGAGCCGACGGGCCAGCCGCAGGACGGGGACAAGATAGAGGAGGGTTTAGGCAACGGGGTTATTGAGACGGGCACCGTGGTGGTCCAGGAGGGGGGGGCAGGTGGAACCGACTGAGTCTGCCGAGCCGGGGGAGCCAACTGAGACAACGGAGACGGTCGAGACGGTCGAGCCGACCGAGTCCGTCGAGACAACGGAGACGGCCGAGCCAGTCGAGCCAGTCGAGCCGACGGAGCTCACCGAGACGGAGGATGCCACGCCGTCTGAAGATTCAGCAACGCCGCCCACCGAGGCAGCCGTGGAAACGGAGGGGACGTCGGCCACAGAGACGGAACAGTCCGAAAACGCAACACCGTCGGAGGAAGGAGAAGCAGAGCAAGAAGGAGAAGCAAGCGGCACCAAGCACTACCACGACGAAGCCGAGGGCGGCGAGCTGTACGGCCTGATCCTCACGATCCGCAACAGGGTCAACTGCGAGTACGTCGCGCGGCCCGAGAAGATGAACCGCGGGCACCGGTGGCAGGTGGAGTACGCCATCGAGGAGGTCAAGCCGGAGCGCGCGCAGAACCTGTACCGCATGGTGCTCAACCGCCGCAAGAACCTGCTCTACCCGGAGGACGCCGACGGCGGCGACGCCCGCGACGACGGCGACCGCTGGTACTCGATGTTCCAGGGCAACCTGAACCGCTACAGCACGGGCGGCCGCAAGTTCCGCCGCCGTGAGGATAGGCGCCAGCGCGGCCAGCCCGTCCATGTCTACGGTGCCGACGGGCCGCTGTCGTATGAGGAGGTGTTTAGTCACACGAAGGACAAGGCTGAGGAGAACGATGGGGATGAGGATGTGGATGAGGATGAGGATGGGGATGGGAAGCGGGCCCCTTTTAGAAAGGGGGGCAAGAAAAAGTGGTAGAGCAAGGGGCGGCGCATCCACTGTGTGCACAGATGTGTATTATAATGTTTGTGGGATAGATTTTGTACGACCAACTGTACCATATACGACGACATTCACTCTTACATGTCACATGAATGACTAAATCCTTGCCTCTCCATTTTCGTATCCCGCAACGTCTCGTTGAAACAAGTAAACAGTTTGAGGAAGCACCAGGTCAATTAACGGGTCTAACCTGCCAACTCCAAGCCCCTCTATTCTTCTTCCCTTGCCCCCTTTCTCTCCAACAGCGCCTTCTAACCCATCATCCAACAATCCAGATTACATTGGAGGGGTAAACGAGACAGAAAGCCAACGCGGGACGTCATCAATCCTGGCCATGCACAAAGCGAGTCCTACCGCCGCCGCCGCCAAGTAGATGATCCCAAAACCGCCGAGCTCAAAGAAAAAAGGAAATTGAAAAGTAAACGAACAAAGACAAATCCCAAAACGCCGCTGCTATGCATAATGTGAGCTTATTATGCCCCCCACCATCCGCCCTGAACCACACCTCCCAACCCAACTTCAAACCAAGACCAACTCAGCGCGAAGTAAGGAGTAGATCGAGATGGAGCGGTGGCCTCCACACTGCCATGTTGGCATGGAAGTTTTTGATAAGACCCGGCGCGCGCGCGCCATGCCTCGGAGAGATTTAGAACTGCAAGTTCCCAATCTCGCACCAATCGCTGACAGGCTACAGACGGCACCGTATTAGCCACAAGCTCACAAGAGAAAAGGGGGAAGGGGGGCATCAGATAGCCAGGAACTTACCAAACAACTGAGATACCTGCACCAATCACACGTCGCGCGGTCGACATAAAAGTTGTTCAGGAGTAGGATGAACACGACGGTCACGAGCACCAGGGCGCCCGCTCGGATCAGCCACCAGGCCCACCACAGCGGGCGGCGGCCCTTGAAGAAGCCGATGGGGTTCTTGACAAAGGACGGCGGGGAGCCCGCCGCGGCGGACCCGCCACTGACGTGGGAGCTGGCGTAGGGCACGTCGTCGCCGATGCGGCGCCTGAGCGAGTTGGGCGAGTGCAGCAGGCACAGGCCGAGGCCGAGCCCCATGAGGAAGCCGCCGATGTGGGAGAAGTTGTCGAGCCCGGGAAGCAGGCCGAGGACGAAGGAGATGACGATGTCGATGAGGATGAAGATCAGGTCCTTGACCGGGTTGACGCGGTCCTTCCACGAGTAGAGCAGGTCGAGCAGGGTGAGGGCGATGACGCCGAAGAGGGAGCCCGACGCGCCGGTGGAAGCGATGGCGGCGCCGGCGAAGTTGCCGCCCATAACGAAGCCGAAGATGCCGGCCGACATGTAGACCAGGAAGAAGCGGATGGAGCCGATCGACTTCTCCATGTCGCGGCCGAGGGTGAGCTGCAGGAGCATGTTGAAGGCGATGTGGATGAGCCCTGCGTGCATGAAGATGGGGACGATAAAACGGAACCACTGGTTGGGGGCGGGTGGGTTGGGGACTTTGGTGCCGTCTTCGTTGGTGGGATCAACGGCGCCAAAGCCGCAGAGCTCGTAGAGGGTGCATTGGTTCTCGGGCAACTTATCGTCGAGGGTGGTACTGCTCGGGCACGGCCAGGGCAGCGTCTCATTGGCGTTCTGAACGCCCTCCACGTCGTGCATGCAGGGGGTGAAGCGGGCGCCCATGTTGATGAGGATGTAGGGGGACGGGCCGATCATGGGGTTGAAGGATGGTTGAGTCATGATGGGGGAGCCGGTTGTTGTAGCTGGGCGGCCATTAGTTCGCTGCCTCTCGCCGAAGTGGTACCTCGATCAAGGGGGGGGGGGGGCTACTTACAGTTCTTGACGATCTCGCCGATGAAGACGGCCACCTGGACGACGGTCAAAAAGTAGACAACGAACGGTATCTTCTTACGGCCAGAACCCAGCATCCCGAGTTCGCCAAACCGCACGCGCCCTTTGCGAGCCTTGGGCTGGGACTGCGACGCGTCGTAAACGTGGTCCTGCATCTCCGGGTCCTTGGACGGCACGCGCTGGGCGTGGTCTTGGAGGGGGATGCTATCGGAGGGGCGATTGTACATGTCGTCGGGCGAGACGGGCGAGTGGCCGTGGTACCCGGTGTCTTGGTGGCTCAATCGGTGCATGCTCGAGGTCGGAGTGGGCTGGTGTGTGCTCGCGGGATACACATGATCGTCAAAGACGGTCTCGAAGGGCGAAGGAGATGCGCCTTGCGCCGGGCGGTTTCCGGGAGCGAGGTACGGTTGCGCGCTGTAGGGAGGCGCGGGTGTAGAGTAGACTGAAGAGGAGGATGGTGCTGGCCGGCCGCTGTCGTATCCCGGGCCGGCCGCATCGGGTAGCGGTTTTTGTTGGTAGTAATCGTTGGCCGACATTTTGGATTTTTATTTTTTTGGTTTAGGAGCTCCCTGGGCTCTCGAGAACACCGAAACGCAATCCCCCGGGCTAAACGGTGTGTTGCAAGAAGCGGCAGTCGTATTTTGGGCGACGACTTAGCAGCGGGAGCTAGGTAGTGGTGGAGGAACGAAGATGGGTCGACGGGAGTGTCGAAAATCGAGAGGAGTGAAGCAAGACCACAGCGAAACAGGAATTAACCGTTGCAGACCCGGAAGGTGTTTCGGGGGTTGCGGGTGCAGGGACCTCCGAGCGTTTGGAGAAAGTCCCGTTTTGGTTGTACCTGTTTAGGGTTACACTGTCGCAAACAATGAGCACAGGTCTAAATAAAGTCTGGTTGTACGAAGTACCGTTGCGGGGAGTCGGGAAAGGTGTTGAAAGTGGGAAATGGCCAGGCCAGGACGGGAGGGCAGCAGGCACGCAGGTGGCCTGAATATTTCAAGACAGCAGACAGACAGACAGACAACAGACGTACGCGTGTTTCTTGTTTTCCCAGGGCCGGGCTGCTGGCCAGGTCGGTGGTGCTTCTTGGATCTTCAGGTGGTTGGGTGGGTCTCAACCTACATGAGCAGCCAGTCGTTACGGCCACAGTGCACAGTGGGGCAGTCGGGCAGTTTTTGTTGACGATTGTCCTCCAACTTGCTGGTTTAACAGAGCGATTGAGGCTACGAGAAGAAAAAAACTCTGCCGTTCAAAAATAGAAAACGATGTCAACGATGAGCTGGTGGCTGAGACGAGAACTGATCTCCCAGAGCCCGCAACACGAGCCACCTGGTGACGTCTCCCGCCAAGTGTCCAGCAACAGAGGCCGGAGATCAGTGGAGAAAATGGCAGGCTGTGTGCGTGCTTTCGTGCAAGCTGATCAGTGAGGGAGGCCGCCACCAAAAGGAGAGGCTTTGCAGAGAAGCAACGCATTTCTGACCATCGTGACCAGCACGGAAGAAATACAGTATCGCGGTAGTTAGTTATTCGTCTGTCGGTTTCCTTGGTGGCTATTGTTGTAGCTGACAGCCGGGTCGGGGCACATCGAACGCAACCACACACACCCATGGATATGGCTCCCACTTTTTGGAAAATGCGGGGGGAGGGCTGCCGCCCGTTGAGGTGGGTGGTCGAGGCCGCCTCGGGTCGGGTGGTTTCAGGTTTGATGCATGACGAACCTGTTAAGCCCTGTTCACTTGCGGGTAGCAGAGCGAGAGGAATGAATGGCTGGCAGTCCCGGGGTGCGAACAAGGTATCTGTCAAACGCTCACTCAGTCCTAGTCAGCCTCTCAGCTCCAACAAACACCACACAGTGAACACTATCAGCGCTCGTTCGCAGAGTCATCTTCGGTTTCCATCATCCCATCTTTTTGCTAGCCTTCTTGGCAAACTTTCAGGTGGGAGGTGGGCGAAAAAACAACGGCACAGCCGCTGTTGCATGGAGCGATCTAGGCTCGAGCCAGGGAGCCAGGCACGGCGACTCGGCGAGGAATGTGCGCCAACGCCCGGGACGGCTTGGCGGCCAATGATAAGATAAGCGATTTCGGGGCCTCGAAAACCTCTCCGCCACCAATTTGACTTGCGCCGAATTCACCGAGACGAGCCTCTTAGATCGACCACGATCACGCGGTCACTCTCTTTCCGCCAGCAATGCGCCCCCTCCCGGTGCCCTGCCACCGGGGTATCCTCAATCTTACCGCAATAACACGGCAACATCGCCTCGCATGGTCACAACTGTTGTCGATCCCCCCCATCAAACGATCCATCCACCACACCGCGCCGCTATGTCGAGGCAAATCCCCCTACATGTCCTCGATTTTCACCGAACCCACCGGACCGGGGCGCCAACCACAGCAGCCAAACGATGCGCACAAGCCAAGCACGGAGCTCGACACGTCCGAACGGCGTCGAGTCGTGTACAACAAGGACGGCCACGAGCCGCGCATCCAACCCTACATGTCCCCCCCGGGCGGCAAAATACCTTCACCACTCACGCCGCGTTATAGTCTGCGCGACAGTCGGGAATGGGCTAAGACACCACCACCCCCCAAAGAACCCCTCGCCAGAGAAGAAGCCGGTTTCCAAAAAGATGCCCTCTCCGTGGATCCCCTGATGCTGCTTTTCGAACAAGTGTCACCGGCCAAGGGGAACGGCGGGTCCGCTGCTGTGGGAGCTAAAAGTAAACCCGAAACCGGCGTCGCGGCGGAAGCGAGCAGCGGAGGGGAGGGGCAATTGGCGGACAAGGAACAGCAGTTGGTCGAAAAGGCGCGGAGGTTAGAAGAGATGGAGCAGAGGCTGAACGCGCTGGCCCTAAAGCTGGAGGAGGGGAGAAAAGAACTGGAAGAGGGGAGAAAGGGACAGGAAGAGGAAGAGGGCTGGCCGGCTGTGGAAGAGACACCGGAACCGGAAGAGGAACACAACCCTCGGGACGCAATGCGAAAGGCAATACACCCATTCCCCCCGCAAGTTCAACGAATGTCCCCTTGCTGACAGATGAAAAGGTCCCCCCACAGCCGGCAAGGGACGATGCCGAGGCCACTCTCATGAGGCTGCAGGCGCTGCAGAAAGAGGACCCGGTGGCAGCAGACGGGCACCTCATGGGGCTTATTCTGCTCAAGAGGCAGCAACTGGAAAGGGAAAGGGGCAACGATATGGGCCCGCTAAGGACGAAAGAGTCGACGACGCACGTAGAGACTCAGCTCCGCCGATGGATCACCGAAAACGACCTACACACGATGATGATCCAGCGGAAAGCCCGCGAGGTACGCCGGCGGGTCGATATGATGAAGCGCCAGAGGGTTGCTATCCGGAAGAAGCTTCGAATCCCCCCGGAGTCCCCCGATCCCAACCCTCAGGTGGAAGCCGCGGTCCAGGCATGGCTGGTGAACAGAGACGTGCAGATGCTCGTCCGCGAGTCCAGGGAACTTGTACGCAAGAAGGCTAGGTACGAGTACTTGGCACAAAAAGCCGAACGCAGAGTCGCGCGCGCACAGAGTTATCCAACCCACACTAGGGAGGACCGGCGGAGCAACATGGAAGAAAAACAAGGGAAAGAAGAGCGAATGGCGAAACAAAATAACAAGAAGGATAGACGGGAAAATCGGAAAAAGTATCGGAGACAGGTTATAGAAGCCGAGCTTCAAAAAGCTTCTCGGGTTCCTTTAATTTCCGACCCCCTTCCCAGGGCTCCTCCTCCTCCCGACGTTCCGCCCCCCGAGGTTCTTCCTCGCAGGGTTTCTTTCAACACCTCTAACAACGCCTCTTCCAACGCCTCTTCCAACGCTTCTCCCAACACCTCTGACAACGCTTCTTTCGGTATTCGGTTCCTACCAATCAAAAAGTCGGAATTTGGCGATATCTGAGCTTCCGTGGACGGTTCCGGTCTCGGCATACGAGGCACCAGGATGTACAATGATTGTAGAGGAGCGCAGTAGATACCATATACAAGTACACACCATTATAGAAAAACCATGTACTACCAAACCATTTATACACTAGGTAGTTGTACACTAGAATATTGCCCGCCTTCAGCAAGTGCCGGCCGTCCAGTTCGAGGTTCCCCCCCTTCCTCTATTATCGAACACCCCGTCCATCGTACAGACCCCAACCCTCCCTCCGCACCCCCGAGCGCCCTACTCCTTCTTCCCCTTCCCATCACCCTGCCTCTCCCCCTCCCCCTTCTTGCCCCCCTCCCCATCACCCTTCCCCTTCCAAACCTCCCGCACCTGGTCGGCAATCAACCCGCCATACCCCTTCCCGCTCTCGATCGCCTTCCGCTCCTCCTCCAGCCTCTTCTCCTGCCACCCCTCCTTCTCCCCGCCCATCCAAAACCTCTCCACCAACCCCACCGACTCCTTCCGCGGCTTATACTCCCTCCCCTCCGCCTCCGCCCTCCTCTTCCTCTCCGCCTCAATCAGCATTTTATTCCTCGCCGCCCTCTCCGTCGGCAAACTCCCCAACAGCCCGACCCCAGCAGCACCACCCCCCTCCTTATCCCCACCACCACCACCACCCCCATCCCCCCTCTCCTTGTCCCCCCCCAACTTCCCCTTATCAGCAGACCCAGACCCAAAAACAGCCCCGAACCTCTCCCCCCACCGATCCGTCAGCGCCTTGCCCGTGTAGTCGGTCGCCAGCTGGTTGACGCCCCAGAACCCCCCCGCGCCGAGCACGGCGTTCTGCAGGAGCGGCTTGGCGCGGCCGCCGCCGCGGGTCGGGAGGAAGAGGGCGATGGGGCAGAGGATGGCGAGGGCAATTGCGGCGGAGTGGAGGAGGGGGTTTTGTGAGGGGAGGGGGGGTGTGGGTGTTGTTGTTGTGGGTGTTGTTGTGGGTTGTGAGTGTGGTGGTGGGGGGGGCTGGGTTTCGGAGGGGGAGGTCATTTCTTTTTTTTTTTTTTTTGGTGGGGGATGGATGTGGCTGATTGGTATGGTTTGGGTTGTTCGGTTGGTTTGCTGGCTGGCGGTAATGGGGTGATTGTGACAGTGTGGTCTGTTTGAGCTTGGTGGTGAGGTTGGTGGTGGATGGGAAAAATGTTGCAGGGGTTGATGGATTGCGGTTCAAGGTTGTTATCGATAAGGTTAAGCCGCCAACTCGGCTCAGCTGCAGATTATCTTGGCACAAAAGACACCCCACCAATGCTCGACATCTCATCAACTCGAGTGATTTCCAGGTTGTGATATGTTGCAACGAGCATGCCGGCCCCCCTTCCTCCCGTCGTGGCGGCAACGTCTCCTGGATTCGGGCAAGGCGCAATCAGCTTCCTCCACCCAGGGTACAATGAGCCCGTCAACGTCCTCTTTCACATGCCGCGAGTCGACCGCGTCCCCTCCGTCGCTGCAAGCAATGAGCCGCTGCAGTTTGGCGTCCATCATCGAACTGCGCTAGCGGCATGCCAAATCGTGGCCAACAACACGTTTGATGGGTTCCTTGCGCTTGAGAAGACCGGGGCGCAGCGCGTCGACACTTCAGTCCCACCCGATGGCATCCTTATGGCCAGCGAATATTACTTTATTGTTCCGAGCAGCCCTGTAAGCACGTCAAACCCTTCCATTCGCCCTTCTGCAGCCTCTGCTGGCGGTTTTGCACACGACATACACAAATACCCCATCGTCCCATCCTTCAGCGACTGGCAGTTCCCGCACAGTCGTATCCCCGACTTCTGGCCGCGACACGACCAACCCTTGCCTCCCCCATCACCTGCCCAGCTGGTCTGCGCCGTGACGGGATATACCTGGGCCGTACAACACGCGCACCTCGTCCCGAGTAACGAGCGTGATTGGTTTGTACGTAATGGAATGAGCAGGTATGGCGTCGAAACGGTAGTCGATATCGACGATCCGGCCAACTGCATCCCACTCAAATCAGACATACATATGTGCTTGGATAGCTGGGCCTTTGTAATCGTCCCCAAACCTCCCGAGGCGCTGTCTACTACATGTTCTCACGGTATTGGAGCCAACCCGCCTCACAATTCTGTACCGTCCCCTGTTGGCGGCACGCAGCAGGCCGAGTACGCGGTACACATACTCGCCGGAAAGGTACGTGCGTGACATGGAAGAAGAGCAGCGCGGGCGGCCGCGTAAGAGGGCGAGGGAGTTTTAGCCTCTCCCAAGTTCAAGCAGAAGGACTTGAGTAAAATGAAATGGATAAAGTAAAAGAAACCGAGTAAACGGAAAGGGGTAAAAGGAAAGGAGTAAGAGGGAAAGAGTAAAGTGAAAAGAATAGGAGGAAAAAGAAAGAGAAAACAGGCAAAGGAAGAAAAGAAAAGTGATCGAAACCGAGGAAGCAAGTCAACGAGAAGAAAAGGAAGAAAATAAAACAAGCAAAATAGACAAAACAAAATACAAAGTAAAACCACAGTAGCCATAACATCACTTTTTGGGCTGCCGGATGACTTCTGTTTGGTAGATGCAACTTTGGCATCTACGTTTGGAGTCCGGGCCGTTGTTTGAGGCTCCCTTGTCTCCTGAACGGCCCATAATGGTGCCTTTGTAGTTGCCTATCTGGAAGATACCTAAATGCTTCGTTAACTCGAACCCTTGCGTCGTAATCCAGCATGTTTCACAGGCTCTCTGGTCTTCAAGCGGGGGCAGTGTTCTCCTGAAAGCGAGTCGGTCGGGACGAGCTTGAACGGACAAGGCTCTGGCAGCCAACTTCCTGATATGGAACATTCGACCCCTCCGAGTTCTTCCTTCCAACTGAACCCTACCCGGCTCCGTAAGTCGGGCCCAGAAAATGTGCCACCCAGGAGGCATGATACCGGTAAGGGGTGACTCTTGCGAGCCACAGGAGAAGGGCTGCCTTAATTCGACCAGTTGTCTGCCTGTTTGCGCTCCTTGGGTAACGTTCGAGGGCGCGGGACGTCAGAATAAGCTAACGATTATCCACCCATCCGATTCCACGGGCTCACAGCTAGGCTGGATCGAGTCTAGTGGACGGCCATCGGCGATCTAGGCCAATCATACTCACCAGACACAAGAAGGAAAAGCTTGTTTGTGACTTGGCATGCTTGTTTCCTCCTTCCATTCGCGGTTATATCTTGAGTCCCGAGTCTTCTCCGATCGCTACGGACAGGGATGGGGCAGGAACCGGGGGGAACCGCCTGAGCTGAACAAGCTGGATGCTGGAGGAGATAAAGTGATAAGTTAGCTGGGTTGCATGATGTGATGTTACTCTGTTAGAGAGTGTTATACTATCCCCGGGTAGTCTCCGTCCGCCACTGAGCTTCGGGAGCCTGATAAGGGCATGTTAGAATTACCTTGACATAACAACAACTTCGTTGAATCGAGAAGAGGTCAGCCGACTGCCGACTGAGTCATTAATGAGCTCCGACGGCTGATTCGGGGGGGGGGGGGGGGGGTTGAGACGGTGTGAACCGTGTGATGGACGCGGGCGGGGACGCCGCCTTGCCTCGGTGCTAGTGATCGGCTCCTGGGTTGTCCTGGTTCAACAGGGCTCGAGCATCATGGTTACCCTTTTTGTATGTACACCATAACACTGCCGAAAGCGCGAGTTATGCATTGGCTCGTGGGGAGGTGGTCTGAAAGGGAGGATGAGCGTCGGCTAGAGGAGACACAGCCTCACACAGGTGACAGAGGCACATTCTTGGTCAGAACGGGCGAGCAGTTTGCCGTGGTGTCACCAACTGACATCACCGACATGATAGAGGGGAGTACAGATTACGAGATTCCTGTCGTAAAGCCCACCAACGAGCAAGAATCCCGAAGTACGCGGCGGTCAGCCCTGGGGAGTCGAGCTGAATGGGGTGCGGTTGCCCCGCTTCCGGCACCGACCATAGCATTGTAGATCCTGACGACGATCGACTATGTCTAGGTCGGTGTCACTGACCGGTGCAATGTTGCCGTTGCCCTCAGGTTATCCGCGCGTTGGTGGTCGCCTTAGCAGCCCAGGCTGTCTCCCCCCCAAAAGGCATAAATTCTATGCCTGTCCCCCACAAGCCCAGTTCCCCTCTGTGCCATGTTCCCCCCAAAGCAAAATCAACTTCGAACTTAGCCCATCATCTATTCCGTACCCTCCAACATGAAGGCCCCCATCCTCTGGACCCTCGCCGCTCTGGCGGTGTCGGCGAACGCCTTATGTGACGGCACACCCGACGATAGCTGGAGGCACAAGGGCTCTTGCAACGTCTCCGGCGAGCCTCCTTGTAACGAGCGTTGCAAGGCTGATGGATGGCGCTGCGGGGGCTGCGGTGGCTTCCTCTACGCCGACTGCTGGTGCTGCGATAACGATTGTGACGGTAAGGCTCTCTACCTAGTCTGGTCCGGTCTGAAATCTAGTTTGATTGTTTCGGTGCTGACCGGCTCTGAATTAGCCAAACACTGATGGGAGACGATAACTTCGGCTTAGCACTCGTTGGCTGAAAGAAATATAAACATATTCAGTTCGGACTTGGGCAGTCAGATTGGAGAGTAGGAACACAAGAGCACTCATGGGGTGGTTGACTCTAAGTCCACATGTAGTTCAGAGAATGTTTCCATTCTAGTTGACGCTCCTTCTTTCTCCTTCTGCTGTCATTCGATCACCTTTTAACGGCCCCGCCACCCCTTCATTCTTGGGCTATATACTAAATAGATATAGGTGTCTTCCCATGGCACCAAGCCGGGCCAGCCTAGCAAACACATTCTTTTGCTAAATTCTGATTACGTCCAATAGTAACCAATCCTTATCGGCATGATAAACAAAAGTAATTATATGTCTTTGTGTTATAAACTTATGAGTAGTTACGTCCTACTCCTCCTGCACGCCTGATGGTGACGCAGGCTGACATGAGTCCGAGAGGCAAAATCCGAGAGGGAAAATCAACTTGAAGTGGTGTTCGGGTGGTCGCGGCTCACACCCTCGACTACCTACCCATACTCATATGCAGAGTCAATATCGACCGGTTCACGATGTCCAGGAGTATCAACCCCACAAATAACATACGCGCGTCTCATTCCAACTACCAAATCTCCCAGAAATATCACGGGGTATACGTCATAAAATCGACGCCAACATTCCTCTAATCCGCTACACGCCGGTCGTGATGATAGCCGTGCGCCAAACAATGCCGTCCTGAAAACCAAAGTCATACATCGGTACCATTATAATCCCCCCCCCAAGCTGCCGCGCAAAACCCACATCACACTTACTCATACCGTCTTGACACCGAAGTCACACCTTCGTCTTCGCAAACGCCTCATTCGCCAGCCTCACCCCAGAATCATGCGTAGCCCGGGCCTCGGCCAGCGCGCCCTGCATCTCAAACGACTGGGCGAGCATGCCGTCGGCGACGCTCATCCACAGGACGTTGCCGCTCTTGCGCGCCTGCGCCGACCCGGCCCGGGCGCTCTTGAGCGCCTGCTCGCCGACGACGTTCTCAAACAGCCGCGCGCGCATGATGTTGAGGGCGATGGCCAGGTACTGCGTGTTGCAGGTCTGCTGGGCGCCGCTGAGCGACTGCTGGATGTGCCGCTTGATCTGGTTGATGGACAGCGGCGGGTTCATGCGGACCGATGACAGGGCGAGGTTGTAGACGGTGCGGATCTCCTGGTCCGGGTTGTCCTCGCAGATCGGCCGCAGCAGGTCGACGAGCTCGGCCATTTCGGCGTCGTCCGTCTGGGCTGGTTCTTGCATGATCCAGAGCCGGTTGAGGGCGGCTAGGATGGAAAGTTCCGTCGTGATGCGGCCGCCGGTGGCCTTTGGCGCGCCGCTCCAGTCCATTTCGAATTTCTTATCTTTCCAGATCTCTGTGGCTTTTTCGAGGGCCGCTGTGCCTTGGTGGAGGGCGCCTTCGAGATACAGGGTCAAGACACTCAAGAACTCCGACTGAGGTCCGTTCTGTTTAACGGTGTCTAGGCACGTTTTAACCTTTGCCCAGTCGGACAGGGTCGACGCCTGCAGCCCGGTAAGAATGTGTGCGTAGCTGGAGAGCTCCCTCGCCCACTCCGCCTGCTTTAGCGCTTCTGGTAGGCTTTGTGATGATGGTACAGGCTTGTTTTCTGTGGCTACGTTAGATAAAGCGTATGAAAAGGACAGATCTAATATCACCTTCCAATAACCTTACTGCTTCTCCCCACATGCTTGAGCTGCGGCCGGGCGTCGAAGCCTTGTAGTGTGCCACAATGCCGTTGAACACATACCTGACGTATTGTTAGAAAGTTGCGCCAGGACACGCAGAAAGGGAGCTTACGCTAGTGCCCAAGCTTCTTGTTTCCCCAGCGTTGATATTACCAGATAGTCGACACGATCATCGCCAGGACGCAGAACTGCCCTTGTATCAGCGCTGACTATTTGCTGCGCATTCGGCATCCGGTTAACGGGCAGCATCATCTCGCCCGACTGCGAAGGCCAGTCTTGTGACTGCTTCAATTCCTCTAGTCTCCTCTGGAGAGCACTGAGCTTCTGTGCTGATATCTGATGTGTTTTCTGGTGGAGGCTACACGACAAGTCCAACAGGAGTAATAAGACATCGGTTTGGGGGGTGCGAATGGACTCGTCGAGCTGCAACTTGGATACCTGGGCGATGCACATCTGCACACGGGTAGCCCAATCGTCCTTGGTGGTGCTGAGGTGGGCAAGGCCCTCGAGCAGCATGGCCATAATAAAGATGCCCTTGTCGCTCCGCTGATTCGCAATGCCGGCGATCTTGCGCAGATTTTCGATGGCGTGATTGTCGGCGGCTGTGCCAGACTGGAGGTGGAAGGCGGCTTTAAGGAAGCGGAAGGCATAGATCCAAGGAACATGTTTATAACTAAAATATGTCAGTGGAATTCCGCGGGTATCAAACAGGCAGGCATACGTTGTACAGTCGGCAATGTGGCTGTCGATCGACTTGAAAGCCGCCTTTTGGTTCCGCTGGAACAGCGTCTTCATCAGGAGAAACTGCGAGCTGTACTTGAGATCGAGGAACCGATGCTAAAGAGGCGGGCGACGGTTAGCTGGTGTCTCTGTGTTGGTGAGCGATTTCCCATACCTTCTCACACACCGAAATGCCTCTTGTCAGGGCTGTCTCGGCCTCGGTGATATTGGTGGTCTCCTCAATGAGTATGCTGGTGTAGCGCAGACACAACCTAGCCTCGAGCCGCGGCCATAACTTGTTCGACTTCAGCGCAACGTCCAAACACCCCAACCCTGTGGCCACCAGCTTGTGATGCTCCGCAACTTCGCTCGCGCCCATGGTCTTGGCAACTTGCTGCGCAGCCGAGTTGGCCTTCTCGAAGCAATCCTCCGCCACAGACAAGAGAAGCGGGAGCGTTTCGGCGTGGGTAGAGGCGTGCGGGGTGACGGGAGATTTTGCGATTCCGGCGCTCGAACTTGGCCGCCTCGGGTCGCGCGCAAGGAGCTTCGGGGTTCCGCGTGATGGTGGCCGTTTCTCTTCCAGTTTTGGGCTCGCCTTTACAGGCATCGGTTTCGGTGGTTTTGGCTGGACTGCGCGGGGCAATTGGGGGCTCATCATGGACGCGGTATGTGGTTGCGACGCGGGGAAGGCATTGCTGGGTGGCCTTGGTGCGGGCGGGTGTTGGAGATAGGACGGATTGACGAACTGCATGGGCGCTGATATGGGCGTGGAAACGGGGACGGGTTGAGGGAGCGGCGCGGCTTGGGAAGCGGGAGAGAGAGCGGGAGAGAGAGCGAGAGTGGGTTGGTGGTGGTGGAAGGCGCCATTGTAGTTTGGATACTGCTGGTGCTGCGCATTGCCGGGATAGAACTGCGCGGGCTGCTGCTGCTGTTGCTGCTGCTGCTGGGCGTATGGGGAATGAACATATTGCACGTGTTGGTGCTGCTGTTGGTGTTGGTGTTGGTGTTGGTGTTGGCGTTGATGTTGATGTTGGTACTGCTGGTTCCCGTTGGGATATGGATTCGCGAACTGCGGATGTGGTAACCGTGGTGGGGGTGCCTGCGGGCCAGAATGCAGCGGCGGGAGGTGTTGGTGTTGCTGGTGCTGTAATTGCTGCGCTTGCGGGTGCACTTGCTGGAATTGGTGTTGTTGCTGCTGCTGGCCCTGGCTGCCGTATGCCTCGCCGGGAGGCATCCTGTCGGAGGGCCGAGTGATATCCCGTATCTGTCGAAAACAGCCCAGTCGCGAGTGAGATGAAAGGCATGGAATAAATCCCGGCGAGGATTTTCGCGGGTTAATTATTAGGTTATCACGTTGGCACGCGCCGCAGCGGCACAATCAGCCTGCATGCAGCCTGGGGAAAGCGCCATGCTGCTTGAGCCCACCCATTGTCGCTCCCTGGACCCTTCTGGATAGGTAGATTTGGTCTGTGCGCCAGCCAAGCCACAGGCCCCTGGTCCTCGTTCAACGGACTCGGGCGGCTGGTTCAAAACCGCCGGTCGGCGGACCGGCGTTGGCGCCACCGATGGAAGTGAAGTGCTCCACATGCTCCGATGCCTCGGCAGGCGCAACTTCCTAATTGATCAATCAGGAAGGATGAACTTCTTATTCTAGAACTTTTTTACCCTTTTCTTTCGTTCTACACAGCATTTACGATTGCACATGTCTCAGATGTTCGGGGCCGTTGCATCTTCACGCCCTTCGTTTGCGTTGCTTCTTGAGCCACATCGCCTCTCTTTTACTCTTTTTGTCTACATTTGTTTTGTTGACATTCAGACCTCTTTCTCGTGGATCCTTTAAGCTTCTGGTTTGCACAAAAACAGCAATAAAGAGAACGACTCCACCGCCGCCGCCTTGGCTCGCACTGGCGTTAGTTATCACCAATTGAACTTGAAATCCGGTCCATCCGCCTGCCGGGTTTCGAAGCAAGCCATAAATATCTTCCCGCCCCTCTGTATCTTCCTTACATCGGGAACACCTCGCCAACACCACCTCACCAACACCCTGTCTCCTCTTGCTGCCTTTCGGGCCAGCAGCCGACTGCTCAGCGCCATGGACTGGTTTGGCCGTGCGAAGATCGCTTTCACCCACTCGTCTTCGCCGTTGGCCCTGCAGAGGAAAGATGGCACTGCTACGGACTTGCTGAAGGTGTGCGAAGCTAGCACGTCTCCCTGTCAGCTCAACCCCCTGCTCTTCAACGGCCACCTTCAGACCATGTGGACTGCCGTTAAGGAGCACGGCCCTCCGATCTACTACCGGAGGAGGATATTCGACGCCGACCACAAGACCTACACCGGCACTTTCACGGTTGACTTTGCGGTAGACCCTCACTCGGATGTGGAAGAAGCGCTGCCGCCGAGGACTGCCTTCTTTTCCGAAGATGACTTCGCCAACATCGGCTCCGACGATAGCAGGCCCATGCTGATCGTGCTTCACGGCCTCTCTGGCGGCTCCCACGAGATTTACCTCCGGCATGCCATTGCGCCTTTGGTCATGAATGGCGGGAATTGGGATGTCTGTGTCGTGAACTCCCGCGGGTGCGCCAACAGCAAGGTGACGAGCGGCGTCCTCTTCAACGCAAGGGCTACTTGGGACGTTCGGCAAGTCGTAAAATGGGCAAAACAGACCTTCCCCAACCGGCCGCTATTTGCCCTCGGGTTTTCTCTGGGCGCAAACATCCTAACCAACGTAAGGGAAATAAATGTCTTGAACGGTCATGGGGTCCTGGCTAACGCTTCTTGATAGTATGTGGGCGAGGAAGGAGCGAATTGTCTCCTGAAGGGGGCTATTTCTGTGGCAAATCCGTTTGATTTGGAGATAGCGAATAAGGCTCTCCAACGGACACTGCTGGGGAAGCAGGTGTACTCGCGGGTCATGGGTAGTAAGTTTGCTTCAGAATGCATATTTCGCGTCCAGGCCTCTGACAAATCGACAGCCAACATGAAGAAACTCATCGACAACCACAAGGACGCCGTTCTGAAACTCACAAATCTGGACTACGACCGGATTCAGAACGTAACGTACCTGCACGAGTTTGATCGCGAAGTCCAGTAAGTCCGCCTGCCGGATACACCGAAGACAACCACTAACAGATCCATTCAGGACCGTAACATGGGGCTACCCCACCGAGAATGCTTACTACCGTGACGCATCATCCTCGGACGCGGTTCTCGGTATCAGAATCCCGTTTCTTGCCATTTCCGCCTTGGACGACCCGGTAACTACCCCCTGCTCGGATTTGGGGTTTCACCTCGTTAACACCCTGACCACAGATCGCTGTATACGATGCCATCCCCTTCCAGGAGTTCACACAGAACCCATACACGGTGCTTCTTACCACCTCCCTCGGCGGGCACATCTCGTGGTTCGAGATTGGCGGCGGAAGATGGCATGCTAAGCCGGTATGTGCTGCTGTTCCATTTAATTGTACACCCTCGCTGACTCGAATAGATTTGCGACTTCCTGAACCACATGGTCACTGAGATCGACCTTGACGCCATCAAGCCCGACGCCAATGGAGCACAAGTTGAAACCCAGTTTGTCACTGAGTTCGACCCGGTTAGGCGGAAGTTGCAAGTTATTAACAACTGAAGATCAGAAAATGGAGGTATCTTGTGCAATGTAGCGCTGGTGTTTCGGGATAGACTTGGTTAGGATCTCATAGAATAGCATGTAGACTTTTGTAACGATCGGAATTTACACGTGCACTACCACAACAGACCACCCGGAAAGTGAACGATGAATTAGATATGCACACGGAGTAATACACTTCCATGTTGGCTGTACAGCACAGCATGTTCAGCGTCACAACCGCTCAGTTGGTATCTCAACCCGAACCTCCAATCCCAATTTTCCCCTCTTGAATACCAACAACGCCAAAACGCCCGCCATGCAGGTAGATAGATAGATGGATGAACAACCCAACCAAGAAAAACAACACCCCACCACCACCACCACAACAACAACCACTTCACTCCGCCGCGAAAGAAACCCTCTTCTTCTTCGCCTTCGCCGCCTTGGTCCCCGTCGCAGCAACAGCCTTGATATTCTCAACCTCGTCATCCGCGCCGCCCGGACCGCCCTTGGTGGTGGTAGTGGCGCGCTTGCGCTTGCGCCGCAGCGACTCCTTGGTGTCCTCCAGCTTGGCGCTGCGCTCGGCCTCCTTCTTGTCGGCCTCGGCCCGCCGCGCCTCGCGGATCTCCTCCATCTGCCGCGCCCGCATCATCTTGGACTCGATCTGCCCGTCTTTGTCGGCCTGGACGAGCGCGAGGATGGTCGTCATGCTTTCCTGCGGGGTGGGGGTGGGTGGTTAGGGGGGGGTGGTTGGGTGAGAAGGGGAGGGAAAGGGGGGAGACGAACCTTGTCGTCGACAAAGACTTTGCCCTTTTTCTTTCCCTTCGGCTTGGTCACGCCCACGGGGGTGATCATGTTAAGCTCTGGGATGCCCAATTCCTTCTCCGTGTAGACGCGCTGCTTCTTCTTCTTGTTCTTGTCGAGTCCCGCTAGGTTGGGCCGGCCCTTGATCTGTGTTGCTGGGACTTTTGCTTTGGGTCCGGATTTGCCTTTGGAGATGCCGCCGCCGTCGGAAGATTTCCTCGGGCCCTTGCCGCCAGACGATCCGCCACCCTTGGGGGCGGCATGCTTGTTTTTTACTGTGCGTGTGGGCGCCATTGATGCGATTGATGGATGGCAATGGCGGGTAGCTACCTGGTGGTCGTTGTCCGGCGCTGCCTCCAAGCGCAAAGCTTCAAAAATTTCGGGGCGGCTTCCTTATCGTGTTTGTTATCGGCCGGCAGTGGTGGGCTGTCAGGGGTCTTTTGGCGGATCTCCTGCGTTCGGCAGGCAATGGAACTTGTTAGCGCGGGGTTGCGGGTTGCTTGAGACTTGCCCCCCCCCCCCCCCGCCGATCGCGGTGGTGAAGCTTAAAATTTCCAAGGGAAAGAAAGTCAAGATTTGGAGAATTGGTCTCTCACGGGCTGTTGTGAAAGTCTACTTGCTATTTTCGGACAGAGTCATACAGTAAATACACAGAATGAGCTCCTCACAACTCGCACCCCGGTGGGCCGCCTTTGCGCGCGACACCAACGAGACCAAGATTCAGATTGCGCTCAACCTCGACGGCGGCGCATTCCCGCCAGATACGGACGCCCGTCTGCAAGTAGGCGGCGCCGACGACCACGCCGCTCAGGCAAGCAAGTCACAAACCATCAGCGTCAACACGGGCATTGGCTTCCTTGACCACATGCTGCACGCCCTGGCCAAGCATGCGGGCTGGAGTCTGGCGCTCGCCTGCAAGGGTGATCTGCACAGTCAGTTCACCAACCGCAACCGCCTTAATATTCTATATTGACCATCGCACAGTCGACGATCACCACACCGCCGAAGACGTGTGCATCTCGCTCGGGTACGCCTTCGCGCGGGCGCTGGGCACGCCGACGGGGCTGGCGCGGTTCGGGTACGCGTACGCGCCGCTGGACGAGGCGCTCAGCCGGGCGGTGGTGGACCTGTCGAACCGGCCCTTCTGCGTCGCGGACCTGGGCCTCAAGCGCGAGAAGATCGGCGACCTCAGCACCGAGATGATCCCGCACTGCCTGCAGAGCTTCGCCGGCGCCGCCCGCATCACCCTGCACGTCGACTGCCTGCGCGGCGACAACGACCATCACCGCGCCGAGAGCGCCTTCAAGGCCCTTGCCGTTGCCGTTCGGCAGGCGACGAGCCGCGTTGCCGGGCGGGAGGGGGAGGTGCCGAGTACGAAGGGGACTTTGAGTGTATAAGGGTAGGGTTTGGATGGTTTTGTTGAAGATCAGGGTGAACTACGGGGTAGTACTATCAGGATCTGTTTAGACTTCAGAACCATAGTTCAAGCGATGCTGAAATTATTGAGGGGGCGGTCGACATGTAGAGTCTTTTGAGCATGAGAGCGAAACAAAGAATAGAGAGAAATATCAAATACATTTATTAGCTCACTGGCATGTCTTGTTGCTCCAACCTAGATGCATACTGTGGGATCTGACGGCACGGACCCTGATCATAAACCAGTGGTTTGAAAGTATAAGAGAAGGCCACGCAAGAAGGTCGCGCAGTCTTGAATCTCAAAGACCAGGAGACCCAGGACGAACCCAGCCCTTTGAAGGCATTTCGCAACACCCCAACATATCACAAAGGGCCTAGTGGCGCAACGGCAGCGCGTTCGACTCCAGCTTGCAGTTAGCAATCGAAAGGTTATCCGTTCAAATCGGGTCTGGGTCATCCACATTCCAATTCCTCTTCTCGGAAGAGGGAACTCCTTTTTACTATTTTGGTGTTGCGGGTTCGGAAATATTTCCCCACCCGGGACAGTCCCATGTGACCCCACCCAGAGACAACCCCAACCCTTCCGCGCGCTCTGTTTTTCCTGACCTGACACAACTCTTTAAGCAATGTATATAATCAAGAACACATTCTGAGCGAGGAAGGGTTGGCTATGTGGTACGATCCCGGGGAACTTGTTATGTCGCTCTGAAGAGCGCGCCTTTGTGTCTTCTGTGTACCGTCGAGGCAGAGACATATGTTTTTTTTCTTGGGGCCGAGATGCCCTTGGGGTTGCCTCGACTTCGTAATCTGCACGTACTACGTACGCAGCTAACACAAATTGGGACCGGTGTGTTCAAAGTTGAAGTTATGTCGGTACAACAGCATGAAATACACCCAACTCAGCAACGGGTTCTCTATACCTATGTAAATGTATTACACATACATTGGCGCTCCGCCGTGGGTGGTCGTTTTCATCTGAATCCGCGGCCCCACAGTAAATAGCATGACCTCACGCTCCTTACCTGACCCAAACGGACTCGGCTCTCATGGAACTCACCATCCCCAGCTCAAAGGTGGCCCACGATAGAACCTCTGACGCATTCCATAGGTGCGCAAACATGAATTGGGGTTGACCAATTCTCCCCATTACATCCGCCATCTGTGCATCTGCCGATCAAGTCCTGAGATTGAGCTCAAACCCGGCTCTCGGCAGAAAACACCGAATCCCGAGCAGCAACGGAAGCGGAAGCTCGGAGAGCTTACAGCCACGGAGCACCACCACAGGGGCGCTGTCACCTGGCAAACCATCCGTGAGATAACACCACGCACGAGAGGACTGCTCCCGGTCAAAGACGGGAGACAAAACGAAACCAACCCGAGCTTGTGATTCTCACGCGACCACATCCCATTCCCGGAACCCCGCACAGCCAGCCTTCTCTCCTTCTCAATAAAACGATAAAAGGGGAGACGGAAAACACAATGCGCTCCGCCAACGAAACCAAGCACGAGGAGGCGAACGACGCCTCGTGGGAAGCCTCCCGCGGCGCCGTCGCCGGAGCCTTCAAGTGGGGCCTTGCGTCTGCTCTCCTCGGCGGCATCGGGTACGCCGTGTCGCCTGTATATCGGGGGCTGACGATTCAGTTCAAGGTGTAGGTTACATCCTTTCTTTCTTCATCCAAGTCTTCCATCCTTTTGTTTTCTTTTTCTATTTATTCATCTTCTTTCTTTCTTCTCTTCTCTACTTTCTGGGTGGCACGACAGCAGTTGAGGAAGAGGGGAAGCTGATGATACTGGCAGATATATCCAAATGTCGGGAATGGTGTTGGGGAGCATGATGGAGGCCGATGCGAGGTTACGGCAGTATGAGGCGCGGATGAGAGTGCAAAGGCGGCTGGCGAGGGACCGGGCTTACTGGGACACGTTTGAGAAGGAGTATGGGAAGGATGATGATGAATAAATCCAAGGTTAAGGGTGGAATGGAGAGGATGCCATGTATCATATCGAGCCATTGTATATAACCCCGGTCGAATTCGTGTCTAGCAAATGAAGGCTTTCTTTCATTGGGTATCTTATAGAGATGACGCTAAGAGCACGGAATACTCTTTCGTCTCCTTTGTCACTTCTTCGGCAGCTCAAACTTCTTCGGGTCCATGTTCAGCTTGCATAGCCGCGCGACACAACCGCTCAGCTGCAACAGGGTCTGTACACCTTCCAAGATCTTCATATGCGTGAACCCAATCTCCTTGATAAACTCCAGCTTGGCGTGCTCGCTCAGCGTCGGGATGGTCTTGGTGACCTTGAACATGGTGCTGATGATGTCGTGGCTCGAGTACCCGAGATCCCACAGCTCCCGCAGCGTGTCGAGCGCCGAGTCGATGTTGCCCTCGTAGCACGCCTTGAGCATCGCCTGCACCTTGATCGGGTGCGGCGAGTCCACCACCTTGAACACGTTGTCGCCCGACACGAACCCGAACCCGGCATACGTTGATTGGAGGTTGTTGATGGCCTGCCGCATGTCGCCCTCGGCGCTGAAAACGAGTGCCGCCAGTCCGTCGTCGCTGTACTCGACCTTCTCTGCCTCGATAATCTGCAGGAGCCGCTTGACCACCTGGGCGTCTGTCAACTTGGCGTACCGTAGGATGGCGCAGCGTGATTGGAGCGGTTCGATGATCTTGTTGGACTGGTTGCACGCAAAGGCGAAGCGTGTTGTGTTGGAGTAGATCTCCATGGTTCTCCGGAGAGCCTGCTGTGCGCCCGAGGTCATGCTGTCCGCTTCGTCGAGGATCACGATCTTGTGTCGCCCCTGAGGGAGTGTGACTTTCTTTTGGGCAAAGCCCTTGATTCGTTGTCGGACTACTTCAATACCTGCAGTTTAATTGTTAGCGTCAGCGGTTCGGGGGAAGGGTAGCACGCAGCGCACCTCTCTCATCACTGGCATTCAACTCCAGCACGGCTTCCTTGTACGAGTCGCCTAGTAATTGCCTCGACAGACACAACACGCTTGTCGTCTTGCCGATACCGGGCATGCCCGAGATGATGACGTGCGGCATGTTGCCATCGCGGGCAATGATCTTTAACCGCTCGATTGTCTCTGTGTTACCCACGATGTCGTCGAGAAAGACGGGCCTGTATTTCTCCACCCTACTTCGGCGTTAATAAATTTACCCTTTTTCGTGAGGTCGAAAGTGCACTCACCAGGGCAGCTCGTAGGCGGGACTGCCGTTAGGGTTCGCCGTCGCTGTTGTGTAGGCGGCGGTCGAGGATTCGCCCTTTTCTTCTCCTTTTGCTGGTGGCATTATAACAGGAGTATCGAATGAGGAGGCCGTGGAAATGCGAGTGGTGAGGACTGGTGTGTGGGACTATTGTCGGGTGCCTGAAAGCTGGCTTGGAGTTTTAAGATCGCGACGCGTCCAGGCGCGGTTCTCGATTTAAGTGGTTTTTTAACAGAACCCTAACCCTGGTTTTCACGATCTGAGGACTGGGCGGGATTCTTAAGGATACGAATTGCGTTCGTCTGTGACTCAAGATAGCTTAGTATAAGTCCCGGTTTAGTAGTTGCATCTCTTGTATTCTAAACGACACATCTATAATCACTCTCCTGCTCTTTCTACCTCTAACCCATCACACACCGTTTATGTGCGATAGTCGCCGTTGATGGTGCTGTATGACGATGTTAGTCAAAGGCTGAGATGAAATACTCCTTGCTCACTCACATATACTCGTGGCTGTAGTCACAAGTCCAGTACGTCGCCTCCTTGTCACCCTGCCCGAGCCGGACTAGGATCTCGAGGTCTTCGAGCTCAAGAATTTCAGCAGCTCTCGCCTACACCACGTTAGTAGGTAGTCGCGCCCAACAATCTTGAAGATGTCTCACCTCGTCAACCTTCTCCGGCTCACCGTTGACCAGAAGCTTCAGTTCGGCCGTGCCATCGGTGGGGATAAACGACACATTGGTCCCCTCGGGGGAGATCTCAGGGACATCATTGATGGGCTGCCCGGGCTCCGAGATAAGCGAGTACCCCGTGGCGCACAGGATACGGCCCCAGTTGGCGTCCTTGCCGTACAGTGCCGTCTTGACGAGCGGCGACCGGGCAATGGTGCTGGCAATCTTCCGCGCCGCCTCCTCGCTGGCCGACTCGGTCACACGGATCGTGACGAACTTGGTGGCGCCCTCGCCGTCGCGCACAACCAGCTGGGCTAGCTCGGCCGCAAAGTTGGACAGCACCGTGCGGAAGGCCTCGTAATCGGGGGTGCCCTCCGCGACCTCCTTGCCGCCCGCGGCACCGTTGGCGAGCAAGGCGACCGTGTCGTTGGTGGACGTGTCACCGTCAATCGTGATGCTGTTGAACGAGCGGTCGACAGCGTGCTTGAGCGCCAAGGGGAGGGCGGCCGAGGCGATAGGCGCGTCCGTAGCGATGACACCTAGGAGCGTGGCCATGTTGGGGTGGATCATCCCCGCGCCTTTGGTCATACCCGCTATCCTGTACTCGACGCCCGGTGACGAGGGGAGAGTGAAGGTGCGCGACATGAGCTTGGGGAAAGTGTCAGTCGTGCAGATGGCCTTGGCCGCTGCCAGCCAGTGCTCGTGAGACCCCCCAAGAGCGCCGTGGGCGGAGGGGACCTTGTTGAGAATCTTGTCGATGGGAAGCCGCTGGCCGATCACACCGGTGCTCATGACGATTGTGCTCTCGTTCTGGCCAAGGCACTTATCGGCTTCCTGAGCCATTTTGGTGGCATCCTCCAAGCCGCCCTTGCCTGTGACTGCATTGGCGCATCCCGAGTTGATGATAACGCTCTGGATCCCCTTGTTATCCCTCTTCTCGAGGAGGTTTCGGCTGAAGGTGACGGGGGCTGCTTGGAACTTGTTCTTGGTGAAGACGGCTGCGGCAGCACAGGGCGCGTCCGAGGTCAACAGAGCCAGGTCCGGCTTAGTCGTGTTGCTTGGCTTGACGCCGACTATGGTACCCGAAGTCCGGAAGCCGAGAGGATAGGTCCCCTTGGTCGGGACATACTTTTTCTTGGCGGCGGGGATGGAGCCGTTGGAGGGGGCAGAGTAGGCCCGGGATGAGGTGCGAGTGAGTTGACGGGCTAATTGAAGCCGGGGCTGCCTCAATTGATGCAGTAAGAAACCATTGCAGCCCGCCATGGCCATCTCCAAAATCTGTCTCTGGAAATTGGTGTTTGGATCGAAAAGTGGTTGAGTCACGACCCGCGGTAGCAAAAAGCACTTGATGAAAAAGATGGAAGTCACCGACGGCTACAGAGGAAGAAATGTGTTAGCGGTACCGGAGCTAGTCCGGGTTTGTTGGAAAAAAAGACACAACGAGGCACCCAAGTCATAGAGGATAGATGTCGACTTTATATGTAATTTATCATTATTCTCATTGACTCATACTTCCATTTCTTCATCGGAGATGGTGCCGATGAAATGAAGATGCGTCGAAAGTTTTCGAGGTGGAAGATCTTACGGTATGAGCCACAGTGACACCTTGGGTTGCTCACTGGTGGAGTGTGGCTACGTCCGGGACTTTTGCGCCGAGCCGGCCGTGTGGCTCGAGCCCCGTTTGCTCCACCAACCAACCTCCATAAAAACATTTCTGTTTGCTGCAAATTTCTCCTTCCTTCCATCTTCTGACCAAGCTCCAAAAAGACACGAATCACCATCGGTGTCTCGTGGGAGCCGCGTTTCATTGTCCCGGCCGCCTGGGCCTTCCCACTGCACCTTTCCCCCAACCTTCCCTGCCATGCCTTCTTGAGTTACGCGTTCTGAACTTGGGAGCTTCTCGCGAAAAATCGAGACACCAAAACCAAAACGAAAATTCTTCCCCAGCCCTGCCATTCACCACACCACCACAAACATGTCGTCGGAAATCATGGACGCCTACTGGGCGGCGCCACCAATGGCCCGCACGCTAGCGACCGCGATTGTCGTCATGTCGATCCCGGTGCACTTCCAGATGGTGTCGTACGTGTGGTTCTACTTCACCGAGGATAGGCTCTTGCGCTTCCCGCCTGAGATATGGCGTCTCGCTACGTGCTTCTTCCTCAGCGGTCCGAAGCTCGGCATCATCATGGACCCCTACTTCGGTATGGGCGCTCCGGCAGATCTCCCAGCGACGAGTGTTGTCTGACTTTGCGAACAGCCTACCAGTACCTGAAGCAGCTGGAGATCGCGAACTCCAAATTCCCCAGGAAGGAGGACGTCCTCTGGTATTTGATGACCGTCGGCAGCTTCATCATAGTAGGTCCATCTCCTTTTTCTCTTTCTTCTCTTTTAGCTCAGCACACCTCGTATATCTGCCCGCATGGTGCTCTTTTTCTCAACCATTGCGGTTCCTGGAAACGAGGAAGATTACCCCCGTATGTCGACCGGCCCGTCATTCGCATAATATCAAAGGGTCGGTCGGGGTGCGGGAATGGTGGGATGTCTTATGGATGACTCGGGTGACGCTCTCCGTTCTCCCGGGTGGTTATTTAGCTCCCTACATTATAACGTCCAAACCTGGGGGCTGTCTCTATGTAGATTCCTGCCTCGGCAGTTAATTACGCGAGGGCTAACAGCGGACGCAGCTGCTCAACCGAGTTTTCCTGGGAGGCGGCTTCTTCCTCGATGGACTTCTCATGGCCTTGGCCTACACGGCTAGCCAGGACCAGCGCGGTGCACAAACGAACTTTTTCTTCTTCACCGTGCCGGCACAGACGGTCCCGTATTGCATGCTCCTGGCGTCGCTGCTTATGAACCCGATGGCGATTCCCCTCCAGATCACAGGCATCGTAGCGGCCCATCTCCACGACTTCCTCTTCCGCCTGTGGCCGGAGTTTGGAGGCGGTAGAAATATCTTGTCGACGCCCAACTTCGTCTCGTACTTGGTTAGGACTCCCAGAGTCATGCAGCGCGACTACGGCACGGCCATCCGCCAGGCCCCCGCCGCGGCCTCGGGCAGCAGCACGGGGGCCTCGACGGGCTCGGTGCTCCCCGACTCGTGGAAGACGAGGGGCAGCGGACAACGCCTGGGCGGCAACTGAAAGGAGACTGCAGGCTCGTGTATAACAGAATGTAATCACATGTTAATATTACCACGCATGGATTTGCCACTCTCGAGTCCCAATGTGTTTGTGTGTGTTGAAGCCTATTTTGGCTTGGGAGGCCGACAATCCCGCCAGATGATTTACACCCGCGAGTGTTCCTAATTTGTATCAGGTAACTATATCCATGAGCCAATCCAGTAGCACCTCTTGAACTCCAGAGCAGAAGCCAGCTCACAACCGTGAAGCCCATGGGGACCCTGAACCCAAAGAAGCAGCAAACACAAAAAAAACGCCAAACACCGCCGTCCAGATCCGATCCGAAGCCAGGCCATCCCAAACCCCATACCCCCGGCCGATAACTAGGGTATCCCCAAGTAACCCAAAAAAGAGTGTGCGCAACAACAACAACTAACCTAACACCAAAACACACACACGCCCGTACAAAATCACCAAATATCACTCCCCCTCCCAATCTCAATCTCAGCATAGTGCCGATTCCCCGCGAAACCCCCACTATTCCGATCCGACCGCTTCCGCCCGTGTTTCTTCCCCTTCCCCTTCCCCTCCCCCTCTCCCTTCCCACCACCACCACCACCACCACTCCCACTCCCCTGGCCCCCTCCGTCCTGCCCGTCCCTGTTCCCCGACATTGCACGGCTGCGGAACGTCCGCCGGCTGTCGCTCTGCGACTGCGACTGTGAGTAGCCTGGCTCGTCGTACCCGTCTTCGCCGCCCCACAGGTCGTCCGCGTCGTCATCGTTCTTGTTGCTGCGGCCCCAGCGCGAGTAAGAGCGTGATTGCTGCTGCTGGTGTGGCTGGTGTTGTGGTGCGGGTGCCGGTGGTGGGTGTACCAGGTGGGGGAAGGCGAGCGGGCCCGAGATGGTGGTGGCTTCTTTGCCGGAGATGGGCTTGTCGGTCTTGCTGCGCTTGGGGGCCGTGCCGTCGGCGAGGTTGAGGCGCGGGGGGAGGTAGGCGCGGGGTTTGCGGTTTGCTTGGGGTTGGGGTTGGGGGGGTGGTTGTGGTTGTGGTTGTGATTGGGGGTGGAGGGGTTGTTGGCTGGCGTCGGTGGAGGAGGCGGAGTGTGGGGGGGAGGTGAAGGGGGGGAGTGTGAGGCTGGGTGGGGAGGGTTGGCGGCTCCTGTTTCCGCGGGGTGCGGGTTGGATGGGGAGGCCGAGGGAGGAGTCGGATTCTGTGTGGTGGTGGTGGTTGTTGTTGATGCTGCCGTGAGTTTGGGAGGTGGTGGTGGAGGGTGTTCTGGAGTTGGTGGCGATGGCGGCCCCCATGTAGGCCTGGATCATAGCATCGGGCGGTTGGGTCTTTGGGTGAGAGCCACCGGATGGGAATGGGGGGCTTGGGAAAGGTGGTGGTGACGCCGTGGCTATTGAACGGTTGCTGGGGGTTGAGCCCCTGACGAGGGCACGCGGGATGTACGCCGGGTGAGTGGGCATCGCGCTGGCGGTGTCCGGGGCGCTCGACGGAGAGAAGGAGTAGGATGCCTTCTCTGGCGAGTAAGTATAAGATGAGCCCTGATCGCCCTCGTGGTGTTGCGGGTTGTCCATCTTGTAGTCCATGGTGTAAGTAACGGCGGGCATGGCGCCCTGTGGTCCCGTCTCGTCGAAGCTCTCCCCGTCCGAGTTGTCTTCCCGGTCGTACCGCCGTTGTCGCCGCCAGTAGATGACGAAAAGTGCGGCTGCGCCCAAGAACAGCGCACCGGCGCCGCAGGCAATACCGGCGATGGCGCCGGCGGTGAGGTTGCCGCTGCCATCTTCACCTTCCCGGGGGAGGACGAGGGACGCGGTAGGAGCCATCTTGAAAGCACGGGCTCCCCGTCGAAGCTGATCCAGTGGATTTGACTACCCGAGCCCAGCCTGGCTCGGATATCTTGACTTTGATGGTGCCAAGCACCACAGTCGATCGACTAGAGGTCCGAAACTAACGAACATGGGAAATTGGGAAAGAAGATGGGGCCGTTGAACTGAAATAAGAGGGCCAGAGGGCGAAGAGATGGGCAGCCACCCGGCCAGGCCAGGACTAGCTGCCGATGTGTGCGTGCAGCAAGCAGCAAGCAGTTGGTTCCGCTCGCCACCGGGGGTGCGGGCCTCGTTGCACAGTACAGGCCGTGAGAAAGGCAACGGAGCAGGCTGCCAGCCAACTGGCCTGCGAAAACACTGTGCGCGCCTGGTAAAATAAATGATCAGGGGAGGGGGAGGTCAGGAATCCAAAAAGGTGATAGACAACCTATCATCGTATGTACCGTCCGTCGTAAGCCACAGCACGCACCATCTGGTTAGTTAGTTTGACGTGCTCAAAAAACAACCACACTCAACACTCAACCCACTCATCTTTCATCTCGCCCATCCTTCTAAGGAATCATCCCATCATCCCTCTTCAACCCGTCGTCCCCTTCTGCACTCATCCGCACTCACCCGCACTCTCCCGCACCATCCCATCTCAGCTGCGGCTGTTGCCCTCAATCGCTCAATCGCTCAATCGCTGGTCGCACTGGGCCAGCTGCAGAGGCAGCCTTGGGCCCTTCCGAGGACCGTCGGACAGGCCAGAAGGCGGCGCGGGGGCCAAGGGTGTCGCCAATCACATCCCGTACACAGACGCGACAATATGCAAGCAAGCAGAGTCAAGAGCGAAGAGGGTGGGTGAGACGGGGTCCAACAATCATCGGCAGCCAATGGTAACGCGCCGATGTTTCGTTTGGCTGGCGCGTAAACTGCATGAGGTGGGCCGGCGGAAGGTCCCGAGGCTGCCTGACTGGCTGGACAAGCGAAACCCTGGAAGATCTTCGCAGATCCACTGCAACCTGCCGAGAGGGTGAGAGCCAATCGGGAGGGGAGGTTGTTCGGGCCAGGCAAACAAGCTTCCACACCGTCGAGACCGTTCAACTCTCGCCGTGTTATTCCCCACCACTCGTTCGTCCAATGCCGACTTCTTTTTGTTGGTGTGAATGGGAGCCAAGTGAGCCAAGATGTGATGGAAGCAAAGCCGGCCGCCTCCGCCTCCGCGTCATTTCCTTCTCTCGTCAGTCGTCATGAGACTTGTTTCCAAGAATGCGAAGAGAAAGGCTTGGCTTTCCGAAAATCTCTGAAGCCCAGACTAGACCGATGACCACTTCAGACCCAGCGCTGTCTTTCTCGCGGGGTTTCCCGCACACCTAATCTGGAAATAGTAGGTACCGAGCCAAGTGGGGGCTCAGAGTTCTTTTCCCTCCTTCATCCTCACAACATCATCCTTCGCTTTTCGTTCCTCTCAACTCCTCAACATTACCGCCCACACACGCATATGCTGGCGCGTTGTTTAGCAATCACCCTCACAGCCGACATCATAACAATGCCCCGTCTTATGAAGCCAACGGCGACGTGAAAGGCAAAAGCCACGCTGTTCAGTGGGTAGCTAATTTAGGCCCTGATCGGCTGGCCAAAGTAATGTAATGTGAAGGAATAGAGCCCCCTGTCCAGCCCCTGTCATGTAGCGAAAAAAAGGCAACAGAGCTAAAAGGATGGCACCTTTCCTTTTTAGGGTCCAAATTTTCCCGGTACAACCAAGAAAATCACGCAAGCTCCTTGTCTTGCCAAGACTCAATGTACCGCGCTAAGCCATTCGCTTAGTTCCCTACGATAGGCTTAGCCGCCAAGAAGAGAGCGCGCAAAACAGCCCGTAAGCCCTTTTTTCATAACGCAGGTTTTTGGCCGTTAGGCACAGTGATGGCTTCTGGCGCTGATTTTTGAGGCTCCCGCACTGACCAGCCCGGCCCACAATACATCGAAAACTTGCATGCCAAGCACGCTATTTTCCCCACACAGGAGGTATCTTCTTTTCCTTCACATTATACTCCAATCCCTGAAAGTTCGTTAGCGCGTGACTTCTGGTGGACCTCAACAAGGGTAACAAAGCCAATCAATTAAACTGCGGGAGATTTGATAAATATACGCAAAAACTAAGAGATACCCAACGTCGTACACAAATTAGCCGTAAAAGAAAGTTATAATTAGTACCTAGAATATCCCCTGTTGTTGCGAATAACGGCCTGCAGCCTCTTCGGTATCGAATGGACCAGCTATAGTAGGAACTCGGCTGGAACTGTATCCTATACCTTCTGAATTGTAGCCTTGAAGGCCTCGCTAGTGGGCTGTTGAATATATTTACGTTCAAGCCAGCACTTTATCCAAACCTATACGTGCTTAATGGGGTTGAGATCTAGGCTGTAGGGTGGCTAGGCAACGACCGTAGCCCCGGGGAACTTTTCGGCTATGAACGCCTTGGTGGATTTGGAACTGTAGGTTGGGGCGTTATCTTGTTATATAGTTCGATCTGGATCTTCTAGCTAAAACTGGTAGAAAAGAGGGAGAATCCGTTGCTGGTAGGTAACTGAAGTAATCTTTCCCTATTTCTTGTCCTAAACTACTGTAGTTCCTTTGGTATCTCTGGTAAAATAAGCCTAGAATATCTACCTATTGGTTTATATCCGAATCTTTGTAAATTCCTGGGGGTCCTTGCTAGGTATAATAGTAATAAATCGTTGGTCTATATCTAGTTTAGTGATCTAGGTTTTATTAGACTAGATCTATTGCTCCTATTCCTATAGAAGAAGGCTGGTCTATTTTAGTATAAATTTAAGGTATAGTTGCTAGGCTTTAGGTAAAAGAGGTTGCTAAATAGGTTGGAGAACCCTATAGATACTATTATCCTCTATAGTACTCTAGATAGTATAGGTATTATAGGCCTAGAGGGCTGGAAATAGTCGATGAAGTTCGGCCTATAGTAGATAGTATTTGGTATAGTATAGTATATTGATAATGCTATAGATTATCTGCTTGATCTTGTTAGTATAAGGTGCTGGCCCTATAGCAACTGCAGATAGGCATACAATGTTCTATTCTGAAAGCTTAAGGAGGGAAAAGCTATTTTACAGGGTCCTGCGCGGGGATTCCTTCTTATATAACCTACCGGCACGTAATCTGGATGGACCCGGTACGGTTCCGCTCCGGAGCTGCACTGGACGCGGAGCGGTTAGGACAAAGCTCCTAACTTCCCACTAGCCGGGTACAGCCCGGCCCTTAATATACCCCCCTCCTCCGCCGCTTCTAGGGAGCTGTTGTACGTACCGGCTCTGGGCTGTGCGTATACCGGGTGCGGGTAGGCTTCTTACTATACGACTTATATATATATACCTTCCTATTATTTACTGTGAATTGCTATATTGTACCCTCCCTACTATACGCCTTCCTCCTGCGAGCCTATACTGTACTATCTGCCTGCGTTTCCTAGGTAACCCTGCCCTATATATAGGTTTATAAATTTTTCTTTCCCCCCTCCTCTGTTCCGCTTCCTCTTCTCTTCTTTTCCTCGCACTACAGTTAACCTTTCCGTATTAGCTCTTTTCCTTTTAGGATATTTTAACCTCCTCTTTTGTATACGTTCCACTTACCTATCTCTCCCTCTTTATAAGTAGTATAAAACTATATAGAATATTGATTATAGTTAGCTCTATAGGTAGTAGTAGTAGTAGATGCTATTCTAGTAGCGATCCTAGTAAGGATTGTAATATAAGTAAGCCCTTCCTATACCTACTGTAGAAACTGATATAAGCGGTATAGAAAGATAAGTATATAAACGTTTTGTTTAGTAGCTTTGTTATAGAGGGTAACTCCTCTAATAAGGAATTTAACCTACTCCCTAAGAAGTATTAATACTATATACTATATATTAGTAGGCTCTTGAATAGGAAGCCTACTATATATACTATTGGTACCTATAGATCCTATAAGGAATATTGTTCTGTTTATTTAGCCTATATCTAGGATATATAGCTATAGGTAAATAATCCCTATTTATATACTAGTCTTAAGAAGATTAAGAGGTTATATCTAAATAATACTACCCTACTTGAGCCTGGCCGTACCTATACTCTTAATAAGCCTTTTAAATGTCCTATCCTAATAGATATATTTGCTACCTTAGTATAGAACTTCCGCTACCTTCTCGAGCTCGCTTAGGAGAATCGTATATCCGGTTATGCTGCCTTTTCGCCTATATCTATATAGCAATCCGCCGCCTCCCTTATACCGCTGTCCACTCCTATATATACTAGATATAGTACTATCGTTCCTACCTCTTTCTTCTACTATACTAGCCTTACTTCTATACCAGATACTAATATTAATATAGTTAGTACTATAGGAAATATATTCTCCTATTATTTAGTTATAGCTAATAACTATACCGGCTCTCTTATATATAAGGTTAGCTATTAGAATAATAATATAATAATACTAGTTAATATTAATATAGCCTTTATTAATTACTACCTTAGCTGCCTCTAGACTCCCTCTTCTACTATATATTATATCTATACTATACCTGCTGTAGGTATATATAGCCTCTATTCTACCTTATATACTCTCTGCTAGGAGTGCTGTTCTATATCTCCTACTGAGTATACCTCCGAACATACTTACAATCGTTGTAAGTAGTCCTCTTATATTATGGAGGTTTTCTCTCCGGTCTTTATATACGTTGTACCTGCCTTAGAGCCTCTCGATTCCTCTCCGCTACGTACTGTGCCTACTCTAGAGCCCTTCGGTTCCTCTCCGCTATATACTGTACCTGCCCTACTGCCTATTGCCCCCTCCCTATAGTATACTATACCTGGCTAGGCCTACTATACTACTGAGGAGGAGGCTATATACTTTAGAGGTTCTAAGTCCGACGTTACTGAGTAAGCTGGCTGGCTTCTGGCTACTTCTGTTATGGATCTGGTCCGCCTCTACTATAGGCTTCTATATACTGTTTTATTATATGTTGTACTCTAGTTAAATGAAACTTATTTCCTCTATCTCTTCCGATTTATAATCGGGCTATTATTTATATATATATTCCTCCATTCTACCTCGAAAGTATCTAGTATTGCGGAATCCTCTATATTTTCTAGCAGCTCCTATATAGGGGAATCGTATCCTACCTACTTAACTAGTATATTGTAGCGGTTTCCTCTGACTCTTGCGTTGTGTATAGCTAAGATTGCCTCTATATAGTATTTTTATTGTAGGATGCCCTCCTCTATTAGTACCTAGGTTGGGTCTGGTTGAGAGTCTGTTATATATTAGGAGGGGAGAGGGTTGGATGCTGCCTGTTCTACCAAATCTATATAGAAGTTAGGGTAAATACTTTGGAGGATATCTAGGGTAACGGTTAAAGGGGTTAGGACGGTAATAATATAGTATTTAGCCTAGGTCTAGTTAAGTTTTCGGCTTAGGCGGTTTATCTTAATATTATAAAGTAATA